CGTTAGTATCTCAGTTTGACAGAATATCAGTAGATCAGACAGAGTGTACAAAGTGAGTAAGATTTTACTGTTTAAGGGCAAATTTACAGAATTACCCTGTTGACTCCATTACGACGTTGGATAACAGACTGGTTACTTGTGAATTATACCTGGGAAACCTAATCATTTAGTCTTAAAGTCAAAGAATAATGGTTTGTCTGTTGGGAGGTAAAGCCTGCAAGTACATTGGAATTTAATATACTTGTACTACCTCAGTGAGTTGATATGGTTTCTGGCGATGACCTCAGAAGCTGTCTTGACAGACTTCATTTCCCCTCTGCCAAAAGCCAAAAGTACTTGGAGGGTTGAGAGGGGATTATACTGTGATACTCTGCCAACTGTGCCTGCAGATGTTGTGCAATTAAAGCGAGGGCCTTTTTGTAATCCGTGGTTGCCCCCAAGAGAGAACCAAGGATGTCTGCATGCTGTTGCTCGTTTATCAAAGTAATGTGACACAAACGCAAAGAAGGTCCAAACTGTCAAAGGGATTTAGGCACACAGGACAAGTCCTGCTCTGAACTCAGTCTTGGTTGAACATAAGCTCATAATCAAAGGATGTTACTGGCGTGTGACCTTAGACAGGACAACTTCTGGTGACATGTAGCAACCAGCCAAAATGTAAAAACGTGCAGTTGAATAAATGTGTTGTTTTGCACACGCCACAGTAGAATTTTGGATTTTAAACACTTTTTTTTCTCATGACCAAAATCATCCTAGGTGACCAACAATAGTTTTTTTTTGTATGTATTATTTTTGGCAAAAACAACATTCACTGCAACCCAATGGAGAAATACCAGACATGAGCTAAAATAGAAATTTTAACTTGCAAATACATGAAGAAAAACACGACTCTCATCCAGAGTACACTTTCCCTTCCCACTCAGCTGGGGTTTTCGGTCTTAAATCAAACATGAAAAAAGTAACAGTATCATGCAGGATGCAGTATTAGGTCAGTGTCCCTCTGATGTTTGGAAGTACCTAATGATTTACTGGAATCATAAGCAGCGCTGAGAGCACTTCAAATATTTCCTTGTTATTGACTATTGTAGATCTATTGGAATCATTCGTTGTGGTTTTTGTCATCGGGTGAGTTCACTGAAACCACAGATGTTTCACTCGTTGAAATCATCATCCAAGCATTTATGATGTCGGAATATTTTAAGCACTTGTAAGTTTAGTCGTAGGTTAGGTTACACCGGCTGCAGGCTTATACACACACCTGTGTATATATGCTTTTAAGGTTCACTGGGACTTTAGACATTGAGGGCTGATTTTAACCTGATTATCTCCCTAAGATCAGAGAAGAACTCTAGCCAGGCCACACGGTCAGTAACATCATTCAGCCCAGTTTAAAAAGTAAATTAAGGGCCCTGTGAGGGCTCGAAATCTGGGCACATTCAGGTGCAGGGTGCTGAGAGGTTGTATTAAGTCCTATGTGTAAACATGAATTAAACCAACCAGTGTTTCAGCTCTTGTCCATTTTTCTGGAGACTTTCCACAGTGCGTGTCAGGTGCGTCTGTTGAGAGTTGTATTACTTTTTTTACACAGCAGATTTCAGCCTTTCTACTTGCATACACTAAACTTGAGCCAGCTGCCCTTCTTCTCATGTGGCTCTAAACATGCAGAAAACACAGACAAATCACCTTGAGAAGGTCAGAACATGGATTGATGTTAAGTCCTCTGAGATAACTCCTCTAAACACCCCAAACTAAAGTGATTATTCAGATTTACAGAGAATCATGTTAGATTTATGCACATGGCACAGCGGAGTTAACTTGATTGTTCAAATCTCAGACTATTGGTATGGTACTGATGGTATTGGACAGGATCTAATATCAACTTACATTCCATGTGCTTAAAGTCAAAGAAAGGTCCACTGTTAATCTTTATTTACTTACTTTTGCTGATGGATTGTACTGTGTGCACTATGGATATTGTTGGGTATCTCTGAATTTCTGTGTACATGATGGAAGGTGGCATTAAAAGTTAACAGTTATGAGGATTGTAAAGATTTATCCTTTAGCTGTTTGTGAGTCTGTCTTCATGAGTGTGCGTCTGTTTCTATGTGCATTCACACACTCGGACGAGAGTGCTATGACGTTCTCACTTTGCAGTATTTAGAGAAACGTGTTTGAGGAAATAGTGATCACGTTGTCCTTGTCTTCTAGCATTCTGAAATTGACACCTTAAGCTGTTTTCAGACATGCACGGTGGAAAGTCTCCAGAAAATTTCAGGAGCTCTGATCTGGAATTGTACCTGAATTTACTGTTCACACCCTCAAAGCGACAAGTTCACCCTGTTGGGAGTTGATTTGATAAAGTTTATTGAAAAAAGTTGGCACAGGAAGACATGCATATGCTTTTACAACCGTTGAGTGATGAATGATTAAATGTATCATCAGATGAGTGAAGAAGAGACATGAGTAGAGTAAAAGGCCCTCTTATTACCTGCTTTTATTATTGTAGTCCTGTCACACGCTGCTCTCCCGGGTTTTATCGAATAGTTTCCTATCAAGATGCGCTCATAGCAGCATGTGTCTCGCCAGAGTCCTTCAGTGCTGAGTGTTTGTCACCAGTGGGAGTATTATTTCATAGAGGACATCAGTCTACCGAAGTACGCTTCTCTTGAACTCTTAATGACAGATTGTGTAACAGAGCTTCATGCTGCTCCTGCTGCTGTGACAACACAAATGGAAAGAGTAACAGTGTAATATAAAGTGAGTCTGGAGCGGGACCATCAGGGGATGGGAGATATTGGTGCCCTGAGATACCCCTTCTCATAAATTCTTGGTTTCCAAAAATATGATGCTTTATTTTTACAGTGAAATTATCCCTGCTAATGACTGCCTCTCTTATTCTACGCTACAACTGCATTAACCAAAACTAAATAGAGCACCAGCCACTTCTTGTACCAAAGGCCTGGGACTGTGTTCTCAACATGGGCTAACCCAGACTTAACCCTGAAAAGATACTAGGGGGCTGAAAGGTGATATTTCCAGGAGTTTTTGTGCAAGTCTGAAGAGCCATATTGAATTATGGAGATATGGAAATGAGGGGAAAATACCAGCACCCTCTTTCCCAGTAAAAACTCAATTTGAGTGTTCACGAAAATAAATTTCCATCTGAATGAGAGTTTTACTGTGTGCCACTGCTGGATGCAAAAATTGTTCCATTTATCTCATTAATTTTCCCTCAAAATAGCAGGAAATGACTGTGCTGTGGTCAAGTGATAAAGGACTGACTCTTGCCCTCTAGCGTACGATCTGGCCCTTGAATTTAATGGGTCTAATTTCTCGCAAACTCTCTCTTGCACTCATGATGATCTAAGTGACATCCTTTAATGTGTGATGTGGAAATATTTTCTCAACTTGAATCGTGTGATTATTTTAGATTAGAAAGAGTAACGTCTTTTTGTTTGTTCTTGAGCACATGTATGTCATTTTATGTCCACCTTATATTGCTGCAATCAACTTTTTCAGGGTAACAATGTCCAAAGTTGGGTGTAATTATGTGATTTAAATTACTTTCTATATTTTTACAATTTTTTTCAGAATAAAAAAACAACTGTAGTGAAAAGTGGTTTATTTTAAAGACCCAGATAACTGTGAAATAATGTCTCTAATATGGCTTACAAAAGTCTTAAATGTTTAAAAAAATATGCTACCTAAAAATAAGGTGCATGACAAATGTAAGATACTAGTGAAACAGGTTTGTCTTGGGCTGTATGAATGTAAAATAACATTTGCGGTATTATCCATAGTTGTTTGACTCTACCCCACAGCTCGAGCAGAAACATGTTTCACTTAAAACCGCTTTTCTTGTGATGTTGCCTGAACTTACTTAAAGGAAATCAACATGTGGGAATATGAACACTAATGGCAAACGTCATTGCCATGAAGGATACTGTGTGTCTTGGAAAGCAGAACCCATTAGCATGCGTGCAACAGCCCAGTCTGTCAGGTTTGTGTCTGAGGGAGTAATGACCTTGGCTGCAGCTCCCGCCAGTAAAAAGTCCACCGAACTTCTTTACTTAAAATCCCAAAAATGTGTCCCAGGGCAGAACAAACAGATGGACAGGAGAAGATCTGTCAGTGGTGAGGTGTAATCTAAGGATGTGTCCGGGTACAACTTAAGTGCAAATCAACAGAAAGTCTTTAGGACTGTTGTAAAGAGCTCAAAAATACATTTAAATGTGATTTTTTGTTGTTAAACTGACATGTGTACAGTTTGCTGCGCTACATGAGGAGGAGCTGCAACTCAAACTTTCAAACTCAAACCGACTCCTGCAAACTTCCAGGCAGAGTGCACTGCTGTTTCCAACTAATTCACGCTGCCAGTGACTTTGTAACGTCCTGCTCTGATATTTTGTGGACGCATGCTGATAGTGTTGTTATTTTTCCTCTCCCTCAGAGATTTCTGCAGCAAGACTTCGAAAAAAACGAACGTGTTGAAAACAAACCAGCAGAAAATTAGAGCTATGGCAAGCGAGTAATTATCTGGGATTGTGCTTCAGTCTCTCGTCTGACTCGTATAGATAAGTCCACTCAGTATCCATGCAAATGTTTGGCAGACAGCTCAATTCCTTCTGGATGAGAGGGAGGGAGGGAGGAAGGGAGGGAGGGTTGTCTCTCTTTCTCGCTCTCTCTCTCTCTCTCTCTCTTTCTCACTCGCTGTATGTGTCTCTTCCCCTCTCCCTCTCTTTCCTCGCTGGCAAGCAGCGTCTGTTCTGTTGGCAGGAGTGACCAGAATAAAAACAGCAACACCAGACATAGAGGAGGAAAAAAGCACAGTGATCCATTGAACCAGAGTCCTTTCTCTCTCTTAATTACTCATACTCCCTATCTTTTCCCTTTTTTTTCCTCCTCATTTCTTTCATCCTTAAGATTACTTGCTTGGGGTAATTGTTTAGAAGAGAATAAAACCAGCTGATCGGGAGAGGGGTGGTGCATTTTGGAGCGAGATGGCTAACAGAAACATTCTGTTGCTCTTCTTGGGACTCTTCCTCCTTGCACTGATTCAGCCCTCTCTTCAAGGAGGTAAGTGCATGCTACAGGTGAACTGAGCCATAATCTCTGCTGCAGCAGCCACAGCCTGCAAACAGGTGCAGTTTTTTATGTGTGTGCTTCCCCTCACTCAGGAGAGTTCATTACTGAATACCTCGAGTATTTGAAACTTTTGTTCATGCTTATCAGGAATAGAGTTTCAGTGATTTGATTTGAGGCTCTTTTCTAAATCATCTAATCCCTACATTTATTTTTTCAAGTGCAGTTGAAGATAAGAAAACAGAAATTCCTTATCTTATTTTTGATAGTCTTCTGTGGATTAATCTCCGCAAGACATTTCTGCACTCGCACAGGTGTGGTGATTTGAATGTATCCTCAATGCAAGTCCCTCGTTCAGACTTAAAGGTTGTTAAATCTGGTTTATCCTCTGCACACACTAATGTATGCATGTTCGTGTCTTCATGGCTGCAATCTCATCTTCTGAAATTCCAGGATCAGAAGGTCCCAGCTGGTCCATCTTTCGACATTTCAGAGCAATATTGTTTGAATTAACCCCCGATGAACTTCCACTCGGACGGGCGGTTTATACTCATCTTTTATACCGCCCCTGATAGGATCTCCTGAGTAACAAGACTCTTGTGTCCTGAATCCTCAGAGCAGCAACATGCTGATTTGAGGGGTCAGTGTTATGTGCACTCTGAAATCAAGAAGTACTCACAGACAGAGAGAAGATAGAGAAAGACAAGGAGAAACAGACAGAGATAGCATACCTTTCCTCTTACTCTCATTCAGCCTGTGCACTGGCCTTTCCTGCATTGCTTTGATTTGATCCCTGTCCGTGTTTTGGCTGACATTTGCTTTAGCTATTCAGCCATCACCTGGAAAACATGTTAAGCATCTTGGGCTTGATTCGCTGGAGTCTAGTTGATTTCATGTTGTATTTATTTACTTTAAGTCACAGCTGTTTATGTTCCTTATCTCCCAGTTTCCAAATGTCTTTTCAGGTGCATTGTGTTTAGATTGTAAGTTTCCAAAAAGAAATGTTTTGTCCATATACAGACCAATCCCCACCTGTTTTCTCCCCCAAACTCTTTTTGATCACAATAACAAAGTATACCTAGTTTGTTTATGCAGATCCTCGATTGTATCATGTAAAGATTTTTTCACCCTCCTTTCCTCGGTTTCTTAACACATGTTCCCATTTCTCTTCTGTGCCAGCCATTCTTCAGCTGGGAATTTAGGGGTGAACTCAAGAAGAGATATATAGCAGGTAAAGGTGCCAACAAATATCGGCTTAGCAGCACAACTTTGATCTCAAGTGAGCACTGAATCCATCCATATCAGACTTCTCTGTGACACACAAACTAGTTCAATCTGTGTCTTAGCTCTGCAGCTTGATTTAAGTTGCCAGACAGTGGTTGAAGGGTTGTTAATCTATGAGTAACATGCACCTCATCAACACCCAGTCCTGCATAGAAAAAGCTCTGCTGCTTGAAAACATCACCCCTTGAACTCTGATATGGAGCGCAGAGGCTGTCTAAATGATTTCCAGCGGCACGTGTAAATGAGTTACAATAATAGAGGAAACATCTGGGAGGGAGTTTGCTGATAAATTAGCCCCCTGTCATTCTATCTTATGACCTTTTGTAGATGCTGTACTGTTTGTTGTGTCTCCCCCTCTCACTATGGAGGAGGCTGTCTTACTTTGCAAACAAGCACCATCTGCCACAGTGAGTTGGAGGGTTATACATTTGTGTTTGAGGCAGCATGGCTCAGTGGCCTCTGTTTTTTATTGCTACACTTGATAACTTAATCAAACCCAGGCTGAGATGGTTGACAAAGCCCTTTGACTAGATTCCTCAACACAGGAATTTAATCAAGCTTATTCCCTCATTGCCTCAATAAATATAGACTCATAAGGTTGCTTTTTATGATTAACCTTAGCTTGTAAATGCCCAGATCAGTCATTTAGTCCCCCTACTACCTTACTTTGACGTATGTTTTCTTCTGACAGCTTTAAATACTAACCGCTGTACTTTGCCTAAGTTTGGCATTTATGACCGGCACATTTAAAAGCACAATTCTGAGCAGCCAGTGGGTGATGAAGTGGGAAAAATAGCTGCCATATTCCTTCCACCGCTCCAAAGAATTGGAGAAGTTGTGTGATGTTTTTTAGCACCACTGGAAGCCAGTTTGTCTCATTTGGCCCGGTCCAGATCCAGCTCTGAAACTTCAGAGGATTGAATACATTAATCATCTACAATTGGTTGGCTGTGGTTTAACTAATACACATTGGATGGCATGACTTGGCTGTCACAAACATAATTGATGAATTGCAGCATTACTCCACCATTGCTGGTAGATACCCAAACTGATTGTCTCAATTCCCCGAGCAAGTGCTGCCTCAGACTTTAGTGCTTGCGTGTGTTGTGTACACCTCTGGCTCTGATCTGTCTTCTGGAAAGGTTGAGTGCCAACCACAGCAAACTGGTTTAATGTGACACAGAGGCAACCCAGTGTTCAGCAGGCTTACACTGCAATTAAAGGCATAGACCATTTGACGTGCAGTTTCTGTAAACTCAAAGGCTTTAGTGAGTACACTTTTTACGCAGTTTCTTTCGATTTCTTCAACGCCGGACTCACAAAAGCATTTTACTTTGTTGATGTAGAGGTTTGGTGTAATTTGCAGCAAAGTGACCTCATTCAGTACTCATGTGGGAAGAAGCCCTTTGGTTACAAGCACAGACTGACTTGGGTTTGCTGTTGTGAAAGACCTGTTTTTTTTTTTTTTTCTTTTTCCCGTGTATTTGTGTCTTATTCTGGCACAAGTCCTGGGAAAGTGTTAGAAGAATGGCTTATTGGATCCACTGTTTGCAGATTTACATCAAAGCATGTTGCGTGGCTGGGAGGTCACACTCCTTATTAAAGCCCTAATCACACCAGAACTGTGGGATGAAAAGGTTGTTTTTCGAAGGACTGCACTGCAAATGTGTGGGGTACATCTCTAAAACACACATTATTCTCGATTTCTTTTTAGTGTTTACAGCCTACCCTTGTATTTCTAATGTTGCGGCAAGTCCTCATCAATGCTGGAAGAACATCTGTGATTAAAAATGCGTAGCTCCTACCCCTAAGTTGCAGATGAATGTCAGTCCTAACATCTCCCACAGGGATGTTTCTTCTGCAGTCAACCTGTGCCAAGTGTTCAACAAAGGAGCACATTAACTCAGATGATTCATTCAAGCCACTCTGCAAGCAGCCCTCACCAGGCTGTGAGGTCTGCTTCCAGCACTCTCACTGGGCCAGCAATCTCAAATGGCTCCTGTGAGGAATGTTTTCATCTTATCCCGCTGCTGCCTACTCATGTCCAAGCTCTACTCGGTTTACAAACAACATTACAACATAAGCATGGAAATATTGTTTTAATAAAAATAGAATGAAAGGAGAAGAATGAAATTCTGATCGAAACACATGACATCTATGTCATCCCACTGCTCTGAAATGAAAACATTGTAGTCTGTTCTTTGTTTGTTGGGATGCTTTCTTTGTGAGACAGGGGTGGGAGTAACACAGCACCTTTGGGCCTTTGGCATCAGTCAGTTGGTCTAAACCAAACAAAACTGCATTTGTACAAGTGTTTTGTTTTGTTTTAGCAAGTCAACTACTGGACAGCAAATTCAGTTCCCACGTTCATATACATTGTACATTTTGTCATCTTGTATTTACCCTCTTAAACTGCCCTCAGCCATGCTCTTTGGTGTGAGGGGGTAAAGCCATGGCAAAGTTACAGATTTGCAAACAAAAGATAATCTTTTACAGCTTTTGGCGGGCTTTTTTGTAAGAGTGATAGGGAATGTAGGGAGAAGGTAGTTGAGGTCAGGAGTTGAACCTACAGCTGCTGCATCCAGGACTAAAGCACCTGTACATGGAGCATGGGCATAAACCAAACTGGTGCCACTGATGCTCTTCCGAGGCTTATTTTAGCCAATAATTACAGTTCAGTCATGTTTTTTTTATTACCACCATTCGCCACCTTTTGCCATGTTTAGCTCTAGAATAGGAAAGCTTTTCTGTTTCCCTATCCACCGACAACAAAGGACTGAACATTGACAGGATTAGAATAAGTTCCTCATAATCTGTGAATCTGCAAACTTCACTCTGAGAAGTGTCGACGGGTTGAAGCTGGCAAGTGAAGAAAAGAGAGGTGGAGTCAGGTTGGGGTGAGTGCAAGAATAAGATTGATTTTCCATAAAAATTTTCACTTCTTTGATGATCCTGGCACTATCCTCCTCCACCCTCCTGTTTGCAGAGGAAAATAGATGGTGCAAGGGGTGACTGATAGTAGGCCAGCTGTCACATGTCTGATAATGCAAGATGTAAGTGTGCCAGGAACCACAGAGTTTGCTTTACTGCACTGTTGCTCAGGGTTGCTCTCTTTCCAAAGAAGGGAAAGAACCAAACCTCCTCTTATGGGACAGTGGTTTTGGATACGTCTGTGAATGACACTTGTTAGCTTGCCAAAAACTCTTTATTTCATCGAATATGATTGAAATAGTGGCGCAGAGTTGTGTAACTGCAGGTGGTTAAAGTGGTGTAAGTATATTTCCTCAGGACTTAAATCTATGTGGACCACAAGGCTGTGATCATAATTGGTAATGGGCCTATTCGTCTTTTTTAAAGAACGGGGAATTTTGTAATTAACCTTTTGAGGTCTCACGTAGTCTTGTGTATGTTCTCGCAACTTTGTTTTGCACACTTAGTAACATACAAATTGTTCTTCCAACTTGAATGCATTTGATTATTTTGTAAAAGGCCAAGTTTAAAACTACCTCAGCAAAGGGTCATGGAAATGTCACATTACTCAGCGGCTTGTTGTAAATAAAGTAAAACGAAACTTCTCGAATTCACAAAGCGCAATTGTTAAACCTGTCATTAACATGGGAGGTACTATGGAAAAACGGTCTTTGGCTTTAGTTTTATTCAGCAACAAAACAAGCTCTGACCCAAAATTTCCAAAGTCCAATTTGATTCAGTCATTATTTTGGGGTCCAGTAACCCATATCTCCCATTAAATGTGGGCCATAAATCCATAAAACGACCCTTAAAGAATATCAACTGTAGATGAATTCACCGTCATCACTCTACTTTGGGGACTTTACCCCAAGTTTGAGACGTTAAATTAACACATAAAAGGATTGACATCGGATTTACATGTTAGTCATGCCACTCCCTGCTTTCAGGTCAACAGTCCAACATGATTAAAAATCTAAACACACGGCACCGAACATAGACTTTCCCACCTGCTATCTTGAACCTAGTGGGTTAAAGGGTAATGATAATAAAACATTCAGATTCTTAAATTGTATAAAAGATCTTTTCATTGTTTTCCAAATCCTTTTGGTCTATTACACATGTTTCTATTTATGCTGTAAAATGTATCCTCACATCTTCTTGAGATCTTTTTCCTTATTTTCTTGACCCTTTTTGATTTCTTTAAAGTAAAAAACATATCACTTCGAGTTGTTTTTTAGGTCTTTCTCTAAAAATTCATCACTTGTCTTTGTGTGCAATCTCACTGTCCCTGAAGCTTGTGCTAAGAGTTGATCTACCTCCTGGCTCCATGGACAACAGTTCATTTTCGAGCAGGTTACTAGTACTCTGATTGGCTGAGAGTAAATGATAATAATCTAAAATGGTAAAAGACTGGTATTGCATTACTAGCAGCAGATGTGAGACTCATATTGAAATCTTAAAAGGAATAATTTATTCAATAGTTCCAACTCTTAACAGATACACACTATGATTATACTGAAATACTGCAGGAAGTATCAGTGTGTTACTCCTGGACACTGAACCTTGGACATCCACTAGACTCATTTTTCTTTTGCTGATGACTGGCTGCATTCCTAGCTCACTGACACCCCTTCCACTGTGAGTCTGAAAGTTGGACCACATTCAAGTCTTAGGTGGAGCAAAGATAAATTCAAATCACTGTCAGGATTCCTGTGAGTTCACGCACATCATCACCCTCTTAATGCACTCAGATTAACCCTGGTGTCTAACCACAATCATAAAAAAGGCCAGTTGAGTTAAACTCTAGTAGTTTATAACTGGTGAGGCGTATTACCTGTGACATGGGGTAATTTATTTGTTCCTTTCCAGTCTCTCCTTTTTCACATCGTCACATTCAAGCCATAGACTGTATATACTATGGACAACTTGGTTCCGCCTTCCGCCAGTATACGGTTTTGAAGCCAAAAAGCTCTCTGTATTTCTGTGATTTTTCTCACTTTTCCTGAAACCAGTATTACGCAGTAACATTGTACCCATTCGGCGGGAGAGTCGCTGTGATGATGTTTGGCTCAAACAGCGTACCCCCCGGGTGAGCTACGCAATTCTTGTACGCCCATAGGAAGGATTTATGACCTATACTGCAGCCCGTCACCAGAAGGTGCTATTCTCGGGGTGGCTTCACCCACTGAAGAGGCAGACGGCATCCGTTCTATATACAGTCTATGGTTCAAGCTGACTACCATTGTTTTATAACATTGTTTTCCTGCTGGTCCACATTTTCAACATATGAGTTTTGCCTCTGCAAAATCCAATATGGTTATTCCCTTTTTTTTTCTTTACACAAACATTATTCATATTATAAAATCTCACGGCACACTCTTGACTTGAGATAACTGGGAAATCTAATCCCTTCTGCTCTTCAAGGCATCTTGTCCTTCACACACATTCCAGCTCATTCCCATGACCTGGCTGATTTTGCGAGGAACATAAGTACATAATGATGAGGAGGATAAACAGTATGATCATGAAGAAATCTTCAAATTGACTGAGGCAGGTCATGTCACTTGGCAGAGGTCAGTGTACGCCTTATTTGGATATATGGTCTTAGTGAACCTGTTGCACTTTGTAAAAGTGGTTCAGCAGCTCAATGGGATTTTAAAAAAGAGGAAAACTGGAGCAGACACACACTCCCTTTTGCTTCACTTGCACTGCCGAGACAGGAAATCCTCCTTTTGATTGTGAATTGAAGGGGCAGAATCAAGAACAATCACTGTAACCTCGACGTTTGGTGCATGAACCTGAAGTTTCTGCTATGAAGCCAGGGACTGCAAACATTATCGCCTCGACTTACTCACCTAATAATCAAATACAGAATGAGGGGCCATAATATCTTTACAGTGTATTTAAGCCTTAAGACCTTCGAAAAAACAGTTTTATATGCAACTGCTATCCCAAGGTCTCTTCTGTCTTTCCCCATTTCCTGATTGATTTATCCTGTTCAGTCCTTTCTAAGCCAAAGCGTAGCTTGTCACAGTATCTGTTCTCATTTACATCGCTGCTGAAAAATGAGCCTAAATGATGAGAAACTGCCCAACATTAAAAATGACCGTACCCTGGAAACCCCTGTAGGAGCACCACTTTGTTACCTAAGGAAAGACTTTTTTTTATCTTAAATAAAAACAGACCTTTTACTCCTTCCAACCATAATTTGAGGATATGACAGAGTTTATCATGTTGGCTTTTATAGTTTATTACCTTCTATTCAAAACTGAGGCCTGTTTTTTTAGCCAGTCATTCCATAATTGTATTTGATCGGTATTCTCAAAATCTGATAACCCAATGGACAGCTGTATTTTTGTAATTCACCCCATTGCTTTCCTCTGTTGATATCTTTAGATTGACAGTTTGCTAAGATAACCAACAAAATTCGATTACAAAAGTAGATGCAAACAAAATTCATTGATACAAACAGGGAATCACAATATTGCAAAACACCGTACTGGGTTCTGAGACATCTTGCATCATTACTATATCTGCTGAGCGTGCAAAACAGCAACAGTCAATGACAGATGCAATTTTATAATCCACTGAGTCAATTTTTGTTGTGATATTTGATGACCTGGTAGGTATCACAATAATCGTTGAGGGCAGCCCTTCTTCCAATGGTATAATGTTTCTGTAAAGGCCAAAGCTTATGCAGACATATACAGGCAGTCTATCATAAAATACATATATGTATGCTGTACTTTTTGGCATGTGGTAAAGTGATGTCATAAATTTTGATTCAACTACATCAGACAGTAATACCTCATAACGTTCTTCCCCTAATGGTCACACTCAGCGGACGGAACTGAAAGCGCAGTGTTCACACACTTCTCTTTAATAAACACATGAACGCCTTTGACATGTGGTTTAAATAAATTGGCCGTACAAAGCATGTAAGGGCCATTAAACATAATCATTGTGATCCTGCAGCACCATACTCTCCATTGCGTTGTGTTTATAGTGATATAAACCAGGTTTTTCCCTCAAAAAAATATCACTTTGTAACGTTGGCCGTAGCTCAACAGTCCCGTTGGATTTGACTGTTAGTCGTCCCAGAACAACTGCTGGTGTTTTTTCTATCCTCCCTTGCTTTTATTGCTGTGGCCGTTCCTTACATACTTGAGGCCACCATGTCTGGGATTCAGAGCAACCATCTCAAGAGTTCCTCTGGGCGCCAGCCAAAAATCAAGCGAGAAATTAGGCAAGGGGATATAGGTGGGGGTTGAAGGATGTCCATGGTGCAGCAGCAGCTTTCTGAGGAAGGTCTCCAACTGCACTACCTCATCAGATTGAAAACAATTGGAATTTTCTCCTAATCAAGCCCGTAAAATTCCTTTTTTTTTCACCCTGGCTCTCGATGGGGTGGCTGTGTTCACGTTTCATTGTGCACCCAATCACTGCTGTGGTCCAGGGTGGATGTATTTGCCAAAGACAGATTTCAGTGTTGCTGTCTGGGTCACAGATGAAGAAAGTGTTTGAGAATGTTTATCTAATAAATGGGGTCATTGTTTAGAAATGCTTTTATTAGCATAGCAATAAAACAAAGAACTGATGGCTGAGAACTCTTTGACCACTTTAAGCCGGTGCTGAGTGTTGGTGCAAAGTGCTTTTCTCATGGTGGATTAATTTCGGGTCTTTAAAGAACATATAACAGAGAGTGTGAGCAAGACTTTCTCTGTTTTCAAAGTGTCTCGAGTTAGCATTTATTAAGACCTGGCATTGAACAAATGAAGATTGATAAATCCATTGATTAGTTGATGGATAGTGGATGACGTGAAGCTTTTTGTGTCGTTTACCAGGTGTGTATGTGCCACCGGGCGGTGCATTCGGACCAGGAGGAACTGGAATAGCAGGAGCAGGTTATCCTCAAGGTAACATCCTCAAATGACCATCAGGATGGTGTAGAAATAGGACATAGCCATTTTCCACAAATGTTAAGTTTGTGGGAAAGTTTTAAGGACATATTCATAAAAAGGACAAATTTAGGTTTGTAATATAACAATTCATTTGCTTGCACTTTAGGGTTAGGGTAGTTCTCACAAATTCAGTCCTCTATGTCACTCTCATGCATATATGCTCTCATATAGTCTGATGTTTAAGATAAGTGAAACTCAGATATAGTGATGAAACACCAACACTGTGTGTTGTATTGTTGTCTAATTAAGTAAAGACTCTTGGATGACTTGAAATGGTCACAGTTATATAAATGTTTTTTTCCCAAACCAAGACCATGTGTTTTCTCATAACACCCGGTTTATTTTGAGCTCTGTGCTTAATATTAATATTGCACTGTGCTGATGGTATCAACACAAGAGGATTGGCCAGTCTCTGTAGAAATAGTTAAACCCTTAAAATAAAACTCAAAGGCATGCATAATGTAAGTGCTCGACACAAACATCCTCACAGACTGGGGACAGGATGCCACTGCATGCTCTCCTGGTGTCTGAGAGAATTTGAGATACAAGTCATGGCTTAAAACCTCTTATCCCCACATCACTACATGTAGGTGTTGCATAACTCAATTTTATTCTTTGAAAAATATATAATATAAATATATAATACACTGTCTGTTTACTGTTTTAAAGGAGCTGGTGGAGGAGTTCCTGCAGGTTTTAAACCAGCCAAAGCTGCGGGTGAGTAAAGGTGACACTGTCGTATGTTGGCTCACGTATGTATTAAAGAATCACGTTTTTTTTCTGTGCTATAGATTTAATAACTACCTGCAGGAATCCATGTTAATTCACTCATAGGTTATTAGTATAAAGCTTTCCCACAGTCATAAAAGTTTATTTATTTTCCCAGGAGTTTATTATCTTATCTGTGACTCTCCTATAGGTGTAAAGCACAACCACAGAAGTTCTCTCTAGTATGTGTGATTTCACACAACTATAACAGCCCTGTATACACAGTCTGCTTTAAGCAACAGATCACAGAGCACTGGCAGCACCCTGGCATGGCCACAGCTACCATTTGCAGGACACGTTTGATCCAGTGCATCTTTTTTAGTCAGTAGAAATGAAGTCCTGTCAAGAGGAAGCACTGATGTGATGAGACTTGTAAGTTGTGAAACTGCGCTGTGTGTTTGAGGTTGTTCCTTGTCTGCAAGCTGCACCAGAGGGCTACGTGCAAGCTCAAGTTGGAGCGTCCAACAGTGTGCCCTTCATTTGAGCAGAATCATGAAGAAACAGATTGCTCCTCTCAAGACAAATTCCCTGTCAGCACTCAGCTTTGAATTGGTCAGATCTGGAGGAAACACATGGCCAGACTTCCCTGTCAAACCACCACAAGCTAAGAATAATTATATCCTCGGGATATTGCTGTGGCAATAAACAATGTGTTAGCCAGCCAACCACTGTGGTTAAGCCAGTTTGTTGGAAAGCATTATGGGGTTTAAGCTTCGAAAATTTGTGGCCTGTTACTCATTTCTCTAACACAAGCTCAGCAGTCAGGCATTATTAGCATGATCTTAACAATGGTAGTGATGACAAAGACATGAGGATAAGACATGAGCACTGTTAGCCAACAATTATGATGATCAAACTTGACAACAGTAATGCTTGTAATCCCTTTAATCACAGTAACATCAGACTGTTTTTCATCCTGAAAGTAGGAGGCTATGGTGGTGTTGGGCCAGGTGTCCTGGGACTCGGAACAGGTATGATGTATGAGACAACAACTTTCTTGAATTAGTCGAAGAAAATTAAATAAAAATCACAAAAGTCTTGCTCTTATATTTCCTTTTACTTTCTCTTTTTTCAACCCAACAGGACAAGGTGGAAAGCCTCCTAAGCCAGGTAAGTTAGAAAGTATTGATAAAAGGTAGTGTATGGTAAGATAATGTAATGTTTTGCGTTGTAGGTAAATATACCATATTTTACTATAGATTAAAAAAACATGTTCAACTTCTCTCACAAAACCACATCAGTGTTTAGTTTATAGAGAACAATTGCCTATACTATATGCAGCTGTAAATCAGTCTTGTAACAAAAAGGAAACAAAATTCTTTCGGTTACTACGTGGAAAATTCCTCAGTGTTGCATACAGCTTGGCTTGGAAGGAAGGAAATATGCTATACTGGTATTGGATGTATAAAGTAGGTTAATGGATGGAATGCATTACATAAAGCGTCAGAAAAGGGAGACCTGACCTGAATCCGAGCCGTTGCTTGAGAGAAATACTCTTTTGATAGCTTTTTTTTTAACAACTTCATGTTTTGACGGTTTCAGTTTACACTGGCTGTGCATATATCTGACTGGGTGGGACCATATAGAGATTCAACCTCTCCTACACCTCTGCTGTATAAGGGAGTGATGATTGGCAGAGTGAAAACAACCATCAACGCCTGCCAAACAATGGTGCCAGAGCACTGATTAATGTTATTGTAATGTTAGACCCTTACAATGTCTGGAAACCTCTGCGTTGGAATTTAACACAGCCCTTCTCTCCGATACTGTACTGTAAATATTTTCTTTAGCCGTATTACAGTCTATGCAGCATTGGTACTTAGCAATGTTTAGCCGTCGTTTAATTCTTGTAAGCATTGCTGATAACATCTTAGCCTACCTCTATGTGTTGAGAAAGATAAGGAAACAAGCAATCGTCTTACAGTCCTGATAACACATGGAGCAGGTTACAGAAGGGTCCCCGGGGAGCGCCACAGCCCCACCCTCCAACAAGAACTACAGGAGAGCCATTATGTGAAAATGACCTAATATCAAGTATTTGATGGAAGTTGACTTTGGCTGGGATCAGTAAGGAATTGTGGCCCTGGCTTTTGCATGCAACTGGGTTGTCCCCGTACCTCACTGGTTGAATATGACTTATTTTACAGATGTTGATCTTAGAAGCACCTCCTTGAAATAAAAGCAACTTTGGTCAGGGATCTCCCAAACTATGCCAACCTCTGTATGAAAAAATATAACCCCCTAATGCAGAGAAAACAGCAAGGGGTCAGCTAAGGCTTTACAGAATTTTGAAATGAAAGACGCAACTTCAAATCACAGGGGGTTGGTCATTTGTTCTGCTTCATGGTTGTAATTATATTGAGTAATCTCTGAACGATGCTCTCCTGCAGTGGCGTCTTTCACCAATTTGCATCCTATCAGAAAATGACCGCATGAAATAATCAATATCGGATAAAAAGCATTACATGCCTTGTAATTCTTGACTTTTTATTATTTTAAAAAATCCTAATATGAAGCAGTCAAGGCTATCACAAAAGCAAGTTCTGAACCATTTAGTTAGAGTTTTGCTTTTGCCGCAGAAAACATGCCAGGAGAAGTTTTATGACACCGGCATGCAAAACAACATTAAGTCTTGTTATAAAACTTGAATGCATAAGGTAGTAATCTGTTTCTCAGGGGAAACAAATGCCAACAATAACTGATTGATCTCTCTCTCTCTCACACACACACACATACACATTAAGAGAGCTGCCGTTTACCCTTCATATAAGCCAAGCGGTGACATTGCATTCCACAGATACGCACCTTGCCTGGCCAGTAATGGAGAACAGCAGCTGGCTTTGTGAGTAGCGTGACTGCAGTGAATTGTGGTGTAGCTCATGCAAGACCTTGTAAATGTTAGACTAATTGTGAAGTCTGTCAGCATCCAGCTTTGACAAAACACTGAAAGTTTGAAGGAGGAACTTTCTTCTTATAAACAGCTGTTGGACAGTGTTTTCTTTCTCGTATCGCTTCAAGCAAAGGTGGACTCGATCTTCATGGAGTGATTACAAATTTGGCTTTTGTAGGCTCGCCGCTTGTCACTCTTAAGCAGTGTAAAAGCTGTAAACAAGAAACACATTACATGTAACTGCTTTCTCTGTTGATGTGGTTTTAAAGTACCATTAAAGCCGTCTGTTTTAGGTTGAGAAAGGATGTGTCTGGGTGGGATGTGTGAAGTATGTGTCCAAGGTTAACTCGCAGGTCATTTGCAGTGCTTGTGGTTGCCACTTGCTCTGCGTGCCAAGATAAATGAACCATCTCTCAATACTCAATATAGTCATGAGCATAACTTGGCAGTCAGCTCTTTATCAGTGTCCAGGAAGCATATAAAAGGTGGTGCAGATGGAGGTGTGTGGAAGTTAATAAAAGCAACCAGGTGGGTTGGCTGGAGTTTCCTGGGAATAAGTATTATCAAGTAAAGGCCCTGCTTGTTCGAACAATTTTTCAAATGATACTTCCTCTGTTGCTCTTAGTTCAAATTTGAGGGTAGACAGTTAATCACGGAAACAAGGAGTCGGCTGTTAGTCAAAATTAACTCATCAAGTTGACCGGCAATGATGCTGTGCATGACCCCTCATGACGCTTGAGTTCCATCTATGACCAGCAAGCCAAAATAAAGAATCAAACTGACAATGTTAATGTGATAATAACCTACTCAGCCTCACATTGTGATGCAATACAACTCAACAGCACTCCCTTATTAAGGTGGGATTGAATGCGGTGCTGTTGCTAGACTGTATGAGTTAAGAATATCCAATGAGCTGGCAGCTGGATGTATATAGTCATCACTTCTTATTGAATCTTTATTTTGTGTCCTCACTGCCACCTAATAAATAAAATAATGAGAAGTAATGAAAAAAATAGGGTGTGTGTTTCAAGTAATTATGTTTGAGATAAAAATCGTGCTTGGAAAACCTTCAATACAAATATAATTTGAGATGATTCATTACACTGGTCAGTGTAGCAACATGTCTCTGGGATTTGTTATGACACAGCTCTAACATTTTGGATCTAATGATCTCTGTGACAACAGGCCAACCTGCAGTACAGCAGAGATTTGGCCAACACTTCAACTCCAATTTGAAGCTGGACTCGCTTTCTGGCTGTTTCTCGAAATACTGCTTATATCTGGTTACCGAGAAAATTGTTAATTCACCACCCACCGAGTCATTTTAAAGTAGAATTTAATATAATATGTATCTGTCTGCAATTGAAACCTCACTCATCTATACAACTTATCTTCTGGTCCATCTGCAGACCTGTCTGGTCCATATTAAATTAAAGAGAGGTCGCATCAGGGTCAACATTTAAAGAAGCAGTAAGAGTATTTGACTGCTTCATAACAGGAAGATAAAAACAAATCAGACGAATGAAATGAAAAGATAGATTGGAAATGGGAGGACAGAAGAGCCGGAGTGAGGCAAAAGAAACGGAAAGCACCAATAAATCTCGAACACACTGACGACTGTTTGTCACAGGCACTCACCTCCATTAAAAAAACACATCCTGTTTTGTACACATTGATTCATGCAACACACATGCGTAGAGGGTTTTGCTGAAAGACGAGACTGATGGATTGAGGTGAGGATGAAAGTGTTTAGCTAAAAGAAGATGAGCTTGGAGGAGGTTCAGCCTCCTGGAGCACACATGCTTTTCATTACCAGCTCAGACCTGTCTAGGTCTTTGAGCTGTCAGAGACCGAGAGCATCTGCATGTGAATGTGCATGACCAAAGAGTGTATGTAAATTTGTTTATGGTCTTCATATGTGTGTAATTATAAGTCCATGTGGGAAAAAGCACACACACACACAACAAAAATAATGACTGTGTGTCTTCTTCAGACGATATACTTGTTTAGACTATGTGAACCACGGTAATTTCCTCTTTTATTGCACACTGATGTTTCCTCATCCTCCCCTCAGTCTGTTTTACACCGGGTCTCTGTGTCAAGTTTTCAGTATTTTGGAACCTTTAATGTCTGCCAACGAGACCTTTTATAACACAATCACAACACCGCTCTCACTAGACTCAACCCACCTGATGTAAACAGAACCAGCACAGCTTATTTGTTAACACTGGGAGGACCTGTTGCCCCAGAAGTGACTCGTCTTGTTTTGTGTCATCATTTTTCTGTAATCACACAAAGTTATCTTGTAAATTAGAGTTTTATTTGCATTAGGCAGATAAGATCAGGGCTCAGTGATTTTTAATTTTCACCTCATCATTCAAACATGTGACTGGTTACAGTTTTCCAGCTCCCTGGCCTCAAACCAGCTTGTTTTCCGTTATGTTTTCTTGGGTTTTCTCTAGTTACCACCATTGTAATTGTTTCCCTTCTTCACAGTGTTAGTTGATGAGCCATCCCATATTCTCCCAACCTCTCCCATCTTGGGTTTGCCAGAAGGTCTGGAGCATGGACCACCATACTTGTCCATCTGGCTGCCTGGTCTGTTTATGTAGTGATGAGGAAATTCCTTGCCCTTATTTCCTCAGGAGTCCACGAAGATAGATCACCAGTTAAACCACCTTGTTGCAATCATTGGTGGGAGTGGACCAGAGTCTGTTAGATTAGGAAGTCTGTTCTGGGGATATGTTGGTCTATGGGGAACAAAAATGCTACCTTTGTACTTTAGCAGAGGCGTTACAACATCTTTATCTTGATATGTGACTTTATTACACCTGTCCACTCCTGGTTTAATCCAGGCAATGTCTGGTGCTTGATTCGGTTGAACTTGAGACTTAGGCAAAGTGTAAATCAGAAAACTTTTTGCGTTGTATTTTGATGCAGCTTGGAGCAATATTTTTAAAACTACTTACTGGTTTTGATGGTTTGCACAAAGGTGTATTTAAGTAAGTACATGGTTATATATTTCCTCCTTTTTTTAGTAAATCTTGCATTCCCATGAAGGTTTCAGTCACTGGCATTATCTCAGCTCTGAGAAATGTTTCTGGTTTGTGGATTTCTCAACACTTATCCAGAGTCATTGTTGGACTAAATGACTTGTGAAGATGAATTGATTTTAAATGAGTTCAGCCTTGGCTTTTAAGGACTTATAGGTATCCTGATGTGTAGCAATACCTCCACATACATGTAATGTACAATTTAGTAAACAGCTGTCCCGTGTCAGTGATGCAATTAATCTATCTTACTTGTTTCCTTTGTAGAGCATCCCATGTGTTTGTCATGGTGAAATGCTTCACATGGCTGCTCAGTGATCATAGCTTTTGTAATGACAGGGGAACTTGGAAACTCAATAAGTCTAACGTCAGCGCTCCAACGTGCATGTTTTGAGTCGAGTCAGCCTTAGGAAAACTACTCTCTTTCCTCAACCCTGAGTTGTCAGAAAAGTATTCAGTGGAATGGCAGATGCATATGTGAACCATCTGGAAAAGGAAACACACTTGGCCAACTTTACATACCATGGCCACCAGCTGTGTTTGTAGACTCGATCTTGCCCATGCATCATTTCCAAAATGCAACTTAACAAGACATAAAATGCACCAATTAAATATTAGCAGCTTTTAAAAGTTGGATTCTTTCAGTGCATTTGTACTTTTTCGTTTCACAGTCGACTTTAATCCAGGCAATGTCTTTCTTTCTTATCTGCATGCCTTTACAGTACATGCTTTGATTTTGCGTGCCAAGCTAAAATAGGCCATGGTATGAGCCCTGGGTTAAGGATACTCTTTGAACATCTTCAGGGGCTCAGTGTTGGCAGAGAAACAGTGATGTTCTTTTGGAGGTTTTAGAGAAGAATAGCCGGGGCTCTCGGCTCTCACAGAAACTGGAGAAAAGCAGAGCTGTTTGCTTGACTTGTAAGCTTATAGCATAGCATGTTCTGCTCCGTATGACTTGAAGTTTAAACAATGACATCAAAAAACTCAGTGGACATGGTTTTAGGCATAATGTACCAATTAGCATAGTTTGAAATAAGGGACAACTGTATTGGTCTTTGCACAGATGTGTTTGATGTAATGCATGTGTGTGTATGCGTAGAGGTGAGAGACTTAAGAGCACCCAGGCTGGTGAGGTCAGGCACCCAGGGACGTCACTTGGCAAAGCAGGTCAATTTGGCACTGGGGCAGTGCCTGTGATCCACAGGACATGTAATAGTGACTTTTACAGTTACAGTTAATTTGGAACCATTTGTAAGACTCGCTCAAAGCCTCATGATGCGTGTGTTCTGTTGCCCAACAGCGTGGGCCAAAGTTGCTTCATCAGTCTAAGTGCTGACCACATAATGAAACAGCACACATTCTCCCTTTCAGACGTCCCCCCATAAAACTCAAAAGTGACCACCCATATCAGCAATGTCTCACGACACTCACTCAACAGTTTGGATGTCGAGTTACATTTCACAGATTTTGACCTGGATGCTGACCAGAAGGCGAGGATTTTAGAGAATGAGGCAACCCTAGACCCTGTCTCTGTTTGTCTGTAGGAGCCCTGGCAGGAGTGCGTTTAGGGTCATCTGGCAGAGATGGAGACTGAGTCTTTGGGACCTTTCATTGATAGTGTCAATGACTCCATGGAAAAGGAAAGCAAAAACAATAAAGGGCCTGACGCCAAAGTTGGCTGGTTCACACCAGCCAGAGAGAGACAAAGTTTGTGTGCGCTGGTGTGACTGTGTGAATGCTTAATTAGTTCAACGTGTGTCCAGTCCTGCTTCTCACAGTTCGATGCCTCTGACTGACAGCAAAGACAACCTGGAAGTGACATGGAGCAAGTGGAGGTCACAGGAAAGGAAGGGAAGGAGGCAGTGAGGGGAGCTCCAGTGTGTCCACTTGTCTCACGCGATCTGGAACCATTACAGCGCCCCGCATTATTATGCTTTCATCTAGCTCGTCCTGCGTCAACTTGTAAGAATGCAATCTATCTGCTAACTTGGAAGTGGAACGGTGTGATAATTTGATGCTGATAAATTCTGGTGTCACGACTGTGAAGGACATAATGATGGGCTTAGCTTTCAAAGTGGAAATTTTTATGGGACCACGGCCGAAGAACAGACCTTGCCTGTCAATCAAGTAATATGCAGATTCTCTGAGGGCCTTCTGGCGAGACGTTGGAGATGAAGTTATCATGAAAATTTTCCATGACATTTGAGAAAATTAGAAGATTTTCGTTGCCACAGCACGCTTCCTTGCTTCTTAAAATGTGTCTTTTCTCTGTTTGCATTAGCCCTTTGATTTTGTGTAATAGGACCTTGTGATGTTTTTGTGGATTGGCTGGAGTTTCAAGCCATATTAAAAAGAAATATTAGATGTCAACAATCCTCCTCCCTTTTCAATAAACAAACATTTGTTCTTAGATTACTTCCTTGATTAAAAATTACCTAAAACAAAGAAAACAGTGAGAAATAAATCCCAAGACATTCCTGGACATTCCAGACCTCCAGCTCCAAAGTCTTCACTCTGTGCGTCTGCCGACAGTTGCCGTGGACCCGAGCCATGAAATTCCTTGCTCTCTTAAATTAAACCCTTCAACAGGCCCAGCTGGATCGCAAAGTCAGGAGAAGAAGAGTGGGGGAGGAAAAGGGAGATGGAAAGAAGCGAGAAAATCCATCTTTCATTGCTCACGTTTGGCTTCCTCTGGTTACTGCTATTAACACCTCATGTCTGGTCAGCTCAACTTCTTAGACACCAGTTGGAGAGGAAGGAGAATAAGATGCAGAACTAGAGAGAAGAGAGTAAGAGCAAGGGTCTGTGATCAGAAGACAATGTTTTGATTAATGTCCCTTGTATTTCTCTGGTCCTGAAACACAGGATTACCTTACTCAACCCCAACGGAGCTTGAGCAGGACGGTTGGGTTGATTTTCAGATTGAAAGCAGATATTTCTGTTCCCCCCCCTGGCTCATATTCATCACTTGAATTTGACCCAAGATTGAGAACATGACTGGTGACTGCGAAAACTAGCCACGCTGTCTGGCCAGTTTTACTGCAACATCAGCTTCCAGTAGGAGTACTATTATGCACCGTAACAGAGGACCGCAGGAGGCAGGATTTGGCCTGTCTGTCAGTGCATTTCCATCCCAATAAAAACAAGACTCCTTTGCCTCTGAAGGACAAGATTTGTATTTAATTGCAGATTCACTTGCAATCGCGATGCTCCGCCGTGCAAATGTCACATTTTATCTCGACAACCTGCTGGTGCACCTGCTATGGCGCAGCTGTTAAAGCTGGAGCTCTTCTTTCCTGAATGGAAACTGGCTGGTAAACCATGTTCCTCTCACTTTTTTTTGTAAATTTAAATGGAGGAAACTTTGATGCATTGCAGGCCGCCTCCACTAGCCATCCAGTTCCTTTGGCCTCCAGTTCTCCCTCCTGTGTAGTATTGAGTTTCTGTCCCTTCCATCCACGATACACAGCGCTGACCTTTTGTAGAGTTGATTTGTCCAAAGTCCAGAGGCAGTTGGTTTCAAGTGGTCTCCAGGGCTTCCCATTATGCCTTGAGGGTCACTGAGAAAATAAGCCGCTACATTAGTGCGCAGAAATCCCTCAGCTTGTCAGCAATCAGCTAAATACTGGGAGCAGCACCCAAGAAAAGCTGTGATTTGATATCAGGGTCACGGTGCAGACTTTCCATGTGTGTGGTTCATGACAACAAACAACATCGGTGTCGACTTCCAGTAATGTGTGAGCTAAGACAGGTCCACTAGTGTGAGCTGACGTCCTGTAACAATAGTCGTCCAAAAAAAGCTTGCTTGTTTGAGCTGACAGCATCAGGTATGGCTAAACAGAGAGCTTTTGGACCTTCCATCTCACAAAATGGACAATTGCTGGTAAGATGCCAAACAGAAAGTGATCCAGATTTGTTAACAGGTCCTCTCACTCTGACCCTGAACGTTCATAACCTCAGGGGTGGTATCTTTTACTTAAGATCTTGGGATTTCTCCTCTGCCTAGTAGTGATGTCAGGACTACATTGAATAAAGATCCTTTTCTCTTCTACTTTGTCTAAACTATTTAACAGCCTAAACCTGCGTTCATGGTCACACACAGAGCCGCACAACTTCTCCGACCAACTTCTGTAAGTCTGCATTCTGTCTCCTATTGGCCTCAAATATTTAACTCAACGTGGCAGGTGCTGGTTGGCCCTGAGCGCTACTGCCAAAAGCAAGGCCGGGTCGTGCATGTGTGAGTACAGGTGGGCCGGTTGATGGATGAGAAAGCTCAGCATCTCCACGGTACGGTCTGCCTTCTTTTTTTCTCTCTTCGTGTATTTCGTCCAGCGACCTAATCTTTGCTGCATACTTTCAACACTCACACTGACAGGCAAATTCACCTCAGACTGTCAGAAGAGACGTTCTGTAATCTGTAGGCTGAACCAGACAGTATCGTCTTAAAGCAAGATTTCACGCCAGACTAGGAAATCTTAAGGGTTTTAAGTATCAACAATGTTCCAAATGTCCATTAATTATGTTGCATTACTGTCAGTCCTTTAACGCTGTAATGGTATGTGGAGCTCACTTATAAAAATGAGATAAATGAGGGTTGTCAGGGCGAGTGACACTGGGGAAAAGAAAAGCCCCAGTCCACTCTGATTTATACAACAATTGATTATGGTTGTTATTACTTCGAGGTGTGCTTGGAGATGGTTGTGCAATCCAGCTGAAAGCTTTGAAGAAGATGGATTAATGCAAGGATGCTTAGCCGAGCGTCTGAGCTCGCATTGCATGCTCAGTCTGTTTGCCAAGCTCTTGGCAAGGCCAGTGCCCACATTTGTTTTGACTAGATCATGAAACTCCACACTTTCATATTCCTCTCTGTATCTCCCAGCACATTCCTCCGCCTCTTCGTCACTATCATTACCTGCTGGACTCCAAAGCTTTCACCTCGACTCTGATCAGTCCGTCTTTCTCTCTCCTCCCTGTGTTCGGCTTGTTTCCCATGCTTAGTTGCTCTCACCCCAGACGTTTTGGCTTATAAGAATGGATGAAAACAAGTTTCTCAGCGGACAAGCCTGCTGGAAGGAATCAGATTTCTTCTTGTAGCAAAAACAGTCATTACTCCTGCATGTTTGTGTCTGACTGGGGAGCTTGCTGAACTCATAGCTTCTTTTAAGACAACTCTAAGAAATGAAAGTCAGTATCATGCTCTCCATTTGATGTGAAGTAATCCCTTAAAACTTTAAACACTATCTGGAGATACTAATGTTCAACTTTGGTATCTAAAACTGAACACTATCCAACTTTTTACTCGCTGTATCTTTTTACTGGATAAAGATATGGCACTTGTATCCTAACATGCTTTATTTACTGCTATTTCTTTTTAAAACACCTGTTATTAGGAGGGCTGCACTTTCCTTTTTTGGGCTTCAAACTGAAAGGATGTTTTAGTTCTTGTATCATAAGCAGCTGTGGTCTTTGTTACCCACGTCCTTCGCCTTGTTCCACAAGTTTTTCCTTTTCTCTATCATCTCCCAGCAAGTTTTTGTTCCTGTCAGCAAGCAGGAACCCAAGCTGGGTTATAACTTTATTCATGGATCATTTCAAGCCAAATGACTTTGAAGCTCATGGATAGGTTTGGGGTTTTTGTATCAGAAAGAACTAACAGCTCCCTCCAGTGTTGAGAACAAAGCATAACCAGAGGGTCAGATCTATTCCAGGTTTAGTCTGTCATTTTTTCCTTCACAACTCAACTGCCTGATTTTATTTCTTATCCAGGTTATGGCAATATAGGTCTTGGTGGAGGAGGTCTTGGAGGAGGAGGTCTTGGAGGTGGTGGCTTGGGAGTTGGTGGCCATGGCGGCGGTGAGTACCTGAAAATGGATCAGATTTGTTTGCCTGTGTAAGCATACAGAGGGTGTAACTTTCAGTTGACTGTGGGATAAAACACAATGTCAAACTATTATCATAACATCATTTACCAACACACTCTCACCTGCTCATCTTGGTTTCCTTTAGGTGGTTACGGAGGATATGGAGGAGTAGGCGCAGGGGGCTTTTTCCCAGGTGGCGTTGGGCAGAAGGCTGCAAAAAGAGGTACACCAGATGGATAGAAATAAAACATCAGTCATGAATTTGAATGCTGACGTAGTTTTAGTTCATTATGTCATTGTAATTAAAACTTAAAATAGATTTGAGTGGTAAAACTTTAGGAGCACTTATCTGAGCGCATCTCCTAAAAAGGTGATTTCTGAGTCAAGGAGGGGAATTATCAATTAAATGGAGCATAAACGAGAACAGAGAGGACTCTGATGTTGATGAGGCCTTTAAAAATACACATTAAACTTGACCATACACGAAAAATTATGCCTTTTCTTTGTCCTGGTTTGGTGTAACTGGGCATAGTTTGAATACAACCTTTAAAGAGAAGAAAAAAGTTGGTATGGTGAAAACTCTTGGACTCTGGTCTGGTTTCTGGTTTCTTCAAGGTTTGTACTAAAAGATCTCTGCAGGTGGAATTCCTGTAATGAGCCATTTGGAATGACGTGTTTCCTCTTTTTGTTAATTGAGTTTTTCTGTTTTATTGCAAACTCTATTTTATTGCCAACAGGTACTCAATCAGACTTTGCTCACTATGAATTCACCATAGTGGTGTCTCTGCTTATCTTCATTCAACAGGGTTTATGCTTCATGCGAGTGTGTTTTGTCTCTTATACAGAGCCCAGCATAAGTTAGTACGCCCCCTATTAAAAGTAATGTATTACTCAATATCTAGATGAGCAAAAGTACAATTTCCAAAGTAGTGACAAAGCTGAGTTTGACATAACATTTTACTTACCGTAGGATGAAAATAAGAGTGACATGGTAACTAAAATTTAGCTTTGCTCCCAGAACTTTGATTGGCGTGTACTCATTTGCATCCTGATTTTAAACTGAAAAAAATACTTAAACTGCAACTTAAAAAATTCTGGTTTGCAATCAATGGTATTTTGTTGTATAGTCTGACATAGAAAATGTTGATTTTGAAAGGAAACTAAAGGTTCCCTGACAACTCTAAAGCGGTGTACTCATTTATACTGAGCCCTATATGCCTGCAGCACACTGTCACTCAGTCAAGGCCGCTCAGTTGTTAATCCTTGGTATATATATTTCACATAAATGTCCTATATGACTAAATACGGATAAAATATTGTTATCCTCAATGTGCAGGAGGTCTTCTGCGGCCACATGGAGGTGAGCAGGTTTTTGGCCTGATAACAGACTACTGTTAAAATCCAAACTTTGCTGAATTCTGACACAAAGCTTCTTGGAACTGCGGTAGATTTGCATGCTCACATGTTTCAGAAAAGCCAAAATGAATGTTTTGCATTACTGCAGACTGAATGAAAAACACTCTGTTGCAAACACATGTTCCTGTTTTCATTCTACCTGCAAATTTGGACACTTTGTTCTTCAGAGGAGCCCAGCATGACCTGAAAGTTTGTTTTCTCTGTGTGCACATGAGTTCCTTTACGACTGAGCTGGCTGATTAACTACCAACTCTGGCCGGCCCAATCATGGTCAGAGCTGGACAATAACAAAAAGCTTGTTTGGCAAAGACAAAACTGTTGTCCCCAGAAACTGCCTGTAATCTTTTTATGACACTCAGGAAAAAAAAATGATTACTTCCATTTTAACGGAACTGATAAATCAAAACATTCACGCCAAACTTTTCCTCACCAGATCTTCACAGGCCAAATACTTACAAGCAGTGCGCAATGTCTGTCCAGTCAACGTGTGGGGATTTCAAGATTAAAGTATGTAGAGTTTAAACAAATAAACCAATGTGTTTTATACTGCTGCCAAGCTCCTTTACAAGTGAACCTGACAGCTCATTTCCTGCATAAGGGGATAGCCAAAGAAATGAGGTACTGGATGAGGCAAGGCGAATGTTGTGCATGCTGACTGCCTCTCCTGATCAGGTTAAAAGTCCACGGTATTATTGTTAATGATGGGGTGATGACAGACTTTTTAAGGCAGCGTAGGATGCTCTCACTACCAACGGGCAGTCAGAGGATCTTAGTCCCTGCAGATGAGGTCAAGTTCATCACCAGTTACTTCTCCTCTTCAGTATCTGAGGGCCCTCTAGTGGTTATTGCAAATACAATTGTAGAATAATTGTTTAACAAGGTTTTCACTTAAATGTTCGCAATGAAATCTTCAAATTCAACTTCACAGAGGGTAAAATTAAACCAAAAACTGTATCTTTCATATGATATTTTAATGTCTGTATGTTATGTTCACAAACAGGGACTGGAGTAGCTCTGCCGGGGGCTGGAGGAGTTCCTGGAGGCACAGGAACTGGAGCTGCAGTGCCTGCTGGAGGTAAGACAAACATATTACAAACTTTCAAGTCTTGTGTATTCTCCCTTGGAGGCAAGAATCACACCAACAGTTGTTTGGACTGCATGTTTGGATGAGAAAGATATGCATGTTTTAACACTGTATATTTGTGTGATGAGTCAAGTAACAGAGTTTCTTTCTTCAGCACCTGTTATTCCTCAGACTGGCCTTCCAGGAGGGGCCGGTCCTGGAGCTGGAAAGAAAGCAGCCAAAGTGCCAGGTTTTGTAGACTCAACAATCATCTCACATGGCTGAATGCAGGCTGGATGCAGATCAACAGACAGCAGAGCTGTAGCAGATTCCTTTTCCATTGCATGTGGCATGGGTTCAGTGTCTGGAAATTATTTGTAACATTTTGCTAATTATTGGCCAAATCAAGATGTTTAACAAACTTTGATTCTGCGCTTATTATGTTGGCCCCCCTTCATGTTGGATTATAAACCTTGTGTTAAATCAGCTTTTAGTGAGATAATTATGCACAGACTGAAATCTTGCTTGCAGTACAGAAAAAAAATCAAGGTGTTGTTTTATCAGAAAAGCTGATACCGTTGGCTCTAGGGACTATGAAAAATGATTAAAAGAAAATAATTAATCACATACCCATCTCAAGATGTGTGTGTTTACTAACACCAATACCTTTTTTTTTAAGTTTTAATTTTTTTAAAGTGAGATCATGACAAAACTATTAAACATAAATCTAATATTATGTTTACAGTATTTCACTGATTTTAATGAAAGATGAAAAGATATCTTAAAAAACATCAGCAGACTCCAGCCTGGTTTTGCTGCATCCTGTCTTACTCTTTTTGTCATCATATTTAGTTTTAATCATGTGGAGGCCGATAGTTATCCTGGTCAGCTTTGTCGAGGATACTTCAAAAATCTAAAAACTACGGCTTGTGCTTTTTTTTAATGTGGATGCAAAAGCAGAATAATAATCTCTCACTGACTGTGGCAGGTGTGGGTGTGCCTGGACTTTACCAAGGTGGACTGGTCCCTGGGAAAGGTTTGTTATGTTCATATTTTAAAAGGGATACTTTTATATAAGAGTTGTATGCAGACTTACAGTAATGTTTTTATATATAAAGTATATGCTTACTATTGCCCCCTTTAGGTTTTGGTGGGCGTGGAGTCCTCCCTGGGGTTGCCACTGGTAACGGCCTGAACCCCAAATCAAGTAAGATTTACTTTAACTCACAAGAATAGAATTTCTTTCTTTTATGAAATGTTGCTTGAGCTGATTTTAATTGGGCACTTGAATTTTCATTGTTTTACAATGAGATATAGAAACAAATAGATGGTTAAAGGGAGTTTTAGGAGTTTTTTGGACTGTGTCTGGTATCCTATCATGCAGTAAAGTGAGAGAAGCTCACTTACTCTATTAAAACTCTGAAAACATCCAAAGTCAGCCAAAAAGATATCAAGATGGGAGTAAAATTTTAGAGTCGTCTGTCCGGGGAAGGGGTCAAAAATCATTCAGGACTCGGGAATCAGCGGCTGTTAGTTCACAGCAGGGTCTGGTTTTATCAGGGGTTCAGATGAAGACACTGGGAGCAGAGAATCCTTGAGAAGGGCTGACCTCCTCAGAGTTTGAGGTCTGAGTTATTTTTATTTTGATGTAACTACAAAATGATTTTTTACTTATTGGATTGTATGGTGTATTTTCATTACAGTTGCTGGGGGAGGTGGTGGTGGTCAAGTACCAGGTAAACTACCTTTGTGATATTTTAGACTCATAAACAAAGACATCTTTATCATTAAGTACGACTGATATGAGATGGTTAAGTTTGAAATCCTCTCCTGCAGGAGGGCGTGGGTATGGTGGACCAATGCAGCCAGGAGTGTTTCATGGATACCCACTAAAATCCCCCAAAGTGCAAGGTGTGACCTGAATCTTTACAGCCTTCTTTTTGTGTGACATTGACATTTTATATTACTTATGTCTATACTGTATATCAAACTTGTGTCTCTTTTTTTGGACAGATTTCAAGTTTATAGAGGTATTCATCAAACTGTCTTTGTTTCATTTCTCTGTAGGTGGCTATGGAGCAAAACCTGGTGGTGGAAAACTTCCTTTTGGTAAAAGAAAAATATATATTTTTTTAAATATTTTGTTTAATTGTAATGATGGTATAAATCACAATGACTTGCATGTCTTGTGTTTCAGCTTATGGTGGTTTTGGTACTGGTGGCGGTGGACTTCCAGGAGGACAGGCTGGTCCTGGGGCAAGGCCTGGTTATCCGTTTGGAACTGGTGTGTGTGTGTGTGTGTGTGTGTTTTTTTTTATCTCTTTATGGAGGAGACAGGAAATGTTTGATGACATTTATATTTTTCTCTCTGCAGGAGTGGGCCCTGGAGGCATCTCACCTGCTCAGGCCAAAGCTGCCAAATATGGTATCAAACCAAGAAAATGAGTTCTGTTCAAGAAGAACTTTAGACCCTTACATTTTAGCAGAATGTTTAGATTTTTAAATCAATTTTTTATGCTCTTAGCTGCAGGCTTGGGTGGTGCTGGAGGTGTACCTGGCCTGGGAGGTGTTGGAGGAGTTGGAGGAGTTGGAGGAGTTGGTGGAGTTGGTGGAGTTGGAGGAGTTGGTGGATTGTATCCAGGGCAGGTGCCAGGAGGTAAGTTATCTTGCTTGCAATCAAAGATATTGGCGGTTCTCAGATTCACTCGCTGGTCTCAAAGAAACAAATTTATGTTGTTGTGCTCATCCCCATGTTGTGTCTCTGTCCTGCTGAACTATAAATGATAACATTTGATTTCTGTCTTGAATATTTAATTGCAGGATATGGAGCTGCGTCCAAGGCAGCTAAATATGGTGAGGACTCCCATGGTTTTGTGTGAGATTAGAGCAATGTCAAACCCTTATTGTCACACTTTTTTCACTTTCCTCTGTTCTGCTTCCTGGACAGGGGTCCCTGGTCTTGTACCAGGTGGGGTACCCGGTGGTGTCCCAGGTGGGGTACCTGGTGTTGTACCAGGTGGGGTACCCGGCTTTGTCCCAGGAGGGGTACCCGGCTTTGTCCCAGGAGGGGTACCTGGCGGTGTCCCAGGAGGGGTACCCGGTGTTGTCCCAGGAGGGGTACCTGGTGTTGTACCAGGATATCAAAAAGCTGCTAAATATGGTAGGATATCTATAATTTATGATCATGGCGTTACAATTACAAAATACTTACTCATTCTGGGTTACCTATACTCGCTGTATTTAAGTATTGTTTTTCTGTCCTTTGGAAACATGCTCTGCAGGACTGGGAGGCGCAGGAGGACAGTTAGGAGCCGGAGGATATGGAGGAACAGGAGGACAGTTAGGAGCCGGAGGATATGGAGGAACAGGAGGACAGTTAGGAGCTGGAGGATTGGGAGGAACAGGAGGACAGCTGGGAACTGGAGGTGTGGGGGGAGGTTATTCTGCAGCTGCCAAAGCTGCTAAATACGGTATGAAGTTTTGTTTTATTGAGTTTTCTTAATCCTTGCGGAAAAACTTTTTGAACTCTATCTTGTTGCCTATCACAAATCTGTACAGCAGATGTACAGTGGGATCATAATGGCATAAGCCGATCTGAAACTAAAATTCATTCTATTTACTAAATAAATGGATCCTTTTTTTAACTGTATTTTCATAAAGCAGTATCAACACATAAATCTTGTTATACTGTCTCACTAACAGCTCAAGAGAGTCTTATATTATACTAAAGCGGTTGTACCATTGCCTCGCCATTCTCCAGATAAAGCAGTTAACAAATACAAACATCTATCTTGGCATGCACTTGAACTGGTAAAATCAGCAACCAAAGAAATAAAATTAAGGCTAAACAATGACTAGAATTACTCAAGCAACCTCACCCCCTTCAATAAGACATTTAGGCCAACAACAGGCTGAAATTGTGACTCTATCCTGGTAAATTTACAAATATTATTACATATTATTACATCTTCATTTTTTAAATTCAGATATCTGCTTTTTTCCTCATAAATTTATTATTTGCTCAATTTTTGTCTCCACAGGAGTAGGGGGACTAGGGGGCACAGGAGGATTGGGAGGAGCTGGAGGATTGGGAGGGACAGGAGGATTTGGAGGCACAGGAGGATTGGGGGGAACTGGAGGACTGGGAGGAGCTGGAGGACTTGGAGGAGCCGGATACTCTGCTGCTGCCAAAGCTGCTAAATATGGTAACTTTGATTTCCTTTAACAAAATCCGAGATTTTGTTCGAGTGAAAATACATGAGGCAGGGAGTACCAAAAACCAGAACACGAAAGGTGCTCACATAAGTGGGAAAGTAACAGTGATGTGGCATACATATATATTTATTATAATACCAGATAAAACTTAAGGCTCACTGTGAGAAGAGGGGTGGAATAAGTTGTGTAAAATATAGCAACTTTAAGATCTGCGTAAAGAAAAGTGAATCCAACACATGCTGACTCCTTTCACTGTTCTTTACAGATTGGTTAAATACTCATGTGAAACCGTACCAACTTATTCTTCTGTATGTTTGTGTTTTCTTCAGGAGCAGGAGGGGTTGGAGGGACAGGTCTTGGGGGTGCAGGACTTGGAGGTGCAGGACTTGGAGGTGCAGGTCTTGGGGGTGCAGGAGGAGTAGGACTCGGGGGCACAGGACTGGGAGCAGCAGGAGGATTGGGAGGTGGAGGATATTCTGCTGCTGCCAAAGCTGCTAAATATGGTGACTGGAATCAGATCTCAATAGATCAAAATCATTGAGTCATACAAAGTGTTTTAAATGAGCACACATGGTTATAGGATTCATTTTTGTATTAAAGGTCCAGGTGGTGCAGGCGTAATCCCAGGTGGTGGAGGGGTAATCCCAGGTGGTGGAGGGGTAATCCCAGGTGGTGGAGGGGTCGTCCCGGGTGGTGGAAGAGTCCCATTTTTACCAGGATATGGATGTAAATATACCTACAGACTTTTGATTTCCAAAATCCAACAAAGTGTTAATTATTTCTATAATCACTTTATTTAAACGTTTCTTTTTTTTTCTTGCATGTTATATTACAGCTTTGGCAGCTGGTGCTAAACCTCCTAAATATGGTGAGACTACTTGAACTGTTTGATGAGAGACCATGTCATAAACTGAAATTCCTTACATATATAGTTAATGTACCTCCAAATATGCATGGACAGTTTACTGCTGCGCATTTGTAATCTTTAATTTCTTTAACAGAGCATTTATTTTTACTTTCATAAGGTGGACTAGGAACAGGCCTGGGAGGAGCTGGAGTTCTAGGGGGAGGAGGACAGGTGCTTCCTGGTGGTGTTGGAGGCTATGGTGGTAAGTTTTAAAACCGATATCATGTTGGTGATATTAGTTGAACAATGTTGATAAGAGTTGCCATGAGCTTATTGTCCTCCATGATATTGTATCAGACAAACTCTCAGTCTCAAACAATGTGTTGACAGGTTATGGAGCTGGTGCTGGTGTCAAACCTCTTAAATATGGTGAGAAGTTTTCATTCAGTAGCATCTAATTCTCCTTTTGTCTTTATTTTGTCAGTTATCGGTTAAACTTTAAGCGTCTTCAGGATTTCTGGAGTATAGATTATGAGTGAAGGAAAAAGATGCTAATGTTGTAGAGTTCATCCAGTCATGTGGGCCGTTTTAGAGGATGATGAAGGCTACAAGGTTTTGACTAGGATAAGAATGTATTAGATGAACAGGAGTGCATAGTTTAGTATTAGGAGCATGTCTTCAACGTAACATGCTTGTTGCAGTTAAATTCCAACATTTTACTAGACTTTGTTGACAGAAAACTATGTATGTATGACACACCTGCTCTTCTTTAGGAGCCGGGGCAGGGTTAGGAGCTGGAGGACTGGGAGGGACTGGGTTAGGAGGTGGAGGACTGGGAGGGACCGGGTTAGGAACTGGAGGACTTGGAGGGGCTGGAGGACTTCCAGGTGGAGGTGGACAATACTCTGCTGCTGCAAAAGCTGCCAAATATGGTAAAAAAGAACCCTTATTTTGCTTTATTATTCAGCTTTAAATACCCTCAAGTGTCTTTTCCTATTATATCTTTCCTCTCATTTGATCTACTTTGAACTGATGAAGTGCGACCTGCTCTGTTTTTCTTCATAAGGAGTTGCAGGAGGAGCAGGAGTAGGGTTGGGAACTGGAGGACTAGGAGGCACTGGAGTGGCTGGAGGACTCCCAGGTGTTGGCCCTGGAGGTGGTCAATACTCTGCTGCTGCAAAAGCTGCCAAATACGGTACAGTAAAGGATCTCTCCATTTTTCAAAAACACAAATCTATTTACTCAGTGAGCTCTTTGACGTTGTCTGTATTATGTAATAATGCAAACTGCTCCCTTTCTCTTCAATAGGAGTTGCAGGAGGAGCTGGAGTAGGGTTAGGAGCTGGAGGACTAGGAGGAACAGGAATACTTCCTGGTGTAGGCACTGGAGGTGTACAGTACTCTGCTGCTGCAAAAGCTGCTAAATATGGTAAAAAGAACAAGCATACACATCTTTTTTGTTTGTTTTTACCCTCTATTGAACTCTACTTTGTTAAAGTTCAATTTAGACTTTTTAATGTGAGGTTTTTGCACCACTGACACGACTCGCTTCATTTCCCTCAATTAGGTGTAGCAGGGGGAGTTGGAGTAGGAACAGGAATAGGAGGAGTTGGACCTCAAGGTACTACATGTTCTTGTTCATGACATCTATGTTATAAATTAAGGTCCAGGATGAGACTCCCATCCCTCTTATTGGTGTTATAGGCCAAGTCAAACTCTAAATAATCTCAGTGCAGTCAGTGAATACTCAGTTTCGTTTGCTAACATAGTGTTTTTCATGTGCTGTTGTAGGAGGTGTCACTGGAGCAGGACTTGCTGTGCCTGGAGCTACTCCAGGTTCAACCCTGGGTGGTGTTCCAGATGGTTCTGCTGTTGTGCTGCCAGGGGGTACAGGTGTTCCTGTCAAGCCAGGTGAAACTTAAAATACTCAATGAAATCTAAACTAATTTTCCCTGAATTTTCAAGACCAGGCCTTTCAGAGGTGTTATAATTTTAATGTTGATATTGTTTTTACAGGAAAGGATGTAGGATTCCCTGCAACTGCTCGTCCAGGTACAGTGAGACATCACTGGTGCGCACATTACACACATATGGGAAACATGCAGAGGAGGGAGAGGCACTTCCTTAAATACAGTATATTCAAGAACTGCAGCCTAGCTAAGGTTAACTGCACAAGGCTGTGTCTCCCTTTTTGCCTTTGACATATTCTTAATACATTTCCTGGCTAAAAAGCTCATATGTTGTTTGTATTGCTAGTGCTACCAGCTATTTACCGTCTCGAGCTTACAGCCTCCCAGCAATAGCAATGTATACTTCACAGCTTCTACCTTTTTACTCTGTCCTACTCAACGCCTGTTCAAAGTGCAATGGATGAAACTGGTATCTGTTGTCTTTGCCAGCGCCCACGTCTATTTCTGCAAACGGCACGGCCCCAGAGGTTCCACAGCCCAGTAAGACTTGCCGTTTGTATGAAACATTTGAGCTTTAACTCAGTTCTGAGGTCTCCAATATATAAACGGGAGTTATCAATAAAATGCATTTACTACTGTTGTGAAGTATAAATTAATTAGATCAGTATCTGAGACTTTTTTAGATAGTCTTTAGTGGTGAGCAGGTCTTGATTAATCTTTTTATTAAGAGATGAATTAAATTTTCTTTATGATTATGGATTTCATCCTGAAAGCACAAATTTTAACCAAAAAGGAAGGCCACAGCTTTTGGATTCTTCTAGTGATGCAAGCCAAATCTTAATACTTTCAAGATAAAGATCAGTTTTATTTTACCATTAATGCCTAAGATTTTCTTTAAGATATACAGTTTATTCTTCTGATTTCACTTCATGACCAGATGGAAACTGTATACTCCAATTTTAGATAAATTTGTAATATTAATCCTATAAGAAACTGATCTGACTGTAAAGATTGTCAACATAGTGTGATCATTTTACAGAGGGGTATTCAACTTCATGTTTGTGTGCTCTGTATCATTTTAAACCCCGACCCTATTCCCTTACACGCCATCATGATCGTACTGTGGCCACAGATCGCCTCTTGTTCTCGGCGCTGCACTGCTTGTCTTGTGAACTCCTTTTCTTTTCACTAACTGCTCATTCAGCTTGATGGATACTTTCATGCATAAAAGAATTGTAATGGATAACTGTATAAAATCAAACTGTGTGGAGTTATCATGAAGACAAGAGGTAAATGCTTAAAGACACCATGTCATTGTCGTATTCAATTGCTTTTACAGATATTTGTGTGATAGTTGTGTTTTGTTCTGATTTGTGAACATGAATACTCTCACGTCATCTCTTTCCTCAGTTGTGTCATGGTTTGAGTTCTATAGCAGGATTGTTTTGTAATGTTTACAGGGATTAAATGTCATGAAATCCTTGAAATGATGGTAGAATGATGATAAAGTGACATTTATTGGGAGTCTGGTGTGACATGGTTGGAGTGTGTTTTTTCAAAATGACTTTTTCATCATGTTGAGTGTTTTAGGATTTTGCCGTCTTTCCCTGTCAAGTGTTTGTTTGGTTCCTAAAGTTCATATTTCACAAATCTTAAATAACCTAGGTCAAAAAAAAAATAATAAAACAAAATCAACATTTTTAAGGGCAGTATCACTAATTTTGCTTTTTCTCTTCTTGCTATTTGTTCTCTTGGATCCGTGAAAACAGGCGGTGGGTAAAAATAATAACATTTTATTTCACAAATTTAACTTCTGCTGTGTGTCCGAACTTGTTTTTTAAGTGTTTGTGACTCTCTCAACAGTTGCTGGTGGGATTATCCAGCCTAGTGGTGAGTAATTTATATATTTTATAATTTCAGTCAAACACTTTTTTGGACAAAGGCTAAATGTGTCAAGTTTAATCTGATCATACTTTTTGTTTTACAGCTGGCACCAGTGTTGGTAAATATGAAAAAAATATCTAATATACAAATACAATAAATAATACTGTATAGATATTCTGGAGATATCATAAATCTTTATGTGCTTTTTTGCCACAGGTGGAGCAGGAGTTGTACCCTCTGGTGGTAAGAGCAGTTCTCACTTTCTTTATATATGTATTTATTATTTGTAAATGATGTTCTCTGTGCAGTCTCTAACTTTGATTTATCACCAGTGATTTTCTTTCATGGTCGTTTAATAAAAATCATGATGAAAACTGATGTAATCTGTCTGTGTTTTAGTTGGTACAACAGGACAGGGTCAGCCTGGTAAGTGTAGAAAACAATTGTTTGATATATGCACAGACTTTAAAGTACAGTGAATAATATACTACTAATAATCTATTCATATCTATGTTGAATTATTGTATTGAAATTGTGATATTTTTGTTAAATGAATGAGCCCTTTAAACCTACATAAAGATCAGGTCCAACTTCATATCTATATGTACAGATAAGTGTGTCAATCAGTTTATGTGTTTATCTCTTCTCTCAGTAGTTGCAACAGGAGTTCAACAACCTGGAGGTATGCCATTACTCATGCTTTTAATAATAAAATGCATTAGAATGTTTGAAAATAAATGGCGATACATACATTTGGCCACAAGGTGGAGACAAAGACAAGTCCAGCAGCTAAAGCTGTTCGTCTCGGCCCATATCTGTGTGAGTATTTTAACATGAAACATTTCTGTTTTCAGGTGTTGGTGTTGGCACAGGAGGCAAACCACCCAAACCATTCTTACCAGGTAAAGATGATTATTTGACATTTATTTATAATACGCCTCAGTACCTTAAAAAGGAAGTTTTAAGATACAGTTTCATATGAGTAGTCACTGATTATTCATCAGTCTTGAGATAAAAGTCGATAGATGTCCTGATCTCAACAGAATTGCGATTTTTACCCACAACCCTGTGTTGCTTACTGCTAACTTTTTCATGGTATCAAAAATTATTATAATTTTGTTCAGTATCATTGATCACATCTCACCACATGCAGCTGTTCTTATCATATGGTGCACTTTCTAGACAGTTAATAAATCAAGTGTAAATCAATAAACCCAGTCGTTAATGTGCAAAGAAAAGCTGCTTCAGGCCTTTTTCTACCCAATTATACATGAAAAATTGAGTACTCATCAGTTTATTGCAACTGCATGCAGAGCACCTTTCCCATTATGCATTATTTTATCAGTGATAGACAGTAAAGTGATTCTAAGGTGATTTTAACTGCATTTCATTTTCCAGTCAGCCATTTTTTTTAGAATACACCTTATTGTTCTCCATTTCAGAGTGACGAAATAAGGTACATTAAATTTTACTGTTGAGAATATTTGGTATAGGTTGGAAAAATAGTGAAAAAATACAGTATTAAAGTAGTAGTATAAATATATGGGACCATAAAATGTTAAATGTAAAATGTAAAGTATATCATGAGTTTCCTAAAGATTTCATGTAAATAAGGCAGAGAGTAACGGAATAGGACAGATTCACCTCATAAGCCTTCTTTAACACTCTAAATAAAATTCACTCTTTATTCTGTGTACTATGTTTTTAGGGTGTCTCTTTGTTTGAACTATAATTCCTCTGATCAAGTCTTTCTTTTTTTACAGGTACTGGTGTAGGTGTTGGTCCAGGCGGTGCAGGATACCCCTATGGTGGAACATATGGGGGTGAGTTTCCAGCCTTGTCTTTCAACATTTAAGGACTTGGCTTGAATTCAAGGGACGATTAATCGTCTCCCGTCTGTGCCTTAGTTCCTTATGGGATTGGACGTGGCACTGGACCTGGGGTTGGAACTGGAGCTGGAACTCTGCCTGCAGCGAAGCCTTTGAAACCACCAAGTAAGAGTTTACATTCACTACTTTAAAAATATATCCAAGGTTAATGATTCCTGTTTTTAAGTTTAGTTATGAGTGCTGTTGCTTTAATGTTTTTTCAGTACCTGGAGCGGGAGCAGGAGGGGCAGGAATCCCACTGTCAGCAGGAGGTTATCAAGGTCAGAACTCAGCAACATTTCATTTAACAACCCGAACAACCCCAGAGATTGCGTCAGCATAGGAAAACAAGGAAAAATTCAATAATGTCTAATTCCTTTTTCAAGCTTCACTGCCCCCCAAAAACAAGCAGTAGATGATAAGCTGTCTAAATACTTTTCTCTGTCGTCATGATTCAGGAGGATACTATCCATATCGTCTTGGTTATGGGCAGGGTATGTATGAGAGGAGAGGAGGCAGACAGCACTGACACACAATGTTCCCCTGACCTTAAAAAAAATCCCCAAAATGTTCTGCCCAGTGCTCAAAGTGACAGTTGCTCAAAGATGCCATCGTGTTGCACTTCCTGTGCAGGAAGTCGGCTAACATGCTGATAAGTTTCTGTGTGGTCATTCATCAGGAATTAGACGCCGGTTGGAAAATTGGACGAAGGAAATCTAACTGTGTTTTTGTCTTGGCAGCATTTACAATCATGCAACCCTGTGCAGGATGGGTTAACCGTAGAAATACAGTCATTTGTTGGGGTTTTTTTTCGCCCCATTATCACCAGCCTTTTGTCTTTCTTGACAGGTGGATTGTATCCATCTACGGGTGGACTGGGAGGTGCTGGTGGTGGAGCCAAACCACCTAAACCAGGTAGTTAAACAGGCAAATAAAAATACATGTGATGTGGAATTAAATCATGTCTTTATGACAGGCGTTTTTGATAAAAGCAGCACTTAATAAGTCTTTTCTGTCTAAGTTTTCTGACTATGAATATGTTGATTTAATGAAGGGAATCTCTCCGGCCTGTACACATAATCCAGTAATTGCTCTGAGACACTGAAATATCAAATAAAGAACACTTGTAGAAGTTAAGTGAGACAGTTGTTAGCAGTTCTTATATGATAGCTGGAAAGTCCACAAAGCAGTAATCTCTTTAAAACTTGAAACAGCTCCATCAGGATATTGTAAATGAAGCAACACAACATTTCCCAGATGAAGTCTGATTTCTGGTTATAATACTGTGCACAACATCAAAGTTTGACTGAAGATAACACAGACTTCCACAGTCCCGCCCTAAGACAACAAAATCTCCACCAAAGGATTTTTTTTAGACGAGTTTGTCTCTATGACCTCAGCGGAGCTGTGGCTACATCTCACACCTCAGAGACAAACAAAAAATTCATAATACATTACAAGTTATTCACACATTATACCAGAAGATGTGTTTTGTGATTCATTCATTTGCCTTTATTGCTTCAGGCTATGGCAATCTCGGAGGTGTTGGTGTTGGTGGTGGTGGATATCAGCCAGGTGAGGACCACCACATGTTTGTTCAATATTTTCTGCTGTAACAAACACATCCTATCCCTCGTCCCCAGCACACTAAACACTCTGTCTAATCATGTGCACTGTGTACTGTCCTCTTCTTCCTCTGCCCTTCTGTGAGGGATGAGTATAATCACACCATAACAGATGACAGTGCAGCCTCCTCTCTCTGCCCCTCAGAGAGCATGCACAACCTCCTGATTCTAATCCTGCCCTCAGTGGGTACAGAGATATTGTTGTCTGTGTCAAATGCTTTCACAGATTGTCCAACAAATCTGCTCAACAGTGAGCGCAGATTTGACAACAACAAAAAAAAGAGAGAATAATTATTGGCTTCTGGAAAAGTAGGGCAAGTTGTCATAGTCACTGTACGTACTGTACTCAAAGTTTGTATTGATAAAAAATACTGTTCTCTTACTGATTTTAATGATTATTTTCTGTCAGAGGCTTTGAGAAGTCTGCTTTGAATCCTACAGGTGCGGGATCAGTGGTACCTGGTTATGGAGGAGGTTACCCCCAACAGTTGTATCCAGGTCAAGGTACTGCATACCATGGATTTCTGTTTCTTTTATTTAGATTTTATTCATTTTTTACTGATACACTAATACAGGTTACAGCAAACACACATATACTGGTCATAAACAGTTAAATAAATACAGTGACCTTCAAGGAGCATCATTGAGTCGTGAATCAGTGAAAAAAAAAATGACACAACTGAATCATCAGCACAACGGCAAGATGAGATTATGCAAGATTAAGTGTACGCATGTGTGATTGTGGGTATGGTTGTGTAAGGAAGATTAAAAGACAGGAACGCAAAGCTAAAATACAAACTATAATCAATTATTTTAATTTCATACATGTGCCATATCTCCAAAATGTGATCTGTTGTTTTCTGCTACGTAAAGCAGTGAATCACCAAAATGTTTCTACTCCTACGAGATATTTATTTCCGTTACTAGAATCCCAACTTTAACTTTGATCAAATAAAAACTTGCCTCCTTTAAAACTTAGATTTAGAGAACAGGCACATCTGTAACTTATCATCCTTGTTTCTGGATCAGGAGGCGGATTAATGCCCCACTGCATACTCACAGGTAACTCTGCTAATTTCAAGCTCATAAACTCTCCCAATTTGACAGGTTATCTTGTCCCCCCTCTGTCCTTTCCTTCACACCAGACACTGTCATCTAAACCTAACTCAACCCCAGCCTCCTTGTTATCTCCAATCCAGGGGAAAAGTTTATTTCTATAACCACAATACTGTTCATCTCTATTTAAACTTGAAAAGTCCTTAATTTTTCCTCTGATGTGATCAAATGTGTTCAAGGATGAACAAAACTCTGATTAATATTTAAATGAAGATGCTCTTTGTCTATTAACGGGGGCTTTTCAAATTTAACATCAATTACATTTCTAATTTTGAAAACCAAACTTGTTAGCTCACATGAGAAGCTGAGTTTGATTAAGAGAATTATTTTGTGTTTGATTATGATGAAGTTTTTTTCCATCCAAGCATTTGAGTAGCAGAGATTAATTGGATTACTAAAAACTGGGGATAATTAATGTGACATTACTTTGTGAACTCGAGTGGTGTGGTCCTTGCCAGAGCTCGCTTCATTCAAACATCAGCAGCTGACATAAATTCAAACAAGATCCCCTCCTCTAACCCCTCAAAGCCTGACTTAAATCTCTGTCGTCTAATAGAGAGGCAAATATCCTGATTTATTTCTAACGTGTGGGAAACACTGAGGCCTTGACAATTACGCAGATTAGCACCAAAGGTTAATGCCTCCCATGTGATCTACTCTGTTGTAAACATCTCCTCCATTCAGACCAAGACACATTTACTATCTGATGGTAGTTTCACTCTTTAATAACCTGATCTCATTTCTCCTTTCGTTTTTGTTTTCATGTTGTCCAGGCGGATACGTCCCAGCCCCACTGACTCCTCAACAAGGTACCACATTAGTTTCTCTTGTGTCTGTGTTCAAACGTGTGTCTGTGCTGGTTGGCAGAGGATAGAAATATGTCAGATTATTCCGTCGAGATTGAGAACTCTCTGCGTGGGTTGGTACTGCGTGTGCCTGTCAGTGCAGATGGCAGGGCATGAGTGGTATGAATGCTATAATCTGCATTTTCCTGAACATCAGAGATTATTGCTGGTCAGATTATTTCAAGGAAAGCATGTTTGTTTTCTTAGATAGCTGTAGACCCATTTCTTTTCCTCCAATACACCGGTTTCAGGTCTCTGTCTTAAAGACTATTAGACCTCTCGAATACCTCAAGTTATTGCATTTGTCACACTTGCGTCTCACATAATAGACGAAATAGCTCATACCGTTTGTTCCCTTTGTTGTTTTGCAGCCAAAGCAGCCAAGTACGGTCCACTGCAGGGTTTCCTTGGTGGTGCAGGAGGAGGAGGAGGAGGAGGGGCCTACAGAGGTGAAAGACAACATAGTGTGACATTTTTTTCATTATTTTGAAAAAGACCATCGAAAGGCTGATCTGTGATCTTTTCCGCAGGTGGAGTCGCAGGATGCCAGGGCAAATACTGTGGGAGGAGGAAGTAGAGGATCTCTTGGGATCTGGTGTGACCTCAAGAAACCATGGTGCTACTGCATGATCAAGAATGTACATTTTATAAGCAAACAAACCCCATTAGAAATCATGTAAAGATGGTTTTTTTACTTACTTGACTTAAACGTCTGTTTTAAAACAAAAACCCACCGACCCAGAATCTTGTACACGTTCTGATGTGACTTATGCTATTGGTAGTGCCTTTAATCATTAAGCTTTATCTGCACCAGCCTAGTTACAATACAAAAAGTGTGTTTGTGTTACTATGTGTTCCTGTGCCCAATCGTGTGCATGTGTGTTAAAACGTACTGTTGTGCTAAAGACTGTCAGAACCATCAGTTCCCAATGTGACCTATGAATGATCTCCCTCTTGGTCGTAATCTTGAAGCGGGGTGACCTGCTCTCTCCACTCTCTCACCTCCACATGTCAGTGGAGTCAAGTTGGCCGTAGCTTGTCCCAAAAAAAAAAAAAAAAGATCAAATGTGGCCGATCCCAGCCTCGTTTCTGTCTCCCCGTCTTCTCTGCTGCTATTTTTAGACCTGCTGGGTATGAAGCAGCGGGAATCGGGGCTCGGGCCAGCCCATCTGCTCCCTGTAACTCCATGTTGCTATGCAGTTCAGTTTTCTCAGCATTTTTACTGTTTCCAAACTTGTGATGCATGAAGAGCAGTTTGTGCTCTGAGCTGTTATGCTGAAGACAATCAAAAACGGCTCATTCTCTGAAGAATGAATGCTTTAATACCAACATGCCATTCATTTCCACATAGACTAAAACATTATCAGATACTAGTCTGGCATGTTCATGATGTTTGTATGAGTGTGTGTGATTGTGTGCCAGTCGTCCACATCCAGAACTGAGCGCTTTAATCTGCTTCGACTGTTTAGCTTCTTTGCAGCAGGAATTATTTGCATTTATGTAACTTATGTACCTTTTTGCACCAAGCTTTGGTTCATAGCTCTCTGTTATCAGGAATGTGTGACCATAAAAGAAAAGCTTCTGCATTTATTATCTGTTTAAAAATGTAATATAAACAGGACTTGGTTAAAAGGGTGCGTTTATGTGAGGCATAAGCTCCCACGGTTCTTTATTTACTTGAGCTGCTTTAAAAAAAAAAAAAGGCTTACTGACCAAAGGTTCATGAGCGCTGTTGCAACTTTTATTTCTGTAATTGTGTACTGTATTTTGTACTAATTTGATGTAAGCTGGCCTCAGTTTCTTCACTCGGTGCTGTGTAAGAACTGTGTTTGAGCCTTGCTCGTCTTATGTGCCGTGGGATACTCTTCATCTTTATTTAAAACTGTTTTTAGAAGGAGGAACAGTGTGGTTTTGCACTTTTTATATTTCCACGACACAGATGTGACTTGTTCCCTGATATCTTTGCATTTTATTTGCTTCTTTAAATAACAAAATAAAATGTGTTACAAGACGATGTGTCCTCTTTGTTGTTCTTATCTTGCGAAGTGCATTCCTCAGCAGCAGGTCGTCCTGTGGGTTAATAGAAACCACCTGGTCTTATGTGTCCTGAGAGATCAGTTTCCTATAAACCACATACCACAGAACAGTAATACCTCTGTCAACTTACATCTCTATAACATCTCAGTCCTGTAAAATCTTAACTGTGCCTCCCATCAAGCAAAACCGACCAGGATTTATGATTTTGAAACCTGTATGATTTGGCAGAGCTGTTTAATGTAATGACAACAATGACGATTCTTTTTGTTGTGTCAGCTGGAAATAATGAACTCTGAACTGCTGCCTAGAAACCACTGAACCATGACCACTCTTTTCTTTCACTCCTTAAAAAACACAGTGATTTAAGATGGGGCTGCAGTTCAGAGTTTGAAACTGTTTTTATGCTAATATATATTGCATTACGGCCGACCCCATAATGTTAGAGTGCAGTACCATGATATAGGACAGTATCTTGCAGCGTATGATGGTTTGTCAGTACTCTAATCCAGAAAACTGTGATAAAGATGTATAGGTTGAGTCTAGTTAAACTAGCATAACTTCTTTACCTGCATGAGGACTGAAGCTGGTGGTGCTACCTCTGCTAACTAAGGCCTGGCTCAGCAAACCAATCACCAACTTCACTTTGTGTACCTGCAATCCCTGTGACCCTGCGATTGGCCGTGTTAATCACTTTGTAAAATTGTGCTCTACAAGATATTATTTGCTTTTTGTTTCTCACTCTTTAACAGAAATGTACGAAGCTTATTTCTTGGAATTAAAGAAAGTCCTTTTTACTTCCTACTCTTGTAACATGGGATGAATTGCTATTTTCTTTTGCATTTCAGATGACTTTTGGACTACTTTTTTCTTTCACAAACTGCTTTTGTCTTGATGTAGCTGGCATTATCTAGCTGACATTTACACAGCTGTAAGAGGTCATTTTTCAGCTTTCTCTACTGCTTTCTTTTCTTTCTTTCAGCTGATATTTCATCTGTTTTTATAGCCTATCTTGTTCATCAATTAGCATTTTAAGTTTTCCAACTTTCATTTGTCTTATTTAAATGGTAACTGATTTATACTCATTTTTAAACTGGTATAGATTTGACTGTTTCAATAAGGCTATCATATTTTACACCTTTAATTCAATGTTATCTGCATTCACAGGCTTCAGTATGCACTTAAACTACTTTTATTACCACCAATTTTACTGATATTTCAAACCTTTTCTTTGCTTAGGCTTATCAGATACTTCAAAACCTCCTCCACCTCCAAATTCGTGCATCATTTTCCAAGCAACAGGGAGTTGAGCCACTCCCTGTTGCTTGGAAATGATAAAAGAAATTGATCATGAGACCAAATATTTAGGAGATGTGCATCAATTCATGGAGTCTGTGAAGGCTAGAAGCACATGGGTAAAGGGGTTAGACATTTATTTCGATTAAAAAAATCATTTTTCACTCTTTAAAGTGAATTTAGTCGGTCATAAGTTTTATTAGAATTGTGTTCAGACCAAAAAAGATCATTTCAAATTTGTTTTATACATCAATTGTGGTATCTATGAGCTACAACATGAGGTCAAAAACCTAACATAAAAGTCCAACATTTTAGCTTAGAGGACTAATAAAGTCATAATAGTTGTTCTGAGGTAAGTAGAGCCAGTGACTCAACTGAGAAAGTAATGAAGTCTGATAAGAGGATCAGAGTTTCAGTTCAGATTGTTGAAATGTGTTACTTTTTATTTTCAATAATACAGCTGTGAATGTTCTGAATCACTTAAAGACATTCTCATGTTAAAATGACTTTTTTCATAAAACAGCTTTTTAATAATTATATGCAATAATAATAACAAATACCCCATACACGGGGTAAGTTGACCATAGGAGACCACTTTTTTGGCAAGCTATTTTATCAAGACGGTTATGTTTACACTCATTCTGTTGGTTTGCAGGGATGAACAACATCTTGAAATATATTCAGATTCACTAGTTAGAGACAAAACTATGATTGCCTTGATGTAGTGATCTGAAATATGAAAAATGGCTCATCTTACCCCACTCTCCCCTATGCTTAAAGGACTATAAACTCAGAGGGTCTAATTGGTCTCAGTTTAAAATAGCCTAAATTAAGTTTTTCTCCAGATAATGATGCCTCTTCCAGTTCACTTGAAAGTGGAAAATAACTGTAAAGTAAACAAGGCTGAAATGACTGATAGTTATCTCGCAATAGACACTCCACTGTGGATTTTACTGCACCCTCTCTCCTCCCCATGTTGACCCCTCCTCCTTTCCCTGCCTCTAAAGAAACGCATTCATCTACCGGGGAGTGTTCCTGGTTGGCCAGCCCAGGTCTTCCTCTCCCCGGATCCGGAGCTTCATTGGTCAGTGGGTCTCTTGAATGAAGCGCCGCAGAAACGTGCAGGAGGAGGGAGAAGCAACTCCGTGTGCCGCCGCAGGGAGCGACCGACGCACAGCAACACGACCGCCGGGCGGGCTGTGGTGGTGGTGGTGGTGGTCGCACACCGGTTATCTCTCGAGCAGAGGCGGCTGGCTCTGTCCTGGAGCTCGGTGTCGGAGAGTGAATGAGGTTGATGCTGCTCTGTTGCACCTGGAAGGACGAACGCATGGGAGAGGAGGAAGGTAAGGGGGCTTCTTTGAGGGGGCAGAGCCGCGGGCTGCATGCGGTTAAGGGGTAAAGGATGCAGAGACAACGCGTCGTCTTGTGCCAAAACACAGAAGGTGACCACTTTGAGCTTTGCTTTTGTTGTTTTTCATCTTTGGGCGTCGGTTGCTGCCTGTCATGTTAGTGTAGCATCGGCGTGTGTTTGTGCAGGGAGCGTCAGGGTGCATGAACATAGTGTGCTGACACTGAAGCCATGTTTCCTCTCCAAGTAGGTACACCCATCACGTTAGGGTGCAGTCCCCCCCATGCCATACATTTAGAAGTAATCCCTTAAAATATACCAATATATTTCCCATACAGAATATACTTAAAATGTGGATTGTAACAGCTGATTGACTCAAAATAAGTGATTTTGCCCCTTAAAGTTCTACTTAAAAATGTTTTTTCAGGGTAATAATCTTCACAGTTTAAATGTTTACTATACTAAGTTATAAATGTCATTGTGTACGGCTGATGTAGCTCAAGAATCAGAGAGTACTAATAGCTTTTATTGATTCTCATCTGTTTGAAAGAGCATTAAATGAATCTCTTTAACCTGAGATCGCATTATACAGAATACAGTCTCTCAGGCTGTAAACAGACTCAAACACATAAAGATATTCACCTTTTTGTTTTTATATACAATCCACACATTTACAAGAGATCCTCCCTTATCTATTTTATGTGGAAAAAGTCAACAATCCAATTTCGTTTCTGTAAAAACCATGCTTCTGAGCACACTGTAGCTGTCACTCAGCTTCACTGAGCTTGACAATAGACCTTCTGTGTGCTGACTCACTTTGCATATCAGCCAGCAGAGTTAATCTGTGGAAGGAGCTGCTGCAAATTTCTCTGGAAGATGTGTTTCACCAGAGAGGGGTGGGGCAACCAGTCCTAAATTACTGCACAGGTTACAGTGTGTGTTTGTGTTTATCAGCTGAGGCGTGGGTGCCCCCTGTGAGACCTCCGAGATCCAAAAGACACATGGACTGTACAATTATAAAGGGATAATGTTTAATGAAAGAGAAAGGCATCAGCACAAAGTAAGCCAATACAATCAATAGACGTACCACAGACCAAGGAGGCATTACACTAATGAGAGGCCTGGATGAAAACTCTGACATCAAAGAACTTATAATACAGCATTACACCAGGAGAGATGCTGTACAAGAATCAGAGGAGTCTTTGAACTCTGCTTTTTGAGGTTGTGATGCATGTCACAAAAAAGCAAGATGAAGTAGTGTGAAAATTAACTCTGAATAAACCAGGCATGATAATGTTGAATATGTCCCTGTTAGAGGCAGCTGTAGATGTGAGCACTGTATCGTCATGACAACATAAATACATAATGTGTGATCCCAGCATCCACTGAAACCAAATGTTGTTAAATGGTTTCAAAGATGACAAGAAGCGTTGTCTGTCACTTCTCTGTGTCAGAAATGATGCTTGATTGATGGATCTGTTATCGCCCCCTCTTTTTTAAAGCAGCTCAAGTGTCAAATCTCATTCAGTCTGTGACCTTGCAGACATTTCAAGATTTCAAAAGTGAAAGTGCAACGACTCAGCAGTGGTGCAATTAAGGAGTACTGCCAGAGTAAGCATAAACTTCTTCCTCCCCTTGGAATTTGTAGTCTTGCTTTAACCCTTTAATGCCTTTTGTATCATCTTTGATACATACTTTTATGATCAAACCAATATGATCAACAACAAAAAAACACCTGAAAACAGTCCAATATAAGATAGGAATGTCCTTTTGTGGGTTATCAGTTTCCAAAAATATCTCATGCATCAAACGAGATAAAGATAAATATATCTGTTAAATTTGAAGGACATGTTTATTTTTTTGCTTTTCAGTAGTAAGTGAAATAAACATTTCAGCTCCCAAAAAATTGAATTTTCTGGCCATAATTTGCTGTTTCAGGCATCAAAGGGTTAAATAATGACACCCTTGCAAACAGCCACCAGGTTTATCTGATCACCGTGTTTATATTTGTTGTTACTTTGCTCCCCAGTGTACGGTAAAAATGCCTCGTCATCTCCTGCTCATTATGTGAAGCTGTCTGATGTGCTCTCAAATGAGCTGCAACAACAACAACAACATGTTACATGCAGCCTGACATCCGCGATACCGCTAACTCCTCATCATTTCCAAAGAACTGTTTCACATTAGCGGAAACACACACACACTCAGTGTCCTCGGTGCATCACAGGATTAGCTGCTCCGGCTCTGCAAAATTGTATTTTTTTCTGGAAACACTAATCATAATGAACATTTTCCTCATTAGTAGGGGGGATCATGTCACGGAAACAGTTTCTTATCACAGAGTTCAAGTCAGACTGTTAGAGGAGGAAAGTTTTTCACGAGAAGCCAGAGTCCTTGTGTTTGAGTTTACTCGCTTTAATGTAAGTGGTGTTGGTGTTAGTAAAAGTTCAAATAAAGTGCACAGTAAATCTGAGGTTATGATGAATGTTTTAATTTGCTATCAAAAGCTAAAGGCTGTCTCTAATAGTGCAACAAGTAACATCTCTGCTGACTGATTCTTTTCACTCATTCTGACCTGCATGGTTAGAAGCTCTGTTCCACTAGTGTTGTGAAGAAGTTTTTAGTCAGAGACTCTCTTTGTGTGTGTATTCATTTGTGTGTTTATTATCTGCAGCACCACTCTGTGTCATTAACCAGCAGGAGGTTTGCATTAGCAGCCAGATAAGTCCACAGATAACAGTGAGATGCAAACACGCATCAGTAACTCTCACATGTCATCAAAGCTGTAACTGCTTTCTCTGCACACTGACACGTTGTTATCGCTTCGTCCTCTGACCTTGTGTGTTGTATTTGTTAACAGCTGGAGGAAGTTTGCCCATCTGTGCGGGGTGCAAACAGAGGATCTGTGACGAGCAGTACCTGCAGGCCCTCAACACCGACTGGCACACTGTCTGCTTCAGGTAACATAACCCGCCCCTGCTCATCATCGCTGTAGAACAAAGATCCTGAGTCTGTGTCTGTGAAGAGTGGCTATGGAAACCCTCCTTCCTTTTCTCCTCCATTTTTACATGTACCCGCCTGCAGTCATACATAAAGTAATAAGTACATCCTAAAAGTAAGAGTATTTTGAGTCTCCATTTCCCACCAAAATATCTCAACTGTTTTCTATTATTATCTCCGCGGATATGTCCCTTTTTTTTCCTGTATGAATGATTCAGTAACTCTTGGCTTTGGGCTCTGAAGTTGGATAAAAGAGGCAATCTGATGATTTCACTCTCTGATCTTGGAGAGTCTCTATTCTTGGAAGATCAGTCTGTTAATTGGGAAAATAATCTGCAGATCAATAAAAAGATAAAGTGATCATGTTTGCCTCATAGACATCTGCTGCATCTTGTGCTATTTCTCTCTTGTTTGACATCAGAGTGAATTTGTGTAGATATTTAGTGCTTCATGTTAGACTCCCAATTAATGTGTGACAGAAGTTTGGTTTACAGACAGTTCGCCATACGGAAACACTTAATATCACACTGAGCAAGAGTTTTGGAGCTTTGACTCTAAAGCTGTGTGCTCCTTATTTTGAATCTTTCCTTTTTCTATCCTCATCCGAAGCTGTGGCCTTAATTGTTTTGGAGCTCTGGTATCAAAGTTGCAGCTGACACCATTATCTACATTTCCACAGCAGTCAGCATGTTTGGTTTTACTTTTCAAAGGTTTTGTTCAGAGGAGGGAAGCGTCAGCAGGTTTGTGTTCAGTTAGAGGAAAGTTTCTCACTGCATGTGCAGCGTGTTCAAAAGCTCTCATCTGACTCAGAGGCATTAAACTATAGGACTTATGTGATTGTGTAAATATGGAGAGTTTGAGAACAAAACGCCTCTTGTTTCCTCTCTCTGTTTGACTGATGTGCTGCAGCATTTTGTGTGTGTGGGCAGCAAGATTTCATGTTGTCTGTGTGAAGGAAATCAGGTTTTTAAAATGTGTGCGACCACCGTGAGTCTAGATTTTGAGCGCATATCCTGAGGCTCTCATCATTCCCCAAAAACCTCCCTTACATTTAATGATTGAACCAAATCATTTTAAAACCATGACCTTCAGGATTGACTTTTGCTTGACAAAACAAACATACTTGAAGGTCTGCATCTGGCTGTGCTTGAATTTAGAGTTGTGTCGCATAATCTTCCATGAAGCACAGCATGAGTTTATTCTATTTCTCCCCTAAAAATGAAGATTATTACTCATCTAAAACTTTTATGATTGATTTCTAAATATATCCACTAATAAAGGTCTAATACTAGTTTCTACAGCTGCCCTTCGAATGCAATTAAGTCGATATGTCACTAAAACCCAGTAAACCTTCACATGAGCACAGTCACCTCTGGTCCTATGACACATAATCTGAGAACATGAAGAAAGGGACGCACAGATGGTTGAGACATAACACTAATAGCAATCGATTCAATAGGCACCAAGCTGCAACCTGAGACTTCCGGCTCCAGCTTCTGCTCAACCCTATAATTTCATTTTCAGGATATTTCAGATTCTTAGAAAAACACCACGACTCTCTGTCTCTGAGAGATCACCTGATATTCCTCGTTAGAGCTGACAGTCTCATTAAAACGAGCCAGGAGACGTTATTTACTTTGAAAGTAGGGCAGATTTTACCAGGCTGTTCTGTTTATTATTAATAGCACATGGATGTTGGTGTTGCTGCAGCTTTTGTTTCTTATGGTCTTATGTAATATCTCCTCCTGCTGCTCTTATTTCTCCTCTGCCTGTCAGATCTAACAGGCTCACCTTGTTTTCTGACAAGTGGGAAATAAAGCAGCTGCTTGTCAGGGAGTGTTTACTGAGATATTACTCTCTCACTGTTTGCCTTTGTATCTGCTCAAATCTAGGATACCTTTTATTTGCCCACTCACATCTTGAAGAGAAACAGCTGTAACATAGTGGTCAAAATGGTCATGTTTTTATGGTGGTCTTTTTGCATAAGTAGGCTTTGATTAACATTAGGTTTGCAACTGTGATTTAAAAAAAACAGCTGGAAAGCAGGAATGTCCACAGCAGAGGGGCGTCTACAGAAAGTGATCCAGAGAAACCTAAATAACGAGGGCAGGGACTCCCATGGAAAAAGTGCCTTTAAGAATAATAATAATAATAATAATAATAATAATAATAATAATAATAATGATAATAATAACAACAAAAATAATACAAATAACAACAACAATAATGATGATAATAATAATGATAATAATAATCTTAATAACAACAATAATAATAATAATAATAATAATAATAATAATAACAACAACAACAACAACAATAATAATAATAATAATAATAATAATAATAGTATCTTTATTTAAACAGCAATTCTCAATAATGAGTTACAAAGTGCTTTACAATTAAAAACAGTTAATAAAATAAAATTAAAAAACAAATCAGGTAACAGCTGTGGTTATAAAAGCAATACACCAATAAACAAATTTAATAAAAAGTCGTCACTGTGTCCATGTGAGATTTTTCTTAAGGGAAGCATGTACACACTGAATAAAAGGGGACCCAGGATAGACCCCTGGGGGAACCCACACAAGAGGAGAAAGTATTTCCGATCACTATGAAAAAAGACCTGTCTGACAGATAGGAAATGAACCAGTCCAACACCACATTGTTAATTCCAACAGAGTATTTCAGACAGCTGATTAAGACGTTGTCGACAGTATCAGGGGCTGAACTAGGGTCAAGTAGAATTAGCATAGAGCACAAGCCTGAATAAGCTGAAAGCAATCATCTGTTCATCTGTTCAGACTCAACTTTTTCTAAGATATTGGAGAGAAACGACAGCTTAGAGATGGGTTTATATTTGTTAAGAGCAAAGAGAGCTATGAGGGTTTCTTTTAAAGGAGGTTAACTGGTGTTCATAATGGGAGAGCAAAAACCCCCGACGACAGTTAACAGAAGTAGTTCAAATGTTAAGACCAATTATCTGAAATGCAGCTTTTAAAAACCAGGAAGGTGAGTGATCTTCAAAGCAGGAGGATGATTTTAATAGGGCAGCAGGACATGATGATTCAAAGGTAATTCCATGTAAATAAAGAGAGAGACCAAAACAATTTATAATGGGCAGTAAACATCTTTAATTCTCTGTAAAATCCTGAGCTCTCCCAGAGTTTTCTTGGTTTTTGGAGCCAGCGTGGTGTGGACAATCTGAGAACTGCAGCTTTTGCACTTCCATAATAATTTTAATTCTCAACTCGAGGTTGCAGCTCGGTTAAACAACTTAATATAAACTAAAGTAAAGAGCTGCCTCCACTTTGTTTAGCTTATCTGGTTTACAGATTGGCTGTTGCTGAATGGAAAAACTCAACGCTCAGTGTGTCATTAATGATTTCCACGGAAGAATGACCGAATGGGAAATCTGAGGAGGGTATCTCGGCACAGAGCAGTGATGTATTTGTGTGTCTGTGTTTGTGTGTGTACGTGATGACAGAGTAAAGAGATGAGGGAATTACATCTGGCTGCCTCAACTTGGATGAAGGATTTTCTCCATGGGGGGTCCTTTTTTTTTAAGTCTTATTTTTCATTACCCTTCTATAAGCGTGTGTGTGTTTGTGAACCTGTGTCTCATACTTTTTCTCTGCATATTTACATCCTTTGTGCTTTGACTGAAATGAAAGGTCTTTTTTGCATTCGTACCTCAGCAGCTGAACTGATATGATTGAAGCTGTGTGAGTGATCAAAGCTTTGAAAGAACTGTAACTCCCTTAAAAGTGTTGCATACTTCTAGAAATCCTCCTGATGTTTTCCTGCATATTGCACCATGTCTAAAAGAATAGAGAGAATCTTTTCTGACCCACTTACAAGTCCTGAGGGTGAGCAGGATCATCACAGAGGAGGATTTAAGACAAGACTTTTGAGGGAAATTTGACTAGTGTGACTGAAGCTTATAATCCAAACAAAAATATGCCCAGCTGCAGGCCCCTGTGCTGTGGCAGAGTATTACTGCAGTGTAAAGGAAAAGGGGATGATAAGAGAGAGAGGAGGGGAATGCAAAATGAAAGTGCCTAGAGTGTTATTAGAAGACTGCAGAGTCCCTCGGGTGGTCAGAAAATAGAAGCTGCACACTGTGGCTGTCATGGGAAACGCAGCCTTTGCCTCACTGAATTCGGTTTTCACATGGCTTTTTTTTCTAAGTCCTGTTTGTTTAAGCTTAGTTGTACACAGTGCAGGAGGAGGAATGCAGCCATACCATTTCAACCTCTGACCATGAAGTAACCAGTTTAACAAGGCGACTTTGGTGTTTTGTTTCAGTGCTACATCAATAAGTAGGCCTGTGTGTTGGCAGGATTTTAGTGATACGATATGTGACCTGACAGAATTAAAACATTATGAAATTGTATTATCCTTTAAGACCAGTTTGTTTATTCGGTTACACAATGTAGACAGTTTGTTTAAACTTGTTTACATGTAAAAATTAATCAGTGACAATGACTATTTACTACTCTGATTAGGTTTCTTCCCCAAAACTGCTTTTACCACCCCCTTTAAGAAATTACATTAACAATGTTAATACATGGTCCCTGCAACAACCAACATAACACTTTTTGCATGTGATCTGGCAAAAGGACTCACCATCTGTTTCTCTATGATAAGAAATAGAACAATAGTGCTTTCAAAAATCTTAAGTTTCATAAAAAAGTTTTTATGGGAAAAATAATATGTAGTCTTTGCGACATCCAACAGAACACTACTTTTCATGAAATCTGATAAAGGAATTACTATATATTCCTCTGTCAATAAACAAATAGAATGAAAGGTGCTTTCAAGTTTAAGATTTAGAAGATATTGAATTATATCTAAAGAAATAGGCAACACAGCTGCTGACTTTTCATCTGTAAATTCTGAAATGTTATTCTAGTAGCGGCTAATGTAGCCTTTACCAGTCATCTGCCGCTACTGCATCGGGATAAACAAAAATAACGACAACTACAAAAGTACATACAGACATACGGTTGATCTGCCTAAAATACTGGAATGGGTACGTTAGAATAAAGCTGCTTGCAGGTTTTCGAAAAATCTAAATGTTTGCAAAAATTAATGCAATCTCATTTTTTAAGTCAGTGCTTTTTATGCCAGTTGTAGATTTTCTCTGTCACAGAAATGTGTCATATATTTTACATTCTGATGAGTTACACTTTCTCATGACATACTTTTACAATTCTGAGGTTTGAAGTGGCTTTCTGAGACATTTATTATGGATACTTCTATTTCCAACCTTTTCTTTGTACATGTTCAAGATGTGCCGGAGAAGCTGTCCTTTGAAAATTTCTATAACACAATAAAACTGACGGCAGCAAAGATTTGTACAAGCCAGTAACACAGTACTTTGAGCTCTATAGATAAACCGCAGTGAACGAAAAACCTTAGAGATGATGCCAAACAGTGTGGCTGTCAAAAAGTTAAAGAGCTTGACAAGCTCTTGTTTTTGGAGAAAAAAGATTGCTTTGTCGCTGTCACTGAGAGAGGACATAAAAAGAGCTAGTCTACTTGGCTTCATTAAAACAGCCTCAACTTAAACAGAACAAATTAAAGAAAGTGTAAATTGTCTGTCATTTTGTATACTTTTGGCAGGAGGCTTTTATTTTGAAAAATACGTACAAATGTTCAGTCCCCAGATGCCACTGACTGGATTTCTTCTCATCTTTCCCTCAGTTCTCTGGTGTGACTAAAACCTTTTCTCTTCATCAATAGCATTTTGTGATTATTTTGATCATTTATTCATTCACTGTTTCAGAACCGCCTCAGTCTGAAGGCTTTCTAGAAGCTTCTCAATGAGTGTTAAAAGAGCTCCTAGGTGGGTTTCACTGCCTCCTCAGTGGATTTGAGGGATTAGGTTAAAGCAGCTCCTGACATTGGAGAAAAGACAGCAGACACAGTGAGAAGGTGTACAGAGGCATTAGGAGACGGCTCAAGTCAGTCTGAACCTCTCTTTGCATTCTACAAATAGGATTTCTGATATTATCCATGCATTATTTAGCACAAACATGCTATTTATAGAATTTTATATTTTTATTATGATCCTGTTTTCTTCAGTCATTTTGTGAATACTTAAGCATGAATCAGTGGATTGTGTTGTAAATTCATTACTTTATGCTCATTGAAGCTTTTTTGCAGCTGAATTAATTGTAATACAATCTTGAAAATGTGCATGTGAGTGCATTTAAAAAAACAATTCTCCTCTTATCAATATGAATGTGTTTTTACCCTGCTGTGCTGCAGTCTCTCTGCAGCACAATGCTGCACCATCCTGCCCAAAAATCTGTTTCTGCCTCACTCTCACTGTCCTAACATTTATCCCAAAGGATGAAAACAGACTTGTGCTTTGTTAGCACTTTGACTAAAGACCTCTTTTTACATCCAGAGTGCATCCGCTGATGACATACAGAATAAAAATGTGCTTTTGATCATTTTCAGTGTTCTTTTTAAATGAACACTTTTATTAATCTGTATTCTGCAGTCATATCTACAATACAAGATGAGTTAAGGCTTTACCATCTAAAGGACAGGCTGACCTTTTGCTACAGGACACATTTCTGTCCCTCCCAACCTGACTCACATCTGCAGGAGCATTACTCAAACTCGTTTCCTTAAACACTTTCCTAATGATACTATGATTGAAAATGGCGAGCTCTCCGTCTGAAGAGTTAACACGTTGAAGCGAAATGTCATGACGTGCAAAGTGATCATTTATTAATCAGCATATCTCACCGGCTTTGTGATGGCAGTGAAGCAGACGTCACGCAGCACTGCAGTGACTCAGCTGTTTCTACCTGCTGATGAACTCTGCCAGAAGCTGCAGGACATGACGGATGATTCATGCTTTACTGGACTGAGTCACAAAATAAATCTCAATACAGAGCGCAGACAGCAAACTCTGAAACAACAGTGGTGGTTGTCCAAAGGTGTCGATAAAGCACTGATGAAAACAATGAAGTTACTATTGATGGTTACCACAGCACAGTGATTTATTATCACATGCACAGTTTGCTGAGAGATGTTGAATGGACAGAAGATAGCCAATAGATTTTTGAATGAGGTAGATATTTATGTCAGAAGTGATATTAAATTGTATTATAACAGAATTTACAGTAGACACTAGCTAGCATCTAAATTTGATTAGATTTTCTGTCATTAATCCTGATGCAGATGTGATGCCAGTTATGTCAAACTGCCAATAAGCGTTTTAATTAAACAGTAGGTCCATCTCTAGCGCTGTGTGATGCAAGAGTAGTCGTGGGAAAAGAGGGTGACGCAAACAGGAAGTCCTCCATAAACCAGACAGACTCACATCATGTCATCATGTTTTTGCTGCGGTGTTAAGTGACCAAACAAAACACTCCTCCCATTGTTTCTCTGGTGTACCTACCCTTGGACAGCAGATATATACGTTAGAAATTGCAACATAGAAATTGTCAGTGATTATTGGTCTTATTAGCTTCTCTACATCACTGCTCATTTTCATCTGCTTCATAAAACTAGCTATAAATGAGATTGACTCAGAGGAAGGTATTTTATAGATAAAATGAGACTGTAACATAGGCTTGACATTACTGTACAGTTGTTACTTATATACCTCAAGGCTTCAGTTAAGAAAATATTAAAGCCGACTGTATTGACCCTGGCAGGGTAGCAGCAGGGCTCTACACTCTCATGGTCAGAAAACAAAGCACCTCACCTCTGTTGAGAAGGGGGTAAATTAGATGAGCTGAGAGGAGGTGAAGAGCCTGAATACAAGATGAATAAGAGCATAATTTGATTTTGGGTTACCAGAATCTTAGAATGTATTGAATGATACAGGAAGTGGTCAGATCATAGTACAGAAGAGGCTCCTGGCTGAGTCTTCATGTTGGTAAAAAAAGAAGAATCCAGCTGCTATGAAGGAGGCGGGGCCAAAGACAGGAAATAGTTGATGTGGAAGCGTGACCCCTCTGTGTTCAACTGCACACAGAGAGAGGAAGGAGAGAGGGAACAGTGAGAGAAAGAGAGAGTCACTGATGGTTGTGACAGCAAAGCTGGTAGAGCTGCGAGAGTCAAACATCAGAGCTGCTGACATGAGTTTGTGTCCTGACTGTCAAAACAAGGCCGAAGCTCCCGAGAGAGACATGTCAGCAAAGAGCCGACGCTGCAGGAAGACACACAGAAAGTAAGTGTAGCTGTGAGACCAAGGAGTGGATGTTTGATAAAGTGTCTCTGGACTCTTCCTGTAGAGTTTAACTTTTTGTCAATGAAAAATAAGTTTATCTCATGGAAACCCTCTGTGAATGGAAGTTACTTAGTTTTCATGAATGTGAGCTAAAGTCCGAAAAGATTTACCTAAGGGTTGAATAAAGTGGACTGTATTGAATAGTCTCATATTGTATCGTCTTGTATCGTCTCGTCTCGTCTCATCTTGTATCGTATCGTATCGTATCGTATCGTATCGTATCGTATCGTATCGTATCGTCTTGTCTTGTATCATATCACATTGTATTGTATTGTATCGTCTCATATCGTCTCGTATCGTCTCGTCTTGTATTGTATCGTATTGCATTGTAACATCTCGTATCGTCTCGTATCATCTCTGATATTGCACTGTAACATTGTGGTTCCAATGCTAGGACCAAGAGAAGCTGCAAATTCTCACAATAGACATTAAAGCCTTCCTTCTTAATTAAGAATAAAAGCTGTGAAGAGGAGACTATTTTTATTTCCATCCTAGATTAATCAGTCTACTCACAGTTTAATACTGCATTTAAAATGAAACAGGACTTAATAAGAGAATAGAGCCAAACCAAAGTTAGTGCTTCAGATATGATTTTTTAAGACTTTTGATATCAACAGACTTGTACCAAAATGGATTTTTGATTATCTGGTTTGAGTTGGTCCCAAAGGTTGATCAGTTTGTCAGCTTTTTTTCTCGTTGAACTAAATGATCTGTTTGGTCTGCAGAATGTTGAGAATTTGTGAAATAGGGATATCACAGTTTTGTTTGTATAGGCTAGAGTATCTACAATCATACAGGCTCTGAACTCTTGTCACTCTGTGGATTTATGTGATTCCCCAAAGTTTCTGTTGTCTCACTTCCCTAAAAACACCTTACACATCAGTCCTGTGTCTGTCACACTTCTGTCTCTCTGACTAAACAACTCATGATTGGTTGGACTTCCCTCATTTCTCATCAGAGCTGTGAAAAAGGAATCAGACCCTGGCTATGCGTGATGGACATTGTCTCTGTGGTGTGGCATCCTGATGCTTTAATGTGCCTCAGTTTGTGTGCGTGTGTCTGTGTGTGTGTGTGTGTGTGTGTGTGTGTGTGTGTGTGTGTGTGTGTGTGTGTGTGTGTGTGTGTGTGTGTGTGTGTGTGTGTGTGTGTGTGCGCAGTAGTTATTGTAATAAACATATTTAAACTCATAATCGCTACTTGTAAATTAAATTCACAAACCTGAGTATTTTTATGTTAGCATATTGTCAAAGATGACATTTGTTATTTTTTATCATGAATCAACTGTAGATGGAGTCATTGCACATCCTGTAAAGCTGCAATAACATGCAAAGATACATTTTAATGTAAACCTTTTTTAAAACCGTTTTAAAAACACTGATGTAATAGAGCTACTCAGACATACCAAGGTTGTCTTAATTTTCTAAGTTTTCTTTTTTCATCGACAGCTAATACCAGAAACTCCTCTTCCTCCTCTCCATCATAATCTCAGGGTTCAGACCTGCTGATAACAGAGAGGAGAAAGGAGCCGTTATATGTGTTAGTGTGTTTTGATTAATCACCTGTTCCCTGGCTCCGACCTTTGGCTCTGGGTACGACACTTTAATCACACTTGGAAATTGAATTTTACGGCGGTGGGAGCAAGTAGACTTAAACCCTGCTTTTGATTAAAGAAAGGAGGATTAACACCCTCTTCTTGAGGGTCCTGTCACATTTATATTAGTGTGCACTCTTTATCTAGAAGAACTATAAAATACTGTGATAACAGTCTGAACCCCTTTCTTCCATTTAATTACTAAAGCATGGAAAGTTTGGGCTATTCAAAACTTTTCAATCTCAGTGAGGTCAGACTTGATTTTTTTATTCACAGGCTATGCTTTAAAGACACGTTTTTGTATTACCTCATGATTGTTGCTTTACGTGCCAAGATAACTCCTACTTGGGATCATTTGAGGATCATTTGGTTGCCGTGGACCATATTTCAGGGTTTGGGTCCAGAAAACTTAGTACTTGGCATTCATGTGTATATGTCTGTGTTGGTGTCTACATATTGGAGCTGCAGAGCCCTGATATGCAGAGAAACAAAGCAGCTACTCATAAAAGCAGTAATATTTCTGCATATTTATTTATATTATTTTTACTTTTTTAAAGATATATTATTTTATTATTTTAAAGGTGACTATTTAGGTAAGTATTTACTGCAACATGTCCCACTGAGCATTTTTTGGTCTAAAGAGGTCTAATAGATGTCTAAATGCACGATTTTTTATCGTGTTGCATTTAAAATGCTGAAGGTCTATTAGCCTGAGCTGGCCATGCTTACCATAGACAGTTTATAAAAGTTTTCAAATTTGCTTTAAAGGAAAAGAAAATTTGATGTGTTGCATTTGTTTCCCCTGCTTAATCTAAAATAAAAGCACCAAACCAAGACCACAAAACTGAGAACCATACCAGGCCAAACTTTTTTTGGTACACCTATAACATATGTTTTTCTTGAATCCATTTATGTCCATCTTTGACCCCAACTCGCTTGGTTTTATTTATGTAATTTAGGTCTTAGTAGTTTGTGGCTCCACCTGCAGTCAGACTGTTTTTGGTCTGACTCACTAAAAACTACTCTTCTCACCAAAAACCAACAGTAAAATATCCAAAACTCAAAATATTTTAAGTTAACCACAAGTTGACACCATTTGAATATCTGTATAAACAACCTAAACCCCCAAGCCCCACCTGCTGTATCCAGGTGAGCAAAAACCAACTCACTTTATTTTGAATTGCACAAGTTTTTGTTATGAATTAACATTTTATGATGCAGTTTCAGCCCAACATGAGACTGGGGTTCAGCTACAATGAGTGAATCAGAGGCTGGTTTTCAACCCACCACCAGTAATAAGTTCCTCTACCAGTTAAACTCCATTATTTTGACCAACTTCATTCAGTCAGTTGTACGGTTTACCCTCCAATACCTCTGATTCTGCTGTCTCTTCTCTAATCCTGCCGAACAACACTCACCATGATTCCCAGAGTTTGCTGAAACCTTTTTATCACTTCTCAGCAGTGGAACAAGTGAGAAGGCCCCAGACTGACTGTGCTGACAGTCAGTCATTCAGAGCAGCTTAGCAGTCACAAAGGAAACTGCTGTGGTGCACATCATTCACCCACGGTCTGCCAGGGCCCCTGTTTACCAGCCCTAAAGACCACCAGGCCACAGATAAAGAGACCGTCTCCCACAGTCTGGAACATTCTGCAGTGGTGGCTATAGAGGGCGCTGTTCCAGCTCCTGTTTGAAATACACAGGCTGTGTCACTTCGCTCTCTTAAAATGTATCAAAAAAACTTCTATCCAAGGAGTAATGTCGGAGTAAATGCTGCTGAGCTTTTGTTGAAATCAGCCAATAGAAAAGGAGATCAGGGGGTGAGCACGGGGTAATGAGGTAATGCCCCTGCCCTATGTGAGGGGGTGACATCATCGCTGTGGCATTCTGTGTTGCCATGGAGAAGAAGGGGGGAGGGAGGGAAGGGGGAAGATGACAAATAGAGGCAACAAAAAAGAGGCTCGTGGGAATGGGACGAGTGTGTCCTTGAATGTGTGTGAATGTGTGAACGTCTAGTGGATCAAACCAACGCGTTTAGCCAAAGTAGGCTGATAGACGGATTGTCTTGTTGTCACACAGGTATGTTAGTCCACGTGGGAAATCCTTTGAGTTCTGTGGAAAATGTTAGAAGTGGAAATCTTGGCTCTGAATTTAGGAATCTCCTTCTATTTATGTCTCCTCTGAGGGGAGAGAAAAAGGGGTCTCCCCCAGACATGTCTGCCATCTCCTTGGCTTGACTTTCACCCTCCCATGTGTGCAAGTGCCTGTGTGATTCGGCTCGTTTATTCCCCTTACCCACAACCCCTTGCTCTCTTTCACTTAGGTTGTATTTCTTCTTTGTCTGTGAGGATTTCAGCTTAGCCTGCAAGTATGTTTAAAACCAGTCGAGCACTTTTCTGTCCTGCAGTAGACACATTTGTTTCAGGCCAAGTACTCCTGACATTTATTGTCTCTTTTTTCCTGATTTTACTTGCAGCCTGAGAAGAGCGATGGATTGGTTTATTGATCAGAAGGACTCATAAGCGTTTTCTGCTGTCTGTGCAGATAGAAAGGAGATAGATGACTGTCTGAGCCTGACACAGATGATGGGAGATTTAATAATTAATAAGGAGATACACAGACACACACACACACACACACATGCCCCCTTGTGTGTATCTGTGTGTGTGTTCCAGAGGTGTGGCTCCATCGTAAATCTTTTAGCTGCGCATCTGTCAGGTGGTCATGAACCTGCTCACACCTCTACTAGAGGACACACACGCTGCTTCCTTTTTGCCCCCTCCTGGTTCCTGCAGCAGTGTCAGCCTGTGCGTCATTTAATGACCTGAGGCTACATTTGCAAACACACACACCCACACACACCCACGCATGAGAAGCTGCACAGAGCTGAGTGGTCAGAAAGGTCTGAGTAGGAGTCAGATTAGATTCTGGGAAAGGTTTATTTTTTAGTCGACCATGATACATTCAAGGCCCTGTCTTAAAAACAGATTACAGACGTTCATTAGTTTGAGAAAATGATCAATTTTGGTGAGTTTTCGACAAAAATCTTTATTTGTTCAGTCTTGGTTTAGGATTTACATCTTTCTCATAAATGACAGATTAAACTCTTCAGGTGTTTGGACTGCTACTGGACAAAACACAAGCTTGGGCCTGTTTGGATGAGCTCTTTTTAGTTGTTTTTAGATGTTTTAGAGACAATATTATATAACAATATATATAACAATAATATATATTAATTGAATATAAAAACATAAGAATTCAACATAGATTATAGTCATTAGCTTCTGTTTGAGCTGAGCAGCTGCAGGGCAGATTCATTCTGGAGAGCTTGCTGTCATGTGAAACCACAACACTGTAAGTGTCAGTTCAATAACTGAATTAAAGGAAACATTTAGCCCACATTAATAATTAATTGTCCATATACACTGCTGCCATTTCCCTCAGTGTGATTGTGTGAGTGTTTCAGGTGGATCTCATCTTTATGAAATATAAAAAGATCAGACTGTTGTTGGCCTGGATCAAATGCGTTGTCATTAATTAATCCCTGATTACAGTTTTTTTTTACCCTATAAATTCTTTGGTGTCTAAAACAGCAGAAAATAGCTTGATATGTCTAATCTCATTGATTTACAGCCTGAGGCAACAGCTTAAGTTTTAGATTGCTTTTATGTTTAACCAACAGCCCCAAACCCAAAGATATTTAATTTACTTTGAGTACGACAAAGAGAGCAGCTTATCCTCACAGTTTGGGGCTTTTATTGCATTTTAGTATTCAGAAAACCCTTTTTTAATGGACAAGTAGATCTTACTCAATTATAACCTTTTATCCATAATTGAAGTAGATAAAACAGCAACACACTGTAGTCTTGTGTCTTAAATGTTGTTATACTGTACAAAGAGTATTTTTATCGTTTGTTTGAGCACCTGTGACTCATTAGATCTAGTTTGACACATTTCCATTTCCATCCTCTTCACGGTTCAGTCCCAAGAGAATGCGGCTCCATTCATCCTTTAAAACCTGATCTTTCCCTCATTCAGCTTCAGCTCATTCATATCAGCAAGGGACGGATTAATCATGTTAGGTATTGACCTGGGTCAGAGTGCCAGCATGATGAATAGTGAGCTCACTCTTTCAAAAACATATTACATCATAAAACTGTCCGGTGAATTAACTCACTGAGAATAATAAATGGCTGTAAAGCGTGGATAATTACTCTGGCATAATGTAATGGTCATAATGTAAACAATCTTTATAGGCAGTGTTACAGGCTTATGCGGATATAAACTGTTAACCTGCCAACATCAGCATGTTAGACTCACTCAACTAATGGCATGTTGTTAAAATTTGCATCGTCATTTCTTCTTTGTTACTTGATTTACCTGAAACTGTTCACAGTTACAGTATCTTTGAAACCAGTAACCCAAAAGATGGCATGTTTCCTACAGATTCAGAGTAACTGACTTTGACAGCACTCTGCTGGGATCAAACCGTGTAAAAGTCAGACAGCAGAAGGTGAGAGGTTGGGGAAAAGGCGGCCTCGCTTTGACCTGGAAAAGGAATTTATTACACTACCAGACACTTTTTCTGTGGGGGATTTAAGCAGGACAGGGGGGGAGACAGTTGCAGATTGACTTACCCCACTCTACCCCACTTTCTCATCTTCTCTGTTATTGGTTGTTTCTAAACCCCCGGGGTTTGTAGCTGGGTTTCATGGTGTTTCAAAGCCCCCTTTCTTGTCTATTTATGTATTGACTTCTTTATTATTTGATCTTTGTCTTTTTTTCTCATTTTTTCACTGGTTTTTCATTTCTTTGTTTTTACCTCAAACTGTATTATTGATTGCTTTGCTAGCACGAACTAGAAGTTTGTCTCCATTATTTCATTTTTGCTCAGTGTGGCTGATAAGCTTTTCATCCGGCTGCAGTTTTGAAGCATCATAGCCGAGCAGCCAAAGACTCTCTGAGCCTTTCACACTAATAATCCTTTTACAAGCCCGTGCCTAAGCGCACACAAACACACTCACACAAAAATGCCAAAATATGAGCACAAACACACACACTGGTACAAAACTGGAAAAAAGGAATTTGAATTTTTATTACTGTTGATTTTTTTTTTGGTAACGGTCATGGAGATGTTGGGTTAAGCAGGGGCTCTGCTTTCTGTCCCCGCCACCTCTGAGATAAAATTCTTGTCCTGGAGGCAGAAATTTGGCATTTCCATCTGGGAGTCACTAATGTATTCACCCATATCTTTAATTCTCTGCTGCCACTCCCTGCTCTGCTCTGAGAGGTTTTACTTCGCAGGAACTAAACTTCAAAGCTTCGATATCCCTCTTTCCTCCATATGTCTGCGTACGTATGCACCTGTGTGTGCCCTCCCTAGGTATGACTTTGCCCCAGCAGGGCTTTGGAGGATGCGTTTGCACTGAAAGGCCGTTATCGAGCGGCTGAAAGCCAAGTCAGCTGAGTAGCTCCCGGCTTGGTGCTGCGGACGTCTCCTGAAAGCCTTGACCCACTTCCAAGTCCCCTTCCCCTCCTCCTCCTCCCCCTGCACCCAAACGTGCTGCATACTGAAGCAGCTTCACCACAATCTGCTGAGCTGCACCAAAGCTCTGCATGCAGATGCTGGGAAGAGGGTGTGTGTCTGTCTGTCTGATAAATAAATTGTGCGTGTCTGTGTGTGTGTGTGTATGCTCCAAGGTTTCGTGTGCAGGTACAAGCCCTTGGGCAAAGTCAAAGAGAGCTGAAGCCTTACTGAATATTTAAGTGTGTCCTTTACAACTTGTACTTCACTCACCAAGCTCAGACATTTGAAACAGTGAAGTGTCCTCTTGTCTTTGACCAATGCTCAGTGTAGATATGCAGATTTCAGTCAGATCTTTTTGAACAGTTAGGTAAAAGACAATACAATACGAGCCAGCAGCAGACCTGCTTTTGTGCTGCTTTAATCATAGATTAGACCAGACTACTGGATGTAGACAGTGTGCAAACTCACTTAGACACAGACACAGAGATTTACACAGATTAAAAAACAAAGACACTCAGCTTGCATGCATGCAAACCCAAGTGCACCAACTCGCACGTACACAAATGCTTGTAACATTAGCAGGAGGATTAGCACACATTTTTATTTGTGGCCTCATGCTGAGCAAATGTGCCAATTTAGCCTCCATGACACGCAAAGAGATTATAATGAAAATGCACATATATGTATTTTATGATTAGAATTAAGACCTGTGAGAAACTAACTGGTTTATTTGGGTGTGTATCTTTAGTTGGTGTGTTTAATGGCTCAGTAATCACATTGCACTTACCCACTCCCTCTCTTTTGAAATATTTTTTCTGAAGTAAGAGGGATTAATGTTTACATACTACTATTATTATTACATCTGCATGTGCATTGCCCTTTGTTTAGTGATTTGCATGCAAGTAAACCAAAAGTGTCTTTCACATCCTTTTTTCCTCATAGCTCCTTCATTATTCGCCCGTTCAACTGTGCTCCGTCGTCTCCCTTTAACTCTGTTTGCATTCGACGTCTATCGGACTGACATCACTCTGGACTTTTAGAGCAGCTTTTCTGTTGATATCTGGTGACAGATGGGCAGATCTGTCAGATCAGACAGTGTTCTACGGACTAATAAGTCTGATACAGAGCTCAGTAGCTATCACAGGAGACAAAGAAGAAGTCGATTAAAGCTCCTGTGAGGAATTTTTAGCTAATAATGTAGCTGACTTGGATGAATACTGATGCCTTTTTATGATCTACAAAAGAAAACCAGATACTCAGGAAGAGGATCGATAATACATTTTTAAAAAGGTACCACTTTTCCCACTGGGGTCTCTGAAATCAGTGCCGCCCAAAGCTTTATATTGAAAGCACAGAACTGATCATTACAACTTGACAAAAAGGCAAACAAACACTCTACTACCTCCTCCCAGTTACAAAAACTATCAGTTTTGAATGTTTTTTCTTAAACGTAAATCACACAAAGTGAGCAGCACTCTTTGTGTTAAGAAATACTCACTTAAATAATTGTACATTTCTTATATACATGTTTTAAAGAGCTACATCCATGCTTTTAGGCTCCATAGTGGTTTTCAATAACAACACTATACTGAGGTGAAAGTTGGTGTTGTGTCATCACTCTCTCATTCTCAACTTTTGTTGTACACTAACATTTTTGGCTGAAGATTTTAAACGTCTTTGTTTAAAAAGCCCTGAAGTGAAACAGAAGTGTAGTTGTGCAAATATAGTATAAATGATTCTGGGCTCTAAAAGATATTTAATTCAAGTTTACTTTTGTCACTGATAGATTTGGGTTGTTGAAAAACTTGACACTTGATTGTTTTGTCCTTGTGTTTTTTCCATCTCCCTCTGAGTCGACGTCTATTCTCATTTATTTGCTCTTCCTCAGTTGAGGTGATGAGTGTTAGATCCACTGAGGGATGTATTATTATAATGAAAGCTGTAATTATGAGCCCTGCAGACTATCATTAGGCATGTACAAGTATAGTTTGTAAAGTGTTGTAGATCATAAGATAACAAGATGTTCTGTCAACACAAAAACACCTTCAATTACAGAGAACTATTTTAGGTGCAGTAGATTTTTGGCTGCTGATTAAGTAACAGGCTGATAATGACTTTGAGTTTTCCGCAAACTTATATGTGATGGAAAATATTACTATTAGTGCTAAACTTGAAAATGATGGTAATACTTGCATAATTAATTGGTTTGCATGTCTCACTCACGCCATTTTAAAATGACAAAGACAAAGAGATACCAATATTTATTCAACTGTTAATTCATCTCTTTCCGTGTCTTTTCTCCTTTCAGGTGTTGCGAGTGTAGCGCCTCGCTGTCCCACTGGTATTATGAAAAAGATGGACGTCTTTTCTGCAAGAAGGACTACTGGGCCAAATTTGGGGAGCTGTGCCACGGCTGCAACGACCCAATCACAACAGGCCTCATCATGGTAAGAGGATCCATCCCCAACTCTCATCTCTCCTCACCTCCCCGGGCCTTTGTTAGTTAATGAAACCTGGATTATAGTCAGGACATATGAAACCCACAGCATGCACAATAGAGTACACACACTAAGAGCCTCACCGGTATGTGTGTGTCAATATACACAATGCATGTAGGATCTGCGCCAGACCTGTAACTGACCATGAGGTCGTTGTCAGATTGTTTTACACACCACCAGTGAAAGTTGTTGCTGTTGTTGTGACACACGAGAGCAGGCAGGTTCATGTGGTCAAAACAAAAGAGAGCAGACAAAGAATAGAGTGAGGCTCTGCTGTTAAGTGCTGCTGCATTATAGAGAAGACCGAACACAGGCATCAAAGCAGAGTTATGTTTCTTCTTGTGGGATGCTGATAAAATCATGCGCAGTATGATACAGTATTATGTCGTTTTTAATGTGTATGAGGATACCATTCTCCTGCAGCAGCTCAGAGATATGTCCGTGCATTACAGAGTTGCACAGTCTGTAGTTTAAGTCGTGTGTGTGCGCGTGTTAATCCCCTGGCTCAAAATGGACTCCATTCTGCTGAGGAGGTCAGAGAGATGCAGCTTAGGCTGTTTAAGTGCTGATTAGGCAGCGAAGTGCATTTTTTAGTGTTCTGCTCATTAAGGCTAGCTCAAAACCAAATGTCAGGATGTCTTCTGGGCTTTTGGTACAGGAGAATTATACAGGGGAACGCTAACAACTTTATTTTTGAAAGCTTTCATCTGTAGCTGAAGTTGGATATGAAACTAGATGTGTCAACATGTTAAAAAAAATATATAACTGTCAGTACTCAGCTTCAAAATAAGGTTTGATTTTAAACAAAGTACCAGCACCACATAGTTTTTATTCCAGAACAAATATGGCTGTCACAAAATGCTGTGTGATGCATGATCTGCCTCTGGAGCCACCCAAAAAGCCAACCTCAGGACTGAATCAATAATTCACAGGCTGTTTGCAGGGCCTCGGACAGGAAAAACAGGTCAAAGTAAAAATCTGAGTTCATTCATTCAGTCCACATAAAGCATCTCCTCTGACACATTTACCTCCTGGACCGATCCCGTTTCTCGCCGGTCATGTGTCACGGCCGCAATGAACAGACATCATTCATGGCTCGGCCTTTCTCTGCATCTCTGAGAGGGTGTATGTGTGTTTGAGAGTGTATTTTATCATCTACACAACCTTCAGACAGCTTGCCCTTTGCAGTGCAATCTCGATAATGAAACATGGAGGAGACTGTAAAGTGAATTAGGTGGAGAGATGGCTGCACCACCTCTCCTCATCCTATCCTTCTCTTGTTTATTACCTCTATCCTTAACACCCTGATTGATTGTCTGTCTCTGTTGGTCAGCCAAAACAGCTGAAAATGCAATGATGACCAGGCTAATTGTACCACATGTAGCCGTGCAGACCAAGGTCATCTTACCCTGTCTGTGCCACAACCAGGATGACGGAGAAGTCTACTTCAGTCCTGCAGAGTCACTCTCTGTGGGTTGGCAGCAAGTAATGAACCTATTTTTGAAATCACTGATGGCGCCGCACCTGAAAAAGCTGCTTTCACTGCCACTGAAAACACCTTGAGCTACATGTTTACAATGTGAGTCAGAGGTGTACTATTGGTCAGCCTGACACAGCCTGTGACCGTATTTTTAAAGGCTTTGGGAACAGCCTTTTATTTTTATTCCCACCAAGGGTGTCATTATGCTGTTATGATTGTTTGTCCCTTTGTTCACTTCATATATCTGTAGAACATCTGGATAAGAAAACAACAAACAGCATTAGATTTATATGCTTTTACTGAGACAGTAAAAAGTGGTTAAAGGTGGGATAGGCAGAAATCAGTTAAAGAAGCATCATTTTTTGTGGCGTAGGTACAAAAAGGCTTTTAATATCAGTCAAAGCTATTAGTTATTGATGACATTTGGTAATATAATGATATCACTGTGTTTTGTTATGTCTATGTAGTCAATATTTCAAAATTCTTGAGCGGCCCGCTCTTTCTGATTGTAAACAAAGCCATTCCCCGCCTCCCCCAACCTGATTGGTTGTGAGGTGGACGCTGCTCCCCTGTGTCGTTCCAAACAAAGTTAGCGTGCTATAATATCGGACAGTAGAAACCAACCAGAAAGTACAGAAAATTTACTGAATCCTAATTTGGCCACAACTGCCGACACAAGCAAGAAAACGATGTAAATACAGGAGACTCTGGTGGAATAATGGGCGCTTAAAAAGCCAGGTCAACATCAGCATAAACGAAGGAGAACGCTTTGGGATCTTATGGACCCTGTAACCTTTCTGCTGGACAGGTAAACCACTTTAACAAAGTAAGCCAAGTGTCTGTAACAGAAGTGTTTCTTGCCAAACGGGACCTGCTGCATGTTGTACCGCCACTAAACTGTTGACCTCTGGTCCTGGACTATGTCACTTTATCCTAGCTGTCGAAGTCCTACAAACATTGTGTTTGCTGGTAGTCTGTTGGCATCTACTGTAGCACCAATGCTTTTTAATTTCACACTGACTGGGCCCCATTTGTAATTATCTGAAGTATTTATCTGCATTATATCTGACTTTAATTGGAACAATACGAGCGAGCAGGAGCGTCTGTTTGTGGGCGGGGCTTGCTGGAGCGGAGAGGGAGGGGAGAGGAGGAGCTGAGGGGAAAACTGGTTCAGAGGGGTAGTGTTTACATTCAAGATTTCTTCCCAAAACTGTCCCTTCCTCAGATCCTGCCTACCCCACCTTTAACACATTTTGTGACCCCAGGTTAATTGTTTTAAGTTTACAAAAACCCTCAAACTGAGGACTGGATTTGACAGAGGATGTTAATGTCTCTCCAGACAGGCCTCTCCATCCCATTTTCACTGAATGTGTTGAAGAAGCAGATCTTAATGCAAGATTTTTATCACAGAGAGTGTTGCATCTGGTTATTGGATGTGTTATCCATCTAAATTTTCTTGACTTTTTGATCATATCAATCATAGCAGGATAGGATTGCTGTGGTTTCGCTGAGAGCTTTCAGGTGTATACAGGTGTGTGTAATCAGCAGCTTCAGCCAGAGGATTTCACTCAGTTATTTACAACCTGACTCAGGCAGATATATATGCTGAATACTCAGTTAACTAAAGCAATCGAGTTTCCCCTCGACCACCTCTCCTTCATTCTGTCCACCACCGCTCCTCCTAACAGATGAATGTACAGCGACGTCCACATACACTTTAGAGTCCGTCAGCCTCCCTGCAAACAGCTCAGGGCGGAGAGCCAGCTGATGGGAGCACGGCCAGACATCGACCTGGGCCTGGTTAATGTGCAGAGTTTGGGAGAAGCTTCTAGTTTCACAGTTTGTTTTTATCTTTCAGGTCAACACTGATCCCATAGACTTTACTCCACATGGATGTAGCCTCGCTGACCTAACCCTTTTGTTTCTAAAGAAGCGTTATAAAGTGGTCAGCTTATTTGAAATGTTGTGTCCAACTTACTCCTGAACCCTGTATAATAATGATAAAGTCATTGTAGCGACTGCTTTCCTTCAACAAAAAGGCCGCTGGGGTTTAGGTTGGCTTGCATCTGTGACGTGTTCAATTATCAGTCCAGTTTGAGTGTTAAAAAAGTGGTTTATTGTTCAAAAAAGAAAAGAAAACATGCTGATCCAGCTCTAAAACGTTTGCCTTTGAATGAAAAAGTGATAAGATGAAATGAGGTTAAAACAAGATGAATGAAACGGTGAAAAAATATGGAAAATGATACCAAACCAATTGTCTGACTACACCTGTGAGATTTAAATAACCCGCCAAACAACCCCAAAACTACACCCCTCAGTGATGATCCCCGTCAGTGACATACCTGTAGAAATCATACTTTCAACAAATATATTTTGGCTCCTACAGTCATGAATGTGCTTTTTTTGTGTGAACACTGAGGGAGGTTTTTGTGTCTCAAGTGTTTCTTGGAAGTGGACACTGAAAGAGAAACTAATAAAATTCCCCTGATTGTGCACGTTCTTATGAGAGTCTTTGGTACTTTTTCAGTCATATGTTTGTGAAGTTGAGAAATTTTGATCACACAATCTGAATGTCACATAGTGTACTGTACCTTTCCCAACAGACCCTCACCCCCCACAGTGCTCAGCTGTGATTTTCTGTTTCAGTCATTCTGATGTATATATAGCAGACATGTGGTCCTTGACTTTATGGTATTGAGACTGGCATGTCTGACTAATATACTCTGCCTTCTGTGGTTAATATTTGGAAACAATGATATTTACTTGGGAAAGTCCCAGATTCGCTGTAAACTTCATCAGCCCCCTCGGGTGGGAGGCCGCTCTGTTGTTGAATAGAAATCTGCTCTTAGTTTCAGTAAACGCCTGATAATTTTATTACCTCTAAGTGAAGACAGACGTGTGTAATAATAAGTGTTGGGAAATAGCTTTTCTTAAACTGTTGCTGTTCATGTTGTGCTGTTATTTTCGTAATAACAGGATTATCAGCTGGTGATTTCATCAGTGACGTTCACAGAGGTCACAACTCTGTGTCAAAACCTGTTGTACAAAAAAACAAGTTTTCTTATTTGTTTGATTACCTCTAAAGTTCAAAGGTCAGGCTTGCATACAGATGACCATGTTTAACTGTTGCAGTCTGTGTCTCTTGCTTAAGGACGCTTTGCATGAATTGCTCCATGCTGTGACTGACACTCTTACATCACAAATGATAATATTGTCAATACCAACACTTGCACACCTACGTATCGTTCAACAAGCCCGTGATCTTTGCTCAAAAGTGTTTTTGACACTTGAGACCCAGTTCCTCTTTCCACAGTGGAAACCGTGACGTGGAGCAGCAGCCTCTGTGGGCTGAAATCCCCCCAGTGGCACCACTGTGGGTTGTTTGGTTTTACTTTTGATCTGACTGAAAGCAGGTTTGATTAGACACAGACGCAAAGTATTCAACATGAAATGACTGAATATGCTTTTCAGTGTCAACACCAAAACATAGTTTGAAGCTTTACCACTTCGCACACAAGGGACAAAACAAGATGTTGTTCATGTTTATGGTCTAGTCATGAGCTCAAACACATAATTACATTTGCTATGTTCAAGTACTACATTCACATGAAACAGGCATTTGTCTTGAAAATTATCAGCCACCCGAAGAGGTTTTTACTCTCCAAAACTCTATTTTTAGACATGCTATTTTTAACTTTTCATTAATAACAGAGAGAGGCCGCCTGTTAGAGTCTGGTTAAAGGCCCAAGTAAAACTTAAAATCATTTTAGCCTCGTACATGAGCCACATCTGTGCCATGGACTATCAAAAACATAGATGTGGTCTAGATTAATGTTGAGTCCAACTATCTGTAATAATTGACCATGTCAAGTTGTACCAATAAAAAAATGTAGAGATTTAAACTGTGTGTTTGAGCCGGGCTGCAAAGATGTGTATTTCTGCTGTGATATTGAGCATTTTTATATGGGCTTTGACGTGGTCCTCTCGGCTTTAGTGGACACTTGAGGAGGCGCAGCTTTTGCACACTTTTCTACCACAGTGCTCAGTTTTAGCAGACAGCGCGTCTTACGAAATGCTGGAAATTTCTAAATTTATGCTTAAATGTTGTGGTGGGGAAATTGTTCGTTAAGTTTAAAACTGTAATCAAAACAAAGAAGTAGAAAACTTTTGTGAGATTTGCTTCTAAACCCTGGACTTTGTAATCAGAACAGATTAGTGAGCAGACCTAACACCTTACAGTCACTGTGGATTTTATTATTAACGTGCCACTGTGCCTCTAATTCATTTAAACTCCATTGTTGTTTAAGATCTACTCATCAACCTTTGCCCTGGATGTTACTGTTCGTGAGATTTTCTCTGGTGCAGCTTCACTCCCACTGTAACTTAATCAAGTTTTCTGTACCAGACCTCTCTCCCCCTCTTTCTCGTTATCTGACCATCTATTAATATCTGCCCACTCAGAGGGCCCTCCAGCACTGGCATGCAGTGTGAGGAAGGGTCCACACTTGGCATACAGAACATATTTTGGGGACAAAGTGAGATAACAGGGACAGGACACAGTCTGTCCTGGGTGATGAGAGAGTGACGCAGCAGCACAGAGGTTATACAGGTCAGAAGAGAGATTCTTTCATTGAATTTCAGTGACTTCGTGATAAATTTGTTTATACCTAATAATAAAAAATAATAATTTGGCATTTTTAATCAAGATATGATCCTGAAAAACAATCAAGAACACAGGATTTATTAGAAATGAGTCTTTATTTGTAACATCTATATGCCTAAAACATTGTTGATTTTATTCCATGTACAAATAACTAAATAAATAAGATTTGAAAACACAGTTAAATTACCCTAAAATCACGAGTCCTTTACAAAATGTCCTGGCAGTCACTTTCACTGGTTTTGAAATGTGATTTGCAGGAATAGAAGCAGCATGGTAGAGGAGGAGGAGAGAGGAATTTACTAAAGACACAGCGGGTGGGGGTGGGGAGGTGTATGTGTATGTATGTGGTTGGAGCGTGTGCAACAGTGGGCAGGCCCAAACAGGAAACGATGAGGTCATAGCAAAAGTAAGAGAGGGGTGGAAGAAGAGAGGGAGGGAGGGAGGAGAGAGAGAGAGAGAGCCGGGGGGGAGTGACACTGATTCAAAGATGAGCTCAGCTGCAGAGGCGTGGGCTGCTCTCTCTCTCTCGCTCTCCTCCCTCCTCCCCCTGTAGCTCCGTCTCTCCGGCCGGCTTGGCCGCTGCCAGTGTTTTGTTGTGACAGCGGGGGAATCGCCTGCCTCAGTAGAATGAACTAGAGGAGCAAGAGGAGACGCCGGCTGTGGCTGACATGGTGGGAGACCTATTTTTCTGGAGCTTCTGCTGTCTCAGGCTGTGGAAGAAGGAGAAGAAGGTGAGGCTGCTGCTGCTGCTGATGATGATGGTGATGGTGGGGGTGACTTGGGTCTCAGGGGTGATGTACAGTAGAGCGAGAGCTGCAAGGGAGCAGGGAGGAAGACTGGCTCAAGGAGACGGTCTTTCCATAGTCATGTCTTTAATTTGAAATGTGAATCTGAAGCATGATTCAGAAAGCTGCCATATTTTGTGTGTCATTTCAAACTGGGTCAGTGCAACGCCGGGCCAATCTGTTCCCTCTTCTCTGCAGAGCGCTCCAGTTTTTCTTTTTTTTTTTCATGTCATGAAAATGTGATGAGCCATGGCACGTGTCCTATTTATAGAGACCATTATTGTGCGGATAAAAGTCGTGTTTGAAGCTGTGCGAGTGCACACATTTAAAGACAGTCTCATAACTGTGTCAGTGCACCTGTGTTATTTTTATTTACCACCTTCGTGCCAGCAACTCTGTAAAGCCCAGATAAACAGAGAGGAAAGAAGAAGCTGAATGCAAATAAAGCATTTCTAAAGCTGAGGCCTGTGTACATACTGTGGTTCTGTACTGTTTGTAGCTGAAGGGGGTTTCCATTCAGACAGCATCAATGTAGTCCACTGTTTTCTCTCTCAGGCTTTCAGTGTAATTGTATTTGCCTACATGATGCCTACAGTAGGAAGTCTAAAAGGAATCAGTATCACGCCTTCATGTGAATTTGTTGCTGATCTAACAGTCTTGATTGCAGCCGTGTGAAACATCTCAACCACACTGTGTTTTTATCATTCTTTGGCGCTTAAGGAATTCCCTTTGACACATATTTGTGATATGACCCAGTTGTATTTCTCTCTGTGGGGAGTATCAGGTATCTCCTTCACGTGCTGTTTCTCCTCCAAACATTAGATCATTATTTAAAAACCGGTTCTCCTGTTGATTCTGGGAGCTCGGTCACATGTGGTCTGTGTTTTTGAGTTCAGATAATGAAAGGGGTTGTTGGGGTGAAGTTCGTTACCTCAAACGTGAGGCTAAGCAGAGCCAGATTTCCCGTAATTTAGTGAGGCTCTTCAGAAGCACCTTCAGCAGTGTTGTGATGAGGTCATTGTTCCACATTTAGTTGTAAAGGAGTGAAGTCAGTGGGTCCGAAACATGGTTTCTGTGAAGCTTGTAGATGTAATGAGACCAGAGGGTATACAAAGTTCCCTAATCAGGTCCAGCTGTGAATAAATACTAACTAATCTGGTACAAAATAAAACCCTGCAATGTGAAATACATTAGTATGCCTGTGGACTGTTATTTACAGATCCTGTGTTGCTCTTCTGTTGGGACATGTTTTCCACTGTAATTGCAAAATAACTCAATAGAAATTCTGCTTTTTGCTGCCACCACTGTGTCTTCATCGGCCATGTTGTCCTTGCTCTTCTCTCCTTCCCCAGTTAAAGCAAACCCTGCACTAAACCTCAAATTGATGGTATTCTGAGGGCAGCTATCGGATAACTTTGGCTTTATCTTATTGGCCAAATGGTTGCAATGATGGCTTGTGTATACATGGCTACACAATTCAATGGTCAAAAGTTTGAATGCAAAATGTTTTTCACGTTATCAGACTTTTGGTTCAGGTGTATCTTGCAGGTTCTTATGAAAAAGATGAAGATAATACTCTTGATTTTGCAGCCAAAGCATTCAACCAAAAATCCCAACAGTGCCTGTTTTAGACGGCTCCAGGTAGCAGCACATCCTGAGCACATCTGACAGGGTTGAAGCAGTGACTTGTGAGCTTGCAGTAGATGATAAATGATCAAGAAATCAAAAGTATCAATTAACCTTCATTTAAAATGAGCTTCTGTAAGTTTTGTAAAAATGAACTTCCATCATAAAATAGTAATGTGCTCTGTGGAAGTCCTTAAAACTGACAAGAGTCCAAATATCGTGAGGAGTCTGAACATAATAAAAATTTAAATGTCACTGGGGTTCAGTGAAATTTCTGGTTTACTCCAAGTTTATACTGCACAGCAATGTTGTTAATGTTTTAAAAGCCCAGACAAGTATGTGTTGGACACGACTGTGCATACAGATTCACTCATATATTTGTCCAGACAAGACTTTCAGATCCGTAAAGTCATGCCTTTTCTTAGAAAATGGTTTTACAATTCCCAGAAAGTCAGATACAGTTAATAATCGTCTTTGCACTACTAATGCTTTGCTAATTCACTCTCTCACCCAAATATAATCAATAGGAAACATTTGAAATGATGTGGAGAAATTGGAAAGTTTTGTGGGGAGAATCTGAAATGTGTTGATAACCTGCTGCAAAGTGATGCTAGTCAAGAATGAAAACTAATTGATTCTTTTTCAAACAGGACAAATGCAAATGCTATAAAACAGAAGTGAGAGAAATTCTACATATTTACTTGACCACAAATCTATACTTCTTTATTCTTACATCTATCTTCAGCTTTCCTCTTTTATAGTTAGCCATCATCAGTTTCATCTAAAAAAAAAACATACCATGCAAACGTCCACCGAAGTGGAAGCTCCGCTCAGAAAGTGTCAAAAAGTGTGACAGACAGCCTGAAAGAGTCATCAAGTGTCTGTGACTTATTTCCAACACGCTGTTAGGTGTTAAGTGTCGCTGAGACCATTAGAGCGTCGTAAATTTCTCCAAACAGCCTAAAAGGCTCCGCTCACATTCCACAGGAAACCTGGTTTGACACGTATAAATCATTAAAAACAAATAAAGTTTAAAGGACCAGACTCTCCAGACCCAGAGGCTCGAGTCCTTCCCTCTCAGCCTGAATATGTTAGGACATTAGCTAGCATACCTGATACTGTTCATATCATAAAACCTACATTTCCCAAAGTCTGAATGCTTGAGGACAAGGCAAATATTGTTGGCTGTTAAAACTTAAATTTGGGCAGGTATGTCATTACTTTTTGATGCTACGGTATCTGTTAAAAGTAAATTAGTCAGCGGGATGTAAGCATTAAGCAAGTCTTTTCCTGGCTGAGATATTAAAATTTGATAGTTTGAATTAAGCAAGAGTGATTTCACAAGTAATCCTTGAGAAGGAATGGTCAAATAGCACGTAAGCACTTACTATGCTTTTATACTTTGTGTGCTTTGGACACACTGACTAACAAACAGTAGGTCAAAAAGTGTGTTTTTTTTATACAAGGTTACAGACTTATAAGTAATTTATGTATTGTTTTTATCTTTGGGTTTTCCCTTTAAAGAAAGCCACATACTCTTTTTTTTTTATAGTAAGGTAACTGCAGCTGCATCGCCTCAAGCTCTCAGTTTCCCTTGTAACTCATTCCAGGGCAGATATGTGCTCACAGAGTTTGGTTTATTGTCTCTTGAATACACAACAAGCAGCTACAGAGCAGCAAACTTGTAGTCATGCACTCGTGAGGGTGATGAGCTAACTCCCTAATAATAAAATACACCCTTAGAGTCTGGAGACACACACACTAATCTGTGTTTCATGAGGATATGAAATCGAACTGGTGGTGTGCCGATTCATGTGATGTTTCTTGAATCTGCCTTTTGAGTAACTATCACATGGTAATGATATAGAGCCTAGTCTTATTTTGATTTTCTGTTGCTCTGAATCTGCCTTTATACCAACGGTTTAGAGAGGAAGTATGAACTTCATGTGAGGACAGCAGCTGCTGCCAGCCAAATGTGGTTTAAAACGGGGTGTGGGTCTGTGTAAAATGAGTGTGTGAAAGTGTGTGTGTGCATGTGTGTGTGTGTGTGTGTGTGTGTGTGTGTGTGTGTGTGTGTGTGTGTGCGTCCATCATGCCTTCATGGCAAGCAAATGGCAGCCAGAGTGTCAGGGCACACACCCCTTTCATCACAGTCCAGCTGTCCTCTCTTCCTGGCTTTCCCATTTGCAGGGTTGCAGGTTTGTGACACACAAAACAAAACGAAAACACACACACAGCAACCCACAAATCTGGTGCATCAAATAATGATCAATTACTTTATTGTCAAAATAACTGTAAATTATTTCTCCAGCCCATAGAAATGTAATCTAAAGTCCTCAGAGTCTCTCCTCATTTCTCTATCTTACTTTTGCTTTTGTTTGTCATGTTTTATCTCACTCGAGATGTCCAACAGTGTTGTTTATGTCTATTCTTTATGAGTCTGCATGGAGCAGATATAAAGACATTAAGTTGGTCAATAAGCCCTACAGCTGCCTTGTCTCTTGTCCATTACTGAAGCCATTACGCCTCTGTCTTCTTCTCTTACTCTCTCCGTCTCTGCTATAAAGCTGTGTTGTCTACATGAACGTTTCACAGCATGTCCAGGAAATAAAAAATCCCTTCATTTGCATGTTGGCTTTTTTTTGTTAGTTGTTTGACACTTGGAGAAAGCTGGGATAAAATAAAGTCAGGATGTCATCACACCCCCTTGTATCAAAGCCAAGCAGTGGCATGTTTTCCTGTTTGGCTGGAAGGATCTCCTTGAATTAATCCCTTAAAAAGCAGTTAATTAACACGCTTGTACATTGGCTGGAGGGCTCCTAGTCTGTTGTTGATCTGTTTGTGTGTGGTATCACTGCTGCTCTCTCAGAAGGGTGGGGCTGCAGACATATGGTCATGCATAATGATTTTATTGATTCTTTGATCTTCACGTTTTCTTCCTGTTAGGCTCAGATTTCTGTGTTTTGTTTCAGTTAATGCGCCATTAAAGGAGAGTATTTCTTCCCAAGTGTGTTTTTTTAATTCTGATTTTGATTTCCACTTGCTTTCAGGATGCATTTGTGAGCTTATAGTTTGCTCTTCTGTGAAGTGAAGTACAAAAACTTGGTTAAAAAATTCAACTTTATGATGTAGAGAATTTGTTTGAATAATGCATTGCAAATTTTACCTGCTTTTTAAAGAGATCTGATTAAAAAATATTGTTTCTGCTTCTCAAATAACAGCTCTGCTTATACAAATCCTTCAATTCTATCAGGTTTTTTTTATTTTGCCTTAAATTGAATTTTCTTTGTTCAGCACTCGCCCATACAATGCCCCTCCTAACTCCTCTAATACTTCATTAGACTTGCAGATCACTGCAGTTGAGCGAGGCGGACAGGGGCCCACTCCCTTAAAAATGTTCTGCCACTCAGCATAAAACAAAACCACAAACACCTCAGGCCTCTGGAGAGCAAACGCCGCCTGTAGCCTTGACTTGTATGTTAAACATGAGCTCCCGTGTTAAGCACTGAAGGTCATTAGATGTGAGAGTGGGTGGATCATTAGCATGGATCAAGGCAGATTTACCTGAAGGAGTTTAGAGGGGTCGATATGTGAAAGTGCAGGCTGCTTTATTGATTCGTCAGCGCACCAGCGTCACAATAAGGACAATGGATTTAAAGAGCAACAGTAAAAGTGATTTATTACTTTCATAGTGTTCGGTCAGAACAACACCAAGTGCTGGAAATCTCCACCTGCTGTATCATCCTCGGTTCTGTGTGTGGGATTAATCAGCTCGAGGCCTGCTCTGTGTCTCTCAGCCATAACTCAATTCCCTCTCCTGATTGTAGACCGCCCTGAGCTCTGCTGGAGCATCTGGCTGTAATGCTTTCAATCTCACTGTTTAACTATTACCCTCAGTGACCAGACCTTGCCCTACTTTCCTGATCATTTATTACAGCGTCATGTTGCCTGTTGTCCCAGTACTACCACTTTGACACAGCTGCACGTTTATTCTCCACAGCATTTTTAACTCTGTGATTGTTTCTTTTTTTCTTCTGGCAGGTTGCAGGAGAGCAGAAATATCACCCTGAATGCTTCACCTGTCTGAACTGCAGGGCGTTCATCGGTGATGGAGACACATACGCTCTGGTGGAGAGATCCAAACTCTACTGGTGAGGGGATAGAATATAAACACCTTCATGTCATAGTCAGGCAAACACCACTCAGTCTCTGTGATGTTTTCATGCTGGGAAAAATCAAAGCTTGTGCAGTTTGTGGTGTGCTATGTTCCCTCCAAATTCCCCAAACTTTTGTTCTTTTGGTAACTTTTCTTAATCCCCCCCCCTCCTGCAGAGAGCTAATCCAGTCAAAAAAAACCTCTTTGAAGTTTAACCAAAGCCACAAATAATGAACAAGAGGCTAATGCTGCCGTTGACTGAGAAAATCTGAAATTGATGCGCCTTACTTTAAGCTTCAAAGGACTTGTTACCAGAATTATGACAAACTGTGGCGTCCCCTGACGTGCTGGAACTTACAGCATCCACGGTGTTACCACGAGCGCTGGAGCTTAGTGTTTTTGAAATCTGGTGCATTTTTGACGACTTTTTAACCATCAGAACTGACACTTACTATCCAGTGTCTAGTCATTGCTGTAAGGTGGTAACAGGGAAAATTATTTGAATTAGATTTCATCTGTTTTTTTCATCTAAGTCAAACTGAAAAAGGGGGTTTGTCTGTGTCTAGATTCTTGACTAGTGTTGCTCCAGAGTTATGGGTTTGTTTGTCACCAGCCTCAGGCAAAAACAGAGAGTTCAATGTGAAAACAAACTACAGAGACATTAAACTTGCTTTATTTTCTGCCCTGAGTGGAGTTGATCGTAGTGAGATTGCCTCTTGGATTATAGAGGTGTTAAAATTGTGGTGAGGGTTAGTAAAAACAAAGTCATGTGAGTTATTTTTTAAGCCCTGGTGTATTAGTTATGAATCGTTTCATTCCTCTTAAATGAACCTTTCTCGCATTCTGAGCATTCCTCGTGTTTCAGGAAATAGTCTTTTTTGTAGAACGAATTTATGAAACACTTTCTGACCCATCAGACGTCATGTTAGCTTTTCAGTCTGAACAATTACATCACAGTGTTTCCTTGAACCAAGAGAAAGCTTGTCAACAACATGTGATGCTGTTGTAATCAGACCTTGACATCTCCCTTGTGATTGCTTGGACAGCTTCAGAACCTACAAATCTGCTCTTCTCTGCCAAGTCATTTTTACACAACTCTGCTCCTCTTTCCTTTTTTTCTTTTGCTGCAGCGGTCACTGTTACTACCAGACCATCGTCACGCCTGTGTCGCTCCCGGACTCGCCATGCTCGCGGATCCCTCACACCGTCACACTTGTGTCCATCCCAGCCACCGCAGAGGGCAACAACGGACGCAGAGGGCGAGGTTTTTCCGTGGCCATCGACCAGCCGCTCAGCCCGACCAACGGCTTCAGCCCTGAACACGGACACACCGTCAGAGTGTCCCAGTGAGTCTTTTTGTTCTGTGTTTATTGTGTGAGATAAGAGATTACAGGAGAGGTCAGTATGATGAAGGACAAAGGATGAAGAAGAGTGGATTAAAAATGGAGGAGAGAGTGATAGATGAGATTCATTTAAAATGTATAATAGAGTGGAAGGAAAAGGAAATGAGCAGAAATCTGAGTCACTGTTATTCAAATGAGCTGAAGCCTTATCAAATCTGAAGCCTGTGTCCAAATGAAAAATGTTCCAGCGTGTGCACAAAGGTTTTCATTATTATTGTAGACGCTTATTGTTCTGTTTTATCCAGGGTGGATGCAGACTGCATCAGTCCAGATGTGAAAAACTCCATTCACGTTGGAGACAGGATCCTGGAGATCAATGGGACACCCATTCACAATGTCCCTCTGGATGAGGTATTCATCACACTCCACCTTGACAATCTTGCACAAATATTCTGCTGAGGTTAAGGAAATTGTACATCTTCGAGGTAAAGTACCTATCCTGTAACAATAAACGTTTTTTTAACCCCTCCAGATCGACCTGCTGATCCAGGAAACAAGCCGGCTGCTACAGCTCACCATCGAGCACGACCCTCACAGTCTGGGGCAGGAGGGAGGCTCCTCATCCACAGAGGAGCAGGTGGACGGCCCCTTGTCCACTCCTCTGTCAGAGGGTCCCAGCCCTATCTTACCCATCACCCAGCCCCCTCACGCTGACATCAGCAACCTAAAATCCAGAATCATCACGTAAGACATGAACACTTACATGTAGTGGCAAAATAAACACGCCAACAAGCTTAACAGTTTTAGTTTTTAATTGACATACATTACAGTTTTTATATTTGATTGTAAAACCATGATGAATAGGTTTTGTTTTGGGCTGTTAGCATCCCTACATCATGCAGCACTTCGATTAATTTTCTTATTGCAGCAAAGAGTATGAAAATACAACCCCTTCTCTTACTGTTTCTCTTCCTCATGTCTTTCCTTCCCCCTTTCTTTTTACTCCTCCAGGCGGAGTTACAGCATCGATAAATCACCAGGCTCCAGCAATGCAGCGTCCCCTGTCTCCCAGAGGAAGGACATCAATCGATCAGAGTCACTGCGAGTCGTCTCCAATCGGACGCACCGCATCTTCCGCCCTTCTGACCTCATCCACGGAGAGGTGCTGGGGAAGGGCTGCTTCGGACAGGCCATCAAGGTCAGTCACTGGTAGCATTTGTTTATGCCAGCGTGTCAATTAAATGCATATGCGGTATATTGTGCATCGATGCACATGTGGTCATACTCATGTTGTCCATAGGATGGCAGTGTTGAGACAGAAAAGATCTGTGAAAAGGGGAGAGGTTAAATATTTGGAGTTATTACACCTCCTGGAGTTTTAATAATATTGTTTATCATGCTGTTACCCAGACAGAGGGATGAAAGCCTCACAAACTTGTGTGTTTTGTTCCAGGTGACCCACAGGGAGACGGGGGAGGTGATGGTGATGAAAGAGTTGATTCGCTTTGATGATGAGACACAAAGAACATTCCTGAAAGAGGTGAGCAGAGAGGAACAATAACAGATTTTTTAATCCCTCCGGAGAGCAAATTTAGCTTTTATCTGATTATGAAATGATATGCACATAAACAACTTCCTTGAATACGTACATACATGATTTTCTGGTGGATTAAGAGAACATTTGTTGCCAGTCAAACTATCAGCATTAAAAATAGAAAGCAGCCTGAAACCATTGGGAAATTTTGTTGTGAGGAAGTGAAAGGATTTTTTTTTTTGTACTTGACTAGACACTGAGAATTTTGATTATGATTAGCTGTTCCTCTGTGTGAATGTAGGGCATGGTGACTGGATAAAAATGATGAGTTCTCTCAGCTGAATAAATGAAAAGTCAAAAACGTAGAAAAACACCTTTAAAAAGATGACAAAAGAGGTCGTTAACCAAGTCCTTCCTTGCAAAAATTATGCATGACTTTATCTTACATCTCTCTCATCAAAGCTTTATTATCCTCTTTCCTATATTTGGAAAGAAAACAATGAATTAACCGAAGCTTTGACTGGTGTAAAGTTATTGTTTCCCTCACTGTGACCTTGTTTGATGTTCAGTCGTTCAGACAAAGTCATCTGTTTTAATTGGGATGTTTGAAGGTCTCATGGGTGTCTCAGTGTTGGAGTTATTATGAGGTTACAATAGCACTGAGTCTTTGCTCTGTTATTAATGCAGACCACGACAGGGTAGACAGAGCAGCTACCACACATACACACACACACACACAAACACACACACATTACCACAATAAGTCTTATTATTACTGCCTGCTGTTTGTAGGGGAGCATATAACTCATGTGTGACACACATTTCATTTGTTGCTTCACAATCTCTGCGGCTAAACTAAGGAAAAAAAATATCTGAAGCACGTTTCATTGGAAGAGTAATATAACAGATTAATGTGTTTGTAATGTTGGCCCGCTTTTTCCACTTTCACAGCCAGATCCTAAGGGGGGAAATGTTTCATGAGGTGTCATATTGTAGTGGAGCCGATGTAACCTCTAATACTCTAATTCTTTGTGGTTAGCGCTGCCTCAACATCTGGGGAAAATAACTGCTATACTGAAGCAGGACGTGCACTACAACTGTAAATTAAAAGAGGGGTAGGATTTTGGGGTTATCAAAATTAGTTTCTTAAAGAGATTAAACGATCGAACGAACCTCATACTGAAGTGTATTTCTAGTAGCACCAAATATTTAGCATTTTTAATGTCATTTGAAACAATCTCTAAATAGATGGTGGATTTATAAAGTGATTAATTCATTTGAAAATGTGAGGAAAAATGGCGTTCTGCTGCCACCCTCAGGAATGTTACAAAACAGCATGCACAGCGGTCTGTTAGAGTACACAAACACAGGTGCCATGCTTCATATTTTTGTGAAATGTTTGTACTTTTGAACTGACAGTCCTCTTTCCTGCTCAACCAATCTAAGAATAAGAATAACTTTATTTTATCGCTAAAGGGAAATTCAATTCTCTGTAGTCTTAGTTGTTATGTGTCAAAAAGTCATCTACAAAATACAATCTGAAAAATCAATCATATACAATCTGCCGTCTTAGGTACTAATGAGGAAATGTACAACTTTGAACAACTAATCAGACTTCCTCAGAAACACAACAGGTTTCCCTTTTTGCTAGAGAAGTGCTTAATAAGTGTAATATACCTCTTCAATGTGAGGAGCATCAGCGTCACCATGTGTCTCACACTAGTTTTTAACTATTTTAATGACTTTCACTGAAATAGTCAACGGGCTAATGATGAGATGAGTAACTCAACTAAGAGGAGCTATCATTCATGTGTAAAATTATTTATTATTTTTCATCAGGTGAAAGTCATGCGCTGTCTGGATCACCCCAACGTGCTCAAGTTCATCGGAGTCCTCTATAAAGACAAGAGACTCAACTTCATCGCAGAGTACATCAAGGGAGGCACTCTGAGAGAAATCATCAAGAAAATGGTGAGGATTAGTTTTTAAGGAGCACAAAATAAACCTTTTCATTTAGCCATTCAAATACATGCGGGTTCCTTTACATATCAGTGACATGTGTTGTGATTTTTTCCCCCCATAGGACGGCAACTATCCCTGGAACCAGAGAGTCAGTTTTGCAAAGGACATAGCTGCTGGCATGGTGGGTTCAAAGACAGAAACTAGCCTGTAAAAGTTATCTTATGCTTCTTTAATGAAGTGCAGTTCCCTGATGTTGTTGCAGTAAAGGAATTCTCAGCTCCCTTACTGCTGTCTCCCTCTAGTGGTGAAGTCAGTGAGCTGCTAACATTCAGTTTCTATGCCCACAATCTTTTCCATCCTCCTCCATGGAGATGACAGCATGAATTCCTGTAGGATTAGACCATTTCTCCTTCATGTTTCCTTTTATATGAGTACAATGATAGATGCTGTTCATGACTGGGTTATTGTTGATCAAACAAAGGAGGATTGTTCTCCTTGCACATGTTTCGGATCACCACTAAAAGTTTCTGTTTATTTTCTTTCCCTCCTTCCCTTTTTTCTCTTCTCTCCGTCCATCCATCTGTCATTTAGACGTATCTGCATTCCATGAATATAATCCACCGGGACCTCAACTCTCACAACTGCCTGGTCAGAGAGGTAAAAGCTTGTGTAGTCCTGGATGTACCAAAGCATGTACAGTCTGTTTTCTTAGAGGATTTGACATGCTGCACCTGTCATGTGCTCAACTGCGAAAAAACAAAGGACAGCTTTGTTTGCTGTAGCAGTGACATGCTAAGCCGTCTTAAACACACTCTTCACAAGGAGCTCCCAGCTAACCCGACTCAAACAGATACAGCATTGTACAGGATACGTGTCACATGGAAAACAAAACCCTTCATGCAATGTCATTTTTGTCTGTAGGACAACACAGTGGTGGTAGCAGACTTTGGGCTGTCACGGCTCATGGTGGACGACAAGCATGAGCAGAAGTTGTCGCAGGGTAAACTCCCCGGCCTGAAGAAGCCGGACCGCAGAAAGAGATACACGGTGGTGGGAAACCCTTACTGGATGGCTCCTGAGATGATACATGGTATGAGTCATGGGGACGCCCATCTATTTTGCATTTTTCCTGCAAGTTTTCATTTATTTGCATGGTGAAAATAACCAGAAGCATAATCGTAAACCAACACCAACACACTTGTTTTTGTTCCAGGGAAGAGCTATGATGAGAGAGTCGACATCTTCTCCTTTGGTATCATGCTCTGCGAGGTAAGAGACTTTCATTTAAAGTACCACTAGAAAGTTTTTTAGTGTTTAAAGAGCAGGACAAGAAATGATTCATCACTTCCCCAAAAACTAAAATAATACTTACATATCACACAATGCGTAAAAGTTGCTTTTCATGTTGCCTTAATAGTATACCCCTTAAATCCTTTTACACCCCTCTATCTCTTAGATGACATGGCTGATTATTATTTATCAAATGCCATCCCCCGCCCCATTTATTCTAAAGTTTTAAAGCTCCTTATTTCTGGGAGAGTCTTATTTTACCTATTGAAAATGCAGCAGCAGAGTGTGGTGAGATTTGGACCTGGCACAGAAACCACTCCCACAGCTTCAACAGTTTGGTTCATACACTCTGAGCATGACTTCCTCACATGGACACCATTAGCCAGAGAACAGAGTGAGGATTAGAGAGAGCTGAAAAGCAATGTTGTCTTCATGTGGCTTCTGACAGGCAGACTAACGGTAGTTGTGGTCTTTTAAGAGGGAGCAGCTTCAGTTTGGGTGGTTTACTGGTTTACAGCAGATTGGCACAGGATGGTTCTCGTTTTCACTCTGACGACTCTATCTTTAACATTTTTGTTTTGTTTTTCTTGTTCTTTCCAGATCATTGGCAGGGTGAACGCAGATCCAGACTACCTCCCCAGGGCGATGGACTTTGGACTGAATGTGTCTGGCTTCCTGGAGCACTACTGTCCCCCAAACTGTCCCCCTGCCTTCTTCCCCATGGCGGCTGTGTGTTGTGATCTTGACGCAGACAAACGGTCAGACATAGATTCAAACTGAAAAGTTACCTAAAGGGACAGTTCACCCCAAAAAATAAATTTTTGTCACTTCAGTTTTCAGGGAGTTTTGTCTTTGGGGGTTATAACTAACTCTGATGTGGCAGATTTAAACTTATATTCTGACTTTTTTGCTGAAGGATTGTGTTGTGTTGTGTTTTGTTTGAACATGAAAGGATCTAAATTCATTGTCTCTTTTCTCAATTTTTAGACCTGCTTTCTCCAAACTAGAAGAGTGGCTGGAAAATCTAAAGATGCATTTGGACATTGGTCTACCCCTGATGTCTGAACTGGACCAGTTGCACAAGGCCTTCTGGGAGAACCACAGCATCACACGCCCTGAAAATGGCCTGCACACCCATCCTGAGCAGCCGGAGTAGGGCCGAAAGAGACCGGAGGAGTAGGAAATTAGAGTTAACCCCAAAAGGGCAGCGATCCCCTGCCTTGGTGGCTGGAGGAGTAGTGTATACATTCCTCCATGTTTGGAGCAAATGCTGCGGGCGTCGGCTGGCTCAGGCTAAACGAGTAGACTCAGGGGGAAAGAGTGGATCTAAGGAGCCACTTGTGCAAGATGCACACATATATCAAGTCAAATCAAGAGAGATTTACTACAGTAGCTTGATTCTGCTGCACCTGAAGCTTCGGTAGATCATGTCATATGCAATCAAACCCTTTTTTCAAATCATGACTCGTGTAGATTTTAACCTTAGCAGTCATTCCATTCAGTGATACTGTTCTTAATGTAGTGTGTATATTCATGTGGATTTAGCAGAAACAAAGCTTAGAGTAAACCTACAGCCTCTTCACTTTAGGCCTGTACAGAGTACATCGTGCCGTACGTGTTTGCAGGTGTTGTGTGAGTTTGGTTTTGATTTTGATCATCAACTCTTATCTCCATTTAAACTACAAAGGAGAGGGGTTCCTCGAACAAAACCTTTTAAGCTTTAAGTAACCCACTGAAGTGTGCATGACTGTAAATAATGCTGTCAGGTCAAATCCTGGTTCATCGTGTTGCTTCGACCTTGTTTGGTCGTAAACTCCTATACCCACACGTGTCTGTGGCATTGCCCCTCTCCGACATTTATCGTGTAGCACTGACCTAAACATTGAGGTACACAATTTTGCATACATGTGGTACTATGTTTCCCAACTTCAGGAGCTCTTATCTTATTCATATTGACATGGAATCATTTACATTTAGTTACATGCCACTGTAAATAGCTGGCAACATTGTAAATGTTTTAAATATTGTAAATGTATAGACATATTTTATATACCTATGCTACATTGCCATATTTTTATTGGCTGACCAGTGAAATTGAAATTAAGGAGAGTTCATGTTTGACTGCAATTAATAGGGCACAGCCAGACTTTTTCCCTTTTTTTGCTATTTCTTTTATACAGTCAACGTTGTGGTGAGTTTGGAGCTTTTACCAATTGAGAAAAGCAGGAAATTATCCCTTTCACTCAGAACAAACCCATTAGATGTTACATTTTGTCACAATCCTCCATCCACAAAGAGATTTCAGAGTTTGTAAATGCCCCTCTTGGTGTGCTGGAGTGAACACACTTGTGATTTTGGATTATCGAATCACATCAGAATTTAAAAAAAAAAAAAATCTAGACCTTATCAGCAACTCTGATAATGTGATTTTGGAAGTTTTGAGAGCAATCAATAGGTTGAACACATGAATGTGTTTGTCCAGCTGTTAAACAACTATACTGTGATGAAACACAAATGCTGAACGGCTAATTTTATTAAAAAATAACAAACATTTGTCTGGTTGAAAATAGCCGTCTACCATTAGAGATCTTTTCTAACTTTGGGTAAACCAGGTGGGACTAAAAATTATGAGAATATATAACAAAGAAAAATTATATCTACTCCAGAGTATAACTGAGCAACACTGACTTTAAACATCCACATTCCCACGCTGCTCCCCTCTCCAGCCCAGTATTTTTAAATACTTTTATAAAATGATTTACATGGGTGGAGTTCAGTTTAGACCTTGCATGAAGTGACACAGTTAATAACACTCATCTCATGTACTGTACAGTAATTCAGGTGTATGACATCACCAGGTACTGCCTCATCAAGTCAGCTGTCTGTCTTTGTGTTCGTCTTTCCTCCAGTGGACAACCCCACTCTTTGTTTACATGTAAATGAGAGCTGTAAATATCACTTGTATGTATGTGTCTGTCTTACCACTTGTCTGCGAGCATTGCATAAATATGCGCACTCTCTTTCCAATAACCTTTTTCATGCTCGGTTTCTCTCTTGCACACGCTAACAAACAGTTTCCAGGCTGAAAACATTTTTTTCCTACTATCCTGCTTTTGTTTTCATAAGCTGCATGTCATACTATGTCTGCTCAGCTTCTAATTTCTCTTGAAACTATGTCTTTTTAAATAAGAAAACAAGAGTGAAAGACAAAAAAAGTCAACAGAGAAAGTCAGGCTTCAAAGACCATGAGAAAAGATACAGCATCTTTTTTTTACACTAATATAGAAAACCACTGAAATCTTTTTGTATCGATTTTTAATTTGCACTATTTAACTAAATGGCGTGTTGAAGCCATGATAGTTAATTTCCTCTCTCGGGCTAACTTGTGATAAGGAAATAAACTTTGTCAGTTCAGGTTGTTATATGAATGCAAGACACTGATGGAGCCTTTCAACCATAAAAATAGGATCTGGGAAATTCATCCTCTTAAAAGCAAAATTTCTGATTCACCGAAAGTGGATTCTGTGTGGTCCATCTTTTAAAAACAGCACTGGCAGAAACCTGTCAGATCCATCTGAGAATTTATAGCCAAAACATTGTACATCCATGGAAATTATTTTCATTTTCAAATTTCACTAAAATACCCACACGACTACTTCCAAAGTTATCTTGTCCTTGCTGCCAGGAGGATGTTTTTTTCCCAGTTCTGCCTGCTGCCTACAGACCGGTCCTTTGTGAATGATGTCCTGTGTTGTTTCTGACTGCTTGGTTTCGTATGTGATGCCCACAGAGGCTGCAACTACTGCAGGTCTATCTGATAATACAGCACTTAAACTGTCTCACCTCTCACCTTTCACGTGGTCACCACAACTCTTTTGGCTCAGGTCCACACTTTTCTGGAGCTAGCATCACTTTAATTCAGCTATTTCAAAAGATTCACCGGATAGCAGCTTTCAACTGTAACACTGAGACTCACAGAGCATGTAACCTGTCAAAATACGCTTCTGTAAAACAAGTGACCCTTTCCCGGTTGATGTGTTTGTCTGCAGGCATGCACTGTACACACAATGCTTAGCCGTGTTTCTGTCTTCAGTCCCGTCTGAGCCATGTCAAGCATGTTAGGTGTGTCCGTGAGGACACATTGATGATCACTGAGAATGTCGCCGCAGCACTTCTTTGCAAAGGATCTTTACCTCTGAACAATGCTGTGCCTTTGTTGTAAGCTAGCCTTGCCAACGACTCGAAAACATGAACTGATTTCCTCTTTTTTTAATGTATCATAAGTGCAAGCCTGATTCAAGTGGATTGAATATCATTGCTGATACTGTGTTGTATGAGATTTCATCTTGTTCTGTATTATATTTATATTTTCCAGATCTCCATTGTCAGTTTTGATATTTTAATATTATATTTCTTTTTTGTCTTATTTAATTTTTTTACACAAGCTGTGAAAACAATTCTGCACTTTAATCCTGAACGTGAATATTTAGACTATGAGGAGGCGACTGTTTTTTTTTTCCTTTTGTCACAGCTAAAAATAAAACTGTTGCTTCTAAAACACACCGGAAGCGTTTGGCCCTCTTTTCTAATCTTTTGCTACCAAATCTAACACAAAGATTACAAAATCTGCTCCACCAACTTTACAGCCCCACCAGCAGTGAACATGAGTGGGTCAAAACTTTGCTATAAAATCTTGTAAAGCAATGTGTCATAAAAAGAGTGCATATATTTTCTAGAGGAAGGAAAGATGAATAGAAGTTACATAACAAATTCACCACCAGATGTCCCTATTTGCTCTTCAAAGAGAAACATAAACGGTAGTATAGTTTTAAAAAAAAGGAAATATTAGTATATAGAAAGTGTCAGTCATTTTCCTTCTACTACTACAGCATAGTCTCTGACAGAAATAATCACAAAGCTATTTCATCAATTAAAAGTCACTAAAGACACTGTCAAACTTTACCTGAAGTTATCAAAGGTAAAAGCAATGATGGCAAAAATATTTACTGTTTTTGTGGTGGAGTACTGCCATTAATGGGCCAGTTGCAGATGTTTTTTATTGACTGAACCTGTGTTTTATATAAAATTGTGAGTTGCACTCCCCTTTCAAATTCAATTTTATTTGTATGGCACTTTTCATACAAAAAAATGTAGCTCAAAGTGCCTCACAAAGGCTAAAAACAACATTAAAAACAACAATAAAACCCGACCCTCCCACCCACACACCCACCCATGGACCCACACACACACCCTCGCTCACCCACACATACACATACACACACACACACAAGCGTACACAGAGTGAGAGTTTAAGATATAACATTAAAGAGACATTGCCTGACACCGAGACATTGCGTCTCTAAAGAGCTCCCTTTAGAAAACGCTGGAGATAAAAGATTTAAAATAATAATAATAATAACTAAAATTAATTAATAAAATTAAAAAATGGTAAAAAGAAAGACCAAAACCTGATGGACTAAAACAATAAAATAAAATAAAATAAAATGAACAAACAAGTAAGAGCTCTTTACCATATATAAAGGGTAAAAGAAGTAAAAACCTCTGAGGCAATTAGTGAAGAGCCTGGTTAAAAAGATGAGTCTTGAGCCTCTTTTTCCTTTGAAGGATAGAACAAGAATGTGGCAGCATATAGCAAATAAGGGTAGGCCCCGAATAAATTAAAGGACGAGCCCCTAAAACACCTTTGACCTGGATATACACTTAGAGATATAGCTGTCAAATTGAGTAAATGTGTAGTGTTCATTTTAAACTCTCAGAGCAGCTTTAGTCTGAGAGTCTCAGCCCAGACAGTATAATATGAATTTTTAAAATAAGAAAAAACAGAATAATAAATGAGATGTGTTTGCAAATGAGCTAAACTCTGATATACTAGTTAATGGTGTTTTTTTTTACATTTTTAGCTCTCTTCAACAAAAAAATAATTATTATATTTTTTTTGTTTGGATGCTTTGATATTAATAGTTAACTTTTCACATTTCTTTTTCCGTTTGCACCCCTGACCTCTACCCTGTCACCTGACCACTGTTACTACATTTAAGTCCGGAAATGGTGCTTTTTTTCGCAGGTGAAGCACGTGATCTCTCTTTCCCATCACATCCACGTGCGATTGTTTTCATTCCGCCGCCGCTGCTGCAACGTCTGCTGTCTCGTGACGTCACGGGGGCTGGCCGCGCGAGGAGGCAGTTTAGAACGGCTTGCGATGTGCGCGCGTGAGCGTGCGCGTGCCGCTACCAAACAGTCACACTCACACACGAGCCGAGGGACGGGTTTGTCCGGTCATACACACAACACACACACACACACACACACAGAGACTTGTCATTCTATCGCAGTGGGATCGAGACTGAGAGGAAATATTTGGAAATTAACCGAAGAAGAAGAAGAGGGGGCAGAAGTAGAGGGGGAAAAGGACAACGAAGAAGAAGAAGAAGAAAAAAGGAGGTCGCAGCCATTGGCGCTTGCCAAGTGAAACTTTGAAAGATGGAAAATTCGTCCAGCAACAACCGGTTTCGCTCCACAATGTTCAACCACGGTGAGATATATGTGACACTCAGTGTAAGCTGCTGTTTTCTCTTTCAGCTGATGCATTCGCCGTAAATTTCATGTAGACAGATTTTTCCCTTTGAATCGTGTTTTTTATTCATCACTCGAAGCCGATAAAACACACAAACGCCTCACTCTCCGTGTGTCGCTTTTGTTCGCACACATTTGGGTCGAAGGCAGGAGTGCATTTTTTCGGAAACTGGTGCAGATAAATTACACTTTCATTGAACAGCGGGTACACTTCGTTCCTCTGGACGAAAATCCCTGAAAATCCTGCATCCTGAGCTCCACACGGGACACGGCGGCAGCAGCAGCACACTGTAATTCTACAGTTATGCAAGAGTGGTACCAGGACTCACCACACTAAACTATTTCTGTACCACCAAAAGATAGAGCTGTTTTTCACTGATGCTCTGAGGGGCTGCAGCCGGATCCTATTCACACAATGTTGTATATTTACTCTGAAACCAGCAGCTCTGGATCACTTTGTTTTGTCGTGGAGCTTGAGTCATCATTGACAATGAGACATTTTCAGTGATATTTATGACTGTGGAGACCAAATCCACCACCATACCAAACCTACTTGAAATCACAAGTATGAATCGAGTATAAACCAACAAACTTGGTCTTTCATTTGTAGTTTTCATCTTCTGTTGATTGTCCTGAATATTGTTCGCATGACTAAATACATGCCTGCACATTCCATGAGACCTTATATACAGCCTATAGTTTAAAGAAACATGAATGATGCTGGGCATTTCTGATTCAAAACTATCATTATGTGCTTAGTTTATCTTAACAAGTAGCCTATCTTCAAACATCTTTCATATCTTTGTGTAACTTTGTTGTTCGTGTTTTATCTGATTTTTGTTCCCATCTTCCAGGTTATTGAACTTAGTTTACATTAGGGGTTGGAAAAGTAATATGGCAAGGCATGATCCACTGAGGTATGACACAAAACTGTGTGATATATGACATAACACATTACGATAACTGATAGGTGGCCCAGGATAATATCATTATGGGGATAACTGATACATTGCAAGACAATAATGTAGTGATACACCTTAAGTGGTGGTTAAATGGTCAACATAAGTGCTTCCAAAAGATGCAGTCAGGATTTATATCGTAGGTGCCACCATGAGGAGTCCTGAAGTAGAGACACATTGAGTCAAATCAGTTGGGAAATCTGAGTAGAACGTCATGTTATTGTATAGATCCAAAAATTGATATCTTGGTGCCAATTACAAGTTGTATCCAGGCCACAGTACTTGTCTTGTCTTGTCTCACCCTGATGTACAATGAATGAACTTCAAGCCATAGCAACATATTACACACAGAAGCTAATATCTGCAGTAATTCAATATTAGCTGATATATTGGCCTGGCTCCACGTAAAACCTTCGTGTTGGTCTGTCTGGTGGCGTCAAAGATGATGTTTCATGTTTCCGTTTGTACCAAATGTCTATCTCCTTTTTCTTATCATGTCTGAAAACACCGTTAGTCTGCGTGCCTATCTTATGAGCTCCAGAGAAGAAAAGCAGCATTTTACTTTCAGTCACAGCAGTCTCATGATACACTGGGGGCTGAAGTCACGCTGAAACATCTGGCTTGCCCTTTGGTGTGTATGTATAGGGGTGGTTGTGTTGGAGACAGAGATAGGAGAGAAAGTAGGAGAGAGCCAACAGGGGTAGTGCTGAATCATGTATTTCTTAAGTGTTTTTGTGTAAATCAGATTTGATCACTGTATTTGATTGTAAACATAACCAATGGATAAAAAAGCACTCCAGTGTTAATCAATCAGTAGCAGACGGTCCAAATGCTCTCTTCTACTCACTCACCAGTGCTATTTGTAGATATATGACTGAATTACAAGACTACATCTAAATACAACTTTATATATACTGCACTGGTTTAACCAGAAACCATGAAAGTGCCCCTTTGAAGACAAAAAGAAACAGATCTATTCAGAGTAGTGCGTGTTTTCTGAGTTAATTTTTTATATTGGCAGCCATGTTTTGTTATGAAAGTGAGAATTTTAATCGTGGGATTCATCTTTAACATTTCTGCTTAGGTGTTACACATCGCTGATCTGATCAAATAATAGTTTTGCATATCTGGCATCTATGATCATTACTACTCACTTTTTCAGCTTTCTTTAAAATCATACCCTTTTGTCATTTATCAGTCAGGAAGATGTAAAAATATTATTAAGTGTCATTCTAATTTTTTCATTAAACTCACCTTTTGTGCTGAATTGACCTGCAAGCTGTAGGTGGAACTTCAATCCACACCCTGTTTCTTAAAAGCCAAAACTGATTAAACAAGTCAATCAACATATTTCCTTTTCTTTTTTTCTTCAAATGAGCAACAGTCTCACGTATACACAAAGAGTAAAAGGCTCTCGGTAGGAAAAGTGAGTGTGGTGTGGATGGGTGGCACAGTCAGCAGTTGCTAAAATTCCTCAGGGAAAGCCTTGTGGAGGGAAGCTAACATCCTCACTGCCTCCCCTGGCTGTGCTGACAGCACTGCTGGTGCGAGACCTCAACATGTAGGTCAGGGGATGAACCACAAGAAAAATTAACAAGTCAAGCGAGTGGCTATTATAGTTCAGCAGAGGAATTCAACATTGATCACATGATCTCTGTAATGAGATGTTTTAGCTCTAAATTTGCAGACATTTCTTTGGCTGTGGTCAGGGATGTTTTATTTATCTGTTCATTTGTTTGCTTTGTAAACAGTGCACAGGAGTCATATTTACATGTCATCCTGCTGTGGTCATTTCAATCAAAGTGCATCTGGAGTTATGCCTGCTGGTGCCATTGCTGTTTAAAGCAGCTCATACATTATATATTGTCCATATGCAGGAAGGACTAAAGCACTGCCTGCTTGCTGTTACTTTGCTGCTGCTCCTGAAGTGGATGTTTAAGATGGCAGAGGCTTTAATGACGTTTCAGTCCTCTATCCTGCCTCCCAGTCTAGTTTGCTGTATGAGCTCAGAGTCAGCAGTGGTCCTGAGTTTAAAGCAGTGAGTGAATCAATATTTGTAGCTCTGCCAGTTAGTGTCACGGGACAGGTTGCTTGAAGTAAAAAAAAATGCTTAAGAACTGTAAGAATCAGTGAACGGCATGCACTGGGACTAGACTGATCCAGTGCTGACTCTTGGCTAATGATGTGACAGACCAGAGGGTGTTTATTCTGCATGGAAACACCAAGAGTGTCATCCAAAAATAACAATTTGTGTCCGAAAGTTTTGCACACCTTACTCTTTGTCTCAATACATTCAAAATTCTGGAAATGGACTGATAAAGTAACAATAGCATAAACCTGCTCAGCTTTTCAATAAGAAACTTTGAAGCAGTCATACTTTGTCAGTTTCTTCAAACTTTGGTTGTGCTGTACAAACTGTTAGTGATAATTCACCATTTTATTGAGACTTTTTGGAATCAGCAGCTTTGCAAAATCAAAATAATGGCAGTGTTGTAAGAAACCCAAATGGAAACCTTGTCTTGAGCTTAATACAAACCTCTCCTTACCTTAGGGGTCTCATAACTGGTCCAAAATATTCAAATAATCACAACTAGTCTGAAAAACACATGCTGAAGCTAAAATTTTCATATACATGTGTAACCACTAAAGCCCAAGGCAGAATATGTATGTAACTGGTCTGTGATGTAGAACCTGTTTCATTTGACTTGTCTACACAAGCAGTCGGGTCTCATTCTACTAAGAAATAAATGACATCAGGTAGATCCTGAAACCGGACAATCCAGGTGTCCAAGATATGACAGATGTTATAGAGACCATTGTACCCAAAACACGCCTCATCAGAATATAGAAATAATTTGGGTAGTTGATGTTCATCTTAGTTCTCTGTGCTTTCTGATCGCTATATTTTATCATGTTGACAATCTTGTCTTTGTTTTTCTCTTATGTGTCTCCAACCTACATCTGATGTGGATAACTCCTACCTCTGATCAATCCTTGTCCTCTGAACAGATGATGAGGTAAGATGCCAGAGTTTTCCTCCGTCTTGCTGCTGAAGATGATCTTTGTCTCTGGTGGAGATTTTGCTTTAATCATTCACCAGAAAGGCAGATGCTGCTCTGTTTTAATCCTGAGAGCCTCTGATAATCAAGTGATATTTTTCATGTGTGTCATGTTCATGTAAAAAGAGTTTATACATTGCTTTAAAACAAGTGGAAAAAGCCTAACATACATTGAAATTTTTGTGAAAACTCTAGAAACCAGTGTCTGCTGTTTGGTCATTATAGGAATTATTTGATTCTGAATTTATATTAATGTTGAAAAATTGTCCTAATATGACTGCATGTGAGATGAATCTCTCTTTATACGAGTGGTGTTAAGCTTATGTGGCTTCTTTGTGCTCATGTGCTTTGGGGTTTTACTTGGCACTAAAGAAGAATAGCTGAGTGAGATAAAGGTGTGTTCTCAATGCCCAGATTTTCTTGTTCCTTGTCTCACCACAAAGTGACAACTGAGAATCTTTTGTGTGCGTCTGCTTTTGTTTGTGAACCTGCCACTTTTGTCTGAGTTTCACTCTTCAGTGGTTTATGGTTGTCGGTCTTTCGGCAAAGTCAGCAGCTCGCCTGAGGCGTATCTTAGCGTCAGACTGATGGTGCTCATCTGTTCAGGCCTTTCCAGTAGCCAGCGGTCTGTCACCTCAGTGTCAAAATGGACCCCCTCCCTCTTCTCAACTCCTCTTCCTCATGTCACTGTGTACGTCCCGAGCCCTGCAGCTGTGTTTGGTTGAGCTGAGTTTGGAATAAAAGGGGGGAGGGAGGCGTGTTTGTTTTCAGGCCCAAACAGTTTGCAGACAAGTGGAGAGGAGTGGATCCATATGGGTGTGACAAACTCCGGTTCCTTCCTCAGCAGCATTCCAAGCCTGTGTGACAAACCTGCAGTGTATGCGGGCAGAGGCAGCACCTTTTGAGGAGACCATCAACATCTGTCGACAGCCCAGAGGCTGCAACTGCTGCAGGCTGGACTGACGACATTCGCTGGTTACTCTCGTGGTGGTTTGGCACTTCTCTCGCCGGCGGGTATATGATTAAATAAGCAGATGTCCAAGTGTGCATAAATTTAGTTCCTTCCTTCCAAACCACACCCATTGTGAGATCTACATAAACACAATTTATCTTCCCTCTGAACACCACCATTGAGTCCAGGTTAACATGTCTGGAGTGCCTGTAAATCACACAGGGCTCTGGGGTGTGACGACGGAACAGGGTGGCTGTGGCTTCTTTTTGTGAGCCCAAAAATGCCACATACCTTCTTCCTCTCTCTTACGCACACATGAACAGAAAGAAAGACGTCACTGTTCATGGGCAGTGCCAGCTACGGACAGGGAAGAAGAGGAGAAGATGTTTTTCTCTCTCTTGACATTTGTGTCTCCGTGCACCCACACACACTTGCATATACGTTCACTATGGTGCATTCCTCTGTGGCTTTTACTCAACTAGCCATTAGCTTCCTGTGCCTTCAATTGCTTCTTGCCACTGCAGCCAAAGTGCAAGCAGTCTATACTTGGACTTTATTAGCCCATTAGCTTGCTAGCCTCTGCAGTGGATGCCAGTTTTCCTCTCTTCTCCGTGTGTCATGTAGTTGCGTCTGTTTTCCTCATTTGCTGTCAGTGCCAATGTGTGTGCTCTCACTGCATTCATTTGCAAACTGGAATGGCAAAATCTAAAGGTGGCACCACACCCAACCATTCAATGATTGACAGTTCATTGTTAAAGAAACATACAGAACATATTTTATGAACAAAACAACGCTAGTAATTAAGCTAGGGAATGACAAATCATGGGTGTGACATTTAACGTTTGATGCTGTTGTGCTTACTCATAAGCTCTCTGACTTCTTACTCAAGATCTAGTCTTATTTTATAATGTAGACATTGAGTACTAATTGTTAACATATATTAATATGTTGCGCTGTGAGTGTGTCATCCATCAGATCATCCCTTTGAATTCACACCAAGAACAGTAGTGCCACTCTCCTCTGTGAGCTCACTCATCGGAGAAACCCGACCCATCATTGTGAATAACTCTATCCTGAGTTAAGTGTGTTAGCTCCAGCCACATAAAGTGAGATTTCCTGTGTGATGATGATGATGATGGCACAGTGAAGATACAGAGGCTGTAGCGTCATTGGGTATTTTGGCTTGTGGGTTAGGCTGTGACAGGCCGCCCTGTGGGCTTTCTCAGTTTGATGTGAGGGCAAACAATCGCACTAGGGACCAGGCACGCAACACTTGACTGAGTAGGAGGCTGTTGTAAGACAACAATAAAGAGATGGTGATAGATGAGTGCTTTAAGAGGGATTTGTTTTGAATATGGCATGCTGTCATGAGTTCACTATTCTTTTAAAAAGGGGCCAGTTAATCCACAGGAAGAGAAGCCTCATTCGAGCACCTTTAACATATAATGACCATTTATAAAAGCTTGAAAGATATAATCATATGAAGTATTTCTAACAAAATGACATAGTGTGTTTATTTGTATGTTTGTTTTGGTTGTTTTGTCTCTTTTCCTTAAGGGTCAGATAGCTGCAGTTAGTGGTTTGTATTTTTGTTGACCTCTGTCTTTAAATGATGAGAAACAGTTTATTAAAGAAAAGCAAAAGTGTAAATAATGTGTGTAATATTTCTTTGAATGCTGGTTTGTTGTCGTGGCTCATCTGAACACTTACCCCTACATAAAAACACCAACACCAACTACAGTCTTACAAATATCAACACCAGGTTATGCAATGGGTAAGACTAAAATACTTTGAGCAAATACTGTTAAAAACACATGTGCATTCCTCTACAAATCTCTTTGGAATATCTGATCCTAGACTGCTGCTGAATGCCACATTTTTACAGAAAAAAACCTTTGAAATGCTTGGCTGAATTGCCCTATTTGGTCCTCTTCTGACATTCTTACTTCCTATGCTCACCGCTTCCTTCCTGTCCCCGCTGGGCCTGCTCACCAGACCCTCAAACTAATCGGCTCGTGTCTTCATCCCTGCAGATGTCCCACGTCAGCCCAAGCTAGCCTCCCATTATCCAGCCTCAGCACTCTGCACAAGATTTGGTCAGAGGGCGACCTTAGACATTCCTCTAAAGCCTCATAGAAGTGGCCCCTGCCAAGCCCCCAAACCCGCTATAAATAATCTCAGCCCAGTTCCCATGGCCCCCACCGAGGTCTCGGCACTCCGATAGAAATGCATGAAATGCAACAGTGACACCAAAGAGAGCACAAGTCTATTCATCTTCCTCTGTTGATGAGCTCTCTCCAAGAAGGTGAGGCAGGTGTCAAGGTTATCAAAGATACTCAACCTCTGAGATTGGCTGAAGCGAAGGACTTCATCAGATGTTCTCTGTTTGGGACACTTGCAGTATGATCTGTGGTATAGGTCAAAGTTGTGATGTGAATGTGTATCTGACTATAGGATTTGTTTTCAGATCCTAATTCCCCCGTTCTCAACCGAGACATTGGACAAAGACATTTTTCTCAAACACCTTTAATCAGTCACCTAGTGCTGGTTGGCCCAGATGAGGCACACACCCCAAGTCCTGAGGCTACGGTACTCCTTTTAAAGTCGCTGGTTCAATTCATGACTGTCTGGGAAACAAAACGTGTTTTCTGCCTCTCTTTATCTGTCCCATCTAATAACGGCAAAAATGTTCCCAAAATAACCAAAAAACTAACAAACCCCGAAACATCATAAATCAAAGCTAAAAGGAGAGGTTGTGATGCCGTGATTGACTACAGACAAATACAGCAGCTCTCTTTACTTGATTGGCAGAGTAGGAGAGGAACACTGAGAAAAGTTTGACTTTGACTCAGTAATGTCATTTGATAACAGTGTTCCTGCACGCTCTTTGAGTATGACATAAGACTTGCGGTTCCTCCTACAATCTAGCCATATTTGTGATTCCATTTCAGGAACAGCTCAAAACTCTTTAGGTTGAAACACAAAATCTAACCTTTTGTGGAATAAGATCAGGCAAACAAAGTGGTTTATCTACATTGTCAGAGAATGACTCGTGTTAAAAACTACTCCAGAGTAGGGCTTTAAGTTTACATCACAAGTGTGGGTGTTTTTATTTTTTGGCATACTCAGATTCCATGCCCTCATTGCACAATTACAGTATTTGCAGCATCTATTCCCAACCTCCAACCCCTGTGGGACGACTCTCAAATTCCTCCAGGTTTTCACTCTGTGGTTTGGAGTGCAGTCATGTCTCAACCGACTGAGATCAGCATATTAAATGAATATTCAGGGATGTGCTCAGCCTGGGTACGCTCATGTGTGTCTGTTTTATGCAGTCGTTCAGCCATACTTTGGTATTTGAGGACTGGAGAGCATATTAGCACATGTGTAATCTTTGGATATGTTTGATGGTTGTTGTTATTCCTGTATCTTACATGTATGTTTCAAATGAAGCGAATATACAGTTAACATGCTTTGTACTGTTGAAGGGTGTGGTGTTTCAGGAAATATAATAAGTATAGTGTAGAGCTGGGCGATAAAATGATAATGATATACAGTACATCGAAAATTAATTTCCCTCAATATCAATATGAAACATGGTCAATACGCTTTTCGATAGTCGGCATTCTGCCATGTGTTGGTAGACTATACGAGTAGCCAATGAAAAGAGGGGTTGCTCTGAGTCCACTTTGTGCTGAACCAATCATGTGCTGAATTAGAACCAAGCAGCAAACAACTGCGTAGTAGCAGCTACATGCGACCACAACACTTTTACACATGAAGCCGACAGCACTGTCAGAAATCAGCAGAAATGCAGGTGAAGGCTTAACAGATGACAACAACACTGACACAAAAGCGTCGGTGGTTTGGAGGGATTTGAGTTTTTTGAGGTCGGACATGAAGCAGAGTAATGTACACTGCAAATTATGTTGAGTACATGTTCCTGCAAAGTCTGGGAATACCTCAAATCTGTTTCACCTTCTGAAGCAGTGCGCAACGCAAAAGGTTATAAACCTCGTGTGGAGCAAGGAGCCCATGGCGCCTGTGCAGCCGAAACTGCTGACCATTCAGTCCACTTTCTCTAGCACAACGCCTCACGACAAAATGTCAAAGAGACACAAAGACAGATGCAGTATCTTATTGTATTGCAAAAGACATGCTACCACCAAGCCCTGTTAAATTTAATTCTTTTAGTATGACATATATTAATATCGACTGATATGAAAAGAATATATCTTTTTCCCATATTGCCCAGCTCAAGTACAGTCAGTGTATTTTGTTTTTTCCCTGCTGCACTTGACAGTATTATACTTGTGATGCACTGACAGTTTATCAACCAGACTGTTGGTAGTTAGGAGGGACAGTTAACCTGGGCCAAAAGCCAGTGCCTCTAACAAAGTCAGAGTTTGCAAGCAGTGTGGAGACACAGCTGCACATCAGATAGAATTATAAAATTATAACAGTTATTAAAATGTTTATGTCGCAACTACACATAAGTGACCGTAAAGCAGAGCATCTGACATAACTATTATAATGTTCACTGCATATTGAGCCCCCAAGACTGTCATTTAATTGTTTTTCAAATGCTAGCGAATGCAGTTTTGCAGCATACCATCCAACACGTGATAATCCACGAGCAGTAAATGATCCCTGACATTCCCTTAAGCCTGTAAGTTATTTATAGAGCTCAACATTTAAATATTAGATGAATTTGACATCTTTGGTGTTAGCCATAGGTGTTGAGCTCTTTGTGTGAGTGTGTGTGTGTGTTGGGGTATTCCATCACGTGTGTGTCTGAGTATGTCAGAGATGACAGTTCTGCGTGTCCAAACTCAGCATGGTCCTCAGCTGCAGCACCCTGAAAGAAAACATTTCCAGATGCTTCCATCATGCTGCAGGACAGCAGGAGGAAATGCCAAGCAAGCCAAAAGGAAGAGCAGCAGAGATGGAGGAGATCTTCTAGAGGACAGGGGATGTAGTAAATGATGGTTCAAGTCCCTGGAGGACAGAAAACCTCTTTCTTGATTCAGCTTGGTATGCCTTATCTCCAGGATCTGGCCCAAAACAATTGTGTGGAAATGTGAAAGACTGTTGAAAGAAGCAGCTCCGTAAATCCACTGGCATCCCATAAAAAAATAGAAAAATACTTAAAATGAAACCAGTTTGATTGCTTATCCTATCGTTTGTTATCCACACTGTCAACCTGCAGGCGCAGACAGACGAAAAAGATACACACATGGAGGTATCAGATTTAAACACTTTGGTGTAGGTAAAGTGAGGAATGTGTTAGCGTGCTGTGACTTGATGATAGATGGAGATGAGAGAAGGCTGGGAGTTTAAGACAAAACCACAACATTTAGAGACCGTTACTATAATTTAGGAAGTGATTTAGTAAGGGAGAGAAAAAGGAAACCAGCATGTGTGAATCAATCAGTCAGTTACTTTGGCTTTGGGCGGCCCTTTGAATCTCCCGTTCCCTTTACAATCCTGGACCTCAGTGCCAACATAAGCAGGAGACCCCAACTATCTGCAGCAGACAGATAGGCACTGCACAAACACAGACTCACACACAGAGTAGCTGGTTGCCCAGTGTGAGTAAACAGTGTCAGAGATGTAATGGGGGGCAGGCAGAGGCCAGGTGCACTTTTATTGACCATCGGCACAGTGTGTGACTCTTCCCTCCTCAATGTATCACATTTGACTCTGTGTATGTGTTTGTGTGCGTGGATACATGTGTTTGACCTTATCCACATCAGTCAGCTGCCGGCCCTTTGAAAACAGACACTGGAATAATCACAGCACTGGCATGCCACTGTTCAGTAAATATTTATTACTCTTTTATAGAAATAGTTTCTTGAGTTCTATAAATCTAAAACTAACTTCTCTCTGATCTGCAGATTTGTGTTTTTGGAAGAAAGGAGCATTGAGTAAATCAAAGATGCATGAATGTCTAAATAATACCAGCAAGGCAATCAGGTGTGATCTGATCCCTTCATATGAGTGTTATGGTTTTCTTTTTACCGTATGTCTTTTGGCTCAAATATTGGCTTTTTTGTAAGAGTGTGCTCGACAAACACCATATTGCCAGTATTGATAAGGATCACCTCAGGACATGCTTGGGCACATGCCTTCATATTTACTGGTATCATGATGGTCTGGGACATAGCAGCTGTGACCTTTAAAAGGGATACTCTGGTGTAAAATAATCATTACTTAATCATTTCCATGAAGTAATAATCATCATATAAATCATTTGGCACTGCAGACGCGGTAGTTCTTCTTCCTTCGCATCTCGGTCTGATTGCATTTCCATGAAGAAATGATCATAAATGTTCTTCCTTGAGCTGCGTCACCCCCCTGCGGTAATGGACTCGCCTGAGGTCTCCATACAAACAAGCGGCTGCTGGAAGAGAGTAGGTGAGTTGTGTTTAGTCTCTTTGCTAAAGAAATTAGGCAAAGCTTAAAAGATGTTTGGTGGCTAGTGCTATGGCTTGAACCCCATATGTACTGTTAATGAAGTTAGGTGCTGTTCTGAGCATTATTTGTGGCTATAGAGTGGCTTTTTGGTTGAGGTTTGTGTGTGGCTCCTGAGACCGCTGTGTTTTGCTATCGTGGGGTCGTTACTAAAGTTTGTATAACTAGAGAAGCAAGCAGTTGGCAACATTCATCTCTCGAGGGGGTGTCTAACTCGGTGTTATGGTGTGTTTGACCCTAACTTCATTTTACGCTGGAATATCCCTTTAATGTCTGAATGATACCAGCAAGGCAATCAGGTGTGATCTGATCCCTTCACACAAGTATTATGGTTTTCTTTATACTGTATGTCTTGTGGCTAAAAAAGGGCTTTTTTGTAAGAGTGTGCTCGACGACCACCATAATCCCAGTATCGATAAGGCTTATCACAGGCCATGCTTAGGCACTTGTCTTCATATTTACTGGTATCATGATGCTCTGGAACATAGCAGCTGTGACTTTAATGATTTGTTTAAGTCTTCTGTAGAGGGAAAGGTACTGTGATACGTAAGTGTTTGGGATTCAGGAATACTGAACAGTAGTGCTGCCAGTGTGGGGTTTGGGGTTAGAAGTGTGTCTTTGTGAGATTTGGGATCATACACCACAACATGTGTGTCTCATTGAAGGATCAAAGAGGAGACATGTGGCTCCTGCCCCCCTCGATCCCTGTAGAGCCTGCTCCCCCTTCCTCCCATCACCTCTCTTTCATGTGCTCCTTTCTATTTAAACTCCTTTTTTTTTTCTCCTTTTTGTCTTCCGGTGTACAGAGGAGCTCCCTGTTAGTCTTAAATAGTCCGTCTCACTTACAGGATTCACTCCCTCTGGTTTTCAGGCTTTCTCTCTTTAACCTCCACATAAACACACTCGCATACCTGTGGCATGTCGACCTCACTATTATCCAAGAGCTCAGACCACACCGGCATCCGTGTCGCTCCACGTGTCTCTTTCCTCACAGCCAAGGAGACCGTCTCTGAAACTAAAACAGAAATAAGAACTAGGGTTGTATTTTTGAAAGCACATTTTAATGCAAAGATGTCGCTTCAGATCTTGATATTTTGTATTAGTTTGACTCTTTTATGTCATTACAGCTGCATTTTTGTGTATCCATTTGCTGTATAGACCCTTTAATCAGAGACCTATAAACACTCTTAATGACTGTTTATTAGAGAACCGTCTACTGGAAATATCACCTTGTTAAAGCTTAAATTCAATATAAGACAGCTAACAAGACTGATCTCAGTGTTTCTAGTTTAATCTCAATATAAAGTAAAAAGCCAAATATGTCTTATAATCCTCAAACCTGATCTTCTATTTATATTTTGTAATTGAGGGGTACCCCCGTATAGCTTTACATTTATTTTTGTGGCATTTAAACCAAAATTGCTAAAATATAGAGTAAAACTCCAACTGCCCAGAAACCACAACTCATTTACTATTGCACTCTGTGAGGTGGGTTTAATTTCAGGTGTCCGTGTTATTTTGTGTGTGTTTTTGTGCATGTGTGTATGCACAAATGACCTTCAAAGGTTAAGAGGACACGGAAACACCACGCAGAGGCCCATTACTGACTGCTTTATGGAGCGGGCCTCAGTATTGAAGCACCACAAACAGCTAATGACTTCCTTATTCTAGTGTCTTTTTTTAGACTCTCACCCATTGAAAGAAAATAAGAAAAAGCATCCGGTAGTTGTGGCGGTGTAACAGGTTGTCATGGGCAACTGTTTTATGGGATGATACTCACCAGCAGTGCCGTTTTTCTTTTTTGTTGCTTTTCATTGAAAGTTTCTGACAAAGACACTCGGGGAGAGCCTCAGCTTTCACGGCTTTCTATGAAATGTCTAAACAAAAAAATGGTGTCACTAAAACCCTGAAGGATATTTTATTGAATTCCTGTGGTAAATATAGAAACCTGAAGGACACTGACAGCCAGGGCAAAGAGAAAACACAATTTGTCTTTAGATAACTTTGACAGAAGAATATCTGTTTTGCCTGAGGTGACTGCAGTAATTTGGACTAAATTATACAAGTCAATGTCCTATAAAATATAGAGCTGTCCAATGTCAAAGTAAGGAGTCATCTTGGAAATGAGCTGTCTGTTCAGCCTTGAACATGCTCTCGAATTAGCTCACATACTGTAAACTTGACCAACATTTGACTTCCAAGTCAACACTAGAGGTGCACCGATCCATTTTTTTCTGATCCAATCCGATACCGATACCTGGGCTGAGTGTATCAGCCGATATCTGATACCTACTGTTGAATGAACTGTATACCTTGCCCTGTGAGTGAAGGCATCAGGCTTGACATTAGCCTTGTTTAAAAAAAAAGGTAGCAAATTAACACAGATATAAATTTACTTAATGATATTTATTAACAAATAACAAATTGCACATTAGCAGACAGCAAAAAGAAGTAAGACTTCCATGTATGAAAAGAAACATTAATTAAAAGGAAAAAAAAAGACTTGATCGAAACACTGGATCAGTGTCATTTATTAGATATCTGATCCAGTTAATTTGTCAATATTGGAGCTGATATCCGATCAAAATATCAGATCCATGCATCCCTAGTCAACACCTCCCTAATCACTGAGTCTTTGTGTGACCCCGATTAGCCTTTAACTTTTAGATTCTTAGAGAAAAGTTGCATTGACCTCTGTCTCAGTCTGACATGTTCTTGTCTGCAGGGATAACATTAACACTGACATTTGATCACTTAAATAAGCTTGAATAGGCAGTACAGTACAGTTGACCTTGAATGGTCTCCTTCATAGAGAAAGATGCCAGGGAAGAAATGGAAACCAAATCGGCTTCTTGCGAACAAAATACTTAGGAAAACTGGGATGTGAGTATACTTTGGCGTTTGAACGGCTTTTAAAAATAACGTTGGTATTTAATCACTGGAGGTCCTTTAAATTTGTGGGGTTTAGGGCAGACTTTTTAAGGATTTATGAACTAAAAGTGCTTGGAAAAATATTATGCTAGTGTGTTTATCCCAACATGCTTCTTTTTACAGTGTAGTTCATCACTTGAAAGAGTTTATTGCCCTTTTGGGCCCCTGTAGTCTCCCACCACAGCTCAGGCCCCAGGAGAGTAAATAAACGCCCTTGGTGTCCTTGCCATTGGACTCCACCTGTTGACAACGGCCACAGAAGACAGCCAGTCACCTTCCAGAGCCGCCTGTTTGTGTTATTTATGTTTTTGGGGAATGTAACACATTTTAAGAGCACCCTGAGGGTGGAGGAATGTGTTAAACGTTTTGATGATGTGATGGATCAAATTACAAAACACGCAGTGAGCACATGTTGAAGAAATTGGAGAATGTGTACTTATAAACAGGAGAGGAGGCATAGAGGTTCTCACAAACCATGTGCTGACACAAGAAACCCTTGGTGTAGTTTTATTTCCTTCACATTTTTGTTGAACAAGTGGGAGAAACTTGACAGCAAACTCTTACAATGCAGATATCTAAAATGGCACTTTGTGGTCTTACCCACTTAGCCCTTTTGGTTGTGACATTGTTTTCTCAGGGAACTTGCAGAGCAAGCGGGCCGGGATAGAGACATCTTGGTATTGCATATCTCAAGACAATGTGTGCCGGCCCCCTGGGGCTGTCAGGAAACCTAACCCCACAAAAACATATCAATTCCTGTGTGACACTTGAGCAGTAAATTTATGCCTCCATAAAACACACAGTCAAAGTTAAAAGTGTTTTGGAAGTTTGGTGAGTCTTAAGAGCATCTGTCAGAAGTTTTTAAATCTCTCTGGATGAAGAAAAGTTTTTGAACGGTTTACAACTAGCTCTTGTTAGTGTTGGATCTGAAAAATACCAATAATCTCTAAATATCTTAATATGAAGAGTAAAGTTTTCCTACTCTGAACGGGCAGTCTGAGCCGAGTCTTTCTCGGAGTGCTGCCCAGTTTCCCTGGAAGTCATGCCAATGGGGTGCCCCCTTTCTCTGCAGTTTAAGAATAAAACGAAAATACTGAAGGCTTGTGCAGCCAGTCTGGTTAAAGAGACACAGGTTTAAATGTATGAAGTTGCTCTTAATGTGTTTGACTGGTCTTGAGGAGCAGTTTAGCTGCGTCAGTCTGTTCTTGTGAGAATGGTCAATATGAATGACTTTTACATGGCAATGCAGGAACGTTGTTTTTCTTTCTAATCAACAGCTTGGTCCATCCAGAGCCAGACTGCTGGGAGGCCTGGCTAGCAAGCTCTGGCTGCTGACTTAGGGAGTCTTGCGCTCGCTGGTGTCTGGGCTATTAATAGAGCTAGCCTGAGAATCCAGACTAAGGTCAGCAATCAGATTCCTGCTTCCAACTAGTGGAAGGGAACAAGAAGGAAATGTCCCTGCCTGAAATTATGCATTTTTTACATTTCTATTCATGTATGTTAAGTTTCACTGATGTTTGCATGATGAGGTAATGGCACCCACTTCTAAAAGTGCCTACTGCTTTATTTCCTGCTTTCTTTCGCCCGTAAGATTCACTTTTTAAGTTCTTTACCCATGGGATGTGTCTACGTGTCTCAGCAACACCATGACTCTTTTTCTATGCACTGGAGCTATGGTAGATAAGAGGCTTCATAAATAGTGGACATTTCAGATAAGAAAAAATGCTCTCTTTATTTACTTCAACATATATCATAGCTATAAGTACACATATAAAGACCTGAGAGGATATAATGCAGAAAAAAATTGCCAGAAGACATGATATCATCACATAGTTTGTCTAGCAGAGCACACTCCTCCCTACTGTTTACTATCTGCACTTGATACACTGAGGCTGAGACACTCCAGAGTGTTTATAAAACAGATTTTGATGGTTTACAAATCATTTTAACTGTGTGATGATAAATATGCAGAGATAACATCACATGTTTAAACTAAAAATTTGTCACCCTGAACATTTTGAAGCTGCACAGTGACATATACACATTAAACTGTAACACACCAAATGTGCTGCTGAAACCTTTCTATCAGAAGCAGCACAAACTTTTGAAGCACTTTGAGCTCCTTGGTGATCCAGAACCCTGACCCTGATTCTGCGGGCTTTCTTCTTCTTTGAATTGGAGATGCTCTGATGCTCTGACCCTGTCATCTAGCTATCGCAGTTTGATCCTTGTAACATCATATCCTTCAACATTTGATCTGCTGTCTGTGCACTATATTGAATTAAATGTAAGGTTTAAACCATTTGCAAACAAAGTTCTTAATTTACAGTTTGCACAGCATCTTACCTTTTTGGAAATTTGAGTCGTTTATAAATGTTAAACATAAAAAATAGCCCTTTAAGTACTTTTTGCATAGCTTTAATGGGGCAAAATTGGTGCAGATTTAGTGCACTGGATGATGGACGAGGCCTAAATCCATTCAACCCTAAATATTCCCTGTATCGGTCTCTATATAGTCAGTGAATTTTTCCCTGCTAAGATCGGTATGATGATAGTCTTATAAAAATTGCACGTGACTGTAACATTGGTGTTTAGGAAACCTTCCATATATTTCCTCTGTAAACTAGCCGTGGCTCCATTTATGCTGCAGATGTGGCTGACTGGATTATTGTTATTAGCACAGCACAGCTGCTGGCTAGACGATGGCAGCTTTGTCAGCAATCTGTCCACTAACACAGATAGATAAATAGACAAATGAGGGTCAGGAAATATAAACACACAGTCTCTCTCTCTCTCTCTCTCTCTCTCTCTCTCTCTCTCTCTCTCTCTCTCTCTCACACACACACACACACACACACACACACACACACACACACACACACACACACACACACACACACACACACACAGTCAACACGCACGCACACACACACACACAAACATCTGGAATTAACAGCTTAACGTCAAGCTGCACGAGCGCAGCCATCTCACACTAATTTGAGCACATATCAACGCATGACCTCTTATTCATCAGCCACAGATGGTCAGAACAAGCCCAAAACAGCCCCCACCAGATTAATGTCAATGACTGTCCACACAGTCTGGACATAATGACCCACACAGATTACAATCCACCAAAAATCCACCCAGCTGACAGGTCAGATGGTGCTCAAGAGCCAGTTTGACGACAATTAACCTTTAACATGAGTCTCAGTCTGATGTAGCTGCTGTGTAGTTTTTTTGTATGACTGTATATGAGACACAAAACTGTTGTCTTTGTTACTGACTGTTTGCTCTGGTGACTTAAATCTGCTATTTCTGGATTTATGGAGATTATACTCTGGACATCTGGTGGAATGACTTTTTGAGTGTGCCTCTGCAACAGATGCAGCAACAAAGTGCTCTCTGAAGCGCCCAGGGCCTTTTGCTCAGTAAAGTTAACCCATCGTTAAGGTTATCATAACCATGCACATCTTTTTATAACTTAGCAGAGTAGAATGAAAAGCAGGAATGTGAACTGGAGGATTTCCTTATTTGCAAGCTGAGTTTTTTTTTTCTTTTGGAGTCATGCTGCAAAATGATGAAAGTGAGCAAAAAAAAAAAGAAATATCTCTTTTGAAGATTGTTGAGATGCTATTTGAATTTTGATCCCTGTGATTTAATCCACACTTTGCTCAGAGCCTTTCTCTCCTTCTTGCTATCTTCTTGTCACTGTTGTTGATTCCTCCGGACATGCCCTTCACCCACATCCTTCTCTCCTCATTACTGTCAAGATGTGCAGCGGTGGCTCAGTCCCAACTGCTCCTAGCATTCATGGAGACCCCAAAGGCTGTGAAGCAGTGCAGTTCATCACTGGATCAGCTTCAGGGTGTCTGACTACAGCTCCCTTGTAGAAGCTTCACAGCCTCAGTCGGGTAGGGAATATGTGCCTCCTGTAGAAGCTTTTTTGCCATTTAACATTGTCTTCATGCCAGTTCTCTTTCGTGAGCCAGGTTAAAACTTTTTATCTCAAAACTCTGCGGCCAGAATTGGACTGTTTGATTTTCTTGGCTCTCAAATAAAAGTGGAACATGATTAAAAGAAAAAGAGAAAATAAGAGGAAACTGCAGAGCTACAGAATGATTCAACCCAGCCTGTATTAAAATTTTATCAAATTTTCAATGTTACCATAAAAAGAAATTTATGTAACACAAAAATCCTAATCTCAATAGTTAATTACACACCCTCTTTGTTTGTCGTTTCACACTTTGGGGTCTCCAGTCTTTATCACACTGAGTACTCGCTCTGCTTAACTGCTCACAATATCCTAATAATGGTGCAATGACCCACTTTAAACCTCCTGTGAGGAGTTTAAACAAGTTATGAAACAATTTAACACCAACGCCCCCATATGACCCACAAAAAGAAACTAGAACATCGATAATAGGTGACTTTATCTGGAGATTTATTTATAATGCCTATCAGCTGATCTGATCCTGACAGTGGTAAAGCAAGCAGAGAAAAAACATTGACTATTTTTTCAGTGAGTTATACACCACTCAGATAAATCAAACAGCAGTGGATTCATCTTGAAGATAAAGTTCATGCACAAGACAGGATTAGGGAGTGGATAAGACATGTCACTCTGTTCATAAGACTCATAAAATCAAGTCAAAAGGAAAGTTTGACTCAGGAAGTTGTTCCTGTTAGGATGAGGATGACGTCAACATGGTTTTCTGCCTTTTCTACTGAAGCACTGCCACGAGCGAGGGAGCCTGCCCTTGATATAGCATTGCCATCACATTGGTGTAGTGCTGTAATTCGGCTAAAAAAGACAAATACACTTGGCATTGTCCACTGAAAACTGAGTTCATTAAACCACCTTCAGGATCTGTCAAGGGCCAAATAGAAAAATAGGACTGAGGCTACCACCACAAAGTTGAATATGCAGGAAAACTGATCCGCTCATCATAAGACAGCATTTCATCTCAACAATACCTTTATGCTTTAGTATAGTATAGTAGTAAGTTGGGTATCAAATGCTAACTTTGTCACAGAAACATCAAAGCTGTCAAAACAAAATCTAGCCGCTGCTCTGTTGATATGTTGATATGTGAGAGAGGATCAGGCTCTGTTAGGCCTCCATAAATATTATCAATCCCACTGAATGTACCCAAACACTCTCTAACCAGGGCTGGACTTACCCAAACAAACCAGAGGTGATCATCCTCTTTGAGGTTTTTAAACTGGAATGATTCAGCTTAACTTGTGTTCCAGGTGTTTTTCACATGTCTGGTGTAGTTGTAAGATTAAGTTAAGATAAACAACACCTAGAAAATATTGTTAATGCTAGATCCAGCCATAAAGCGTATGGTCATAGTTTTAAAAAATGTTCTCTTAAACAGTTGAACAATAATAAAAAAAATTCAGACAATTATTCAGTCATTTTATATCAAAATGATAAAACACTAAGATTGTTTTTAGGTGTTTTAGAAGTTCTGTCTTCTCCGTAGTTTTTCCTGCTTTGATATAAGAGTTTTATGAATTAAGCCCCCCTCCCTTCGCCTCTCCTGCAGCAGCAGCAGGAGCAGCAGCCAGTCATTCCTCAGGATGCAGCGTGTGTGACTGTGCAGCATCCCGTTATTAATGTCTGCCTGTAAGTCTCTGTAGCTCTGCTGGAGCTGGAGGTGCAGAAGGTTTGCCCTGCACAGACCTAAAGCAGCTCATGGTTGTTCGCCAGCCTCCCGTGGGCCGTGTATGTGTGTGTGTTTGTCTTGTTGGCCATCTGCAGAATGGTAAGTGTGTCATCTGACTTGTGATGAGAAGGGAGATAAACTCGGCTAGAAAGCACAGGCTTTTTACCTCACCTGGTTTGTAATGTGAAGAGGCAGCAATGTTTTTATCAGCCTGCCTTCTGTTTTGACAGTAATACCAATCGTCTGACTTAATTTTATCTTCTGTCGGTAACCCAACAGGAAAACTGTGCTTCTAATAATGTGCTAATGACTGTCTGGACTCCTTCTGTCACCCATGCATGCGCCAGATTGATGTTACTTGGTGGCAGTGATGCTAAGACCAATGCAGATTTGTTCTTTTTCATTTGTAGGGTATTGCTCCTGGCAGACAGATGTTCCTATAGTTTCCCCCAGCTGTACACTATGTGCCACAGAAGAATAGGTTTCATGCTGGTTGGATTAGTTAGCACAATGTATGTTTCACCTACATGTGTTTAAGTCACTACTAGCATCACAGATAAATCAGTTGAGGAGGTGTCCCATATGTGTGGGGGTACTCGTGCCCAAGTTTCCGAGCTCTTGAATGTGTGTTAGGTTTTATGTGGCTCCTGGTGTCGTTGGGCATTAAGATTAAAGAAGCAGATTACATCCGGGAGGAGGAAAACAGACGGAAAGAAGAGGAGGAAAGGGGGCAATTATGGAGCCACGACTGGTCAGGCACCACCCCAGAAGTCACCAAAGCCATCTGTTGAGGGTACAAGTCAGTGATCAATGCATAGCTCTTAATCTGCTTAGAAAATTGACAGGAATTGTTTACTTTATGGTTATTTTAGGTTTCTGATTAACCACGTAACTGATGTAACTAAGAGACAAGGAAATTAGCTTTATTTGGCTCATGAACCCCAGCCGCTACGTAATTGTTCTAAATTTATATCCAAACAGTCCCAAAATCCCTTAACTCCAGTGTGCAAAGATGTTTTGAACTGAATATTATCCTAACAGCTTCATAATCCTAAACACACTGAGATTCCTCTTTCAGTTTCTGTTGTATCAATCACAGACTTTTGTCAGTGAATTAATATAATAATGATACAAATGAGTAAAACAGCTTTCAGTAAAGAGATGACTTGGAAGGTCAGGAAAAAGAAGTCAATACAGATTAGTTCTTACACCTCAAATATCTGGACTTGAACCATCATAATCATCTTGAATACAGGAAAAAGTATTTTTTTATTTATCTCCTTAATCGCCTTTAAACTTTCTTTTTAGGACTCCAAATACCAAAAATTACTCATCTGTTAGTTCTGCAGAGTTTTGCTTTATTTGGAGAGGAGTGTGACTCTTTCTGCACCTTTATATGAAATCCAGCGTTTGCAAAGATTTAACTTTGTTCTCACTTTCCATAACACTTTAACTGTTCAGTGTGTGTGAGAAGAGCAATTGTTAGAGGCTGTGCTGATTGTGAACATCTACATAAATCATCTGTGCTCAGGCCTGTTGAGTTTTCTGGTGGTATGTCCATGTTACATTGTGCTGTGTGCTCTAAAATACTGAAGTGTTTTTCAACACTGGCTTTATGGTTTGATGCCTGATTTTCAGCAATATGATACCACATCTTATGTCAATATATTACAGGAGAATTTTTAGCATCAGAGGCAAAATCTGCAACACAGTGTAACCCTTCCTCCTCCTATATTTTTAGACTCGGTCCCAGGATACAATCTGAGTTTTTACAGATGTCGGGGATTTTTCTGTGAAAGGACGTTATGAAATGAAAATATGTTCAGTGCTATGTGATTTGCTGACCAGCACAGCTGGGAATAAGCAAATCCTGTGTCCCTTGAGGGCAGAATATATTTTATGAGAGTATTGACCTGACATATGTTTGTCCAGTTGCCCTCAGAGATGCACACCCCTATAGCGTGCAAATGTTCAAATGTTCTTTTAACTTTTGTAGTCACTGTTGGAGCTTACAATCTAGTCCAAGATTACTGGTCCTTAAATTTTTAAGATTTACTTTATATCTTATTCTATATATTTGTGTTTCCCTCTCATTCTTTTGCATGTGTGTGTCATTGCTGATTATTACGACAAGTTGACTTAAAAGAAATTGGTATACTAAAACATCTGTGTGCTATTATGGTGATTTTCCCCAATTTATACCAGTGCTAGAAGTAATGCCAATTGACAGGCCATCATTTTACATGTTTGCCGTTGTAACATGTATGAAATTAATCCCTTACCATCAGATTTTAGTTCACTGAGCTGTCATCACTGACTCACTGAACCACAAGCCCTTAAATGCATGAGGCCACATAACACCATCCCTTTTTCCCTCTAAAGCTTTGACCGTTAACTTAATCATGTCAAATTATTATCTTATGACCAGAAAAAACACCATCATCACTGTTTTTTAGTCAAAGGGCAGCAAGATAAACCAACTAGTGACGATGACATCCATTTCACTCAGCAAAAAAAAAAAAATAGAGCAGTCAAACAACTGTAGATATGTTCATTATATAACCCTGCTCTGTTATAAATGGTTTGATGTCAGTGAAAAAAAAGACTGCATCAGGTGGTAGTTCTAGTTGCAATAATAAAAAGCGCTTATTAAGATGATGGGAATCACTTTATAGTGCAACAGCTGTTGGTTGCACATTGCTCTCAGATTACTGTAACAGCAGTCTGTCAGTAAAAGCACATGTTTGCATTTAAAGTCATACAGCAAAACTGCAGGAGGCTCAGATCAAATTAGCCAGAAACGGGCTGATAGTGTTAATGCGGTTGTAAAACTGCAATCATTAAACTTTACAGATTATCTGCAGGGCATGTGTTCTGCCTGTAGTGCAAACTTTTTTATACATCTCACACATGATGCAATGAACCTCCAACATCGCCTGCCCGGGGGTCTCCAGACTACTGGTTCTTTAACTACTGTTGCAAAAGTAATGAGTCTGAGAATAGTGTAGCTATGTTGCATTTGTTTTCAAGTCGACTGGTACCTTTGGCAAGACAGGAAACCAAATCCAGACACTGATGTAATTTCTCTTATTGAATCTGTTTAAATACAATGTCAACACTGTTTCAGCAGATCTGTGGCTCCGACTCCAGACTTCACCCTCTTCAGTAGCATTGTGATAAGGCCCAGCAGGAGCCAAAAATCACACAAGGTGGTTTTGTGTTCTTGTAACGCGGTATTTAGATGGGCTGGAATTCAGTGTTACTGAAGGGAGGCAACACAACAACCCACTGACTTCCTTTCAGCGGGGCAAGCAGAGGTCGCCACCCTGCAGATGTTGGCTCTGCTCTCTTGTTTTGTCTGCCTTCGCCATTTGACTCACAGGTGTGGGTTTCTCTCTCCGCTCTGTTTGGGTGAAACCACACCAATCTTAATAAATATTAATAGAGCCTTTCTAGCCTGTAGCCAAGTCATACACATGCTTGAGTATAATGCCTGAGAAACCGTAGTGGAAGTGCAATTTAATGAGTTTTGGTGAAACACCACCCTTTGTTGCAGCTTCTGAAGTGTAATTTCAGCATTCTCTATATGCATGTGTGTGATTTAGATAAGCTTTAAATCTACTTGATATTTTTAACACTCCCTTCTTTATATAGCCGAGCTTTGTTATATTGTCCACGCTGCTGCTAATGAAGCAGTTCAGACTTCTTAAACCATCAGAAGATTACAGTCAAACACACCAGAAGTAAGAGTATAGTTAATGTGGCAGTAATTGTTTAATTCTTGGTATTTTCCCTCTGATTCTTTGTACATTTGTTCTGCGGATCGCTTTAAAGGAATGAGTAAATTGGTCCATTGTGGCAGAGATGAAAGTCAGTGATATGAGACAGGTTTTAGGCCAGCTGGAAGTCACACTGTGTGAGTCAGTGGACAAGCTGGCCAGATAAGCCACAGGTGAATGTGAGTAAATGCATTTGCCACCCATGAACATGCTGTAGATAGTCGCTGCTTTGCCCCTTAGATATCTGAGGGTTGTAATATACGGTGTGATTAAAATGAACAAAGGAATTCCTTGATTTTAATCTGGAAAAGCCTCTCGCTTTCTTCAACTCGTCCAACGGAAACCTCCCCTTCCTCACCAGATCCACATGAGCCTTTGTTGCACCCTGCCACCTTTAAAAAGAGGAAAAAACAAATTGAGTAAAGCTTTAGCCGCCTTCCAACAGGAATTTCTCTGTGTCAGATAAAGGGTCTTAATTGAATGGAGGAGGAAGCGTAGGAAGTGTAAGTTCAGCATATCTAGAGTCTCCTCGGTCTTTGCTATTGTGGAACAATATTTATGTTCCTGCAAAGGTGGTGGATATCTGCTTCACAGGGCGTCAGAGTCCACTGCATGTTATTCTTTGTACAGTTAAGATGTTTCAAACAGCTCAGGAGAAAATGTGTATCAAATTCCTATTTTCTGCATATTTCCTGTCTGCATCAAACTACACTGGTTTATATTCTCTCCTGGATTTTCCTCTTAAGTGTCTGTGTGCACTAAAAGGCCCCGCTGAGGACAAAGTCACATGACTGTGTGTGCTGCAGCTGAATGTTTGTGGTCAGAGCAGGTTTGCACAGTATAGTACAGTGTTACACATGGGAAAATAAGTCCAGGATTTCATTTGAAGACTAGAGAGGAGCTTTATTCACTGCATTTGAAGCTTCAGACCCAAGTATTTGAAACTTAAAAAACTTTAAACCTGAAAAAACTCATGAAGCTGAGTGATTAACTCCAAAAGCAAGAAGGCCACAGAGGAAAAACACTGAGGGATTGTGGATGATGAAAATAAACTAGTAAGCTATTCATCCACCTTTCCTTTTCTTCTCTAAAGTGACACATGAGTTAAAAATGTTATGTCATTTATTGCTTGTTGTGGTTGGCAGAGTAATTATGGTGAATTTCCATAAAGTGATGGATGAAAATATTGGCACCACTGGAAATTTTCCAGAAAATGCGCCTTATGTTTGGGCATTGTCCCTCTGAAAGACAGATATCAAATCTCTTTTAAAAATGGAAAAACTAAAGAAAGCAGTATTGTTTACAACAGGGTAGCTCCTGCTTCTTGGTGGCTGGCGTTATGGTGCGCACCTCACCTTACAATGAAATGTACATATTGTTTGCATGCACCATGACAGCTCAACAAAGTTCTGACATGCAGACTGCAGAGGAGCTAGGGACAGACATTATATATTTTTTCTTTTTAGTATTGTGGTCCAAACATTTACCTGCCACATGGCACAGACATAGCTGTCTACCTGGAAAATCCACCTGCATTCATCATGTAGCGGCTGGAAATTTCCAACCTCATATAAACTTTGCTTTTCTGCTACTAAAAGTCACAACATCCGTATGCTTTATGTTTAGACGTGCAAGCCGCATGAAAAACACTCTGCTTAGTCATGTACAATAAAGCCGAGTTGTTTCCAATCATGAGCAGCAGGTGGCACTGCCCCCCTCAGCTGTCTGCTCCCATGAGAGGACAGTTCAAACCATCATCTTCTGCAGTGAGTTCAGATTCATTTTGATAAAGTCACAACTAAAACAAATGAACACGGTTCAATTTGGCTTCCCTCTAACTTGTGAGTCTGACTCTGCTGTGCATCTGGGGGATCATTTCATCATTGCTGGCCCTGAATACCTCACAGAGTAAACCGGGATTGTGAGATATTTTAATTACCAGCTCTGTATTGTCATGTCTGACTCTTGTGTGTGTGGAGACCAACTTCTACATTAACACAGAGACATAATTGAGTGAAATTGTATATCTAAAGGCATCAATCCCTCAGGCACTGTCAGCCCTTTCAAACAGTCCATGATAATCACCCCTGCGATGAGGGCCAGCCACAGAGGATTAAAGCAGACCTGAAGCCATCCACCCAGACACCGCCATTCCTCACAGGAAGTAAAGTCCCCCGGTTTGATAGTCTGCGTCATTCTGCCGTCATGTGTCACATTAAGAGGGGATTTACTGAGATTTGCCTACCGTGTGGTTTGATAGACTGGCATGTCTGTCGTCTCGATACTATTTGTGTTACTTAACTGCTTATGGTAGTCATTATTGTTGTATAAGTTGGCACACTTTCCCGTTGGAGCTATTAAGATTGGGATCATGTTGCGTTCAGTTCTTCCTCCCACAGGCAGAAAATGAATTCTCAGCTGAATTCTCTGCCTCCGTTGGTCCTTTCCACCTCTTTCTCATTTTAAACTAAAACACACTGAAGATTAGATACCGGCTCAGAAACAAGCTCAGCTTTTTAAACTAGACATCTGTCTCTGTGGTTGAGACGGTGTCTGGCCATAAATGACTGCGACTGTCACAGTCTGAAAGTCATGCTTGTAGATAGCTTACATTCATCGAGTCCATTCACTCCTAGACAAAGCAAAAAAACGTAATCACAAAATCCTAATTCCTTCAGAGTGAGTGAGTATTATGAGACCTCTAAGGCACTGAGATCCATCGAGATTAAGTAAAAGCTTTGTGCTGTGGCCCAATTAATTGTTCTTGTGTGTGTGTGAGAAAGAGAGAGAGGATGGAGAAAGTGTGTGTTAGATAAAAAGATTATTTGTAGCATGTAGGCCACAAATCACCTCTCCTCCCCGCCATGAACACAGTCTCACATATGCACACACACACACACACAGACAAACACAGTCCTCTTGTGCAGCTCTGGCCCTGGTACCACCAGCTGGGAGGTCTGAGTTGGATGTGACAGCCTTTGTAAAAGTTATTTGCATACTGTTGTTGTGCTTGTTTGATGCATTGATTACATCTTCTGATCTGTTTTAGACACTCAAACACTTTTTTTATGCAACAATGTCGTAACTTCGGCTTTAAGAATGAGACGGTGGAAGTTTACTGGCAGACAACAGGTCACACGTCACTGCGCTCCATTCAGAGCATCACCTCTTCTCCTGAAGTCGAGACACAGCTCTGCGGACATTTGAGCTGCTCCCTAATCTGCATACCGGCAGCACACTGGCCACAACAAGAGCAGGGCGGAGCTATTGAAATGCACCACATGTAGAGTGACCGAGATCGAAGGTGTATCTGTTAACAAAATAAGACGCTTCCAGGCTGAGTTTTGGGGGGGGGCTGGAAAAAAGAAACCTGGATGCCATCTGATTGGTGAGGCAGGGAAAATAGGTGCTCTTACATAATGTGGGTTGCCCTGAAACCAAAGAAGTGACAGCCTCTCTCTGAGGAGCTTTCCAAGGCCCCTCTTACTGGTTTCTCTAATCTCTGCCTCTGATTTGAAAGGAATACTGGTGGATCTGAAGTGGGATAATATGGCAGCTAATTCAGAAACAAACAGTGAAGCAGAGGTATGTGCTCATTGCTTGCTGACCCTGCAATTAACTGTAACTCTGTATATAATTTTCTGTCATTTTTCTAACTCTGTTGTTAGTGGCTGCAGGTTTTCTCCTTTGCAGACTCATGAATCAGGGTATGGATTATCCTCACACACTACAAGACTGTTCACATGGATGCATGTGACCGGGCTTTGTGCTGAAATATGAACTTATGATTTTCTGCGAAGCTGCTGAGAGGTCATCCTGATCGCTGTAGTGGATGTTGTAGTGTTTCCCAGCTGCCAAGTTGTCTGACGTTAAAATGCACACGTATTGATCAGGTGTGACAGCTTAATGCACTGGAGTTGTAGCGTCTGATGTTGCTGATAGTCCACACTCGGGTCAGAGATGCACAAACGGTTGCTGCTTTTATCTTTATTTAGCTTCCTGTGAGTTTTTTAAGCACAGAGAAACAGTAATTGTGTTTTTCTGCTTGGAGTAGAGTCACGTGGGAATCTGCATCAGCTCTATAGCTGTGGGAGTATGTGTGTGTGTGGAGAGAGGAGACTATTTCTGTCTTTCTCTTTCTCTCTCTTGCTCTCTGTACTGGGCCAGCATCACACAGAGCCCCGCTCTAACCGTCCAAACAAACACAGCATTCACACAGAGTGCACATGGCTCACTTCACCACCTGCTACTGGCCTCACCACAAGGGGAAACCTCACTGGTATTCAGCCTGTGCATTCCACTAACATTCACTAAAGAGGAATAAACATCGAGGGTTGTTTCTGTTAATGCCTTTGAAGGCTTTCCTCTTAAGATCAGTGTTTATGGATCCGCAGCAAACTCGCTGTCTGCTTCATCCTCCTGTGCGCAGTTGACTTAGCTTCCCTTTCAACAAGAGCTGAACCTGCTGGAGAGAGATTTCAGATCGCCTTCTGCTCCCTCACAGAAAGTCAATAGGAATGTGGTGTATAGTTTCTGTATTAACCTCTGGCAGCTTCTTATTGCATTTTCCCATGTCATGCAAGGAGAATTAGAAGTGGTCCTTCCCCTGAGAGCTGTGTTTCACACAAAAAAAATCATCATCCATCAGGAGTATGGCAGCCAAACCTACCAGCACCATCCAAGAGTAACAGAGCAGCGAAGTCAACCATGCAACTTTTTCATGCTGCATCGGGTTTCATGTCCTCCAATTGTTGTCCAGGGATTGAGTTGGCTCTCCATACAGGCTTCAGTCCCTCCGTAAATACGTACCACATCCTCAGGAGGCTACTTCTCCTACAGTAGTTTTCTTGATAGACTTGGAGGGGCTTTGTTTCTGTAGCTGTGCAGCAACCTGCTACTTACCCCTCAGACTTCTAATTAAATTTAATGAAAAATGATTGGACGCCTGAGTCACAACTGTATATGCAATAAACTGCTCTGAGGTCAAATCGTTGTTGAAGCACCCACTTACCTTAGGTCACATGACGACAAACAGGACATACCAGGCCAGCATGTCCTCCTGAGTGGAGATCTGACTGTAGATTGAAGTCTAGTATGTGTGCATTTAGGAACCAGCAACACACAAGAGGCACAGTTTTATCAGGATTGCAGGAAATGCCAAAGAGTCAGCTTTTGAAAAACGGAGATATGTATGTTGTCATTAAGAGGAGCCTAATGTCTCTGCCCTCAAAATACTTCCGCTTTTCTATGTTTGTCTGATGGAGAAAATGTGGATCAGTGTCTTATTTCTGTAGAGTAATATGTGTGTGTGTGTCTTCAGACTAGCTGTCCTGGTTTAAATGGAGGTGTATCCATCAAATAGCAGCTCTGAAGCCTTTGTGTTCCACCTTGTCCGAGACATTAAGAGTCATGCATCTCTCCAGGGTCCTCAGTTACTTAGGCCACTTTGGACGTGGACCAGTCATACTGTCGTCTCACCTGGTCTGAGGCTTATACATTCACTTACAACAGCACAGATCAGGGTAAAGGTTTCCCGTAATGAGTCATGATGAACTAAAACCCTGGAGAGGAGCTGAAATGTCAGTGTGGCCAGTTATGGAAATCGTAATTGGTTCAGGTCTCAGCTGTGACTCGCTCCAGAGGGAGACTCTGTGTGGTATCTTAATGAAAATGTGTGAAATTGATGTCAAAGCCCATTAGGTTTTACTCTGGTAATAGAAGACTGTTTTCATACCATGAAATGAATGTTACGCTTTATATATGAAAGGACATTTTCATGAACCTTATACAAAGTCAAATCAAGTTATCAGATTTTTGGACTTATTTTGAAAGGATTCATCTAAGTGGAGCAGTATGGCTAACCAGAGCCAGGTTGACATGTGTATTGAAGTCAATGCAGTCAATTATGTCGTATAAGTGTATTGATTTATCTGATTTATATGCAGGCGGTTACTATTAGTTTCCTACTAGCTTTGGTCTTTAAGTAGTTCACTTAAGATAATAGAAGATGAATGCAGTTGTGAAGCCAAATCATTTCTTTCATGCAGTGTTGATTGATTGATTGTTTTTTTTACTACTTTAAGTGTTCTCAGTGGTCTTCAAACTGTGATTATTAAGTTTTTACCAAAAATCATGTTACCTGTGTCATTTTCAAGGCCTTTTTTTCTGCAAAGCTACAGTAGAACATTAGCGATTCGTCTCTGAGTGGTGGGCGGAGACAGCGCTGCTCTGCACACTCCTCTTTAAGTTAGCTTGTAGCCTAACATTGCCTGTGCAGCAGAAGTAGCAGGTAACATAGGAGTTATGAAAGCTAATATTACAATAAGCTTTCTTACAAGCATTGCAATCCACTAACGCACACGCTGGTTCTTCTTCTTTATTCCTCTTCTTTATGCAGAGTGTGGCCTGCATAGCGGGGCTCTGGGGGCGGAGCTTGGATTAGTTATGTATAAAATCTCACTTTTTCTGAACCTGCCGTTTTGGTCTGCCAGAGATTCACAGAGATTTTAATGAAGAAATACTCAGAAAAGCAATTTCACATTTAGTTTTTTCATGATATGTCCTGTAGCATCAGAAAAATGCCATATGAACATATAAAAAACAAGAAAAACATGATTTTCATCAGATTGGTTTTTTTCTGCTCTGTCAGACTTATACCTCGACTGCAGTGGATGTGAGGAAAACTGGTACTCACCAAGTGATGCAAAAGAGCAAATCAGTGACATTGAATAACAGCACGATACAGAAAAAGTCTGTGTAAGTAAAAGTAAATCCTTTCCCCGAACTTAATAAAACATGTTAAAGACAGTGTAACCAGATACTTTGTGTGGCTTAAAGCAGAATCTCAGCTCAAAGATAGATTCAAGCTCCAGGAATGAAGTAAAGAGGACTTAATGAAACCTTCTAGGAGAGCAGACACGTAATGAAGAAGGAGAAATGTTAATCCTGTGAGTGAGTGGTCTATAATCCCAGACGTCTATCATTAGGGGGTGTTTGTCATGAAGAGCCAGAGGTCGGGTTACAACTTGCTGCTTATTAATAAGGTCATTTTTATGCCTCATGAGGTGTTTGTTTATGAATATCTCATTATTTTTTTATTAGCTCAATTAGCGTACTCATTAGCATAGCTAATGACTTTTAGAGCATCATTTATGATCATTAAGCAACTCAGCTCATCGTGTTTTATGATGTGTACAGAGGATCCTCCCATAATTCTGCTTTTAAGACATGTCTAACTGATGATCCATGAATGTTAGAGTGAGGTGTGTTTGGTTGACTTTGTTGTGTTAACAGAGTAGATTCAGCATCACAGTGTGGGTTGGTTGGTTTGTAGCCTGTGATCTGTGACGCGTGGCTTGTCAATGCTACTGATCAGTTTCCCGGGGCATTTGGCGGCTCGATGGGGGTGAAGGGTACTGTGTCCTCTGGGATGGAGGTGTATAAATACTGGAACCACTGGTTTCTGCGTCTTACTGTGTGCTGCAGTGGGCATGAGGAGCAGTATACGCAAAGGCAAGAGGAAGAGGCTCCACACGCTGATAAAAGGTACCACAGGTGAGGCGCTGCAGAAGAGGAAGTAAGGCTGTGTTTAGACCGCAGGTGGGGGGAGTGAGGGGTGTTGTAGTGCAAGTTTTATGAACTGTATTTCCAAAGGGAGGAATGTCTTTGAGATTTAATTTGGTCTCTGTAAAAGCTACTGCATTAATGAGGTCTTGAGGGTCTATGTTTGATGGGGTTGATGTTTCAAAACAGAAATCATGAAAAGATATATTTGTCCATGTTTCTGCTCCAAAATGGTCACAGTTTCGCAGCAGACCATCTCTTTTAGGTCACTGGATCCACCATGTTGGACATTGATCTCTGTGGTCATGGTGTGTGGCAAAGTAAAGCGGGTCAGTGATTTCCTAAACTGAAACAATCAATTTCTTCCTTGCCCTAAAGCTCTAAATCTCGGGATAATTAAAACTACAGGGCCAGGATGGAGGACAAAAACCAAAGAGGATGAAAAGCTTTGTTACAAAAAAGATAACATTTTCATCCTTTTAATTACTTGAAAAATAAGCAAGAAAATATAAATCATAGACTTGATATTTGGTGGTCTTCAACAACATAGGTAATCAAACTAATCCAGGGTTTCTCTTGGTTTGAGTAAAATCTTCATGCAAAATCATGTGTAACTTTAATATTAAAATTAGTATCCGGTTGTTGAAGACTCTCTACATTATGTAACTGCAGCTGGTGCAGATAATCTTACCTGCTGGCACCGATACTTGTGCATTTTTAATAGTGCCCGAAACACTGAATAAGTCAACATCAGAGAGGCTGATGAAGTTTGGCAGTGCTTCAGTGGCAAGACGCCAGATTATACTGATGCTCAACAACGACATGGAGACGTCCACTCTCTGAACATCATGATACATCCCTAGATCATCTCTCAAACAGCTGTCTAACCTGCTCTGCAGTCATACCATTTGCTCTGCTAAATGGTATGTACTTGTTTCATATCTCCTTGCTTTAACCTTTTTTAAAATTTGATTTTTTATTCTTTTTTTTTTCTGGTCTTCATTGTCTTTTCTAAATATTCTCACTCCTTGTGTCCTGCTCCTAACTCCTCAACAACACACACCTGATCATTTTACGGCCGACTCTCTCCTCTTTCCTTTTTTGTGCTTCCCTTCTTCTCTTTGCTCACATGCCTGCCTCCTTCTGGTTGGAGATTGCAAAGTGCACTTTAGCTCCAATAGCGATGGCAGATAGTGACCACGAGGCTCACTCTTCCTCAGACGAACATCACTCTCGCCCTGCCTCTGCCAATCACGGCAGGGAACATGATCCTGAACAGGTATCGGGGATAAAAACATCTGGACTCCCCTTTAAACAACGATTTTAGTCTCTTTCTTTAAGTTGATATCTTAAATTTTAAGTCACTTCACAAATTTGGAGAGGGACAGACCGACAGCTGAATTTAATCAGCCTGTTGCTTCCTGTGGGCCACTGCATTATTTATCTGTGCTCAGCTGACAGGGAGACTATAGCCTGTGGTAATGTCAGCTGTGTATCCTCTTACAGGACAAGCTACAGTAACTTGAACTTTATGACAGCTTGGCATATAAAAGCTAAAAAATGAATTGTGGACCACATATCAAATGCCTCAGATATTCATTTTCCTACAGTAAGAACCATTAGATTTTGTGCTCAAACATTGCAGCTAATTAAAAAAAATGTTCATAGTTTTTACAGCTCAAAGATCTATCTACTCTCAGCATAGGAAATCATTATTATTAGGGCCCGACCGATATGGATTTTTTGGCACCGATGCCGATTATTGGGGGGGGGGGATTACCAATTAATCGGACGATTTTAAAAAAAGAAATGATGACGTTACAAAAAAATAACCTTGGTGCCTCCGCGTCTTAACTCACGTTACTCATTTCCAGTCCGGTCTCATCTAGAGACATGCAGCTGCCTCAGTAAGAGAAGTAGCTCATGTACTGTTGTTTATTCTACCGTTACTGGCACGGCTAACAGTGTAGCAAGGCTAATAGCAGGTTGCTAACTCTAACTTTAGCTAGCATATTACATGGTGCTTCACAGTTTACTCAGCGTGACTGAGACCAGCACACCGGGGAACATCGTGAAGTGGGTTGAACTGAAACTTGTTGACTTATTGTGTATTTCACAAACTGGTTTATTTACCGTTGAGGCGGACCACTCCCCTCCGTGTTTCAGATCCGTCACTCTGCTGTGCTGTGACGTAGTTAGTGGATGAAGATTGTCATGATGTCGCTGTGCCATCTACAGGATAAGTCGGGGAACTTTTCAAATGGCGGAACATTTTCGAAGTGAAACCAAATCTTATACTCCATATTTTATTTCTGAAAATATCGGTGAGTTTTTGCCGAATACCGATTAGTCTCAAACGGGACAAAATTGGCTGTTTTAATCGTCTGGCCGATAAATCGGTTGGGCCCTAATTATTATTATTATTATTATTATTATTATTATTAGTAGTAGTAGTAGTAGTAGTATTAGTATGATACACTTCTGCCCTCTGGGTCTCCACCCCTCCCTCTCATTGTTGACACTTGATCTCTCCCCAAACTGCCCCTGCCTCCATCCGTTTTTTTATGCCTCATCCATTCCCATCTACCGTGGCGTCTCTCTAGCACTCGAGCCATTCAGACGACTCAGAGGTGGAAAACATAATGCATGACCCTCACCACCAAGGAGGGCATGGCCACCACCACCACCATCACCACCACCATGACCACAAGCACCAACACCAACACGGCCTTGAGCTTCATGAAACTGAGAGAGAGGCCGAGGGCCCAGACCGCCCCCACACCCCGTCCTATTTGCGCCCTCCTGTAGCGGGTGCGCAGTCGGATTCAGTTTCTGAGCCCAGTTTACCGAGTGTGGAGTTTGACTTGTCCTCTGTCAGTCCCACCAGACCCAAGAGTCCATGGGGTCGATTCGACCCGTACAACAATAATGAGGTAACTCAAAAGGAGAAAGATGTGAAGGGTGCGGTCCTGCTCCACCAGGGTTTTGTTTTTTCTATGTTTTATTTTTGATTTGGTTTTCTCCAGGTTGATATGATTTACCAAGAAAAGGTTGATGTGTGCTTATTTTCTCTTCGCTGAAGAGGCTTGATTGAGAGGCTGCTGTTTGCTTTTGGTTGAACTGTTTACTTGTGGAAACAGGCAAATGTAAATATTAAAAATGTCTTCTTGCCTAATGTATCTTCATCTTTGTGTTGACTTTTAAGGACCAGGATAAAGAATACGTTGGTTTTGCAACACTGCCCAACCAGGTGCATCGCAAATCTGTCAAGAAGGGATTTGACTTCACGCTCATGGTAGCAGGTAAATACTCAATTTCACTTTGGCGAAATTCGATCCTAAGCTCGCTTTATCTCAAAGTCTTAAACCTGGCTCTTTGTTGTTGTTGTTGCTCTTTGTTTGAAGGGGAGTCTGGCCTGGGAAAGTCCACTTTGGTCAACAGTCTCTTTCTCACAGATCTTTACAAAGATAGGAAGCTGCTCAATGCTGAAGGTAGGTTTTTTCTTCTTTGTATATATATGTATACATTATATCCCAGCTGTTATTAAAGATGGACGTCTGTTTTTGTTCTTCCTGTAGAGCGCATCACACAAACGGTAGAAATCACCAAACACACAGTGGACATAGAGGAGAAAGGGGTCAAACTGAAGCTCACTATCGTGGACACCCCTGGGTTTGGAGATGCTGTAAACAACACTGAATGGTAATGACGAGGCTGCATATCTGTTATCTTTTATGAATGAAAGAACCTGAACTCAATCAAACTGTTCACAGAGTTCTGCTCGATATTCTTATTTTAGCTCTGTTATGTTTAAAAAGTCATGTGCAGTAGTTCCAGAGTGCTTTGCCTCAGAGACTGAATGTCCCAGTGTGTTTCCGCTCCAGCTGGAAGTCAGTGGCTGACTACATCGACCAGCAGTTTGAGCAGTACTTCAGGGACGAGAGTGGCCTCAACCGCAAGAACATTCAGGACAACCGCGTCCACTGCTGCCTCTATTTCATCTCACCATTCGGTCACGGGTACGACACATCTGCAGTTTCCTTCTCTTTCTATTCCACCACCTGGACTCCTTTTTCTGCTGTAGTATTAAAAGTCTCCTCTGGTATTTGCATCAGATCAGTCATTGCCTAGCTTTATCTTTGGACTCATGCACAACCGCCCAAGTAATTGACATTTACTGTGAATATCTAAAGAACCAGTGCATACTTGTGGTGCAGTCAGCCCTGTAAATTGTTAATGCAGTTGGCTCCTAATGAGAGTTAAAGCAGTCCTCACTTGCCTTTAGGTGAATTTATTTCTGCTGCAGAGCTTTCTCTCTGATCAATTCCTTGAGCTGGGTGCTGAGGTTGTGCTTTTCGCTGCAATGGTGCACATGCACTGTTCCACATCACCGTGCTCATTACAGAACATTTAAAGCCACTCAACTAATGCTGCAGTGCATTAAAAGTCATCATGATGGAGAAACTGCTCCCCCTGTTGATGAGCTCTATCCATTACTCCACATCAGGAGGTCACTTAGAGAGCAGATGGAGCAGAGAGACACCACCACATTATATTGACATTGATTATAATAAGCATATTAATAGATAGAAAACACTCTCATTCTTCATCTTTAATTCCTGTCATTTATAGAGAGAGAGAGATATTGTTTATTTGATCAAATATACATACAGTACAATTTTAGACAAGAAATTCACCTATTTGGGAGATCAGAAAGGAGGAGGTAGAAACTGTTTAGCTTATTATTGTACCTACCCTCATTCCTTCCTATTTATTGACCTTTTACATATCTCTAGAATTTCAGGATTTCTTAAGTCGCCAAAAAATAACCAAAGCTCCAAAGTCTAACATGAATAAGTAACAAATCATTAACACTGAGACAAAGACCTTATATACACCCATACCTATATACACGTGTATACACACAAATATGAACGTTATATACTATATACCTATGAAACTTCACATCTCTCATTTGTACCATACCCATATACATATAATAAGTGTGACAAAAGGAAAATTACTTATATAAGTATTTTCCGATCATACTCTGCTTTAATTTACATAAACTGTGCTATTGTTTTGCTTTGTTTAATTTCATCGGGCAATCTGTTCCATAGCTTCACCCCCATAACAGAAGACATGTTGAGTCACAAATCATTTTTATGAAAATCAGTTCCTTCATTAAAGTTATCACGTTAATGGACAAAAGTTTCTTAATTCACATCATGTTAAAACACTCGAGGCATTACCTCAAAGGTATCGTGTGTCGTGTTTACTTCATGTGTCTGTTTTGTGCTTTTCCAGCCTCCGGCCTTTGGATGTGGAGTTCATGAAAGCTCTGCACGAGAAGGTTAACATCGTCCCCATCTTGGCCAAAGCAGACACACTCACCCCCACTGAGGTCAAGAAAAAGAAAATCAAGGCAAGCCAACCTAAGACAGCAGATTCATACCTCATCCTGTAATGAATCTTGATTACAAACTAGATTCACAAAACTGTTTCTTGTTAAGCATTTTATTCTACTCCATGATTGACTAAGTAGCCCTTAACCAAATAAAAATACGTGTTTTGATTCATTAGTGTTATTTTTTTATAGATCCGAGAAGAGATCGAGCAGTATGGTATCAAGATTTACCAGTTCCCTGACTGTGACTCTGATGAAGATGAGGAGTTCAAGCAGCAAGACACTGAGCTCAAGGTAAAAGACAGACCCACGATGTGCCTCTCTGTGTTTTCTTTTCTACAATTAATCAGATTAACCTCTGTCAGTGCCAAAAACTCCATGTTTCAATAAAGAAAGGGTTTTAATTCAATCCTGTGTACACAAATCATTGGATTTTAATTTTGTGCTCTCCAAACAAAACAAGCCAGAGAGTATCTGGCTAATAGGAGAGGTGATGCTGAACTGAATGTACAGATGGTTTAATGTAAGACCTTGGCACTGAGTCCACTACTGACTACACAGCTCTGATGACTCAAGCATTCTTTGCTTTCTGGCGATGAGGGTGCAGTCAGTGTGCCAGGATATTTTTCTGTCTCAGTCCTTGGCTCACCTCTATAGAGCAGAGAGAAGCGGGAAATAAAAGATTGAGGAGTTTAAATAATGAATAGGAAGGATTAAAACGTGGTTTCACATGAAGTCTGCAAAGCATCTTTATTTTGTCCTTGCCTTTTTGCTTAATTTATTTACATTTTTACAAATTTTGTGCTCTCCAAACAAGGAAAGCATTCCTTTTGCAGTAATCGGCAGCAACACGGTGGTCGAGGCCAAAGGGAAGAGGGTGCGAGGGCGACTGTACCCCTGGGGCATCGTGGAGGGTAAGCTTTACTTCCATCCTTCACATGTTAAAGTGATTTGTTGAACAGAAAGTGAAAAAAAACTTCATAAAGATCATTTGTAGTATCCTGAACCTTTAGTAATGCTTCCATAGAAAACTAATCCACTTGATATTTGCAGTGGAGAACTCGGCACACTGTGATTTCGTGAAGCTGAGGAACATGCTCGTTCGCACACATATGCAAGACCTGAAAGACGTGACGAGGGAGACTCACTACGAGAACTACAGAGCCCAGTGCATCCAGAGCATGACGCGCATGGTCGTGAAGGAACGCAACCGCAAGTACGCTCACTCTGAAGCAAAAGACACACAAATACTGTACAAATGTCATTTTAGAGTAAGAGGGGAGTTATTAAATCGAATTACTTATTACAGTTAAGTTTCGAAGAGTTTAGATGCTGAGGGTAGAAATATTGCGATGTAGAGGCCACTTAATACTTATGAAAGTTGTTGAAGTCTATCTCCACTACTTTGAGGCTTTTCTTAAAATGTTGAACTTGTATCTCTCTTCAGTAAACTAACCAGGGAGAGCGGCACAGACTTCCCCATCCCCATGGTGCCTGGGGTGGGGGACAACGAGACAGAAAAGCTTATTCGAGAGAAAGACGAAGAGGTACGGCACGCCGACCACGACCCGGACTCACATCATGACGATGATCATGAGCATCATGAGTCTGACCATAATTGTGACCATGAGCACTTAGATCATCAGCCCAGTCCAGAAACACACTCAGACCACATGGCTGATGAAGCCCTCTGAACGTCTTCAGTTCATTTTCATCCATCATTAACCATCCATTTTGGGAGCATGCTCACGTCATGTTTTCCGAGGCTAACAATGAGCAGCCTCTCAAAACATGAATCCATGTAAAATATAAATCCAAACCCCCTCTTTCCCGAGCATGCAAGTCCTTTGACCTTTGAACTCTGGATAGAAAAAGAGCATGCCACACAAATCCACTTTTAAAGATGTAGCACTGCTGTTCCCCGAGAGCTGTTTAACTTCTACGAGTTAAACTAGAATTTATTTAAAGGAAAAATCTGTTCTTTTCCAATAATATATGGTTTTTCCAAAAAATATATAAACTTAGTCCATGTGGAAGCTTTGCAGAAAGCTAAATAAAGATTAACTGTGCCAATAAAATACAGCCAATGATGAATCTGTTAGCGGTGGATTTACATATCCCAAAGTTCCCTCCCTTCCCCCATCAAATCTATTTATTTGACCAAATAAAGATTTCATTTCTCCGTTCTTGTTTTGTTTTTTTTTGTTTTGCAAACATCAAACGTGTCAGTAAAGCTGCGTCTATTGCGTGATATGTCAGACAGAAGGTTTTTCTCACTTTTGGTTAATGTATTAATTATTTCTTTAAAAATGCAACACTGAAGCTCAGATGGGAGAATTTGAGAATATTTAAGAGTCTGAACTACTTGGTTAGAAACGACATATAAGGTCACTGTGGAAAACTGTGGTCAATATTGTTCATACTGTGTGAGAAAATGAAACATGATTATCAGTTTCAGTCAATAATTCCAACTGTGACACTGTCTCACTCTGTTCAGTAAGTTGTGGCATCCGAGTATTATTGGCTGCGGTATTTCACTTGAAGCTGTCAAAGCTAAGGCACAACACAACTGAACCATTTTCGCTGATTTTAGCAAATCAGGTCAAGCACAAAAAAGTTTCTTATCCTCACATAAGATGTGGTTGTATTCAAAACTCTACTGTGTCGCTGATAAAGTAGGTGACCTGCACTCGTTCAGCTCAGGTCACATGATTCAGAGAAAGCACGCTGATCTCCCGAGTGTGATCGATTCGTGGCATGTGCAGTCATGTGTAAATAATCGGCTTGTATAAAAGGGGTAAACTGCAGTGCCATTCTGACTCTCCTCTCCTCCTTTTTCCCCACAGTTGAGGCGGATGCAGGAGATGCTACAGAGGATCCAGGATCAAATGCACACTCAGAAGGAGGCCTATTAACACAGGACACAAGTTACACTTTTCTGCAACTGGGATTAAAAAGAAAAAAAAAACACACCCAGAAACCTTTATTCCTCTGTAGAACATTGACATCCTGTGTGTCCACTCAGCCACCCACACCATATGGATCAGGGACTTGTAAGGAGGCAGTAAGATGTTGTGACACTTGCAGCGTAAAGACTCCCTTTACTCTCTTCAGGGTCTCTGACATTACGATCCCACTGCTGCAAAACACTCCACCCTTCTTCACTCCTCTGTTTTTCTTTTCTGTCTGATGTTTAAAAAAAAAAAAAAACAGGATACGGTGCTTTAGTTGGAGGGATTTTAAGTGCTTGTAATAGTGAGAGTGATGTTTCATTTATCTGAACTTAATCATGCCACATGATCACAGGGTTTTTTATTTCTAATTTTATTTTATAAAAGGTCTGATTATGTGGATTTTCATATGGTGACCTGCTCAGATTTTGTTAAGCACACTTTTTTGGTGCAAGTTTTTACTTTACTATCTTATAGGATCATCATGCATATATGTTGTTATAATTTAATTTTCTATCAAACACTCATAAGCATTTGTTCTACTGTATGGATGATTGTGCTATCATTGTTCCTTAGGTGAGGTTTCTCTTGTTATAACGGGCTTTCGATTAGGTTTTCGACATGTTGCCACCTCTGCTGCCTGTCAGCACCATGGTCAGGATGTACGTTTATGGTTCTGCTCACTTTTGGCCAGTCTTAACTCACTGCATTGCTTACTGAACACCATATCATACTCAGTTTAAATTAATCTTTTTACATGACAGAGTCTTTTATTTTTATTTTTTTGTCCATCAAGAACCACCACTTGTGTTTGTCATTAGAGAAGATTACGACTTTGATCAGACGAAACCCTTTAACTGTGCATGAATCGAGCATCCAGGGGGAGGGCTGCATCAGAGGCCATGTAGTGTATTTATTTTTGTATGTGTTTTGTGAAGGTTACTCAGATTGCAGATCAATAATATGACCAGTTGTTTTCGAGCATTGAAAATATGTAGCTATATAATTGTTTGGAATATATAAAGAGAAAAGATGGATTCTTTTATTTTAATGTTTTTATTCGGTCATTACTTTCTTGAGGGAACTCATAAGTTCGATATGTGTTTCATTTGATGTTCCCCATTATTACCAAAGGCAACAACTGTCTTATATTTTTGATTTCCTTTTCAATGACTTTCAGTTAAAAACTTAAAAGCAAAAGTACTGATCAAAGTACTGAGTGAACTTGAGTCTGTAATTGTTAATTTGAAGCTCTGAGTTTTCTTTAAAAATGAAATGACTGTCATCTTGAGTGACCTTTATGTAAAAAGAGAAATACATTCCCTTCTGAATTCATCTTTCTAAATCAACTTTGTCCTTTGTTATTCTATTTTTTGAAGTATATTTATGCAAAAAAAATATTAAATGAAATGCAGATGGAGAGGTCATTGAGTACAAATTCTAACATTGTAGTAAAATGTGGAAAAGTTTCATTTCTCCATCAGAAACTGAGTCGGGCTCTATGTTCTGAAAAGCAGGCTGAAATTACTTCAGTTCTGAATTAAGGGCAGTTTCTTTCCTAATTTATCGCAATAAACAACTGCTGTAAAATGTGTGTGCCTTTTTTTTTTAAAGGTGTATAGAAGAAAAAAAAATGTATATATATATATATATATATATATATATATTTATGTGTGTGTGTGTGTGTGTTTTCTCTCTCGTAGCCTGCCTATGAAGCATGCCTTACTGGACACACCTGTAGGCTGTACATAGATATTAGATAAGCCTACAATCAATGGTTCCAGCTGATCCTGGAGGAGCAGAAACCTTAAAGAGGATCAAAACAGGCTTTACACCTTAATATTAAAGATTTCCTCATTACATAATTAACCTTATCATCTATGTCACAGCTTCCCGAAGCAAGGGTCAGACACGCCCACCAAACATCGGACGTCGAAAAGGAGAGGTGACCAGATGCAGCGCAAGATGGCGGACCCAAAGATAGAAAACCACATTTACAAAACGCAATAAGTTTCCGCATTACCTCCGATTGGCGGACCCAAAACAATTACTTCCGGTGGAAAGGCTTTCTCGTTGGCGGACTTCCGGCGCCGAAATACTTCAGGTAGTCGGATTTAGTCGCCGGATCCTTTTTTTTTTGCTCCGTTCATTCCATAAGAATCGAATTAAATTTATTATTGAGCTAAAAATCAAAATAAAACGTTTATGTATTAACTATGACTACTGTTTTGTTCTGATTTAATTCTGAAGTTTACAGTAATATGTATATATAGCCTGATGTCCTCATATTCTGATAATTTGTCAGAATAGGTAAATGTATGTAGAAGTTATCATCTTACTCAAATTCTTTTGTAAGAGTTTGCTACAAGCATGGACTGTTTTAACCTCTCGTTACACATCATATAACAGTGTTTTCTAACTTTTCTCTCCAATAGCTTTATTACACAGCACATCAATGTTTCTTAACTTCTCTGTGACCTTGTTTCTCCACTCCTATTAGGACCTCGTTTAATGTCAACAATGTTGCCCTGACCCTCACATATTTTCTGTTGTTCATAATTATGTTTTATGAGAGTGCTTATGTTGCTGCACAAATTTACTCCCCCCATCCTTTAGTAACATTGTGTAACCAGGGACATCATTTATGAAATGGTGTGCTTCCTGGTGAACCTCTTCAGGATTGCTTGACTGTGCAAAATCCAAGTATACAATAGTTGTAGAGACACAAGTCACATGATCTCTTTAAGGTTCAGAAGAGCCATATAGCAAAAACAATTGAATAGCGATATCATTACAGACTGTGTAAAGAAATGGGAAATTGTCATACAACTGCTTTGAAGATTTCTTTAATTTTTTCCAAACAAAATTGTGAACAGTAAAAAAAAATATATATATATACAAAATTCAGCACTGCCGTCGGTGTGGTGGGGGGCTTAAAACACGTTGCCACAGGCCATCATCAGCTCTGCTCTGAACCGGTTGATGCCATGCTCCTTCAGTGCTTTGATCAAAAGCTGAAAAACAGTCAAATAATGTGAACAATTGAAGTTATGCAGTATGGGTTAATTGTTGTTCTTGAGCTTTCCAAATGAATAAGAACAACCTCTTAACAATATCATCAATTTTCAAAGCAAGCTATATAGTTTGATCTACTCACCTCTGGGAGCATGACGTCAAAAACGAAATCAAGCAGATAAATCTCGCCTCTCTTTATTTTTTTAGAAATGTTTGTTGCCACCTCAATGAACCGCAGGAGCTCGAACATCTATTGAAGAAAAACACAGAAAGTAAACACCTTTCAAATGTAACACCCCTGAGAGTAAAAATACTCATGATGGATGGCATTTTTACTTACGCGCTGCTCACTCCAACTTAGTGTCCTTATCTTAAGATGCTGCTTTAGTCGGAGTGAGGTGGCGGGATTCCTCCAAAGGAACATTCTGTTGGAGCGGATCTTTCCAGACAGTAGATCATCGTGTAATGTCTGAAACCAAAGAGCAAGAGACAAAAATGTAATCATCTGAAAAAGAAACGGTGGCTTTAACAACTGATAGTGCATTCAAAAGCAACCTTGATCTGTGTCTTAGAAAAGACAGCATGAATTCCTCAACTGTCAACAGCATCCTTGATCCTGCAGAGAAATAAGAAAAGAGCAAGCCCTCATTTTTTCATCCTTTGAGCCTCGTATTTTTGACTGATACTATGTTTCCTTGATAAATTATGTTATACCGAGGATGCTCAATGGAGTCCTCGCACCCGCAGTCAAACGGCTCCATTTCAATCCCAGCACAATCCTGATGCAGCCAGCCCCTGCACGTCTTGCACTGGACCCATTTTATGACGTTTACCTCAGGGTAAAGCAATCTGATCAAATGAGAGACAAACATAATATTAAACAAACACGCTGTCCAATTGATTATACCTCTGCAGCACATTTGAATGTATAAATAATTTTCCTGCATGATTCGTGCATTTAAACTATATGTAAAAGTGGTCACTTCATGGAAAATCACTGAATAGGCCCCGATAATTGCATTTATTAAATTGAGTCTGCAACACACCTCTCTCCTGTGTTGTTCGATGTCTGGTAGACACAGAATTGCATTGAATCTGCCATGCACATTCTTTGGACATCCGATGCCGTCTGCGTCATGGTTTCCTTGACAAGGCAATTTGAAAAGTAACATCAATTACCAAATACATCGAGACAATGTTGATCCATACAACTGTGTGCATTTTGAAGGACTCCCACTGAGATAATACTGTTTTTACAAGGCAATTTTCTAACCTCTATGTCCTGCTGCTCTGCCTTCCTCTTTAGACTGAAGACCGGAGTATGCTTTCCAGCAATGAGCTCTTGACATTCTTTGGTCCAGTGGGCGAAGATTTTCCCACAACTGTAATGACAATATATCTTTAAGTACAATATATTGATTGTCTTCCAGTTAATTAGGACATCTAGTTTACTTAAACTGTCTACCTGTTCAAAGAATTGTTCTCCAGGAGCAACAGGCACCACCATCGCCGCCAAACAGGCATGTCATGCTGAAATTGTTGTTTGTATTTCATTTTAGTGCACAATACAAAATACAATCTTGAGGATGACACTGCGTGTTGAAAAGTACTTACAACTGAGTAGTCAAACTGTGACTCCATAACGATGTACATGGCAGACTTAAAAAAAAAATTATGAGACATGTGAGATAACTTTAAAAAAGTCCATGTTGGAAAGTTATTCTAGATACAATATTTGTGCATTACAGCTCGTTATGACCTACCATCAACATGAATATGCCACAGTCTGAGCCGAAGTCCTGGCTGGGGAAGCCCTGATTTAACAAAAGCAAACGTTAATCATCTTGTCACATACACTTTGTAGGAGCCAGATTGGGGTTTTGCAGTTTATTGTTATGTATTTTTTGTGCCAGCAGATGGTGCTATTGTGCCTGTCTATTTAATGGGTGGGTTGATTAGGAGAGGTGCGCACATAAAATGATGAATGAGTAAATAAATCAAAACAACAGAAAATGTGTGTGACATGTGACATTATTCCACCTGCGGGCACGCATCAACTCAAGCAAAAAGGTGTTCGCCACAAGTAACAGCATTGGAAAGCTGTTATACACTTTTCAACTGTAATATAGAGCATGCACAAATACCTCCAAATCTCTGCCCGTTTTCTCAGTCCATTGCCCAGGACATATCTTCTGCGCAATGTTCCTGTTAATTTGAGAGCGTCACTTAGATTTCCCATGATGGAAACAATGGAATGCAGGGTTAGGGTTAGTTTGAGTGGTCGGAGGTGAGATTGAATGAATGCGGACGGCTTGCTTCTTTTCAAACTTCCTGAGAGTTCTTCTTCTTCTGTAAATTTTGCCGTCAGAAAGTGTAGGTACATACCGCCACCTACTGTTCTGGCATCGCAAAGCAGAAGTTCAAAGTTCATGTTTTGGGTCCGCCAATCGGAGGTAATGCGGAAACTTATTGCGTTTTGTAAATGTGTTTTTTTATCTTTGGGTCCGCCATCTTGGCGCTGCATCTGGGTACTCTTGTCGAAAAGACGTGCAGATCAAGTCAGTATTGGGTCGGTCCGTCGAAGACCACATCTAGACGTCAGTGCAACATGCAAAAAAAGTGAAAAATGTTGACGTCTAGACTGGACCTGTTTTAGACGTCGCTCGACGTCGGGTTAACGTGCAAAAAAGATCCAATATTTAGACGTCAATACTGGACCTCTTTTAGACGTTAAATTGAGGTCTACATTTGCACCTCATTTGGACGTGTGTGGTCCGCCCAGGACCAAAGCTAGACGTCCGGGTTAATGTGCAAAATAGATCCAAAACTTAGACGTCAGTATTGGACCTCTTTTCGACGTTAAACTGACGTCCACATTTGTACCTCATTTGGACGTCTGCGTGGACCTGATTTCGACCAAAATTGCACGTCATGTCAACGTCCGATTTGGATATCCACAAGACGTCAGAATTGGACGTCGAAGTGTTGTCCGAAAAAGACGTCAAAAAAACTTTGATTCGGCACCTTAAGGAGACGTGATTCAGACGTCCAAATTTTACGTTATGTAGACGTCATTTCGACGTCGCATTGTGCAGTGGGTATGTTTAATTTTTTGCATTGGGTCTTGCCATGTAGTGTAAAAAAAGAAAAAAAAACTCTGGTAATTGAGCTCGCTACATAGTATATACATAGCTATATAGTAAAATCCCATATGTGGTTAGAGATTGAGTGATTCATTTCAGACTATCGGGCTATCACTCGTAGACTAGTCATGTTTGGGGATTTTGAGGGACTGCAGCTGATCTGAAGAAGACAAAAAAAATCTGAATTATGTCCTTAATTAATGCAAAGCTAATTTTTCAAAGATGCTTCATGGTTGGCCTGGTAAATTTAGGATTTAAGTTAATGGTCACTGGCCAAATCAATGAAGAATTATTACTTCATATTTTAGTGTAATTAAATGTTGAGTAATAAAACCAAACAGTTAAATAAGTTGCTGTCGTAATAAGTTCTAGGTGTATCCACACAGGTAGTGCAGGTTATGCAGGTTCAAGGTGTCTGGTTACACAAATTGTCTTAGGACTTAAGTTAAAAGTTGGTTTTCTGTTATTAGTCACTTACTAATTTGTCCTTTTGAAGCCTTACTACAAACTCTACCCTAAATTCTTGGATAATAAAAAACTCAAGCTCCTGAAAAAATAGATTCAAAGACTAAAAGCAGGCATTTTTAATATAAAGTACAATTTATTAAGTATCTTTTTTTTTATAAAGTTTTCATTTTACATAATTTCCCAAGCTTTAAACATAATACAGATAGATCTAAATGCAGCCCAACATTTACAGGCTATATACAACTTAAACTTTCTCCATAGGGAAAACAAGAGTATATTGTTGCTTTTTCAAGTATCTGAACCCCTGTTAGTTTTCACACTTTTTTCATCACTATATGATCTTAAAACAACATTCTTCAGGATTATTCACAAATTATCGCACTGTTACAAGGATTGGCCTTTGTTTTACTTCTTTTTTACTCAGAGTGTGTGCTGTTTTCAAATTGAATCAAAATGACAGACATACATTTGAGTTCATATTTTCTGAAAAGGCTTCATTTAAATCAGAGCGGAAAGAGGTCTGTGTCGTTGTGACATCCTGATACAGCACTGTACATGGTCCCAGGGAATAAAAATCTGAACAGATTATCAAAATTGGACTGAGGAGAAGTTATTCCGAACATGAAACAAGCAACAGATAATCTTAAAAACACAAAATCATCTTTACAGGTTACACCTAACATACACATAATACTTTAATAAAGTAATAGCAAAAGGGCTTTAACATCTGATGGGTGTGCTACTCCGTATCCTTTCACAGGTCAGTACATTCAGATTACATTAGGAGAGCGAGCGCAACGTGTTGCTGTTAGAGCATGTACTACGCTTAACTGCAGAGTTGCTGCTCAGTGACGCTAACTGAAATGTTTACAGTGCTAGCTTTGAAGAAACTGTGTCTTAGGGGAAAAAATACTCGATACTTGAATAACAACTTTTAAGGACCTTTTTATGCAATCACAATCAAGATTTCATCTCAATCAGTGTCTAAGTGTATTGAATTGTTTTGTCAGACTATGTCTGAGTGTTTAGAGAGCATGTCGATGTACAAACATGATTCCATCTGTCAAAAATGATTTGAAAAATACGTTTGGAGCTGCGACTAAAAACAGCTGAACTCGTAGTAGTGCACGGCCTACACCTGAGGGGGAATTACTAAAGACAAGACAATATCTAGGTTCATTTAAGTTCTACTCTGAAAACCCAGACAGTTTTGCCTGCTTCAAAGTGTCTGATCAATATCTTCATCAGCCTCGGATTTTTCTTACAGTTAGAGGGCTTTTTGCATTACACTGAACAGAGCAGCCAGCAGGAGGAGCTAACGTTGTATGCAGCTCCAGATAGGGAGTTTAAGGTCAGTCCGGGATTTTGCTCGAACCCTGCAGCATGTGCCTCGTCTGAGGGGGAGGAACTCCCCTAAATCACATTGCCAATGTGCTGCTGGTTATGGCGGGTCAAACACTCTGAATCTACACTGTAACAACCCTCACAACCCAGTGGAGCTCCTGGAGTACATGATGTACTGCTGATTAATCCACAACACTCACAGTGATATATGCTCTGTGTGTAGAGTAACACACTGAACATGAAGATTATTACCCGCATGCAGCCGCCTGGCATATCTTAAATTTGAGCAATATTTCTGAATGCTGTCAAGGACTATTACTGAGAGAGGGCCGAGTTTTGTCTTATTCTCGCCTTTATATCAGCTCTATTGTCTGAGCATGGTAGTAAATCTGTTTCTGATCAGCCAGGTGCCCTGTGGCTCTCCTGCCCACTCTCTGTGGCCTCGTCTGAGAACCAAGGTTCAGCCCTATTGCAGGGCGTCTCTCCTTCCAGCCTAGTTTGCCTCCAAGGGGATTTTCAGGCAAGTTTAAGGGTGCTGATGGGAAATGAAGGCATGGTTACCATTGTTACAGGGTTGAGCATTGTCTGGCCCACCAGCTGCGGGTGGTGGGTCACCAACTGGGTCTGTTTGCCAACGATAGCTGTTGTTGTTGGGCTCGGTGCTGTGCCGTTCACCTGCGGGTGGGTGTGGTTCAGAGTGTGGGTAATGTGACCAACCACAGCAGGTTGTGTGACAGCCACTGACTGTGGGTAGAGGGCAGGTAGCTGCTGGCTAAGATGAGCCACTGGGTGCACGGTGATGTGGCCGATGGGCTGGTGAGTGGGGGCTAATTGCACAGGGCTGTTAGTGGTGGAGGGAGCCAGGTGAGTGATATGTTTGTGACCCCCTCCCTGGATGACATGATTGACTGCCTGGATGACCGAGGGATGGGACACTGAGGCGTGGGCTATCACTGTCGGGTGGATGCTCGGCATGGTCACCACCTGAGTCTGGTTGGGGATGAGGGGTTGAGTGGAAGTGGTGGGGTTGCTTGATGTTGTAGCTGTGGGCGTCGGAGGAGCGACAGGCTTGGACACCGGCTGTGGAAGAGTCACAGGTAGCGGCTGGAGCACGGGTTGGTGCAGCGGGGCTTTATGTGGGATGGAGATGTGTTGGGTGATGAAGGAGGTAGTGGTCGTGGTTGCGGGCGCTAGGGTCAGGGTCTGAGGGGGGGCTGCAGTCTTGTGTAGCTCCGGTTTCGGATGTTGAGGCACATTGGATAAGGCAGTCTGTGCTCTCGGTGGAGTCTCATCTTCAAGGTCTTCATCCATGATGTCTTCACCTTCTGTGACAGAGAATTTACTCACAGTTAATACAGGAGATCTCTACATGAGCTTTCTGACTGTGTTAAATACTTGATTCTGATTTGCTGATTGACTTTCAATAGAAAAACTAACACCAGGAACAACCTTATCAGAGACATCATATCAAATAATCTGCGTAACTGGCAACCTGTTGAAACCTGTTGGTTACACTGGTGGTAAAAATATTAGTTTCTGTCTGAGGCTGGTTACCTGCTGTGATACTAATTTGCATTATCCATCCCTTACTTGTTTGTTCTATTGCTGTAAATAAATCTAGTGGTATGATGTCGTGGGTGTAAACACATTTTGCACATCAGAACCTTTAGGCCTCCAGTCTCACCTGAGGCGGTAGAGGTTGAAGCCTGGTCCTCCTCAGGCTGGACAGTCTGTCGGAGCACTCGCTCGATCTCAATCACATCCATCCACTGGCTCAGGTCATTCTTCAGCTCTGCCAGTCGCTGCTGTGTGGCGATCTTCTCTCTGGCCAGTCGCTCCATGTCGTGCTCGTACTCCTTCTCTTTCCGCTTCAGAGTCTGAAAGGAGATGGGAAAAGAGTTTATTGTTGATGCTCATGTAAAAGGTCTTAGTCTGTTTCTTTGTGTGCATGTATGTGTTTAATTTTGGTATATACATTTCCTTGGTTGTGGTAGGTCAGGCAGATTTCAAGGATCTTTAGAGGCAAAATAAGACATATGAAGGAAAGCTAATATGTGCTGTTGTGTTTTTATTTGGCTCGGTGTGACCATCTGCTCTGCTTCTGATGGAAAGATGAACTGCTGCAAAACTCTCCAGTAGCTGTGTTGAAACAAGTTCCCCATCTTTGTTTACACAGATTCAAAACTAGGCAGTGTCACCATGAATCCAAGGAAGTGCATCAAACATATTTATTTGGTTCCTCACAGAGCGGCTGCCTAATCTTACATAAACAAGCACTTTGAGTGACTTTAATTTCTATACTTTTCCATACCCTCCTTTTAGAGTTATTTTTGGAAATACCTACTTTTCTATTTTAGAAAACAGCATTTTTTTCTAATGTGGTAATAGTCTGGAAACTTTAATACTTTCCATACTTTATTTTTTATTTACCATACTTTTGCAGACCTGGACATTGATCAAATTACTTCCATACTTGCGTAGGAACCCTGTTTAATCAAAACTGTCTGAACACGTCTTGCCACCATTCAAGATTACAAAAAAAGCTTTCTTAAACTCTCTGTTGTTCCCTCTAGGACAACACTGCATCAACTTCCTCACGCGAACAAGTTATGTCAATGACATCAAGCTTCAGTCGACCGCTAACAGGATCAGATTGTTAGGTTTGTGTGTTGGTTGAGTTGATTGAGTCTTCATTAGGAATCAGTGGATTCCTGCCTTGCAGAGAAACTATGAACCGCCTACTATAGAAACAAATGACAGTAGAAAACCTGTATTAATGACTGTGTCTCTGCTGCTGATTAAAATGGAAAGGGTCCAACAAATAAGGATTTATAAATAAACCTGCGACCAGAGCCTGTGTGCAGGGAACAAAATAACGGAGCCACGGAGCAGGAGGGAAGGAGGAGGTGGAGGAGACGACTACGGAAAGTAGGAGGTGCTTCCAGGCAGCAGCTCTCTGTGACCTAATTTCCCTTAACCCTGTCAGCTGACATGAGGCGAAACCAAACAAACTGAGCTGAGCAACAGGAGGAAAGTTTTAAAGTGTTTGAAAACTTTAATAAATATGCGAAGGATTTATTGACTTCAACAAGGAGAAATTATTACTAATACTTACAATAAACGAAAACGAAATTTGGCAGTAGAGATCAGGTGAAGTTAGGCTGGTAGGGATTAAAGTTTTAAAATTGTGTACATTAGCAGTTAAAAACATTTAAAGTTCATCTTGGGCAAACTATCAAACGTAGACTGTAGCTCTGTGGGAGAGGCTTTAGGGAAATGACACTGTGAAATCCATAACCAGCAACATGACTCAGTATTATAAAGAGTGGACTTCCTGTTAGAGCTCATACCACCGTGTTTTGGCTTGCATGAGAGGTATCTGTGTGTGGCTGTGTGTGAGTTTAAAGTACATGTGGACTTCCTGTCAGTGTGGGAGTGTAATTTACAAAGTGGATGTCATCTTGTGTGTAAATTAAGAGGCTTGGACATTAGGTGTGTTAAGATCTTTGTATGATCTGTGCATGTACAACTACAGTACAAACATGTTCATAAATAGCAAAGGGGGACAGAAGGCGGGCCTTGTGTAATTGGGCACCTGTCTCTAGTCCTTATCCAGGATTAGAAACGCACGGGCCAAGCAGTCTGCGCTTGGACTCCATCCCACTCAGGGTTGATTTCTGTTCCCTCACAAACACACACACACACAAATACAAAGCACAAATACAAACTATAAATACACACTTGGAGGAAATCCTGCTCATGTATGAATTTGGAAATGAAAAGAAACATCATTGTTCAGTCCGATTCAATCCATTGAAATTAGCCTTTAATCTGGCTGTCATACTGAAGAATACTGCAGGTACATGAATGTTATGAAAAAGTGTGTTTTTCTCTTAATACACGAGTTAATTCTGTAGAAATGGAAATATCTAGTGGTATCAAGAAGACAGTGTCTTGATTGAAACTCATTGTTGTTTGCCTCTCGTCTCTTGTGGGTGAAATGAAACTGGCCACTGATGGAAATGACGCTCCGACTGACTCAAAAACAAAACAATTATTATAGTCAGGTGATTTTTCACTGAAACAACAGCTTTCATATGCACTACAGCCACCATCAGAAGTACTGCATCACAACAAGAACTGTAGAAGAATGTAGATTTAAGACACGATAATGTTCCCATTTACTCTTCCTTTGTTTATAACTGACTATGTCACTTTTTGAAAACCATGAATCATCCCTCATGTAAACATACTTTTGAATATTACTACATTTCTAAATACTACATACTCTAGGAAAAGGGAAACTCTCATATATTTACATATTCACTGCATATAAAAAGGGGATATTTCAAACCTTTTCTTGTGTTAATTTTAATGATTATGTGATCCATGAAAATTGGAAATCCAGTATCTCAAATTTTAAGAATATTTTAAAGAAGGACTATATGGATAAATCAAACTCCTTACAACTATGTTCATTCATCCTCTCAGTGCTTAGACAGCGCCAAAACTGCTACGAAATGGTTTACTGTTTGTTTGACTGGCCAGCTAACTAACCTGGGCTGACCTTAGAGAATCCATGGAGTTTTGTCAAATATAAGACACACCTAACCCAAAATACAGATGAGTCTCTTTTAAAGCAAGCTAACAGAAAAAAAAAAAGAGTGAAAATATGTCTTTTTACATGTCACAAATATATAAACAAATGACGGTTTACTGTCTTGAATAAAAGTCCAGGAAAAAAGACTATCAGACTATTTTTTGAGACACACATCATTATTAGCTGACTCATGATATGAACATAATATGGGTCTATCACAGATACATTTCTATCAGGGTATAAAACATAAGACTCTGTATAATTATCCTTAATGAAGATATTTGTTTAGGACAGCAGTGCCAGAGTTTGTGTGCATACAGGGCCCATCCACATAGCAAAGGTCTATTTCAAAGGTTATAACTCAGAAAATTGTTTAACATAGTCTCTATCAATGCTCTAATCAGTCTCTAAAAAAGTCCCATCACTCCGGCTCTTTCCCTAACCTTGAGGATTGCAAATTTTGTTTCTTATCAGCCCGCATGCAAACAAATACAGTCTCGTGCTGCTGTCTATATCCGAGAGCTACTTTCAGTCTGGCAGATCAATCAGAACAGATTTGTTTAAAATACCTGTTTCCAAACACAGACCAACAGTAAAATTATCATTTCCACTGTCTTGTCAAAGATGAAAAAGGAACAGAAATCCCCAAACTGTGGTTAAGTGCTTCTGAAAAACAACAAGGACACCAACAAAGAAGTTGTTGTGTTTGAACAGCCCCCAGGAGCATTGGAAATAATGGAGTGGACATGCACTTCCATTTTGGGTTAATGGGTGTGTTACTAAAAAATGAAAACATGTATTTACCATGGACTCATGTCTGAACACAGATCTGTAACATCAACCATTGTTAGCCTCTCACTGCCAGACCAGAAATACTGTTGATCTTTGTTCTTCAGTCTGAATATGCTAACATCATCCTCAGTCTCCTTGTATGATGTACTGAAATGCCCCAGTCTTTGGTTGTCATAGAAACAGCTGAAAACCTTTTCAAGGTTTTTTTTTTTCCTGTGACCCAAAAGACCACGCACTCCTTAATGTTGCCTTTATGTTCCATCTCGTTTTCTCTGTCAGTATTTCAGCGTGCGAAGACTGCGTGAAAACTCAATCTTGGAGTAATTATGAGACACATTTTCCACATGTATGGAGGATTGATTCACCCTCTCTCTCTCTCTCACACACATCCACACTGTCTCTCCGCTCACCTAACCTAACAGGATTGTCAGATGTAAAAAGAATAAAAAAAGGTTCAAAATATGTGATTCGTGGAGTGAAATGGCTGCCTCTGCTTTCCCCTCATTTTGAAGCCAGAGGCCTTACGTGAGTGGCGCCACAACTGTGCATGCCACAAACTATGACTCATGAGGATGGAAAATGCTCCACAAACACACAGACCCACTGAACTCTAATGGAGGATGGAGCTTGTCTCTTTGCAAATAGCTAGTCTGAGATTAAACAGGTAAAACCTGACTGTGGAGAACATCGCAGTTGTATCCCGCATGACTTCATCAGACTGTTAATCATGTCAGCGGGTCGATAGGACACAAGGTGCCGAGTGCCTTTTGTTTTTTTTCTACGCATGACCCCACCTGGACCTTGCTTGCATGTGAGAATCTAGAACAGTACAAGGCTTGGCTGCATAGCATGTGTGTGTGTGCGAGCGTGTAGAAGGTAAACACGGCTCAAGCACTGTCACAAGCAATGCGAGTGTTGAGCACATGGCCCCACAGACAACGGGAGAGGAGGGAGGGAGGAGGGGGGAGCAGCAGATAGCAGGGGATTGAAAGAGAGCAATACAAGCTGTACTCACTGACTCACTTCTGCAGCAGACGGCACAAGGCTGGGTTTCTTAAAGGGCCAGGAGCACAGGAGGCCACGTTGCAGACACGCTGCTCGCCCTGGCTAACTGATCAGCCCTCTTCAAAAAAAGGTCTTGTGACAGTGTGGTAACCATAAACCCTTGTCTTAGAGTGCCTTCGAGCTGGAACTGTGAACCTCACGTGGTACCTGACTTCAACAATAAAAGGTTTGTCTTTGTGGAAATATATCCGCCTTTTTTTACACCGTTTCTGTGAGCTGGTCATAGCTGACCTAATTACCTCACTGTGGCAAGGTACGAGCTGATTATTCAGCTTTATGCAGATATGTATGAAACCGGAAGACGAAAGTGGCTCTAAGATTGTACAGAGAATAACTAAAGACCTAAATAAACCTCGAAAGATTTGAGAGGAGAACTCTGTGTCAACAAAAACTGAAAATCTTTAACATCTTTTATCTTTAAGGCTGAATGAATCAGTACATCAGTAAAAAAATTTCAAAAGCATTACAACCGAGAAATATGACTTTTTTTTGACAATTAATGAAGTCATAAATCCTCTTTCCTTGACCTCTAAATCTGACTCATTCCCCACTCAATGGCACAAGTTTCAGATGGGCACGGGGGCATCGGCAGTGGAGGAACAAGTTCAGTTGGATTTGAGGAGGAAATGAAGCACAAGAGGAGTAAACCGAGCCTTGTGTTTACAGCTCCATGTTCCCTCCCTGCTGCTGGCAGCTAAGCCTGGTGGTACAGCGAGTCCTGCCTGTTGCAGTGCTGGGCGGAGGCCCAGCACGGGGGGTGACGTCACGCGGCTCAGGCTAGCCATGTGCTTGCTGCTCATGTGGCCTTAAAAGCTCAGAGAGGCAGGATGGAGGGAGGGAGGGTGGGGAGAGCTGAGAGGAGGAGCCCTGATGCACCGAGGCTTATTTTACAGCCTTAGTTTTTACAGCGATACTTACGGCTTGAGGGGAGATTCTTAGGAAACAAAATATGCAACATTTTTAGTTAAAAGCTGAACCCATGTTCAGCTCTGTTAACAGAAAGATGAAACTGGGAGAGCAGAGTAAGCTGCTCGATTGTTTGATTCTGAGCATGTGAAACGCCTCATTCTAAAATGAACCGAAATGAGGAAGAGGAACTTGAACCACAGAGCTGTTTTCTGAGACTTGATGTGAGAGCTGATTTTTTAGAAAATCCAGCCACAATGTGACGACAATGAGCTGCACTCATTTCTAAATGAACACGAGATAGCAGCGGAGATGAATCAAATAAAGTGTGATGCTGAGCCTAAAGCCTCTTATTTGACCCTCTCATGGGCTCAGGGTTGTTGTGTGCAGCCTGCCTCTCTGCTGCCAGCCCAGAGGCGGGCAAGGACTGAGGGGAGGAGAGGGAGGAGGCAGCGTTCGGGGAGAGGTGTATGCAGGACACGCGTCTGTACCACCCATGTCAAGATGACAGTGTGTGCACGTGTTTTTTCGAACTGTTAAGGCTTCCTATTACCTTAGGTTCCCCTGTTTCACTCCACCCATTTAAAAACTAAACAACTAGTGGGGCCAAGAAAGAAGCTTTTCTAAGACAAAGAGGAACGCAGGAGTAAACTTACAGGAACGGCTTAACTCATCTGACCTAGAGTGAGAAAACAGCTACAGGGCACATGGCGTCTCGCGTTGCTTAATTAGGGTTGATAGTTGACGTTTTGACAGAACGGTGGATCTGACTATTTGCTTTGGATACTTCTCTAGTTTAGCTCAGCTGTTGAGAGGCAGATAAGTCAGCCAGTCGAACACCGTGTTGCTTAATCACACAGAGAGAGGGGGGGGCAGAGGGAGGGAGATTGGGTGACGAGCTCTGCACCCACGCTGTCCTAGTTTCCCTCAGTATCCACGCGCACACAGGAACAACAATACTGCTGCTGCTCAGAGCGTCGAATCAGCCGCACACAGTCCTCTGCGAAGAGCTAAATGCTAAAACTTATAAAACATCCTCTGTAGACGAAGAGTGTGAGATCTTAACAATTACCAAACTAAACAACTACTAAATAACACAAACCAAATGAGTGACACTTCACATGTTGGCCTCAGTTAAACTGTTTGTCAGGCAGTGACACGAAATCAAAAACTGTCCTGCCAGGAAAGCAGATCGTTTCATTAACATTCTAACAACAGTCAGCAAAATACACACACACACATATACGTGAAGTTACCGATGAGAAACCTCTGAAGTTTAAAGCTGCCAGCCAAGAGTGTCTATCTATGGGAGAAACATGACCCCCTCTGATATGCACAGTCACAGTCTGAGAAGTTAAACTAGGCCAGTGGTGGACCTTTGCACCAGCTGTTTACAACCACAACACTCTCACAGTGAGCGTCTGACTCAAACAAACGGTCAGGCACTTGTGGACACGGTTCACAATCTAATACTAATCAAGGAGCCTCTTAGAAGACTGAAGATTCACAGGAACAGAAAGAAATGTCATCCAAAATCTGTGTGACTGTGTTTTTATTTACCTCAGAAGTAAACCCTTACTAGAGTCGAGTCTTTTTCATATTTCTACCTCTCTGAGTACACCTGAGCTCACGTTGCAGCGTGACTCCGGAAGAACGGAGTCTGTATTGTTGGGTAGTAATCATGGCTGCCAATTTATCTGTACAAACAAGCCGTAGCAAGATTCACAAGCGTGCACGCTCAAGTTTGCAGAATGCTAATAATGAGTCATTTTCTATGTAACTTTGTTGAGCCGTGGTTACAGTAAACGAACAATAATGTCACAGTACTTCCTACAAACACTTTGTTAATAACTCTGTCAGGTGAGGGTTGACACAAGCAGTAATCCAAATCCATACAGCCTGAAAACTCATCTAAAGAAAGAGGAGTACCGCTGACCGCCCTGTCGGACACCGGTCGACATTTTAAATCCTCCTCAGAGTTCACACAAGTTGGAGTCAAGAGCAGAGCTCAGTTCACAGCGGCTCACCTGAATGTATCTCAGCGCACTCCTCAGCACACACAGATTGGACGTCTTCTTCTCGTCTATGTTGGGGATGTTCTTCTTCAACGTCTCAAAGCACTCCTTTAAGTGTGCTCGTCTGATACAACACAACACACAGAGGAGGGCTTTTAGACAACACAAATGGCTTTATCGCTGTGAATACACAACAACCTTTTTAAATACTTATATAGGCAAAAAAAAACCAAAAAGAACAACGCAGTATTAGGGCCACTTTATGGAAAAAATATGTTTAAGTATTGAGATTTTGAGAAAGAAGTGGTGATCTATAAGGTTACAAATTTGAAGTCATGTCATGGGAATTAATTTTTATTTTAGCCTAAATGTTACCACTGTCATGAAGGAGGATTTAATCTCATAAAACCACAACTTTACTCTCAAAATCTTTTTTTTTCTCTCATAATGTGGCCCTAATCCTCCATCATACAAAAAAAAACAGATCATGTAATTTTAACTAAATAAGACATCTGTTTATTTCAGGGTAAACTTGAACATGTGGAACAGAGGCCATAGATACACACTACTTGATGTCATTGGTAAACTACAGTTCAAACGTAACAGTATGTATATCCTCACATCTCTCTTATGTCTCTCTCTATAGGAGGTCCTATAGCAGATAGGCTGAACCCACCTGTTTTTCTCAAGCTTGTTATGAACCTCTCTTGTGCCTGCCCTGTAAGAGCACAAATGAGAGCACAGTAAGAATTTAGTGTCAAAAAGGGCAAGGTGACAAAACTGATCAAACCAACCTCGAAAAAAAAATAAAGTTTATTGGTGGACATTTTTATCTAGTGGACATTTTTGGAGACAACAGTCTGTTGTTGTTTGTGTCCAATTTAAAGTAGTGATTTTAGAAGGTAAATGCCCTCATCATTACAGTCTCGTAAATGTTACATTTGGATGTTTTTCCTGAGATACAAACCACACTAACACTCTGAGTGGAACATTGAGGCTACAGTCAAACATACTTATGGACATTTTACTGATATAATTTGACTCAAATGAATAGATAACCCAAAGACAATGGTAATCTACAGCAATATCTCAAGTATAAGTGGGTTCAGACTCACCCTCCTGGCCTCTTCTTGTCCAGCTGGCGGCTGTCGTCAGGGGGACTCCCCCGGCTGATGGGACCATTCTGTAGTGGAACCTGCTGGAGCACAGGGCTCGGATGGGGGAGTAGGGTGGGCTGCTGCGGGGGCGAGACGATTGGGCCCAGGCAGCGTTGCACCAGCTGCGGTTTAGTGTCGGTCGGGGTGATGATCTGCGGCTGATGGTGGTGGTTCTGTATCAGCGGCTTGTGGTTGGTGGTCAGTACAGAGGGCTCGGATTTGGGTTGTGGAGAGCGCGGAAGTGTGGCAGCAGGCAGCGGAGCAGCGGGAGGGGAGAGCGTGGCGACGGGCAGGGTGGGCGATCCCGTGGGGTTGGGGGTGACCACGGGGATGGGGATGACTGTAATAGGCATGGAGGGGGGAGGCAGAGAAGGAAGTATGGGCGCCTGGCGGCACTCGATGCGGCGCTCCTCTGCTTTGGAAACATTGTTGTTGTGGATTGTTGCGTTATACTTCACATCAGAGAACTTCTGCTCTGCCAGCTGCTCCAGACGCTGCTTCTCCTTCAGTTCATCCTCTGTCAAAGAAATAAGGCAGATTAAAACAAAAATAGATTTTCCCTCTCTAAACACTCTGGGTACTATCAAACAAAAACCACAATACCCTTATTGTTTGGTGAAGTACAAAACAGTCATTGACAAAAGCCTGACTTTGATCCTAACAACAGCGTGGGCCTGTGAAAGGTAAAAAATAACTCTTCTTTTGGCATTTACCACCAAAAAAAGGAAAAACTAATAAGATTTATAACGATAAGAGTTATGATTTGGGATACCTGGACTGTGTAGTTAATGGTTCCTACAGCCGGCCACATTCATTCAGATGCTCTTTCTTTCTTTGATTTGGAAAAACGGCAAAATAAAGTAAAGAAAGCCGGGAAGAAAATAATGACGTCAAGGTTTAAAGCCTCAATATCAGCTTCTCACAGCAGAAAGGCCAAGTTAATTAAGAGATCAGGAAAATTAATTTACATCTGATCTCTTTCTGACCATAACAGTTACCAGAATGTAAATTGATAAATCCATCCAGGTGTGTAGTCTTGTTTCTGTGCTTTTCTGTTTGCGTGCTGTAGATACACCTTACACAATGTCCACTGATCGGGTTTTGTTTGAGAAATAGATGAAGTCTTTAAAATTATCTACAATACCAAATCTCACTTATAAGTGATGTGTATGTATTGGACGTCACTCTTGAGGTCTCCCTTTGACTCATTTCCACACTGCAGCGTCAAGAACCACAGTATGTGTCAAGACAATTCAAATAAAGGATCTTAATCAGCTGAATTGTATTAGATATTTACACCCAGACTAATCCTCTTATAAAGTATGGATGCTGCCTGGTTGCTATGGCAGCAGTGATGCCCAGAGTTAGTCTTTATTTTCATTATGAAGTGGACCAGAGTCACTGCAGCACAGTATACTGTTTATGTGTCTGTGTCAGGTCAGCTGCATTTGTATAGCCCAGTTAAAAACAGCAAGAGCTGAACAAACTGTTTTTCAAAATAAAGGCATGTGTATGACACAGAGTTCAGAGTTCAGAGTTCAACAACTAAAAATGCTCTTCTATCACTGTAAAGGGTTATAGCCTACAGAGAACATGCACACTAAAACAACAGGTTCTTCAGTATTTCAGGATTGATAGAAATGATGACATAAAGGTATAACATAACACAGTTTAACCACAAAAACTACAGCCTCCAGTACATACATAGATAAATATTACCATCAAGTTGAATCGACCCTTTTATATAATTTCAACAAAAACTTAATGTTCTTGTTTTATCCAGTTGCATAATGAACCGCCAAAGACACAAGAACCTTTGTTGAAGTAAGCAGTTTTATCCGTCACTTGAGTTACGGTGCATCAATGAACTTTTCTACATGTTGAATATGACACAATTCCCCTCCTATATCACACTAAAGTTTTGAATTCAAAATTCAAAAGTTGTCATAAAATATCCAAGCCCCCACAAATACTATTCTACCAATTTGTATTTAACAGGAGCTTATTAGCAATAGTTTTGCGTATCCACATGCACTCAAAGAACTTGTCAAACTCATGTTAAAGAGGAACAAAACACTTCAGGTCTGAATGGCGTAAGAAGAGGTAAATAGTGTCACATCCAATGTTCACATGTTGTACTTTTTGCCGCATTTATTTGCGATGCCTCAAAGTGAAAACAAGAAGAAAAGAACAAGATGTTCTGGCAGCTGTGATTTGCAGCTTTGCTAAGATGTTGAATGCCTTCTAATGAGATCGATAATTTCTCATTGTGGTGCCGACACGTTAAACAGAGTATGTTACAGAGTCAAAACCTACGAAATACCTGCCAAAAACAGAGGGTTTTCTATAGACATTATATAACTGCAGCAGCACACAAAAACACTGGCCTACTTTCTGCACACAGTGACCTGCTCTACAGTAGCAGTAAGGAAGGGGAGGAGGGAGGCGGGGGAGGACTCTGCTCTTTCAATGCAGCAGAGCACGAGGAACTGAAAGAGGAGAGGAGCAGGAGCTCTCACTCTGGTAAAGGTTGGGAACAAAAGCTTACTTCAGGGTCTGTACAATTACGGGTGGTACGTGTACAAGCCCAGTAAGCACATATGATAACTTAAAATATGGACGGTTAATGTGTAGCTACAAAATTATCTCCACAGTCTGGTTTCAGTATGACTTACTAGCATGGACACAATCTTTAAACATGGGTGCACCAAGGAATGTACTGGACGATGCAAGTGCTTCATATACGGACTCGCTTGCACGTGTCTATGTAGTTGCCCTCTGTTAGAAGCTATGTGTGTATTCTTTTTGCCCAGGCTACTTCCCTGTTTACCTTCTCCTTGTCAAAAAGAAAGAAAAGTTACAGAAAAGGGACAAAAAACAAAAAAAAGTTTTTAAAAAGTAAAAAAAAAAATCCATTCTGACTGTTACCCGTAGACTGTATATACTATGGACAGCTTGGTTCCGCCTCCTGTCTGTATATGGATTTGAAGCTAAAAAGCTCCTAGTATTTACGGGATTTTTCTTCATTTCCTGAAACCCGCGCTGCGCAGTAGTGTTGTGCGCATTCGGCAGGAGATTCACTGTGATGACGCTCGGCTCAAACAGTGTATCCCCCTGATGAGCTACGCAATTCCTGAACACCAATAGGCTGTATCAGGTGTCAATCATAGCAACATGAACCCCCCTAATAACTTTTAAAAACTGAGCTTCTTAGAAAAAAGAGGAGTTGAACACAAACCAGTCTTACTGTAACTACATGTCAACATCGCAAGCAGGGGGGAGAAAAATTTATGTTCTGTGTTATAAATTTCTAAAGTTTGTCCACAGCCCCATAAGCTTTGCTGGAGGAGTCGGGATGTATGACCTATACTGCAGCCCGTCAACAGAGGGTGCTGTTCTTGGAGTGGCTTCACCCAGCGAGGAGGTCGGCGAAAAATATTTCGTCAACGTCAACGAAAACAACACTGCAGAATATGTGTTTAGTGTTTGACTGACAAAATGCTCATGAATTTTGCAACTCTTCGTCATCCACCACTAACGTTTTCGTCCAGTCTCGTCTCGTCAACGTAAACACACTTTTGTCTCGTCACATTCGTCTCATCATATTTTAGTCATCTAAGACTTATATTTAGCTCGTCAACATCACGTCTTCTCCATGGTAAAAAAGGGGCGTTAACGAAATATTTTCATCAACGAAAACAACACTGCATAGAGCACATGGAAAAAGACAGATAATTATTGAATTTATCATTTATTTTACTTATTGAATTTCCCTTTTGAGGATTCATAAGGTTAATCTCAGTTAAAACAGAATTGAAGGCCATTTTCTTGTCATAAGGAACCCAAACAATACAAGAACTATACAACATAAAATAAGACCATGAGGACCAAAATAAAACCATAAAATAGTTATGAAAAATGGAAAATGCAATTTAAAGAGGGGTTGATAGTAAATATAAAAGGCAATATGAACAATCATAGTAAATTAATGACAGGTAATACTGATAATACTAGTAATGATAAAATAGAGCAACAGAAATTACACTAAATTTCGGTAAAAATTGCTCAAAAACGCGGAAAATGTATCCCACTCATTAAATTCTGCGGGCTCCATGCAGTAGTGACTCATCTTCGTCATAAACAATCTCTGGGAGGGGTTGCCCTGCATGCACGTGGTGAAAGGGGCGGGACCATCCTCCCCCCCTCCGCTGCTAAGAAACGGAGGCGTGGTCGGTTGGTTACACGTCATCGACAGACATTCAAAGCTCTCCACGAGCGTCTGATGGGGGCAAGGGAGTTATTTTTTAAGACCCAAACAAAAACGACATTAACACGCAGGAACACGCTGTTCTGTGGCACACTGAGTACCGTGAAAAGAGGGGGGAGAAGATCCACGTAGAAACACGGTTAACATGAGGGGAGACCTGAAAACGGATCCCCCACGGACAATGTAGGGTCATTATGTAAAACGAGCTCGGCATTCCCTGCGCCACCGCCCTTTACCCCCCCTCCAATGATGTAGTTTTTCCTCTCTTAATTTTTAATAACAGTGCATGCTTTTGTTCATGAATAAACTTTAATATGAAAACAGAAACAGATTAGATCTATAAACTCTGAGAGGATGCTTTCCACGTCTTTAACAAGTGAGTGTGTCTGCAGCAGGTTTCAATGCAGTCACCCCCTGATACTGCAGCGCCCTGTTTATCAGCTACTGTGATTTAGGTCCACAAATAAAACAAGAAACGCTCACATTCCTGCAATGCGACTGCACATCAGAACGAATCTGAAAGTAATAGTCATATTCTCAGTGACTGACAACCGCCTAACAACTTTGTGGACAAATTGAAACCAACACACCGGTAATTTTTTTTTTACTGTTTTTAACCAGGAATGACGCCGAAAAATGCGTCAAACAAGCATCCGGTAAAATACTACAACACCACACCTCACTTAATTGTTAAGTATGTAATTTATAATCACCAACACGGTCAAACACTCACTAAATAATTTGATTTAACACCAACTTACCACGTGCTTTCTGTTGTTGCTGGGCTTGCAATTCCAAAAACTTGGCTGCTTCCAGAAGCGTTTCGATGCTCATTTCTATTCCAATTTCAAAAGGCTGTGGTTTATTTTCACTCAAAAAAGACAGGCGTCTGAAGCAAACGCTGCGGCGCCTGAGTACTACAGGGACAGGTTTCCCAGTATAGCGCTTAGAAAAAAAAGGGTAATCGGATACCCCCTCTGTAGAAACTCTACCACTTACGTAGGACACTTACAAACAAGATGGCGCTCAAAGTAGTGAGAACAAATAAGGTTTGTGAATCACGCATCGTTTGGTGACCGCCCACAGACAGACAGACACACTCCCTCCCCATGCACGCTCGAGAGAAAGAGGCAAAACACGGAAAAGGATATGGACCGGATTTGAAAGCGTGTTATTCAGCTCCTATCATAAGCTGAGTCACGTCCGCCAGCGTTACAAAACTGACACTACACTCACATGACCCTCATACTTAAATAATGATAATAATGATGATAATGAAATAAATCAAAATACGTACATTTATATGGTGGCCTAGAACCTCCACTACTGCAATAAAATAGAATTTTTAAAAAAAGAATGCCAACACTGCAAATAAAAAAAAAGCAAAAAAAAAAAAAAAAAAAGAAGAAGAAGCCACGGTGGAAGTTACCAATAAATTAAAAGAAAAGAAAAAAAAACAAAGTCCACTGCAAATAAAAAAGAAATGGTGCAGATAAAAAAAGGAAAAACACAATGGAAGTTACTGATGTAAATAAAGAAAAAAAAAGAAAAGAAACTGAAGCCCACTGCAAATAAAAAAAAGAAATGGCGCAGACAGATAGAAAAAAAACCACAATGGAAGATAATGACACAAAAAAGTGGCGATGCAAAAAAAAAAAAAGTTACTGTGAAAAAAAAGCCAAAACGTAAGTAAACAACGCAAAAAAAGTAGGGATGTAAATACAAAAAAAAGTTTATTACTGCAAAAATAAAAGGATGCAAAAAAAAAAAGCCACAACAGTAGTTAACCACGCAAAAAAAAAAAAAAGTTACTTACTGTGAAAATAAAAGATTGCAAATAAAAGAAGCCACAGCGAAAGTGAGCTGCCAGGGACCAATAGTGATGGTGCATCGGTGTCTTACAATCAAAGCACAGAAGACAACGGCGAGAAGACGAGCAAAAATGTAAGTGGAAAGGTTATTGTTTAATCTCGCTTTATAACTTTGGTTAGACCATACCGTGCTTGAGTCAATATGAAGTTGAACTGTAGAATGCCAGCATAGTGTTAGCTTCAGTTCAACTTCACTACAACACAAAAAAGTGGCGATATTTTACATCGCCACTTTTTTGTGTTGTTAACCTTTTTTTCTGCACCGTTTCTTTTTTATCTGCAGCGGACTTTGGCCTCTTTTCTTTTCTTTCTCTTTTTTTTTTTGCATTGGTAACTTCCGTTGTGATTTTTTTTTTTCTCAGTAGTGGCAGTTCTCGACCACCGTACATATACAATAAATCATTTCAAACAACCTACAGTGTATTTCTATACTATTTTTACATTACACATAAATATATGTCATGATCGTGGTACATTATGTGTGTCTGCTTATTCTGATTTACTATGTTAAATACTGGTCGCCTGTTGGCAAATAAAGGTAAACTATCTCCGCAAATTACAAGTAACCACGACTGCAGTAAATTTACATCGGTGATGTTTTGTTCTCGCTACCAATCAGAGTGAAGATCAACAAGGTATGGCGTCTGTACACATAAAAACATTAGTGGAATGTGCGTCAACATTACATGAGAGGAGAGGGGGTATTTGGGTAGAGGAGGTCACTGTATGAGAGTTTATGATTTAGAGTTGGGGTCATGGACCTGAGAGCTTTCATGTTGTGGAATTAGACCTAATAATCTATATATTTTATGAAAGTCTAAGACAGATTTCAGAGTTGAAGGATGTCACCAAATATGATCCCTGATGGTTAATACCACTTTTGTAATACTTTAAGGTGATCGACAATCATTAATTTTAACCAGATTGTCAATTTGTGAAACGATTTTGAAAAAGGAGTAAAGGCTGATACCAGAGTCTTAGAAATAGTGATTAAAGAAATGGCCAGACCAAGTCCAGACTCTACCATGAAAGTAAAAATGACCAATAAGGGCAGATAAAAACACATTTTTATAACCCTCTTTTAAGTTATAAATAAACCACTGAGGTTGTTATTGTCAACTAATCCAACTTAAGCGCGCTGGATGCACGTCTTTAACACTGTTTCCTCTCTCACATGACTCTGTCACACACAGGCTGATGGAGTCCAAGTCCTGGCACAACCAGGATCGTGCAGGAACTGCTTTTCCTTACTTCACATCAACAAAGAATGTAGAGGCCCACACACACACGCACCCCTAGATATTTAGGTCTCTTTTCCTGCTATTCACTCAGCTCTGATCAGGAAGTATATTGTCTCCCACAGAGTAATAACAGTGGACACGGTACTAAAGGTTCTCCAGGCACAGGAAACACGGCAGAGCTTCAGGAACATCCTGCATCACATGGTGTGTAAATTTAACAAGAGCCAGCTGGTGCTGCATCATGCTAGGATAAATATATAATTCACTGACACAATATTTAACAAAGCAGAAATAAAAAAGTTTAATCTTGACTTTACATGTAAGCGATCATGGGGGATACTTGAGGAAGATACACATACTCTGCCCTCTAGTGGATGTTTGAAGGTACTGAATCACTGATTGAGACGTCACCATGATCAAAAGATGCACCAAGAAGCAGAAAACGCTATAAAAACGTGTTGATTTATTGCAAATATTTGAGCTCTAAATCCTAATGTACAATATGCATTACCTTAAAAGGTAAAATATACAAACGCGGTCATTGTCTAAAATGAAACTAAAAATTTCCTCCTCTTGGGAGAAACCTCTGAAAGTAAAATAAAAACCAAGAACTCTGAAAAGCTGTGTGGAGTCACACACAGTGATTTAACTCTAACTGTCCAAAACTTAATAACCAACTGAGAAGCACTTAAACATCTCCAAAATAAAGTATGCTGTCATTTTAAGATTTGAATCAGCATTTCATATTTCAGCATTTTCCAATGAACCTTAAAAGTGTGTTCTTCAGGAAAGTGCACAGCTGGTTCATCAGGTCTTTATTCTGACCCTCGACCCAGTGCATTTCGATCACCACATCCCTCTCCTCAGGCGTGACATTCAGAAGACACTTTAACAGGAAGTGTTCATCCCCAGAAAGGCTCAGGGTTTTCGCACAGGGCGGCTCGCTTTCTGCCGCAGGCGCTTCCTTTGCTCCTGTTTCCTGTCCTGCTTCTGCAGACGTTGAGGTCTCCATGTTCACATCTCCTCCTGACACACACTCTGACACTTCTTTTTGATGTCCTGTAGGGTTGAGTGTTACTTCTTCACTCGTCTCATTTGAAAGAGCACAGTTGTCCTGAACATTGTCAGCCGGAGTGTTGTCAATGGAGACAGACTGGTTTTCAGCTGCTTGAGTTGTGGTGGGGGCAGCTGTGACCGTGGGGATTTGAGTGCTGGTGCCAACAGACTGAGGTGCCCTGGGAAGCTCTCGCAGCTGACGAGCCCCTTCTCGTCGCTTCTGACGGTTGTGGATCCATGTGTTTTCCACAGCTGTTAGTAAGAGGCTCTGCTCCCCTTTTCTACAGGGAACACGCTTGTGCAGCACCTGCAGAGACATACACAACACAGACAGGCAAGCAATGATGGTTGATAGTTGAACTCCATTATTGTAAAGTTTCTGCTGCAGTGATTTTTCATTACTCCTTTTGTATCAGAGGAGCCTCCTGAGTTAGAGATGAACCATTTTCTGTATTTTTACACTTCTTAGCTCACCTTTAGGTCAGTGAGTGTTTTCTCCAGCAGAGCAGTGATACTCTCCACAGGGCTGCGGGCAGTGCAGCCTAAAGCCGAGGCCTTGGCTTGGAGCTCCTTCAGTCCCGGTTCTGGTAGCATGAATGAAAGCGGCTTCCTCACCTTCTCCAGTTTACGCTTCTTACTGGGTGGAGACTAGAAAGAAAGGAGAGACCAGAGTGAGATTCAGAAAAATTTTAAAAGGTAAAATGGCAATACAGCTGTGTGGATGACATGATCATAAATGTTCTTCCTTGAGCTGAGTCACCCTGCAGCAGTCTGTAATGGACTGGCCCAAGGTCTCACTACAAACAAACGGCTGCTGGAAGAGAGTAGGTGAGTTGTGTTTAGTCTCTTTGCTAAAGAAATGAGGCAAAGCTAACAAGATGTTTGGTGGCTAGTGCTATGGTTGGGACCCTATATGTACTGTTGATGAAGTTAGGTGCTGTTCTGAGCATTATTTGTGGCTGTAGAGTGGCGTTTTGGTTGAGGTTTGTTTATGGCTCCTCAGACTGCTGTATATTGCTATCGTGCGGTTGTTACTAAAGTTGGTATAACTAGAGAAGCAAGCGGTTGGCAACATTCATCACTCGACGGGGTGTCTAACTCAGTGTTACGGTGGAATATCCCTTTCACACATTCGATGATGTCTCTGAAATATGCACGAGGATAGTCCCTGTTGATAAACCTGGGTGACAATATAGAAAAAATGTGTACCAGCTGAAGAAAGCACACTTTCAGATTGAGCAGATTACACTTCACTCACGCCGCACACGCTAATGTTTTCCCCAGCTGAATGTTACTACACTGATCTCATACAGATAAGGTTTGGCAGCTCTTTATTGGCTCATTTCTTAAATTCTCCCCCCTCTCGTCTCTCATGATTCTGCTTTTCTTTCCTGTCTTTTTCATTTACACGTCAGTGCATGTTGACGCAAATTGAAAAGACTGGTTTACTAATGATTCGGAAACCTCATTTGTTGTTTTGATCTTGTTAAAACATTACAGACATTCCACACCAGAGATAGTGATGGTTCTCAAGTAACCGCACCAAAATGTTGACAATGAGGCGGCCAGCAGAGGGCGGTGAAGTGTTTCTGCTCACATGCAAAACCTCATTTCCACAACAGTTCAGGTGCTCTTTTCACTAAGGGGTCATGTTCATCAACTTTCTCTTCAACAACACTCAAATGCTGTTATTTTGAAGCTGTAGTGTTCACCTGTCCTTGATTGAAATAGGATTTAAGCTCTTCAGCAGTCCAGAGTCAAATGTCTTTATTGTATTTTAGATGTTAAATTACCCCAAACATTGTCAATGGGTGAGAAGTCTGGCTTGTGGGCGGACCAGTGTAGCACCTGAGCTCTTTCACCACTCGCCACTCTGTTGTAATTTGTGTAGACTGTGGTTTACCATTCTCCTGCTGAAATAAGAGTACCACGCTTGAATGAGGTTGTAGTTCTGTGATTACTTCTGTCAACATCCAAAAGGAAGTCCTTTCACAAATTCACACATGCTTGAGCGACCAGTTGCGCCTCATGTATCTCAATCAATCAAACTTTATTTATAAAGCGCTTTACAGTCAAGTTAAAAACAAAAACAAAAAACTTTCCCAGATGCCCATCAGGAGACACAGAGATGTAGAGCTGCGTATCATCAGCATAACAGGGGAAGTTGATTCCATGTCTCCTGATGACACCGCCAAGAGGGAGCATGTACAGGTTAAAAAGCACAGGGCCTAAAATCGAACCCTGAGGTACACCATATGGGATTTTATAGACTTTGGAGGAGCATGTGTCTACACTTCCATGAATGTCCTGTCTGTCAGATAGGAGGTGAACCATCTGTGAACAGCACCTGAGAGGCCAAGGTGTTTTAGGCGGTTGTATTGAAGGCAGCACTAAGATCCATCAGAACCAACACTGTCATCTTTTGTGCATCATAATTTAATCTGACATCATTCAAAATCTTTACCAAGGGGGTCTTGATGCTGTGGTTCACCCTAAAACCAGACTGACACTTTTATAGCCTTTTTATAGACACTTTTAAGAATATCATGATTGTCTGAAAATTCTTTAAGTTGGATAAAAACAAGTTTTTCTAATATTTTGCTTAAAAATTGTAAGTTAGACACTGGCCTGTAATTGTTCAAATCATTCAAATCTAAACTGCTCTTCTTCAGCAGGGGTCTCACTACTGCTGCTTTAAAGGCAGAGGGAAAGACCCCCGTCTGAAGAGAGCAATTCATCATGTTTAAAAGCTCGTTTCTAAAAGAATCATAAAATAACTTAAAAAATTAGGTCAGGATAGGATCTAAAAGACATGTGGTGGGCCTCACTGAGGAGACAGTCCAGTGTTTCCTCAGGTAAAGACAAACACTCAGATGCATTAAAAGGAGTAGTTTGATATGACATGAATCCGGATCAATGATTGTAAGTAATACTCAAACACAGTAAAGTAACCATAAGGCATATTTTAATCTTATTATTATAAGCTTGCGTGGTATTTCTCTAGATTATGGCTCTTCAGGGGACCCCTGATGAGTATTTCGGATGATCAATGGATACATACAACGTTGCACGTCCATGTCACACCCCAAGAGGGCACTCAAAGCACACACACACTCCACCTGAACCTGCAGTGAATTAAACACGCTTCTTTATTTCTAATCCCCTCTAATGTCACGCTGTGATGGCGGTGGAGGTCGTCGCTGAACTGTGTCTGAATACAGCGAACGCTCTGCAGCAATCGTACCCCGTGTGTGTGTGTCCCCGCTGCAGCCGGCGCGACCATGCTGCACTCCGCAAAGTCACCGCAGAGTGACTGAAGTGGGGGAGACGGTGGGGGTCTGCAGCCCGCACTGTGCAGTGACGGAGCAGACAGCATGGCCGACTGACCTACAAACAGCAGAGAGAAGGAGCGCAGTGTGACCTTCACACCGCTACAGTCATCGGGGAGTAGTTATCGCCGTTTTGGTGCATCACAAGACTTCATATTGTTTCTCAAGTTATGGATCTTTCGCTTAATTAATTCACAGCTTTCCTGCATCTGCTTTATTTTGAAAGGGAGCTTCATCTTCACTGTCAGTAAAAGCTGTTTCTCCACTGATCATCCATTGATTTTTAGTTGAAATCGGTTCCTGCCTGTTCAGCAGAGATGGACGTGTTTAATTAATAGGTTGACAATAGAAGCTGCTTGTCTGGCTGCTTGTTGGAGCTTCTTTTCATTTCTTATTGTTTCACACAGACATCTCTCCCCCTTCCTCCTCCTCCTCCTCCTCCTCACTCTGCCAGCCCTGCAGCTCATTGTACACGCAGAGGAAATCAATAAAATCCATCAAGCCAAACCTTTCTGTAAGCCATATCCTTGACACAGATTCAAGCACTACCACATCAGTTTAAAATCCCACACATACAAAGTCGGCGAGTGCAGACACAAACCCAGAGACAAAGAACTCCATGTACTCTGTTTTATATACACACACACTTTTCTACTGAACAACATCCTCTTCTGACTCTGCAGCTCTTTCACTCCATCACTCCATTATTAATCCCACTTATACACTCTCACCCAAGAGCATGCTCTCTCTCACACACACACCAGATGTGGTAAATGACATCCTCACAATAAAAGCTGCGCCTCATTTTGAAACCTAGCCGTGGTAAAAGTCTGATAAGAGCTGCCCTCTTTAGATACCATGTTGTCCAATCATCTATCTCGACCTCCTGAGTGCACACACACACACGCTCGCACACACACTGAGAGACAGTCACAAAAAAATGGAGAAGTTAAGTGTTGCAGATTTCACCTCCAGGCGAACACTGTTAATCATACTCTAGAGTTTCACAGCCCCTGCTCGGACTCCTGAACTCGGGACCTTTCCTGACCCCCTCTCCCGCCAGAGGCCTATAAGTGCAACCAACAATCACTTACCCCAGGGCTCCGATAAACCAGACAGCCTCCATTTATTCTCTGTATGTAAGCTTATCTTACTGTCTAGTCTACATCTTTTCAATTCGACATCATGTCGAATGTTTGAGCATGTGACACATTGATCATTTCAAAACCTGAAAGTAAAGGTGCAAACAAGAATCCCGTTTTCAACATCAAATTAAAAAATCCTTTTGTGTAATTGGCTCTGACATTTGGCACTTCTTTTTACTCTTACCTTTAAATAAATCTCAGATTTTTTTCTTGCATCTGTCCATGCATCTCCAATGGCAGGTACTTAGATGGAAATTAAAAATGCAAATGGCAGGAGAGGCATGCAAGCAACTAAAGAGACATGAGATGTCTCTGCGAATATTGGCATAATTAACTCATGTGTTACTTAGAAAATAGCAGGAAACTATGTTTTCAGATATCAAACTCTGACCAGCTGCTTGATGAGGGCTCAAATGTTGTCACACATCAAGACCAACATCTCATAGATACTGACCAGAGATGCTGTGACTATGTTCAATGGTCTTGGAGCTTCAGCTTCAACATTTCTTGCAACCCTTAAAAGGGAGCTATGACTGTGATCGAGTTTGACCTTGTAAATGTGTTCAGAGGAGATTTTGGCTTAAATTAGAGCGTACATCATTCAGAAAAAAAACTAATTCCTGTATTAGTGGTAGAGATGTGAATTACCCATCTCTCTGCTGGCTACAACCTAGCCCTTTGATAAAAAGTCAAGCTTTAAATAACTTTTAATTTCCAATATATACATCTCTGTGTGAGCTTAAAATCTACTGACCCGGCAGAACCCCCAAAGTTCTTCAAATATGCACCTTTGAAATCATCCAAGAATTTGTCAAAAATTCTAATCAAAGCAGGAGATTTCCTGTTGAGTGGAAGAAGACTTTTTTAGACCTCGATATGACAAATCTAAATAGTGATACTCATAAATATATAGGTCAATATAAGGAGGGGATCTTTCAACCTGTAGGGGGAGCAAATGAGCCCTTCTTAGAGATTTTTTTCTGAGACCCTTAAAAATATCTAATTTTCCACCAGGACTGATAATTGTATGAATCTTTGGGTGTGTAAGGCCCAGAGTCTGCAGTTTAGTATTACCAAGAAAGAAAAAGGGACAAACAGAGTGATACGAGTAGTGTCCGCACCCTCAGTGCCCGAGCCCTTCTTACTGTAAATGTCCAATTCACATTTGTATTTAACCTGTTACAGCTCTGTGAATGCTGAGATTCAGATTTGGATTAGTCGACGAGCTTAAACACTTTTTGTTGCAGGTCTCCCTGTTCAGAAAAATGTGTCACATGTGGTGTTAAAGATGTAATATAAGGTAATGGCAGTAATTTGTAGGATGTAGTAAGGCTGACCTGGTAGTAGGAGAGTTTAGTAGGTCACAGCTGCATGTGTGTCACATATGTTAAAGCCTATATGTAACATTAATGAGCACCCATACGCACATATACACATACGTACACACCAGACATGAATAGGAACAAATGCATAGAGGCGAAATGTGGAAGTCAACCATGCATGGAATTGCATATGCAGAAACTTCTGTCATGTTAGCATGTACACACAGACAGGCAGACACACACACGCGCGTGCTTGAGGGGTCTGCCCTGTAATGATGGTGAGTGCAAACGATGGTGGCTGTGTGTGTGAAAGTGGAGGAGGAGGAGGAGGGCTGCAGGAGGAAATGTAGGCCGATCATTCTGCTCAACTGCCCTCATGCTAGAAAGGCCAAAACAGAGACAAATCCAACCAAACAGTCATCATCATCATCATCATCACCATCATCATCATCGTCCCACGATTTCCTGACAGCCTTCCTCGATTCTTTAACTCCAGCATCATTCTCAGTCTTTCACTCTTTTTCTGAACCGTTCTCTTTATTTATGTCCAGCCCTTTAACTGTCCAGACAACACAATGGTTTAGGGCTGTATTGCACACAGTCCTGGCCTTAGCAACTGTTGCCTGGATACAGCATGTTAAAAAAAATCACATCAACATCTCCTTAGAGGAAAAAAATAAAGTGCTTCTAATGGAAAAGGGCTTGAGGGAGAGGGGGGAATTCTGCAGAGGTTCTACATAATTGAGGAAGGGTTTGGAAACATTCAGCAGCTGGAAAAAGAGGTTTAACTACTAAAATACCCAGAAGTATATAAATAGCTTACTTGGGTATTTATTACAGTGCTAAAAGTCGGTCGTATTTTATAGCATCAAAGCAGCTCACCACAGGTAATTACGGTAATAATTTCACCACCTCTCTTTTATAACCACAACACAAAGTCTTGAATCGAAAGAGGATGGGGAGAAAATCAGCACACTCACCGGAACAATCACATCGTCATAGAAACTCCAGGCCAGAGCCCAGCGCATAGTCCGGCCCTGACAGAACTCTGTGTGTGTCACCTTTGGTACCTGAGGAAAAAGGAAAGTGTCAGAGGAGACATTTCACAGTAAAACAACCCAAAACTTAATCTGTAATTAAAACACTTTTAGGGATATTTTGGCGTAAAATTAATTTAGGATCAAAGACACCGAAACACAGAGTTAGACACTCCCTCGAGACAGCTTGCTTCTCTAGTTTAACAACTTTAGTAACAACCGCAAAAAAGAAATACACAGTGGTCTAAGAAGTCATCAACAAATCTCAACCAATCGCCACTCTATACCCACAAATAATGCCCAGAGCAGCACCTGACTTCATCAACTAATAAAATTTTGTGCCGGAATATCCCTTTAACAGGTGGAGCCTCTGAGTGTGGCAGATTTTTTTTTAGTATTCTCCATAAAACTGTAACTATAACTTATAGATCAGCTCCACAGAATGAAATCTCTCTATTTTTGAGATCCAGAGACTCAGAACAAGATGATCTAAATTTAACTCAGACACTCGTCCTGCTTCACGTGTCTTTGCTTCAGTGAGTTGAAAGTGAGAAAAAAACGATCCATGTTGCGAAAAAGGCAAACATGTGGTGTGAAAACCCTTGTACTAAGAGGGCACTCGAATCATCTCAAAGGAGTGCTTCAGTAAATAGAAAGGAGAGGGTCACTAAGGTAAATTGGTAGAAGAGGTCAGAGTTCAAAGAGCTCACGATCTAAGACATCTACATTTGCTAAATTGAAAAACACAGAGACGAGAGAACCTGAGTGAAGCTCGAGTAGTGGGTGATAAAAGCATTAGCATATTAACTAGGCAGGGTTTCTGTTTACACACGCTTTAAGATGAAGAAACTGTCTCCTCTCTGGATGTACGCCAAGCCTGCACTCACTCTGATGAGCGGCAACAGCGCCCCGAACAGCTCTCCTGAGGAGACTTGAGGGATAGGAGGGACTGGCTCAGGACCAGAGGCCTGCAGCAGTCAGGAGTCATGTGCCTGACTCTTGGCTGGTCTAATGACGCTAATGCACGTTAGCTACAGACTGCCGTGTGATCCAGTCATGTACCGCTACCAGAAATCAGCTCAGTCAAGGCTCGTTTGTGATGCTCCTTCGCTGGCATATTAAAAAAAGCTGATGTGTTTTATTTTGTGGGTACCTGCGGCTCTGGAAGTGAAGATGATCTCTTACAAAAATTAGTCCCCTGATGAACGCTCATTTGAGATTGTTTCAACAAGCTGTTATCTAACCCCGCAGAGAAGGGGCTCATTCAGGCATGAGTAGAGATCAAAAGCTGTGCATGCAGATTTGTGCGCGCCGCCGTCATTCGTACTCACCCCTTGCTTTCTGAGCTCCTCTTTCAAAGGCGCCAAGCTGCATTTCTTCCCCAACATGCAGCTGTACCACCTGCAGAAAGAGTTCAGATTAACCAGCTGCGCGTCACTGTGGTAGCTCGGCAGCTAATGGCCAAACATAAAACAACAGATCAAAAGGAGCGGAGGTGAGCTTTGGGGAGCAACACAGAGTTAAGTGAAACATGAGGGGCAGAGAAAACATCTGCAGTCACAGAGGGGGAAACGCTGTTTTTGAAGTGCCCCCTTGGTGGAGACCTGATCAATAAACTCTGCTGTGCATTAAAGAGATAAGGTTGGTCTTGATCGATAAGTGCAGTAAAGTCTGGTCAGGAGGAGAGATGGTAGAAGAAAGATAAACACATCAGAGAGGCGGCCTGGGGGGAGGACTGGACAATTTTCATGAACCATGTCAGAACTTCTTTTAGAGCGAATCATCGGTCCTTTTTTAAAATCCCATGTGCAGATTTTTAAAACAAATATATGAAGCTCTTAAACAAAGAGGATTTGATGATTTTCGATTGTTTATTCAGTCCAGACGGGTATTTTCAATCTATTTAATAGTCTCTTTGAAGAGTCACAGCACCTGTTGAGATACTAATTTTCTTACTGTGAAGCAACAAGTATTTCATTTGTGTTTCTCTGTGCTGTTCTTGATTATCTTCATTCATTTGAGGAGGTTTTGTTGTTGCCCCTGTGGGAGACCTCATCTTTCAAAGAAGGCTGGGGAGTCGTTCAGCTTCTTTTAAATGATAAGGAGAGTAAATTAAAAATCTAACTGTGCTTTAAAGAAAATAAAAAAAAATATTTCCATTCATAAAACTGGCATTTGGTTGTAAATAAACTGTAAATGTTTCAAAGCGTCCACTTCCCCATTATCAAACCTCAGTTTTAACTTGGCAGAGCCGTTGAATGAGCAAATATTCATACAAAGCTAAAGCTGAATTTACATCTTTGAAGCAGTTTTTTTTAATGAGTGACAAAAGGATGATGATTTGTCTCCATGATTGATAAGTATCAAGATGCCCAGAGGGTTGAAGGGCTGGGAGACGCAGCATGTCAGCCTCAGTTGTCACTATGAAATATTTAGCAGCTTTAATTCTCACAGATGTTTCGGGGTGGGGGGGGGGTGGGGTCGGGAGCATCTCTGGCTTCCCTCCTTTCAAACAGACTGAAGTGTGCAGCTGCATTAGCATCCATATTCATCCTCCACTATCTCTTTACATGTTGAGGCATGGCTGTACGATTATGATCTCACAACCAGAGGTGCTAATTTTCGTATCAATGGCGGGATAAATGAGGTGTATTACCTCACTTTTGGCTCAAAGTGGATGTGTTTTATCCAGGAAACTAAGGCTGCTCCCTTTTTTTCACAGTAATTACACTGCAGTGAAAAAAAAAGGGGGAAAGAGTAGCAGGGCGGGGTGGTGTGGCGCATCTCAGAGGACCAATCCGAGAGGCTGGCAGTTTCCATGGACACCTGGTGGCTCTGGTGTCCCAGCGTGCTTTTGGGAGTGATAGCCTGCTCCGGTTGCTTGGCCTGAGCTTCGAACCCGTTTAATAAGACTCTGCAAGACTTTGCAACACAAGCGTAACGCAGAACCACGCAAGAACAGGCAGGAGCGGAGATCAGTTCCCTCTCAGGGCCGCTCGTCTTTCCACTGACGTACTGTGCAAACACACACACACACACACACACTCACACTCACACACACACACACGGTCCTGGATCAGAGCAGGTGTGGCATGTCTAATCAGTTTTAATAGCAGCGCTCTGCAGCTCCCTCTATCTGTGTCTCACTCTGCTGCTCCGCTGACAGCCCTGGTAACCAGGGAGGGTAAAGTGACAGCCACTGGGGACACCCTTATCCTCAAACACACACACACACACCCAAATGCAGCTGGTCCCTGTGGACTTCCATATACAGTACAGGCTGAGCGTTTGCCAAAATCATTAGTCCAATTCTGGGTGACAGCTCCATCAAAGCGCAGTAACCCATCTGCACATTCCCCCCTCGTGGTGTCTGCTCTTCACTCAGGCTCTCAGCTGCCGTTTAAACCTCTCAAAGCCTCTCAGAACAACAGCGCTCTTTTCCCTTCGCCTGCTAGTCTCGAACCCTCGCTCATTACATATTCCAGCTACAGTTTAATGCGACACACACGTTTCATTTTGAAGGTCCAAATCTTGTCCTCACCGCAAGCGCTTCTTGAGCTGCAGACTATCGTGAATGATCCTCTTTACGAACTCCAGTTCACCGCCCTCCGCCATGATCTCCGTGACCCCGCCCGTGTTGACTGAGCTGGGAGGAGGTCGCCTTGAGTTCCTCGAGTTGACCCCCTATAGAGAAGCGACAAGGCAGACAGAGATTAAGATTAAATCCTATTAGTAGATCTGTTACTATCCTGTAAACAAATAGTGTTTCCTGTCAGGTTCACTATGACCAGGTAACAAGTCCTGTTTACGCTCAGAGAGCCAAACACGCACATCTGAGGAGGCTTTGAATTCATGCGCTGAATCAGGATGTGATGATTAATGATGAAAGAGAGGGAAACGGTCACCTTTGCTTCCAGCTGGTTGGCGAAAAAAGGAGGATTGCACATGCAGAAGTCAAAAACGATTTCTGTCTCTTCTTTCAAGGCGTCCATCAGTAAAGTCTTCTGAGGGACTTTGACGACTGGGATAGAGAAGAGGCGGGGGTGTGAGTCAGGAATATAAGATAATCATACAAAAGCAGTATCATGACTAGGACTGGGTGATTACATGATGGTGATAAATTTCAGTTCGATCACGGTGATCAGCTGTGAGCACATTCACTCGATCAAACATGGAGGGAATCTGTGTCACAACAGCCAATCAGAGTCGAGCTTTTCCTGCTCATTTTTGTAAGTTGCCAGAGAAGTAAACAGGGAAAGTAAACAACGTGGAGCTGAGAGCAGCAAAACAGATGTCAGCCGTGACTTTGAGTCATCCTCTAAAGATGTTATTGTTGAGAAGAAAAGTTACTCAACGTCAGTTGTGTGGTGGTGGTTTGGGTATCTCCAAAGTGACGTCGCGCAATTACGCCAATGTGTAAGGTATGTTGGCAGTCGGTGTCCTCAAAAACCGGCAACACAACAAATCTGTTTAATCATTTGAAGAAGTACTTCCCCAGTGATTATGCAGAAAGCATGAAAATGTGAGTGGTGGTGTGCAGCAACCAGACCAAAGCAGCAATCAGTCGTATCATCTGTGTTTACTTCATCTAATGTTTACATTTTAAGGCGTCTTCATTATCTCTGAGGGGGCGATTTGTTTATTTTGGATCTTGCATACCTGCAGAACCACTCAGGACTGTAAACTACTTCACTCTATTATTGAGAATTTATCTACATTTGTTGTACTGTTGAGTTAAAATGTTTTTTTATATTTTTCTAAGTTTATCTTATTCAATTTGCTTTATTTACTTTGTATGTTAAAAAAATGTTGAACTAATCTCTAGTTTGTCTAGTTTTGTTAAAAAAAAAAAATCGTGATAATAATCGAGATCAGACGATATGACAAAATATATCGTGATCTTTTTTTTTTCATCGAATCGCCCAGTCCTAATCATGACATAAACTTCATGAAACAAACTCAACAGAGCTGTCGCCATAACGCCACATAGATTAAAGCTTTGTTGAGCTAAAACAGCAGGGTTCCTCCCTTTAGATACACTGCTCTCCACACTTACCTCTAATCAGATCGGACAGGTTGTTTTGCTCCACGTTTTTGGTGGCATAGTCGAAACAGATGTCGTCCACCTCTGTGGCGAGGAAATACCAGCCATTCATAGTGGCTCCCAGTAAGGGGTAGATGCAGGATGCACCAGTACCTGATAAAACACACACAGGGAGGGATGTATTAACTGTGATGATGAATGGTTTTGACCTTCTGAATAGAATAGAATTGTAAAATGGACTGAGAGAGAGTGCTTTCAATCAAATATGTGATTAATGGATAACCTGCTCTACCTCCTGAGCCGCAGATACACCTCAGTTAATGATTAGTTGAAGGGAGGATGGTTCCTGAACGTGAGGTGGCGTGTTTGCAAAGAATTATCAAGAACTCAGAAGCCACGATGGACAATCAAAGTCAATTCAGCAGCTTTTATTAAATTATTCACGGATGACAGGCTGCGTAATTCAACTCAGACTTAGACAAAAGGTGGCACCGCTGAGGAAAGGAAACACCCAGAAGTGATCCATCAGGGGGCAGACGGCTTCAATCTGCTTACAGGGACACTCAGGGTCACCAATCAATGACCCAAGACCCTAAACAGGACACCCCCCCATGCACACCTGCAGCCCAATCTCAACGACAAACACGCTAAGGCTTTTCTTTGACAGACAGAACCACAAACACACAGTGACATGTGGACTGGGATTTGCCTGCTGAGTACTGGGAACACTGGGAACGACTGGGCTCATCTGCACCAGCTGGAGGCACCACCTGACATTTTGTTTGCTACTCTGATCCGTTGGCAGCAACAGCGAGGATAAACAAGAGCAACGGGTCTCAAACTCTATTAGCTGAGGACCGAACACTTGAACCGTACACTTTTACAACATTTTTCAATCTTTAACAAAATTTTACTCCATCTGCTGCTTTAATCCTTTTATTGTGTGTTTTTTTAGGTGTGGCTGCTGCCTGAGAAGAACAGCGACTTTCTTCAAGCAGATAACAGAGGAGTCTATCAGATTAGAGGTGTTGATTTTTGCTGTTGTGTCTGATTTATGCAGTTTGGCAGACGCTTGAAAATTGATGTGAAAAAGCCAATAACTCTGCAGCAGTTTTGCAGCCTTGCAGATTCACAATTAAGCCAATAAAATAGTACGAAATAAAGGATTTGCAGGAGAGATGCATATAAATAAATAAAATAATAATATTTGGGAGCCACATATGAAACGGGCTGCTTTGCCTGTAGTCTGAGCTCACTTAGCCAGCAGTTTGTAAAGACTGAAAACACCATAAATCCACAGGCTGGATTCAAAGAAACTAAATGGAGCATCTTCAAGTTTTAACAGATGCACAATAAGCGACAGATACATGAATGTTTGTACCGATGTCGATGCCCCTGCGCGGCTGCTTCTGGCCATCAATGAGGTCCTCCACCCAGTGGATGTAGTTGAGGCGGAGGGGAACGGTGGGAATGAGACGCTCCAGAGGGATCTGGATGGTCAGACCAAAGTCCTCCTTCAACAGGGTGCAGGTCAGCGCTCGGACTGCCTCCGGCTCTTTGAAGTTCACCCTTCAAGATGGACAAAAGCACAGAATGAGATCATGACGGTGTTTTAATCAATTACATACAAAATAACAAGCATCTACATTCTAATGTGTGTAACCTTAATCAAGCAAACATTTCAACTGGTCTGAGAGTCAAAGGGAAGTTTGGTTCATCTCTGCGATAAGGATCTTTTTTGAATGTTAAACCAGACTTTGATATGGTCAGCCCAACCAGAGGGGAAACAGACAAATGAACAATAACAGTTTTAGAAAATAATATCATGGGTGGATAAAACTGACAGGAAGCCCCACACATACAGAGTATTTTATAATGTACTGCATACACTGTACTTATGTGATACAGAGAAGCTATAGTCTACAGCACTGATGTTTACCCATTGTTGTAGAGACTGGCGGAGGTTAATCAGCTTAATCCTGTCCACTTAATCAGACACTTAATTTTAATGTTAAGTTTGTTCTTGGCCATAACATTAAATCTTAATTATTTCCTTTTTTACTTTCACAGAATTCAGCTTCTTTTGTTGAATGATTAAGGGCTTATACAGGATGCCAATGGCCTCTTGGTCTAAACGCCTCACTTATAGAGGCTTTAGTGCCTGTCAATGATGGCAGGTTCCACACCCTTTGCTGCATGTCTCCTCTTACTCTCTGCTCCCCATATTTCCTCTCTCTTTCTTTTCAGCTGTCCCCTATAATAAAGGCCAAAACGATATAATCTTATAATCTTATGAAACAGAAAAAAAACCAAGGTAAGGTGCTATGGCAGCATTATATCTAAATATATATATTTAACCCTTAAATCAGAAGGTTAGTATCTAATTCAACCTTTAGTTCCTCCTCAGTCGACTTTGTTTAGTGTTCACCTGAGGTTTAAAAAGCTCAAAATTGTCTGTCTCCTTGAATTTTCTGCCTCATCGAACTGTCGGACCTCATTTAACAAAAGGGGTTCTTACTTCCTCTATGAATTAAAGACATGGTTTGGTTTTATCATCTCTCAGAGAAATGTCTTCAAAGCTGCCAAAAAAAATAATAAAAAAATTGTTCCTATAACTCCTAAATTTCCTTAAATTTCAATTTAGTGACTTGCTGATACTCTCATTTCTACCAATGAGGCGCCGTGACAGCAATTTACCAAACTCTCTTAATGCAGTTCTTCATTAACCCTCTGCAGCACTCTGCACTGAACCCCATTAATTCAAATTACACGGACACACACAAACACACGTGCACACACACACTCACACACACAGACACACATAAGACAATAGGGAGATAAGCAGCCCGTCACTCTAAACAATCCCCCCGTTAATGACAATGAAATTCAAATTTACAACACTGCACAGACCTCGCACATTTCACTCCTGATTCTCCGTCCCACATGTTCATCTTTCTTGTCTTCCCCTTTCTCGACATGTTCGGTGCTTTTTCAGCTGTCACACAGGCGGGCAACCGTGTGGCAGACAAAACGAGTGGGCGAGATAGGTGTAATTAAAGCTGTGCTGAGCGTTTTCACACCTTGGTAGATGTAATTAGACACATTCATGGTGATGGCAGCGTCTGGCACCTCACTGGTTTGGTGTGAGTATATACCATAAAAAAAAATAAAAAAAGGAAAAACAATCTGCTGGTACAGATGGCGATATAAGTCTTTGAGCCACAAAATACATCTGAATGCAGGAATTACTTTACTAAACAATCTACTGGGGATGTGTGCCATCACTTTTAGGCAAACCTAGAATCTTTGAGGATCTATCCATCTGCTGTCTAGCTCCATTTGTGCTTTTCTACTTCATCTTGAAACCCTCTTTTTTAAAAAGAAGGGTACTGTATCAAATACTAAACAAGATGCTTTCACAAACAGGCTGATATTAGGATTTGATGGTGCATATGCTCAAAGATAAACTTATTTGACGATAAAGGAGGTTAGTTGTTGTCCACCCAGGCTAAAGGCAACATGCAGGTTAATCCCATTCTGAATCTTAGTCTGGTTTTAATTGGACTGTGGGGTTTGTGTGTGGAGTGGTAGAGCTGTTGAAGCGCAGACTGATGGTGCAACTCCACCCTGACAGTAAAGCAAAAACATCCAAGAACAAGTCACAGAGCCTGCCTCCTTCATTTTGGTCCTTATTGGTCATGACCTTTTAATAAGCCTCTGGAAAGGGGTGTGATGTAAAAAAACGCAGTCATACAGGGTTGAACACTTGCCATAAGCTGACACATAGCCAGGCTAGATGGCCTTGGCGATATTGAGACAGCCCCCCCGCTGGATCATAAAGCAAGCTATCTCAAGACGCCTGATGTGCTCCTGTCCTGTAGTTTTGTGTCTTTGAATAGCTCATCACAGTGTATGCATGCTAATCAATGTCACTTCTCCAATTCTGACAAATGGCAATCAAGAAGGGGAGAGACTTCTGATATCACGTTAGTCAACACCAATGACAGGTCATCGTCACAAAGGACAAACTCAATTTTTCAAAGTTCAACTCTAGTCTTAAAGGGATATTCCGGCATAAAATTAATGTTAAAAAATTTTCTTCCTTGAGCTGCGTCACCCCGTCCCAGTCAATGATGGACTGGTCAAGGTCTTGCTACAAACAAGCGGTTGCTGGAAAAGAGTAGGTGAGTTGTGTTTAGTCTCTTTGCTAAAGAAATCAGGAAAATGAAAAGATGTTTGGTGACTAGGACCTTATATGTACTCTTGATGAAGTTAGGTGCTGTTCTGAGCATTATTTGTGGCTCTAGAGTGGCGTTTAGGTTGAGGTTTGTGTATGGCTCCTCAGACTGCTGTATACTGCTATCTGTGGTCATAACTAAAGTTGGTATTAGAGGAGCAAGCGGTCAGCAACATTCATCTCTCAATGGGGTGTCCAACTCGGTGCTACAGTGTGTTTGACCCTTAATTAATTTTATGCCGGAATATCCCTTTAAAACTGCTGCTAATTCTACAAAATGTTTTTTTTTTTTTGTAAAATGTCCTTGAATAAAGTGTAAAGATCATCCTAAAACAGTCTTCACAGTCAGTAATGAGGAAAGCAAAAGCACTGCAGGACAACCTCCCTGGCCTAGCATCAGTAATGAAAGTGAAGAGCACTCTAATTGAGATTTGTAAGAATTCGCCACAGGCACTTATAATTACAATATCTAATTAAAATCAAATTATATATCAAAAAGAGGGTTTGTGATGTGATTGACAGTTTTGTTGTTGACAAATAGGGCAGGGAAAGAATATTACGAGTAGATGGAGGCGTGTTGTCCATATAGATGCAGAGTTCATTAGTTTAAGATGATGGTGTGATGGTTTTCAGAAAGGTCTGGCCAGTCAGTTCATTAATGTAAAATTTGTTCCCTTATTGTTGCGTTTGTATCTTCTGTCTCATTTCTCCTCTTTGAGCTGTCCAACGAAAGCAAAAAAATCCCCCAAAATTGCAGGTGAACTCATTCAAAAATCTTGCTTAAATTGTAAATGAAGACTCCTCAAACTTCCTCTGCCTTCCCGCTGAGGTTTTTCTGGTCACTGACCTCTTCATTCAGGACTGATAACAGAGACAAACAGCCCGCCACTCAGCCAGGTGGAAGACATGTATGAATGAAGAGTGATTTACTCGTAGAGTGCGACATCGATCTTACCTGTCGTCTTCCCTCTGCTAATGAACATATAAGGTTAATGGTCCGGTTTAATCAGCAGCCGAGGAGAGTCTGACCTCTCAGAGAAACACCTGGCTGCTTTGAGGATGTACATCAGCGTCTGAAGAAAAGGAAAACTGAGAAGGAGCCGGCACTTTGAAAATGTCCTGAGCTTTGAGGAGGACTCAGACTAATGAGAGAGAAGTGATAGATCAGCATAATTCTCACTCATTCCCAAATAAAAGTCGGCTTCTCTCATCTGCCTGCCTCTCAGATATTCTGCCCTCTTTCATTTCTCCTCTGAGGCATCATTAGATAACAATCAGTATTCAGAGAAGGCGGCTCCTCAGGCCAGGCTCTCTATTTTTAGTCTGCTATGAGCGCATGTGTGTGGATGTGCAGTGCAGACCGATCACTCCCATCAGCAGCACAGCGAATGCCACATCTCCATGGCAACACCACCTACTGAACAGATGAAGAGAGCACGCAAATCCGGCCACGCTGGAGCAATGGCCGATGCCACACTGAGCGTGAGCGTGCCCGCAGTTTTACGCCTCTGCTGCCACGTAGGAGCGTTACTGCGTGCTTACAATCACGCTGTGTGAGACGGGGAACAGTTTGGGACAAACCAGGTTGATTAAAAAAAAAAGTTAGACCGGTGCTGAAAAAGCTGTTCTGATCTCATGGTTGATGTCCGCTAACATACAGACAACACAAGAAGTGAACAGAGGACTCTGCAGTGAAGAAGGGATGAAAGTGCTGCAGGGCAGGAAACTCTTCAGATGGATGGAGAGGCCGCGTCATCACACAAGAGGGGAGATTACTGCTGAGACAAACAGCTTGCTCTCACTTCTATGATACATGATCAGCATGAAAGTGTCCACACACACACTCATATACTCTCACACATGGGCTTCCAATGTGCGCCAACAGAAAGGTGACCTTCAAGCTGCGTTCTCCTCCCTCTGAGTGTGCTGAGAATTATTTTGTGCTGATTAGATGCTACACTTCTTGAGTCAGGTGTTTTTTTTTCCATTTCCTCAGCTCCTAATAAAAGCGGACTGAGTGCATCACACAAACCTAGACAGGATTAAAAAGCTAATGTAACAAAAAAAAAAAAGAAAGCAAAAGAAAATTCAGTTCCAGATACGAGCAGCTTTTAAGGTTCAGGGTTGGGGGGCTGGACCAGTTTTGTGCCAAGCTCTCAAGGTCAAAGAAGTCACGGCACATGGCTTTGAAATGAAAAATTCTAAAATAATGTCCCACCCAAAGCCTCAGGTCTCATATCAGATAATAAAGAGGTCTGTATGTTAATGGCTCAGTGTTCCAGTGAGGAAAGTGCAGCTGACTGTCAGAGGTTCACATTCATCATTGAAAATTTGGCACCAGAGCCCAAAATTAATCATTTATTTCTCAGCTATTGCAGGGGATGTGTTGAATAATAAATACTGGTGTGAAAATGTAACATTCCTTTAATTACCAGAGTGAAAATCCTTCTCTGATGATTGTGTCCCAACCCATGAAAAAATATGACTCCCAAATTAAATTCCACACGGGCTGCTGAATTTTTAATACCCACTCACAGCTTCTAATCCTATCCTAACCCTCTATCTTTCTGATCTGAGCCCCCCTTCTCCTTCCCTGAACACTGAAAGAAACACACATCCGGACATGTTTTGGGGTTTATTTCATCCTCACTTTAATTCCAGTTACATCTACAATGTTTCCTCTGCTGCCTCTGGTCTGAGCTCCACTTCCTGACCGCTTCTATCACTCTTCTCCACTGACGATCCCCAAATGAAGGGGGACATATCTCCCCCGAGGATTTTGCGAGTGTCTCCCCAAGATTACGCTCATCCCTAACTCACTGCTTAAATACTTAAAAACCCAGTAGATGAATTCATTGAGGAATACAAAAACCACACTAATCCCTCCACTGATGGAATGACAGACTGATGGGGGAAGAGGAGCCAAATTCCAGCAGACGGGCAGCCAGAGCTGGTACCACATATGAAGGCGAAATCCTTTACATACGTTATATAGCTGGCAAAAATAATTGACTGAATAATATACAACTGAACCATCAGCATGGCTCTGGGATGGGAATGCCAGCAGGTGCACCACCCGGGTCCACATTCAGGCAAGAATTTTGTGAGTAACTTTCCTGGATCATTACTGAATATCATGAATACTTTTCTTTGAAAATCCAAGCGCCGTTTGGCTCAGGAGTGCATACAGAGCTTTGGTTTTAAAGTAGAGCATTAATACTGTGCAAAAAGGGCTTATATTTGGACACATGAGGTGAGAAGTTGAAGAAAAGATGGAAATTAGTGAGAGTGAAAATCAGGAACATGTGATGGTTTAGTGCCAAAAGACAAAGAAAGACCTATCTACGCTTATACATACCGTATAAGTTCATACACAGTATATACCTTTATAAACTAGTAAAAATACTTTCACACCCATGCTTATAAAACATATATACAACATACATGTTTCTGTCTCCCATTAAGTTCCTACATGTCTATTAGTTTATAGTCTAGACCAGTGGTTCTCAAGTCCAGTCCTTGAGGCCCCCCTGTCCTACATGTTTTGGATGTTTCCGTCTCCAACACACCTGATTCAAATGATCAGCTCGTTATTAAGCCATAACAGAGCTTGATAACGAGCTGATCATTTGAATCAGGTGTGATGGAGCAGGGAAACATCCAAAACATGCAGGACAGTGGGCCTCAAGGACTGGACTTGAGAACCACTGCTCTAGGTTGATAGTTATCACTTGTTACTGACAAAAATGTGGAGATTTCCAGCAGGACCACACATGCACCGTACACTTACTTACAAAAATGATCAACTGGTCACCTCAGAGCCACAAAGACCCAGCCAACACTACCACGTTCACCACTATATCACAACCACCAGTCCACATGTATCTGCACAGCACAGAAACATTTACGAGAAATTCCCTCGCTCGCAGACGTGCTACCTGTTTCAAAATCCCAAATAAAGAGGGAGGAGAGCGTCTCAGTCCTGACAGATGAAGAGCGTTCCTCAAAGTTAAGTCCCTTAATAGCTGTCAGCTGGAATATTAATCAGGATTTTCCTTTGTCTCCTTAGACTGACTGTCATTTTTATCCCTAAAGAACAATGATAACATCCAGATAAAGAAGAATGACAGATTGACATGTTTTGCCAAAGACTAGACGCAACCTTACAAAAATACTTGGTAAATCATATTTTGGACACACTTTGGCTTTGTTGGTGCCGACACATAGGCAAACTGGAAAGCTATGGGACCCACTGAGTGTACAAGAACAGCTCTGTACCCACAGTCATTAACTCACACTGCTCAATGTCAACATCCACTAATCCTTTCAGACATTTTCCCTCTGCCTGCACTTTTTCACAACATGACCTCTCATTAGCGTCTCTCTCACACACACACTTAACACACACCATTTTCCAGTCCTATAGTTTGCACCCCTGCGGTTTGAGTGAAACACAGGAGGCTAATAGGGACCCTTATTTAACCATTCTTAAAACCTCAGCTGGAGTTTGAGTGGGGCTAGACTCTGATGCTCTCTTTGTGGAAGATTTTTGATGAATATCAAATTTTTCCTGAGGGCTACGCCATTTGTATGTATGAATATTAAATCAGAAGCTGTGAGACCTTCCCCTGGGTTGGGAGACTAAAGAAACACTTGTAACTTTACTCTTCTCATTTTTTCTGAGTTCTTTAGTCATAATTATCAGAGATGCAATGATGCAAGTCAAGTCTTTTTGACAGATTTTAGTCAGAGCATGAAGCCAGTGATTTTTCATCACGATTGACTGAGTCAGTCTGAAAGTGGAACTGTTGAACTGAACAATAACAGGGATGAAACAAACCAACTGTGACAATGTGGGCTGATCAAGAAATGGTTGATAGCCCACAGTCTACATTACTGTGATTATACGCGTCAGATCAGTGAATATTGAGTTTAATGTTCAGTCAAATGCAGCTTTTAAATCTGAGTTTCTGATGATAGGGGAGAGTGGGGTAAGTTGAGCCAAAGGGTAAGTTAAGCCACCCCCTGTTGCTTGGAAATGGTAAAAGAAATTGATCATGTGACCAAAATATGTGACTCCAAATCAATTTATGGAGTCTGTGAAGGTTAGGAGCACATAGGTAAAGGTGTTAGATATTTATTTCTCAAAAACCATTTTTCACTCTTGAAAGTGAATTTAGTCTGTCATAAGTTTTATTAAAATTGTGTTCAGACCAAAAAAGATCATTTTAAATTTGTTTTATACATCAATTGTGGTATCTATGAGCTACAACATGAGGTCAAAAACCTAACATAAAAGTCCACCATTTGAGCTTAGAGGACTAATAAAGTCATAATAGTAGTTCTGGGGTAAGTTGAGCCAGTGACTCAACTGAGAAAGTAAAGAAGTCTGATGAGAGGATCAGAGTTTCAGTTCAGATTGTTGAAATGTGTTACTTTTTCTTTTCAAAAATACAGCTGTGAATGTTCTGAATCACTAAAAGACATTCTCATGTTAAAATGACTTTTTACAAAACAGCTTTTTAGCAGTTATATTCAATAATAACAAATGGGATTATTGTACCAGTTGAATAGCATATAATAGATAAAAATACACATGAATGTGAAGAAGTGACTGTTATTTAAGGAGAGAGAAGGTGAAGGTGAGGGAGGGCTGGGGTAGTAGGGATACAGCTCAACTTACCCTGCTCCTATGGTCAACTTACCCCATACACGGGGTAAGTTGACCATAGACCCCTTTTTTTGGCATGCTATATTATCAAGACAGTTATGTTTACACTCATTCTGTTGGTTTGCAGGGATGAACAACACCCTGGAATATATGCAGATACACTAGTTAGACACAAAACTATGATTGCCTTGATGTAGAGATCTGAAACATGAAAAATGTCTCATCTTACCACACTCTCCCCTATGTCTCTCAGTCAGTTACATCCAAGACTGACCAGATATTACCAGACAGAACACTTACACTTATGACCCCCCAATAATTCAGATTTTTAGTATTATTAACAGTCTCCTGCATGAGGAAACTCTTCACATACAAACTCTGAACGGTTGTTAGTACTTACACAGGTCTTCCCGCGAGGCTGGTGTGCACGTGCTGTTGGAAGTCTGGATATTTGGAGGCCAGGTACCCGAAGTCAGGGGGCTTGTCTTTGTACCGGTTGCGGGGATGCATGGACTTGTTGAGGGCCATGACTAAATTCAGAAGAAACAAATAAGACTTTTTTAATTCAGCTATAGCAGCTCACTGCTCCTGGCACTGCTGTTTGTGACTGTTTTGGGATCATTTTTAGCGAATAGGTGGTGTGTTGTTGTTTGCACCTACCTTAACCAATGTTCTCCTTGCGGTGTTGAAGCCTGCGAAGGATCCTGTCCCGCTAAATGTGGCTCATAACTTTGAAAAACATCCACAGGACTCACGTTGTTCAAACGTTTCTGCAATTCTCTTCCTGGATGTTCTGTTCGTCACGGCGCTGCGCATGTACGCGATGACGTCACATAGAAGAAGGTTCCCATGGAAACGGTTTAAGGCTGGGTTATTTGTCGAAATAGTTTACTCAACTTCTTATATGTCTGTAGTTCGAGTTTTGCAAGGTTGTTTTTACTTTGTAAAGCTTTTTTAAAATATAACACTGAAATTTTAGTCATAAAAATTATTTCTGTTGTTGATGTTGTTTTATTTAATTTTATTTAGGCCTTCAAATGTTTTTTTAAAAGGGTAAGATGGCTTGCTGTCTATAAAACTCAAAAAATAAATAAATAAAATAAAAAAAAACTTTTTCCTTGGTTCAGTTTATATGTCCTTTTAGGTTAGTAACACCTCCCTTGAGCATTCACATTTTAACGAACAATGAAATAAAAAATTTTTGACACTGAGAAATGAAGTTTTCTCCCTGGAAAGGTTAAAGCCAACATTATTATTATTATTATTATTATTATTATTAATAATAATAATAATAATAATAATAATAATAATAATAATAATAATAATAATAATAATAATAATAATAATAAACCAAAGCTTCTGGTTATTTCCGTCCTTTTAATTCACCAAGTTATAATCTATTGTAACAAGCTTTAACGTGAATTTAACTGAAAATTACATGTAATCGTTGTAAGAAAAAAAACCTCAAAATGAATAAGCAAGACAACAGTTGCTGATTTTTGTCTTTTATTATATCGCAAACAATAATGACATCCAGGAATATTGTTAACAGTTTGCTGAGTGAAGAGTGAGACCATAGTGGCGAAAACATCACGAGCTCTCCTGTAGGAGCTTGTTGTGCAGTCTGAAGCCCTCCAGTGTGGTTCTTGGGCGGGTAAAGAGAACATGTGGACTTGAGTCCGGAGGAAAAAACCCACAGACAGTCAAAACTTGTCTGTCAGTCCCTTCACACACTGGACCAGTGCTGCACAGGGATTGCTTGGGACCTGCGAATGGCAGAAGGGGATTTTCTTCCACAGGGCACACAGTTGCGTACAACTCCAGCAGCTGTGTTGTGGCTTTTTCCATCAATTCTTACAAAAAAGAAACAGAGCACACATCATCCTGACCTTTGATTAACCCCTTTCTTGAGTAAAACCAAGGAGAGGGAGTTGTTTGTAAATTACATTGTACGGTCTGGCATGTCATAGCGTGATCCTGATGAGACTAGCAACTTTTTAAAAAATGTTGGACCTTAAGCGAAGGGCTGATTCACCAAGCTAAACCATATTATACTGACAAGTGTCTCCTTATTTGGCTTTATCTAAACATTTAACACGTTGGCATCATCATAAGAAATGCCGAATTGTAATATCAAAAATGAGCTGGTTTTCCACCCAAGGTCTTCCTTGGAAGAAAGGTCAGAGATAACAGCTTTAAAGATAAAATAAAAACCTTTGTAGAGGGGCACACACCTAAAGGAGACACGAGTTTTATTCCCTGAAAGACAGAAAGGGTTTCTCCTTTGGGACATTCTAGTCTGCCACAATCCCATTGAAATAACAGATAAAGGAGTGTGTGTACACCTCTTTCAGATTGCATCACACAATGAAACCAGCCTTTCTACAACCTTTGAACAGAGCTGTCTGAACCACACCAGCCAGGCACCCAAAGAGGACGCAGAAATGTTAGGTAGTGGAAATATGCTTGTTTACTGTTACTGTATTAGATTAGTCATTAGTTTCACACCACTGTAATGCATATGGAAGCCTCAAGTGGACATGCCTACTTACAAATCCTTTACTCCATTTTCCTGTGGTAACAAAACATTTCCATGTCTCTATATCATTGGTTTTCCCATAACAGGTTTACTTTAGTTGTCTTAAGACTCCAATTTATTTTTCTCATTATCTCAGGACGGCGGATGTAGATAGTTTCATCGCTGTAAAATGAAAACCAGCTTTAAAATCCTGAGATAACAAACATCAATTTGGGTCCCAGGGTGAAAAAAACAGATTATAGTCATTATCTCAGCAAATCAGAGATAATACAACATAAAGTTGCTTGTCCACTGAAGGCTTCTGCACTCGCACAATAAATACACAGCTCCAGCTAGCAGTCACCTCACCTCGCACAAATGTAAGATTTGAAATGCTGCAATTTCACTTTTATCTTCTGCTGATGGTACATCTAAAAAACTGGCAAATGCCTTATACTTTGTCTTTTCTACAGATCAACTATGCAAGATATGTATTCACCTTGTTAGGCAGATTTCCATTTTTGCATAAAGCCTGGTTATCTCTTTTCAATTTCAATGCTAAGCTAAGGAAGTGAGGCGGCTGCTAGTTGTAGTATTGTATTTTTTGTAGAATTAGAGGTGTAGTAAGTTTATCTCTAAGCATAATACCAAGTCTGCATATTTCCTCAAGTGTTAAAGTACTTAGGGTACACAGAAATAGAAAACCAAGTGGTCAGTGATGGAAGGGCACCAATATTCAAGCCTTCTCAGTGACACTGTTCTGACAGCTCTGCCTCTGGCGCAGGTTTACATGCAGCAGTGCTACATCAACAGGTCACATTAGGCTCACAGTAGCCACTAGCAGGAGCTTCAGCAGCAGATCACCACATCCAATACACACAGGAAGAGGAGAAACATAGCAAAGAAGCGAAGATAAGATCAGTTAAGCAGTGGAATTCTTTATTAGCCAGGAACTGCATTGGAATGAAAAGGCTAATTAGAAATTATAGGTTTATGCATTTATCAACAGCATTAAATTTTAATGTCTTTGATCATCAATCAATGACCAAAGATTTAGTAGAAAGAGGGATGTGCAAGATTAATGAATCATCTTGTCAGCTACAGTTACAAGCAAGATGTTTCATTTTTCGTCCTCCACGGGGAGTGGAATGGTTGTCTCTACAGTATGAACTGGTTTACAGTAAGATCCAGTCTTTCCACAAATCCTCCTGTTTCACAATGAGCCCTCCACACAGATCAAAAGCTGAACATTTGAAAAAAGCCACTCAGAGGACATTACACACGTGATGTGATCTGCATGGCGTTTTGTCTTCATTAGAGGTGCTCTCTGTTCAGATTTATCTGCGTTCTCCTTTAAATCTGATCCAGGAGCTGCCGCCGCCCTCTCTAAACAGAGGAACAGCTTCAGCATCAGACGCTCTCTAAAGACAAAACACCATCAGCAGATCACTTAGCATGTTTACTGCTGGCATTTTCTTCAATATTCCTTAATTTCCATCCACCTCATCCTTTAGTGCGATAATACAAAATTGCCAAATCTCCGAATCACAAGCTTAATTTACATTTCATATTTTCACAGAAAACTGAATTTTTCCATTCAAAACCATTTTTTACCCTCAGTTTTAGAGATCTTTGCACATCCCAGATATCAAACCCAGGGGGCTCACTTTGACTCCTAATCATGCTTTTGTTTTCCTCTCAGCAGGTTTATTTCCACCATAGGCTTTTGGTTCGAGGCCTTCAGAGGCACCATGGGACAACTGAGCATCTTCGGACTTTACACAATTCCAACAGTACACCATATCGTGCCAAGAGTGACTAGATAAGAGGACTAGAAGTAGACAGCAGCGCTTTGGTTCAATGAAAGTCTGACATGCAAGGTTACAGGGATTCGTCTCCTAGAAGGGCACACGACGAAGTGCTTGAGATTAAACAGGTGTAATCCCTGAACTCTGCTCAGTCACTGTGACCCAGGGCGCTCACTGGCGGCGATAGCCGAACAAACGTGCCGTTTAAGTTTGGGTGTCTCCTGAAAAAACTCAGTGTGGTCAATTCACAGCAGCGACTTCTGAAACATTAACCTTTTATTCTTCTTCTTCTCTGCAGATTCATTAGATGGGATCACTGATCTAAAGCCTATCAGTGGTTCATGTGCCACCATGACAAGAGTACAAAGCAGTTCTTATAGCCCCCGAGGTCCAAGGACAAAAGTTTGAAACATTCGTATATACAGCCATTAAAATATTACCTAGTTCCACATGAAGAGAAATGGTATGCACACTTGAAGTGATGTTATAAAGCTACAGATTATTTCAATAACAAAGCCCCACAGACAATCGCATCTTAGCGCATCATATATGCTTTTCCTGCCTTATCTCTCAAACGTTTCACCAAGCTAGGCACCAACAGACTACGACAGTGAAGGAGAGAAAACAGAGAAAACAAAATCCTAAATAAAAAAATAGACAAAAATAAATCTTACACATAAAGACACTGTCATTTCTTAAATTATTGGTTTTTAGTGCCCTACATTTTACACCCAGTCAAGAACATCTGCCTTCGGTTGGTCGGTAAGGCTGCGTGACAGACGGCCAGCCCCGTGGTAAACCTATGGTACTTCTAGACGTTATGTAAATTTACAGTATACAATTTTGGATTACCATGCAAGAATACTTTTTTTGTGTAACATTTAATAGCTCGATCTACATCCAGGAATAATTTACATTGAAGGACAACAGTTGTTGGACTAGAGAGCGATGGAAAGATAACCATGGTGGTAAGTGCAGCCGGAGGAAGAGATGATGATGATGATGATGTGCGGGTGAGGTTTGGGTTAAGTGAGGAGGGAAAGGGAATGAAAGAGGAAGAGGAATGGTAGAAGGGGGGATGTTGGATCCAGAGGAGCGTCTGGGTAATTGGTGTGATGGTCCAATCCTCCAAGGTCCAAATCAGCGACACTCCCACACTTTTACTGTTTGATCTACACTCCCAGTGACCACATAGGGAGCAGCCTTGTGGAAATCTGTCGAGGAAACACAGAAATGATCAGAGGAAATAACCACTGCTTCATGTAACACCATTCCTCATATGTAACCTCTCTGTTGTTGCTATCACACTTGAGGGTTGGGTTGGGAAATCCCAAACGAAAACGATCTGAAAAATGATCCAACATGCAAATGATGTAAGAGTGAATCCAATGGAGATCAAATCTGATTACCAGGCTGTTTTAACAACCCGTTTAAGGGTTTTGTATTCTGTGTACAGTCAGGAGGATACTGAGGGAAATTGGGGGGAAAAAAAATGTTTCTGTCAATGATGTGAAACAAAAGGTGCTTTATCCTCCACCCATTTATACCCACACCACTCAAAAATTCATCACATCAATAGCTCAGAGCGAAATCCTCTTTGTTTGAAACAGGATTTAAAAGGACTGGGTTTTCAAACAGCTTGCCAAGCAAAAGTTGGCTGAAGAGCTCCTCAAGAGAGTTCCCAAGCCTTGATCTGCTGAAAAGCTGTAGATATGAGGAGGGGGGGAGGTGGGAAAATCCTTGAGCTCTTTTTTTATTTTTTTTTTTACCTCTTTAACCCCCAGCGGCCAGCAACCCCTCGGACTCAAAACACACTAGAGTGGAAGAACTGGTCTTCTTTACAAATACTGAACCTTTCACTGCTGAGTGAGCGTGGAAAAATAGACTACTGCTGCACTTCAGGAGTTCCTCAAGGTTCAGTGTCTGGATCAATCCTTCATCTCCTCTTGGTAATACTATGATGAAGCACTCCAGAGAATTTCATTGTCATGCAGATGACACTCAGGATGAAACAGTATGTCAGTATGTTGGTATTCTGGGACCAAAAAAGTCTTGATACCACTGAAAACCTTCGACAGTAGGACATGAAAGGTCTCCCAGGAAAAAAACTGTACTATTGTTACAGGAGTAAAGAGGGAACTCCCGAGACCATCAGTACCACATGTGTTCATCATTTAACCTCAGATGTAGCGCAGTAAAAAGAAAGAGAAGGTGATGGATGAACAAAACATTCTGTATCTAGGAATGGGAATCAAATTCAGGTTCAGAAAAAAATAAACCTTTGATACTTTTATTGAGTCTCAAAGGTCCAATGACGATATACCTGCTTTGAGCCACAGTTCAATCATATCACCGTTGCTCTAACATACATTGATTTTCTAATCAAGTTTCTGAATCATATTTAATTCCCAGCCAACGTTATTTAACCATATCAAGAAAGAAATGGTAGTCAGCTACTTAAAAGGATAAATGAACTCTATCTGATCAGGATACGTCTTCAAACTCCAACATACATTTAGATAACACTGAATCTCATCTCGATGTTGTAAAGACCTGCCTGGTTTGTAAAGCGTCTTGAGATAACACTGGTGCCATACAAATACAAATGAATTGATTGAAACTGGCTGGAATAATAGATGAGGTCTGCTTACCCAGAGAGGTAACAAAGTGTTCATGGGCACACAGGGTTTTCATGCAGCGCTTGTTCTTGTAGTCCCAGATCCTTAAGGTCTTATCATCTGCACAGGTAACGATGAACTTGCCCCCAGGGTGGAAGAGGATACCACGCACCCAGTTGTCATGGCCAACCTGTGGGATAGATAGATAGATAGATATCAGGGCTCAAAAGTTTAGGAGCGCCACAACAACAATATAAAAATAAAATACCATTTATTACAGATAACACCACCCCTGTTTTTTGTCTACCAGGCTCCTGTAAGGCTCTTATGTAGAGGCCTAAACTATCCATAGGGGACAGAGATTACCCACTGACACCATGGCTTAAGACTCTGCTGAACCACCAGACAACACCAGAGCTGGCTAATGATGACACTCACAGGAGGACTTGGACTGCAAGAGCACACCAAAGATGCTCTGGAGGCAAGTGTCAAAACCACAGCGGAAAATAAAACCTTTTTCTCCTCAACCTCTGCAACTGACTTTTTTCTGCTTACAATCATATCCAAGTTCTCCACCGGGTTGTTGCATTTGGTGTAGGTTTCTGGTACCAAGGACTTTAATGTACAAAGTTTTACATAGATCTACCAATGTTGCAATTATTATATTTTGAGGGAAAATGCAGTCAATTCTGAGTCGTGCCAGTGGCAAAACAGCACATCTCAATCATGATGCAAATTTTTTAACACTGAAATAAAGCAAATTAAATTCCAGTTTAATAACCTCACTCTTTAACCTAACGCTTCAATGCAAAGTAGGTTCTCACCAGTGTCATAAGGCACATGCCAATGCTAACATCCCACATTTTGATGGTCTTGTCTCTGGAGCCGGACAGCAGGAAGGGGCCTGGTTTACCGCTCTTCTTGGACTAATTGGGCACAAGGAGGAAAAAAAGAACAATGGAAAATCAAGTTGAAATCCATTAGAAACACACAGAATTCAGCATTTCTTCTTTTGAAACAGGGGGCTTTTGTCAGTCGCCCAACAGAAGGTCAAAGTACAACTGAATCCAAGATACCACTTTGGTCTAAATGTACCTTTTCAACAAAATAATTTCTTTAGTGGTATTTGCTCATGCCCCACAACTAATCTGGAGTCAAAATGTATTAAAAAAATAAAAATGAAACCAACTTGGATATATGGCTGTCACCTGCCACAATGAATGAAAACAGATTAGCTCAATGAAATTAATAATCTGTTAAATTATCCTTAAAGTAATGGTGACCCTCGAAAATGTTTTTGGAGATTTTTAAAAGCATTTCAGCGCAGGCGGACATCATCACAAACCAGGAGATTTTCAGTTCACTAGAAGAGGCAGCTTTCAAACAAGCTGGCAGGTAAATCTGAGCGATAACCGGTGCCGGTAAAGCTGTATTTAACTGGTCTGTTAAAATGTTTTGTAATTAAAAAAATATCGAAAAAGAAAATCAGATCTGATCGTGAAATTGACATTTTAATAGAACGGCTTTGCCTCTGAGGCAAAGATCTAGTAAACAAGGCCAGACTTGTTGAGTTTCTTCCAAATATAACTATGAATTTCATAATACTGTGTCTTAATATCTTATTTTTCAAGTTTTATTAGATTTTTTTGAACATTTTGTGCTTTTTTGTTGTCCAAACTAGACTTGTTAGATAAAAATTCCAGTTTTTGGAACCAGCATCACTGGGCTGTATCAGAAGTTGGCCTCTGATGCAGCTCAGTGCAGCATCAGGTATCTGGCAGTCAGCAAATCAATGCATCATTCTGATACTCCAATACATGAAAGCTGTTAAAATTAGCTTGTTTCAGGTCATCTATCATGAAAAAGTATGAAGAGGATAATCTATTGTGAACAGGTTGTTTCTGCAGACGGAGACCTGAGACATAGTGTACAGGACCGTGTTGTTGAGCTGTACAGAGCCATTGTGCACAGCCATGAAATAACAAACATGAGAGTACTTCTTGTTTCATTGCCAAACACACAACTTTGAGAGCTTGTCGCTGTCTAGATATCGCTAACCTTTCCACCACATTGTTACACCTTTATAACATAAGAGTTTGGAGGAGGAATAGAAGCAGCCCGTTACCTCGGTGCCTGTGGCGTCTAGGATGGTGGGGAAGGCACTCTCTGGTGCCCAGGAGATACACTCCACCACATGCTCATGCTCCCGCAGCTCAGCCTTGCACTCTTTGGATGCCACGACCCAAACACGCACCGTTTGGTCGTTAGAGCAGCTAGCAATCAGTGTGCCGTCCTGGTTGGGCCGCACCATACGGACCCACTCCCTGTGGCCTGTAAAGGTCTTCACACAGTACCTAATGGACAAAAAATCAGATGTCAAAGACCCTATTTTTAGAGTTGATCAATTATATTTACATAACACTTAAGAAACACAACCAGTGAATTTAGGAAGGTTCATGAGGCTGCATACCCAGTCGCCACCTCCCACATTTTTATGGTTTTGTCCCTTGAGGCAGAAATGATGTGATCTCCATTGGGCATGATGGCTACAGATGAAACATTGTGATCATGTCCTGAAAAGGAAAAGTACAAAAAGGTCTTAGCGAAAAGCCAGAAACCATAGCGATGCTTACCAAACAACATAAGGTGCTGCACAATTTAAGATGGAACACGCCACCCCTCCAGCCTTTCTCTCAACAGATGGTTTGTATTTCTGCAGCTTATTGTAGAACAAAAAAAACATTGTCTCTCACATCTTTAGCCACAAGCAGCAACAAAAACTAATAGTGCTGCTGTAATTTGTCAATTATATGACTTTAGACACAGAATATTTGCTGTGAGTTTCTTTGCACCGCAGAGAATAAGAGATACCTAATTACCTACATGCTGCGCCGTATTTAAGCTGCTAAACAGAGGAAGACAACAGTAAGTATACTCTAAAAGGCCAGCTTAACTGCATGTGTGTGTGTGTGTGCATATATGTGTCTGTGTGTATGTGTGGTAATAATGGGTGACAGCTACTGAGTTAAGTGCTATCCGGTGGCTGAAGAGGATAATTAAACTGCTTTCCAGATCGGCACTAATCTACTGCGCCAGTTAGCCTTCTGTTCTTTCAGGAGGTGAAAAACGAGGAGTGAATGAAACGCAGAGGAAAGACTAAAAGTGAAGACAAGTTTCAAAACACGGGAAACGAGAACGATACAGAGAAAAACGCAGGGCCTCGTTTGACGGATGGATGTTTATGTTTGAATGTGTTTCTGCATGAAGTGAACGCAGCTTGTCTGTTTGAAAACATGTGCCCGGAGCTCTGCGCTTCATTGTCACAACAAGAGATTAGCCACCGGTGAAGTCTGTTGCTCTCTTGAACACACTGCCGCAGTCGCACCTCCTGTGTAAGTCTAAAAACGCCGGAGTTCCTTTAGTCTGTTTGCCAAACAGGTTTAATCAGAGATATACATTTAAGTGTGCCTCACAGTCAGACATTAATGGGCACTTAATCAGACTTCACAAGAAGAAGAAGACGGGTGACTTCATAGTGTTATGGCTGCTCCTGGGTGGTTGATGAGCGGCTTCTAGGGGGGAAATACTCCAATGCTTTAAAATGAGGAGAGCTGGAGGGCGCATGCCGACCAATCTGCCAATATTTAGTCAACAATTAGGGTATGAAAATGGTGTATGAAGCTTATCACACACCACCTGAGCCATGTGTACAATTCAATGACTGGATCTACTGAGAAGAGGTGATCATAGACAATATAATAAGTGGCCAAAATTTAAGTAGGATGCTCACTTTTCAGATGGTTTCACTTTTTGATAGTTCATATGATGTCAAGACAATGTTTTTTTTTCCCGTACCGTGCATGGTCCTGATGCATTCAAAGCCTTGGAAATCCCACAGCTTGATAGTCATGTCTGCAGAGCAAGATGCTAGCAGCTTGCCAGTCTGGTCAAAAGAGATGTCCTGCACCGAATCTGTGTGACCCTTCAGTGTGCGTTCAAAGTCCCCTGTCTCGTAGTCCCACACCTGCAGAAGAGAGAACATATCCATGAGTGAGCTTTACAGAAACATATGAGGGGATACAAAGTTGTAGCTAATATATAAACACATTATTCTTAGCCACAACATCTCAAACTGAACCGAAGCAGAGTTACATCATGTTACATCATCTTGTTTTTTTTTTTTAACAGGACTGTCCAGAGCCAAACTGTCCAGAGAAGACGGATCACAGTTACAGCAATTAGATATGCTGATAGGAGAAGTATCTGCAGCCACGCCTCAAAAAGACATCATCACTTACGGCCTTAGTTTGTAGACACCACACACACTTTGCATATCGAGTTACAGATCCTGTGATGCATTACTAGTGACATTGATGCATGAGCCAGGAAGACTGCTGTTAGTAAGTAGTACTGATAAAAACAGAGACATTTTATGGCGCAGCGTTTGGGAACAAAGACAATACGGCGCAAACCCGGTTTTCTAATTTGAGAAAGCTGTTTTGTCTCTTGCTTTCGAGCAGGCAGACGGTTTGTTACAGAGGGAATAAACCCTCCTTGGTCACCCTCTTGGGGTGGGGGATTTTGTACAGACTGTGACAGGAGGCCCCTCTCCTCCCCCTCTGACTGGTCCTTCTGTCTCCCCCTGAAAGGAAGCTACAGACAGTACAGATGGCTGCAAGGTACAAAGTGCAAGGGGGGCTTAATCCAGGGGAAGATCAGTGCAGTTAATGTGTTTGGAGGTACACCAGGCTGAGGTCTACACACACAAAACTGCCTCCAGTTAATGCAAATATAATCCATTAACTACCTGTAACTTAACACGGTGTAACACCTCCAGGACATTATTAAAAGAGCTGCCAAAAATCCTACTCTATTTCATTGTGATTAATATCTTGGACTTCTACTACATAATCTGTCATTTTGTCAAGGCCAACAATAATACATAGACGTCCTTTGTAAACACCATTTATGAAGAAAGCAATAAGGGAGCTGACACCCCAGCTCTGTGCCCTTGTTTGAATCAACCCGGCCTGTAAGTGAACACTGCGCCGAGCACGAGACAAACTGATTTACATACTGTGAAAGCTGAAGGTAACATCTTTGCATTGGGAGATCTGCTATGTAAGCACCAGAGGGAGAACAAGGAATGAAGAGGAGAAGGATGTGGCCCTGAGAAGGGCAGAACTAAAGGTGTGAGGGGAAAACAAGGACGAAAAAATGAGAGATAACGAACAAAGGGGAAGAAGAAAACTTGGTGCAGTTGAGGAGACACGCTTAAAATCAAGACAGTTCTAAAAACTGACCTCTTGGAGCTTTGTGAGCATGGACAAATTAATGCTGCTTTTGGCATGGTTTGTGATTAGGGATGTTTTTAGTCTCTGCATTTAGCTACTGACCAGTCAGACAACAATTTTGCCCTGTTAAAATATTTTCTTCAAATACAAATACAACAAGTCAACAATTTCCTTTTTTATAAAATAGGAATTCTTTTAAATTATTTTTACATTGGTTTATTTATAATCAATAGCCCTTTAAGCATTACAGTATTTTTGCCTCCTGTCAATGCAGCTTCTTATCACAGGGTTTCCCCTACATGCAATTGATTGTGGCGCATCGCCACGGCTAAATAAAAGACGCTGCACCAAAATTTTTTTTTAGTTTTTATCTCAGATAGTTCTACCTTGGACTCATATGTATCAGCAGTGTTTCCCCTACATTCATGAATGATTCTGCTCGCACTGTGTGAGCACAACAACAACACACATCGTTATTTCCGACTTGTTATGAGACATCGAGGAGCGCATCAAATCCTGTTGGACCCTCTTCTATCAACGTGAATGGTAACGTTCAAGCTTATACACGGTCTATATAGCAAGTAGCATTAATGGCATTAGTAGCATCATTATCAATGCCGCACAAGTAATTTCTACCCGCGCTGCGTGAGCACAACAACACACAATGTTATTTTAGACTTGTTTTGAGTCATCAACGAGTGCATATCAAATCTTGTCTGACCCTCTTCCACTGACGTGAAGGGGAACGTTTAAGCTTATACACGGTCTATATAACGAGGGGTAACGTAACACGAATCTAACAGCTGTATCAATTTATCAATCAGTGAGAACACAAACACTCACAAAACACCTCTCTTCACAAGATCAACAAATATGTAAATCAATTTTTTTCTTTTCATTCTTTTTACTATCAGTGGGTATAAAACTGAAACGACAGCTCGGTCTTATTAGTGGGCTCAGCAGGCTGTCTCTGCCTGAATTAATGCAACGGACTCAAGGTTTATTAATGAGTTCAAAATAATGAAAGATGTTAAGAAGCAGAAATAGAGGGTACAGAGAGAGTGAGGCCATACTTTGGAGAGAAAGGAGGCAACAAGGCAACAAGGAGCTGAGAAGGCTTGCCTCCTTCTGAGGGATGGAGGGTAGTCATGCTGGGTCGGCTGATGCCGTAAGTGGAAGATAAATGAAGCAGGATATGTGTATATGTGTGTGTGGGTTAGGGCAAAGAGGAGGGGGCTGCTGTGGGTTTTGGTGAAGGGAGAAGATGCCAAAAGGCAGAAAGGAATTCCTGCTGTGTGGGTGGAGTGGAGATACACATGTCTCTCATTGTCTCATGTATAAAATATGCAGAACAAACAGCTCAGAGTATTGGCATTGTGCAGTGAGGTGAGAGCTGCAGCAACAAAAATAGCTCAGAGACAAACTATAGCGTTTATATTTGGGACCTGGGGAAGCAGACGATGGGGAGATAAGAGATCGAGGATGGGGCTAGAAAGACGAGGAAGTGCGGAAATTGAGGAAGAATAATGTATGAGGAGGAGGAGCAACGTCCAAGAGAGGGAGAAAAAGCTGTGTGTAATAAAGCTGCCATCAGGCTGGTGATAAATTAAAAGACCACTCCTGTATATGATAATTGTAATAAGGAGAGAGGGTCTGCCTGCTGTCAGTGCTGTGGTGACTGACACACTTGTTTGTACTGGAAATATCTACTTTCTATTCAAACTAAAAGCAGTTCAACATTATCAGTCATCAGAAAACAAAACAAAAACAAAACAAAACGCAGCACTCTCCGTTAGAATAGTTCAACTTTTACATTTCCCCTTTTGTAAATCTCACATTATAGTCGCCAACCAATCACATCAAAGAAGGGGCGGGGCTTCTTCATTTTGTGGACAACAATAGCAGGGGTCCTTGTGGAGGAGAATGTTGCTACATTTACAGTCCCTTACAAAACAAACTGGACTGACTCATCTGCTTCCAACCTACACCACGTAGGTCAGTACCTGTGGAGAAGCCTATATATCTGACTTGACATGCACCTTCTCAAAAAAGAAACTTCCAGTTGGAACTATTCAAACTAAAAGCCCTTTGATGGGTCAGGTATGCAGCACTGCGTTTTCTACATTCACAGTATTTCTGGCATCATGGCTTGATTCATTCCATTTCCTCCAACATCACCTCTCTTTTCTTCTTTGTCAACAACTGCTCAACATTTATCAGCAAAGACTCCAACATAATACACTCACAGGCACCAAAATAACACTGCTATCTAGCATCTAGGTGAAGTACTGCCATGTGACACGGACACTCCAGCAAACAATTGCGTAATACCCACTATGGAGTAGGCGGCTACAGCGCAAAGTCAACACAAAAACTTAAAGGAGGCTTTAGAGAGGCTTACCATCAACATCCATACATGTCTGACTTTATACTTTGTGAAATTAACATTATTCTTTAGTCAACTCTTCAACGCACATTAACATCTGTGACCTCAATGCATAAATCCAAGTTCTTGTGTTTACAATGACTCTTCATTTGTTTTGGAAATCACAGTCATCTCAGAAATATCCTAAAAACTGGAGCTGACATCCTTCAGTCAGTTGGATGATCAGTTAGTTGTTATTCAACCAAAATCTCACTGGCATCACAAACATCATGACTGGACTGAGGGGAAAGAGATTCTTCCATCTCCACCATGAAGATAATTAAGTTCTTATGAAAACACCAATCTCTTTTACTTTAAAGGTCCTTTCACACCGGGAGTGTTTTTTTCATGCGATTATTTTGGATGTCAATAAATTTTTTCTAACCTGTATCCTGTCAATACAAGCGTTCACATCAGCAACGTTTTCCCGTTTCGTGATGTTGCGGCATTTATTTTTTCGTATCAAGGTCGATTTTTCTAAAGTTTCGCATACTGTGTGTCCACTTCTGACCAATCAGATTTCATGTTGTTGCGACGTCAGATTCACCGGTATATCCAACATGGCCGACCGGCTGATTGTTTACATGTTGGAGAACAGAGTGCTTTTTGATAAAAGACACAAATATTACAAAGATAACGACCTGAAGGACAACTTGTGGAGAGTCATAGCGTCGGATTTCTCATATGACAATGGTTTGTGTGCTTTAACAGTTTGCTAAACGTCTTTGTTTAAACTTTCATCTGTGCTAAGTAACTTTAGCGTGTATGCTAACCTGTTCAGATACAACATACCATATGTATTTTCACTGTCTCAAACTCAATCACGTTGCCGTCACAGCACCATTAGGTCTCAGTTGTTACCTTACGTTTATGGATTATAGTTTAATGTTCTTATCTGGTACTGGCCCCGACTCAGTACATGCTATCATGACAGACAGCCATCTCAACACTAGTGTCTAATCAGAACTGACAACAGTCAGTCTGCCGTTGTGTCAGTCTTCTCGCTTCCACCTGGGACGCATCTTTTTTTCCCCTTGGAAAGTGGAAAAATCGCATCGTGCTTGATGTGGCGCGTCAGAAGTCGTCTCTGAATATTTTGTAATTTCGCGTCGTATATCCCAGTGTGTAAGGACCTTAACAGACACGAAACCAGAATAACCACCAGATGGTTGACTGCTTCTGCAGACCAGTCAAACTGTTCACACCAGTCCCATTATGGAGAGCATAAACCCACACTCACAAGATTTAAGTCGGCAAGGTTATACTTTTTTCATGGCATCTTGGTGTCACAGTGACACCTCTGACCTCTGACCAGCCTCTGACTTTCTGGACACTGAATTGGAGTAATGTGATCCAATTGTTTGTGTCATTAGCCAACATGGAAGACAGGCTTAGTAACAAATCTGCTGTGAAGAGTTAGCAGCACTGACCTTTATTGTTGCGTCCTCTGAGGCTGACACCATGACGCTGAAGACGGGGTGGAAGATGACTCGAGTGACTGGACTGCGGTGACCACTCAGTGCGTACCTCTCTGGTGGGCGAGGGATCCACTCTTTGGGGTCACGCTTCTGAGTTACAGGCCCACCCAAAGTGATCTCCTCTTTAGCTTCATTCAGTTTGGATTCAAGTTCCATCACCTGTGGTTAGAGTACAGGGACAATTTGACAGAGCTGAAGCTAAAAGTACTTTACTCAGTAACACTTAAGAGTACATAAATACACCAGGGCATAAAAATTGCCTTTTAAGTTTTACAGTCAGTTTTAAACTAATTAAAATGCATTAACTATTGGATTACTGCTTTTTCCGACTTGTAAGACTTCCTTTTAGTATTAACAGTTGATTCAGCAGAAATGTCACGAACTATTCACAAGGCTTCAATCCCCACAAGCTTTCTTTAACTGTGAAAAACTCCACAAACCTTCTTTTGTAGTCTGATGACTGAGGTCCATTTTTTTTCCAAAAGGCCGGCATATTTCTTATCCAGTTCTTCATTCTGTGGGGAAAAGAAGGGGAGGGGGTTGAGGGGGAAAAAAAAAAAAACTATTAGGCAAACATGCAAAGAAAGCCAATCGAAGTCAGGGACTCAGCATTATCAGGGAGGCCTCTGGGAGGAGGGCCAGCTGGGGTGGCATGCTGAGGTCTTTGGCTATAGTAAGACAGGACAGGGAATTATTTACATACCCCTCACAGGCCAACTCTGACTGCCAGACACCGCCAACCTACTGTACAGCACACTAACATAAACACATGCATACTGCGCACGCATAAACACACACAGTAGTCCTAATCCTTCTCACAAAAGCTAATCTTCTGCAGACAAGAAGGGCTTAGGCAGCTTACAGCCACACACCCAGTCCTGCAGGCAGCGGTGGAAGTTAACTTGTAGCCGCCCTGGCAGACAGACGCCTGATTCCACCTGCGGGTTAATACCACGAGCTGGCCACTACCTTTTACGTAACGGCCCTCATGGCATGCACTGTCGGTTTCTCACTGGCGAGAGAGACACAAAACAATGTGGCCGCATGTTCTCTCTGCCACTGCTCACCAAGACTACTTTCATTATCTATTAGGGGTGGGAATCTTTTACTGTCTCACGATTCGATTCGATTCCGATTTTTGGAGCCATGATTCGATTTAAAATCGATTTTCGATTCAAAACGATTTTATTCATAATGATTTCTGACCTGATTTCTGATCATGATCTACTCCGATCCACTGTGCAAGACAGAATGACAAATGAAGACGTTTAACATTTATTAAGCTTTAAGTATTTATCTATGCTTAGATGGAATTTTTACAAGTAATAGGCGATAGACCAAGTTATTTTTTTTGCCCACTCAGAGCTGGCGGAGAGCTTCGTGAAGCTCTGCAGCGTGCGTTGGTCTGCAGCTGGCGGCTGAGTCTGCTTCGTATCTCTCAACTGGTGATGCCTCGTTATGTGAGCCCGCGCATTTGACGTGTTGCTGAAATGCTTGGAACTAGTTTTACAATGTCCATGCCTCAATGTGTCCGGGCATTCGGTAAAATCCGAAATGATGCCAAACTTTAGCTTTTCGTGAAGATTGGGCCGGCTGGATCCCTTTTTGGTCATTTCAAATAGATTCTAAATCGTAATAAATTAGAATCGCGATTCTTGTGTGAATCGATTTTTTGGCACACCCCTATTATCTATGCACAGCAGTACAGCCGCTTCATTAACAAAATGTCTGAATAAAGAGAATTTCTTTCCTCCTCAGGTGATTATTTTGCTTTGCTTGGTGTGGTCTCATTCTAAGCAGTTTTGCTGTCATCGAACACAATGTTGCCTTGTGGCTGTCACTAACAAAGCGTCAAAAACCGCCACTGACAGGCAGCCATGGGTGTCAGCGAGGACGCAAATTAGCACTTCGCTCCAATTTCACAGTTAGTCCCCTAGCAATGGCCGGAAACAAAGACATCCTTGAGGTGTGGAGAGTTATAGGGACCCCCACTGCCTCCATTAAACACTCCTGAAAGATGAGAGGTGAATCCTATGACTGACATGAGGTGTAAATAAAGACAAAGACATTGATGGCTTGACAAAGAAACACAGGAGAAAAGAAGACAAGGAGGGAACACAGGGAATCCAGTATGGACAAGTCTGCCATCATCCAATCTGCCATCTGCCTGGAGACTCTGCCCATTACAACACAAACACACACATATGAACATACAAACACACACACACGAAGGGCTGTGCCAGAATTCACTGCAGCACCACTAGTCTCTTAACAATGCCTTCATGTGTGTGTGTGTGTGTGCGCGCGAGATTCATAAATGTCAATTTTTTGCAGAAGAAAAAAGAGCAAAGGGGGAAAAAAGTGACCCTTATTAATAATTCCATGAAAACCATAATATTTACTGTAATCCACAGTGGAACATAAAAGGAAATGTTAAATAACATTTAATTCATGATGAATAAAATCTAACCACACGTAATAGACACCAAAAGATGGATCGATAATAAAATGCAAAACTATTCCGCTTTAGAATAACTTGGTTGTTAAGCTGACAAGGAGTGTGTGGCTGACTGCTTATACTCAACAGGAAGCACCTTTTCCTCATGCCATTCATCTATTATTCAGCCGGCTTCCACAGGGCAGCCGTGGAAAAAACGTCTGGGGAAGAGTGAATAAAGATACCATGGGGGGAGGTTGTTGACATGAGGTGAAGGGGAAAAAAAGAGATGCTATACAGAGAGACAGGAAAGGAAGAGTAGGATGAAAAGAGTCTTCTGTAAAAAAGGATTCAGCTGAACAAAAGCAGGAGAGTGAGCTGATGGTTCACACAAGCACAGGAAATCCTTGAAAGTACAAGAATCATATAAAAGGATAAATTAGTTCAATGTTAAAAATTCCCACTTCTGCAGTGACCCTACAGTCACAGACACAAAAGCAGATTTTGTTCCATTTACACCTTGGCACTTACCATTAGATATCTAATGCTTAGTGAACCATAATGATGTTATTTTCAAGTTTTACTGATTTGTTGTAACAGACCCAGCCTGATTCCACATAGTTAGCTCAAATCCTCAACCACAATGAAAGAGAAATCTGATATAGGAATCATAGAAGGTTGACTTTCTGGCTCACTTTTGTAGTTGATGCATTACAGATACACATTTACCTAATTAAACGGGCCGATGAATGTAATTTAACCACATTCAAACGAAACAAATTCAATAGACTACAGAGGCTCTGCTCGAGAGTCGAAAGTAGCTAGCGGGATCATGCAGCTAAGAGCCCCTAATCAGACGGCGACCACCATAATTGGGTGCAGGTGCCCCTGGTCACACTCATGAACATGTTCACAAAGATGACAAATTAAGTACAAATCAGTGCATTATTGTGTGTTAAAACTGGTCTGATTGGCTGTGCGGATGTGTGTGTCCACCCTTAATCCACTCACATTATCTAATTCCGCCTCCTTCTTGAAAGTGGAATACGCCTCTTCATATCCATTGGAACGAAGATAATCGGCTATCGCTCGATTTCTGAAACAGACAAAGAAAAGCAGTAATTAGTTCTCCTGATTAGCAGACAAGATAGTTGTTAAAGTGCCATGGGAAGCAACATGGGAAATGGAGTTGTATTTAACGCCGCGAAACAAAGACAGAAAATGAGCATGTTCAGGAAATGTGACAGACAAAAATGTAAATTCTGCGTGCGTTCACATTCAGACTGTGTTATCACGCTTCTGGCTGTATGACAAATGTGCTTTGCAAGCACAAATACGGTCTAACTCTTTGCACTATCTTAAACAAGACACACAGATAGTCTCCTGATCTCCTACATACACATACACACACACCCCTCCTCCCACACACACACACACAGACACACACACTCTCCACCCATTTGACACAAAACCAGATCACATCTGTCTGGTTTCTATAATGAGCTCTTGTTGCTGTGGGCAAATAATAAGAAGGGATGACTCCCTGTGGTGTAGATATCAGGAAAGCTGAGAGTAAATGCACACATCACCAGGTATAAAGAAAGACAGACACACACACACACACATGAAACGAGATAATCATTCATATTTTACTTCACTTTATGCAAAGGTTTTTAGAGAGCCTGTCAATATGTTTTCTTGGAGCCAATATCTTTCAGATCGGCTGTAAACCATCTTAGTATTTCAAATATGTGGAGACGGAAGTCCAGATAGAGCAGACAATAGACCGGGCAGGAGAAAGGAGGCTGTCAGTGCTTTTCCTGGTTTTATGGGTGGCTATAAGGGAAACCCACACTCAGCTAACATACACTTTTAATCTCTCTGACACACACAGACATCCACACACAGGGCTAGTTTACGACTGCAGTCTCAGCAGCAGCTCAATTTACCTAGAGTTATTAATGAGGTTCAAGTAGGTGGGTCTAATTGGTCAGGCTTTTATTTTCCATTTCATTAGGTTCTCATGAGAGTGCAGAAAAGTTAATTATTTATTATGCTGTTTTTTTAAAGCCACAATATCCCCATTAGAGTGGAAAGGAAAACTTTTAACACATATGGAACCACAGAATGAGCAAGTTTAGCATTTTTAAATGGTGGATCTCATTATTAATGCGAGTAGGCAGAGTCAGACAAGCTGTCAGGCAGGTGAGGCTTTAAGATGCCAGTGAATGTGGTGGGGGGGCAGCGCAATCTGTCAGCCCAGTCTGTGCCCCCTGTGCCCTCGTGGTCAGTTTTGAATGCTGATATCCCCCTGACTCCTTCTGCCCATCTGAATCCCCATGACAACAGGAGCAGGCCCTATTACAGCTCAAGGTTAGCGGGAGGTTATCTACTCCCCTAACAAGCTACCTGCTGCAGGAGTGGAAACTAGAGGGTGAAGGAGGAGGTGTGCGAGCGTATGTGTGAGAGAAAGTGTTTAAGCAGGTGTAGAGGAGCAGAGGCCAAGAGGGAGCTTTGATGTGGGCTGGGCATCTCAGGAGTGTCTATTAGCAGGTGTGCCTCCAGTCAACCTGACACAGACCCTGAAATTCCACTAGATCTGTGATTTGGCCATTCTCTAAGGATGGGCATCGAGAACCTCTGCTTTTTGCTACCGCTGTGTGATAGGTCGGTGCTTAAAGTCACTTGTAGCAATCAGTGTCAATTAAGGCTGCACGATATTGGAAAAAAATAATATTGCGATTTTTTCAACCCTGCGATATATATTGCGATATTAAAAATACAGTATTTTCACCAGATGACCTGAATAGCACTTAATGTTATGCTGCACTGCTGAAATCTTGAGGACAGTTAATCTGCTCTGATCTTACCTCTTTTTGTGAATGTTAGTAGAACGGCTTCTGTCTGTCTCAGAGATATTTTTAGCTTTTATTGTGCTGGGACGTTATTGTGGCAACAGATGAACACAGAAGACGTGTTTTGGTCGACATCATCCTTCTTTTAACCGAAATAATTCCAGACAACTGACTTTCCTTTTCTTTTTAGCAACAAATCTTCATTTTCGGTGGTTTTCGCTTGTTCGTTGTTCATTTTGCGATCGTTGTTGTTGTTGTTAGCGGTGTTGTGCCGAGAAACGCATGTCCTCCGAGAATTGCATGCACCTCGCAAAACGCGCACTGCTTATAGTAGAGTGGTCCACGGAAATGTACAATTTAAAACCCATACAGTTCTTATTTGTTGGGCTTAATAGTCATGAGTAAAGTTCCGAAAGTAATTCTCAGCGGACACACGTCTCCCTCCATGTGCAGAACATGTGCAGGGGTGGGTTTTCTCCTCCCTGATTTTGATTGACAGCTGGCAGGGTAGTCTGATTGGCAACTGAGAAGTGAGTCTGATTGGCAACTGAGTTAAGGACGAAGGCGATTGGTGGATCGCTGCACAGCACATGCAGAGTCACATGGAGTGTATCTCAGTAGGTTACCCTTGAAATTAAATGAGTTCATTCACCTCCAATATTGCAGGCTCTGCGATGTGACTATCGCACACACGTACATCGCGATGACGATAGTCAAACGATATATCGTTCAGGCCTAGTGTCAATGTTCATAAGGGGCGACTTCCAATTAAAAATGGATATATGAAATAATATATATATAAAAACTACACAAAAACATCCACCAGTAACAAAAAAACAAACAAATAAAGTACCAGCTACTTTCTGTCTAGCCTCTGTTTCTTTCTACATGTGACACAATAAATATATAAACAATAAACCACTAAATAACATGTAATTGTCAGTATGTCTGGTCCTGAAAGACTGAGATACAGGAAAGGATGTGTACTAATGTTGACAGAAAGAGAGCAAACCTCCTGGTTTCCATGGTTACTAGCAGCCCACAGCTAGATGACGTGATGGGGAGATAGTGGGAAAGAGGGCAGGGCGAGTACATGGACAGAGAAGACAGAGGGGCGATAAGAACAAAAGAAAGCCTGACAGTCTCTATTGTAGCTGTAATTTTGGCCTGATTCAATAAAATGAACTGTGATACATTACTTTGAACAAACTCAGCTTGTGTTCGGGTGGACCTGCCGTGCCATGAGACAAATCACTTGTTGGATTCTATTTTGGATTATCAAAAGGTAAAACAGGGTTAACCAAAGTGGAGTTCAAAGGCAATTTCAATAGTTTTGAAAAGGACACACACGTCCACAGTAGTACTGTATCAATAAGCAGTATCAGTATCAATAAAATCCAAGAATTATCAGTTATATCCTATGAGACTGAAACAGAGGCCAGATATGACAACAGAAAGGAAGCCCGCTGGTCAGTTGGACATCTGGAAGTGCTCACTCATTTGCTGTAAAGTCATAATGGAGTGAGAGAGCTGCCTGTGACACAGAGACAGAGAGAAGGATGACCTAATCTTTCAGAGAAGAGAGGTGAGTCAGACATGCAGCAAGTCTGACAACAACATGACTTCCTCCCATCATTTCCTGCTCCATGATCACTCACTTTCGCATCGTTTTTGTGACAAGACAATTTCTCACAGCGATTCTATGAGTTTTCTTAGAGTGCTGTATGTTTCCTGCTCACATAAATTCACCAGGATGAAACATTTAACAACACTTAACAGCTGTAAGTGTGCAGTATACCACGTGAAGTCAAACTCATGTGGTCAAAAAAACAAGTTAAGCTCTACCTAGCTGTGTGAAAGCTGCTTTGCTTCAATGGTCATTGGATTATAAAACATAAACCTATGTTTCTACCATTTTAACAATGAACAACACCAGAATTAAACATCAAGCTCAGTGAACTTTTAACTGCCATGGTAGTTTGATACTGGAGCTGCATGATATAGAAAAAAACTAATGTTGCAATCTCCTCCTTTTTGCTGTAATGCTTTTCAAAAAATGTACTTTATACCAGATTAAAGCAGTGTTTTTCAAGTCCAAGACAATTCAGATGTTCAATAACACAATAATAGACTACTAATATTGAGCATTTTCCTGGTATCTGAGACAGTAGCAGTAAAAAGTGTAAAGGGATTACAAATGAAAACATGGTCACTCACTTTTATCCACTCACAAATTAGGAAAGAGCACGAACTTACACCTGCTCTAACAGGAAGAGGAGGAGACGGGGCTCACTGATGGCTCTGCTCTGATTAAGTCTAGTAGATGTAGATTATAAATTACTTCAAAAAACTACCTTCTTTTACACACCACTGTGGCCACATCAGTGTTAGGGGAAGCAAATCTCTGCCACGTGAGGACTACATTCATAATGTGTGTGTATTAAAAATCTAAATATGTATTTACACTGGGAACTGTTACACCACCCACCACTATTTGAAACACTATCTACTATAATAACCAATCCAATTATCATACACATTCACACACATTTCTAATATGCTAATAATGAGGATTCTTCAGCCAACAGTGAGAATCAGGGTGATTTATGAGGGGAATTAGTTGTCAGTGTAGGCAGTAAAAGTCAAACCATTAACTTAGGCTGCAGCAGTATAAGTCTCTTTCCATTCACCACTATTGTCACCATCATTAACATGGTCGTGTTTGTCTACACTGTGATGACAACAACAAAAACCATCATGTCTAACATCAGTTACCAAGCAGGGACACAACTGTTGGTCTTTTCTAGGCATCAATTCTGACACATTTCAAAGAGTGCTTCTCAGGCATCGCATACTGACACTTCAGCCTTCACAGTAAGTGCAGAGCTCTGCTCAGCTGTAGACAAACTCTAAATGCTCTATAAATCTCAGGAGGATTTTGCTTGCCTGGCCAGGGCGCTGTCCTGAGCCATATATCTGTCCACAGAAAAAGGAGCCTTTCCAGACTAGATGATGTATAGACTTGTTCAATCTTTCAGAACCCTTGATGAATTTCTCATAAGGACTACACTTAGTAAGGTTCCTCAGCACATTAACTATTTAACTTCTAACTGATTTTTTTCAAAATCACAGTTTTTACAACTCTTTGGACATGCAGTGTTTGAAAGTTCAAGTACAACTGTCTACTGTTGAGGCAAAATACTGTCTGGTGGCTCTGAGAGTTGACAGGTTAAACCAGAGACTGATGATCATAAGAGTCCGAACAGCAAAGAACAACATACAAGTGCTGGATGGTGGTATTACCAATACCTCTGCCAAGTATGCATATTCAAACAGCAAGGCCACAACTAGTGGGGCTACATTTTTGCACATTTTTTCACTCTTTACACTGATACAATTCCTTTTTCCTAGATTTGAATAAGACTATATTCAAAATATTGTTCCTCTTTTTGCAAAACATGCTTGTTAATGTGATTAAATAGTTAAGGGGTTGTTACTATTTTCCTGATCAAGGGGTCCAGGTATCTCCCCCAGAAACTCCTTAACACCAAATAACCTTTTTGCTCTGTTCGGATTATTTCTTTGCCTAATTGATGCCTAATTAATTTTGATTTCTGCACCACTTTGCAACAATCATTTAGTCTTGTGAGCTATTTTGTGTAATTATCACATCAATTATAAAAATTTATTCAAATGCATTTACAAACATGTGGACTTCATTAATTCTGCTGTTTCTGCACTACTGTGTCATTTACCTACTGTGATATTTGTTGAGATGTAACAGTGTTGATTAAAACTTAACACAGACACTACCAACCATCGAGAGATGAATGAGACGTCCTCTAAACATAGAAACTGTGATGTGTGCATGGCAACAATGCAGGACATGTAGCATGCTGACGCCACTTCCTAATTGTCATCGACGATCAATGTGTATCTAAAATTACTTAAGCTCCTAATTAAATAGAGAAAATGACCACTTTACAGGTAGTATTTATATCTGTCACATGACCGCACAAACATGCACCAGTACACCACAGAAAACACTCCATGAAACACTGAACTGATACAGTGTTGTGTTCCTACTTCTGCATACATGTCAGAGCTGCTGTCAGAGGATCGAGCACCAACCTTGTATTATATATATTTATGTGGGAAACATTGCTAGAGGGCCGAACGCTAGTCCTGTATCATACATATGTGGGAAACACAACTATCTATGGATCTTTTTCAGTCTTGAAACAGAAACATCCATTTCTTTGCTTATATTTTGACAGCTGAAACCCTTGGTATACAACAACAGGTATGCTAAATGCAGCCATTCATGTTATTTGAAGAAAAAAATGTAGAGAATGAACCCCTTCATTTGCTGAACAGATCATTCTGAGGAAGTAACGAGAAATATTCAGCGGAGCTACAATGTGTACAGAAACTTAGAAGGCCCCTTCAAAGCTACAACAGTAAAGCTTATTCCTCCGTCTTAACAGCTGATAACTTGACCAGGAGAGCTTGTTCCCAGAAACATTCCTCTAAAGTCATAGGACACAATTGCATAATTACTGGGTTACAGTTGGATCTCCACGAAATCTGCGACTAATACCCGTTTTTTCTTGGCTGGAATTGAATCAGCTTTTCGTCATTTCCTGATCGTTTATTGTCAAAACAAAAAAGGCTGAGGGAAAAATAATTTGCAGCTGATCAGGGTGAGAATATCCATTAGCTGCAGCCCTGACTGTGTAGAACATGCTTGATCATGCCTTAGCATGTTTCCTCACAGTGTTCTTGCTAATCCAGTACAACAAAAATCATTTTTCAGCTCTGTGCAAAACATAATCACTCAACCCTAGAAATAACTAAACATTATGCCTCAGTAGATATGGTTTACTTAAAGAATCTAACCTCTTTGCCCATAATGTGTGATTAAAGAGGCTCATCTGATGGGTCTTTCTTTTAATGCTTTGTTGACCTGCAGTACATGGTAAAAGGACTTCAAAAAGTCAACCAGCTTTGAAGTCAACCAACAGCTCCAACACCATCATCATGTGACAGAACCAGACATTTGAGTTTTTAGGCTCATACTGCACTTTGGTCTAAATCCATTCAGCACACAGACACCTCTGGTAGTCAAGAGTAGAAAAATGACAGAAAATCAGAGACTGGATTGGACCTTTTCTCTCTTATGAGGAGCAAAGGAAGAGGGGCTGTCTACTTTGAAGTTTTTTTTTTTTTTAGCTTCACAGTTGATCCTCTCTGCAGAGCTCATTACTAGTATGAAAGAAGAGTGCTCGTCCTCTCCTCACAGCCTACCTGTCTCACCCTGAAATTAACAGCATTATGAGTCTCCCATCTAAGGGGCTTTAACATGATAAGAACTTTGGGAAAAGGAAAGGGCTGAAACTTTTATAGGTAGAACAAATTTTCTCTTGTATTTGATGGATTAAATGTCTGGTTTAACACAGTCCTGCTCACCTCTATGTGACATACCTTATGTCTTAAAAACCAGCACAAAAGGGCTCCCTTATGTGTGACGATGGTTTGGTATGGTAAGTTTACAGGTGTGAATTCATAGATGTTTAAAATGTATTTTTAAAAACAGGACAAAATTCTAAATCGAAGGACTTTTTCAGAAAAATGTCACATCTGCATGACAAAGAACATTTAAATGGTGATTTGTGTTTCAGTAGAAAGCTAAATAGCACCATGATAATTGGTCAGAAAAACAGTCCACACATTTGCTGCGTGACGGACAGGAAAATCCTACACAACTTCATAAACTTTTTAAAGTGCCTGACTCATTAAGCGATACATGGATAGAAAGTTTAATAAGTCAGAGACACTGGATGAGTAAATCTTTTTTGAATACAGGTGGCAGCAAATGATTGAGTGGGTTCAGACAACAGAGATAGTAACTATGCCAATCTATGTGTGTGCCAGTCCTGAGGCTAACTCAGATCTGTATGACTGACGGACTCCCTGCAGAGACCACAATCAATACACCGAGCACCAGCAGAAGCACTCAGAGCATGTGGGACCTCGTCTGTGTGCTTCAAAATATCATGTTTTTAGTGCAGCCCCTCCGAGGAAGAACCTGACACACCCAGACACTGATACGCAACCAAAGGTATGTGACCACCATCTGTGAACCCTAAACGGACGCAACCTACGCAATCAGTGCAATAAATAAAAAACATTTCAGTTTTTGCCTTTAACTCACAAGACTGTTTTCTGAGACAGGTAAATCAATAAATTCATGCCTTAAAAAAAGGTATATGTAAGTTATGCAGCTCCACTGATTTAAAAGGACACTAAATCAATATGAAAGCCTGCTTTAGCATGCATTGCTATGTTTCCATCATGACAATATCCCATTCTTTGTTGGGGGATGTACAGATGGACAAAATCCCAGCTATCCCCTACTGTATACGCTTTTGCACAAAGGACTCTTATTTTTGGTAGAACAAAGTATTGTGGTTTTAATTATTCTCAGTCCTGTTTTTGCTGCAAGTATTGGCATCAGGAGTATTTGCCACACCCTTAGATGCTAGCAGTGCATCCTCCATTTTTTCTTTCACATAATCAGTTTTGATTCACACTGACTGGAGCCTGTATGCTGAGACCTGTGAAGACTGGATTCATAGCTGCAAGGAGGGTGATAATAAAGGAAGGCTTACACAAGAATTAAAGACAGTAAAGACATGGAGTAGCACATGTTTTCTGTCATTTCATAACTTAACATCACAGCGTTTGGTCTGAGAGTAGTCTTAAGTTGTACCTTTTGTAAGTCACCTTTTTGCACTGTGAATGTGTGAGGTCTTGGCATTTAATCTGTTATGTAATCACCCTTACAGCCGGGAAACGATGTAAAAGGGACAAAAATCACATGAATTATCTTAGAGCCCAAGACGCAGAGAAGGCTGAGGGGCTTTTCTTTGTTGAGTAGAGAAAGCGAGTTCAAAAGACAGCCCATCTGCACATGGGTGCCTCCAGGTCTTTCAGGGGAGCAGAGGGTTTATGTTCTGGGTCTATTTTTACGTTGTGCCTGCAGGGACGAGTCCCCTGACCCTGGAAAGAAACACAAATGTGCTTTTCATTCGCTGAGGCTCAAAAAATAGGGTTTTTATAAAGATGCTACGTAATCATAGCATCTGACTGCAGTTTAAAAAAAAACATGTCAACCTTTTAGGAGAAAGGTTATTTCTCTCTTTGAAAATAAACTGTTCATCAGGAGTGATTTGTGTTTTGCTGTCTTTCTGGCAGATGTTCAAGAGCAGGTTGATAGGTTGTCCTCACCTCCTCCTCATTTAAAGCTTTCACACTCATATCAAACACCCAAAAAATGTATTTAACAACGACACTGACTGTAATTTAATAGAGTTCAATCAATCCTGAATTGACCGTTTCTGCAGTTACTGAACTGCTTTAAACGGTTGCACCCTGAATTAATTTAGTAAGCAGGCCTCAAAGTCTATTTGTTTTGGCTGCCTGGTAGTAAACAGTCCTGTGAAAAAGATGTAATGGGGTCCAATGAAGTAATAAAAATGAAAAGCAGACAGTCGCTTTGTCGCTGTTCCCACTACGGCCTGTGCCATCCTCGCCTTCAAAAGATGAGGCCACCAGTTGGGAGTGATAATCTTGGGAACACTTGATAGTAAAAAATCTCAATCAGAGCAACAACCACTGAGTTGGACAACATCTCCAACAGGCGGGCAGCGACTGATACTTGAATGCGACTTGCAGTTGTGTGATGGTCCCGTATTGGTTCCCTGTTAGCCGTAGGGCTGAGGGTTTGCGCAACAGCGAGGAAAAAAGAGGTGAAGAGGGGTCCCTGGCAGCTTCCTCTGAATGGCAAACAGCATAAAAGATTAGCATTCCAACAGATCTCTCCATACCAACAGACCCCTCCCACAGAGCTGATCGGAAAACAGAGAAACAGTTGGGAATGCTAAGAGCCTTGTTGTGTGACCGTTGATGCATTTCAGCGCACAAGAAAAACAAAACAATAAATCTGAAGAGGAAAAGTATAACGATTGTATTTTTGTTAAAAAAAAGAAACACATCTTAAACCAATACAGAAATAAAAGCTCAGCAAAGCCATTCAAACTCACTCTATGACCTTGGGTCCCACACAGAGCTGCTTTAACATTTCCCCCTTCGCCTCAGGGGTTAATTACCTGGCTCACCGACTAAGCAAAGCCAAATTACAATTCCTCTTATAAATGCAGTAACTCTCTCTCTCTCACTTCTTCTACTTGCTCTGTGTACACTGCACAGCAAACGTGAAGCCACTTTTGTGAAAGCATGTAAGAGAAACCTATACACTTCTGCCATCATGCAAAGAACAAGCTACGGTCGCCTGCCTGAACTTTCACCGTTTTTTTCCCTCCCAATTGAGTTTATTTTGGGGGAAAAGTGACACTCTGTGCTCTTCTTTAAGCCACAAAGGGCGAATGGTGAATCCTAAATATTTTCAGGGTTGTGTAGTTTAGGCGGAGGATCAATACAATCAAGCTATAAGACCTCGGGGGAGCTCAGGAACCTTCAACCAGATTTAGGAAAAAGGAATCTAATAGAGCAGACATGTTCAGCTGCTGCACACACTCTGAAAAGGATGTGAGACGACACTTATTAATCTTTCTCTTTCGACTCTTTGTTAACTCCACAATTTGAAGTCCCAAAAAAACGTTTGTGCCCGACAGAGTAAATTTATTCCCTATCCTTCTTACTCTTATCTTCTTGCTTAAGGAATGCTAAATAAAATTCTGTTGACCGTGACCAAGATTTTTAATCTCTAAGAATAGTTGGCATTTTGTGGTGCTTTAATTGCTAACACCTACAAAACTACTGTCATGCACCTGAGAGTCATCATTAAATCAAGTATAGCTTTAAATGTAAAACCACAATGGATGCAAAACTACTGATCTCTCACTTTTTTGAATAAAATAAAAAGGAAACAACAATAATGTTAGAGCTGCAATCATTGGTAGATGGGCAAAAGACCAGATCTGATAGTGTGCAACTACTAGAAAGTGAATGTTATATATAGCTTTTATATAAGATACCACATCCCATGATGCTACAGCTCCAGTTGTACAACAATGACACACACAGCTTGTATACAAACATTCATTATGAACGTAACATCTTCATTTTTCAGCTACGTTATGAGAGCTGCACAGGTGACTTACAGTTCGTCTCGTTGCCGTTGTGACAGCACCATGGTGACGGGGCAGTGTGGGCGGGGCCGGCGGGGTCAGACAAGTAGAAGGTGAATCTTGTGCAGCTGCTGCGCTCTCCTCGGTCAGGAGATGAGCTGTGCTGATCCAAGCAACACGGGCAAGGACGAGCTGTGTACTCCAGTGGCAGGCAGTTGTTGTTTTTTTTTTCCAAGCAAAAAGACTCGGACTGAACGACGGGGAATGCAGGAATCCGCCCCCCCTCAAAAAAAACTGCCTGACTCCAGGGACAAGAAAAGTGGAGTGCCTGCAGACCAGTCACCAGCAAAATCCACACTGCATCTAGAAGGGAGAGAGAGAGGGAAAAGTCAGCATTAGGTATGCATGATAGATAACATGAAGAGTGGGTGGGGATGAAACTGTTTGTAGGCCAAAAGAGTACTGCATCAACGTCTGCACCAGTTCATATGCAGATAAAATGGGCCAAGGGGGCTGTCAACAATGTCAAACTGTGACAGCGCAACAAAATACTAATATTATTCTCTACAGGAGGAGGATGTGACCCCCTGAGAAAAACTTTTCCAGCATTAACTCCTCCATCAGATTTCTTCAAACCACCTCCTTTACCCTCCTATCTTCCTTCACAATCTGTCTGTCATGTCACCAGTCAGGTCTGAAGAGCTCTGGTCTGCTCTAGCTGCAAATTCCTTTCTCTGTGTGAACATACAAGAGCTGACCCACATTCTTCCAGCAACGTACTTCTCCTCCCAGGTTGCCAACCGAAAAGAAAAACAGGACACAGCAGAGCGGGCTCGAGTAACGGCTGTACCCGACCCCATCGTCTCATTATCACGGCTCAGTCCCCAAGAGCTGGCAAAGTCTAACTGATGGTGCGATGTGATCATTGTGACTGTTTGTGTCAGAAGAACATTTATTACTGTTAGTGTGAGAATTGATTTATTACCAAGAGTGGAGTACTAGTGAGGGGAACAATAAAAATAACAACACTGTGATGAGGTCTATTTTTACACTACATCCATGCTTCCATCCAAAACACTGTCCCAAAACAGGTTCCTACCGGAATACTAACTGGGAGCTGCAATAAGCCTCTTAATCTACTGGGACCAACCTGACTGTGACTCTGCCAGACTATTAAAACAAAGCCACAAACACAGCCAATTTACCTTCCTCTGTGGATCCGCAACAGATCGACAAAACTACAACCCAGCATATATGTCCACCAGCATGCATGGGAGACAATGTCAAGCTTGAGATTTGCTGAATGAAAACACAGTAGTGAGGGAAACAGTAGTGCATGTGGAGTGAGAGTGAGCTTGAGGAGTGGAAACACCGCAGGAAGCTGCACTGGAGGAAAACTCACACGTCTTCCATTTCAGATGATGATGCAGCAGTGACATTACTACAGGGACGTTTCCTCTTTTTCACTACTGCTTATGTTTGCTGAGACAGCAACTAAGGGACCTACAAACATACAGTATTGAATATTTGATAGACTCACATCAAGTTAGATTTCTTATAGCCCCGCAATGAAGGCCAGACTCGAAGAACTAGAGGACAATCGCGGAACAAGCATGTGCGTTAGCGGATTGAGATGCTCGTAAGAAAGCTAACTATGATATTAACTTTCATCATGCTCCTAAAGACATTAGTGTCCGAGAGCTGAATAGTTCCTGTGTTACCTGCTTCTGCTACGACACCAGCAATGTTAGGCTACAAGCTAGCGTGAAGAGAAGTGTACAGAGCAGCGCTGTCTCCGCCCACGTCTCAAAGGCTAAGTGCTCATGAGCTACTGGAGCTCTGCACAAGAAAACAGTGTTGCCAACTCCTCAGTAAGGGAAGTTGCTAGGTTGGCAACACTGCAAGAAAAGCCCCTCTCATCATTTATTTTTTCCGCTCCGCAAAACCTAAACAGCGCCTACTCCTCCTTCTACGGTGGTGACGTAAGCGCATTGTGTCACCCTCAAAAGAATCCATGCGAAACAGTGACGATTTGAGCTTATAAACGAGCACTCGAGGCAGAGAAAATTCCTCGATCATTATTTGTAATCGAGGTATTCGAGGGATCATTTCAGCTCTAATACAGAAGACAGCAGATTTAAAATTAACCTACCTGATTTAACACATTAACATTGAACACTTTCACTTTGCAGAGAGGCTGCTTAACAGAGAGCAGCCTGACACAGTCAACAGCTAACTTCTGGACCCTGATGTCACCACCTGACACCAGTCCAAATGTCTGCTTACCTCTGACTGTGGGTGGATTACTGCAGGTCGGCAGGGGGGTTTCTGGCTGTTTCCCAACTACTCTGCTGTGGTTCAGGGTCACAACGGTATTACAACATAATACGGTGAAGCCATTAAAATGGCTCTAACTTTGGCTCAACGTAATAAAAAGTATCTGGTTAAATGTCCGGCTTAAGAGGGCAGGTTATTTATTTGTGATCAATGTTACGATTTTATCACACATCTAATAATTCAGAGTTAACAGTGAAAGAATATTTCTCAACCTTCTTACTGCCGAATGAACCAAACAGGGGGCTGTGTGCTGAGCTGCTGCCATTAAAGTAAGCCAAAAGAATATTTCCTTAGTGTTCCTCCTAACCATCCTTTTATTCAATAGTGAATGGCTTGTTTACTACTGTACATGAGCGGTCTGTTATCGAGCTGTGAAATCTATCCATTTGAGTAAAAAAAGGTTTATCAGTTATTCACATGAATCATATCACAGCCCTGTATTGACATACTCTTATAGTCCTGTCAGAAAGCATGCTTCTTTCACAAACCTTGGTTGAAATTAGGCCACCTAGTATTTATATTGATACTCCCCTTTGTGCTGCTGGCAGCTGTCATCGCTGTGTGCATCCATTAATGTGCTAGACTCCCCGCTCAGCAAATCTCATTTGTTGCTTCGGTATTGAGCAAAATGTTTGCACAACCACATAATCAGGGTAATTGGCTGAGCGCAAAATGTGGTAGTGTCTTGTTGGTATGGACTGCAGCCATGGTGCATCCATAAATCTGCCCACTGATAGTTAATGATGGTTATGCGTCTCCCATCCATTGATCCCCTTCTCTTTGTGTAGCAGCAGGAACGGTAATGGCAATGACTTCCTCATGAAACGACGTTTAATTTCCTGGTGAGTCTGTGCAGATTATCTGGTGTTAAAGAGCTATCTTTAAAAGAATACTGAAGACACACCCTCTATCACTAGCTTCTTACATGCTGCAAGTCTGCCACAATGATGGAACTGAGTCTCATCATCGCTTTGCTTTTGGTGAAAAAAAATTAAATTGCAATTTTTTTTCCTGCAATATGAAAAATTTCAGGAGTTCATACCAGATAAAGCAGCAAATCTTGCGTGCTAAGAAACTTTGTAAATTTTAACAACACAATAATCATTACTCTTGGATCTTTCAGTCTATTTTCTACTTCCAAATCTAACCTCCTTTTTACTCGTATCAATGTTCAACCCTCTGACAGCAGCTTTGGCACCAGCATGCAGAAGTAGAGACACAAGAGAAGGTGAGAATATCGAGGCAGCAGCACTCTGCTTCTTGAACTTAAAAGATAAACACAATTGATTTACTTGCATAATCAATAATTTCTGTCAAGGAACATATAGTCATCTTCAACATCATTCTCACATCACTAAGAGGTATGTGCGCCGTGGGTATAAACGAGGTATTCAGCACCTAGACGAGCATGATAACACTGTCTGAGTCTTTTTAGCTGGTAGCTGTGACAGTAGTAGCATTGTAACGCACATCCGAGTTTGAACTCTATAACCATGTGACAAAGATACAGCCACTGCCTGAACAGAAGTCAGTTTTTTTCATGTTCTTAAATATGGGGCTAAATAGAGATATTTAAGAGAGTCACTTATTTTAGATTAACCCTAGACAAGGAGGAAGTCGTGACAGCATGATGTCTTTATGTCAAATGACTGATACTGTATGTCCTCTGATGTCTCAATTGTGCATGTGCATATCATAATTGCGATGTTTGGGAGTCTTGTAGCCCTGGATAAGTAATTGCACTACAGCGCTATGAAAGCACAAAAGGCACAACCTCTTAACACACAACTGGAGTGCCACACACACTCACACACAGTTCAGTGCTGCCCTGCCCTGCCTACCTACCATCTCCTTCTTACCCACATTACATGTTACTACTAGGGATGGGGACCAATATTCAATTGACTGTCATTACTCGAGTATCTTTACACTTCTTACCACAAAATTAGCTTACAGGTACATGCACCATGTCAGCCATGACCAGAAAAAGGGATGTGTGGGAGTATTTTGATGAAAGGGATAACGATAACATGCTGTGCAAGATTCAGTGTTCAACTTGTATAGCATACAGCATACTAGTTTGATGCTTAAACCACATGCAAGACTGATAGGCCATCTTGCATCAAAACAGGAATATATGAGTTTGTCTGACACCACAGACAAACATGGTAACTAAAACAGGAAACGATCAGAGTAATAAAGAATCATGCAAATATATCAGAACACAATGTTATTGAAGCTCAGGTCAATGTATTTCAGTCAAACATTCATGACATTTATATAATCTAAAAGTAAAATATAAGTCGGCAATACAATATCACATTTGTGCATTACTCAACCTGCTGTGTATGTCAGCCAAGGTTTTTTTATTTTATTTTAATAACTGAAAATAAAGAAACATCCCCAATATGAGCACCGCATGATGACCAAAAGGAACCCATCAGTTTTAAGTCAAGTTTAACCTCTAGTGTGAAACTGTGTTTCAGCAACTCATCAAACAACCATCACAGCAATGCTGACAATGCTGACAGTTATCACCGCCTTGTATTCACAGTTTTTTCCACTTGTCTCGTTACATCACTCAAAAGTAAACATCTGAAACAGCTGGAATCTGGAGTGTCTTCATTTTCTGTTTGGGACTTCAGCTTTGTATCCTAGATCACCCTTTGTCTGACCCAGCCCTGCTCTATTGACCCGTGGAAAAAAACTGCACAAAAACAGACAAATTGGGAAATATGCATGAAAATTTCGACCAAAAGCTGATTATTCCACAACTATTATTAAAACAAATGGAAATCAATGACATTTTATAAAGATGACTGAACCTTTAGTCTGACTAAAAGGCTGTTTTATAATCATCATAGGGGAACTCCTCATCCCTGTACTCTGCCAATGGCAAGAGACTTTTTTACACTCAGTATTTTAATCCATTTGGTCAAGTTAAAATGTCATAAACTTGCATAACTTATACAAAACAAAGCCGCAAAGTGATCCAAACACTTCCTATCTGATGAACTTGGCTATTTTGGGGATTAAGGGAATTAGTGATGACCGTTTCACCGTTTAGACATTGGTTTTAGCGGTAGCTTGAGCAATAAAAACAACTATAAGTTATCTAACTGAGAGGCACCCAAACACATACAAACAATCATGCTAAAGTGCATCTCTGCGTTGATATAAACAAGACAAACATCTATTATTTAGTAGACAATGCAAATGAATTTTGTCTTTAGCTTTTTCAGCTTCTTTATTCCAGATCCTAAAAAAAGACGACTGAAGGAATCTGAACCTTGAGATTCACTGCGAGGCGGATTTTTCTGTAAATCATCCCCTATTTTCAAGAGCTTGTCATCCTCTCTAAGATGTTTCATTATTAACTGGACAAACACCTTTCTCAGCTTTCAATCTGCAGCCGTTATGACCTATAAGGTGCATGTGCCAGTATGTGGGTAGCAACATCTTTGTTCAATGGCCAATAAGAGGAAGAGCCGTTTACACAAAACACTAGCAGGTGGTAGAAACACCAGCCTGAACTGTTCCTCCACGTTTCAAACAGCAGATGAAACAAGCAATCTTTCCTGACTGTATCTTCCTGTCTGGCCATTATCTTTACAGTTAATGGCCCAATCAGTGGATCACAGCACATATTCACCAAGGAAGCTTGGACACACAGTGGCAACAAGAAGAGGAGTGAGCTAGAAGTTTGTTGGAGCAGCAAATGGATTAGTCAAGCCCACCTGCACTGGTTACACTCATGCATTTGTATTTGGATTAAAGTTTGGCATCAGGGCAAACCGGAAACTGACTGGATGTGCAAGGTCAATCAGTCTGGTATCAAACCTTTCCAGATCAAACCTTTCATTTTATGGAACACCATAAGTGATTGTTGTGATTAGATCTAACTGCTATAGGACTTGGTGATAGGAAGTCTTACACCAGCACTGACAGACATGTTCTCACAATCTGCAGAAAGATGCTGTGCAAACAGAAAGTCAGAGAGTAAATCAGAACAGCTGTTTAATGATTGACAGGCGGTTTACATTGGCAGCAGGCCAGCAATGACCAGTCTGCGAGCTGGTGGGCAGCTTGTCAGGAAGGTCAACCTCTATGCTGCTGTCACCTCAGGGGAAGAGAAGCGATATGGGTCTGCCCTTCAGTCCACAGCAAACACAATGTCACACAGCCTCTCAGTCTACCCATTGTCTGTTGACACAAAATAAAGACGGGGACTCCCTCCAGCTTTCCAACTCCAAGACTACTTTTATCACATATGAAAAAAAAATCACCCACAAAGATCCACTATGCTTCACCTTTTCGTTGTTGAGCATGTGACAAGTTTCAGCAGAAAAGATCTCAGAAGCCAAAGCAGCACAACTGGTAAGAAGAAAAACCATCACGCCATACCCACAGGCACCTGCAATGATGGTTGTGTATATTTCACAAGTAGGGATGCTTGTCTTGAGACTGGAAAGGCCTAGCTTTACAGTCACATGAGAGAATGGTATGTTCCCATGCAAATAATATGCCAGGGCCTCTAAAATAGGGAACAACTGGGCTCACAAATACATAACCCATTACTGACTTTTGACCCACCATGCTGCACAGGAGATCAGCATATTCATCCAACAGTCATGTTTAAGTTGGTGAATTGAATATACCAATTTACGAACCATTTCCAAAAATAGATAAGTTCATGAAAGCTACATATGTCTTGCTAAATTCACAAAGCCCACATCAGCAAAACCTACAGATGTCAAGACAAGGCAGTGGTTCCACGCCTCTCCAAATGGATTCATTGAATAAGATGTAATGACATCTTACCTGAGTATGGTACAGTGAGTCAGGAGATACAAAGTCAGTTTTCTTGATGTAGCTTTTCCCAAAACAAAAAAATATATAATTTTCAGTCTTTGAACCCATGAGATTACCTGCAAGGCAATCCTAAAAATCCAGGATCCTAGATTTATTCTATGCCAAGGTTTCCCAAATGTAACACGAACAGCCACCTCACTGATCACTGCATTCATAAACCCTCGGTCCACATATACCCATTAATCACTCAATCTTACATCCACACAATCAGAGTGCAAACAGAGAAAAAAAAGGCAAACACTTGGACAGTGAGTAGACGCAGTACATACAAACTTAGCTCCTTCAGTGTGCTCCACCCTGATTTTCTAACATTGCCAACAAACCGCATGAAGAACACAGAGAGAGGCGCAGATATGATGAGAGTTTCAGCTGAGCAAGGCAGCAGGATGACAAACAGCAGACGACATATACAGGGGGGCATGTCATGTTGGTAAACTGCGTCAGGATTGTCAATGGTTTAGCTCTTGATCGATTGGATACAGATGGATGTAAAAAAAAAGTCTCTTCATGCCTTTTTAATCAACATGAAACACAGCAGTAGCACAGCGGTATCGCCGATTAAAAGCAGAATATCTTCCATGCTATATATAATGTAACACAAATGGGACAGTACACGTAATAAAAACAGTCGTGTGGCCTACATACTGTTATATTATTGACTTAAAAAACACAACAGAGTTCATGTCGGCAGTTCAAACTGTGCTAATTACAGATTATTCCTAACTTAGGGTGTTGGTTGAAGGCTTCAGAAATTCACGTCTACTTTACCATAACCTCCACATGAGAGCGTCTCTCTCTAGCCGTGGTCTCTCATGACTTTGGCGGACCTAACGACGTTGCCAGTCGGTTAACACGACTTATCTTCTCCCTGAAATCGTTAGCTAATGTTAGCTGAAGTTATCGTTAGCTAAGTTAGCTTCCCGGTGGTGCAGTCAGAAAGTTGGCTCCTCCATCGCCTCAACTTTAGGTAACATGTTTACAGCTACATTAGCTAAAATCAAACTACATATTTGTCAAGCATTAGTCAACCTAATTGTGCACATTACTGTTCGCAGAGACGCAAGGATAAAGTCCGCCGACAGTTACCTGCTGCTCCAGTCCGAGCGGCCTATCCGCCATTTTGAGACATAAAAGGAGGTGCAAAAATTACAGCCACATCGTCATTTTCCCCACCTAAAGCCCGATTCCTTCGACTCTGACCGGCTCCACAGTTGAAAACAAGTCAAACTCACCCTATTGTTTCCTCCCGTGAGTGTCCACAGTCGTCTCCAGCGGTAACACGACCCGACAGGGCGTGAAATTTCCGCACCAAAATATGATCTTGTGATGTGGAGGTAAACTGTGCCCGTCTTGTCTCTCCGGCGTTGCCGTTGCTTGTTTTTTTTCCTAGCCTACCGCATTCGCCTTCAGATGGGCGCGTTCACAGGACGCGCGTTCAGGGTCTGACGGGAGCGCGCACGTCCTTGATGTAAGGAAAAAATTAAAACATTTTCACAGCGTTTTTGTTTTTAACCCTTAATTCATTGAAAACTCGACGTGGATCAATTTTAAACTGCATTTCGCGAAACAACTATAAATTTTACAAATGTTTATCGCTGCCAAAGACATGTACATGTAACTTGTAGTGTTGCAATTAAGTTTCTTCTGAACGTTTATTTACTTGTTTCCTACAATGATACACTATATACTACAACATTAGAGTAAAACTGTATTAACAGCTTTTTTGCAAATAAAAAATACATATGTGAAACACCAGCTTACAATAACTTATAGATCTGAGTATTTTTAGTATGCAGCTAAAACATCCTCTTTTCTCCAACAGTGCATACTCCTTAATACTGCTAACCCTAAGACAGATACTGTAGTTTTAAACAGAGTATTTCACAGAGCTATTACAAATTGTTCACCATAAGCGTGTTGTATAAGTTATCAGAAACCCCAAACAATAAACAACATTGCTAGTAATATTTTATTTAGTTTCATAAAAAAAGAAAGAAAGAAAAAGCTCACTTCGTCCAAAATATAATCAGATTATTATTTTGTTAAGGGCAACACACAAATGTCACACATCACCAGGGGAAGCAGACTCAAACACTTGGTCTGTGAAGCTTGATGCATAGAAAGTTTCTTCAGCTGAAAGAACACAAATCTATCAACCATCTTTACAGGTTTCACAAATTAACAATACATGCAATATGGCTGGTGGTGTAACATCTTTATAAAGATATTACACCATTTTCCTCAGTCTTTTTATACTATGCTCGAGTTATTTCTGAAAAATTAATGTTAAGCATTTTGCTGATTGTATTTGTCATTCTGTTCAGGTGAAATAATTTGTGAAATATGATTTTTCCTACTTTTGTTACACCACATGCCTCAATTTTTCCTCTTCTGATGCTAGTTTCTCAAAAATAAAAAACAAATTGACAAATTCCCAAATCAAAACAAAAATGTTATCTTTCACCAAGTGCCATACAATCTGTGCCCAAAACTAAACAGAAGTACTGCGTGCATCAAGAGAAACGTCTTTGTGCTCAGGTGGTTTTATTCTTCTGAATCATTTGTATCATTGTAAACTTTAAAATACTTGAAGTTAAAGGGTTCCGAGTATGCTCAATAGGTAACAGTTATTTGTGGATTTTGGATAGATTTCTGGACTACTTGATATTAAAACTGACACAGTTTGCAAATTGTCCCCAGTTTTGGTGCATTAGTATGCACTTGCACCAGTATACCCACCAATAAGGGTCACCTACATCCTTCACATTGAAACAGATGTTTGTATGCCACCCTGTGGACACTATTGGTATTACTACAACCATTTGGTGAGTGGGACAAAAGAAAGAGATAAAGAAACTGATTTTTAACAAAAAAAAAAAATAATAATACGACAGAAAACAAAAATCAAGAGGCATATTTTATCAAGTTATTACCTGTCATCACCCTTGTTCCATTCAGAAGCATACACAAGAGGCACAATATACACCACGCTCTGCTATTGATGTTATGACATCATGTTTTAGGTGCACAATCAGAAAAAAAAAAACACTGGAACAACTGAGTCAATCTGAAGAGCTCTCGTTTTGTTGTTTCTCATTTAGCCCCCTTATTTCCACAGTATCCAGCCAGACACTGAAAGTAGTCCATCTTGCATGTTGTTTTGTAGAGTAAAAACTGCATTCTTGAAAAACAATTCCAGCACCATCTCTCTATTGCTTTAATCACATACATTTAGACACGGCAACAATTAAGTAACAAATTGCCTTAGGAAGGATACATTGCATGTATACAAGCGCACACAAACCTTTATCAGTCATTTTTGGTACCATATTGAGGCAGCTCTTCTTTTGCCCACTTTTGGTTGTGCTGTGAACATGATCGCACATTCCAACAGCACGAGAAAGTGCACCAAACACTGCTCAATAAACAGACACTCCTGGCTGGTTTTTGTCCCCATTACATATGAAAAACTGACTCAAAAATGGAATAAGAAAAATAACACCCCGCAGTAATAACTCAAGTCTCTACTGCCAATGATGAGAAGAGGCTCATTTTAGAACTAATTCCTCCAGGAACAGATTAACAACATTGCTGGCCATGACTGATTAAAGAAAAGAGGCATCAGCCATCCAACAGGTTGACTAGAAGTAGAAAAATAAAACATTTGGAAAGCCAATGTTCGCTTTTAGCCTCTATTCAAACTATGCAGCAGCAGCAAAAGCAGCAACAGCCCTGGCCAATAGATTTTCTGTTGGACTACACAAAGACACACACACTGTCACACATACATACAAACATACATGCACATATTCTTTCAATGTGTAAAAATAGAATATTGAACACAGCTAGTATAGTGATAGATAAATCTACTGCGTAAAGTGGGTCTTTCATATCTGTGTTTTTCCATTAACATCATTCACCTGCCTAAATCTGATAGAGATTTATACATCTTTTTTTCCACTTCTATACATTTTTCTATAAAACAGACATGGCTTAAATTAATTGATGATCAACAGGTGTAAAACACCCTTTTTTCCTTTGCACTTTTACAAAATCCATTTTTCACTTACAAAAAGAAGAAAAAAAAATTCCAGCAAATGAAATCAAACTGGTTGAAGGCTCTCTATTGTGTGACTGTATTATTTTTCGTGCTCAGAGAGAAAGGAACCATCAGAACCAGCAGGCACCCACCTGGGATGTTGTAATGTACAAATGATAGAATGATTAAATTAATTAACCACAGGGGACGTGTGAGAGTGATGGGTGACTGCTGCAGATGTGGCTCAAAAAAAAAAAAAAAACAAGAAGGGATTTTACATTCTGAAGCCCCACTTGAAACGTTTTTTTTTAATTTAGTGACTGTTTTCTGGTCTTAGTGCACAGTAGAAAGTACCCCTGAGTTCTAGGACAGGGTTGGTGCTTCCTCATTTTGAGCACCACTGGAGGGGGAGGGGTGGCTACACGCCCGGGGGGGTCTCTGCAGCTCTCTAGGGAATGGTGGGGACTATGGTCCTGGGCTAGCAGTGCTGTAGGATGTTTGAGCTGAAAAGAAGAAGTATCGGAGGATTATGGTGCGGTGGATAAGGCTCTGGTATACAATGTCATGGTCGTCCTTGGTCTCCCTCCCCGGCTGTACCCACATGTCCATATGCAATTGTACTTCTACAGCAGCTAGCATCTGTATCAGCAGGTTCTCAGGCCGAGGATTAGTCAGATTGCACGTTACCATTGATTCTATGTTGTTTGTACTTTCTCCTCCCTCTCTTTCCTACCTTGTAGGAAGTTCCTTCTCTGTATTTTATTTCCTTAAACTTCAGACAGATTGTTCTCTGCACTGCCTTCACCCATCCCTCCCCCTTTTTATTTCTATGCTGATTCACAAGGCTCCACACTTGCTTCCACAGGCTTGGTGACATTGCTGTTAAGTCACGACCTCCTCCTCCCCCCTCCCCCCCAAATAGCAGAAAGTAGCCGTGTTGAGGACGTTTAGACATTAATCGATGGGAATTTTGTCCTCTAGCTCTGGATGGCTGTCTTCAATAGGCTCTTCGCTCTTTCCCAGCTCTTGAAGCTGCTGCCGCCTCTGAACCTCTGCCTTCAAGTTCTCCAGATCCTTTTGGCTGCAAAGAAAACACCAGAAAAGTGTCAACTTCTTGTAGTTCAAATTAAGGGTTTAGTTTAGGCTTTATCATCTAAAGATAACCAGATACCCTGACAAAGGACCACAAAGTGTTTCCTAATTTTTCCCCCCAAAAAACACATAAAATAAAGCTCCTTTCTGACTTTACCTGAGTGGTATAAAGATGATGCCGTTGATGATGTTGAGCTGCTCCAAAACACTGGCCATGCTGGGAGCAGTGAACTAGAAAACAGGAGGGAAAAAAAACATAGCATCACTTCTAGGTGGTGGAAATGAAGCAAACAAACAACTTCACAGCTTACTGCAGTCACCTTGAGGGGCATGATGCTAGCGTTGGATCCGTTCTTGTAGATCTCATTCATGGTTCTTTGCAGAGCTACGGCTTGCTGGGTGAGGTACTTCAGATATTCTGAACTCTCCTTGGTTTTCTCGTGTGCCTCACCCATCTGAATAAAAGAAATATAAGCATTAGAAGATATCAAACATATCGGAGTCAATACAGATAGGGGTTTCAGCTGCTACTGACGGTCCCAAATACAAGGCTGAAGCTCAGAGGGGACAGAGCGTTTGCTGCTGCTGCCCCGAAGCTCTGGAATGAGTTGCCCTTGAAAATCAGACAGGCCTCCTCATTTCCTGTTTTTAAATCCCTTTTAAAAACACACTTTTACTCCTTGGCTTTTGATACTTAGTGTTATTTATCATCTTAGCACTTGCCGTGAGCCTGCTTATTTATTTACTTATTTATTCCTTTGCATTAATGTATTTCTGCTCGCTTTATCTTGTTCTTTGTGTTATTTGTTTTTATGTGTCATTGTACAGCACTTTGGCTACCCTTGTGGTTATTTTAAATGTGCTATAGAAATAAAGTTGATTGATTGATTGATTGAGTGTTACCTGGTTCTTGTAAATGGTGTAGCCCTCTTTCTCGTGCTGGAGTGCAGAGCGGAACTCAGCCTTGCTCTCGTAAACCCTCGCCACCAAATGATGACTGGAAAAATATTACATACGTGATTTAAGTCCGCATGTTAGTCGGCGTGACACTTATTTTGTGCATACAGAAGAGGACTTTCTCCTTACCTGAGGGCTACTTTGAGAGACCGAGGTCCGTGGTACTTAGTGTTGATGGTCAGGGCGTTCTCGAGGAATCTCAGTGATAGATCGTACTCCATCACTCCATGCAGCACCAGCCCGATGTTACTCTGCAGAAACAAGAGCACACATAATGGTCATTTATGGTGTATATTTTCCTTTAGGAGGTTTAAATTTTTCTAAACACAAAGAACATTGATGCTCAGTGTGGATACTCACATCCAGCAACGCCATCTCTGGGTGGTCTTCGCCACAAACCATTAACAAGAGGTAGCGTGCACGATACAGCAGCTTGAGGGCGGTGGACAGCTGACCATTAGCAAAGCAGTACAAAGCCAAGTGCATCTGAGAAATAGGAGAACAAACAGGAAACAAGCGTTTAGGTAAGAGGGATTTTAAACATACTGAGTATAAATACTGCCCTTTGTTTGGCACAATAACCTACATATTCTTGGATTGTGTTTGGGTGCTCGATGCCAAGCACCCGTTCGCTCATCAGAACAGCCTTCTGCTGGTTGCTAAGAGCCTGTGGGCACAAAGAAAATGTAATTTAGTGAAATCCAGAATGCCTGAAGTTGCTGACATAGTCAAAGGTGTCATATTTGCCTACCTCAGGGTGGTCTCCCATGATGTAATTAAGCCGTGCAAGCAGACGCAGGCAGGCACAGATCTCAACATGCATGGCTCCGTACACATTGTTGAAAAGGTTAAGAGCCTCGTTGATTAGCTCGCAACCCTCCTTCAGAAAACCTGGGGGAAAAAGGAGGAGAAGAGTGAGTGAATTTGTCTAATCTAGATTTCTCTAAGAAGTTAGTGTCCTTCAAAAGTGTCCTTCACCTTGCTGCACTTTGGCCTGCCCACTCTGGAAGAAGTGGAAGGCATCTGAGGCTTTGGGGTTAACATGCTTCACGACAGGGAAAATATTCAGGATGTCTTCCTCTGTGAAGGCAGGCTTATGGCGACTGTCAAAGTTATACTCCTTGATCAGAATCTGGAAGGCGTTAAAAAAAATGAAGGAAACGTTATTATGCTGTTGGGTTTTTCAGAGAGGAATCAAGGCTGGATGTTAAAAGTGTTACCTGGATGCCCGTTTTGACGGAAATTTCTCTGAGCAGAGTGATTTTCTGGAGGCCATACTTCTCCACCACCTGGTCCACACTTTCACTACAAACAGAAACATTTCACCTGTAATTATGCTGATGTTAAAAGGAGGCTTTAACATCTGTGCCGCAGCCTGAGTCCTCACCACTGGATAGTGAAGTAATAGTAGCTCTGGGCCTCAGAGCTGATGTTCTTCCACAGCTCGCTGGGCGTCAGGCTGGCCCACGCCGTGTTGTCGCCCCCGCCGGGGACCCTGTTGCGTCGCTTGCGGCTTTTGCGGCGTGACACCAGCTCATCGGGAGGCAGATGGGCGACCGCATCGGGGAAGGAGCTCAGGAAGCAGTTGAGGAAATGGCTTACGGCAGCAGAGAGGGCAGACAACTCCACACCCTGAAAATGTTATAGGATTGGAAATATTCATCAAAATAGATTAAGGTTTGTCCTTCAAAAGAGGCCAGATGAAGCATGAACGTTGAATCATACCAACCTGGAGATATGTCTTGAAGATATGTTTTGCACATCTGGTGATCAGCTCACTAATTCCTATTCTCTGTAGGATGTAAAAATAACATTAGAATAAGAAGAAAAGAAACTCGAGGTATGGGACAGCATTTGTCAGCTCCAGAAGCTACTCAGACTCACAAAGAAGTGCTCCAGCTGGGCTTTAGCAGGAGTTTTATCCAAAAAGTCCAGAACTGTGCCCAAATAGCGGACATTGATACCCCTCTGGTGCAAGGCCTCTGTCAGCGTGGCTCCATCCATGGGCACAGCACTGTGGTCCAAACAGTCTTTAACCTGGTTCATCAACAACCACACACACACAGACACACACATAAATGACTTAAACCTCAGACGCAGATCCAGGTCACGCAGAGGTTGAATTTTCTGGTTGAGTGAGTATCTGTGTCACTGACCAGTGATGGGATCTGACAGGAAACCAGGAAGGCTGCAGCGTCTTTAAGAAGCTGTTTCTGCTTCTGTACATCATCTGTGCTGTCAAGTGGGAAACGTACTCCTGATTCGAAAACACACATGGACACAAACAGTCAACCTCTTCCTCTAATTATCTCTCCTTCTCTCTGACCTCAGAGTCAAATGCACAAAAAAATGACAACAAACAAGACTGATATTTGATATATATATATTCTGTTATTTGGCGGCTCTCCAACTTAAAAATGGCAGAAAGATTAATCATCCGCTTGGTGAGACACTACAGTTCTATGATGCACCACAGGCTCATAGTTTCTGACAATTTCTACCAATTATCATATTTTTTTTATTCTCGTCTCTCATATCAGTCTATGTTTGTGAAAATATCTCCATGGACATATTGATTGTCTTCTGATTTCAACCTTTCAATTTACAAATTAAACATATTTTTTCAGCGTATTACCGGCCAAAATAAACTACAGAAATAAGAAATGATAAAACGGTTTCATATTTTTTTAATGTGTGCAGCTTTTAGTTTTGTCCTAGAATAGATGATAAGAATCCAAATACCTCTCAGTACATGTAATAATATCATAATGCTGGTTTGTTTCTTTTTGATACTACATGGCTAATTTCTTTGTCATAAATGTGTGTACACCGTTGATGGTTTTAAATCTATTATTTAGAGGTTTTCCATTTATCTGCCTTGTAAGACTGATATGCTTACCTGGGGAGAAGATGTCAGGGTTGAAGCGAATGTCAAAAGATGTGTTGCTGATGGAGCCGACTGCCTTGCACGCGTTGAGGACCACCTCACGGCTCTTGGGGTCTGTTGTCGATTAGGATCACATCAGAGAAAAAGATGAGAAATCATTTACAACGCCAAAGATGGACACATTATATCAATATATCTCAAATGTGACAGCTTAGGCCGTGTCCACATGAAGTCAGTGTTACAATGTCGTACGAGTCAAAAGGATCATTACATAGATAATGAAGCTGATAACGGATTTGTCAAAAATTTGTTTTAACTTCTTGTGGACACGGCCCTGGGCTGCCACCCACCACCACTTCAAACATGTTGATTAACTTAAAAAAAACACACATATCAGGGTCAGTACATTTGACAAGCAGGCTGCTGTGATTGGGTGTCACACAGATCACTGATTATTTTGGCATTCCAGATCACATTCGGATTAATGGGTCAAATCTCAGGCTTGGGAGAGTGAGGTGGGATGATTGGGGACCAAAACGTGTCCCCTCTGCAGGCTGAGGACAGCAGGAACAACTAGTCTGGTGGACGGATGCTGAAGCTGCTTTGAAGCTCTACCTGATCTTTAGCCGCTCGAATAGGAGTCGCTGCTTTTTAAAAATATCTGAATGTAAAATAATCCACCAGAGTAGCTCTCCCTGCATCGTCTTGGCCTCATTTGTTTTTTGGACATACCAATACAAGATCCATCTTCGGCAACTAAGGTCTCCGCCAGCTCTTTGGCTTGAGCTAATCCTGGAATACTTTCCTCAAGCTCCTTACCCTCCAGTGGGCTCTTGCATTCCCCGTTCTGGGTGGTTGTGAGCTCTAGAGGCCCGTTTGTGGTGGGCTTTGGGGAGCTTTCTTCACCATCCGTTGCCGTCTGTGGGGCAGCAGAGGTGCTGTTGTCAGGCGTGCTTGTGCTGTCAGTAGACGCGTCTGTCGCACTGAGAGAGTCTGATGAGGCTGTCTGTGTCTGAGTTGTGTCAGGTTTGTTTTCTGAGGGGGTCTCGGAGGTTTCTGTGATGGCAGGTGTGTCAGATTTAGTGTCTTTGTTTGCTTTTTGCTGCATGAGCTGTAATGCTGCCATCTTCATGAAGAGAAGATATCTGAAGAGAAACCAGAGACACTGTCAAACACCTGCAGGTTGGAACAAAATGTGATGACACACAGTACCACTGACACACACCTGTGCTCGACAAAGGCCTCTATAAGCTCCTGGCGTAGACAGGCCAGGCGATGGCGGTGCTGGCGGGGGAAACCCTGGCGCTGGCTCTCTGGAGGCAGCACCTCTCCATCCACAGGCAGGAAGTTAAGATCAGGGGGGAAGGTACGAAGGAGGTCCAGGATGTAGTGGCGGCCATCATTTCCGATGATGCCTTTACACTCGACAGAAGAGCACAGCTCTACTGTGTCATTCTTCTCATTCAGTACACTGTGCCTCTGGACCTGAAATTCAGCACAGCATATTGCACAATAAACTCGGTGGACTATAAAAGAATCACTTCAAAAGGTTGAGACATTCGTGTTACTGACCTTGAGTGGCCTGCTCGTCTTCTCCAGCAGCTCGAGATATTTGTTGTGGGACACCACCGTCTTCCCGAAGTCAATGGAGCCGTAGATAACGCTTTGCTCCTGCTCACGCTCCAAGATCCCAGGGATGATGGACTGAGCAGTGACCCTGTACCCTCTATAATCCACCACTACAGTCCCTAAAGTGTACAGACCCTCCACGTCCACAGCCCCATAAGCTCGTACGCCATTCAAGTCATTGGTGGGCGCTGCGTGGGCGGCGGCATCTCCGCCCAGCTCCCGATAGTGGTCCCGCACATCGAAGCCAAGGCTGAAGAAGATGTTGTTCCAGATGAACATCTGCATTCGTGTTTCTTCTCCGGGGTTGATGGCCATCACATTCCCGTCTATGACTGCCATGGCGCCTCGAGTGGCAGCTGCTGCAAAGTCACTGTGGACCTACAGGAGGAAAACACATATTTAGTAATTCAGAGGAAGGAGAAACTGTTCGATATAGACAAAATCTACATATCTACATAAGACATAAGCATCACATGATTAACTAGTGGAATGAGTCAGCAGTTTTGGTAATTCACAGTCATGTGGTCTCCTTTGCTAAATGTGAAGACAGATTATTTGCTTGAGGGGTGATTTGAAGTAATTTGTTCCTCCTGACACACATCCACACACCGCTGACTCATGCAGTACCTTAAATATGGCTCTTTCTCTCAGCAGGCGTTCAGGCAGATTCTTCCTGGGCAGCTCTCTGGTGGTTTGCAGCTCCTCGTTCCAATCCCTGGTCTGAAATCAACATTAACAAACATATTGATACTTGACAGACAACACTTCTCCAATTACTCCTATGTTCACTTGTACTACCTGTCCAGGTATGTGCTCCTCATAACCTAAGCGAGAGGTGTAGGCATCCTCGGCTCGGACACAGTCCATGGCGTGGTCTACCTGCGGAGCTGTCCAGCTGTACACCTGGAAGGGTGTGGCTATCCTCTCAAACGGGTGTCTCTGGACCCTGAATCAAAAGTTAAATTTAGAGTTAGTGATTTAATGAAACAAAAATACAAAGGATTAAATGAAGAAAAGCTTTTTACAGTGCAGACAGAGGAGAGGAAAGTTTCTGTTATGACATAGTGGATCAGTACTGACTGATTCAGGAAAGTCACCTTTTCTTTTGCAGGGCAGTGAAGTTCTTCTTAAAGGCAGGGCTGATCTGGCTCAGCAGCTCCACCAGAGAATGGCTCAGGAAGCTCGGGTTGGCTGGCTTAGGGTTGAAGGTGTAGGTAGTGGATCTGGGATTTACACACATACAGATCAGCACACTTTCACATTGCGATGGCTTGTTTTAAGGATTAATTTGGGCTGTTCATTCTAAAAAGTCTGGAGAGAAACCGTTTATCCTGGGGAGCAGTGTGATAAAAATCAAAAACACTAAATCAGTGAACTTTTGGTGGCTTTTAGAGAACCGTCAGATGAAGAGACATTATCCTGCTCTAAAAATCTGCATTTTTTAAATTGTAATCTCATGTTATCCAACTACACAAATCTTTAATTAGAGGGTTAAGTCTTTGCTGGCATCCAAACTGATCCAAAATTAGGATCTTGACACCATTAGCAGACCTTCTGCTCGCACCTGCATCTCCTTAAGTGCTTCACCTACAGTTGTACATTTCATGACAGTAGAAACACAAACAGCTATATTCAATTTTGCATATACAACGTATAAACAGAGTATAAAAAACATAGGGCAGCAAAGCTGAACTGTTTACTGACTGGTTGAGGTAGAAGCCGCGTGTTGAGGCAGTGACGCTGACGTGGCGCTCCTCTACAGTCACAATGTACAGGTACATGAGGTCACCGTGCATCTTCCTGTTTCCAGGAGGAGGGTTCCAGCCACTCATGGTCAGGACTTTCAGGCACTGCATGGGCTGTTGGGAATTACATATAAGCCGAGTCAAATAGTTAAAAAGAGATTAATTAGATTTTGTGTTTTGTTTTGCAAGCACTTTTTCTTTGTCAATTTTCCTTTCTGCAGAAAATTTCCTCAAACTGAGTCTCCATTTCTTCTCACCTTCCAGTCCTTGTTCTGTGGCTGGAGGGGCACCAGGGGGCGCTCTTTGCTGCCCGGCAGGATGTGTTCAGGGGGGGTACAGTCAATCTGCTCCAGCTCGTTGCCCTTCTTCTTCCGCTTTCCGCTATCTGCAGTTAACATCAAAACAAGCAAGGTGAGAAGACCATCAGACCATCTGCATGTGCAAACTTTAATGCATGACAAAAACTGCACATTCAAATAAATATACCCCTCAGTTATGTTCAACAACAATGACATACCTCCGAGGTCTCCATCAGTGAAGATGCTGAGAAAAGAGAGCGAGTTGCAGTCCACCCCATTGTAGGCATCTGACGGATCCAGACTCTTCAGCAGGTCTCTGATGTGGCGCACGTGAATGCGGGCCTCTCGCACTGTGTACGGCTCTGAGGGAAGAGGAGACAAGATAAACACGGCGCGTATAAATAGAAGAAGGGAGTGGTTTGACAAGTAACAGATCAAGATGAGCAAACTTTACAGTTTGGCTTTCGCCTGCAGCTACATGAAACTCCCTAGGCTGGATGATACAGCAGGCTGAGGGTAAATAATTACAGCTCAAATATCTTTATTTCTATCCACACATCCTGGCCTTTACAACCTCTGTGGCCAGGATGTTGACAAATGTTGATCTGGATTGAAAAAGTCTATTTCTATCTCACTCTATTAGGATTTATTTGTTTTCACCCGCATAGCCGAGCATATTGTTATTGCATACTGATAAAACAGTTGTCAAATACATCAGAGATTATACAGTGACAGTTTGTAGTTGTATGTCAACCCTGTGGGATACTTAATGTACAACCATCTCTGCAATAATAAGTACAACACCGGTTAATCCAGCCTTCCTGTCTTGCAGTGTAGACACAGACTGTGGTGAAAACTGCTGAGTAATGATCAGCTGTGTAGCGAAAGGACACACTGTGAAAGAAAAGCGTCCTGCTCTGACCTTCTACCACTTTGAGCAGCGAGCCCTCCTGCAGGCCCTCGATAGACTTCAGCTCGGCAAAGTTGTCCAGCACGTTTCCATCCAGCTGCAGGGAGAAGCAGGTGCGGTGGCAGGTATCTTCACGGTCCATCAACACCTGGTGGATCTCCTGGACCATTTCCTGAGGAGACACCTGAGGAGGCAAATAAAACTATGATTTAGTGCAGCTTGGTACATCTGACTAGTGTATTTTCTTATTTGAAAACATTGCTGACATATTTTTCAGGCTCGGGCTAAAAAAATATGTAAACAACCGGCTGTTCAGACCAAAAAAGGCCTTAACCAGCACTGGTTACATCTTGTGGTCCAGTTAGGCTGGTTTGGGTATGAAATCTAGAGGCCTGAGAGCTCACATGACGCTGAAACACTGAGGAGCAGTTCTCTAATGTTCAGGAAGAATTCCTCATTTTTAAAAAGCGTAACTGAATCTTTCTCCTTGCAGGTAACCAGCAGAATTACACCAGATATCTGAATTCTTCCGTGAGTCCAAACGCATCTATTTCATGTTTGAACATGTATGTGCAGTCCTACCTGCAGGTCAAACGGCTCTGTCCCCGGTGCCTGGATCTTGACAGTGAAGCCCGTGTCCTGGATCACTATCACCTCCTGTTCGTTGGACTCCTCTCCTCCATCGGCTTCACCGTTCCCGTCCTGCTTTGAATCCGCCTCGTCTGTGTGCCCGTGTGCGCCGTCACCATTCACCATGGCTGTATCTGCACTGTGCCCTGCAATTTGGAGGAAATCAGTATGACTTAAAAACAAAAGCAAAAAAAGGCCACACTTTCAGACGTGTTGTTTTCAAACATCTCTGTGTATTGCAGTTCCTCCGCTGTGGTTAGTCAATAATCTCTCGATCTTATCAGGAGGAAACGACACGATCAGACCGTCAGCTGTGAAAATTGAAACTTTTCTTCCACATGAAAAAACTGCGATGCTGCCGGGCAGCGCGACTACAAACACAGTACACAAACCCATGGCTGGATGACCTCACCAGTAACCTCCTGAAATATTTATGAGAAAGTGAACAGAGCCAACAAAGCTTGGGTACAGCATGCTGCTGTCAAGGACATTTCATCCAAACTTGAATGAACAACACACAAACAACAACACGTAGATTCACAGATCCAGATTTTCATCAATCATCAACGGTACAAGAAGTGAAATCACTTTTAAACCGTTTCAAATACAACACGCAGATATTTTGAAATTAAACTTTTTGTTCAGCTGATCCACTGAGAAAGTATTTCCAACTCTGACCTGTTGAAACCGACACTGTTGAAATACTGGAGGGAGTTAAAGCAGGAAGTCTTGAGGGATTTCAGTATCACAAGAGGGATTTATTGGTCACTTCAACAGCTGATTGTGGCAAATATAAGCCCTGTGAATTATCCCTGTAGCTGCCCTTAATCTGGCAGACAATCTTTCAATCTGAAAGTTACTCATTCATAAAATAAGAACAATTTGGAAATTCTGAGCTACAAAGCAGCTGAGCTTATAAATATACCATGCATGAACTTCATGCCTCGCTCTTTAAGGTGAGAGGAAAACGTTGAGAATATAAATGAAGCTCTCCGTCAAGAGGGAGCAGAGCTGAGTCGGTGGATGTCGGACACCTGTTTTCTCTCGCTGGGACTTGTTCGCTGCCAGCAGTGTGTCCTTGCTCACTGTCAAGGGTAAACAACGTCAGGGTCACTGAAGAGACAGGGGCAAAGGGAGGGGCGGGGCCTCATAACTGGACCCCGCTCCAGAGGGTGAGAGCTGAAATGGTGGAGGAGGAGCAGAGGGAAGGGGGAAAAAGGGAGAGAGAGGCAGCTTGCCAAACTTCAAACAACAAACACGACTGCTCGGAGCAGAAAAGGGAGTTAATGATGTAACTTAATAGAGGAGGAGAGTGGGGGCTGGGTGTTGTGGAGGTACTCTCCACGGGCACTGAAAACAAATGATCCGATCTGAACAAAATCTTAAAAGGTAACTTCAACAAATCTATTTTTTGAAGCTGCAAAAACTAAAATAAGGATTAATTTTTAACCTGTTGTTTTCAGCATGATGAATTTTCAGACAGAGACTGACTTTCTTTAAGGTGAACACCCCCCACCCACCGACTGGCTGCAGTCAGAGTGATTAAGCCTGTCTCAAATATCTTAAAAAGATGCCATATGGGATCAACTGCACAACTAAAATACACAACAAAGATTTATTCCTCAAACACTGTTTCTCTCAAAATGCTGATTTATGTCTGAATGTTCATTATCCAGAGATTTTTTTAACATCAAAATGAAGCTCCTGTGCTGCTGCTGCTGTGTTATCTGGATAAGCAGAGTAGAGGACAACAGAGATGTAATCGTGAGTGTCTGCTTCTAACCAACACAAAATACTGCACTGCTGCTGAGGGATCTGTTTCCTCTTAAATGTAGATTTGTATATTTGATTAATTAGAGGGGTGGGGCATAAAGAGGACGGCTGCACCAGTAGATCTGAGCTGCACAGACCCTGGCTCCACATGCACAATGTCACCATGGATCACTGGGGTAATCTGATTTTGGTTTTGTACAATGGTGGGAGGTGGAGACATATGGTCTATCTTTATACATAATCAATAAATTCTTGTAATAGCTATTTCTTATGCAACAACACACACCTCACCACCAGTGTGCAGTGTGGGTCTGCTGAGAATTAAGAGTTTAGCAGGTTTTAGATCTTTTACTCTGCACCTGTTGTCTGCTGCAGCTGCTGCTCACAACAAGGCTACATGGCTGTGAATCAAAACCGTATATTTACACATCAAACACCTACACAATCAGCTACAACTGACAATAGAGCGCCATAAAAATTGAAGCTATTGGTTCAGGGTTTTTTTTTTATAAATGATTCACCAATCTCTTGAAATCAGCTGCATTGTTATAAAATAAAGACCAGAGCCACATTTTTAGCTGACACAACTGTCATGTGTCAGCAGTTTTTGGGGACTGGCTTCACTGGCGATATTGTCTAACTCTAAAACCATCTGAACAAACTGGTTCTGTTAAAAAAAAAAGGGACAAAGTTGGAAAGAAGGGTTTCAGGGAGAATATTAAATGAGTTTTGTTTTTTCATCTTTGGTTTGAGGCATTCACCGCACTGTCAAAGTAACTGAGCAAAGTGCAAGAAGCACTTTGATTGATGAGGTAACTAGACACCCGTGTTGCAAAACTGACCCAGTTTGCCAAAAGTAATGAAAGAAAGTTCATCACCAAGGGGGAGAGAAGGAAACGGTCAGACAATAGAAGGAACTTTTCTGTGTCTGTTTTCTTGATCTTCTGGAAATCAAGAAATAAAGCTGAACATCGTGATGCCTTTGTGTTTAAAGGAAGGAAAACTGTTTTGGTAACTTTGGTAACTTTTGGAACTTTGGTATGAGCTGAAGGTTTGATAGGTTCTGTTCAGATGCAGGATTGTCAAAAATGACTAATACACAATATAAACTTTGGATTACAAATAAACTATTGAAACAGTTCACATGTGTTTTATAAAATTTGCTTTAAAACTTTACATAACATATTAATCCCACAATATATCATGAATCAGTTAAACTGAATTCATGTCTTGCCTTTTCTTCACTTTAATTTCAAACGATTTATCCTATTTAGTACTCCTTCCACACTGAATCATAATGAAATTATAACTCACTCAAAACCAAAAGTGTAACTCATTTTTTCTGACTTTTAAATTATATGCAAGACTTCACCACCAACATTCAATGTAAAGGTAAAGAATAAAAATACAAGGAATTCACAAAACCTGCGAAACAACGCAGCGAGCTGAGTTTACACAGTCACGGCCTCATTTCTCCTCTGATTGAACATTTCTTTGATTCAGTCTGCGCATCACGATCATTCTCACGATGGGCGCTCAGATGGTGGGATACTTAGAAATAAGCCTCCCCTCAGCTCATTAGCCTGACCCACTTCTCCTGAAAACAAAGCAATAAATCCAACAGCTAGCTATCTAGCCACTCCACAGCCCTTGACACAGGCTGACCTCGGCTGTTGTCATGGCAATATCAACCAACAAGACGACCCTGAGAAACAACAACAACAACAACAACAGCAGCAGCAGCAGCAGCAGCACAAGGACTGGCTACGAGCTGGTTTGCTGCCCCATTAGGAGGAAACCTCCTGGTGGATAAACAGCAGTCATGCTTCTGTGGTGGAATTCCACCACAAATTCGGATGAATACAAACTCTTTAGACTGTGGAATCAGATCATCTATTACTCACGTCAAGAACATTCAAGGCCATCCAAAGGCGATCTTATTGTGCATTTTGGTGGGAAACTGTAGAGTTGAAGCCAATTATTGACAAGTAGAAAATTCATGAGAAACCATTTTTTTTATAAACAGCATATTCTCATGTGAAGCCTTACAGATTCATAATAATGCACAATATAAGTTAAACATCATATCATTGTGGCCCACAAACTTGTGATGAACATACCATAGCAGTTTGAACATATTTTTTTACCACAGATGACCAAAGTTGAAGACGAGTCAAGAAATGATCATAAACAAAACATGAGAAAACGTTCTGTTACTCTACACTGATGTGTTTGAATTTAATACTTTTATGGAGGCCAGAAGATAATAAAAAGTTATGAACTTGACAAAAGAAGAAGGTGTCTGAAAAGATTGTCTTCAAACACAATTTGGAATATTTTAACATCAGAAATAAAAACATTAAAAAGGACCCCAAAGCCTTCAATATCAAAACAAAACTATGGCTCAATCAAAGACAAATCTGTGAACACTAACTTACATATATGCACATTATGGCATGTATGTGTGTCTATGTGTATGTATGTCTCTGGATTTTTGTGCATAGAAGAAACTGCTTGTTTTGTCTGATTCCTTGTTTTTGTGCAGACATATGATTGCCTGTCTGCACCGGCTATTATGTTAGTGGTTTATGTATTATGCGCTGTATTTCCCGCTGTCTAAGGAACAAGGACCGCAAATTAGCCATGGCTAGAGGTCCTGCATACACAGCATTGGTTGCTCTTTAATTAGATGCAACAATGTCTGATGTACTGTCCCTGTCAAATAAACAAATTAAAAAAAAAAAAAAAACACTCAACATTGCAAATAAGGGCAAAAATGTAATTTACGACAGTGACAAGCGAATGAATACAGCATCCTTGAATCTTAGTTGTGAGGAGAGTCAAGGGAGGAGTAGTGTCACGGTGTCTGGTGTTTCCTTGGATTAACCGGGTCACCGTTCACCATGGGAGAGCCTTAAGCCCCTTAAAGGCCCTCCCAGAGACCATCACCTCCTCCATCTATCCTGCCATGTGTTACTTGTGTATTTAGGGCTGGGCGATATGGGAAAAAGTTCATCATGATATTATTTTTCATATCAGTCAATATTGTTTGTAGCCTTTAGCATTGAGCGTGCACTAACACATGGCACTGCTTCAGGTGGTGAAAAAGATTTGAGGTATTCCCTGACTTTGCTAGAACATGTACTCGACATTGTTTGCAGTGCACATTACTCTGCTTCATGTCCAGCCTCAAAAACACAAAATACCTCCACACCACCGAAGTTTTCATGCCAGTGAGTGTTGCCAACGATGTCATCATCTGTTTAGCCTTTATCTGCATTTCTGCCAGGGGTAGCACTCTTTTTCTTTTATTCTTACTGACAGTGCTGTCGGCTTCACGTGTTAAAGTGCTATAGTTGCATGTAGCTGCAGCCTGCTACTTCGCAGTTGTTTGCTACTTGGTTCTAATTTGGCACGAGTGGTCCAGCGCGCAGCGGACTCGAAGCAACTCCCCTTTTCATTGGATATTCATACACTCTATCGTGGCAGAATGCCGATTATCCAAAAGCAAATTGAACAAGTTTTATATTGATATCCAGGGAGATTAATTTTTAATATATACTATTATCGTTTTATCGCCCAGCCCTCTGTGTATCCTAATGACACAATACAATGACAGTCCATAGTTACCATTCAAATCAGACAATTAAGTCATTATTCTTTCCCCAGTCTCTTACACAAGATTTTAGCAGGATGCTGCTTAATAGTTTAGGGTTTATTTTAATAAGGGGTAGGACAAATTATGTATACAATAATTTATTTTTCTTGTGGAAAACTGTTGCTCCAACACTCAATATTAATCCTGCACTTTGCAAGACATTTTTCATTCTTCTTGGTCAGATAATATGAAAGATAAGTTATTTAAAACACTTAATGTATGTTTAATAATATTTACAGCAAGGACCTCTGTTGCTCTGATCAAAGTTGTGTAACGTGAACTTTACCGGCGAACAGTTCATTTATCAGTTTAATCTGCCTTTACCGACAGCACTCTGCTACTGTTTAGCTGCAAACGACCCACACTTCCCTCATCGGACAGTAGACTCACCTGCTCACTCGTCTGCTCATGTGTTATTAGCGTAACCTTCCCCAATGTGCTGCTGCACACTATCAGGACTTTTTCTACTGCTGCTGCTAACTTCCGCTTCCCGGTCGAGGAGGGACACCCGATGTAATCCTCCGCGACGGGGGGGAGGAGGAGGAAGGGGTGATTAAGTAGGACTGACTGCCTGGCATAGTATGCAGCTGACATCTTTGAAAATACATTTGTACAACCTTAAAACAACTCAGCACATCCTCTACAAATCGTGAATAGCTCAAAAGTGTTGTTTAATACAGTCATGTGTAAGTGAGCCCCCCCGTGTTTGAGTGGACAGTGCGCAGCTCCACTGAAGGTGACCTTCAGTTCATTTCTGTTACAGAACATGTGCGTCAGTCTCAGTTAGCTGCTGCAACATTACCCTGCTGCTGCACTGTGTCAACTCAATAACTCAAGTGCTTTCAAATCGAGATAGTTTTTACACCAAAAACATCTTGTTAACTACACATGCCCCCTCTTCTTTCCGGACACGAAACGACCTGTCGTCAAGTGACAGGAGCTGTTGCGCGCTAGTTAGCCGGTTAGCCGGTATGCTAACTAGCTGCAGACTCAATGGGGAGGCTAATGTGAGCGCACCGGCGGCTAACCTGTGAGGGGTTTGACTTCTTTGCATGCAGGGAGAGTGTCAGGTGGGGCCACAGGCTGGTGGCTACGTCTAATAGGTGAAGGATGTAGTGCGAAGGTTGTTAGCACGCTACTTAGCATTTATGACATATACAAGAGGCGACCAAGGAGATGGTTTGGAGGAGGGGTGAACTCCACAGACCACCACCTTGGGTCCGAGGACTTTGATGTCACATATGGAGGTACATTAGATAGGTGCAACAAGCCAGATAAAGCAGTGATGCTGGCCACAGGAGTCTGTCTAGACACTGGATGAGCAAATAAAGGTGTAATCGTGGTGTTTAAGAGTGTTATGTGACATAAAGACATGATTTAGTCTGTTCTGCAAAGTCTCACCACAGCCACACGTCTCCTTCAGGTGCGTCTTGCTGCTCTCCTTGCTGTCCTGGGCTCCATCTCCGGCTTCATCCGCAAGATCAACCGGATTACAGTCGGGCACTGACGCCGGTATGTCATCTGTCTTGCTCACCATGGTCGGCAGTCAGTGTGGCAGCAGAAAAAAGCTCAAATCCCGGCTGCAGCCTTGCGCGAGTTTGTGAGTCTTTGTAAGAAATAGAAAAAACAAATCTGCTTCTCCGGCTAACCCAGGCTAGCTGGCTACATGCGAAGGGTACAAGCTTACAAAAACAAGTCTACCGAGGAAGGACAGTGCTGTTCATGGTGCTGCTGCGCACACGTGGTTTTTCCAAATCCCTCCTCTTGACCTCTTTGCCTTTGCGTTGCGCTGGGTTGTGCTCACCTACCAAGCGTGGCGCTACGGAAAGCCACATGCACCAAATCATTTTTCACAAATCCTGACTTTTTTTTGCTTACTGTGGCAAAGTGAACATGTTACTGCAAGATAAAATGCCAGAATCGAGTGTGCGGCTGGAAATGATGGACCTCTGTACCGATAAAAGCACTCAGAAGGATCTCATAGATGTGATGTGCAAGTTTAACCTACATGTCATTGTCAACAGCTCCCTTCTGTCACACTGTAACATGAGCAGGGGTCTGTAAAATGGACAACACAATATAAAAATGGGATTCATTTTGTGCTGTTATGTTGACAACAGTGGTGCATAATTTTAATGTTAAAAATCTTAAAGTACAATCACAAAATACTCACCATAAAGTCTCCCAAAGAAGAATTTTTTTTTAAAAAGTATACTTTTCTGTCTCGGAAGTGCCCTAATTCCTCCAAAAACAACTCAAAATAATTGTGTAGCAGGAGAACTAATGGGACACTGGACGCTGTAGAGAAAGTCTCAGGATGAATTTCATTGCAAGAATGGTGGCCATGATTAGGTTAAATTAGTTTGCCGAAAGATGTCCTTTCTCAAAAATGTAGTCCCCCTGTTGTTCCATTCTATTTTTATTGAAAGAAAAGTGAAGATAATTGCAACCAACTCCACCACAGAGTGGCGACTTGGGCTGAAACCAGGAAGAAACTTGATGAGATGCAGACAGTAGAGGTCTTTTGGAAGGTCGTAGCAGCTGTTCAAAAAACAAAGAGAGTAGAAAATAAGTCTGATCTGTTTTTTGTTTATTATCCAAAGCAGGATACATATCTGTACTTTTAATTGGTTGGTTCATAAAAGCTTATCAATATAGCTTAACTAAATTTTAGCAAAATGAATTTGAAGCTTTTAACCTCTTACATATGACACACAATTTGAATCTGTGCTGTTGGGCTTCATTTTGTGCCATTATGTTGACTACAGTGGTGCATAATTTTCATGTTGAAAATCTCTCATACAATAACAAAATTCTCACCATTAAGTCTCCCAGATAAGAATTGTTTTAAAAAGTATACTTTTTCTGTCTTCTAAGTGCCCTAATTCCTCCAAAAGCAACTCAAAATAACTGTGTAGCAGCAGAACTGATGGGACAGGGCTGCCGAGAAAGTCTCAGGGTGAATTTTATTGCAAGGTTGAGTTATTTTGCCTAAAGACTTTCTTTCTCAAAAATGTAGTCCCCCTGTTGTTCCATTCTATTTTTATTGTAAGACAAGTGAAAATAATTGCAATCAACTCCGCCACAGAGGGGAGACTTGGGCTAAAACCAGGAAGAAACTTGATGAGATGCAGACAGTAGAGGTCTTTTGGAAGGTCATAGCAGCTCTTCAGAAAACAGATAGAGTAGAAAATAAGTCTGGACTGTTTTTTTGTTTTTCCAAAGCAGGATACATATCTTCACTTTCAATTGGTTGAGTCATAAAAGCTTGTCAATATAGCTTAACTAAATTTTAGCAAAATGAATTTGAAGCTTTTAACCTCTTACATATGACACACTATTTGAATCTGTGCTGTTGGGTTTATGGGGTAAAAAAAAAAAATCCACCACTTGAATTTTAGGTTTCTCATTTATGACCTTTGAATTCATCTTCGGTTTAATTCAAAATCCTCTTTAACTCTCAGGCATTAATAACAAGCGGCACACAACCCATTATTTTATTCCAAGTATGTGTACAGTTGATCACTATAGGAAGCTTACACAGTATATGCGGTTATCAGTCAATAGCTTTTGCTCATCAAAGTGTACAACAACCCGGAGCAATTCGCTCCAGCTACCACACAGCATTATTGCTAGAGACAACATGTCGATTAAGATGCTTCATGGTGCCACATACAGTCCATTAAAATGTCTTTACGATGCAAAATGAACGTTATTGACCTCGGCAATGACTGACCACAAGAAAGAGACCTGCTGTTGTTGTTGTAGTTATTATGGGTATTTGGGTTATTATGTAGGCATTAAAGAAGATGGAAGACATTCTCTGTGGGCGTGGGAAAAATGAGTAATACAAGATTTACTGTGGTATGCCCTGAAATGTAGAAAAGCTAATCAGGATTCACTCTTTCAAGCTGAAATATTAATCAAAAGACATCTTCAATAAGGCACCACGCCATTCATTCGTATGTGAATTTCAGTGGTGGGCCTCTTTGGCTCATTAATGTTCTCTCTCCAAAACATCAAGCAGGCAAACACATCTCTGAAGAGTCATACAAGGTTGCATACAGACACCAGTTTTCTCCAGCTTGATACATAAGAACCACATATCTTCAATGTGAAATGAGGCTTCAGTGTGGTATGTAGGATTGGATTATGAAAGGTGAATGAAGAGTATAATCTACCTGCCGCTTAATTTGGATTAAATCCTTCAGTAATCAAGTCATGAAGTCTAACAGTCTAAGCTCAGGATTCCTGCTGGGAGGGGGATAGTTTTCAGCAAGACAGCTTTTTCTTTCATCCCCGTCTGTCTCCTAAAATAGTGCACACTGGATTGCTAAAGGCTTACCAGCTAGAAATGAATGAAAACCCCGATCATATTTGCATTTTGGCTGAAAAGGAAGAAGTTTCATTTTCATCCCGACAGCTGAATGTGGAAAAGTAGATAAAATACCCACATTTGCTAAACGCTGCTTCCCATCCAGCATGACATTGATTCCTCGCTTCGTTGTATTTCCTTTCAACTGTAACAAAACAATTACTGCGGTCAAAATTCAGTGACAGAACTTTGCAAAATAAAACAATTCATTTGGACAATTCAGAAAAATATTACGCAAAACATATTACCTTTTACATTTACAAAATACAAAGTTAATCATAAAACACCTCGTGTTCTAAAACCACCTTGAAAGACCCAATAATAATATATAGATATACTGAAATATATTGCTTTACTGAATATATACTACTGTAACATAACAACAAACTTCAAACTAAGGGCTGCAGCAAGTTGTCATATTTAAATTCAGTCCTACAGGAAGGCTCAATTCAGAGACTGCAGTCACTGATGCTCAGATACATAATGGCTCAAGTAAGGACTGACTTCCACACGTCTTAACTTAAAAATGTTTCTATTAAAATCCAAAAAGAGTATTATAAAACTGGAACAAAAGGGCACAATACTGGGGTAAGAAATCTTCTTTAGTTTTCACACTTAATTTCTGAGTCTTGTTGTAAGGCAGCAGCTGCAAGGGGGATTTAAAAGATGTGTAAGCAAGGACATTAACGTTTGTCTTATCTAAAAAATATAGTCTGTAAAAGTTAAACAGCTTTTTCCAAGGTGCTATTTACTCCTTCATGCACTAGGGGCCACCACAAGCATGTGTTTTCATTACACTCCCATAGCTTTCTGCCAAACCTGCCGACCTGTCAATGACAGCATACAGTGGCTGTCTCGGTGTGCGGTTTGAAGCTGCTACTTGGGGACTTTACAGATTGGTTAAAAAAAAACACATACCAAAACTTCCAGTCCTGCTCTCGCTTTTCCATTATTTCCTGAGGTGAAAACAAATCCCAACATAACAACCTCAAACACAAACCTAAAGTGGTTGTAGTGGTCTTTAGTGTGTGCCTGAGTGTTTAGTACACAAGCGACACCTGAGAGGATCACATGGTCAAACGAGTCAGAACCTATTATCACCTTGTTGTGGCGTGTTTATACAAAACACCACTTCAGATTGTTAGCAGCACACGTGTGCCTCCCTGTGTGTTATATGGAATAAAAAGACTCAAAAGAGTTTGACCAAAAACCACAAAGTAATCTGTCCTTCACCTTATTCAGGTGTTTATAAAAGGTGTGGTCGATCTTTGTCTTTGTAGAGAAAGTTATTTCTCTTTTACATCTGCTTTCTTTGTTAAAACGTAAACTGCAACGTATGTTGAAGACCAAAATGTGACGTTAAAGCTCCTGTGAGGAGTTTTTCATGAACAGTGATGCAACTCTATGATATTCAAAGGCAGAATAAGTCAATCAGCTACAAGACTGACTATTTCAATATTGTAATTTTTAAAACATGTAACTACTGTGAGGGAGGAGATATGCTGAAGTAACAGCGTTCGTTAGTTTCACAATGAAAACATTAGTCAGAAGTGACGCATTTCTCTGTAAAATTTCAACAGGGTGAGATTTCTTCATAAATCAACACTTCCTTTACGAGGAGACAAATTCTGCAACAATTTAAGTTTCTCACTCTGTCCACAGGGGGTGCCAAAATCAACACAGACAGAAATTTCCTCACTAGCGCTTTAATATTCAGAGCTGTCTGTCTGCGTATATTTTTCATAATATTTACAGTAATGTGTGTGAGTTCTGGTTATATAGTATTTGCTTTCATTTCGATGATGCCCTTAAGCCTGAAATAAAACATGTCAACTCATCATTAATACAGAAAAAGACGCAGAAGAAGAATTAGGGAGCTTATGTTGCAATCTGTTGTCGAGCTTTTCTGTTAAGCTAATTTAAAGCTTGCCTTATTTGTGTAAAAGAAGTTCCTCTTTTTTTGGGGGGGGGCTGCTTTTGAAATTGTAAAAAGAGATAAAAAAAGAAGTTTCTTAACATGCTTTGAAATAGATCGCCTGATGCCTACCCCTGCAGAGATTACAAGCAACAAAAGTACATAACAAAGGTGATCAGTCTTGTAGATTAAAGTCTTGTTTGCATTTGGATATCACACAGAGGCATCGGTTTCAATAACCAGCTTACAGGAGCTTTATCCAATAGCCAGCTTGTTTACAATGTGGAAAGCTAATGGATACTATCTTGCTACATTAACCTGCAATAATGTCTGGCACACTGATTAAAAACACCAAACAGTATTAGTAGTTCTTAAATCAAGTGTTTCCTATAAATAGCATTTCCTGAAGTGATGTTGTGTAATGAGAGATCCATGATTAGGTCAAGGGAAATATAAACCAAGTAGGGGCCTAAAAAACAATAATTATGTTAAAAACTGCTTTTTTTATGGAGGCTGTAAAACAAATCACCCACTACTAAAGATAAAAAGGTTTGAGTGATGTGTAATTAATTTCTAAATGCAGTTGTTTCAAAGAAAAACACTTTTTTTTTCTAACATGGAGGACACACACACAGCCGCACGCCACTTCAAATGTGTTCAGCTGTGCCTCAGTCAGGGGCCACACAAACGTTTGGCCATATGGTTGATTTACGATCGGCCTTGAGGGGTCACAGTTGGTCAGGCCACTAAACAGGGCTCCTACTAAAATGGCTGCTACCATGTTCAAACCCGCCATCACCTCAAATCTAAAAGGGGTTGCTGTATAATAAGGCCCCGCTGTATACTGAGCATGTGACACCAATGTAAACAGACAGTTTAACTGGCTTCATTTAAGACTGACTTAAAGTGACATTTACTGAGTTTTGCTTTGCAAGTAGTTTAAGGATATATCAAAGTCCATATCTAAAAAAGTGTCCATGATAAGTGTTATATAATTTAAAAGCTAAAACCAGTCTCTGTACCACTTCAGTCAAGGTGCAGGATGACAGCTTACAGCGTTAACAGTCAGACAGAGAATAATCATATAGTGATAAAGCTGCAGTCAGAAGCACAGGTCACAGCTGCTGCTAATCTGCCTTTGTCTCAGCAGCAGGGGGCGCTGCAGCTGAAGAAACCAGTCTGGAGGCTTCTTCCTGGGGCTCCACTGGCCCCTCCCTTCCACCTCCCTCCTCATCCTCCCTCTCCAGGCCCAGCGGAGGCTGTCTCTGTGCCACTGTGTGCCGGGATCGAGCCCTGTGCCTTCTCGGGTGGAGGAAGAGTGCAGGGTCTGGCATGGCTGTAGGCTCCGCTGGCCCCATCACTTTTTCTATGGGTACACACTCCCGAGCACGCTCCACTCTCAAAGATGACCTCACACTCTTACGCTTGGGTTTGACCACAGGGGAGGAAGGTGATGCCCCTGCCGGCATCAGAGGAGAAGAAACTGAGTTCTGCTCGGCGCCATACTGGGCCCCCTGCCTGTTTGCTCTGCTGAGGAGTCCCTGCCTCTGCTGCATCCGCTGGTGGTGTAGTTTCTGCCTGGCAGCATGCAGCTGGAAGGAAAGGTATGCTGCTGCCTCTGTTTGTTTCTGCAGCTCTGTGTTGAGGATGGTGGAACAGTGGCTGCGGCGTTTCAGCTCTTCCAGGAAATGGCGCTCCTTTTCCTTGAGATTCGCTCTGAGAGCTCCAACTAAAACCCCCTTGTGACTGAGCTCCTTACGAAGCTCTCCCAAGGTACACTCACGCTCAGCTAAGCGGTTTTCTACCTGCTGACATTGGGCCTCCAGGAGCCTCTCTTCTTCCTGTAACTCTGATACACAGATGAGAAAAAAAATGTGATCAATAAACACACCTGTAGGCATTATGATATTGTAAATAGTGTAAATAGTGCACTAGTTAAAAATACATCTTGAAAATCTTTCCACATTCTACAACAAATCAGAAAGGATAGGTGGAATATACATGTATAATATACAGTATAATACAAGCAGATTATCAACAAAGACAAATTGCGTGCCTCCATACAAGGGTGAGCTTCCGTTGGGCCACAAATATAAATGAAAAATATTCAACAATAAGAAACCGACCGGGTAGATTTTACTGTATTGGCTCCAATTTTATGGAACACAATTGGCAGACATAATAAACCCTTTAGAATAAAACCAGTCTTACTACAGCACTGCAACAAGCAAAAACGTCAACCACTTGCTTCTGAAGCTGTCTTTCAACTGATTTAACCAGGTTATTATAATTATTTAACAATCAAATTCTATAATTTTATCCATAATGTCGCCTTGATATATCATCTTTTGTCTAAAGATTAGACAGCTCTACAAAAGTGAGGACAAAACATTTGAAGCTCTCTCTACAGTCCAGTTGCAGTGTAGGTCAAATAGCAGATCTCCCACATTATAACAGATTGGATTATAATTATCATATATGATAATATATTATCATATATGATTATGATGTTATTCGCTATCTGATGCTTAAAAAGGGGGTATGATGTCTGAACTGACAGCTTTGTCGTCTTTTAACACTGGCCCTTTAATGCCTAAAACCACAAATTATGGTCAGAAAATTCATTTTTTTGGAGCTGAAATGTTTATTTCACTTACCACTAAACACCAAAAAAATCAAAATGTCCTTAAAATTTAACAAATATATATATTTATCTCGTTCAATACATTAGGAAACATGTTTTTGGAAACTGATAAACCACAAGAGGAAATTTTTATCATTTATTGGACTGAATTCAGGTGTTTTTTTAGTAATTTGCTGATCATATTGACTTGATAGAAGAATGTATCAAATATGATACAAAAGGCATTAAAGGAGTCATGGATGTCAGAATGGACCATATTCAGCAATATTATGATACTATTTATCATAATCAAACCCATTATTCCCAACACACTACAGCCCTCATAAACATGCTTCTCTTTGCAAGTAACATGTTTAAGATGAATCTTTTATTACTTTGTGAAATACAGAAATACATTAGATCATGCTATAGCTGCATTCATTTATATATCATAACAGCGTTTTTCTGTTTAGCACTAACCAGTCACTGTTTTAGATTTCATATGCAGACACTGGGATAGGTAAAGCATGTCATTATTGAGGGGAGGGGCAGAAATGCTTGACTGACTATGCTGCCTGCAGTGTCTGGAGATTTTTTTTTTTTCACTGGTAATTGTTTCAAAAAGCCATTAGTCAGCCCAATTAATCGGTCTATATCTAGTTAGCAGAAGGGGCACACAGTATAACAGCATCACCAGCTGAGCCCTGCTGTGTTCAAAACACATCACCAGCTCAATATGTCTGATCTCTAAAGTCTGGTGTTTAGGATTTTCAACAGTGAACAATCAGAGGAGATAAAAATCCATAAAATCCAACTCTACATACAGTCAGTGCTCTGGTAGATGACGCACTTGCACTTCAGGCCTACCCTCCTCTTGAACTTTCACCTCTCTAGCTGAGGTCAGGTTTGACGCAGCTCACTGTCTATTGTTCCGTCTTTTCTGCCTCTGCAGACAATCCCTGTGCTCTTTCATTTCTGAAATACTCCCTTGAGCAGAGGGAGGTGTGGATAAAAAACTCAGAGCAGCAACCTTAGGGCTGACTGAGCCGCAGCTTGCCAGAGGAGGAGATTATATCCACAGAAGGCGGGCGGTGACGCCTTATCCAACAGAAATAGGTCAGGTTTGCTGGGCAGGAGAATCCCAGAAGGTGGAGGGAGGTTTGGTGAGCCCTGAGGGTGTAACTTTAAATCCTTGAATCCATATAAGGCCTAATGTAATAAGGTGCTTCATTGATAAAAGCTTAAGGTTTTAGGTTAAAGCTGCTTCATTCTTTGTGCTTTTTCCCCTCTTTTGTCACTCACTCTTGCTTTCTCAGTTGTCTTTTTAGCTTGGTTTTCTTCAGTCTTACCCATCTGCATTGCTTTTTTTCTGTCATGTTATCTTTCTCCTTCTTTCACTTGACTCTCCCTTTCTTTCTCTGTTTTTCAGGATGGATCCTCAGAGGTTTTTATTAAGTCTCAAGACTTCTGTCGCCCATCACCACACCCAGATCTTTCTCATATGCTAACTATAGACTACAGCATCTTCATATCCTCCCATAACCCCCTCCTCTGTGTCTGCAGCTGACCGCATCCTTTTATCGCTCTCTTTGCTACCTCTCATTGCCTCTTTACTCTCTTTCCACCTCTTCCTCTCTCTCTCTCTTATTTCCCTGGCTCCACGTCTCTCTTGTTCTCAGCAAAGTCTGTAAGTGGACACCCCCTCTGGGACAACCAGGAGGGAAAGTGAGAGCAGGGAAAGAAAAAGCGGATGGATCAATTCGTCAGGCTGGGAGGAGAATAGCGGAGAGGCCATGGCGTTATTGATTGATGGATTGGGGGATAACCTGTCCTTAAAAAAAGAATAAGGGGTTTTATGGCTGAGTAATGCAGCCGAGCTTGATTCCACAACATGTTCGCACAGCCTTTTGACTTCTCTCTTTTTTTTCAGTCTGTCTCTAATTCGCTGTGACAAAATGGTGTCTATCTCTGCATCCCTGCATCAAGACTCTTCAAGGAGTCCTGCTAATGTCAGCTGTGAGCTAAATCTGTTGAGGCAAGCTGTCTTTGCTGGATCTACACACACAGGAAAAATAGTTCCCAAGAATGAAAAGAGCTAGTAAACACATATGGAAAAAAACAGGGAGGATTGCAATGATAGTCTGGCCTGTATCCTGCATGTCATTGTGGAAAGAGAGAGAGAGAGAGAGAGAGGGAGAGAGAAGGATGGGTGGCTGACAAAGGATCTTTTCCCTGGGGGATGACAGGGTGTGAGGATACAGAGGGATACAGGCAGAGGGGGATAGGGTGTATAAAACAAGAACAGACTGGTGTAAATGTGTTTATCTTTTTGCCTTTAATGCACAAGGGAAACCTAAGCCAGGCTAGGATGGAATACTGATCCCTAACAGAAGTGGGCAAAGAAGATACAATGACGATTAAGAGGGAGGATCTGAGCTCAAAACGTTTTTTAAAAACATACCTATTTGGCTTCTGCCTGGAGGCTTCACCTTCAGCTCGCTTGTTAACTCTGAAAAACAGGAGAGAGAGAGAAAAACATGTGAATGAGCTGATATGAAGAAAGCCGAGTCATGATGTCATCTTGTTAGAGCTTAAACATAATCACGCTGAAACGTCTTATTAAAGCCACGTGCTGACACTTTGTGTTTGCTGCGGTTGCGGCTGGTTAACATAACAGATGCTTGATGCAGTTTCCAGCATATTTTCAGTGAGGGCATGCATAATTTATGAGGCTAACTCTGAAACTTTACATCAAAGACGGCCAGTCAGATGCTCGGCCAGTGATGTCCTGTTACATTTTTTGTCACACTAGAGGAATAATCCTGCACTGTTACCTTAATAAAACACACGAGTATAATTAGATCTTTTCACTGAGTTCCACAAGGTAATGCAAACCCAAATAAATAGGAACCTAAAAATAGAGTAAAAAGTTCTTGTTGCATAAACTAGGCAGGGACCCATTTATGAGAACACATGATGCAGCTGAATAACACTTCACACTGTGTTTGTGACAGACTATCGAACATTTTCACAGCTATTTTTTCATACATTCAGCACATTGATGGAGACAAGATGTTTCTTTGTCATGGAGGACTTGTCAACACACATTTCCCCGAGTGATTTCCTTCACTATTTATAAAATGAGGTGATGTCCTCCGGTGAGTAATACAGGGTTGTAATGCGACGTCGAAATGACGTCTATATAACGTAATTTTTCGATGTCTAAATCACGTCTCCTGAAGGTGCAGAATGAAAGTTTTTTTGACGTCTTTTTCAGATGTCATCTTGACATCCAATTCTGACATCGAAATCAGGTCCTCTGGAGGTGCAGAATGATTTTTTTTTTTTATCTGCTCTGGTCTAGACATCTGATCGGCGTCTTTATGCTGTCGAAATCAGGTGCAGAATGAAAGTTTTTTTACGTCCATTTCTGACGTGGTCTAGATGTCTGATCGACTTCTTGATGCCGTCGAAATCAGGTGCAGAATTAAAAAAAAAACTGACATCTAAATATTGGATCTATTTTGCACGTCGAGATTTGGTCCTTGGCGGACTACACTCACACGTCCAAATGAGGCACAAATGCGGACATCAATTTAACTTTGAAATGAGGTCCAATACTGACGTCTAAATATTTGATCTATTTTGGTCATTAGATGACGTCCAAATTCTGACCCAATACTGACTTGATCTGCACCCCTTTTTTTCAAGGCTGAAGAAGACAACTAAAACAGCTTCTGCTACACCCATAATTGTATTTTTAAGTTTTTTTTTTATTAGTATTATTCTACAGTAGTAATAGGGCTAAACGGGATCTCTGTGGTTAGGATTATCTAAATATCACATGACACAAAATCTGGTTCACTCGCTGTTCAAATACAGAATGAATTTAATCTCATATCAGTGTAATACAGAAACCAATGGATTTGAGAACATCGTTTTTTCCCCACTCAGTGGTTGTGAGTTTTTTTTTTTATACTGTGCCAGACAAAAATAGTTCAGCTAAGAGCCTCTGACAGGGTTGGACAGGGTCAGACTGCTGGTCATGTCAAACCTGTCAGTCATTCTTACAGGCCTCACTGCAGAAGGACTTACTCTCTCAGCACAACAGTCAAACACAGAAATGTGCCTGTGATTGACACAAGTAACTTTGTGGGCTTTATGGAGTTTTAATTTATTTTTAATTTAATTTACCCAAGCAGAGAAAATGAGTCTGTTCAAACAGCTTGGTGAAATATATGTAATATTTCAAATCAGTGACTTTCCACTGACCACAAATGACATAAAAAGGATGCGTAGTTAAATAAAGTGAGAATACTTTTTGATTGCGTGAGAATACTTTTTGATTGTGTGAGAATACGTTTTGACTGTGTGAAACAGTAGCTTTCCTATCCCTGGCCTTTCCTCTCTGCCTGCGCTCCCTGTCACACCCTTTCTCCTCCTTCTCTGCAGTCAGCATAATACACCCCGCCATGCAGCAGTCATGAAAGGACACAGCAGAGATGAGGATGGTGAGGGAGAAAAGAGAGAGGCAGAGAAATAGCCTATCTGTTTTCATGTTTCTAATATTAAGCTGACTGCTCAGATGCTTATTTTTGTTATAATTATCTTTGTTAACAACTGCCAGGAGCCTCAATGTTGTTAATTTAACTGCAGGGAACGGGCTCGAGGAACTTTTTCATAAAACAACACTCAAACAATGAAAATGAAGTGCTCAGCACATTGCAGCATCCAGAATGAGAAACTCTTTGTAGGTCAGACTTATCTCCTACGGCCTCACCGAGCATTCAAGGTTTATCTTTCAAGGCTGAACTCTGAATAGAAAAGACATCTTCAAGCACACTAACACACACACACATCTAATTGATTTATACAACAAACAAAGAAATGATATTGCAGAAAAAAAGACCCCATTTCATGAACCCAGGATGAAAATTGATTTAGTTGGTGGTTACAAGGAGACTTTATGCTAATGAGGAGACGCAATGATACAATAAAGGTCAGCAGTACAGAAAGAGATCTAATGTGCACAGCAGCATTGTTACCCAATCTCACTGCACCCTTTCTGACTGCTCACCTGCTAAGTGGATTAGCCAATCAGGAGCTAGCCTCACAGCCATCCTCCACAGTCACCTTAGTTTCTATGGACTTTGATGGAAATAAAGACTTGGAGAGCTGGATAACTTTGAGAGAGTGAGTGGACAGTAGTAACCTAGTGACCTGGGTGGCTAGGACCATTTCCATAGAGTTTTGGAGTTATGGCAGTAGCTCAAGAGGTAGAGTAGTCGTACAATGACCGGAACGTTAGCGGTTCGATTCCCCTCTATCCCTAGTCTGTCTGTTGTTTGCTTGGGCAAGACACGTAACCCACCTTGCTCCCAGTGTGTGTTCTTCACTAGTGTATGATTGTGAGTGTTGTGTAGTGGTGGTCGGAGAGGCCATAGGTGCAAACTGCGCCAGGGCAGCTGTGACTACTAAGGTTGTTTACGACCACCAGGAGGGTGTGACTGTATGAACGAATGAATGATGTATCCAATGTCAAGTACTTTGAGGGTCTCTGATAAAGCGCTATATGAAATCTGATGCATTATCATTAAAAAATAAAATTTCTTTGCTGTGTCTTAACTTTGAAAAATGTTCTTTGGAAGACGCAGAGTGCTTTAAGTTGGAGAGTAATTTAACAACAACAAGCTCCCTTAGCAGAGCATCTATTCATCCACTGTGCTCAGGAAGATACAGCCATGCATCTTGAGAGCACAAAACTTAAGAGCTAAAAACTAAAGACTCAGATGAAAAACTGTAAAACACATTTGCAACACTGTAACAGGACCCTGGATCTCCATCTGATGGCACAGGCGAACTCCTGATCCCTCACAGCAGGTTAGTGTTGCAAGCTAATGACAGGGCCCAGAACTATGATTGGATTTGACCTCAACAGGTCAGATGAAAAATGATGGATCTATTTATTCTTTCCCCAACATCCATGCCTTCTTCCAGTCACTGAAGGAGTAAAACAAAGTCACAAACTGACACAACACAAAAAACTTGAACTACAAGATGCTTTTAAAAGTTTTAACTAAGAGTGCTACTATTACAACCACCTTCCTGGACTTAATGGTACAGTGTATTGTTGTTGTTTTTTGTGACAATTGGCAGAAAAGACTTTTTGAAACCTGACCTTATCTCAATAAAATATCAGTAATTATCAGTAAATTTGCTTCTGCTGATTCATAAGGAGGCCATTTATATTTTCACAAGGAGTTGACCCTCTTGCACTGTTATGTTTTAGCACAGAACAGACAAACTCGTACCACAAATGTTTTTTTGAGTGTGAGTCTGTACGAAGTGCACTGATTGGACAATGAAGAAAAGAGTAGTACTTGTGCTTAAAAGTACTCATACAGACAGACATCTTTGATTAAAGAGAATTGTACTTACTTTTATGATCCCTTCAATAATGAGCTGATGCATCTCAGGGGGTTTATCAGATAAAGGCCAACGTCCCCTCTGTGGCAGAAGGGGAGCATGTTTCGATCTAGAGTCTACTCTTTCCAAACATAGCTAAATAATCCCGTTAAATCCCAGACACAATGTGCCTTCAAGCTGTTGTTTTCAAGTTCTACAGATTTGTTACAGACCACAGAGCAGACAATACTTTTCTTACTGTTCAGAGAGACAGTCATTTAAATTTCAGTCTTGATAAAACAAAATAGAATTGTTGCATTAAACACAGTCTGGCTCAGAGTATTTATAGCTAGAAGGACAGTAAGAGGATCTGATTTTCTGTAATAGTACTAGCCTGGTTTGAACCCTATTTTATTAAGCCGGTGCGATTTGTGTAGGTTGGTCAGCTGAAGACATAATATGGTGTAGTTTTATTATTTTTACTTATTCAGTTGTGAGGCAGGGGGCAGATGAAGACAGTAGGGGTGGGTTTGGTACTTCCTGTTTTCTTTGTTGATTTTCACATCATGTTTTACCGGATATTTTGTTGTTCTTCTTTGAGAGTGTGTTATACGCACCTAAAACTGATCTGGACTTTGGTATGGTTTTCTTTTTATGCATCAGGATAACTAAGCTATGTACAGTTTTATCTGTAGGATACTATTTTATCTAAATTATTCCACTCAGTCTTAGAAATTTGAGCATGGAGTCCCTCAAGGCTCTACATATGGCCCACTTTACTTTTACAGCAATGAGAAATCAGCGCAATATACTACCAAAATAATAAGGATGACACATTCACATCCATACAGGCACTGTAAAGATGCACTTTGGATGTGCCAAAACTTGAAAATAAATTATTTTTGAAATAAAACAATAAATATATATTAATGTATATCAAAACTTGGTGTTTAGCAGATGACGCTCCTGCCCGAGTTTTACAACTATAAAAAACTAACACAACAATGAACAAATCAGCCTACATTATCTCTGTAGGAATACAGTTCAGAGTCCAAAGACTTGTTTATCACTGCTGCTTGAACCCTGGCTACACCACACATCAGTACACTTAAGGTGTTTGTCAAAGATGTTGCTTCAAACTTTGCTAATATTGGATTTCCTTTTGGGGATCAATGACGTTTTTCTTATCTTATCGTATCTTATCTAAATAATCTATGAGAGCTGGCAAAAAAATTTGATCTGGTACTCATAAGACCCTCAGGCCACTCAGATCAAATCTGAGTCAAATCTGAACACGGGGTCTTTTTCAGAGTAAGGTGTCCTACGTATAATGTCTTCATGTGAAGAGTAGAGACTTCTTATGAGTTTATCAATCATTTTTGAAAAATACCACTTTTACTGCAGGTTGGGACACTGATATTGACTTCTTGTGAGCATTAATGTATTTATTACTCGGTGCAGATGATGAAAAAATCTGTGATTGCACCCCCGTCGGAATAGGACTCTATTGGAGTAAACAGATAAATGCACTCACACACTCCTTTCTTGTTGGTGCTTTTTCTTACTGTTCATCTCTCTCGAAAAACCACACACTCACACACACACACACACAAACACACATCCACAGCTTCATTGACCAGATGTGATAGAGCCACAGAGCTGTAATTGATGGAGGGTCTTTTTCTACTCAACCAGTCACACTGGCTCAGAGCCAACTCATCCCATCTCTCTCTCTCCCTGTCTCTCTAACACACACACACACACACACACACAAACAAACACGCAAATAGAAACACAACACCCCTCCCCTTCTCTCCTCTCCTCTATTTGTTATCTGCAATCCTGCTTGTATGGATTACTAAGGCTAAAGGATCAATGGATTAACCATGATGGATATGGGGGTGCAGATCTTTCTAAGTGCATACTGTGTGTGTGTGTGTGTGATTTGCATGGGAGTAAGCATGCATCAACATTTACTATATTTCCAACAAACAGTTAACTGATATCAGAGCAAATCCCTTCACAGCGCAGACACAGAGCTGACCTCTACAAGGTGAAATGTTCGGGTTTCATGGTCAAAGTTAAATAATAACCAGGTTAAGTTAATGTGGATGTGAGTTTGGATATGCAACACTGAGGAAAACCTTCAGGATATAAACCACATTAGCTCGACCACCACCACTCTCACGAATAATTGAGCGTGTGTCCGTGTGTGTTTGTTCACGCGAGCTCCCTGCCTTGATTAAATGGCATCATATCCATTAGGCTCGAATCAGGAAATGATGCAATCTACAGGAAGTGTGGCATGACATCATCATGTAGTCACTGTCTAGCATTGATTGATGGTGAACACACACATAAACACACACAAAAACCTGCACACGAGGAAAACGGAGGAACAATAAGACCACTTTTGCACTCAAATTGAGAGGAGACTGTGAATAACGTGCTCCCGCCAAAATAAAATATGGGTAATACGGTCCATCAAATGAGAGTTAATCTCATCCTTCTTGCTGCTTCACAGAGAAACAGATTCTGACAAACAAGATGCATAAAATTAAATAAAATAATCCAAAGAAAGGCGGAAAAATATCTTTATATCTTTAATATATAGAGCATGTATTGTATCTTAGCTATTGTATTATATTTTATTTATTGTATTGTACTTTTATTCTTGGCTTGGAATCGGATCTGGGTACTAACTTCATACCACAGTCTGTCAAAGGTGTGGGGTATGACAAATAAAGTTTCTTGAATCCTTGAATAATGTGACAATTGCTTCTCATATGACATCTATTTTATTCATCACATTTGGCCTTATTGGCAGTAAATTTCATGTATTCTGGGATCTGTATATCACCTACACCATGGTACCAGTCTAAATACATATCTGGGAGGATATATTGACAATTAAGACAACCAGACTAATGTTTTGATTTGAGTTTTACAGGATTCATTGTGGCAAATTGTTACAGCCAATACTCTAAAAAGCATCACCTGATGGTTTGAGCCCTCTTTAGGGGTCACATTAAAGTTTCTTTGCTCCCCAACAGACAAAGACACACACACACACACACACACACACACACACACTCAAACATATGCACTAGGGATAAAATATCTTTGGGTGAATGCAGCATACACGGCTTGACTGTAGTGTGTCCCTCACCTGAGCATCGTTTCTGCAGGGAGAGGATCTCCAGGTGGAGGCCGTGGAGCAGAGTGAGGTGCTCCTGTCTGAGGAAGACCATACTCCTCTCCACACTCTCTATCTGCCGGGTCAGGCTGCTCTCATCCCCCATGGCTGAGTCTGGAGAGACATATGAGGGAAATAATAGACTCCAACTTCTTACAGAGCAAAGCTTGTACTTCAGCTGCTGAATTTTACTTTATCATACAAATATAGCTTAATGTCAGCTCCACAAAGAGATAAGAGCAAGTATTGAGGTCAGGTGGGAGCTATAAATACAGTATTGATGATGAGAGGAATTAAGGGAGAAGCCATGAACATCCAATCAGCTTCAGGATGCAGGAAAATCAAGGACCGTACAGATGTATTCAAAATCACATCGATTCACACGCTTCTGCTTACCTATAGATTGATGTTAAGTGCCAAAATCTAATAACTTTGAATCGCAGGCATCAGAGAATCGTCCTCGGCTCCGGGCATGCTGCTCTCCAGTGCTGGTCCAGATCCTGCGGGCTGCTGCATTCACCCAAAGATATTTTATCCCAAGTGCCGTGAAGCTTTTCCGCTGCATGTGACGCCGTTTGGTTAGAAGACAGAGAGGATGGATAACTGCGTAACAAAGCGCAAACACGGCGACGCAAAGCACCGCGCTCCTCGGGCAAACCAGCTCCTCGCTGCAACATCTGCGTCGTGGATCATCGGGGAGCGGATGTTGTCAAATCGGTCGATACGAATCCCCACGGGAGAGATACGCAGCCCATTTCCAAGATGCGCACCTACCCTCCTCCTTGTCCACCGACTGAGGCATCGGCGCTGCTGTGGACAGCAGAGGTGGGAAATGATGAAAACAAGCCACCGTGGGCAGAAAACGCGAGAATATCGTACGACGGAAACAGCGGCACAGCTGATTGGACAGACCGGCTTTTATCAGCTGTGCGTGCTGCGCGAGGAGGATCAATAGCGCGTTAGTCCAGGTCAAGGAAAAACGGTAACACTTTACAATAACCATAACTTATAAACGGTAAATAGAACATTCATAAATGGTAATCAGATAATAAGCATCATTTATAAGTAGCATATAGACCATTAATCAATTGTAAATTTTACAATTTTAAAAACCTAACACTAACCCTAACCCTTACTTTACAATAGCCATCTAAGCAATGTTTATAGCATAGACTGTATATACTACGGACAACCTGGTTCCGCATACCGCCTGTATACGGATTTGAAGCCAAAATGCTCTCGGTATTTCCGGGATTTTTCTGTGCAGTAGCGTTGTGCGCATTCGGCCGCGCAGTCGCAGAGAGTCACTGTGATGACGCTCGGCTCAAACAGCGTATCCGCCGGGAGAGCTACTCAATCCCTGAACGCCCATAGGCTGTATCAGGTGTCAACTTTTTAAAACGGAGCTTCACAGAAAAAAAAGAGGACTTGAGCACAAACCAGTCTTACAATAACTACATGTCAACATCACAACCAGGGGGGAGAAATTTTTTTTGTTCTGTGTAATAAATTTCTAAAGTTTGTCCACAGCCCCATAAACTTTGCTGGCGGAGGCGGGATTTATGACCTATACTGCAGCCCATCAACAGAGGGTGCTGTTCTCGGAGTGGCTTCACCCCGCGAGGAGGCAGACGGTGTCCATTCTATATACAGTCTATGATTTATAGGTGGTAGTGATAATCATAATTTCATTGCTTTTTAATGGTAAAGTTACTATTAACTTACATTAATAAAGCTAGTATTGGTGGTACCAAATATTTCCCCCACAAATAACGTATTCTACCTCTTTTATAACACCCCTCACCCAAATGTTCATAAGTGAAAACTTTCAGCACAAGGAATCACAACAAAGTTAATTTTGATCTTTATTTGCACGTTAAACAAATAATGTTATCATATAAACATATAAATTGGAGTTATAATTACAAAAATCTCTGCCGAAACATGAAAAAATAAATGTCATATTTACGCATAAAGACACGGTCATGAGAGAGGCGACAGGCAAAGAGAAAGCAGAGGACTTTGTTTCACAGCCTCACTTGTTCTTGCTGACTTTGTATTCCATGTTTGTCTCATGATCAGGGATTTTCAAGACGGAGAAAAGCTGCACAGTGTTAATAGTCTGTGTTGTTGTAAGTTTTAACAGCTAACAGTATTTCAGCAACACCAGAGAATGGAGGAAATTTGTATTTTCCACTGTGCCACTGAAATCAACACCAACATTTAGCTACTGTATACAATAAGGATAACATGAAGCAGTACATAAGACATTAACCTCCGCCTTTCTCTGCTATTACATCTGGAAATCTCTTTCTTTGTGTCCACTACCCACAATGAAGAAGCCGAAGTTTCTTCCTCTGTCGTTTGGAGAATGACAGTTTTGAAGTCAAGGTCATAAATATAGCTGGGAGAAGAAGCATCAGAGTGTGGAGAGCAGTACAGTAGTAGCTTGTTTTTGGCCGCATTGCCGAGGAAGAAATCTCAACTTGGGCTGCTATGTTCGATTAGAATTCTGGAAAGGCATACATTATAAATTATACATCATAATCTCAAAAAAAACATCACTGCCATTTACAACACATTCACAAGTATAAGCTTTTTACTTGTTAGAAAGAACTTCAATTCTCACCAGATGTCTTCACTACAACCACAGAGTTAAGCTGCCCTATCAATTTCAAAAACTGCAAATCAACATTCAGGATAATAAAAATTTCCTACTGCTCTAATACTCGTGATCTAAAAAACAGCATTTAGCAATCAGGCACAACAACAATGATCTCAATTTTACTGAATTCCTTCCAAATAGTGCTTTTCATTAGTGCAGCCATGTCTTGACTTTGTTGGACAGAGTTAAATTTGTGGACTGTGTTTGTACCAGCTGTGTTTAGGCGGACTACAGCTGATTGTATGTGTTTATAACTAGTTCATACAACTTCAAGCAAGTACAGTGTGCCCATGCTTGTCGACAGCCTGGTTTAATGGCTGATTCTGTACAGCTGAGATGACCGTTAACGATGAAACTACTACCTTGAAAAAAAATTAAGACCCAGAGTGGCACAATGTCCTGCAAAAATATGACTTACATAATCATTTCAGATCCACTATAATCAACTGTTTTCACAACGGGAAAATTAATTTAACATCATGTCTGCCTTATCTTTAATGAGCAACTTCTGTTTTAGTACAAATAAATTACAAATATACAAAACACACCCCCAAAAACAATGAATACACACACACACGCACAAAACAGAGACAACAAAGAGACATGGCATCAAGGGCATACAGGTTTGTAGCAGCCGTGTGTTTTAGCAGTTTGCTGTATTCACAGATCTCAAACAGGAAATTCTCTGCACTAATTGGCTCTTTCAAATTAAAAGCAGGAGGTGCAGACCCAACTGAGATAACGCTGGTGCTCCTGTGTGTGATGTTGAGGAGTGTGCTGCCCTCAAGAGGCGAAATGGAAAATACCAACCTCTGAGCGTCTGAAAGCTCCTACTGCAGACTGCAAAACCATCACAGACCTCTACTACTCTTTAGTGACTGAAGGTCTCCCTGTCATAGTGATTGAACCTCGAGCCAGTCAGAGACGAATTAAATCTACAAGCACAACCTTGCTGGTTGATTTGATCTACAGGGCACAAGCTTAATCACAGGGCTTAATGGTTAAACTATAATTAGTGTAAAGCCTGTGATGATTGGTTAGTCCTGAATGTTATAAGATGATTTGGCATAGCAAAAAAAAGGCAATAAATGATCAACCACCAAATATCACGTCGTTTTGCACTGTGTCACCAAAGTTCAATCTAATCTGTTATTCTTGAGATTTTGCGTACTAGCATCCTGTTCATCACCCTATGTCCTCATCATGTCAGTATTGGTTTTTCTGCTTTTGTATCCTTGTACGTACAAATCTCATCTTTAAACATTTTAATCTTTTCTTCTTTTATGACAAAGAACCTGCCAGACCACTGACAGCAAAGCTTGAAAGAGGCAAAGAAGTGTTCAGAGCTCTCTGAGGTAGCAGGCTGTTTTTAGTTGAGGTGATTTGGTGGAAAATAAAAAGGTACATTCACCTCTGTAGCACAAGTGTTAAACAACAAGAAGGTTTGGATTCCACTGGTTCTTTTAATCAGCGGTATATAGATGTTATTGTAAGTTAATCACTGTAGAATAATATGAATATAATATATCTGAATGAAAGAATATTCTATAACATAACTAAAGATATTCAGAAATCGTTTCCTGTATTTTTTGTGGAAGTATAAGAGTGTCAGAGGTTTCGATTCACGGCGTCTCCATGAGCTACATTTCAGAACAGGTTTAGCTGAAACACCCTGTCAGATAATAAGGCGTTTTGGTTTTACAAGGCCTTACACTGTTCCTATAAAGAATCCTTTATCATCCATTAGTGATCCACTGTGATCCACCAATGCGATCCACTGGTGGCACTTAAGGATGACAGAACCACACTCAACTATAGAGTGTAAAACCACAACTAAATGTAGCTTTCAGCATAATGGCAGGGTGTGATCTGTGTTCAAGTAAGGCCATTTGATTACACCATGTATGCATGTACCTTTACAGTTTGTCAGATAGAAAGACTCCTCTGTCTCTTAGCTTTGAGTAAATCACACAAGCACAAGTACCAAATCTCAGCCACGGGGCGTTAACATACAGTAACAAACAGGAGTGTTTATGAATGTAATCCTTCTTGTTTCCTTTCCTGTCCTCTTCTCTACATCTCCTTCTCCTTCTTGGTCTCCCGGGTGCTGCTCTTCAAGAAGTCGCTCCTGAGAAGGCGATAAAACAGGACAATGTTCATGGCTGTCATGATGGCCATGCCGACGCTGCCAAGCGTGTAGGCCAGCAGGGGGACCTTGTCTCTGTTGAGCACCAGCCAGCGGGTCATCCAGGCCAGCGTGTTGATACGGAACACCACGTATGTGCCCAGGTTGATCATGCTGTTGACCCGGTATAGTGTGCCGGCGGCCATGCTGGCCATTCGCAGCATTTGTCTCAGGTGGAGGAACACAGAGTTGACCTCTACGAGCAGGGCGACCACAGCAAAGCCCACGTAGCGACAAGACAGCACGGAGAGGCCAAAACAGGTGATCACCTACAAAGAAAGAGAGGGAGAAGGAGGGTTAGGTTTGATGTGAATAAATATAGTTTTAAATTTCATGTTAGATTGATTGACAATGGGTTTTGGTGAGTATGCTTGTCAATGTGTTGATGTGAAATTACAACATTGCCTCGAATATTATAATAATGTGAAAAAACAAAAAAGTGTAATGTCAGTAAAAACCAGAAAAAACAATCTGTGAGTGTTTCCCATTGCAATATATTAGGTTACAGAGGGGCACACAGTATCAGACAATATTATAGACGCTCATTTGTTTTCAGCGAGGAACAAACATACAAAAAAATGATATTTTAACACGGGATATTGAAATCTCTAACCCAAAGATAGTGTAGTAACTTGGTTGTCCCCCCAAAAAGGCTCATTAATGGCATTTTGACATAATTAGCATCATATCAGCCCTTACAAAGCTGATTTCATCATTATCTTTTCAAATAAAAAAGCATTTCCCCATCTCCTGGGGTTGAAATTCTGTTATAATACTAAAGTAACGCAGTTTAATAACAATATTATTATTTAACTTTTATTTGAAAGTATATTCACTTTCGTCCAGCGTTTTTTTTTCTTCCCACTGAGTATTTTTAAATTGATGTTTTATCAATGCAATGTTATATCAGTTATTATATATTAGCCATGGGTCAACCAGCTCTCTCGTTATCATTCATGGCAGCAGCCACTGAAAAACTGATACTGGTCGACCACTAATTTAAAAACTGATGGAGATGATTTTATGTCTCTTACAGATGATAGAAATAATAATAATATTAATACATTTTATTTGTGGGCGCCTTTCAGGGCACTAAAGGACACCTCACAGGGCAATTAAAAGACACATCAGTAGAATAGTAAAATCAATAAAAACACATCAACACAACAAAGTATTAAATAAAAAGTTGGACTCTGGACTCTGCAGCAGAACATCAAATACTATTCTCAGTAGGCCTGTCTGAGTTTTGAGATGGGATTAGAAAATGGAGAGTGAGTCAATTTTTCCTAATATCAGGGGGGAGGGAGTTCCGAAGGCGGGGGGCAGCGTGGCTGAAGGCTCTGGATCCCATAGTGGACAGATGGGCCGGAGACATAACGGGGCTGATTGATGAGGCAGACCTGAGAGTCCAGGTGGAAGTGTTAATGTGGAGGAGTTCAGAGAGGTATGGAGGAGCGAGGAAACTAAGCTTGCTAATATGAAGAGGGTGAAATGTCAATACTATGAATAAGAATATACAACATCAGCTTTTAAACAAAGTAAATAACGTGTAAAAACACTGGCCAAACAAACCAGAAAATTACTTCATGTTTATGAGAACTTTATTTCCCATATTTTCACTTCCTTTCTTTGCAGATTAAATTATGCTCCTAAACTTGTGACTTTGGTTAAATGAGCATGACCACGTGAAAGCACACCTCTCCATGACTCATCACCGCCGAGCCGTGCTTATGAAAGACTGTTTAGTAACAAAAAAAAAAAAAAAGACTGTTTAGTAACCATGACAGAGTATCCACAGGATGGCAGCAGCTCCCTTCAAAACCAGTCTGTTTCCACAGACTATTGGACACTCTGCTGTCATTACAATGAAGAATCAGGAGGAGGATTACAGAAGAAAAAAAGAGTCTAACAGGTTGTGAAAGAGGGTAAATATGCGGTCTAACAAATTCACAGCAGCTGTGTTTGTGGCAGTGAAGATTTTAGATGACAGTCAAAATGTTTATACTAAAACAGGCTGTTCAGCCAAACTCTCCACAGGGGCTGGCACTGCCTCACACATCACCACAATCACCAGCTTCATTCACACTCAGAACACACCCCGAGTGAAGCAGGAAGACAAGCTGTGTTTAGACACACTGAACTTCAGCTTCACACTGTTGCCATCTTTGCTGCCGTGTCTATAAATCAAAGAGGACGAGCAGAGCAGAGGAAACAGAGATGAAAGCGATACAGGTCAGAGGTTAGTCAGAGCAGGTCATGAGATACACTGCGGTGTGAGAGAGTGACCTTAACATCAGCCATGACTCAGCCGGAGAAGCATCTTACGTTTTGTTTTTCAGAGGTCACAGGATGCCCTCTTAAATGGCGATCATGTGATGCTCTGTAGTGGGTCAGGCACAAGGCCATGTGAGGGGAGGCAGCAGAAAACAATCTCCAACTGGACCTGACATTACAAGCCCTCTTTAATGGACACATCGTTGGTTGAAAAGGTTCAAAGTTGAGGATTTTTTACCTCCATCAGAGTGAAAATTTTCTTGCCACATTATGAACTGAGAGGAATTACACTTCAGTCCAATGTTGATTCTCTACCTGAGTTATGAAAACAGTTATTTGAGTACTAACTCTGACTCACACTGACACAAACACCCTCACATCAGTTCAAACCCTTAACCTGCTGTTTGGTTAGAATGACAACAACGCTGATGAACAATTACAAGGACGACAGTGAAAGCACCTCATTTAGAAACATGACTGCATGGTTTAATCATAGTCGGTACCTCAGGTGGGAAACAGTTATGTCAACAGGGCACTGGGGTTTTAGGTCAAAACAAACACACACACTAACAAGTATGTAGTGTTGGTCAGTCATACTTCTGATCGATCATCCCGAGAAGTACGATTAAGTCTTATATGTGCGTCAATGTTGGATAAGGTGACAACCATGATTCTCTTGTTTTGCCTTCAGAACTCCACTGGAGTGATATCAACGGCCCCTTATTTGATAGAAAAACAAAATGTTTTATAGCTGGAGGCTTTGTTTTGAGCTCTGAAATTCTCCGTATCATGATTGATGTGATACAACCGGCAGATATTCACCTTCGAAACAACAGGGGACATGGCTGGAGGTTACAGACACTCAAGAAGAAGCTGTAGGATACAACAAATTATGGCTTTATTTTTCCAATTCCCTGGTTACAATTGACACCAAATGAATCTCAGCTCTAATGTATATTCATAAACAAACATGGGAGTTTTGAAAAGGTTGTCGCCATCGCAATACTTACAACAAAAACAACACGTGAATGGGGTGGCGTGTGTGTTATAAAAACACATTTACGTTGGTTTAAACCCAAAGCAAAAGCAAAGAAGCCAACATCTCTTGAAGCCCTTATCTCTAACCCTGACCTCTCAAAAACATGACTTTACCCACTGACTTAACACTGCAATAACCCGAACACACACGCGCACACACAAACAAACCAGGGCAGGGTCACAGCTTCAAAGTCATATAGTGGAGCTCATCAGAGGGGCTAATCTAGAGTCAAATCTGATTGGGGAAGATAAAACACTGATGCACTGACTAGGAAGGTCAAAACAAGCTTTATAAAACCCAAACATAAAAAATAAGTCAACAATGTGCTGTAAAGAAAGTTGAATCAAATGAAAGATGGTTATATCTCAGTGTTTCTTAACTTTAGAGACAGGTATTCTTTTGTTCTTTCTCCACGTGTTACTGACTTTATGGTGGTTATTCCTCTTTTACGAGGTTGGGACAGGCTTGGGAAGCTTATCTTAAACTGCAACAGCACTGCCACTCACAGGTCAAAAACAATGATATGTAACATACAATAAAGTTACGCCTTGTGTAACAAACTTCCTCACCTCTGTTAAAGTTTACCTTCACCAAAGATACCAACAGACATGCACTGCTGCATCAGGCGACATGACCCCATAGCACCCGCCAGCCAACCGGACAACAACAGCTAGCCAAAACTCATCTGTGTCATCCAAAAAGGGCCAGGTCACACCCTGTGCACTGTCAGCGCCCAAGGCAGACACAAAATCACAGTAATCCCCCCCCCAACCAGACCCCCCTCTCAGTGCATCTGATAATCAGAGTGATTCAGCATTAGCTGGATTTACAGCATAAGCTCTCCGTAGCATGGCTTTCCCATTCAGGAGCCCACATGCAGCTGTCTGAACAGAAACTTTAGTGGACGGACTAAAATAAATACGAGACTTTAATTGATCTGTTCAAACATGGACGCCTTGCTGATGCTAGGATGTTAGCATACACACAAGGGAGCTACAACCTAAAAGAAAGCCAACAGTTCACACCAAGCCAGTAACACACAACTGAAGAATGTATATATTGGAAATAAAGGCAGAACTTTTTAAGGATATGTGGTGCAAGTTGGTGAAGAGTTGTGAAAATCTTTGTGAGACAGTTTTTGTTGGGGCACCTTCTAGTGGACACACTGTTCAATGTGTAGCCCCATGTAAAGTACGTGTGGTCATATTGCTTAAATGTACATCCAGAGAGGAAGCCTGAATGATAGTGATGGGCATGGCAGTTCTATTAGATGTACTGAATCAATTCACTAAAAAGAGTCATTCAAAAGATTTGTTCACCAAATCACCGAATCATTTAGCGCTTGGCGGGAGATGCCTGCGACTCCGACCTCCTGTTTGTAAAAATGAACTAGTTTATAAGTCATGATGTTTTAAGTGTACTGTCCTATAGTTTGCTATTCATCGGGTCTGCTCGAAAAACTGGGCTCAGTGAATGATTCATTCACTAAATGTTTAGAAGAATTCACACTGAACATGTCCGACAAAAATGATTCCAGAGAGTGTAGTTCAATGTGTGATTCGTTCACCAAGTGATTCAGGCATTGGTGCATGGGGTCCCTTGTCCTTTCTTACTTTAGCTCAACTGAAGTGAGAAACTAACGAATTACTCGAGGAAGTGATTCGCTTCAGTATATTCACTTAAAAGATTCGGTTCTTCTGAACGAATCGTTCACGAACGAAACAACACTGAATGAGTGTAAACAGTTCTCCCCAAACTTTTGATTTAGCCTCCCTTACCCTGATGTTATAGATTCAACATCCTACAGTAGCACACATTGTGAGGTTTTGTGGTATAGTTACTAAACTGTGAGTGGTACTGTGAATAAAACGGGACAGAAGAAGACATAAAGTACCACTTAACTGCTGGACTGCACTCGTATATACATTAACCTGCTGGGACACCCATTACGAAATCCCAGCAGAGGCCTGAAAAACAAGCTCCTGGTGTTTGTTCCTTGCATTTTCTCCCTGTGGACTCAATTAGCAGTTTCTACCCCCTTGGTGAGGGACCTTTTCTTCCCACCAACAGAGGGGAGACACTGGGAGCACAGATAGGAAGTAAATACTGTAAATGTTGGTATCAACAAGATGAAAAAAACAAAAAAACAACTTCATTTGCAACACTAACTTATGGCATGAGGAAGAACAGCTACTCTGATAGCAGATCAACCAAAAAGTCGAGTAAAGTCCAGAAGATCAAGTTCGCCTCGAAATGGTGTAGTGTTTCACATTTATGCTTTTGAGTTGCGTCACAAAGTCATAAGTTAAGGCCAGATAAGACCGTTAAAGGATATGTTGATCTTCAAAACTAAAATGTCTGGCTGCCAGGTAAAGGTTACGTCTCGAAGTCAAACATGCAGGAAGAGAGGGAGTCTTCAAATGAATAAGCACTGTGACAATAATGTGACTCAGTCTATTTCAGGAGGCTTTTGAAGGGGAAAAAAAAGTGTGAATTGAATTCCTACATGAAGGCTCTCCCATCCAGAAATGTGCAGTTTCTATGTAGGTGTGTAGTTCTTTCTAGTAACACCTGTTATCGCCACCTTGCCAGCTTCTTGTGCAGAAGTTAAGCACAGACTACCAAACCATAGTGTTGATGGTTGTGAGGTACAAACAGCTCCTTTACGCAAATATTTCCACATGCACACAATTCTTACACTCCCAAACAGTGTAAATTCCTCTAAATAAACAGGTCTTCACTCTTTGATAATAGTCAGAACAAGCACAAAGATAATTGAGGGTTATCATGTCAAACCAGTTTCCCCGTCTACAGCCGACAACTCCCACTGGCTCAGTCAAGGAAATTTTTAGATTCAGTCCCAGCAGGGCCAGTTTGTAACAATGGACTGAGTGAGTGATGAGTGATAACAAAACCATGAGAAAAAAAAGGGCGGTGAGGAAGGTAACAGAGGTCATTAACCCCGGAAGCTCGGAGGAGTCTTCACAGACCAGTTTATGTGTCAGTGTTGATTATGTGTTCTTTCAGCACATGCACAAACAACCTACAGTCATAAAAACACTCTTTAGACTCCTCTGTAGGGTCTCAGTGCAGCAGAGGACAAAAGTCAGGTAGATGGTAGATGCTCATACACACACACACAGACTGTACAGAACTACAACAAACAGTATTCGCATTAATATTATATTATTACGTGAGCATGTCAAAGAAGTGAAGAAGAGGAAAAATACTAAATTAGTCCCTGCTGCAGTTTGTTTGAATTTACTCCAGTGTCTGAGAAAGCAGACCACAAAAATTTGGGATATGTCACCTTCAGCACTTTCATATGTGGAAAAAATGATCTGTTTTCCTGTTTCACCACAGGCAACATTTAGTTTTAAACCAGAGAAACAGGAAAACAGAATAAATATTTGATGATTTTCTGAATATTACTGATGAGTTCTTCAATATCTTCTCATGCTTACCAAATCATCCATCAAGGAAACGCATACAATGTGATGTTGACTGTGAATTTAAAGCTGCTTATTTCCTGTAAGAGTCCAGCCAATCTTGCTAAAGAAGCCGAAGTCAAAAATTACAGCCCTACGTATATGTGTGCATGAATATATAGAAAATCAAAACAAAATCATCCATCTTGCACTAGATTATAAAGAGATTGCAATCATTGTCAGCGGTTCATCAGCAGTTTATCAGCATATGATGAACCAAAGGCATGGCACGTGGCAATTTGTGATGTAACACGTAATTTAGTTTTAGCAGGAGGCTAGCCTGTTAGCCTGAAAATTGTGATCAAAGCAGAAAGAATGTGATCCAACATTATAGACACACCCAGAAAAAACAGCGTTGTAAGGCTAACCTGTTACATCAACTGTTTTTACCAGAATATCGACGACTGACACATGGAAGAGAGGGACCCTAACAAAGTTATCAAACAACCTTTAGGAAGACCAGAGAAACATTTTCAGTACTTTTAGTAACATCACTATGTTTCACTCACAGCATGGCAGCATATCACTAAGGGAACTGACATACGAAACACAATCTCTAGGGTTTATAGAGGATGGTCCCAAAACGAGAAAATATCCAGTTTTACGGATGAAAATGCCTTGTTGATGTTCAAGGTTAGAGAAGAAGAGGAGGACTGGGACCAACTACGCATCGTCTGGATATTGTTGCTGACCATGTCCATCCCTTTATGAACACAGTGTACCCATCCTCTGATGGCTATTTTCAGCAAGATACTAAACCATGTCACAAAGCTCGAATCATATCAAACTGGTTTCTTGAACATGACAATGAATCCACTGTACTCCGGTGGCCTCCAGAGTCACCAGATCTCAATCCTATAGAGCACATTCGGGGTGTGGAGGAACGGGAGATTTACATAATGGATGTACAGCCGACAAATCTGCAGCACCTGTGTGATGCGGTCATTTAATATGGGCAGAAATCTCAAAGGGAGGTTTTCAACACCTCGTTGAAAGTATGCCACAAATATATGACAGTTCTGAAGCCAACAGGTACAGGTACATGTCGTGCCATCTATTGTAATTGGGATAAAAACCCACTTGCCTACCTTCAATTCATGTAACAAAATATCACAAGGAATTTCAGTCTGATTTCACAATAAATGTCCCCATTACATCAATCAGTCTCAGAAGATAATCCCTGACCCACTCTTCCTCTGCAGGGTTTGTCCGCACATCAGTAAATGAGTGAGCTGGTAATCCATTTACAAAGATAAGATGCTGGGGGTGAAAATAACACACAGTTTCATCAATCTGCTTTTGTTTAAAGGGCAATTACACGAGTGAACAGGCTTGTTTGGCCAGGAAAAGAAGTAGTCTTGCCAAATACGGCCAACTAAAGCAAACAAAGTTCCCACATACCAAAAACTCAAGATTCCTTTTCAACTGCACCTGCTTAAGTTTGAGTTCTCATGCTTCAGAAAAAAAGGCAGATATTTACAACAAGGCAGCTGTGATTGAATTTGTTGATGAATAACTGCTCCAAATGTTCCCACAGATGAAAACACATATTTTTTATCAAAAGCATACATATGACTGCTCCCTCGAAACATTGTTGGATAGGCAGAGCTTCCTGAACATTGGTCACAAGGGATATAGACAGCCAAGTCAAATAGATGGAGTCTAAAAGGGAAACTCAACTGAGAGGAGAGGTTAGAGCCATCTGGTCATAGGCAGACCAGCAGTGGTGTGATGAGGAGGTGGGAGGGCCTTCCTTGTAACAGCTCAAAGTCTGTAAGTGAAAATAGAGGGAAGGATGTGCAGCTTACGAGCATGGAATAGTTAAGATTACACAAACAGCTAAAAGTCTGATAACACAAACACACAGTATTATCAGGAGGACAGAGGGAGGGTGGTTGTAACTATTACCATGCGACCTGCATTAAGTCCTATCAGCTGACAGCAGCACAGCACTTCATTTCAGAGCCTCACTGTCACAAATCTCTGTGCAGATTTTTCACCGGATGTGCCAAACACAATTATTTGGACCAAATATGATCAATTAGCACTGCATGGAGACTCATTTGTAAAGGTATGCGTGCTAAACCAAGTTCAGGCTGACAGAATAAGTCGTTTTCCTCACTTTCATGAGACATCGGGAAGAGGCTCTGCGACCGTTAAGAGGTGTTGTTGGGCGATTGGTGGCCTCTTGAGGCATTTGTGCACTAGATGTGAAAAGAGAGGTACAGGTTTGGTTCACCTCAAGTACAATGTATGTCTCTACTGCAAACGGCTCACTTGTAAAGCTTATCTTGATTCTGATAAGAAATGGGAAGCTAATAATGTCTGATGATCTACAGTATATTTGATACTTACACCAGAATAATCTGAGATTCAGGGATTAAATATAATATTTCAAGAAAATAGTCATGATATTAAAAGCCATAAGGAAATAAGATTGTTTTATTGAAAGAATCTGGGTCTAATCCTAAAAAAGACAGTCCAATAGGCAGATATTTCTCCAATAATATCACCTTCAGTTGTCCCTAGTATGACGACAAATGTCATGTGAAAACAATCCAGCACATTTCAGCACTGCTTGTTGATACTGTGGCAAAAAAGTTAGATCAAGATCCTGTCCTGCAATCCAGGCAATGGCAGAAGAGCTGATGAGTACATCTCTAAGTAGCTAACCATGACGAATAACTTGAAGCTGTAGTGTTAGAAAACTAAGACATTTGCCTCGTCTATGCTTCAATGTACGCAAACTGTTACGTTTTGAGACATCCTGTTTAACTTAGCAAATGTGACATTTAATGAAAATGTAACAAAAATAAAAAGGACAGGCTTACGTGTTTAACCTGTTTTTATATTCCTTTGTTGTGATATTTCTTTGCTTTTAACGTGTAGCCCTTTGAGGTCTCGGGATGTAAAGGGTACTACAAATAAAATGTATTATTTATTATTACATTTTGATTGACAGCGATAAAATATTCTAATAAAATGGTAACTTCAAGGATGAATCAATCTTTAAAAATCAATAGTCTGTGTGAATCAGTTATTGTCTTTACTTGATGGCAGGATAACGTGGTAAACAGGTGGTTATGCTTTTTTACTATGCGTCACTACCTGAGAAGCACCCAGCAAGTGTTAAAGATATCTCAATTTCTTTTTTAATGTGAAAATTAACAACAAAAAAAAGAACCAGGAATAGTTAACTCCACCTACTACAATCGTTCAATGTGAGGTTGTTCCTACGCTGTACTCTCTTATCCGCCCACGCTGCTTTTGGAATCATACGCACATACTCTGGTATTCCCACAGCAGCTGGATCTCGGCCAAGTCTGCTCTCTATCTTTTGAAAGCTTTGCTCCTTGGTTATTAGGTGTGGCACTCAGGCAAAACAAATACACGGTTCCCTTCTTTGCCTCACCTTCTTTTTACGGCTATGACAAGTGGCTTACAAAACCAAACTCCCCGCGATTTTCTAAAGCTGCCGATGGATAGATGCCTCCACAAACAGCATTCCTGGTTGTTATGTCGACTGCACGTGTATGCCAACTCTTCTGTAGGGCACTCTGCTTTTTCCAGCCTCCGGCTTCTTTGGAAAGCTTGGGAAGTGTGTTTGTGTTAGTGTCTAAAACAAGAGCTCTTCTCTACTGCCAATCTGCAGGCTAAAGGGAGTCTAATGTGAGGTTCATACACACAGGCCTGCTCTGGTTTGGATGGATGGCACCTGCATCCAGACTGTTAATTTCTACTCATCAAAGATTCATATTTATTACTTAGATTTAAAAAAAAGACACAAATCAGTTACACAGCAAGTCTAATTTTCTACACAAGCTCTCAATCCTATTTAATGTAACTTTGGGTGCCAAACAGTGGTCTGTCAGTGCCTCACATCAGCAGCTGTATCCATGTATCTGTGGATTTCATCATTTCTCGTCTCTGATTTCGATGATATGAACCGTTTCTGGATAAGGATCTTCCTGTGTGTGCAACAACAGTCATACCACGAGGGAACAAACATCACAAAAACACAATACAGTACTACAGGAGCACGTAGGGTCTCATTGGTCTGTTGCCATGTGAGGGGGCGGTTCAAGCTGCAAAGAGTGGGTGGATGAGAGGGGGATGGGGGAGATGTTTTGGCGCCATACAGGGTAAGGGGGGTTGAGAACAAGGCAGTGTGTGTGTGATATATGGAGTAGAGCTGGAGCAAAGAAATGTCTGAGGGGGTGCATGCATTTGCAGAGCCCTTTCAGGAAACTGGAGGATTGCTATGTGTGTATGTGCGTGCGTGCGTGTGTGTGTGTTTCTCTCCGAGGCTGAGGTTCATGTGGAGACCAGATGTGTGTCCTCCTGTCTAAGTAAACACAGAATAGGGGGGACTCTCCCGGGGTTCCCCGCCATAAATGATGAGGCTGCTGAGACAAATACACATACATGAAGATGTTTCCTCGTCGTAAAAACTACAGCACGCATTCCTTTTTCTATTTTGCAATTCTTCTTCCTCCTCTTTGCATAATTTCACCCTCAGCCCATCCAGATATATTGATGTTTTTTCTCTCAATCTGCGCTAAATCTTCCACCAAAACTTCCAGGACTCCAGCAGCTCGGGGTTTTGCAAACAGAATGTTGACACTGTAGATTTTTTAAACGCAAACCTCGATCTTTATGGTTTGTCACTCCAAAGCATAGGTCAAAAAGTAGGAGTGGCACAGCCCACAGACTATGGACTGTGCTGGAAATATATGTGTGGGCTGGCCATCAAAAACAAAAACATACCATTCATTCATACTAAATAAAAAAAAGCTGTTTGATGCAGGAAAACACCCCACAAGGATGTATCAAACAGAGAAACATACTTGTTAATGTTTTGTAGATGCAGGATATGCCACAAAAAGAAAACAGAGTAGCAAGGGCAACAATGGAGACCTTAAACCAAATAAGGATTTAAGGATTACAAATCTTGCTGCTTTTTATTTTTGTTTGTGCTTCTTTCTGGACATGCCAGGGTCCTTAAAAGACCTGCAGCAAAAAAAGAAAGAGCCTGGATCACGACAGAGACTAATGAGGTAGAAACAGGCGCACAGGATAGTCAGGTTTTATCGAGTGGAAGGTGCAGAGGTCCGTGACACATATGGCATTCCAGTGACATGAGGTGTCACACCGGTGACAACTTGGCCAACGACCAAATACAGTAGGCTCCTGCTTCCAAAAATGACATTCCCTGTTGGATACCTAACACACACGCGCCTCCCACAAATGTCTATTTTCATGCCTGGTAAACAGAGACAAGTTCCATTCATGTCTGAGGTCGGTATGAAATTTCCCTCCTAAACCTTCAAGAGGGAAAATGACCGAGGTCGAGTTTGAAAACACAGAAAATCTGAGCGTGAGCAGCTTAGAGGATTTCCAGGTTGTAGGAGGAAAAACAAACAAAGCGTGTGCCGTAGTTTCGGTGATAAAAACACACAGCTACCAGGCGAACGGACACTTCCTGTCTGATACTTTTGTGGTCTCTTCCAGCAGAGGACGGTGGAAAGAAAAGAAACCCAATTTCTGGAGATAATGGAAAATACTGGTTTCAGTCGAGAAGCAAGATAGTATTTGTAGAAAGAAGAAAAATTAGCATAAACAAACAAAACATCTGTAATCCATGCTGGGGAGTGTTCTGGCTCCAAGAATAGCCAGATTTCCAGAAAAAAAAACTATTCAAAGGTTCTTAGAAATGCCAATCAAGGGAGGCTGTTTGCCTGCTGGTCAAAGTGCACCCCTCATATACAGGCAGCCCGGGTTCAATTCCACCCTGAGGCCCTTTTCCTGCTCTCTGCACTGTTTCCTGCTCTATCCTCTGTCCTTACCACTGTCAACAAAGGCTAAAAAAGCCCCAAAACACACTCTCAAAGACAGCCAACCAAAATGATGGATTTGAATCTCTGTTACCATCTTTAATCCATCCAGGTGATAGAGGAATGACTTAATCTGTTTGAATGAGAAGGTTGAAATCCTAATGCAGGCAGACCTCTGACTGGCATAAGAATCTGCAACAATCTCAGATATTCATGTATTTGTGTGATGCCCCAATCTAAACCCATTTGCTCACTTCTGGTGAGCATATGGCTAATGGAGTGGTGGTGATCAGTCCAGTGCATCTATAACAATGAACAACTTCCATTCACCAGGTCTTTTTCACAAAGGTAAAAATTCATGTGGATCAAGGTGGACGTTTTTCCAATCATTCCCTTCACAGATTAAAGAAAGGAAGAGGAGGGTAGATGTGATTGGGAACAGCATGTCTCCTCAAACAGCAGATTGACCTCTGCTGCCCTGATCCGCTTCTGAAGCTTCAGCCCTTTACTCCTCTCTACTAAGTAATTGAATTCAGGCTTAATGACAGAGGGCTGAGAGACATTTGCTGAAGAAAACAGCAAAGTTTCAAACCCATGTGAGAACACAAGAGAGAGATTTTGATTGTGTTTCCACAGTGTATTACCGATGGGAGTTGCAAAAGGAGACATCAGACGTACTGCTTTTCACATGCTTTCATTCTCCATGGAAAAAATAATGTTCTCCTGCCTCTGCTTGGCATCTTGTCTTGTGGCTCATATTTAGAATTATAGGCTCACTGTTTCCGAGAGTCATGGGCAATCCAGGCTGAAACAGATTCAACACACGGATAAGGGCTTTGTATGAGAACCATCCACAGCTCAGCTACAACACTGATATTTATCAACTCTATGTTTATAATCCCTTCATGATACCTTTTTGAACTCCTCAGGAAAGATACTTCATTCCTGGTAGAACTATCACAACTTCCTGTTTCACTGAAGGAAATATAGGGTAAGGGTTGACAGCATCCCATCAGGACTGAGTGACTGTGTCAAGACCCACATGTTCCTCAGACAGAAATAAGAAGCTGCTAATCCTCTCTACAGTCAGGAGGAAGGGGAAAAAAATACTTTCCATGGAATGTTTGCCTTTATTATTCCTCCTGGATGGCTACAACAGGGATCAACAAAACTTCTGTTTCACCTCCTGCTGGTTCACCGTACGCCCGTTTAAAAAGAGGAAACCCTTACCAAAGTTTGGAGGCTGTATTATGGAAACTTAAACTTAACCCTTTAATGCCTTTTGTATCATATATATTTTTATGATACTTCTATCAAATCAATATGATCAACAAATTACTAATAAAACACCTGAATACAGTCCAATAAATGATAAAAATGTCCTCTTGTAGTTTATCAGTTTCCAAAAACATATAATGTATCAAATGAGATAAGTAAATATATTTGTTAAATTTTAAGGACATTTTAATTTTTTTGTTTTGTTTTCAGTAGTAAGTGAAATTAAGATTTCAAGTGAATTTCTTTTGCCATAATTAGTGTTTTTTTTGCATTAAAGGGTTAATATTGTGAGTAACTACACTGGATATGAACAAAGACACATCTGTTTAAATAAGTGTGAAAATATATTTGCATGTCAGATACAGACGGCCTTTTGCTCTGAAGCATTCAGTCATTTAGTGCTGCTGACATTTGCCTATATGATCCTTTATAGCTTAGATTTGACAGCATTCATACAACAATATAACACCGTTCTTATTGTCATTTGTTGAGGAGCATTCAAAAGACTTATCCCTCAGTATGTTTTGTAATACAGATTGGGGAGGCATAAAGGCAACCTTCATATACTTAGATGATTTACAATGCTATTATCCACAAAAACATGGGTATGCACACACATACAAACACAGAAGTGTGTCTCAGCTTGTTTTTTTCTACAAAATTAATCAGCAGCATGTTTCTTAAGACACCCCAAAATCACAACTTCTTCACTCCTGATTCTGTTATCACAACAGATGATCTCTGTGAGGAGGTCAATTAATGAAGGAGATCCAAAACAAAGATATTACAGAATGAACAGCTGCACAAAACTATGAAAAACTTATGAGGGAGTTCATATTTAGAAAAAAACTCACACTTCAATCAATACATCAACAAGAGGGACGTGATGAAGGACATCTCTCTCTTTCTGTGATTGTCTGCAGAAGAGCACACGCCAGTTTCCACATGCTGTGAACTTAGCAAGGGGGAATCAGTGATTGCAGATGGCAATCTCAGATGGATATAAAAAAGAAAGATATAAAAAGGTTTGGCGGTTATACTTTGGCTCTGCCAACAGATCTGGGGGACCTGCCCAGGTATTTGGGCAGGCCCCCCAGATCTGTTGGTAGGGCCAACATCATGATTGCTACTGGTAGACACTCACCAGGGCTGCAAAGTCAATCGCACTTTCCTGAACAACAACAGCACTTTAATGCCACTTCACTGCCTTTGTACCTCCATATTACAGACACCATATCGCCATATCATGCCAGGTATAAAAAGGGTGAAAGAAACTGTCAGCTATAGTTAAACTGCACGCTAATATGTGTATGCCAAACTTTATATAATGATCATGATATCAAATTATGTAATTGCACTTATTTCAACCACATGCCGAGCAAGCACACACATAAACATTTAGAAGGACTCTACAAAGCTAAATCAGTTAGTGTTGAGTTCGTTCTAACAGTCTCAGATATACTGCGCTTTACTTTTGCCATTTGTCCAGACAATTGTGCATTTTTTGTTAAAGCTCCTGTGAGGAACTTCTGAATTGTGTCAATATTGGCAACCCCTAAGGACAAAACGACCGTTGATTTTCTCATCCTCTGCATGCTTACATAGTGTCTACTGGCAAAAGATCAGACTTTTGACGAGTAGGGGGTATTATTTTTCCGAAATACTAAATGTGGAAAATGTAAATACATCAATCGTGTCCCTGATAGTCTTCTTTGCTATTGGATATCACAAGAAGAAAACAATTTGAATTTCACTGTATTGTATAGATGTTGAAAAAGTCCTCACAGGAGCTTAAACTTTGTAACAGTTCAAAATATTTAAGCATGAAGCCAAAACATGGAGGAGATTCCGCAGAGTTATAGGTGCTTGACTATATGACCAGCTGGTCCAGCATGGATCATTCCTGAGATTTCATTTGAGCAGAATGCTTGTTCACATATCAAGCTTGACATTGTTCTGCACAATCGAATCAAAAGCTGCATGAAAAGAACAAGAGACAGAAACAAAACATAAAAGAGGAGACCACATGAGGATAAGTAAGAAAGACAGGATGGTTTTAAAGAGAGGTACATTGACATCAAGGGGTGAAAAAACAGAAGAGAGTGAATTAAAGTCTTGTTCATGGTATGATTCAGAAGCGATGAAAGAGATTTCGCTTTCTTAGAAACACAGACAGCAATGTGAATGAGCAAGAAGTCTTGTTCCTCCCACACTCTAGTGACAGTCTGAGGCCAGCTGGCCCGGCCAAAGCGTCCATTCACGAGGTTTTCAGGATGTCAGGAAGGAAAAGAAATCTGAAATAAGGGGGATACAGCGACCCACTGTCAAACTCATACTAACAGTGAGTGTTGTTGAGCCTGCTCCCACAGTTCTTGTGGAATGACTTTTAGATTTGTCATCAACTAAAAACTGATTCTCACCTGGAATGAAACAGACTCACCTTGTCTTTAAGAGACTGATGTTTTTCTGAATACATAAGACAAAATTAAAAAGAGAAAATGACTACAACAAAAACCCAAACTCACGATTTGGTTTACGGTCAAAGCCACTGCATTATGAGTAAAACGCAGTAAAAAGTTCATCCACCTCGCTAAGAAAACACTACAACTTAAAAAAAAAGGGAAAGGCCAGGACAGCAGAGGGCACACTCTGAGGTACTGTCATCAAAAAAAAAAGGAAAAACAACCAAAAAGATCTGAGCAAATGATTGAGATTGGACTGTAAGGTGCTCAAAAACTGGAACAAATTCCCCTCAACAACTATGTATCTCAACAGCTGTGTGCTGACAGGTAAGCTGGATGGCTCATCTCCTCTTTACAGCAGTGGTCATCCTTGATTTCCAACAGTAACACCAAATTTTGACCACAGGACTGTTTCCACATTAGTTCAATGAGCTTAGGCCAAAAGAAGTCAACAGCATCTCTAAATTATGGTGATACATCGTTTCCTCTTTGCATCGTAGAGTTTTAACCTGTGAGTGTTAGCGCGGAAATAAACATTTCTCACAGACCAAGAGTTATGAAAGTGAATTGGAGCCCATGTGATGATTTTCCCAACAGAGTCGTGTCTGTTTTTAATCTAGTGAGGGCCAGAGGATCCCAGACTCCCAGTATTGGTTTTCAGACTTGTCCACATAGAACAGAAATTTTTGCATCTTCTCTCAATTTTACTCTTGGGAACATTATTTTGAAGTTGGTGAACTTTTCGCTCATACAGTCTGCCACAAGTTGTGAACTTCTCCAAATCTTTACCTCTGAGAAGTTTAGCCTTGTCCATGTTTTACTGTCTCTGTTTCATTATTTAAAATTCAAAGGAGCACATAATTTCCTTTTTTTAATTCATTTTCCATTCATTTTATATTTGCACCATTTTCAAAAGATGAGTGATAAACTTCGACAGAAAGAAGGGCGTTTGGCAACAGCTTGCGATTCTCTTCCTAAACCAGGTCTCAGATGTGGCCCAGAGAGGTGTAGAAAAACATGATCAAATCTAGATGTTGTTCTGTGTTACCACTTTAGGTCATTCTGTGTAAAATCACTTTTGACAGCATGAATTTAGGAGCGACCGACTGATTCGACTCCTTTTTGCCCCGGGAAGATTCCTCTCATCAGGCGAACCTGCTGAGCGCGGCTCTGTCATAAAGATGGCGGGCACTGATGAGAATCTTACTGAAACATTGCTGCGGTTAAGTGCATGGCAATAGACTGACAGAGCTGGGCGGTGTTCAACTTTCTCAAGGCGTGAAAGGAGGTTGAATGCTTGTGGGGAAGGGGGGGTGGGGGGCTGTCACATAGGAATGATTGCCTCTTTGTTCCTCCCTCACTTGTTTCTTTGTCACTAGACAAGAAAGACGGGTATTTAGTCTTGGCGGTGCGTGTGCTTCTGACAGGTGTGCTTGGGTTTTGGGTGGTGATTTGATACCTACTCACAGCTAAAGTCAAGGTGAAGTAAAAAAAACCCACATATCTCAGACAGGAGCTTTTCCAGACTGTATCTTTGAAAAACTTACCACTAGATGATGAAAAAGAAGCTCCCAGGCCTGACTCAGCTTTTGGTTGAGAACCATGTCAAAGAAGTCGTAGATGAAGTAGCCTGTGAAGATAAACTTGATGTTAATTTCACATCTACATTAATTTATTCATTACACAATCAAATCACAACAGATTGAAGCCCGGAGAGTGTCAAGCCTGTTGATGGTGGGGGGGCTGCTTCCATGACGACAGCGATAGCAACAACGACGTGTCTTGGAGAGGGGCTATTCATATCCTCCAACTAACCCCACCTCTTCCCCTCCACCAGCTGTATCCATGGTGACAGCTATTCAGAAAGTAGGAAAAATAATGAAGTGTTGAGGAGGGGGGACGAAGGGGTGCGAGGGCGCCCAGGGCTTTGAGGAGACTAGAATTAACCTAATTATGCAAGAAATCTGACACCAGGACCTTTTTAATGATGTGGAGACGTGTTTTAGTCTGACAAGCTACACATAAATGGGCGATATACACTACAGAATAGATGTGTACCACAGATACATCAAGAAAATGAGTTTATTGGCATTACCTGGTCTCTATAACAGCTCTTGTAGCATCAACAATAAGCAGGTAAAACTATGTGTAGTCTTTGCAGCAAACACATTCTCTATTTCAACAAAACTCCCCTTTACACATGCAGCAATAGCGCTTTACATGAACAGACAATGTTCGTCTGACTTCAGTCTACTTTAGTGGTATGATCACAAAGAAAGGACTTGACGTTTCTTGTGCAGCTGAAGGGTGTTAAATTTGCAAAAAATTACACTACCTTGCAAATTTTGATTCATGAGTATGTCTGTAAGCATTACTCTGTTTGTCTTCAAGAAGAGAAGAAAAGACATTTCACAGTGCTTGTTTCCTGAAGGAGATGGATTCATCACTTCTGATTGGCTTTATTGACAAAAAGTACATCAGATTTGTTGCTGTAGTTGATTTTATACAACATAGATCAAACTGTAAGCTGCATCTGTGGGTATCTCTTCATATGCATAAATGAATCATGCCTAGACCACGGCGTCATGACAATGGATTGTGTTCTGCCTGCTTTTTTACATATGTACAGTAGGTATTCAAGATGGCGTTAAGTGATATACACTGGTTTGTTTACGTGAAGAGGAAATTCCATTCTCAAACCAGTTCGTCAAACAAACAAGCGGGTTTCAGGCTGATGAATGCCAGCATCACATCTCTGCTGAAATGACCCACTTAAGACTGAGAGACTGGATTAAGACACTTAGCTTGATTCTTAGTCTGCCAATTTATAGCAGTGTGTTAAAAACTCAAAACTAAGGCTGGTAATTTCTGCAGTGCGAGTAAACCATAATCCATCACTCTGTATCAAGAGATATACTTCTATTTACTTTTAACAATGCTGTTTTTAATTAGAGATGACCTAGAGATCTACTGTTTGCATGGAAAACACCATTAAACCATAAACTGGTTAGTCTTTGGAAATGAAGAGCAGCACATTAGAAGCACATGAAACCGGTATAAAACACTGACCAACGTTGGGCTGTAAGGCGTATACAGTATTTCCTAATTATCACAATTTATTCTTTTCAAGCTGTGGAGACTAAATCATCGCACATCCTTGCATGCGAGATTTTTCAGTCTGGCACTCCGACCAGCTGAGCTGAATCTACAAAACGCCTGAATCTACTTTCTGAGGGCCTCAGAGTCACACCACTTTCTAGTGGGCGGGTAAGAGAAAAGCACCCCACTTGTTCTTCTGAGGATGACTCCCTTTTGTGTTATCGCTGGCATCTTGCATAAATTGACTGACTTTTTGCGTAGTTGCAATGTTTGGGTGATGTCACGTGACCGTACGGGGTTACGCCTGGTGCCTGGGACTGATAATAATGCTCCCCATTGATCTTCACATACCGACAGCGCTCCTTGCTTTGCCAGCTTCCAGGGCTGGGCTTCCTGAAAGAATGTCAAACATCCTGGGAATCCCTGGGGAGCACTTGTTGCCTGGCACAGATCCAGTAAATTTGTTCTTTTAAGAGGTCTCACGTGCCGCTCGCCAGGCCATAATGATTTAGGGGTTAATGAGAAAAAGTAGGGTGAGCTGCTATTTTAAGAGTGTGGGGTAAAAGTTGAATATGACTGAAAACAATAAGAAAATCAAATTCACCTGACTCTCTAAATTGGTTGAGGGAGAAACGATGAATTCTCAGGAGCCAACATTATGGATTTCAAGAAATAATAAGTGAAACAGTGTTGTTTTTTTCGTCAACGCACCTTTTTTTCCACGATGAAGACGTGACGTTGACGAGCTAGACATGAGTCTTAGCAAACTAAAATGTGACAAGACATTACATGTGCGTTTACGCTGACGAGACTAGACGAAAACGTTAGTGGTGGACGATGAACATAGTTGCAAAATTCATGAGCATTTCATCAGTCAACTGCTAAACATATACTCTGCAGTGTTGTCTTCGTTGACGATGACGTTGACGAAATATTTTTGTCTACGTCGTCGTCAACGAAAACAACACTTAAGTGAAGAGGAAGTTATCTGCAGGAGTGCCTCTGTGGGTGAATAATTACAAGACATGTTGCACTGGCATGTGGTTAAAACTTTCTCTGGATTGAAATTGAACAAATTAGATGAAGCCTCGATCAAAAAATGTTGCATTCAGGCTCCCTTACACTACCCACTGAGCAATAGACGGCTATTAGACGTCTAGTTTTCTTAGACCTAATTTCAACTGTATAGATTCTGTACATTTTTTGAAGTTGCACTTTAACCCATTATTCAATAACTATTTATTTCAAAAAGCAACTGTGAGTTGCATAACTGATCTCCAAGTGCTTAACCAAAATAATTATGATGGTCATTGAGCAATATACTGTGTAGTATGGATAAAGCCCAGATTTAAACTTGAGCTAAACTCAGTCTAAATTTAGACATCTACAAAACGTTCATCTTTATTTTAGACTAGTTTTAGGCTACATTTAGGTGTCTATTAGATCTCTTTTAGACCAAAAAATGCTCAGTGAGTCCAACTGGGAGTAATAATGTCACTTTCTTACCTTCCTTTGTCACTTTAACCCCCATGTGCACTCTCTTTCCCCACCTTCCCACCCCCCTACACAAACACCACCACCACCACCACCACCACCACCATCCTCCCATTCAGATAAGTCCACAATTAATTCAGCATTCAACATGTGCTGAGAGGCAACTCACCAATGGAAAACGACACCAATGCATGAGAAAACACGGAAAAGGTTTCTATCAAATCCTCTGCCATCTGTGGGTGACGGAAAAAGCTGAAAAAGAAAAAGACACAACTTTAGATAAAACATCTTTGCAGTGATTTTGGATTTTTCATGTGGATCAAAGTCTTAATACATCATTGACTAAATCTATTCCTATTCATATGACGATTATAGGTTGAAGGAACAAGGAGATAAATTAGATATATTGTCCGTAAAAGCCAAGATAAAGTTATTTCGTGTTCTCCTGAATGACCCGCGAAAAAATCAAGCGTCCATTTATGAAATCACACAACTTTCCCACCTCTATCCAAACCACATCCTGTTACACTCTGGTTTTTATCATTAAACATAAATGAAGTTTAGTCCAAACTCACCAAAGCACTCCCCATATCGCAGTGATCAGACTGTGCACGAAAGATGTGGCGATATTTCTCCATTTCCACGCGTTCCTGCAGGCGGTCTCAGGTATAGGGAGCCTCCGGACCCCCGCGTTGACAAGCTTGAAAAACCCGACAGAGCCTCCGGTCGTCAAAATCACTGAGCTCAACTCCATGATTGATAGATTTGTTCAGGGGGGGAAACAGTTTAAGTGGTGTAAGTCCTCAATTAAACGCGGTGTAGTGTAAGCTTCACGGTGGTGTTGGCCCAGACGCACAGACACAGCTCCTTCAGCTTCTTCTTCTTCTCTACGACGACTGAGACGCTCACGTTAACATACCGGTATTTTCCCAATCATGTCTGGTCACTCTGCATTCAGAGAGGCGAGAAAAAGGCGTGTTTCTTTGACGGTTATTGTCAAAAGGCGTGGACGACTCTTGTCTAATGATCCCACATTAACGCGGGTTTGAATATGTGCAAGGTTTAATTTCTCCTTGGATAAGATAAAGACCTGCATTCACGGGTTAGACTGGCGAAGGTGAAACGTGGGTGATGTAGTGAAGCCCTATTGACAGTTGTGAAACCGTCCTGTTGTAAAATCATCTCTCGCTTGTGTAACTTTTTGACATCAACAGAAACCAAACAACAGAGTCTCCCCGCCCTACTATAAAGGGGCGCGGCTAGGAGCACGTTTCATGTGTTATGTTGCGTTCATATACTGTAGGAAAAAGGAACATTTAGATAATTGGGACACATCAAGGTCAGTGGTTCTCAACTGGTTTCACTCTGGGCACCACATTTTCCCTTAAGCTGCGACCCACTTTTATAATTTTCAAACCAAGCAAATTTGTTTCTTTTCTTTATATATATATAAAAAACTCTAATCTTTGACATAAATCCATTTGTTTTATTGAGCTAAAGTGCATTTCAGAGCACAAGGAAGACAACTACTGAAGTTGCTTATACAGAAAATATTGAATATCTAAGAAATTAATAAATAAATATTTACTTTTTTTTACCAGTTCGTGACCCATCCAGAACGTGTCTGCAACCCACTTTTGGGTCAGGACCCACCTGTTGAGAACCACTGATCTAGACCATGAAACTTTCATGGGTTGTCAAATTGACAGGAAGAATAATATTGGGGACTTGTTTTTTGAGTAAAAGTGCATTTCAGAGTGCATGAAGGAGGCAACATTAGGATGACAACTACTGAAGTTGCATATACAGAAAATATCAAATATCTGATAAATTTACCATTAAATATTTACTTTTTTGACCAGTTTGTGACCCATCCAGAACATGTCCGCAACCCACTTTTGGGTCAGGACCCACCTGTTGAGAACCACTGATCTAGGCCATGTAACTTTCATGGGTTGTAATATTGACAGGAAGAATAATGTTGGGAACTTTTTACATGATCTATCATTCAATAAACCTGAGAAAGAAAATGCTTTTTCTTTGATTTTCTCAGAGCTGAATTTTTTGTATGTGAAAGTATTTTTGTAAAGCGATTTGTTTTAAACCCTGGAACCTTTATAATAAGCAGTTTTTTATGATAAATGTGTGTAACGGCAACTTTAAATCAAAATAGCTGATTTAGGCTATCAGATCAGGTTTACAGATCTGATAGCTTTTTTCAAATGTCAGTGATGCCAAGTATACATAAATATTCTACCAAATGTAGACTGTAGCCAACATCTTAAGGAAAAGATTGTGCATAGCTGCTTGGGTGTTAAAAATGTGTCAAATGTTCCTCCTGATCCTTAGGTTTAAACTTTTATATATCCACGTCTGTTACCAAAATATTTACCATTAATCTTTCAACTCATGCACGTTATTTTTTTTATTCAAAATTCTATTGCAAAGTAGGCCCATATTACTTCTTGCACAAAAGCCTAGAGAGAACAAGGATCTGCTGTTTTACCAATGAAGATTAATATTACAAAGTGCTCCTGAAGGCACCATGACGTATGTCTCTCTTATTCGTTCACAATACACTGTTGTGTTATGGGAATAGTAGTTTATTTATCCCATTGACAGAAAAATAATCGACATTACATGGTAATTTTACTCACTTGAAGTGTATGCTTTAATCTGATATTTTCCTTTTTTTCTCATTACTGACGTCTTATTCAGTAGAAGAGAAAAAATAAATCAGAGCTGCTCTCATTCAGAGCCATGGAAGCTTTGACTGCTGTAATAGTCTGTTATATAGCGCCTCCCTCTGGTCGACATCCAGTGATATGTTTTCCAGTTTGCACGGTACTACAGCATCCCAAGTACCTTTAGGGTTGTCTTATCTCTGGTTGTATCTGTCAGTGGAAGTTTAGGCCTTGATACAATAATCCTCGCAGAAACGTGAATAAACACCTGCAGAACAACTTTTCACTACTTCAAAAATATTTTAAAATTCCTGTTTTAAGTTTAAGGTACAAAAAATGGCCAAGATGTTTACTGCTGTTGACATCTAACATTTGACACATCAAGACATACAGTTTTAAACTATTAAAACCAAAGATTTTATTCAAGCCTCGACAGTTAAGATATATGCATGCTTGCAATGAAATTATTCCAAATGCAAGGAGCATTGATATGTTTTTTTTCCTCTGACATTCTAGAGATGACACTTAAGTTTCTTTGCTGCTTTGTATGCTATTGTTTTGTTCAAATTTATTTTGTTTGTTTTGTTCATACACGGGGTAAGTTGACCATAGGAGCCTACTCTTTTTTTGCATGCTTTATTATCAAGACAGTTATGTTTACACTCATTCTGTTGGTTTGCAGGGATGCACAACATCTTGAAATATATGCAGATACACTAGTTAGAGACAAAACTATGATTTTCTTGATGTAGTGATCCGAAATATGAAAAATGGCTCATCTTACCCCACTCTCCCCTACTGTGTATTGTGCATACATTGAAAGATACCACAAGGGAACAAAAACAAGTCACTGTGACTCAGATGTATTGTGAAGGGATGTAAAAAAGGAAGAAGTTGCGAGGAGAGGTGACTGGATTATATATCATCTCACATGCCTCCATGTTTGTTTTGCATGAACCTGTGAAAACTAAAGCATCCTTATAATCAGGGGAAATCCTCCCCCCAGAGAGTAAATGTGACGTTTCCACCAGTCACGGGTGACGTGAGTACGGGGGGATAGGCCAGTGTAATTGATACCACGGCATTCAACGTTTATAGAAACCTCCAGTTTACATTCATCTAGATTGACTCTTATAAAAGCGTCCTTTGTGTAACTAACCAATTACTTCCCTTCTCGGCTACGGTTGCTTGGGGGAGGGGCTTACGGTGAACACAGTGTTCCTATTGGCTGACACGCGGGCAGAGCTCCTCTGGTTTTAATGAATAATCCACATTTGTTTTTTCTTCTGCAGATACCGCTGTCAGCCTGTACAGTATCATCGTTTCTGGTGTATTTAGGTGGCAGAAATCAGGTGAGTCCAGCTCGACTACACTGAAAGAGTGTCCTCTGTCACTGGTGAGTGTTGGTTTTGTGGAAAGCCGGGTTTGAATGGTGGTCTCCTTCCTTTTAGACCACTTCATGGTGCTGCAGCTGCATGGTGGATCTCTATTGCTTAAACTGAAGCTTAAGTGATCATAATTTACTGTGCATAATATGTTATATGTGCATGGTCATGCTCGTTGTTTACATTCTGGTGCTTCCTCCTATTGTTCACATTTGTCCAAACTGGTTAGTCTTTTGTTTTGCAGGGTGTATAAAAAGAAGGTGAGGGCTGCCAATGAAACAAGTAACACGTTTGACAGCTTTCAGTATAATCCCAAGGATTTTACAGTGGCCTATCAGCCTCAAAGATTTAATCACTGTTTCTGGATCTGTCATGTGCAGAGGAAAAAAAAAGTATGATCAAATGTTTCTTCCAAATGCATCACCCTGAGGAAGTTACTCACTTTTGCATCTCTTGTGACTGTTGTTGGGGTGTTTCATGTTAACAAAACCAGTTGTAATTTGAGTCAGCACACTTGACAATAGCTGTTTCTCCCATGTGGGTTGTATGTTGCAGGGATGAGTAGGTGCCAAGAGCCAGGTGAGGAGGAGGAGGAGTTTGTGACTGAGATTGTTTGTCAGGAGACGGACCTGGAAGATGGAAAGTGAGTTATAAAGTCTCTATCTTTTATTTATTTTTCTTAAGACAAGTCTTTCTTCAGCTAACATTCTTTGTTTGTTCAATATTCATTATTCAATTATACTTCTTCCTTGATTATATTTCTACAGGATGAAGGAGGTTACTGTGGGAGACCAGAAGGTGTTGCTGGTTCGTACCCAGGGTCAGTTCAGTGCAGTTGGGGGTCAGTGCTCTCATTACAATGCTCCGCTTGCTAAAGGTAAACCTCCCTCCAGTTTTACTTTCTCAGTCTCTAAAATATCTCACATCAAACTTGAAAAATTTAAACCACATCCTCCCTCAGGTGCCTTGGTTGGAGACAGAGTAAGATGCCCCTTTCATGGTGCTTGCTTTAATATCAGGACTGGAGATATTGAAGAGTATCCAGGTCTGGACTCCCTCCCTAGCTATAAGGTAAAACGTACCTGTGAAGAAGTACTTTTTAACAGGAATGAGTCAAGAGGGGTATTTCTTTGTTTAATACATGATCTCCTACTTTCTCCCTTCTTTAATATGTCATTATTTTTAGGTAAAAGTCGAGGACGGCAAGGTGTATGTTTCCATCAACAAAAACGTAAGAGTGAGCTGTTTCTTAGTTGTAAAAGAACAAATGTTTGATTTTAATTTATGTAAAACTGATCAGTTTTTGTTGACAATTTTTTGCCTGATTGTTTTCCTCAGTCTCTGAAGTTGACCAGACGGATAAAGGCGATGTGCAGTGAGGCGCCAGAAGTAAAACACACCATCTTGCTCATAGGGGGAGGTAAAGCATGGATGTAACACACACTAGAGGACTTCATTGTAAATGTACTTGCAGTTTGAAAATAGTATTTGGCTCAACATGTATTTGCAGAGGGTCTAGAGATCATATTTGATTGTCTAGATTTATGGCATGTGTCTTCTTGCTCCTTGGAAAAGTGTCAGCAATATTTTTGTGATTCAGGCCCAGCCTCTCTGGTTTGCGCCGAAACACTGCGGCAGAACTGTTTCGAAGGCCGAATCATCATCATAACCAAAGACAACCTGCCTCCGATCGACAAGCCCAAACTGAGTAAAGTAAGAACCTAATTTGGGGAAGATATAACCAGTGTTCCTATGTTTTAGTATTTCATTTCTCTGTTTACCATCTTATTTGTCAGTATTTGTCAACAGCTTATATAGGTTTTTGATAAATGACTTTTCCTCTCTCAGGCTATGAATGTGAGCAGCGACAGCATCCTGCTCCGCTCAAGTGACTTTTATCACCAGCATGGGATTCAAGTATGGACGCAGAAGGAGGTGAGAAGCATTGTGGCGTTTAAGAATAGGCCGAAAAAGGTTTCTCGTTTTTGTTTATACAAAATCTGTTTTGTGTTTTTGTAGGTAGTATCTTTGAACCCAGCAAAGAAAGAGGTGAAACTGACCGATGGCACTTTGCAGCGTTACGACCAGCTGCTCATCTCAACTGGCTGCAGGTTAGACTCTCTTTCCTCAAGTTCTGTACACATGAAGCAGATTTTTCTCTTACATGTGGGTATCATAAGACAGACTGAAGAGACAGAACACAATGGAAACATTCATAAATCAATGTCGAGATCTCTGCCTTGGATAACACCACAGCATTCTACGATTTCATTCACAGAGCGCGTCCTCTCAGCTGTCCTGGATCGGACCTGGAGGGAGTGAAGTTACTGCAAAGCTACGAAGACGCAAAAGAGATTCACAGCTCCTGTCTGGGCAAGAAGGCTGTTGTAATAGGAGCCTCCTTTATAGGTTACAAAGTCTGTTTCTCTAAGCACAACAGAATCAAATAAAAGTCTGTTTTTATGTTTGATTACCAGGGTGATACAGGCACATGACATTTTTCACTGCCGTCTCTTTTTGCTTTTTATAAGCTCTTCAAATATTTGACAGGGAAAGCTAAGGTTATCTCACCTCACGTGTCGTCTCATGGTTATTGCGGACCGGTCAAGTGTTTTCCATCATTCCCACAGGCATGGAGGTGGCATCCTTTTTGTCAGACAAAGCTGCCAGTGTGAGCATGATCGGCACCACTAGATACCCGTACGAACGTTCCCTGGGACCAGAAATTGGCAAAATGTGTATGCAGGTAAAAGACAGTGATAAAAGTGATCACAAGTATGTGCAGAATATAGTTTTGGTAGTTTTTGTTCATAGAAACCAAGTTTTAAGACGCCTTCTTTTGGATTTAGATGCTGGAGGAAAAAGATGTGAAGTTCCACATGAGTGATGAAGTTGTTGAGATCAGAGGAGAAAATGGAAAGGTAACGACTTTCACCCTTCGAGCTTTCTTTGCTGCATTGTTATAATGTGAGAAACACTTGAAGAACAAACAAACAATGGATCTGTTGTACTGAAATGTCACATGACGCCCTGATCGTGGGCCAGCACTGAAATTTAGAAAGCTCAAGAGGACCTCGGCCATCAAATGTTTATTATTCACTCCTTCATGTTTTTACACGGTGCTGAATTTAGAGTGTGTTGTGTATGTTTCAGGTGAAAATGGTGGTACTGAAGAGTGGTGCAGTACTGGATGCTGATGTGGTGATTGCTGGGATTGGTAATTCTATTACTCAACCTAAACTGTGCCCAAATAAATATTACAAAACACAAATCAAGCTCATTACAAATGGCAGCCGCTGATTTAAAAACATAACACTGTAATTATGTCGTAAAGCTTTATCTCTTATGGTTACTTGAAGAGTTTCTTTGTCTGTTTTTCAGGTGTTATCCCTAATACAGACTTCCTGGCAGGAAGTAAGGTTGAGGTGGATTCAAGGCAAGCTGTGATTGTTGACAAGGTAACATACAGTCGACAGTGAGCAGAGCCTGCAGCTGAACCTTGATATTGACATAGCTGATGAAACATAAATATGACTTACCAGCTTTTGCTTGTTTGTGTTTTAATATAGTAGCTAATCCTGGATGTCATGTATCATTTAAACCTTTGTGTTTATTGTGTGTGGCTGACTGAAATGAACAGCTGTGTATATATGTGTTTGTTTGCCCAGTGATGATTCAGTCAACTCATTTATCTTCATCAGTTCATGAGGACAAATGTACCAGATGTATTTAGTGCTGGAGATGTCACCTCTTTCCCTCTGAGCATCCGTGGGGACCAAAGGGTTAACATTGGCCACTGGCAAATGTCACAAGCTCAAGGTAACAGCCTTGAGAATCATTGCAGCATTTGATTTGTCCTTTTTTTTATCCGTTATTTGAACAATTTTCTTTTCTTTGTATCATGTAGGGAGAGTAGCTGCTCTAAACATGCTGAAAAAGCCGACCGAAATCAACTCCATCCCTTTCTTCTGGACCGTGCTGCTTGGGAAGAGTATCAGATTTGCTGGTAGAGTATTGATGGAACATGCTGCTGACCTTTATATCACAATTATCTGACCCAGTCTTCATCGACTCTCATTTCCTCTTTTCGTTTCCTCTTTCAAGGATATGGGGAAGGATACACAGAAATCATATTTAAAGGCAAAGTGGAGGAAAGAAAGTTCCTGGCGTTTTATATAAAGTAAGCGTCAGTTGAATAACTGCTGCTGCATCTGAATGAACAGTTTGTGCTGATTTCATTTGTTTCTTCTTCTGTATCAGAGATGAGTCGGTGGTAGCAGCAGCTAGCCTGATGTTTGATCCCGCTGTGGCTCAAATTGCAGAGATGATGGCTGCTGGGCAGACTATAACAAAGGCACAGGCTCAGTGAGTTTAACCCTCATTCACACAATCTACAGAGTTCACTTAAATGTATGATGAACTCCTCAGATGGGGATAAAAGCCGTGGTCTTTGTATCCTGGGACTGAAGCAAATACTCAAAACTTCTTCAGTGAACCTGCACTGGGTTCAGTATGACCTGTGTAACCTGTGTTGACCAATTATTAGCCACTTGGGGGCAGTGAAGAGAGGTTATAAACACACCATTGAGATAACTTAATGAGGCAAATTATTTGCAAGTAATGGTTGTTTACATACCCAGAAATTATGAGCTAGACTTATATTATCCTTCAACTTGAGTTTGTGTTCACTCAGCAAATTTAAATCTTGATCTTTTCTCCTATTGCCTTGGTTTGGCTGTTCACCAACCCCTGACAGTAATATTTGCTCTCTTAAAGCTAACTTTTAATATCTGCTGTTTTCTAAGGACAGGGAGTTTTTAGTAAACTCTGGGACTTTATGAGTTACACATTAGAGTCAGATGGTACTACTCTTGAAACCCCTTAAATCTCCCTTTAGCTCCTTCAAACATGATATTTTCATCAGGTATACATGCCACAGAGTCATGGGGTTTTTAGGGTCAACCTGCAGAAAAAATCAGACCTGATAATCCCAACATTAAGGGGTACAAATGATACAGGAATATGACTGATTGAATAACTTTGATTCATGTTAAAATTATTAATAACAGACTTATAACCTGTTTGTCTCTATTTGGTGACGTGTGCAGATCTGATGACCTGAGCTGGCTGCAGATGTGACCCGAATCTTACTGACGCAGGATGTCACTCGTCTTTTTTTCCACTCCTCCGTTCTCCCTCTAACTGTGATGAACTGGATCGCTTCCTTTACTGCCTCAGAGCGTCTGAGAGCCAATCAGACGGCTCTTCCTCAGAGCTCTGTTTTAGCTTTATTGAATTTGCACATGCAGTACTGAGTGAATGATCAGTTTTGTGTGACAATTATACAGCACAGTGACCTGTCAGTCTTTGATGATATTCTCAACACATTTATTTTCAAATTAGCTCTCAGATTATTATTCCATTTAGAGTAAGAGTAATAGTATTTGTTTGACATTTACAGTTTTATAAAATGTGCTTCTTACCGTGTTATCTACTTTGTATCTTGAAAACACTCCATTTAGTCTTAGATTCAGGTTATTTATGAGTAACTTATTCTAGTCAGACACAAAGGTCAGTTGTAATACTGCACTTCACAAACACAGTAATGAAGCGATGATGATAATATGGTGTGATCAGTCATAAATGTTTACAGCAACCTGTGGCCTTTTACTTAGTCGTGTAGCTGATTGACTGAGAAACTTCCACTCAGATTTCTGTCTTAAGTAATCTGATAAAAAAAGAGTCTTATTTTTCACTTACTCACTCTTTGTTTTCTTTTGTTTTTCATCAGAGCACAATGTGTCGTGGCACATTACTAATGCTCATGTACAGGGATAATCTGTGAGGGAGTTTGAACACCACTGATATACCACATTGTTATGTTTACTGAAAAAGGCCTGTGGGTGCAGCATTGGCTGCAATTATCTCTGTTACAACTGCTTTAAAAACTGTTTAACAAAATGTAAACCAATCATCTGAAGGCATGATTAAATATTGAAAAACACACGCATTGGAGAGATGTGACTGTTTGTTTAATATGGCTCTGAATTTGATCTTTTTGACCTCTTTTTCTATTAATTTTTACAGACTCTTTCTATTGTTGTATGTTAACATGAAGATGCATCCATAAATTTTTAGATATTTGAAAAAGCTCAATATTTGAAGTTATTTAAGGCAGGAAAAATTTAATATTTTCTGGATGTTTTACACATACACTAAAATATTTCATTTTGCTTTTGTGAAGTTTTGATAATTATGACTTCCAGAACAAGCTTGATATGTTTCATTTTGCATGTCAAAAACACAAGAATGCAAGAAAGTTTACCTATAAAATATTTTTTCATGTACATTTTTCACAATATTCAAATTTCTTTAGATGCAACTTTTTTTTTACATTTTACTTTGTTCATTTCCATGTTACATTTAGCAACTGCAGCAAGTGGTATAAAATATTGGTAAGAAATTAAAAAAAAGATTCTGTACGAAAGCTCACCTAATTTGTAATTAGAAAAATAATGTTGTGGCATTAGTTGTTATGCAGCAATAAGCTATAATGCTATTCTCAAATTATATGAAACTTGAGCATTGCATTAGCTTCTTTATCTGCTGTAATTAATCTAGTTGTAATAACTTACAACAATCTAGACCCATTTAAACTGTGTTGATTTAGAGCTGTTATGATACTTTGTTTTCTGGACACTTTTCCTCAGGGTACAGACTGATCTTTATTTGCCTGTTTTGGAGCATTGTTTCACCGATGATCCCAGTTTGTCAGCCAACAGAAAAGGATTGAGGTGGCAATACTGAGGAGAAAAAAAAACAAACATGTGGGAGACTGAAACAAATATTTAGTTAAAAAAAATAAAAAAATTCTGCTAAGACTCATTCCTTTAGCAAATCTGGTCAAAACTGCGACATGGTAAATAAAAATAAGTGGAAAGATTCTGTGATATCTCACTAAGTAGAAAGGTAGCAAGTGCAGTTCCTAGTTATCCTTTCACAATAAAAGCTGTCAGGTTATTCTCTACCTGCGGTGTTGAGGCTGAGCAGGGCTGAGCTGGAGTGTCTGATGACTGGATTTGGAAATCTGGACAGAAACGGGAATTTTGGAGGATTGCTGCCATTTCTGCATCTACCTCCCCTGCCACGTCTTTCTGCACAGCACAAAAGTAATCATGGATATCAATAAAACACTGGATTAGACATAAAAATTACATAATAACAGATAAAATGTTTAAATAATATGAACAGAAAGATGGACATTTCATATTTTTACACTTTATCTTCTAGATTACCTTGAAAGAAAGCAATCTAGTATTTATGTTAAATTTGCCATACCTTAAAACTGTGGCGGGAATCAAAGTCCAGCTGATCAGGGAAATCTGCCACAGTCCCTTTATAGGTCACAGTTGCACCAGACAGGACTGGATTTTTGGGCAGCTTAAAGAGTCGGTAAGTGACAGAAGCATAGCTGATATCCCCTGCAAAAATGACACAGTGGCTCAGTGACAGAACAGAATCTAGCCTCTCAGGTATCAAATATTCATGCTGCCTTTTTGTACCTGCTTTTTCTTTGAGCTCACTGTTGTAGACTTCAATGCGACTCGCTGAAACGAGGTGTGGGGTGCTGAAGCCCACGCTTTGGGCCAGCAAAATAAAGTCATGCCAAAACATAGAGCCGCCCATTCCTTCACCTACAGAAAACAAAAAGGATGTTGCATGAACACAAGTAGTGCAGGAATTTAATTTCCATCTTTTACATTAAACTGAAGATGTTTTTTTTTCTTTACCCCACAGGACTGGATCTTGTTTCATGTGATCAGGAATGACTTTGCTGGCGTACATGTCACTAAAGTAGAGCTCACCTCCCTCCTGTTTGAAACAAGAACAATTAACAGTATATAATGTAAATGTACATTCATGTTTTTGATAATAACTCCTCAGACTAACCTTCAGGACATTGTAGGTTTGCTGAAGAATAGCTCTTTTATCAGCACACAAACAGATGACACAGTTGGATCTGTAAATAAAAGAAGGAAAAATTAATTTATTCTGGTTGTAGAAGGTCATTGAGACCATTGGCTGATCATTCAGAATCACATCTGTGCTTTACACCTACAGCACAATATCCATTGAGTCATTCTGTATCCCAGCCTCTCCCAGCTTCTCCATGTAACCCTGGACAAAAGTGATGTTAGGCTCTTTGTAGCCAAACTCCTTCTGATGATACTCAATGTACTGACGAGAAGTTTTGATCTGAAAAAACATACAAAGTAAATCAGTAAAAAGAACAAGGATAATTTGTCACATATTTGGTCTAAAAGCATGTGTGTTATCACCAGCTCGTCGGTCATATCAATCCCTGTGACATGTCCGCTGGGTCCAACAAGTTTACTGAAGGCATAACAGTCTCTGCCAGAGCCACTGCCGAGGTCCAGGACCCTGCAGCCAGAGAGCTTTGCTGGGAAAGGAAGACCACAGCCGAAGAATCTGAAGGAAAATACTGTTAATGACAACAGCGCAACACAAAAAAATCACTGTGATTCTATACGCAATAAGGGATAACAACAAACTAAGTAAGTAATGGGTGAATTAGAGTGCCATTACTGTACAGTATGTAGCACAAATATAACCATAAATATCCAACTAGTCAAAATTTCTCTTATAATATGGCGAATTATTGACTCCTGCTTTGTGTAACTGACAAACTACATTTTTACTTATTGTCTTGTTGTGAATATGTCTTGCAGCTTGGTAGAAGAAAATACAGAGATTAAAGCTGACACATATTAGTACTTATAACAATCTGAAACATACACTGGCACTCAGCATGTGTTTGACCTTTAATATTCAATCCAGCAGGTAAGATCTGATCAAAACATGCTGAGTCACCATGAGTATTTAATGGGTATCAAATAATTATTCACCCTGTCAATCATTCACCCTTTCATCTAAAGGCTGAGGTGTGTGTCTCTATATGTCCTTTCTGTGTTTAGTGCTCTTGTCCTAAAAAGTAAAGTGCAGTGCATTTGTCCCTCCAAAAAATAGGACAGAAAATATTTGCAGGTTTTGATTCATGAGACCATCTGATGTTGCATGTGCAATCTCAAGTTGTGTACCATATGTTACTCACAGAGTGTTCGGTTATTGCTAAAGGTGTTTGTGGTGCAAAAAGTGAATGTGAGGTAATATTGCAAGTCGTACTTTTTGGTTACCTCCGGATGAACCAGGCTTAATGCATCTGCGACACTCTTAACGGGGCGGCAGGCCAAGCTGCAGGCAGATGCACTTGTGTTCAACTCACAAGTGGACTGCAGCAGACTTCCATAGTACTTCTGCACACAGGAACACAGGACATAGAGGCTGTTTTTGTGATTTTATAAATCTTAACATGAATTGTGTGGTATATAAATCTATGATTACGATTAAAACAGTGTCACAAAATCAGATCCTTATCATTATGGTAAATAGTTACAGATTCAAAGCACAGAAAGGTTGCAGCCAGCTGATACTGGAATAAATGTTTACTCTATTCTGGTTAACATACGCTTTTAACGTGAAGAAAACTTAAAGTGAACGCCACACTTTCTCTCTAAGTCAGACAGCTCTCCACAAACTCCGTCTGGACTCGACTCCACCACACTGACGTACCTTCACGTTTTCCCGCACGTCGTCAGCAGATGCCATCACGTCGTCTTAAGTTCTAGGCAATGCAATTATCAGAAAAAAATGACTTCTTTGCATATGATTTACGCGACTATGAATATGTAGCTCGGACCCTCGGGTCAGACCTGGTCAGACCTGCCCCTCCTGCAGCACTTTTCCGGTGTATATTTTCAGAATAAAAGCCACTTTGAGAATCAATGGCACAAAGTTCTATGTTTTATGACAATAAAATAAAGTCAATTTAGAAACGAAACAGTATGACGGCAAACAAACTATTAAACTTAAAAATAATTACTGTAAAAAAAAATGTTAACAGAATTTACCCACTTCAGGTCAACTCTGCACAGTAGATTATGTATGACTACCCAGAAAAAAGCGATAATTTGCTCTCATTGGACGAGTTATGTATACAAAGTATGATAAAAGTATGATATGATTCGTTTAATTTGAAGTTTGATTTGAAACTTTTGTTTGGTTGACAAACGGCTACTACAATATCCATTAAGCCAATAACTGACCATATATTTCTCTCATTCCAATCTTGATAGTGTCATGATTTATTTCGGTGTAGAATGTATCTATTGTTCCATAGCATGGTGGTGTGGGGTGAACAATTATGTACAAATAAAATGTTCCAATATAAACCTATTTGTTTGTGGAACTCTGATAATTAAATGGCTAATATATCTATATTGAAGTCTGTCATGAGAAGACATTTCAAACCACCAACATCTCTTATATTGACAGCCTGTAATTGCACCTCCAAACCTGCAGGGGCAGAGTGCGCAGGAAATACAAACATCCGGGTAGTAACGCTTGTGTAAAGTTTGCGTAATTTTCGCCGTAGAGGCCTGGCGCTGCATAGACGCTTCAGCGTTACTAAAACCCTTATCCAGCGTACTTGATGTCCGTGAATCTGCGCGTGCTGCGCTCTTCGTGAGGCCGCCGTCGTTGGCCGTGCGTCATGCCGTTTTGTGAAGACAAATCAACACAGCATTGAAACAAACAAGGATAAAAACTCATTTAAGAGGCATGCTGTGGTAGACGAGTGTTGGTGGAATAAGAGAGTCTCCAGCGTTGAAAAGTTACCCTGGTAGTGGAGGTAGTGAGGTAGGTAACATTTACGCATTTTCGGTTTAATTACTTAACAGAAAGTTAGCTGCTACGTTAGCTTTAGCAGCTTCGTCCACGCTGGGCCTCCTCATCAACATCGAGGGTGTCTTTGCAGATACTAATACGGCTTCTGAGTATTAAAATAACCATATACTTCAAGTTTTCTCCGTGCAGTTTGTTTGGTTTATGTTGAGTTTGGACCGAGATACATTTAAAAGCAGTGCGTAATGGAGCAGTTTGTGCCGCATTGGAGGCCATGTTGTGACACAGACCGTAATTCACACAAACTCTTGATATGGCGGGTTTTCAATAAAATCATGTTTCAAACTAGGTTATTTTTTAATGCAATGCGAGGAGAAGGTTTAAGCTGATTCTATTCAATATCATTCATTTCAAGGGTTTGATTCTTTGCGGATTATGTGATGTAAGTGTTTGTCTGGCTAACTAGTATTGTTTAAACGGGAACACTTTGGAGAGTGAGATCAAAACTTTTGGACAGGCCAAAGGAAATAAAGCTCAGGTGTTCATACTATTATGACTGGTTGGGGTTTATAATTCTGTATGCATCAACCTAAATTCCCCAAGTTTTTGAAAACAGATACCTGAGAACAAACCACTCAAACAAAGCATTTTTCTGCCCTCCTCAGTGAGCCGCCATGGCAGCTACCTTCCCCTACAGAGGGGTCCCTCCCGGGATGCCACCAGGTGTTCCCCCTCCTGCCCCAGTCCCAGACTACATGACTGAGGAAAAACTGCAAGAGAAAGGTGGGTTGACTTTCAGCTGGTGCAGCATGTAGTCATCTTGTTCATGTCAACTTCAATGTTTTACACTTCTTCTAATTCTACAGCAAGAAAATGGCAGCACTTGCAAGCAAAGCGCTACTCGGAGAAGAGAAAGTTTGGCTTTGTGGATGCTCAGAAAGAAGACATGCCACCTGAACATGTCCGCAAGATCATCAGGGACCATGGAGACATGACCAACAGAAAGTTTCGCCATGACAAGAGGGTGTATCTTGGGTAAGACAGAGTCCTTCTGTGTAAAAAGAGTGGATCCAAAATCCTGCGCAGAAGTCTTTTCTCCTTTTTACTAAATAACAAAGTTGGGGATAATGTAATGCATATTTAAGCCTTAAACTGATTTGTTCAAAAGCTTACCCTTTTGGAGGTATATTGAGGGTTTCCAGACATTTCTACACCTGCCACAATGTTTACAATCCAGCCACAAATATAGGTGTTTGATCAGAGATGTTTGATGGGAAATCTGCAGTGATATACTGCCGAAAACATGATTTACAAGCAGAGAAGAGATTATGAGCAGTATGATGTGGCCTTCTGTCTCATCTCAGACAGGAACTACTTCAAAGAGTGGTATACACAACTGTAAATAGCAAAAAACGCCTGGAAGAAGTAGTGTAAACATCTAAATAGCTTCTGTTGTGCCTTTGTTCCAATCCGAATATTTCTTCTCCTGATAGCCGAGACTTAACATAATGATGTGCAGGTGAGAAAAGGCTCGGTCACTGTAGATTTATGTGTTTTTTGAGCAAAGTACTGTTTGTATCAATTTCTGTTTTTGTTTTTTGGTTGACTTTGATGGTTCTGGATGTACTGTCACATTTATTTTTGCACATATAAACTGACAGCTGAGCTTGTCCTGAAAAAAAAAGATGTGTGTGTATTTGCTGTGCTTGAAAAGATCTTTTAAAGTTTTTACCTTTTTGAGTGAAAAGTTTTTAAAAATTGCGGTAACACATCCTGTCTCTCTTTTTTTAATCAACAGTGCTCTGAAGTACATGCCCCATGCTGTGCTGAAGCTGCTGGAAAACATGCCTATGCCATGGGAGCAGATCAGAGATGTTCCTGTCCTCTACCACATCACAGGAGCTATTTCCTTTGTGAATGAGATCCCCTGGGTCATAGAGCCAGTGTACATCGCTCAGTGGGGGTAAGAGAGAGAATATTACTGTGTGCTGACCAAACTCTAGCTCTACTATCACTGTGTCATTATTGTAGTCCACGGCAATGGCAGATTTATATTACATTTTATTTTAAATATATTTTTAAAGTTGGTATCCCTATTTCCCCTCCCAGCACCATGTGGATCATGATGCGTCGAGAGAAGCGTGATCGTCGGCATTTCAAGAGGATGCGATTTCCACCATTTGATGATGAGGAGCCGCCGCTGGACTACGCTGACAACATCCTCGATGTTGAGCCACTGGAGGCCATTCAGATGGAGCTGGACCCAGAGGAGGACTCGTCATGCGTAGAGTGGTTCTACGAGCACCAGCCCCTCAAAGACACGACAAAGTGAGCTGCTGTCTCAATCAAGGGGAAATTCAGATTCACACATCAAGTTGATATGATGCTGGTAAATCCATCCGTAACTCATTTGTGCCCTTTTCAGGTTTGTGAATGGCACCACCTACCGTCGCTGGCAGTTCACATTGCCCATGATGTCCACGCTGTACCGGCTTGCAAATCAGCTGATGACAGACCTGGTGGATTTCAACTACTTTTATCTGTTTGACCTCAAGGCCTTTTTCACTTCCAAGGCTTTAAATATGGCCATTCCTGGGGGACCGAAATTTGAGCCGCTGGTCAGGGACATCAACCTCCAGTAAGGACCTCCTTCACTTTTTACACTACTCAGTTATTCCAGCCACATAGCATCGACCCCTCTTGCATGCTCATACATTTGAACACTTTTTCATAGTTTTCTCTTAAATGTGAAAGTTATTGATAAATTTTGATATAATAATCGTGCCTTACCTCCAATAAAAAATTGGTTACGAATAGATGGCCTGCGATTTTTGCCTAAGCTGATTTTTATCTTTGCTGCCTGCAGGGATGAAGACTGGAATGAGTTCAATGACATCAACAAGATCATCATTCGGCAGCCAATCAGAACAGAGTACAAAATCGCCTTCCCCTACCTGTACAACAACTTGCCGCATCATGTCCACCTCACCTGGTAAGAAATTGTAGATTTATGTATTTTACCAGTGATACAGTCATTTTGCCTCCAAGTTAACCTAAGTGAAAACAGTTCAGGTGTTTCTTCTTTAAAGTAACTCTCATTGTAACAACTAAGTGGATTCTTATGGCTTCATTCCTGCAGGTATCACACACCCAATGTGGTCTTTATTAAGACAGAAGATCCAGATCTCCCGGCGTTTTACTTTGACCCGCTGATCAACCCCATTTCTCACAGACATTCTGTCAAGGTATGTTTGCATGATCATGGCTTATTTCACATTATATACCTCTACCAGCTGTAAAAAGTTAAATGTAAATTTAAGGAGCGTCGATGGTCCTCTTACAAAGGCGCACTTGCATTGGTCTGCTTGCCTGTGCGTAAGAACTAGAGGGATATTGAAATGACTGGTGACTTTAATATATCGCTGGTTGCATTTGCAGTTAGCCCTTCACCAATCAGACATCGCTCAAGATGACCAGAAAGTTAGATTACAAATTATTTAGCTGAACTCCAATGAAATGAAAGCCATGAAATCATTCAGTTTGTTTATTTACATCTCAATTTGAACTCTCATTTGCTATGTTCTCCGATTGCTCAGAGTCAGGAGCCTTTACCCGATGATGACGAGGAGTTTGAGCTGCCTGAGTACGTGGAGCCCTTCCTCAAAGAAACCCCACTCTACACAGACAACACAGCCAATGGCATTGCTCTGCTGTGGGCTCCCAGACCCTTCAACCTCCGATCTGGCCGGACGAGAAGAGCCATTGACATTCCTCTGGTCAAGAACTGGTGAGGAGATTAGAAAGATGCTGGACTAGATGTTTGATGGTGCTATATTAGGAAACTAACAGGTTGTCATTGTGGATTCTTATAATTTGTCAACATCTCTCAGTTGCAAAATTGTGTGTTGTGATAATCCACAGGTACCGGGAGCACTGCCCCGCAGGACAGCCTGTGAAAGTACGCGTGTCCTACCAGAAACTGCTCAAGTACTACGTGCTCAATGCTCTGAAACATAGACCACCCAAAGCTCAGAAGAAAAGGTGAGCCTCACTGGAGAACTTATAATTACTGAGCACTTGTCCTCATAATCGAAAATCTGCTCATCACTTATGTTTCGATCAGTAAAACTCCTCTCCTCTGTTGTCTTGCAGGTATCTGTTCCGCTCTTTCAAAGCCACCAAGTTCTTCCAGTCCACAAAGCTGGACTGGGTGGAGGTGGGTCTGCAGGTGTGCAGACAGGGCTACAACATGCTCAACCTGCTCATCCACCGTAAGAACCTCAACTACCTGCATCTGGACTACAACTTTAACCTGAAGCCTGTCAAGACTCTGACCACAAAGGTGAAAATCCTCATTTGAGCTTGAATTACCAACAAAAATGATTGATTTAAACCAAAATTATTCACATTAACCATTTTATTAAGGTTTGATGCGCAAATTAACTCACAACTGTTGTCTTATTCCTGACTCCCAGGAGCGTAAGAAGTCCCGTTTCGGAAATGCCTTCCATCTGTGCAGAGAGGTGCTCCGTCTCAGCAAGCTGGTGGTGGACAGCCACGTTCAGTACAGACTGGGAAATGTCGACGCCTTTCAGGTTCGTTCAGGAATACATTCTGTTTTTATCTGAGTTACGTCTGAGGGTGGATGATTTTAATGTTTCCAATTCGACTGAACTCATTCTGTTCCCTGTAGCTGTCTGATGGACTGCAGTACATCTTCGCCCACGTGGGTCAGCTGACTGGAATGTACCGCTACAAGTACAAGTTGATGAGACAAATCAGGATGTGCAAAGACCTGAAGCATCTCATCTACTATCGCTTCAACACTGTAAGTAAACGCACCTTTAACTCAGTGTAGTTATCATTTATGTGTTGAGGATGTTAATCTGTCAGGGTTTTTTTTATCCATTTTAACAGGGTCCAGTGGGCAAAGGTCCGGGTTGTGGCTTCTGGGCTCCTGGCTGGAGAGTGTGGCTGTTCTTCATGAGAGGAATCACTCCTCTGCTGGAGAGGTGGCTTGGAAATCTGCTGGCTAGGCAGTTTGAAGGTATGCGTGTTAACTCCTCTGCTGTTAGGATGCACAGCCGTTTGTATTGACAGGAATATTACAGCTAAACAACAACTTTTCCATCCACCCCCAACAGGACGTCACTCCAAGGGTGTAGCCAAGACTGTGACCAAGCAGCGTGTGGAGTCTCACTTTGACCTGGAGTTGCGTGCTGCCGTGATGCACGACATCTTGGACATGATGCCCGAGGGTATCAAACAGAACAAGGCCAGAACCATCCTGCAGCATCTCAGTGAGTCCTGGAGGTGCTGGAAGGCCAACATTCCCTGGAAGGTCAGCGCTTTACCTAAAATGCTAAAGATTTGAGAAGACATGCTCTTTGTGTCGTTCATTTTTTTAATCTTTGCTTTTTTTGTGGTTTGAGTTCCTGAATGGATTTTTATTTTGATTACAGCAGGTAACTAAACCAGACTGTCGCTGTGATTTCATTAATATTTAAGTATTTCCCTCTTGTTAAAGGTGCCCGGCCTTCCCACACCGATTGAGAACATGATCCTGCGTTATGTGAAGGCCAAAGCTGACTGGTGGACCAACACCGCCCACTACAACCGTGAGCGAATCCGTCGTGGGGCCACTGTGGACAAGACGGTGTGCAAGAAGAACCTGGGGAGACTGACCCGTCTTTACCTGAAGGCTGAGCAGGAGAGGCAGCACAACTACCTGAAGGTAACATGTCGTTGACAGTTGAGAGGTTATATTTTTGTGTATTTCAGCCTGTGTTTGAATCGACTTCAACAAATGCTGTAATGTGGCTTTATTTTCAGTCTGTTCAAATCAAATGTCCTCTTACAAAGGCGCACTTGCATTGGTCTGCTTGCCTGTGCGTAAGAACTGGAGGAATATTGAAATGACTGGTGACTCTTTCATCACCGGCTGCAGCTGTAGTCGACCTCTCACCGCTCAGACAACAACTCTTGTCTTTTCAAAGATTGGACTTTAAATTTTGATTTTTCTTCTGTTCATATGTGTAACAAAGTTTTGTGTTTCTGCGTTCAGGATGGACCCTACATCACAGCTGAAGAGGCGGTTGCCATCTACACCACCACTGTCCACTGGCTGGAGAGTCGCCGGTTCTCCCCCATCCCGTTCCCTCCTCTGTCCTACAAACACGACACCAAGCTGCTCATCCTGGCCCTGGAGAGACTGAAAGAGGCATACAGGTAGACAAGACTCGCAACGAATTTGATCAGCATATACTTCTCCTCTGTTTTTGTGTTAACACTGATTTGTGTGTCTGTGTTCTCCCAGTGTGAAGTCTCGTCTCAACCAGAGTCAGAGGGAGGAGCTGGGGCTGATCGAGCAGGCGTACGACAACCCTCACGAGGCTTTGTCCAGGATCAAGCGTCACCTGCTGACACAGAGAGCCTTCAAAGAGGTCAGGAGGAAAACTATGAGTGAAAACATCGAGATAAAATAAATAAAAATTAGGCTTTTATTTTCTTTTCATATTATGTCTTTTTTTTTTTACCCTTTTACATTGTTGGTCTTATTACTCCAAATTTTCTGTATTTTAAATTGTGTTTCTTGTAAAGCGTCTTTATGCACCTGTAAAAGCGTGTTATAAATAAAATGTATTATTATCATTATTATTACGTGACTTCAAAATAGTGAGGACTGAGTTTTTGGAACCGCAGAATTATTTTGCAGGGAGCATTGTTATGAAAAAAAAACCACATTTGTTAATTTTGCTCGCCCTCTTTTTTTCAGGTGGGAATCGAGTTCATGGACTTGTACAGTCACTTGGTTCCTGTGTATGACGTGGAGCCGCTGGAGAAGATCACTGATGCCTACCTTGACCAGTACCTGTGGTACGAGGCAGACAAGAGACGCCTCTTCCCGCCCTGGATCAAACCTGCAGACACTGAACCGCCACCGCTGCTGGTCTACAAGTGGTGCCAAGGTTGGGCTCATCTCAGTGCTACCTCAACAAACATTTAGATGGAAATCAGCTTTGTGGTTTAGTTACGAATCCTATGAGACTTTATCTGAAGGGAGTTTGTCTATTTGTTCCAGGCATCAACAACTTGCAGGATGTGTGGGAGACCGCCGAGGGAGAGTGCAACGTGATGCTGGAGTCTCGTTATGAGAAGATGTATGAGAAGATCGATCTGACGCTGCTGAACAGGCTGCTGCGTCTCATCGTCGATCACAACATCGCTGACTACATGACCGCCAAGAACAACGTGGTCATCAACTACAAAGTAAATCCACTCATTCGTGAATCACTGCTTAATCTCTAACTGTTACAACATGTCCTCTAATTCTTGCTCCGTGTTTTCTCCTGTCTGAGTAGGACATGAACCACACCAACTCCTACGGCATCATCAGGGGGCTCCAGTTCGCCTCATTCATCGTTCAGTACTACGGCCTGGTGATGGACCTGCTGGTGCTCGGTTTGCACCGTGCCAGCGAGATGGCAGGTCCACCTCAGATGCCGAACGACTTCCTGAGCTTCCAGGACACGGTGACGGAGAGCGCCCACCCGATCCGACTGTACTGCAGATACATCGACCGCATCCACATCTTCTTCAGGTGGGTTCGGTCACTGAGACGATAAATGACAGATGTCCGTGTATATTTGACTCTGCTGTGGCTGTAAAAGGAGAGTTCTGGAGCTGAATTTTGTCTCTGTACCATTAGGTTCTCTGCCGACGAAGCCAGGGATCTGATTCAGAGGTACCTCACCGAGCACCCAGACCCCAACAACGAGAACATAGTGGGCTATAACAACAAGAAGTGTTGGCCTCGTGACGCCCGGATGAGGCTGATGAAGCACGATGTCAACCTGTGAGTTCAAACAGCCAAAAAACAGTATGTTATGTGGGTCGTACCAACTTTGGCGACAGATGGCTGTAACTTTTCTCATCTTCCTTTTCCACAGTGGACGAGCCGTGTTCTGGGACATCAAGAACCGCCTGCCCAGATCCGTGACCACAGTTCAGTGGGAGAACAGCTTCGTGTCAGTCTACAGCAAAGACAACCCCAACCTGCTCTTCAACATGTGCGGGTTTGAGTGCCGCATTCTGCCCAAGTGCCGCACCAGCTACGAAGAGTTCACTCACAAGGACGGCGTGTGGAACCTGCAGAATGAGGTGAGGTCGCCTGCTAACAGCTCACACTTTAATCTGAAGGCACAGCTGCTGTCTTTGTTTAATGTTTTTGATTTATATTGATTGTTTATTGTATGTGTAGGTAACCAAAGAGAGGACAGCCCAGTGTTTCCTGCGTGTTGATGATGAGTCAATGCAGCGCTTCCACAACAGGGTGCGTCAGATCCTGATGGCCTCTGGTTCCACCACATTTACCAAGGTAAGAAGACTCCCTCATGCATAAATAAAACAAAAAAACATAGCATACAGTGTAGAAAATAACAGCATGGATGATTACCCTGCCGTAAAGTTTCAGTCTTTTCTGTCTCTGCCTCCAGATTGTGAACAAATGGAACACGGCTCTGATCGGTCTCATGACCTATTTCCGTGAAGCCGTGGTGAACACACAAGAGCTCCTGGACCTGCTGGTGAAGTGTGAAAACAAGATCCAGACCCGTATCAAGATCGGCTTGAACTCCAAAATGCCGAGTCGCTTCCCTCCTGTGGTCTTCTACACTCCTAAAGAGTTGGGCGGCCTTGGCATGCTGTCCATGGGCCACGTCCTGATCCCACAGTCAGACCTGCGGTGAGTCAGCTGGAATTCTCACCCTGTCTTTGTCTGTTCATTAAGGAAACTGGGATTTCATTCTTCCTCTCTTCTTTCAGGTGGTCCAAGCAGACGGATGTGGGCATTACCCACTTCAGGTCTGGAATGAGCCATGAAGAAGACCAGCTGATTCCTAACCTGTACCGGTACATTCAGCCATGGGAGAGCGAGTTTATCGACTCCCAGAGGGTTTGGGCTGAGTACGCCCTCAAAAGACAGGAGGCCATCGCCCAGAACAGGTACCTTCTTTCTGCTCCACTTTTAAATCACAAAATCTTTCTAAAACCTTAAAATTTAAGACCTGCTGCTTTCAGATCATCCTTAATTTAGTGTTTTAAGAATGTGATCCGAAACTAGATTATGCCAACTGTGCTTTTTTTGTGTTTCAGGCGTCTGACCCTGGAGGATTTGGAGGACTCATGGGACAGAGGAATCCCTCGTATCAACACACTCTTCCAGAAGGACAGACACACACTGGCCTATGACAAAGGCTGGAGAGTCAGGACGGATTTCAAACAGTACCAGGTTTGTTTTAGGCACTTGTGTGGAAATGTACATTACATGATATTGTGTGGAGTCTTGTTGTGATAATACTATAGAGTCTAGTCAAGGAATTATGATTAATAACGGTTAAACCAAAGAAGATTAAGAGTCTAAAGTCTTGCTGTGATCCTTTGAGAACAAAACCCGTGTAACGTTTGGCCTGAAAAAGAGGCCAGAGGAGAAAACGTGATTTTGAGCAAAACAGACTTAGCTTACTTTTCCAGCACACATGTACCAGGGATTTTATTTTAACATCTATCAATCACACTTTGGTTATTAATGTATAAAAAAATATCACTTTTTCATGGATGTACGAGTATATTTACTGATGGCACACTCTTGGTTGGGCTCAGGTGTTGAAGCAGAATCCGTTCTGGTGGACCCACCAGAGACACGATGGCAAACTGTGGAACCTGAACAACTACCGCACAGATATGATCCAGGCGTTGGGCGGTGTGGAGGGCATCCTCGAACACACACTCTTCAAGGGCACTTACTTCCCTACTTGGGAGGGTCTTTTCTGGTAAGACCACCTACAGAAAGAACTTCAGTGTTAGATTTTCTGTTCTGTTTGGCTTGATTTCTCCTGTTCTCACTGAAACAAATCTGTGGATTTCCCTCATAATAAAGCATGAACTGTATCAATTTGTGAACTTCTCAGGGAAAAGGCCAGTGGTTTTGAGGAGTCCATGAAATGGAAGAAGCTGACCAATGCCCAGAGGTCTGGTCTGAACCAAATTCCCAACCGTCGTTTCACACTTTGGTGGTCCCCAACCATCAACAGAGCAAACGTTAGTACAACTCTTCCTAGATTTGTTTTTTAAGTTTTGCTGCTTTTGTTAGAAAAAAAAAATCAAGCTTTAAAGACTAAATATTTGAACATGTTTCGTTGGCTCGCATCTAAACTCTTTCTCCTCTGATTTTAGGTGTATGTGGGTTTCCAGGTACAACTTGACCTGACTGGAATCTTCATGCACGGCAAGATCCCCACACTGAAGATCTCCCTCATTCAGATCTTCAGGGCTCACTTGTGGCAGAAGATTCACGAGAGCATTGTCATGGATCTCTGTCAGGTGGGTTTTGTTTTGCTTTGCACCTACTTCATCATGGACAAACTTTTATCGCCACAGAAGCAGAAAAATAACAAGCCATGGAATGTTCCTAACAACTTGCTCTGTTCTCGTTTCCAGGTGTTTGATCAGGAGCTGGATGCTCTGGAGATTGAGACAGTGCAGAAAGAGACCATCCACCCCAGGAAGTCTTACAAGATGAACTCATCCTGCGCGGACATCCTCCTCTTTGCCTCATACAAGTGGAACGTCTCTCGGCCATCTCTGCTTGCTGACTCAAAGTGAGACTTCAGAAACATTATTTTTGTAACTCTAAATACAGTTTATGACACAGCTCTTAAAGAGTCTCAATATTCAAAGTGTTTTAAAGGTCTTGATCTGTGTTTTAAAACAGGGACGTCATGGACAGCACCACCACACAGAAGTACTGGATTGACATTCAGCTGCGCTGGGGTGACTATGACTCACATGACATTGAGCGCTACGCCAGAGCCAAGTTCCTGGACTACACCACAGACAACATGAGTATCTACCCGTCCCCCACTGGGGTGCTGATTGCTATCGACCTGGCTTACAACCTCCACAGGTTAGATTATTATTAGCATGAACATTTGACCTTTTATGATTGCAGACACTGGCTGCTTGTTGTACATGAGAACATGAAAATAAGGTTCTGTAAAGTTCCTCTAGTCATATAACTTTAATTAGGTTTTCTAATAATTTTTAGTTATTAAGGGCAAGCTGCATTGTTATATTGTGTTTGAGAATAAACCAGAAATCTGTCAGGCTAGTGCCAGACAGCGCTGTGGACTTTGGCACCCACTTGTTCATGTCAGCAAGCATGCTGTACAAGAGCCTCTGCAGTCTTCACATTGGCTTCTAAACTTGTTTGAGATTAAATGAACTTTGACCGAATTTAAACAACTGTTACAAACCAAAGCCTTTTTTTTTTTTCTCCAAGACATTTTAGTTCACAATCTAACATAATCATTTTTTTTTACTTTTCATAGTGGCTATGGTAACTGGTTCCCTGGAAGCAAGCCTCTGATCCAGCAGGCCATGGCCAAAATCATGAAGGCCAACCCTGCCCTGTACGTGCTCAGAGAGCGCATTCGCAAAGGTCTACAGCTGTACTCCTCAGAGCCCACTGAGCCCTACCTGTCCTCACAGAACTACGGTGAACTCTTCTCCAACCAGATCATCTGGTTCGTCGATGACACCAATGTGTACCGAGTCACCATTCACAAGGTGCGGTGTGACGGTTGATGAAAAATCAGTGTACCCTCATAAGGCACAATGATCTCATTTGTAAACCAATATATAGAGCTTCTGCTTTTTTGATTTGTCTCATTAAATATTAATTCTTCTCAACAGACCTTTGAGGGTAACTTGACCACAAAGCCTATCAACGGGGCTATCTTCATCTTCAACCCCAGGACCGGTCAGCTCTTCCTCAAGATCATTCACACCTCTGTGTGGGCTGGACAGAAACGTCTTGGACAGGTACCAACATTAACTACCACTACTCACTTGTGTCACAATTATAAGCTTTTCTTATTTTACTGACTTATATATTGTCAAATGATGCTAATACCTTTTAACTGTGGTGGTACAAAATCTAACATCTGTTTTTTCTAAAGTCAAAGCACTTTAACCTTTTAATGTACTTGCTTTATAAACTTAAATTCTCACCCTCTTGTCAGTCACTGCTTGGGTATTTGGCAGTAGTGTTGAAATTTGTTTTCCCAAAGTTGAACTCTATCCTGTTTTGCCCCTGTAGCTGGCCAAATGGAAGACAGCTGAAGAGGTGGCTGCCCTGATTCGCTCCCTCCCTGTGGAGGAACAGCCCAAACAGATCATTGTGACCAGGAAGGGCATGTTGGACCCTCTGGAGGTGAGACTCCTTCAGACTAACAACTGATGTGTTCATTTCAAGCTTTATGGGATCGCCTAAGAATACAATATCTGCAGGTTAAATAGTTCATCACAACAGTTTTAACCAGTTGCTGTTTCTGTGCAGGTCCACTTGCTCGACTTTCCCAACATTGTGATCAAAGGCTCTGAGCTGCAGCTACCTTTCCAGGCCTGCCTGAAGGTGGAGAAGTTTGGAGACCTGATCCTGAAGGCCACAGAGCCTCAGATGGTGTTGTTCAACCTCTACGATGACTGGCTCAAGACCATCTCATCCTACACAGTTAGTTTCACGCTATATCAAAAGTTCATACCTGTCCTAGTGTGTCTAATTTCTAAATTAAACTCATTTGATTGGTTTCATGTTGAAATGCATCTTATCTCCGTGTGTAAATAGTTTGTTTTTGGTGATCTGCCCCACGTCTAGGCCTTCTCTCGACTCATCCTGATCCTCAGAGCACTGCATGTCAACAACGACCGTGCCAAGGTGATCCTGAAACCTGACAAAACAACCATCACTGAGCCCCATCACATTTGGCCCACGCTCACTGATGAGGAGTGGATCAAGGTGGAAGTGCAGCTCAAAGATCTCATTCTGGCAGATTACGGCAAAAAGAACAAGTAAGCATCGATTCATGGATTTGTATAGTATTAACAAATATTCTAAGCTTTCCTACTCTACTATCTGAGTGAACAGAATAAAACCAGGCCCGCCTTTAAATAGTCAATACTTCCCTTTTCTTCATTCAGTGTGAACGTGGCCTCCCTGACTCAGTCTGAGATCCGTGACATCATCCTCGGTATGGAGATCTCCGCTCCTTCTCAGCAGCGTCAGCAGATTGCAGAGATTGAGAAGCAGACTAAAGAGCAGTCACAGCTCACGGCCACACAAACCAGAACCGTCAACAAGCACGGCGATGAAATCATCACCTCCACCACCTCCAACTACGAGACCCAGACTTTCTCTTCCAAGACCGAGTGGAGAGTCAGGTGTGCAGATAGTTTCATACTCTGTTTTGAGACACTTAATCATTTTTGAGTTTTTTAACTTGAAAGGAATAAAAAACTGTTTGTTTCGTCTCATCTCAGGGCCATATCTGCTGCCAACCTCCATCTCCGAACCAACCACATCTACGTGTCGTCTGATGACATCAAAGAGACAGGCTACACCTACATCCTGCCTAAGAATGTCCTCAAGAAGTTCATCTGTATCTCAGATCTGCGAGCACAGGTACATGGGGGTTCTGAATACAGCAGTTTTGCATGATCTCTTTAAAATGATCTCTTTTACTGATCTGTACTTTGATTTGTGTCCTATGTTTTGTGTCAAGCAGATAAACAAAACCATTCTGCTCTGTTTTAGATTGCAGGCTACCTGTATGGCACCAGCCCACCAGACAACCCTCAGGTGAAGGAGATCCGTTGTATCGTTATGGTGCCGCAGTGGGGAACTCACCAGACAGTCCACTTACCCAACCAGCTGCCTGGTCATGAGTACCTAAAAGTAAGACGTTTGCTTGACCTTGTTTGCACCTTTTTCATGGGTGCTTCTTGGTTTGAATGGCTGTTAGGTTTTAGGTACTTTATTTGTTGTTGGGGATTTTTTTTAAAACGACTCCTTCAAACAGGAAATGGAGCCTCTCGGTTGGATCCATACACAGCCAAATGAGTCGCCTCAGCTGTCCCCGCAGGATGTCACCACCCATGCTAAAATCATGGCAGATAACCCGTCGTGGGATGGAGAGAAGACCATTATCATCACCTGCAGGTAAGTTTTAAAGAAGACACTTGATTTATTTTTAACATGTCTGATGTTTGACAGTCAGGTAGTCAGCACATATGTAAAGTAAATCACATCTTAATCTATTAAAATTAGTTGCAACATAAAATGTCACTCTGTTGCAATGCTGTACTGAACACAGATTGGAAAGTGTTGTCAGTTGGTGAAAATAATCTTGCTTCCTGTTTCCAGTTTCACCCCCGGCTCATGCACGCTAACAGCCTACAAGCTCACACCCAGTGGTTATGAATGGGGTCGACAGAACACAGACAAGGGCAACAACCCGAAAGGTTACCTGCCGTCTCACTATGAGAGAGTGCAGATGCTGCTCTCTGATCGCTTCCTGGGCTTCTTCATGGTGCCTGGCCAGGTGTCCTGGAACTACAACTTCATGGGTCAGTAGATACTTTATTTTAATTGAATTAAGTTTTATTTCATGCCTTTTTAATACAATAACTTTTATGGTCTACTTTTTAGATTTGTATCTTTGTCATCCTCATTACTCGTGTTTGAACCCTGTTGGATTCCTACAAAATTGGCTGAATAGGTGACTTCCTAACTTTTTAACCATTCGAATTTTTTCTTGTTGCAGGTGTGCGGCATGACCCTAACATGAAGTATGACCTGCAGCTCGCCAACCCCAAAGAGTTCTACCATGAAGTCCACAGGCCGTCACACTTCCTGAACTTTGCCTCCCTGCAGGAGGGTGAGATCTACAACGCGGACCGTGAGGACATGTACGCCTAAGATCTGGAAGTCTCTGTCGGTATCATGTTGAGCCAGTGCAGACCAACCCTTGTAATATTTCTATCGAACACACGCAGCTGTGATGTTTGGAATTTTTTATGTAAAGTTTTTAGGAAGTGTAAGGTGTCTCGTTCTCTTTATTGATATTTTCTACAAATGTTTTTTCTTTAGTCTCTCTTTGTTTCATCCATAATTCAAGTAAAGCTGTGTCAGTATGTGGTTTCTGGTATTACCCACATTTGTGTGTAGTTTCAGTACACAAATTCAGTGTAATATTTGATTGTGAAATGTTGTTTAAAACGGGTAAAGCTGTACTTCCCCATAAATATTTGAGAAATGAAACTGAAAGTTGTTTCCAGAAATGCCCTTTTGCGTTGTACACTGTACACCCCGTGACATTGTAGTTTTTTTTGCTTTAAATAAACACAATTTCTATGAGTATTCGTCATGTGATGAGTTGTATAATGAGAGTAAAAAGAGGGTGAAGCATTTGTTTATTTTGACTGTTCAGGGGAACTTTTTGGCAGGGAGAGAGGCCACAGATCAACACGAACACCAGGTATTTACATAGCTTGGTTCAGTTTCTGCTTGAGCAAACTTCAGGCTACCTGACCCACAAAGTATTATCCCCTTATAACACATTTTTCGCTGCTTTAAAGTCAATCAAATTTTGTTTATACAGTGCCGATTCACAACAGTCGTCGTCCCAAAAATAACTTTATTTTTATAGCACTTTTACAAACAAGTTTACAAAGTGCTTTTACCAACAGTTGCAAAGCACAGAACATCAGCACATGAAAATAAACAGATAAAAACAAAAGCTCAGTGAAAAACAAGGCCTCTGAATTGAAGGCTAGTTTTATTTGTCATAAGAAACCCAGGCAATACAAGAACCCTACAACATAAAATGAGACCCTGAGGACCAAAATAAAAACATGAAATAGGTAAGAAAAAGAAGAAATGAGATAGAAAAGAGGGGCAGAAACAGTGCAGGGCTAGACCGTGCTCATTGTTTGATGAATTCCCGAGACCCAACCTAAGATGGGACAGATTTGGCCCATCTCAAGGAAAAACTTCCTTTTAACAGGCAGAAACCTTGAACAGGACCAGACTTGTGCTACACAGCCACCAAACTGCTGCTGGGTTGGGGAGGAATACAGAGAGATAGGGGGAGAGAAAGAAAACAAGATAAAGGGAAGGAGATAGGGGACAGCAGCAACAACAGCTCATGCAAAGTTGTGGTTGCAGAGCAAGTAAAGATGAAACAATATGAATTCAGTTTACAGGATCAGTATTGTAATTATGGACTATGTTAAATTAGTTTAATGTGATTACAGTGAACAGGCCTAATAGTAGTTAACACTAGTTTTATGTTATTAATGTGAGGTTGATGTTCATTTCTGCAGCAACAGTCCAGAGGAACGTAAGAGGTGGAGGAGCTCAGGGGGACAATCGAATTGATGATAGACACTTGTCGTGCAATTATAGGTCAGTGTTTGTAACTGCAAAGCTGCAGCGGAAATTCAATGTTCACGCTCTGGTGCATGCATCAGTGTGCTCGATGTGGCAGGCGAGTTTCTGCGTGTACTCGTGTGTGTGTGTGTAGTCGAATTACATTGGTTAGGAAAGTAGGAGGATCCTGTGGTGAGTTGACTGCTGAAGCCCTGTCCTGGGCTGTCCAGCCTCGTACTACAGTGCTTCTCAGTGTACTCGGTGTTCTTGTATTTTTTTCTTTTTCTAATGGGCTGAGTTTATTTGCTGTAACTATGCCAGGCGTGCTGTTTGAACAGGATCAAGTCAAGTTCAGGCGTGTCGGTCTGTAAGCGTGGGCTCAACAATGCACGCACTTTAAACTTTAAACCAGTATTACTCTGCTGTTTCTACTTTTTCTAATCCTCTTGTTTTCACGGCTGGCTGTCATGTCCCAGCGCTGACAAGCCCCTGGTTTTCTGAGTCAGACTCAGACATGGAGGGATCCGACGCAGACACCAAACAGACAGAGACCTGCTTCGACAGGACCTTCTCGGCTCTCACCGTGGACGATGTGTACGAAATAGCCAAACTTATCGGCACAGAGGTGGAGAAACTTATCGACGGCTGCGGTAAAGACAGCGTGGTGGGTCTTGTGCCGAAAATAGTGAAAGTGCTCGAGCTGCTGGAGAGCTTCGCTTCGAGAAACCATGCTCACAAGCTGAGGGAGGAGGAACTGCTGAAGACCTTCGAGACGATACAGCTCCAGCAGCAGAAGAAACGAGCGGGGAAAGACAGCGAGGAGGGCAACGAGAAACATGAGATACTGGTGAGAGCATGGGAGCCTTTAATCCTCCCCAGCATCTTGTACATCAGAGGCGCCATGCCTGTACTTACCCTGTGTTATACCTACGCCACATCTATGCAACAGTGTAGTATACCTGTTTAGGCTGTAAACAGCTAAAGCTAGCAGACTAGATATACCTGTGTTGAACGCTGTAGAGGCAGAAGGTTAGCCTCAGAAGCTTATATTTTCCATGTTTTGTTTTGTTTTTAAAATTTGACAAATATCCCTGTTATGGTGGCTGTCCATTCTTCCTAATTAATGTCACTCTTGACCCGAAATACCAGCCCTGGTCGTCAAGGCAACCATGGCACGACGGTTATTTAGCCAAAGTTAATAATGACCGAGAGCTGCAGTTTGGATGTTTAACATTGTTCAGAAAATTTAAATGGCACTGAATTTAAATGAAACATTGGAGAAACTAGCTTTGGTAGCATAGCACAAATTATATCACGAATGTATGTATTTGGTTAAAAAAAAAGCTAGCAAATCAACCAGTCTGCATTCCCCCTTTTGTAAACAGTCAGATAATATACTAGGATAGGGCTGGGGGATAAAGCGATAACGATATATATCGAAAATTAATTCCCTCGATATCAATATAAAACAAGGGCTGTGTCCAAAATGGATCCCTAACCCCTATATAGGGGACTATATGGGGGTTAGCGCCATTTTGAGGGGTGTCCGAAACCTCAGTGATCAGTAGCTGTGTCCGAAATGAATCACTCAATCCCTAACCCATAACCCCCATATGAGGTTTCACTATATAGTTGACTATGTAGTGAACTCAATCACTGGAGGTTTCGGACACTACATGGATGACGGGATGCCCACCACTGGTGAGTGACCATTGAATGGTCACTACATTTTGCAATGCTTTATAGGAAATTTTGAGTCACCTGTATGGGGCAATGGAATTGATCACTGAGGTTTCGGACACCCCTCAAAATGGCGCTAACCCCCATATAGTCATCTACATAGGGGTTAGGGATCCATTTCGTATACACCAAGTTCGAATGCCCCATATAGGCAACTCAAAATTTCCCATAGAGCATTGCAAAATGTAGTGACCATCCAATGGCCACTCACTGGTGGTGGGCATCCCGTCATGCATTGTGTGATGCGTCATGATGCTTCATGCAAGCAAGAAGAGACAGAACCCAAGCTCTATTTAGCATTTTCAGCACAAGTTTTTTATCGTCACTTCACTTGCAAGTGATCCGTATAGTTTTCAAAAAACTGTTGTTTGCTGCGTCATATACTGTAGTCTCGTGCACAATATGACGCAGCAAACAATATTCGGCATGAAAATATAAGGCCCTTTAAATAAATTATGAATTTATTGTTTTTTTTATATTACTTTTTTATTTATTTACGTCGAAGAGACACAAAGACCTCACAAATGCAGTAGCTTATTGTTTTGCAAAAGACATGCTACTAATAAGCACTGTAAAATTTCATTTTTTATATCATGTTATATATCAATATCAACTGTTGTGAAAAAAAATATATTGTGATAAACTTTTCCCATATCGCCCAGCCCTAACCTAGGATATTCACTTTCTAAGCAGTTTGAGAAGTTGCCCAAATTCTCATTGTTTTTCCCAATATCCTAGTTGAAGCCCTTTATTAATAAGGATAAATACTGACGCACAACAACTGTGCATATCAACAAAACAGGTTAGTGTGCTGTTGCTTTCCATAAATTAGGAGCTTATTGAATGATGTACATTGGACCCAGTTACAAACAGGGTAAAGTGGGACAATGGGCTTCAGGCCAATTTCACTGGACTGTGTGATTATTTTGTGGTAATTCAGTGAACAATAGCCATGAGCAGCTCAATTTTTTCATGGGGCCTCTGAAACCAGTAAATCTGACTATAGTCTGAGAAGTAAAACCTCTTTCTAAATGTGACACCATCTTTTGTTCAGTCCCAGCCTCTCTTGGTTGTTTTGGGGTAGTGAATAAGTAAAAAGTCCTAAAATAATTAAAGCTAGTGACAATACCAGTATTAAAGAGTTAGACATGACTGCGTCTTGGTGTCCCCATTTCCAGTTTCTGGTTATGTCACATATAGCTGGTGTGCTGGTGCTATAAAGTAGGAAAGGCTAGGGTTTAAACTGGTAAAATGGGAAGCATCAAAATATGTAAATGCAGTTGTGACATGAATACAATCAGATAGATGTTTGTATTGTACTTCAACAACAGGAGCTAATCATTAAACTATAAATGTCATGTGACTGTGACAGCCAGCCTTCCAAATGTTTTTTTCAGAGAGCAAAGCAGTCATTAGTGTTAAAAACTCTGATCATACAGTTAAGTAGTTTTACATACTTTTTTAGCTACATTGTTATGAGTTGTCCATCAAATGAAAATTTCTGTGGCAATGTCTCAGCCTTTACTTTTAAACTTGAAGAATGACAGCACTGGAAAGCCAGATGAAGAGGTGTGGTTCTCAGGAGTCAGTACTGGGTGTCTCAGGAGCCATTTTCACAAAACATCTGTAATGATTTAACAACTAAGCAACACACCCGTTTGGATTAAGCCTCATAGACAAAGCCAATTTCTAGCCTGCCCCAGCGATTTTAATAACACAAGAGCTAGTTGCATCCAGTTATCTTGTCTGTCAAAGATTTACTGTATTTCTCCTTCCTCTCAAATAGGAATTGCAACAGAAGGAGCAGCAGTGGAGGAGCAGATGTGAGGAACTTCAGGGGCAGGTACAGCAACTCCAGGAGGACAAGGAGGAGCTGCAGTTAAGATTAAAGGGCAGCCATGCACATGAAGGTATGTCATCAGGATATTAAAATATCCTCTGGGTTTTTGGATTCTGTTTGTGAAAAGCTTACAAAATCATTTCTGAAAACATTTTCTTCTTTTAAAAGCAGCTCTTTGCTTTACATGTAGATGTTACCAAGCTTATCTTTCCCTCACCCTGGGAAATTACGGGCCTCACACTGCTTGTGCAAATGGGCCTTTCGGCTCTTGGCTGTGAGTCTCCATGATGGGGAGCAGTGCAAGTCAAAAATTATGAAAGGAATAAATATGTGCGGAATTAAACTAATTATGAACACACCTTATTACCCTTAGAAGTGCTGTATTTACACCCATGAGGTTGCTATCGGGTCTTCTCTTAATGAGCTGATAAACCCTGAGGCCATCCGATCATTGGGTTCAGCCTTTCTACACCTCTCTAAGTATGTAAATATATGCAAAAGTACTTTCTGTGAAAATGTTTCTCCACCACTCACTGTTCATATTCAAAGCAGTGGGTTAACAGTCATATTCACTGAGCCTAAAAGCAGTCAAACTGGTCATTGTTATGTTTGTAATGCGGTTACTTTTGAAGCAGCGTAAGTTCTCTCAGGTGGAGGAGAGCTGTGCTTATCCTCCAAACACAGCAACAACAGAATGAAAACAGCACAAAAGGGAATTATTCTAATGTTTTTCCACTACCCCCCTTTTGACAAAGTGAAACTAAAATGTCGTACCTCCTCCTCCATTCTCACTTTTGATTTCTTTGTAATGTAGACAACTCTCAACAGTTATGTGAGCCAAAGGGTGGAGTTGTTTTGCTGACATCTGTTAGCTCTGACATGTAAAAACATCTCTCTAAATGCTTTTTGTGATTTGTTTGATATGAGGCCAAGTGGCAGGTTCATGCTACCATTAAATTCCTGTGAATTACGTGACTCTTGTTTGGCTCCCATGCCTCATTCAACTGACGTCAAATATGAAATATTCTTTTGGTTATTAAGGTTTGATTTTAATAAATAAAAGTATAAAGTTCAAGTTGTTTTTTGCTGCAGAGCCAGCATGTCTGCAGGCTCAGTTTATCCAAATCATAAAACAACAAGAGCATGCAGCCTTGAATAGTATCAGGCTGTCAGTAATCTTGGTGCATATTTGCCCAAATTTTGACATATCCATGTCAGAGATTTCTCTTTTTGTTTCTCAAACAAAGGTTGAAGAAGTCTTATTTTTGAAAAGGTTTTAAGCTAGAAAATCAAAGTGAACATTGAACTGCCTTTCTGCACACAGACTCGGGTATTGTCGATAATCTACTGACCTAGCTGCAAGCAGACTGTAAAAATTGTTGCGTAGATTATCCAGATTAACTCCGATCTGTTGTCAAGTTTTCCTCACGTTTTGTTTTTGCACAGCTGTGACCGGTATTTTGCACTTAATCTGCACCTTCTGCAAGAAACTCCGAAAACCTCCACCTCTCTGTAGTGTGGATGACTTGAAACCTTTTGGTTGTAGGTCATGTGGCTGTGAAATGAAGTGTGATGATTTCCTCTGTTTCACGATGAGCATTACACACATTCCTGAAGTGTAAAAAAAGTGCTTGAATGTGTGTGTGTGTCACTTAGAATTATCTGGTTTCACTTTCACGGATGTTTCAGATTGACCACGTTCTCTCTGACATGGTGAATCTTATTTAACGGAGCATTTTAATTTATGGTCCATTTGAAACATTGGCCCCAACCATATGTTCTGATTTATATTAAACTGCTCTCCTTTGCTTTTACAGTCAGCTTATAACACAGTTTGAACAAACTGTCACTGTTTGCAGCCATCGAGAGGAAGTTTTAAGCAACAAGCAGAAGTGAAAAACACCAGATTCCTTTCTGCAGATTGATTTAAAATGACGTGTGATCAAGTTGTCTCTGCTATTACCATTGCTCTTGAAAATAAATCACTATTTTTATGAGGTTTTGATCTATCAGAATGAAGTATTTAACAGCCAAGTAATAATGTGTGTTAATGTGTTTTTAGATCGTGTGCAGCGGCAGGAGCGAGAGGTGATGCTGAAGCTAAAGGAGGTGGTGGACAAGCAGAGAGATGAGCTGAGGGCCAAAGTCCAGGAGATAACTACCATCTCTAAAGAGGTGGAGGCGGTAAGGAGTCATGAACGCAGACCTGTCCCTTTGAACACAATGACACACTTTCATTGAAAGTCGCAAACTAATGCAGAGCAGCTCTCAGCTGAAAAGGGGAAACTATTTTTGTGTAATGCAATAGGTTAGGGGATTTCTAGAGTGGGAAAAAAGTCCAAAGCCTTATTACCTACACAGCCTTATGTTCATGCAGCGTTGAAGGAGGAGTCACACTAACTAACTTTCACCAATATACACAGAAAATGTCACAGCCGGGTAAAGAGTTTAGAGAGCGGAGATTATCCACATAGTTACTGGTTAAGGATTAAGCTGCACTTAAGACATGCCTTGGCAGAGTTAGTGTGAGTGTGTGTGTGTGCGCCTAAATGAGTGTTTGCACGTGTCTGTATGTCTACCACATGATTTCAATAGCTGCCATAACTGGGAGTGTGTTTGTCACTTTGCTCTTTGCTCCATGTCAGTTGATCCGGGTGAAAAATTGAAGGAACAGCTCATGGTCAACTGAACTAGTTTCTCTGTTGACACAGTAGATGTCTCACATTTTTTCATCCTAACAATGAATGCTGCATTTGTGTTGACATTGTTGGATTACATTCCTTGCCCTCTTCAACCCCCAGACTTTGACTCCTACAAATCCCATGCAGGGAGACTTTTCCCTCCTTCTCAGATATAAACAGAGTGCTGTTGTGGTGAAGGCTTGACTTCTTTATTTTGGTTTGTCACAGTAATCTATGTCGGGAGTTATGGAAACAGTGCACCTTAAAACCTGTCCAAAAGTGTTTACCAGTGTCTTACCTTTGGGGGGAAAAAAAAGTTTTTTTATTTTTGTATATATTTATGTGTGTATTTGTGGTTTTGCAGCTCCAGGAGCAGCTAGAGCGCTTCATGAAGATGAATGCGGAGCTGCGGCACAAACAGAACGTGCTGCAGGCTCAGCTGAAGAGCACGGTGGAGAGGAAAGCGGACATGGAGGCCGACCTGAAGGAAAAAAGCAAAGAGATCGAAAACCTGCTGGCACAGCTGGACACAACCAACAGCAACAACCCTGTAGGCTTGCCTCTTACTCTTTGTGTGTTTCATATATTTTATTTAGTTTTTGGGGTAATGGCTGTGCCTCTGTTTCTCTGAAAATGAGAGGAGAAGTGACCTCCCAGTCTATCCTTAGTTCAAAATGTTTCATATTAGATCACTGAGTTTCATGCAGTAATACTTCCAGTTAGATTCTAGTTATTTTAAGCAAACTAAACCCTCATGTCCAAAAAAATCAGGGCAAAAATATTCAAAATAAAGTTATTAAGAATGAGAGGCATAAATGTAATCTTATGTTTCAAAAAGACCACAGTAATACTGACAGAGCATCCAGTCTCCAGGCAAAGAAATGAGTAGTGCTGAGTCACCCCATATTAAAATACTGAAATAGCACTGTGGTGAAGCATGAAACCTACTGTAGTACACAAAAGACACTAAAATTAAATATCTCAGACGCACCAAGAGGCAAAGAAAATGAGTTGTGCCAAACAAGGAAAGGAAACCCTACATTTCTCAGTCTTAAAGGTCGTCAACCATCAGCAGAAGAATTTTTATTTTCTTTAATTACTTCCTGAAACAGAAGTGCTGGTTTGACTCATTTGTTACATTTACAATAAACCTAAACTCAATCATTAATTTGTGTTACTGGATTTTCTGGGATCAGGAACTAATTTTTTCTGCTTCCCTCACCTCTAAATAGTCTCGCAGAAGCTAAACATTCAACAATTTAATTTACAATTTACCTCACTGTCTCATCTATTAAGCTCAGTACCCCACTCTTTTTTGTGACAAAGTTTGAATAAGGTGTTAAATCTGTATGTCTCTGTGTGTCCTCCCATCAGTCCATTAAGAGCCAAGCAGCTCGAGCTTCAGCGAAAAAAACGGCGGTGGACCAGAAGGATCCTGATCAGCCCTGCTTTACCAAGAAGGAGGTACGAGACATCCTTTTTGAGAGGAACGAGCTCAAAACCAACCTCTTCCTGGTGCAGGAGGAGCTCAACTACTATCAGAGGTACATCATGACTTCTTGTTACTATTTATACACAGATTTGGTTAAGAACAGCTCCTGGTGATTTTCATTTTACATGTCAGTGAAAGTGACTATGTTTTCTGCAGGGAGATCCTGAATGAAGAGAGGTGTCCAGGCTTTCTGTTAGAAGCCGTCCGCTCTGCCATCAATAAAAGGAGAAAGCTCATTAAGGCGAAGATGCTTGGGATTCCTGTGAATGAATGCGAGAGCAGGTACACCAAATACACAACATGCATTCAGTACCTGTGCACGAGCAAAGATCCTACAATCGGAGGTTAAAACATGTTTGTTTTCTGTTACAGTGATGAGGATGAGAGGGGCTCTCTGTTCGAGCAATCAGAAGCAAATGGTACAGAAGTGGACGGCACTGATAAACCAACCGAGTCACGCATTCAAAACCTGTGAGTAGAAGTTCATCTACTACTGCTGAAGCACGACATGAAACTGAAACACTGGTCTAAATTATCACATCAGATTTAAATACGAGTGAATTAAAATAGCCACATGTCACTGCTGAACAGCGGTGTTTCTTCTGCCTGACTTTGATGTGTGTGTGTGGGAGCGGTCTGATAAAACACACAAGCGCACGTTATGAAGACAGTTTATTTCTTCTGCAGTGATTTGTCTCATCAGGAACACAGCAGTAAACAGGCCAGTGGGTGATGTTTCGGTTCTTCTAGTGATAGTTTACTAAGTGATATCACTGAGATTTTCTCAAAACACAGACAACTTATGATTTTCCTAATGTTGTTTGCATGAAATCATAGGCCAAAACAACAACAGACACGTGATCAAAGTCCTGAGAATAATGTGACCCTTGCTGCCTCACATTTTATGCTATTAACCCATTTAAGCATGATGACTCACACCAAGGCCTTCTTCTCGGAGTTCTTATGTTTTTTCACTCCTTTAACATGTTTACACTAAAAGGCCGTGGTGCTAATGAAGTCCTGTAATTTAATTTGAAGTGGGCGTCTTACTCATGCTCTTGTTTTTCCCCTCGTATTGAGGCTGGCCTCTCAGAAAAGTGAGACAGAGTGTGCTAACAGGCCTAAACTTATCAGGAGCAAGACCCGGGAATTATGAGGAGCCAGGACTTTCAGGAAAGCAAACCTGACTTCACTCTTCACTACTTGGAATTTGAGTGAAGGGAGGAGTTGTGATTCAATTTTGTCCCTAATATCTGAAGGGCCACATTATTTTCTGTCTTACTGTTGCCTGTTTTGCTTATTGCTGATAATTACGATACATAAGCAGTCATAAAATAACACTTTTTTTTCCCAGCGAAAATCCCCTTAGAGAAAAACACTATAATTGCACAACAACTTAATGAAATACAAAGCAAGAGCCGTAAAAATGCCTCAGTACTGCTTTAAAAACCAAACCATAACAAATCAGATATTGACGGTGAATCTAAGCATCAGTGTCCTCTCTCTCTCTCTCTCTCTCTCAATCCTGCCCTATATTTAGCTGTAATCCCTGCCCACAACACTGACCTCATGTCTCTCTTTCTTCTCTGCCGGCTGTAGCTTCGGCTTCCTGACGCGGTCGGGCAGCGGCAGAAGCCCCACCCACCTGAAAAACTCCTCCTCCACGTGGGAGATCATCGATGATTCAGAGGCCTCGAACGAGCTGGAGCACCACGCGTCTCTCTGAGTGCAGCACTGACCTCAGACAGTTTGTTTTCAGTTGATTCCTTTTTTTTCCTTTTTTTTTTCTCAGTCACAGCTTCTCCTTTTCTGCTCAGGAGAAGAGGTGACAAAGACTTTTAAATGCAGCCCCGGTGTTTGTAACACAAAATAATAATGTAAGTGTGAGAAGAGAGAATGTACAAACATGTTTAAACACACTTCTTTTTAGATTTTGTTCACTTTTCTTTTCTCTCCATGTTTGTTCCACTCATATCCAGACCCCCTTCACAGTTACTTGTCCATGTAGGAATAACAGACAGTAATAAGAGACGTTTTTTTTTTTTAACTAACCTTAAAAAGGAGCTTCCTTTATTCATAAACCCATCGTTTTATTCATTACCATTACATTTTTTTTATCATCCACATATATTTATTAAGGTCCAAAAACAGTTTTAGCAGAAAAACCAAAGACAAAAATACAAGTGTTTATATTCTGAAAGAAAACTTCCTTTTCTTCAATGTTTAAAAGGCATTTTAAGTGAACTCCTGCTCCACCAGGGGGCGTATTTTTTATTTCAAATAAGGTTTTACCATAGATTTCTCTTTTACCTCAGCAGGGGAATATTTCAAAGCCATGTTTTTTTTCTTAATTTGAAGCACTTTCATGCTCAAGGTGAAGAAATCTGTCCTCCTTCTGTCAGCCCTCTTGAGCCTTAGTTCACATTTATATTGTACAAAAAAAAGAGTCTTATTTTTTAGTAAAGTTTTAATGAAATAATGCTTTTGGGTGGTTTTATTTGATGTTGGTGCCATAAATGCTCACATACGTGTGGAAACAGGTGTTTTTGTTGAAGAAGTGTTACTTTGATTGTGGAAATGAGAAATGGTTCTTATTTTTTTATCCACTATCTCCATAAGCTGACAAGTTACCATGAGGCGACCACAGTACCTTTGTCCCACCATTACACTACAGTATTGAGACAATGATGGGCCAGTGGTTTTGTATTCACTGAGTGACAATGTGTAAACCAATCACTTCACGTTGTCCTAGAACACTGTTTTTCAGTGTCTTTTTGTAGGTGAGTTTCATGGAAAGTGTGCTGCCTGAAATACTGATTGCCATGTCAATGATGATACATGATAAAGTTGGATTTTCTGTGACATAGAGATTCAATAAAATCCATTATGTATTTAAAAACAGTGGTTTCAGAGGGTTCTTTGGTGTAATGCAAGAAAAAGATCAAGAAAGTGATCACATGACCACCCAGTGTCACTTTCGAGACTTATAAGGAGGAACAAGGCCGTCTCCATGCCCTGGAAGACTTTCAACAATGGATTCTGGGAAAAGGGTGAACATCACCGGTGTGTGTGTGTTTGCGTTTGTATGGACTTCATCAGTGTGTGCGGCGAGTTTTGTGTGTTAGTGTATGATCCATCTTTAAAAAGCTCAGCGTCTGTCTGAATAGAAGGAAGTGGCTCTGACTTCCCCAGGAAATGGGAAGAGGAAACCCGGGGGCTCTGACCTCTCAGGCTGCAGCCAGGCCACAAGACAACTCACAGGAGTGAGTGAGAGAGAGACGAGGGGGAGTGAGGGAGGGAGGGTGGAGGCTAGACGGAGATACTGTCTCTCATTGTACTCCCTCTGACTCAAGAAGAAGCTGGAAAGGGAGTCAGTCTTAGATATTAGGGAGTTATTCAGCCCCTGGTTCTGGTCTTTGAACCGAGTGTGGAAATGAAGTTTCTCCTCGGAGCTCTGAGTGCTCTGCTCTGCTGCTCGGTGTCCTCCTCAAACACTCTGGATCCTGCTGGGAAGAACGTCTGCCTTAATACCAGGTACAGCACACACACACACACACACACACACACACACACACACAGTTCTTTCTTCTGTTGAGGTGTCGAGTTAAAAAGACTTGAAAATCACTCTGGTTTCAGTCCTGTGAAACATGAAAATTTGATGTATTTTCCCATTGAATTATCCCCTTGACTTCCTTTATTTTCAAACTCAATATTGTCTGGCTGAATTGATTATTTTTGTGCCTCAGAGACCCCTCTACCCTGGTCTGCTGCACTGGATGGCGTCAACAGGGAAAAGAGTGCACAATACGTGAGTGACCCCCAGGAATTTTACCTCTACTGCCACCATAATTGCTTTATTAATTTGTTTGATGTATGTGTATATATGTGTGTGTGTGTAGCTGTGTGTGAGGGGGAGCAGGCCTGCCGGAGAGACGAGATCTGTGTGTATCCTGGAGTGTGTCGCTGCCCACCCGGTTACTTTGGAGCACTCTGTAAAACACGTGAGTGACAATAAATATCAGGAGCTTTATTACAGTTTTGCAAAACAACAGATCTGTTCCCAAAATATTTCTGATAAAAAAGCATGTGATCCTACCACACTAAAATGAGTCACTGTTTTTAATGATCGTACAAATGATTTGCTGTATAAATGATCATGTAAAAGAGAGTTGTTCCTATCTTTTGCCGTAGAAAATATGTATTTTAAGTATCAAAAGTAAAGCCAATGATAGTGAAGATGATACTCTAAATGAAAATATAATAGTTTAATCTGTCCTCTCTGTGTGTTCCTTGTTGTAACCAGGCTGTCCTTTTGAGTTCTGGGGCTCAGACTGTCGCCAGGTGTGTCCATGCCACCCACACGGTCGCTGTAACCCTGCCACTGGTGAGTGCACCTGCAACGCAAACCGCTGGGGTCCTCTGTGCCAGTACGCCTGCAAATGTGGCCGACATGGTCGCTGCAACTCCGTCTATGGGAACTGCACCTGCGACGTGGGCTGGTACACACCCACCTGCTCCAAAATGTGTCAGTGCAACAGCGGGGGGTCTGTGGGCTCCAGCTGCGATCAGTTGACCGGCCAATGTCTGTGCCACAGGGGCCACTGGGGAGGGAAATGTTCTGGCACTTGTAGCTGCTACCTGTCGCCTTGTAATCAGCGCACTGGTGTGTGTGAGTGTGAGTCAGAGTGGTGGGGACCCAGCTGCGACCGGCGGTGTAACTGCGACCTTACACACAGCCGCTGTGACCAGGCAACTGGGCAATGCGTTTGCCAGCCAGGGTTCAAAGGTCAATTCTGCAACCAGCCCTGTGAGAAGCAGGAGTACGGCAGCGGTTGTACACAGAGGTAGGTGTTGAATGAAACTTTATTTAACCAGAAAAAACTCATTGAGATTAAATATCTCATTTGCAAGAGTGTCCTGGCCAAGACAAGCGAGAAGTACATTTACAAATTTACAAACATATACAGACATGACTACATTTTTAATCGAAGTACTTACTGCCCGCTTCATCTTCCTCTAGGGCCTTTAATCTACATTTTAAAAGATTTAAAGAGACCAGCTCACCAAGACACATTTTTCTTGTAGGAGATTCCAGTCTGCAGGAGCAGCATATCTAAAACTTCTTTTTCCCATTTCAAGACGAACTTTGGGGACGGATAGCAAAAGTAGATTTTGTGTCTGATTCGCTTCCAGAACTTTTAACATGAATACAATTACTCAATTATGGTGGAAGCAGGCCAAGTATAGCCTTATTAGTCAGGATGTGCCAATGGTTCAGTCTATGCACGGTTAGAGAGGGCCACCCAACTTGCTCATACACGGTACAATGATGAGTTAAAGCCTTAAAGGGTTTGTTATGGACCTTAGAGCTCTGTGATAAACAGTATCCAAAGATTTAAGGCTTTAAGCAGATGCATGCATGTATAAAACATCACCATAGTCAATCATAGGCATGAAAGTAGCAGCAACAAGATGTTTTTTTTGCAGAGAAAGAAAAACATGACTTATTTCTGGAGTAAAAGCTCAGCTGCAACCGCAGCTTCTTTATAAGCTGCTCAATATGGAGCTTAAAAGACAGAGTCATCGATCACAAACCCAAGACATTTATAAGAAGATTCAGACTTAATCACATCACCCTGAGCTATAACAGGATCTTTGACCTCTGTTTTGAATTCGTGAACATCATCAGCTTTGTTTTTTTAGAATTCAGAACTAACTTTAGGTCCCTCAGATTTTCTTGTACAGAGTTAAAGGCATCCTGCAGTAGACAAAGGGCTTTACTCTGTGTTGGGGCCGAGCAATAAATAAGAGTATCGTCTGCATATAAATGTAAATTTGCATTGGGAACTGTGTTATTATCATAGAGACTGTGCTGTTAAAACACCTGCGTGTGACTGAAAGCTCTATCCTGTCCTCAGCTGTGGTTTCTGTAAGGACAAACAGCGATGCTCGATGACTGACGGAGCATGTAAAGCCTGTGAGCCCGGCTGGAATGGCACACGATGTGACCGCCCATGCCCACCTGGTAATCATGGCGATGGCTGCAAGGAGAAGTGTCCACGGTGCAGAAAGAATGAACCCTGTGACCCTAAGAGTGGGAGATGTCGGAGGTGTGATCCTGGATGGACTGGACCCAGGTGTGTGCTCAGTTTTTCTCATGGTGTAGAAAATCTGCTCTAGAAACCAGGAGTGGGTGTAAAATGATTATTGTGGTCCTTGGCCTGCTCTCTTGACAGGTGTGAGGAAGCCTGCCCCAACAGGACGTTTGGAGATGCCTGCAGCTTCCCGTGTAGCGCTTGCTTCCATGGTAACTGCCATCATGTGACAGGAAGATGCGTCTGTGAGCCGGGCTTTCAGGGAGAGAGGTGAGCTGGCTGGCAGAGTCCCAGAATAAATCAAAGTTTATGTTTGAACTGCTCATCAGACTTATGCACAATAAGAGTTTTATTAGCAGCAACAGAATTCATCTGTTGATAACATCATTACTGTCAATTTACCTCTTTACAGCCAATAAACCTCTTAACATTACTGATTTATGTTAATGGGATTTTTTCAAATCTAGGGCAGCAGTTGTACTTTTTTTAAACAACAATAGCTGTGTAAATGAGGCAAAAACCCCAAAGTCAAATATAACAAAAGGTTTGAGAACTCAAACATCTCAAACCTCCATCACGGTCCCTTTAATTTTCCTCCCCACACTCATGAAATGTTTATGAATCATGACGTTATGTTTTTACCGAGCACTGAAATAGATGATGATTCAGTGTTCACACACAGACCTCTCTGTTTGCTGTGGGAGTGTAACTGTGTGATTTGGTTGTTGTTGGTAGTTGTAACATCAGCTGCTCCGCCCTGCAGTTTGGGATCAACTGCTCCTCTGCCTGTGACTGTGGTGAGGGTGTTGGGTGTGACCCGGTCACTGGAGTCTGCCCGAGCAGTACGTCTGACACACCATCAAAATGAATTTGTCTATACAAACCTGAATCGCATCATACAATGGCTGATGTGTGTGTGTGTGTGCCTGTTTGTGTGTGTCTATTAGGTGTCAGTGGCTCTGTACTGGCTGGAGTGTTGGTTCCTTTGCTCCTGGTGCTCCTGGCTGTGCTCCTCTGCTGTCTGTGCTGTGGAGGAAGTCCAACTGATGACAAAGATAGGTCTGTACCCGGGGGCGTGTCCAGACTTTTTTGGACAGGGGTTCTATCTTGTACAAAAGTGACATGAAGTATGAGTGTGTGTAGACATGAATGAAGAACATTTTGTACGATTATCATTCACAAAATCACATTTACTTTGAATACTAATATTTAATTGTCATAAAAATGTTAAGCTAATGAAAGACTAAAATAACACAGTTGAAACTTTTTAATCTTCCTCCTGTGTTAAGGTCTGCACCGACTAGTTTTTGTTTTTAAATACCTAAAAGAACCACTTCAATTAGTTTTTTTTGCATCAAGACTTTTTGACTTTATCAGGAACCTCTATTTCAACAAAATAAAAATAAAAAATTAAATTGACTAGATTATAAAATGCTCTCAAAATGATGGCACTTGTCGTGTTAGGTTTACTGTTGACCCAGTTAGACCAATATCTCATAATTGGCGCAAAAACCAAAATCATATATGCTCTGTCAGGCACCACATTGACAGACAGATCCTCTTCCAATCATGGGAGATTTAGGAAATTCTCATTTAGCCTGTTCTTCCTGCACAAAAAACAACGTCAGGCATGTCCAGACATGTGAGATCAATTCAGTATAGATGTCTGTATCAGGGGTATACTGACAAAGAAAGTCCCAGAGGCCAACAACAAATAAACTATAAGCAATATTTTCATGGATAATGAAGCCTAACAAGGTAAATATTACAGGTGGAGGTAGTCTGTGACCTCCAGCACACCTAACGAGCCTCTCACTCAGATCACCTGTCCTGATTGCGCTCAGCTGGTGCTCGTCAGCCTGGGTCGTCTATAAAAGGAGGTTCTTTCACTCAGTTAGGTGTGTGACACCAAAGATGCCAACACCTTCAGTTGGTGTCGCGTGGTTTGTGTGATGAGTGTGTTTGAGAGTGTGAGAGCGGTTGTGTTTTGAGGGAAGGAGGGTAAATTCTAGACTTTTTGTGAGGTTTTGATCCATAAGGAGATTTTTTGTATTTAACATTTTCTCCCCAACGATTCTACCTCTGTTTGAGGCCTTTTAATTTGGTTTGCCTATTTTTGGGCAAAATTAGTGGGTGGCTGTGGGGAAGTATAACTCTGTGCCACCTTTTAGAACCCAAAGGCCTTATTTTTGTTTTATTTGAAGGTGCAGATAATCCTTTTGTTACTTTCCCTGTCCATGACCCCTGTCCGTAACGTCATGCGACTTGCAGAAACGTAACATAACCTAGAGATAAGAATCAACTTGGATGATAGAGAATTAAGACACAGGTCAAAACCGACCCTTAACAATCTGGAATCATCACTTCAGGGTTAAACCAGAGGTGGTTTTCAGGTCTAAAGGGGTGCCACACTTATGAACATACACCTGTGCCTCACTTCCTTCTATTGTGATGTTTTTTTTTAACCATCTGTTTCTCAGGACGACTGTGGCTGAAGGAGGCTGGCCATACAGGATGAAATATCACGTCTACAGCGTTCTTGCCAACATCGGTGCTGCACTTCCCTGTATCTCCAGCTGGTCGTCCGGCCTGCCTCGAGTCACAGGTAAAAACCACAGCGCAGTATTTCTGTTAAAAAATATGGTAAAAGTAAAAGTGGCTCAACTAGGTTTCAAAAGTGTCTTAGAAATTAGATTTGATATCTGAATCGACCATAAAAACCCAGTGGGATTTTTTAACTTTTGGATTGGTGTTTTTTTTTTTGTTTTCCCACGGAAATTTCACAACATAAAAGAAACTATATGTGGGGGAAAAAAATAAAGATTTAAATAAAATATTTCAATAAAACTTCTTTGAGTGCCTGAAAAATCAAAACGAACGTTTAAAACTCATGATAAATTTTAAAAAGAAGTTGTAGGCAAATGGTTTGATCAAGTTTAAAGTTTCATCATCCCTTTATGTCGCCCTCATGAAGTGTCTCACCATGACCCTGAGCTGACGTTCAACCACAGCTTTATCGAGCCTCCGTCTTCCGGCTGGGTCACTGAGGGGTCTTCATTTGACAGCGATGAGGAGGAGGGAGAGGCGCTCTACTGTGTGCCTCCAAGAGAAGGTAAAACACACTTAACTCTACACTGCCCTCTTGCAGTGGTTTGCTGGTGCTGCAGATTCCCTCCTGCATTTCTTCTCGTGTCTCTTGACCTCTCTCTGTCTCTCTCTTGCAGACATCCCTGCAGTGGCAGGTGGAGAATTTCAGGAGATGAGCTCAAAGTGCAACATGTTCTTGGACCCTTCTGGCTTCAGCAGTGAGGACATCACCTCCCCATTCAACATCCCTCGCACCTCGAGCATCGCCAAAGCCAAGCGGCCTTCTGTCTCGTTTGCTGAGGGCACCCGTTTCAGCCCCAAGGAGAGACGCGGCTCGGCCCAAGACCCAGGTGCTCTTTCTGGTTTCCAACGCAACAAACCCAAGTCACCATGGGGGGTTTTGATGCTGTCCGCCCTCCAGAGTCAGGGGGGTGCAGCTAGAGGTGAGGAGGAAGAAGAAGCTGAGGGAGAGGAGAAGGAGGATGAAGCTGATGTGAATGAGCCAGAGAATCAGGAATCAAGCTATGAGGGAGGAGACCAGGAAGTAGACAGAGCCTCATCTCGGTCCACCCTGCAGGTACCTGGAGCATCAGGACGGAGACGGACTTTGTCCAACACGGCTGCTCACAAAGGAGCGTCTACTCCAGATGCTCAGGCAGGGGTCTCTAATAAGGTCACCACAGTGTACGTGACAGTGGGTAAAGCAGGACGGCCGGTGTCGAAAACAGAATCCAGCTCTGAAGGCCCCGTTCAGGCCATGTTGCGCCGCCTGGGTAGCCTGCAGAGACAGAGGGAGCAGGAGTCCAGCAAGTCCAGGTCAAAGGCACCAGAAGGGATCGTCAAACCGCCGAGGAAGAAGCTGGGGGCTCGGGCGAGTGTGTGGGAGCAAGGAGGCCCGTCTGGAGGAGAGGTGGGCATATGTAAACCAATCAGGAGAAAGCATGCTGCCCTCAACCCCGCTGACACAGCCGGTGCTAGTGACACACTGTCCTCAGAGGGCGGCACTCCAAGAAGACCACTATCCTCTATCCTGAAAAGTGTGCCAGAGGTGGGCTCAGCTGACTCAGGGTCAGATCAGAGGGCTGACAGAGACCCCAGGCAGGGTAGTGACTCCTGTTCAGGAAACACAGAGAGCACCTACCTGACTGTGGGACCAGCGGGTGACGCTACAAGCCTCACCGAGGTTATCGCCAACGAGGCAGCGGTTGTTAGAGGAAACGATGAACCCTGCTACGAAAACGTCTGCATCAAACACTCATAACCTCAGAGAAACACTTATCAGCTGGTCTGATCCAAACACAACTACATGTTCATTATCTTACAGACATAAAACCACCTGCACAAATGGTATTGAGAAAATTAAAACATGAAAATGATTTGAAAAGTCAAAACCATGGAGTAAAAACATATTGATATCTCCTGACTGCTTTAAAAACAAGTGAAGAGGCCGAGTTGAGGCTGACCTTTCACCTCCAATGCACCCACTCAGGAATTACCCCAGACATGAGCAAGAAGAGACAAGAGCGATGTGTTGAATATCACTATGATCTTGTCAAGAATCCTAAATGACAACCTTGGTTTAAGCAGAAATAGACATAACTCAATAACGAGAATCAGACTGGAGTCAGATGTTGTACTTTGTGTTTTTATTTGTCATGATGAAAAACAAAAGTAAGAACAGGACAGAACAAGCTGTTGCATTATCTATGGCTGAATCTGAACACAGTGCACCCTTGAAATGTATTAAGAAATTCAGGATACATTTATTTTGTCTCTGTGTAACGTATAAGATGTTGTCCATCTGAACATCTGTTCAACTGTACCTCATGTTGTTTTGACCGTTCTGTACAGAAAACCTGAATTTTGTATTCAATTCTTTGTACGTTTCTATTTACTGTATATATGCTCACATTTTATTATTAAATAAAAAATATCACCTGTACAAACTTGACTCCAAAACACATCACCTAACTGTACAGTCTGTGGTGGATGATTTATTTAATCTAATAAAGTCAAATTAGCAATATTAATCTGTAAAAACCACAAGTGCTACTTTAGTAAAAATACCAAAACATTATAAAACAAACTGCTTGTAGATATAAAATTTTAAGTATGGACACAGGGCAGGGTGGTGTCCTTGCATTGCCTCTTAACACTTTGTACACTTAGAAATGCTTTTTAAATTGATTAAATGTAAAATGTGCTTTAAATTGCAGCTAACTTACAAAAGTTTCAGATACACGAACTTACATAAAAAGTGCCAAATCTAAACTGTATTGGGGTACAGGTATGAAACTGAAATACTCGAATTGTAAAATACTTTCACCAGTTTTTCTCCTTTTTGAAGTGGTTTTTAATAAGCAGGTCAGTGGATGTTCGCAGCTCAATGTCTGTTCAGAGAATCACTCAGCTGAACTTTGGTCATTGATCTCCAATATTTGCTGAAGCTAAAGAGCAGCTGGTTGTTGATTACACTGAACTTGTCTGACACACTTTTCCTCTGCAAACACAGCTTGTTCCAGGTTGAAGGAATAACATGTTTTATACACAAACAGTCATATTATTTCAGAATATCTAAGATATTCAAACTACTTTTCTGCCCCCGGGGGGCTTGAGCAGCCGAGCCAGTACTTGGCAATGGATCTGGGGTATGGAGGCATGGCGGGGTCAACTCTCTTGCTCCTGAGGTCGACTCTCCAGTATTTATCTGGAAAAGATAGAAAACAAAATCTTTGTTTATTCAAAGTCCATAGCCTGGCTTTTTAATAGGGGCTATAAACATGCTGGGCTGGAAACTGCGGTGATTTAATGCATTTTTTCCCCTGCTGTGTTAACTAATACAAAGCATGTGAAAGCGGTTATTGAAAGCCTGCTGTGGCGAGACAAAGCTCTCCAAAGTCTGATGAAATTATTGAGTTTCTGTCTCAGCGAAACTCATCTCACTGAGGTTTCATTTCATCAGATCCAGAAAAGGAAGTAGAAATATTTTTTATTCTGGGAACAGAGAGAGAGAGAGAGAGAGGTATTCATATTTATGCAGGTAAACAGAACCAACATGTGGACTGACAAACATACCGGATGGGAATAATGCGGGAGAGGAGGAGTCATAGCTTTTGTTTTTTGATTTGAGTTTTGCTCCTGAGGTCAAATGACTTTCCTCCTTTTGGATAATAAGGTTCAGTTTGATTAGATTAGATTAGATTTCTGTCTCATGAGGGATCTGCTGCTCTTTATCAAAAGTTAGCTGTTTTCCATTATGGTTAGGTCTGTGTTTGTGGCATCCTGTTTATTTTTATGATTCTAATAAGCACTTAAACTTAAGATGAATTGATTGGTAACTTTATTTAATAACTTTTAAGACGTAATTATTCATCAAGCAAAACCTTCAAGAGTTCACAGGTTTCTTGGTCCTAAATTGGAGGTTCTGCTTTTCTTTGTAGTTTTAAATCACTATAAAACAAACATTTATGTCGTAATTATCTGTTTTGGGGCATCTAGACAGGAAATGTGTGATGACTTTCATTGTGAAAGTTGTATGATGAAGTTTGTTGTTGAGTCATTTTTCATGATTACAATTAAACTCGACTTCTCTGCTGAGTTACCTTCTTTAAAGAAGTAGACGCTCTGTATGGGCAGACTCCTCTGGACCATATCCCAGTGGGACCTGTCTCCTCTGGAGTCGTAGTTTCCTCTGTTGTTCTGTCTGTGCCTGTCTCGCCGCCTGTCCTGGTCCCAGTCTTGATCCCAGCGTCTGTCCCAGTCTTGATCCCAGCGTCTGTCCCAGTCTCTTCCGAGCCTCTCCTCCAACTCCATCCTTTTCTCTGCCAACCTCAGGCCCATTTCCATCCCCCTCTCTGCAAACTCCTGACCCATGTTCATCCCCTGCTCTGCCAAGGACCCCCAGAATGGAGAACGGCTCTGCCTCCTTCGACCCCACTGCTGTCCGTACTGCTGGTCCCACTGCTGCCCGTACTGCTGGTACTGCTGGTACTGCTGCTGGTAATCGTTTCTGCCTCTTGAGGGCCTCCAGGGAGAGACATAAATTCTACCAGCCATGGCGGCATCCAGCGGAGATTTCAAGCCCTTCCAGTCCTTGTCGATGAAGTGGTGTTTATCGTGATGCTGAGGCACTAAACAGGAGTAGAAAACATTAAGTCACGCATGTTACAACACCTTCCTGTCTCAACAAAGTGATTTAAGCAAAACTCACATTCACCGAAGAGCTGGCTGAAGAAACGCTCATAATTGTTGTAGTAAACATCGGTGTAGTGCCTGAACCGTGTGGCTGGAGACCTCAAAGACATGGAGATGCACTCCTCGTGAGAGGGCTGGTGCAGAAACTCGTATGTGTAATACTGATCTCCTAAAAAAAAACACAGAAAAGAGACACAAATGCATGTTTTTAACAGAGTCTGTAAGAACTTAAATGTTGAGTATGTTGTTTCACCTCAGCTCATACCTTTGAAAAAGTAGACCTTCTCTTTCCCGTTATGGCCAGGAGCAGGTAGAGCAAACGCTGCATCCACATGATCAGGGATTTTATCAAAGCCCACGCTGATATCTCGAGGATAGTCATCATCGAGAACTCCATCATCATATCTCCAGTACTTGTTTCCCTGATAAGAGTGTAGCTCCATGTTTAAATTAAATTAATACAGACATTCCTGTGAATACCCAAATAAATGCATGATCATTTCCTACATCCCCACCTTAAAGATATAAGTCTTCCCTTGACAGTTCATCCTGGTGAAAGCAGCATCAATGGGCCCACTGATGCCCCACACATCCTTTATGAGCTTTGGATATCCAGGAAGCACTGATTTCTGGTCCAGTTCAAAAAAGTAGTCCCCTAAGAGAGATACAAGCGTTCAAAAGCAGGTTTTCCTCAAACAGAATAAGATGTGTTGCTGGTTACTCACCTCTAAAAGCATAAATGGAGCCATTTTTCATCTGCATGAAGGAGTCAAAAGGCCTCTCACTGCAGACCTCTGCGTCTGGGTCGGGGGCCGCAGTGGTGGCGTTGGTCACAGGGACAGTGGTCACAGGGACAGTGGTCACAGGGACAGTGGTCGTCTCGGCCTCTGCTTCAGTCTCAGGGGGTTTGTTTGTGTTTGGGATCTCATGTGAAGTCTGTGAAATCGGTGGTTCTTCTGTGACAGGGATCCTCTCAAGTATGGTATCCCTGAGTCGAGGGGGTCTGGTCATTTCTAGAACAGTTTCTGGGTGCTGACGTGGTCTGAAGTCAGAGACGGGTCGATTCGTTGGTCTCTGTGTTTGCCCCCGCTGACGAGTAAAGGAAGACTGGTCGAACGCTGACAGTTCAGGGGCTTGAGTGGGGCCCTCATCATCATCTTCTGCAAATACAAACGTGTCCCCTCGTGCTAAAGGGGAAAAAGTGACCTGTTACCGTATTTTTCTGCACCATTTAACTCATAGCATGGAAGATTTTAAAAAGAACATTTTCTTACTTGTCATACCGCAGGTGACCTCAAAGTCAGAGCAGCAGCTCTTGTAGTATTTGCACATGGAGTCACACTGGCAGCTCCTCTGAGAGTCGAAGCCATTCTCACAGCGACCCATACACGACTCTGAAAATACAATTCAAGAAACTGTATTATCTCCAATGTTTGATTTGCACTCCTTGTGTTTTCTTTGCTCCTCTGACTTAATGAATTTCCTCCTTTTCATAAATGACTTAAATTGAATTTAATCTGATTTAAGCTCCCATGAGGTTTGACGGGCTTGTTAGTACAAGTATTCTCCTGTCAATTCTCCAGGTACTCTTTGTATATTTAAGCTGTTATTGTATCGGCTAATGCTACATTAAAACTGGGATTACTGCTGAAATAACAGTGAACTGATAAACTGATACTGACTTTGTTAAACATAGAGCCATTTATGAAGCAAAATATGCAGACATTTGAAATAGACCGACTAGAACAATAATTTGCTGTTCTATATATTTTCAAATTTGACATAAACCATTTGAAGACTTTAATCTACCACTTTCTTTACCTAATTTTTGACTAAATATATACTAATTATATAATTTCAGTTGTAGTCAGTGTCTATTATGTCAGCCTCTGCAGATTTAAAGTCTATCTAATAGGACTTGTTGTATAAGTTCATTCAAAAGTTGTCACGGATGTAGCAGCAGATGAAAACATACACACTCTTAATCAGATTTCTATACAGTACACCAAGAAAAAACCCCTACCCCTCTACGTGCTTCCTATAGCTTCTCCTCTGACTTTCAATAATGATGTTAAATATTTCACTTACCCTCAGATCCAAAAGCCTGTGTGAACAGAGCGAGCAGCAGCGCGGCGGCCCTCAGCCTCATGTTTCCTCTGCTGTGTATGAGAACAGACTGACACTCTAACCATCGACTGTGTGCTCTCAATCATTGGAAACATGAGTCAGTCACCCCGCTTCCTTGTTTACTTTAACTCTATTTGCGAATCTTTTTTTTCTTCTGAAGCACACAAACAGACTCGGAGAGGGGAAAGGGATCAATGGGACCCCGAAGGTTATGCAATGGCCTCTGTTGACCTCTGACCTCACTAGTTCTATAATTTTACTGCAATCTGAAAAACATTAGGGGTGATCGCAGAGATTAGCTACTTTATCCTCTTATTTCATGACCTTGTGACATGAAATCTGTTCATTTAAAGTCTCTGAGAAGCGAGGACAGAAGATCAACGTACAGATCTGCTGTTTTTTATGTAAGACTGTTAAACACAAAGTTACAAGACTGTAAAGATTTTTACGACAGCAGAAGAGCAAGTATGTTCAGACTTCTTGTTCCTCTTAGTGTGTATTATGCTTAAGCAGCAGTTTAAAGAGTCTGACTGTCACTGTGACATTTAAAGACAGTTGGCCAATCAGCTGACACATAAACTGACTCAGTTTGTCATGATAAGATTTTGAAGATGCAACAGTTGGGAGGATAATCAACCTAGGAGAGGGTGGGGTAAGATGAGCCAAAGGGTAAGATGAGCCACCCTCCTGTTGCTTGGAAATGGTAAAAGAAATTGATCATTTGACCAAATATTTAGGAGATTAATTCATGGAGTCTGTGAAAGTCATGGGTGAAGGGGTTACACATTTATTTCCAAAAAAACATGTTTCACTCTTGAAAGTGAATTTAGTCTGTCATAAGTTTCATTAGAATTGTGTTTAGACCAAAAAAGATCATTTTAAATTTGTTTAATAGATCAATTGTGGTATCTTTGAGCTACAACATAAGCTACAAAAACTTTGTCCACCATTTTAGTTCAGAGGACTACTAAGTTCGTAAACTGAGCCAAACTGAGAAAGTAAAGGAGTCTGATAAGAGGATCAGAGTTTGTTGAATAGCGTATTATAGATATAAATACACATGAATGTGAAGAAGTGACTGTTATTTAGGGAGAACGAAGGTGAGGGAGGGCTGGGTGGAGAGTGGGAGGGTAGTAGGGATAAGGCTCAACTTACCCCGCTGCTATGGTCAACTTACCCCATACACGGGGTAAGTTGACCATAGAAGACCACTGTTTTTTGGCACGCTATATTATCAAGACAGTTCTGTTTACACTCATTCTGTTGGTTTGCAGGGATGACCAACATCTTGAAATATATACACATACACTAGTTAGAGACAAAACTATGATTGCCTTGATGTAGTGATCTGAAATATGAAAAATGGCTCATCTTACCCCACTCTCACCTACTGCTGTGAATATAATTTTCTCTTTTGATATTTTTACACAGCTCTACTCCCTCAGAGTTATGTTTCATGTTTGATTTTTCAGTCAGGTTTGGTGCTTCCACTGAGCATATGAGTGTGGCAATCCTTAGCATGATTGTGGGTTGAAGTGGACAGAAAGACAAGCATGTTTATCATGCATAGACTCATGTTGTGAGGTTCTTCTCCAGGTTCTCCAGCAGAGGGCGTAGGGTGCTCACAGCAGCCGGTGATAAGCATGCTCAAACCGGCAGTGATGCAGGGAGGAGAGAGAGGGAGAGGAAGGAAAGAGGGGGCAAAAGAGAGAGGGGAGGGGTGCTTCGTTATCGTGCTCATCACCGGCGTTATCCGGAGCCGGTGGGCGGTACAGAGATCTCTGAGGATCCATAGATATCCTGCTGATGCTGCTGACCGAAGGATGCTATAGGTCAGTTGGGATGCTTTTGCATATCTGGAGTCATATCGTGTATTTTGGCAGGTGATGCACCGCTGCAGGGCGCCAGATAAACTGGAGAGAAGAAGTATGAGAAAAACAAACCTGTCTTTGTCTCAGTGAATGCAGAGACAGACGACAATAGACTATTAATTCTCAGGAAAACAAAGTGGGCTTGGAGATGCTTCTTGGTATGTCAGACTGAGATTCTGCTCTGAGAGTTTTCCTCCATCATTTTCCGTAAATGCATGAAGTCATCTAGGAGCTGATGGGATAAGGAAACAAAGCAGCAGGAGCAGCTGAGTCAGGAGGACTATGCATAGACAAGGTCTAGATCTGCTTATGTGTGTTTATGCGCTTATCGTCAGGGATGACAACGTGAGAGGTGATGCAATTTGGTGAAAGCTGTCAACATTGATTCACAGCTGAGGCCTTACTCGGCGCATCTGTCAGTGTTTACGAGACAAAACAGGAGACCGGAAAACAGACTCGGTTCAGAGGCCTCTGTAAACAAACAACGACGTGTTTCTGCCGGTAGATGCTCATTTCTCTCACGCTCTTCTTGTGGAGGCTCTATCGACATCTCTGCGTTATGTTCAGCTCAGACAGGCTCACAGTCCCGGAGTATGTCAGCCGGCTGCAGAGGGGCAGGAGCGGCTCCGGCTCCGACCCCAAAGCGGTCTCTCCCGGGATCAGTGCGGACGTCCAGGCGGTTTTGGATAGCTCGCTCCCCGCCCTTCGCTGCGCCATCAGGAGGTTGAAGTCAGCCAAAGAAACCTCGGACTCTGACGAGACCAGAAGGGCCATAGCGGAGATCTTCCAGCTGGTGGAGGAGGCCTGGGTCCTGCCCACTGTAGGCCGTCAAGTAGCCGAGGGGATCTGCAACAGAATCCGGCTGGATGGAGGCCTGGAGCTGCTGTTGCTGCTTCAACAGACACCTGCTGTGGAAATCACCTATGAGTCTGCAAAACTGCTGGAGCAGATCCTCATCTCAGAGAACAGGTAGGCTACAGTAAAGAGGATCAGACATAATACAATACTGTCCAACACAGACCCTACTTTAGTGAACAAACAAGGTTACATTTTCAGCCTGGTCTGTGTCAGCTGGATATGTAACTGCATCACATGAGCAACTCACAAAATGTTACAGGCTATTACAGGAAAAAAATCAAGATTAAGAAAAACAGCAGTACCTGTTTCTTGAATTTGACAAACAAGCAGACTCCATGTCAAAATAAGCCTTATTTAATGGCCTCAACTCATCAGGTTAAACCTCGGCCTATCTGTCCCGGTTGTTGATCAAATACAGAGCGCAAATATGGTGTTTAAAGCTCCTGTGAGGAGTTTTTAGCTTGTTGCTCTACACTCCGAGATGATTACAGATGACCCTGATAAAACCATTAGAGACATGACTGATAGTTTATCTATGATTATGTTAGCGCTTTAACCGCTGCTGCTGGGTGGGTGTCAGACAAAGTGAGTTGCAGCGATCTTCCCACATGCCTTTGTCATCACAATAGCTGTTGTTTCCTTCTGAGACATACTGTTTGTGCTTTCACTCTCTAAGGAGTTTCTCTTTAGCTTTTTATTTCCTGATTCAAGTTTTGTTTTCTGTTGACAGGGATTACATAGCACGTCTGGGCCTGGGGGTCATCCTCAACTTGACCCGACAGCAGGAAGATGCTCAGCTTGCCCGCAGTGTCTCAGGGATCCTGGAACACATGTTCAAACACACCGAAGAAACATCAGTCCACCTCATTTCCAATGGGGCCCTGGATGCCCTCCTCTTCTGGTGCCGAGGTACGGACCCCACTGTTTTGCGCCACTGTGCTGTGGCTCTTGCAAACTGCGCCATGTACGGAGGCCACCGCTGCCAGAGATGGATGATTGAAAAGCAGGCGGCTGAGTGGCTTTTCCCGCTGGCTTTTTCCAAAGAGGATGAACTTATTCGCTTCCATGCATGTCTCGCGGTTACTGTGTTGGCTGCAAACAAAGAAATCGAGAAAGAGGTGGTGAAGTCAGGAACCTTGGAGCTTGTGGAGCCGTTCATCGCCTCTTTGGATCCAGATGATTTTGCCCGGAGCTTGCTGGACAGTGCAGACAGTATGCAGGGTAGGACGGCCTCTGACCTGCAGCATCTCCTGCCTTTACTGGATGGCACAAGAGTGGAGGGGAAGTGCATTGCGGCCTTTTACCTGTGCGTTGAGACCAGCATCAAGTCTCGTCAGCGCAACACTAAGGTACAATCACTCTCTGCTTTCTTTCATAGGACTCGAGAAATCACTGTCTGTGACTGAGTTTAATTCTGTTTTCCTTTGAAGATATTTCAAGAGATTGGAGCGGTTCAGAGTCTGAAGAGGATAGTCATGTACTCAAGTAATGGCACAGTCTGTTCGCTTGCCAAGCGAGCACTGAGAATGATGGGAGAGGAAGTGCCGAAACGTATCCTGTCCAGTGTGCCCAACTGGAAATCTGGAGAAGTGCAGACCTGGTTGCAGCAGGTTGGCTTTAGTGCCTACTGTGACTATTTCCAGGTATGTCCGACTACACAGTGAGATATAAAGTCAGATCTGTTTATTTTATAATTGATAGCTTCTCCTCTCCTCTGTTGTAGGAGCTCCAAGTGGATGGAGACCTCTTGCTGAACATCACAGACCAAGATCTAAGCACTGATCTGGGCATGACTGCAGGTCTCACTCGCAAGAGGCAAGTCACGCAAACCTTGCAAGAAGTGACTAACTTTACACTGAGTATTTTTGACTTCAGTCTAACACATTCCTCTGTCTCCCCTTCAGGTTTTTAAGAGACTTGCGTGTGCTGAAAACATACGCCAACTACTCCACATGTGACCCCAACAACATGGCGGACTGGTTGGCTGGGGTGGACCCTCGTTTCCGCCAGTACACTTATGGCCTCGTCCAGTCAGGAGTGGATCGCAACAATGTCCAACATCTGACTGACCAGCAGCTCCAGCTTGACTGCCACATTGATAATGGAGTGCACAGAGCCAAGATACTGTCCTGTAGTCGCAGGCCCTTAAAACCATGCCACACTGATGCCCAGCCTGCAGGACCGGATGTGTTCATCAGCTACCGCCGCACTACTGGCTCCCAACTGGCCAGGTCAGAACCGAGACAAGACGAGAGGAATGGGAGGTCATTTAGACAAAGGGAAGTGTCAATGTCTTAGTTTTCTCACTGCTCATTCTCACTTTGTTCTTGTCTTCTGGTTTCAAGTCTTCTGAAGGTGCACCTGCAGGTTCGAGGTTACAGCGTCTTCATCGATGTGGAAAAGCTGGAGGCCGGTAAATTTCAAGACAAGTTGATTCAGAGTGTGCAAAGGGCACGTAACTTCATCCTGGTCTTGTCTGCCAATGCTCTCGACAAGTGCATGGGTGACACTGATATGAAGGACTGGGTGCATAAGGTAAGGAGTTGTCCATTCCAATCCCAGTTATCCTAAATCCTGAGTCCTTACAGAGGTGGTGCATTTTTATGTTGATACATAAACATGGACCGTGGACGTGGATTTTAGTCACATCTCCTGAGGGACAACAATCAAATCCTTGTGCTAACATCCCATTCCCATTACTTTCGAGCACCCTGTGTAAACACTTAGCTGAAATTACATGCCACATAAATATTTAATAGAAAAGAAGAGATCTGATGTTTTCTTTTGCTCGCACACGTTTCAAGGGAATTGTGCTTTTACAAACTCAAAGGAACTCTCATGAATTTTGCAGGAGATTGTGACAGCTTTGGCTGGCAAGAAGAACATAGTTCCTGTCACAGACAATTTCATGTGGCCTGACCCCACGTCTCTGCCAGAGGACATGAGAACAATTCTCAACTTCAACGGCATCAAGTGAGTCCCCTGAAAAACTCAAATAAACCAAAGCCAAACTATAGCCTTGATTATGTACAGAAATCCTGTTCTCAATCGGTTTAGCAGCTAATAAAGAGGTCCAGTTTGGGTCGCGCGATCTCTGCTATTTCCAATTTATGCTAAGATTATAAATATTTAAAAGCCTCTTTAAATTTCTTAATAAATAATTCATAAATACTGCTTTTTATTGTTTTAGAGGAAAGGTGTTGAGCAATTGATTACTGATCCAAGTATTAATCACAGACAACTTCTTTCATTGCAATGCATTTAACAGAGTGGATGTTGTCTTTTCTTTTCACAGATGGTCCCATGAATACCAGGAGGCCACTATCGAGAAGATACTCCGCTTTTTAAAAGGACAGCAAGACCAAATTGACAGCACCGACGCCTCCAAAGTGCAGAAAAAGAAGTAAAAGTGACACAAGCCGTTTTGATTTGGGTTTCAATGACCATCACTGATGCCAAATTTCATCATGGCCAATTTGTGAGCCGGCCGGCAGCTTATTCAGCAAACGCATGTGATAAGATTACATGCCCACACACAAAGGCCGAATACAAAGCGGCCCAATATACTGCAGAACAATAAACGAAATCTCCTAAAAGGATTTCTTGGTGTATAATGAGCTTTTAATGATAGTACCCTCACACTGCTCAATATGTGTAACCAGGTACAGTATACACTTCCTTCTCTCAGGACAATAACTGTGATTGATCAGCCATTATTGGCACCCAGCAAGTCATCAAATATCAGTGTCTGAAGCTTTCACTAACACATCGATATACTCAGTTATCTTTAAGTGTACATTTAAAGGACCAAAGTGGGTCTCTGGGTTTTTGTTAACATGTTATGTTTGAGTTAGAAAAGGAACCTTTCCCAGCAGATGTTTGTAATTATTGGAGATGGTTAGGGTTAACAGTGGGCATCATTTGAGACTGGGGACATGTACAGAGATAATGAGCTAATTAATAAGAAGCTGCAATCCTAATGTAACCAAATAATGATATATGAGACGTACAGACTAGAATCATTTCAGCGTGGTTTTTAACATTTCCTCATATTGGTTAAAGATGGTAGGAACTCCCACCTTGAAACTGGTTTTAAGTGTTTGGAATGAAGTAACATAACACTGTAAAACGTAGAATATATATCCAATTTGATTCACTGGATGCTATGTCATATAAGTCTGTTTTCACTGCAAAATATGCTTTGAAAATTATATTTAATCTCAGCAATTATTTTGTATTACCCCAAAAGAGTGAAGTGAAAACAAAGAAATCCAGCCTTTGACAGCCTTGAGAACAAAAAGCAAATTTGATCATGCTTGTGCAAAAACAATACTGAACAAAAAAAGTTTTAAAGTTGCTGTAAAGAAAACCGTATTAACCCAAAAGCATAAAGATGTGTTTGTCACAAGTTGTTCTATTTGGCCTGATGCAGCTGGGCTTTTTCTGATCTTGCCTTAATATTGTTTGCCTTTAATGTCAACCCACATTATCTGAGTGTGATAAATATAGTCCCTGTTTAATTTTAATCTCTTTTCCATGTAGCTGTTCAGTGTTAATTTTGTTATCATGATGTTTTAGTGTTGGAAATATCATTTGAAACACGATACATAATAAATTGTGTTGAGAAAAATCCTTACAGTGAAATGCTTTATTTTGCTCTCACTTAACACATCATTTCAATTACTGAAATCAATACAACTACTTGATTAAGATGAATAAACAAGTCCATTTTGTTACATAATATGTCTACAGAGCAGCTTTGATCACATGAACAATTCAAACCGTCGCCCAGAGTCGGAAATAATCTCTCTGCGGATCACGTCACTTAACCTTTGAAATACCCTTGTGCGTTTTGAAGCTGATTTGGCAGCTCCTGTTCCCTCACTGTGCAACCAGGACCTGACCTCTTTGTGCGTATTGGCTGTGGGCTTGTGCTCTGGGACTATCTGGTGTTGCTTGTGCTGAGGGGAGGAGGAGGGCTGCCCAAGGAGTGCGGACTATGATCTCTGCTCTATGAAGAGAGGAGGAAGGGCTATATTTATTCTCTCTTTGCTGTGGATCACGAAAGATTTGGGCTTCTTAGACCTGGCTTATCTCTTTAATTAGGGTAATGCTGAGGCTTTGGTGCTGACATAACTGTTAAAAAAACTTGTAAAACCACATCTGATTACACTTTCTTACAGCATTTAAGTAATAAGTTTTCTGTTTGGTGAAAGGCACTAGTACCACAGCGTAGAATATCTACACTAACACACATTAAAAGTACAGAAATACACAGGTAGTCAGTGAGAACGGCCTTGTTCTACTTGTTTTTTTCAGTCAATGTATTCTTTATATGGGAAAAAGGTCATTTCACACATTTTAGAACAACTTGGCAGCTTGGGAACTGGACTCTTGTGAATTCATAAAGTCTTATCTTATCTAAACTTGTTAGCTAAGCATCATAACCCTACAAGTAACTCATGTAAGAAGTGAGAAGGTCAATATCAGCACGAGTTGTTGAGCAGTTAAAGGAAAATGAAATGCTTATGTGCTTTCTGTAACTGAACAAAAAGTACTCAAATGTATCTGTTAAAACATTTGTTTTCTTGATAGATATTTACCAAGGATTGTCCTTGTCTTATCAAACAAGCTCTCATTTGTTTTCATGGTCAAACTTGGGAGAAAAAGTCAGCAGTGTTTGATTATTGCACCATCTTTGATTAAAATCAACAACATGTAATTTTTTAAGACAGGAAGTAGAACGAATTTAAATACATCAAATCTTATTTAAAAAACAAGCATTAAAAATGACAAAGAACTGAAGGAAAAAAAATCGGAATAGCAAGCGGCTACCAGCTAATATTGTTATTTCAAACAAGTATCAGCCACATTTTCACAATAAGAACATTATTGTTTTACAAGTATCGACAAATCGGTACCTGTCACCCCTCCTTCTGAAAAGTTACAGTCACATATTCAATATAGCAACTGTATATCTGTAGTTATCTTCTAAAAAGTTTTCATAAGGTTGTATCTTCTCATGCACTTGTGTGTCTGAGTTAAAGAAATGTCACTGGCCTGTACGTGTCTTGTGCAAAAGTTTTAAACCAGCAGGATCTGACTTAGCAAAAACATAAAGAAAAAACAGAGTCTAATACATAAATATACACGCCACAACAAACAGCAATTTCAAAATACTTTAACACTTGTTTCAGTGAAACATTCAGGGTAATAAAAATCAGTTTAACAGCAACTTTTTGCCCTTTTTTCATAACACACAAAATACTGCCATAAAAGGATCACATGATCAGCTCTGATTAATTTCTTTGTTATGTGGTGCAGCTGCAGCTTTCTAGTAAGCAGCATTGAGATGGGTCCTTCACATGACAGGCTTCATCGACAGGATATTTGTAGAAACTCTTTGTGAATGTTTGACCCTTTAAAGTAGAGTGTACAGTCCCACTCTATTCTATAAGAAGATGTCTGTGGTGGCTCATTATGGAGGAAAAAGTCAGTGTGTCGGGAAACCATGCCTTTGTCAGGTGACTGGTATGTTGCCTTTCATAAATTCCTCTCCCTCTGTGCAGTTTGAGATGTATCTATCAACTATATTCAGCTTTATCTGTAATTTGCCTTTTTAATGATCAAAACGTCTTAATATGTGAGCGTTAATACAGCAGGGTTGACTTAGAAAAAAAGAGTCTTACTCTTCACAGTCTCATCATAAGGACAGAGTCAGTAGGTTGGTTTTTTCCTTTCTTGATTGCTGACATGTGATCTAACAGAAGAATCGGCTGTTTCGCCACTGTGTCAAGATCAAAAGTCTCTCTCAGCGACATACATCAGGTCATGATGGCTGCCTCTGTGTCAGAGCTGCTCACCTCATAGGGGGGACCTTGATTTGCGAACAGGTTCTTGCCCTCTGCCTCTCCTCAATCAAACGTGACTGAGTCTCTGTGGCCTTTCCTCTGGTCAAAGCATTGCAGGCAACTGGAGAAACAAAAAAGAGCTAAATGATCTAAACCCTCATACTTTTGAAGCAGTTGTTATATTATTATTATTTGCCACACATTCTCATTGTGAGTAGAGAAAGAAAATGAACCAAAATGTTAATTTCAGTCAGAAAAACAAGCCTGCAGAGAGGCAGATTTACCACACTGGAGGTCATAATCCACAACAACATGGCAGAACAAAGAGGTGTTGGCTTGATGATCAGAAAACCGTTGTTAAATTTTGGCACTTTCTTTGTATTACACAACTCTTAGCTGTGTGCTGGTAATATGATTAAACAATGTTTTCCGTGACGTGAGTGCTGAAACAGAGCCGACAGCAGAGGCACGGACATAAATGCACCAGACTGCTGTCTATTTGGTCTATTTGGACCAATCACAATCAAGCATTTAACAGTCAGCTCCATCAGAAAGAAAGGCAGACCAATAATATTTCATAATCAATTTTACAGCAAACAGAATTTGTTAATTCTCCTCAATGATATTATCCAAAAAAGTGAAGAAACAACAGACTTATTTTATCGGTTGCATGAAAAATGGAACAATACAGATAAAAGCAAAATGAATGACAACATGTAAACATACACAGAGTGGCATGAGAGCATCGTAGCATTTATATGATGTTGCTCGAGACCAGCAACCCTTCATGTAGTGTGATATTTCTTGAATTTTGTACTGGGGTGTTACTGTAACTGAGTAATGACATCCAACACATCCATGTCGAAGTTGTTACCATAATTGGAAGCTCGTGAACTCTGAGGTCAAAGGAAGAGCTCTTAAACTCAGGAGCCTGAGTGAGGCATCAGGAGGACACAGCAAACTCACCCAATTATTCCAGCAGGGATGACGAGGAGAACGGCAGCACAGAGGAAGAGGAAACCCTTCATGAATGTCAGGGTGAGTGGGTAGATCGAATTGAACAGACCGCTGCCTGCTAGAAAACATAGACTGTCCATACAGGCAATAGTGGCAAACAGGGCACCTTGGAGAAAGAAGAAACACACACGCATTACGTACACAACCGTGTCAGCTCTTCTTTGCCATGTATCTACGGTTGTCACATCTTGAAACCAGTCCACACTTTCGCTGGGATCAGGGTGTTTGTTTCTCTTACAGGATTATCAGTGACTGACCTTGTTCTGATGGGGCCACCAACTTGGATAGTTTTGACCTGAGCACAGGCAACGGAGCCATGAAGAGGAATAACAGACCATAACCTGTAGACAGAGAAAAAAACAATCAATCATATTTCACAGCTGATGTAGACTTCACAGGCCAGACAACCGACACTACAAAGCCAGCTAAATCTGATTCTCACTGTGGTGTAATTCTTTGCCAGTACTCTAAATCCTATTTTGAAGTGTAAATCTACATATTTATGTATTAACCGGCTATGCAGTGGAATCATTTACATTGTTAGGTTCAACTTGTGCTCATTAATATCACAAGCTAATAATAGGTGCCTTGTATTCAAGGTTTCAAACATCTACAAGGTCTATTTAGTCTGTCACTGCCTGAGTAGAGATAACATGATGGTATTTGCCTGATATTATGCAGCTGCAAAAGCGTTCATGTTTTCAAATCACCGGGCAAAGGAGGACAGAGAGGGTGAAGTTGCATTTTTTTCCCACTACAATCCTTGTGTTTGAAAAAGTACCACTCACTTTGAATCTGTGCTGTCAAAGGAGGGTATCAGTTTGAACAAAAAATATCAAGTTGGAGAGGACCCAGGACGCCTGCTTCAAGGACTAAAGCCTTTATAAATCAGGCACTCTGTTAACAGATGAGCAAAACCAGTGCCACGCTCATGTTGGTAAATTGGTATCAAATAAGTATGCTGAGAAATTTTGCCTCCAGAGATAATCCTTCGTCTGGTCACAAGTAGTAGAGCCGTGTAACAGCTTAATATTACTTTAATTTTCTGTAAACAGTCAAGAAATGTGTCAAAGCTGGCAGCCGATCCAAGAAGGACTATGGCCCCTTTTTATCAGGACTGAACTTGGACCAGCTGATTAATCTCAATTAAGCTAAACAAACACTCTTTACCTTATGTGACTCTAAGTTTGAGTCTCTCTCACCTACAAACATGAGCACGGTGGTATCAGCCACGGAGAAAACCAGCATCCCAGATATGTTGGAGACCAGACCCACGACAGCAATCCAAGAATCCTTGAGGCAGGTCTTCATGAGCTTCAGTCCCATTAGACTGGTGAGGTACGCCATCTGTAGAGCTGCTGCTCCGTAGCCAATGAGCGTCGAACCCCAGCAGAGCGGTGAGCTCAGCTCGTACAGCACAAACAGCTCCCTGCTGCCGAAATGTACAGTCACCACCAGAGCGAGGCTCAGCAGGTAAAGCCACAGTTTGTATCTGTTAGCGCTCGTCTGGCCGGAGATGCCACCCGTTGAGAAGAGTTTCCAGACGTTTTTGTGATGACGGTAGGTGAGGAGCTTTGCATTTGGGTCTGGTGTGATTGACTCTTGAACGAACAGGTAGGAATACAAAACTGCGCCTAAGTTAGTGGCCAGTACCAGCCAGAACGGGTTGATGTACCTGTAAAAACAAAGGCATAAACATAAGACTGTAAAGAAGCTACACTGATAAGGATGATAATTCTATACAAACTGGTGCATATTTCTTACCCTTGTGCTTTTCGCCACTGCCCGCCAATGATGCTTGCTAGCATCCCTGCCAAACCTAAACAAGCCTCCAAAATCGCCACCCTGGAGGTGCGGGACTTCCTGTCACTGACGTCGGCCACATATGAGAAACAAGCAGCCAGGACGGCACTGAATTCGCCCGTGAGACCGCTGAGCAGCCTAGCCGCGAGAAAATAGACCAAGGGCAGCTTCAGGTACATCACCACGAGGTAAATTCCTGCTTGGACGGCCATACCTATATTTGGTATGATAAGAACGGGTCTTCGGCCTACAAGGTCACTCCAAGATCCCAGGAGGGGCACCACAAGCAGGGCGACAGAAAAGCCCCCAAGACTGATATACAGGCTCCAGTGTGCTGTCAAGGTTTCCACTTGCTGAAGGAAAGAAAAAAAAACTAGTTTTACTGCGGGTATTCAAACTGACATGCTCTACTTCTACTTCATCAGTAATCACAGTTACCACACATCCTTCATGTGATCTCGACCCTAAATTGATGAGCAGTGCAAAACCTCAAGGCTTTACTCGCTTGAAAAGAACCGAAAACTGCTGATCTTTGTAAACATTTCTTCTGGTTCCAAATTAATAAGCTGCTTAGTTTCAACTTGTGACTGTTGTTCCTCTAAGGGAACTATTCCTGGGTTTAAGGGCCAAAAGTACAAACTCAAAGTCTAATGACGTTGGTACATTGTGCAAAACATGAATAAAACAGACGACAGTGATTTGCAAATCCTTTTTGACCTACATTTAATTGGATACACAACAAAGATATCAAATGTTCAAACTGATAGACTTCACAGATGTGACAGTTGCCATGGGCACAAACACACCCCATCCTTTTCCTCTTTGGCTCAGAGGACACCACACCCATGATTTACAAAAACAATATGAAATGCACACTTTTCCACTTTGAGTCAGTCCAGTTCAGATGAACTCATTTCCAGAGAGGCTGGAAGCATTTCTGGGTGTTGCTGATACATGACTGTGATTTTAGGTGATACAGTTTGAAGTTGCACTTGGAGATGTACAGACTAACTGTGTTAACTGACAATGGTGTTGCTGAGTCCACATGGTAAAATCCTTTACAGGATGATGTGGGTTTTTAATGCAACACTACCTGAAGGGTCAAAGATCACAGCATCCAATGTTAGTCTTCAGCCTTGCCACTTATGTGCAGAGATTTCTCTAAATTTCCTGAATCATTTGATGATATTATGGACTGTAGATGATGAAACCTCTTAAACTGATGCTCACGCAGTTGCTCACAAAGTGGTGAAACCTTCCCCCATCCATGCTTGTGAAGGACTGAGCCTTTTAAGGATGCTCCTTTTACACCCAATCATGAAGCTCACCCGTTTCATCAACCAATGAAAGTTTAAAACAAGTGTTTTTTCAGCACTCCTCAATTTTTACACTATTTTGTTTCCCTTGTCCAAACTTTTTGGGGAATGTGTTAAGACATCAAATTGAAGTGAATATTTGAGAGAGAGAAAAAAAACAGGTTAAATATTAAATATCTAGTCCTTGTTGTGTATTGAATTGAATATAGATGGAGAAGGATGAATATCTTCTAATTGTATTCAGTCATGTCTTTCAAAAAACTTGTAATCCACGGTTTGTCGTTGGGGAAACAGTGAACAGTCTTTGTTGGTATAACTGTGTCTCTACAGAAGTTGATATATTCAGTAAAGCAGTCAACCTGTTTATCAATGTTCATACTATCCACATTTGTTTCCAGCAGCACACTCCAGTCTGTTGATTTAAAACAGTCCCTTAGAGCTTCACTGGCTTCAGGTGTCCATCTTCTGATTTTGACTTTGGTCACAGGCTGCCTCAGTACAAAGGGTCTGTAACAGGTTTGCAGATAGACCGAGTTATGATCTGACTTGCCCAGTGGTGGTAAGGCAGTGGCTCTGTAGGATTCTGTAGGATGTTGGCATACAGAAGATCCAGGGTTTTGTTTTCTCTGGTAGGACAGTTTACAAACTGTGTGAATCCAGTCAGATGAGAGGAGAGGGTGACATGGTTGAAGTCTCCTGATATTATTATTATTATTATTATCACAAAGTAGTGGCTTGACTACTGTAACGCTCTCCTCTCTGGTCTACCCAAAAGCACAATAAACCAGCTACAGCTGATCTAAAACTCTGCTGCCAGGACCAAGGGCAGAGCTCATATTACATCCATTTTAAAGTCTTTGCACTGGCTGCCTGTTAGTTTTCGCATTGACTTTAAAATTATAAAGCTCTCCATGGCCTGGCACCAGAATACCTTACTAAGATGATTTTAATTTATGAACCAGGGCGGCCTCTCACATCCTCTCAATCTTCTTTTTTAGTTGTTCCACAGAGCAGAACAAAAAGATTTGGTGATGCTTCAAAACTGTGAAACAGACTTCCAGAGGGTCTGAGACAAGCTGCAAACATAGAAATCTTAAAACGTAAAGAAACCTAAAAAACTCATCTATTTAGCCCGGCTTTTATGTAAAGCTTCATTTTTTAAATCACTATTACAATTTATTTATTTTTAGTATCATCTTTTACTGGATTTTATTAATAAATTCAAGTTTATATTTTATTGTCTGTTTTAGTCTATTTTAATAAGTTATATTTTTCTTGTCCTGATGTAAAGCACTTTGAGCTGCAATGACATTTGTATGAACAGTGCTATATATAAAAAAATTGACTGACATATATATTTATTAGGATTTTTTTGTTCATAAATGCCTAATTTCAGTTATTTTGTTGCATTTTTATATGGTCCCCTCATGGCACTTTTGTTCCTCCCTTTGGACATTACACAGTAAAAAATAATAATAAAAAATATACTACTTTAATTTGTCATATAATGTCCCATTTTGATATTATTTGATTTAGCGAAAGTGTTGTAGGGTTACAACAACAATGTCTCCCTGTTACCTGCTGAAGCGGGTCTTTTGTTGTCACTGAGGTGTTCCCGCACCGCGTCCTCCGGGAACCATTGTACCCGAGGTCGTCGCTGATTCGGTCCCACACATACTGAGTGATCAGCGGGGACTGAAGGGAAATGGCAAACATGGAGAGGAAGATCACCGGCTCCACCGACACCGGTAGCGGGCATGTGTACGGTGGTCTCCAGGAGCGGGTGGTCTTCTTCACTTTCTCCTCATCTTTGCTCCCACATGAGCCGTAAGTGGGTTTTTCCTCTTCGTTGAACGTGGTTCCGAGAACATCTCCTGGAAGGATAGCTGCGGTGTCTCGCTCGTCCATGTTGAAGAGGTTAAATTAGCACTCATCAAGTGTACCTGTCACTCTGGCTACTTTATATTCCCACTACTTCAACACATGGACTTGCTCTCTGCTCTGTTACGTAAGGCAGTGAGCGGCTAGCTGCGTCGTTCAGTGAAATTCATGCTCACGCCAGGTGTTTTTGGCGTTAGTTGAGTGAAGTGAAACAAGCTTGAAAGTAACTTATCTGCAAGCTCAGCTCAAAGCAGTGTTGATGGTGGCGCTCTGTAAAGCTGGAGCTTAGCACCCCCGTCTGGACGAAGAGGAGAACTACACTTCCAGGTGACACTGACCAGGAAAAGGTAGGGAAGTCAATCTGTGCCATCTGATTTTGAATTTGAATTTCTAAAGCTGAATTTTTTTGCATCAAAATCAGACTTTGAATTTCAAAACTATTGAATTTTAAGCACGTGTTTTTATTTCTTACACTTGTTTTTCACAATGATGAAACAAATTCAGTGTAAAAAAAATCGGTCCCTCAAAATATTTGTGTGGTAAAAATTTGACTAAAAAAACTGAAAAAAAATTCAACATAAAAAAAATTATGTGTCAAATTATTCAGTGTCACAAAATTTAGTGTAAAACAGATCAACTCAACATCCGTGTGACACTGACCAGCAAAATATATGAAAGTCAACTTGTGCCATCTGATTCTGATTTTGAATTTCTAAAGTTGAATTTTTTTTGTTTCAAAATCAGACTTAGAATTTCAAAACTGTTGAATTTAAAGGATGCATTTTTATTTCTTACACTTATTTTTTCACAATGATGAAATAAATTCAGAGTAAAAAAAGATCTGTCTCTCAATACATTTTTGTGGTAAAAATTCGACTGAAAAAAATTGTGTACGAGGAAATTCAACAAAACTATTGAATTTTAAGCACGCATTTTTATTTCTTACACTTATTTTTTCACAATGATGAAATAAATCCAGAGTGAAAAAAATTGGTCTCTCAAAATATTGTGTAGTAAAAATTCACTTTAAAAAACTGTGTAAAGAAATTCAACAAAACTATTGAATTTTAAGCACACATTTTTATTTTTTACAATTATTTTTTCACAATGATGAAATAAATTCAGAGTAAAAAAAGATCTGTCTCTCAAAACATTTTTGTGGTAAAAATTCGACTGAAAAAAACTGTGTACGAGGAAATTCAACAAAACTATTGAATTTTAAGCACGCATTTTTATTTCTTACGCTTATTTTTTCACAATGATGAAATAAATTCAGAGTAAAAATCTAATCATAAATTTTTTTTATGCAAAATTTTTAACATACAGTTTTTTAAGTCGAATTTTAACTAAAATATTCTTTTGAGAGTCCAATTTTTTTTTACCCTGAATTTATTTCATCAATGTGAAAAAATAAGTGTCAGAAATAAAAATGTATCCTTAAAATTCAAAAGTTTTAAAATTCAAAGTATGATTTTGATGCAAAAAAATTCAGCTTTAGAAATTCAAATTCAAAATCAGATGGCACAGATTTACTTCCATAAAAAGGTTATTAAAAAAAAAAAAGTCACAACAATGCAACAAAAAAGGAACCAAAGCCTGCTGCAAATAAAAAAAAAAAAGAAATGGTGCAGATTTAAAAAAAAAAAAAAAAGCCACAACAGAAGCGACCTGCCGGGGACCAATAATGATGATGCACCTAAGTTTTATGATCTAGGCACAGAAGATGAGAAAGAAGTAGGTCGAAAGGGTATTGTTTAATTTGGCTTTGTGTGCTTTTCAATGTGGTTAGGCCATTTTATGCCTGAGTCATTATGAAGTTGAACTGAAGGATGCCGGTATAGTGTTGGCCTTAGTTCAACTTCATATCAACTCAGGCGCTACATCAATCAACAAATCAATCAAATTTTATTTATATAGTGCCAATTCACAACATTCGTCATCCCAAGTCGCTTTCCAAAGAACAAGAGCAGGTCTAGACCACGCTCATAAATTATTAAGACCCAACCAAAGATGTGATTTGGCCCATCTCATCTAACATGAGTGAAAGTGGCAAGGAAACACTTCCTTTTAACAGGCAGAGAGGCCAGGCCAGACACGTGCTAGACAGTCACCAGGCCGCTGCTGGGTTGGGGAGTTTTATGTTATGAATGTCAGTGAGGTTGATGTTCATGTATGCAGCAACAGTCCAGACGAACCCGAGAGAAGAAGGAGCTCAGGGCCTCATGGCCTAACCTACATGGCCTAACCACGTTGAAAAGCACACAAAGCGAAATTAAACAATAACCTTTCCTCTAACTTCTTTGATCACCTTTTCGCCGTCGTCTTCTGTGCCTAGATCGTAAAACACCGGTGCATCATCATTAATGGTCCCCAGCAGCTCACTTCTGTTGTGTTTTTTTTTTTTTTTTTTTTTTTTATCCTTTTATTTTCGCAGCAAGTTACTTTTTTTTTGCATCGCCACTTTTTTGTGTAGTTAAGTTCCATTGTGGCTTTTTTATCTGCACTGTTTCTTTTTTTATTTGCAGCAGGCTTCAGTTTCTTTTCTTTTGCATTAGTAACTTCCGTTGTGACTACAAAAGTACACGTACATTACCAAGATAATATAAACTTAAAAAGTCAGAGTAAATATCTACAAGGCTGCTCTAATGTCTGATATTATCTTTGTTACACTATCAGACAAATTAAATGCATTTCTCTGCTACTGTTATTCTGAAAATACCACCAAGCTAATCAAGAATAAAACATTAAAGATGTTGGATTAAAGCATATTTTACTTACCAGCTCTATTATGTAATTATTTTTTCTATTTGAGACATTTCCACATCCAAACTCTCTAAAATTTGGCTTTGACTCAAAATAATACCACAAACAGGCTGTTTTGTGCTCATGCCAGGTTAGCAGAAACAACTGAATAGGCTGATATCATAATAAAGATGTGTTCTTTTCACACTATAATTTCCATTTTGTGCCCAATTCCTTTAATAAGCAGACATAGATATAAGGAAATACTAACCAGAAATGTGCTTCCTAACGAAAATGTATGAACTTCTGAATGTGAGAGTGAGAGACCTGTTAAAATCTCTTAAAATTGCTGTCAATCATGTCATCATTTTTTGTCATAATCTTTTTTTTTAAATTTAAATTAAAAAAACAAAAACAAAACATTAATCTTAATACAAACACCAAAAGTCTATTTTGATATCTTCACTGTTAATGCTTTATTTATAATAATACAGTATAAGGAATCATCCTTTTATAAAGCCTAATTTAAAAACTTTAGATGCAACATTTCGGACAAAATAGCTGTTTTCATTTATGATAAAGGTAATAAGACATGACAGAATAAAATCAAAGCTATCAAGTTCATATGATCCGCTGAAGAGTGTTTCCTTTTACTACACAGATGAAACCTAACAAAATGAACACATGCTTACAGTGACATCTTCAGGACAAAGGCTCAAACAGAAAAAATGGGACCTGATAAACCTTGAAATCTCACCCCTTAAGAAAACAAACCAGCTGCATGCTGTTTTATTTGGAAAAAAACTCTTTGGCACAGAGTGTTGTCTTTCTAGTTCTCTTTATCTTTATAGTTTTTTTATGTTTATTATGCCAATAAAAGGAAATTTGTCACCTAAACTTTGCTCCTAATGACTTGCCTTCAAATATTCCATAAAGTGTTAAAAAAAAAAGTTATTCAAGAAAATGATCAAAAAAATGCTAAATGCTATAATTAAACATGAGAAAAGTTTTACCGAGCAAATGCTCTAAAAAAATCCATAAATTATTAAGATTGATTTCAGATTGTATCTTAGATTTTTTAACTCTTACAAACTGTTTTTCTTATTTGACATTCAAAGAGAAAATATGTGTAAATAAAAGTCCAAACACCAAAATACAAGTGTAAATACTTTCCTTTATTCTGAGTCTTTTAAACTGTGCTGTTACTTTGTGGGACTTTGATCGGATTTAGATATAAACTCAAGGTTGCCTCAAGCTGTAAAACATCAATTATCACTCTCTCCTGCAAAAACCTGTCAACCATACACACACACACATACACAACACACACACACACACAAAAGACACAAAACACGCACAGTTGAAGGCTGATCTGGTTTGTCTGCATTTCAGCTCGGGGAGGCTTTTTCCTCGGAATCACAACATTGTTTTTGATCAGTCCCGCCCACTTGTTTTTTTAGTTTTTTTTTTACGAGGCCTTGAGCTCATCTGCCTACCGGTTTTGTTTTTCATAGATTACCTTTCCCGGCTGTTTTGATGAGATATGATCAACAGACATATGACCTCAGGGGTTATTCATTCATAAATAGCCTGGGATAGAATCATTTTAGGGTGTCAACAAGTTAATTTACCAAAGAAATACACTGGAGTTTAGAGTTTAAAAACACATGTACTTAATTAAGTTTTCTCTTTTTATGACACTTTATCTACTTCTCTGTTTTTCTTGTACTAGTAATCAGATATACTCAACCTGTCTTTATATTCTGTCATTAAAAAAAAAAAAATTGATTAACAAATAGCTGACTTACAGAGAAAGAATGATTTAAGAGTTGTTTTTGTCATTGTTAGGTTTATTTTTCTGCAAATACTCGTCATGACTCCTGCCTCTCAAACCTGAGATTTTGCTGCTTTACTCATGTTTGTATTTTATTCCTCTGTGCTTCAGAGATATCTTCTTAAGTTAGGAGGTCCGCCTGTAATAAAGCGTTGTTATCTGAGTGCTTCATGCATCATGCGGCTTCATGAACTTTCTCTGTGTGTTCAGATCAGGTACTCATAGGTGCACAATAACAGGAAAAAAAAAAAGTGTTATTCTTTATCATCACAGATTTTTTAAATCTGGGATGGCTGTGATTCAGGTGTGGCTTTCAGCATATTGGTGTGCGTATAAACGTATGGATAGATCAATGGTTTTGTAAACAGACACTTGAATGCTTGTCATACATCCCTCACATGTGCAGCTTTTTTTTACAATCCTTCACAGCTAGCACTAACAGAGCAGAGGACACATCTTGTGAGACACCGCCAGCAGGATGCAATTGAAAGATTGTAATACTGATTAAACTTTGCGGTGATTATGCCAAATTACATGTCTGTTGTGGGAGAGATGAGCAGAGAGTAAAAGGGGAGAGAAAGAGGCGTTGAATTTGAGAGGGAAAGAAAAGCAAGCCGCAAGATCACAATTTATTAAAAATTTGGAAGAGTTGCAGTTGAGGTGTGTTCCCGCTCCTGAAATTTCGCTGAACACCATCACAGCATGTTAATACTCTAAAGATCATAACTCCGCATTTTATCATCTTGTTCATGTTTTATATCCCTATTAGGTACAGGAAAACACGCCCTGTACGCCCAGGCCCCTCTTCAACAAGTTAATTTTTAATCTGCTTTCAGGATGACATACAGATTATACCACCATAAATACCGTGGCTTTGTCTGTTACTGTGTCTTTGATTTTTGCTCTGGATGTTTATCACACCTTGTCGATCATGGCTGGATTTCTTACACATCTGTTGAAGAACAGGAATTACGTCATTATAGTCCTGACACCTCTTTTACTTCTGCCTCTGCCAGTTGTCGTACAGACCCCGGTAAGAAAATGAAAAGAATAAAGTGTATATGCAAATTTTTTTTCTAATGATGTATCAGCAATTAGATATAATACATAGCATTTTTAGGCAACCACTCTCTGATTTCAATATTCTGACACATTTCTCTAGATGACATTTTATACACAATGTCCCTAGATCACCTCCGGGCGCATTCAGGGTTAAGGGGTCAAACTGGTTGTAGATCTGTTTAGTTACAGATTGACTTAAATTAGATGACAGGTCCGTCTCTTCCTTTGCACAAACACATAGACAGTGGTCAAACATCAAAGAGCACATCTGGCCATAAGAATTCCTTTGTTTTTTCTTCATATCTGACCTTTATCTCTTCTCTATAGGCTGTAAAAGAAGAGTTGCATGTGGCACAGTGCGATGTATGAATACCATAGATGCATGACACAACGTCAACCAGGTTAAGAAACTGTAATTTGAGTGAAAAACTCTGAATTATTGTACAAATGGAGTCCTTTTGTCCACATCCTCTTCGACTTAACTCCATCAGCAGTGATGAGGAGTGAGTTTAAACAGCAATCTGTGCCCGATATTAAGACATCTACTAATCCTGAGTTTGATGCTGCTTCATCATTTTGCTCAACCTCTATCTTCTGAAAAGTTATCTTAACCTTCCAACACACCCACTATGTTAAGGGTCGGTTTTGACCCGTGTCTTAAATCAGCTGTAAATTACACTAAAAACATTTCTCTATCATCCATTTTGGTTCTAATCTCTAGGTTAATTTGTGAGGCTTCGTTATCCATGAAAATATTGCTTTTAATATTTTTGTAGTTAGCCTCTGGGTCTTTCTTTATCAGTATATCCCTCATAAAGACATGTATACTGAATTGATCTCACATGTCTGGACATGTCCAATGTTGTTTTTTGTGCAAGGAAAAACAGGCAAAATGAGAATTTCCTAAATCTCCCATGATTGGAAGAGGATCTGACTGTCAGTATGGTGCCTGAAAGTGCACTTATGGTTTCAGTTTTTGCTCTAATTATCAGATATTGATCTAACCGGGTCAACAGCGACCCTAACATGACAAGTGCCATAATTTTAATAAGAGCATTTTATAATTTAGTCAATTTAATTTTTTCATTTTTATTTTGTTGAAATAGAGGTTCCTGACAAAGTCAAAAAATCTTGATGCAAATAAACTAATTCAAGTGTTTCTTTTAAGCATTGAAAAACAAAAACGGGTCAGTGCAGACCCTAACACAGGAGGAGGGTTAATGTCAAAATGTAATATTTTAAATTAACTTTGTGACATTTGTGTTTGTCGCAATAATACCACATACTGAATCAGTACACAACATAAACTAATAACTATTGCAACAATTTTGGAGACTTAGACAACAATACAAGTATAGTTTATGAGCTTAAAATCCAAAAGGAATGTGATTACTGGGAAAAAGAGTGCAAAGGTCCTGACACAACCTTGACCAAAGTTGTGATAAAAGTCCATTGTAAAAAACAAAACAAACAACAATGTGAAATTCAGCTGGATAGTGTTGGAGAGATGTGTAACTTTTCAAAGGTATAGAAGATTTATTTTAATGAGACATGTTTCTAAGTTAATGAGGCAGATGATGCTGATGCTGCTCTGCATGGCTGTAGTAATAAAAGTGATTTAAAGTGCTTTTAAGAACAGAAACAGAAACATACATGCATCTTTCTTTCAAGCAGCCATCGATTAAAATCATTTAAAGCCATGTGTAGCACACTATAGACAAAGCATGCACAGCAACGACCTTTTTTATCATTACAGGAAGCAAAATGTGGCTTTGTGATAATCCTCATGGCGATCTACTGGTGTACAGAGTGTCTCCCTTTGGCTGTGACTGCTCTGCTGCCCGTCATTTTCTACCCCATGCTGGGAATTATGGAGGGAACAGAGGTATTATTTTAATTCATTCAATCGAAGGAATAAATCCTCTTCTTCCACATGAGCCTATCAAGATGTTTCCTTTTCTCTCATTACCTCCTCTTACAGGTCTGTGTGCAGTACCTGAAAGACTCCAACATGCTGTTTATTGGTGGGCTGCTTGTTGCAATGGCTGTTGAGAAGTGGAACCTGCACACGAGGATCGCCCTTCACGTCCTCCTTATTCTGGGGGTGAAGCCGTCCCTGTGAGAAACTATATTCTCTACTTACACTGAAGCTTTATACATTAAGTGTGAAGCTTCCCTTATAAATGAAAAGTGTGTTTAGTCGCATAATTGTCGATTTAACATCTAACCAGATTGTCTGTTTACCCTGCCTCCTCTGCAGCCTGTTGATCGGCATCATGAGCACCACAGCTTTTCTGTCCATGTGGATCAGTAACTCAGCCTCCACAGCTATGATGCTGCCCATTGCCAGTGCTGTGCTACAACAGATGTGCGACACTGAAATTAACGGTGTAGAGAGAGATTGTGGCGTAGCTGTTGCGAACGGTGGTGAGAATAACCAGGCATATGAGATGGGGGACGTTGGAGAAATCGATGAGAAGAAGCTCAAAGCAAAGGAAAACGGCATAAACAAGGGTGTGTGGTAGACCTTTATTTGATAGTTTGAAACGTGATGTTAAAGTTATTTTACAGCTTTTGATGTTGTTTTGTAGATGCAGATAAAAATGATGACCCCAAAGACATGACAGAAAATGAAACATCAAGTAGGTCTCTTTATATCTTAATCATAGCGTGTTTTCACTTCTGCTTTTGACTGTAACATCCGATCCTGCTAAAACATAGAGGAACAAGCAGTACAATCAGAAAGAATGATGTCTTTTAAATGCAGAAAGTCTGAACTCTGTCCTTCAGAGGTTTACCACGGAGGACTAACCGTCGAGGAGCGCAAGCGGAAGATTTTACAGAAGTATGAGAAGTGGAGGAAAGGCATGTGCCTGAGTGTTTGTTACTCGGCCAGTATCGGTGGGACAGCCACGCTAACTGGAACGACACCCAATGTCATCCTGCAAGGACAGATAAATGAGTATGACCTGCAAGCATACAAATAAACAGACAAATGACTGAAGACTACACTTCATAACTACCCCAGAATCACAATCAGGTGTTTCACTTCTATGTTTTAATTTCTTTTTCTACAGGATCTATCCAGACAACGGAGGCATAATTAACTTTGCAAGCTGGTTTGGTTTTGCATTCCCCAACATGTTGATAATGCTCGTCCTGTCTTGGCTGTGGCTGCAGTGCATGTTTTTTGGCCTCAAGTAAGTTTCATGGATTCGTATCATATGATAGTTGAACTAAAAGCGAGTGACTCTTCTTAATTTTGGGTTATTCTAGCTTGAAAAAGTCATTCGGATGTGGTGCAAAGAAAGATGATGACATGGAGGCGTACCAGCTGATCAAAATACAGTGCAAAAACTTGGGCAGGATGAGCTTCGCCGAGGGTAGTGTGCTGGCTATCTTCACTCTGCTGGTTCTGTTGTGGTTCACCAGAGAGCCTGGGTTCATACCCGGCTGGGCCACTGTGCTCTTCAACCAAGAGAAACCGTGAGTGTACTGGATGTGAATGTTTTATATACAGTTTTTTAGTTAAAAAGTAAACAGTGAACATTTCTAAGTTTTTTTTTTTTTTTATAAGAAATGGTCTCTTGCTGGTCACTTAACTTAGATGTGTGATTTCTGGCCCGTCTCTGGATGTTATATAATCTTTAAACGGCCTAGAGTTCAGACTCTTGAGCTTTTTCATGAAATTCTGCCTTTCACCTCTGCAATAAAGTTAACGTGATTGCTTAAGCATTCTCTCAATACTGAAATATGTTTCCTTGTCAGGTTCGTCACAGACGGCACTGTGGCAATATTAATGTCATCACTTTTGTTCTGCATCCCGTCCAAATTACCCTGCTGCTCCAGGAGGTCTGAGGATGGTAGGTCAGTGGGCATAGAGCTGTGGTATTTGTGTTTATAGTCAATGCACAAGTTCTCATGTAACAAAATATCTGTGTCCTCGTAAAAGATCAACAATACCGACATATTCATTCATTTTTAGTGTGTGTGACGTAAGACTTTGTTAATATTCAAGTAAGAAAAAAGGAGCCCTTCTCCGGGGTTAACCTAGCTCTGTCTGTACATGAAGCTCAATGAAAAGTCTTCATTGATTTTACACCACATTTTATTTTGCAGCTATTTGCATTAAATCCATTACACGAAGAATGTGGCACAGTCATATTTTTCCTTTTTATGTGTCTCCTCAAGTTACAAAGATACAGTCAGTAGCCTTTAGCGCCTGTAAAAACTCATTTCGCTGACTCAGGGTTTCCCGTTTAATGTTTTTACAACTGCTTCCTGGGTTGTAGCTTGATAGCACCAAGGTCACCAGTGACTATACAGCATTTCAGGCTGCTCTGTTCTTTCGACCTCTGACTTTTGTACCAGTATTTCTTAGTTTCACCCTTGGTAACCTGAGTTAAGTGAGTCCTTTTCCCCTCAGGCAACAGGGTTGTCTGTACATCTAAACATGAGAAAGAGCAATCTGTTTTGTACACAGAAAAGTGACATGAGGATAAACACACGTCTAGTTTAAAAGTATGATGGCAGCCTCTTAGGTGCAAAGGGCCATTTTTCACCTTGGACACCTTGTCTTAGGTCTATTTGCAAGATCACACTTAAAAGAGGATTTGGAAGGCCCAGTAGCTTATCAGGTTTCTTTTTATCTTTACAGAGTTCATCATGGCCAAAGCATCATATATACAGACAATAAAAGCCACTGCTTTCTGAAGTTAGGTCAGATGTAGCATTATCTGTGTGTGTCCTAATTTACAGCGGACAAAATAAGGAAATAAAAATATAATCTGAGCAGTTAAAGGGATATTCCATCGTAAAATTAATTTAGGGTCAAATACACTGTAACACTGAGTTAAACCACCTCGAGAGATGAATGTTGCTAACCGCTTGCTGCTCTAGTTATACCAACTTTAGTAACGACCGCAGGATAGCAATACACAGCAGTCTGAGGAGCCATAAACAAACCTCAACCAAAACGCTACTCTTTAGCCACAAATAATGCTCAGAACAGCACCTAACTTCATCAACAGTACATATAGGGTCCCAGCCACAGCACTAGCCACCAAACATTTTTTCAGCTTTGCCTGATTTCTTTAGCAAAGAGACTAAACACAACTCACCCACTCTCTTCCAGCAGCCGCTCGTTTGTAGCTAGACCTCGGGCAGGCCATTACAGACTACAGCGGGGTGATGCAGCTCAAGGAAGAACATTTATGATCATTACTTTATAATGTCCTTGAAGTAATAATCATCATATTTATCATCTCGGTCTGATTGCATTTCCATGAAGAAATGTTCTTCCTTGAGCTGCGTCACCCTGAAGCAACTTGGTGTTACGTGTGTTTGACCCTAAATTAATTTTACACAGGAATATCCCTTTAACTGCTTTGTCTTTGTTCCAATAGGGACCTCTTCTGATGCCCCCGTGCCTCTGCTGCAATGGGACCTCGTCCATGAAAAGATGCCTTGGAACGTCATCTTACTTTTGGGTGGAGGTTTTGCGTTGGCCCATGGAAGTGATGTAGCTGAGTTGATCATACAGTTCACATTTTCATAAAAGTAAACATCCATGTAATTCTGATGCTGATGTGCGTCTCTTTATCCTACCTAAAGAAATCCGGTCTTTCTGCATGGCTGGGAGAAAGTCTCATACCTCTGCAGAACATCCCTCCTTTCGCCATCTCCATCCTGTTGTGTTTGCTGGTGGCCGTGTTCACTGAATGTTCCAGCAACACAGCCACAACCTCTCTCTTCCTGCCTATACTGGCTTCAATGGTAAGACAAGGTTCTCTCAAGGAACTGTTGCTTGTCTCTCATTTCATAAGATCCCACTATGACCCAACTGTGTGCATGTTGGATTGAATCTTTATGTCCAGGCGACTGCCATCAAGATACATCCGCTGTACGTCATGATTCCCTGCACCATCGCTGCCTCGCTGGCTTTCATGCTGCCCGTAGCCACCCCACCCAATGCCATTGCCTTCTCCTACGGCAAGCTCAAAGTCATTGAAATGGTAAGTGAATGTGCTGAAATGCGCGAGGACTTTTGGATACAGGATCATTTCCAGTTTTTAGATAAGCAGATTATCTTAATCCTTATATTTGATGATTTCTTTTCTGTTTGCATAAACAATATCCTGGATGGTCATATTAATAGTCAGATACCTTACCAAGCAAAGGAAAACTGTGTATACAACATTCACATATACATACTTTTGAAAGTTTTAAAAATGATATTATTAGATTACTTTAAATCCTGCTGTGATAGGATGTTGACGAAACACTGCATAAATATCAAAATGTGATCTGATTTTTTTTATCATTCTAGGCAAAAGCTGGATTCATGTTAAACATTATTGGAGTTGCGACCATCAACCTTGCCATTAACACATGGGGGGTGGCCTTGTTTCAGCTAGATACCTTTCCAAATTGGGCCAATTCCACCAACACTCCTTGAATATGTACTCAGGAAAGTGGGGAAGAACTCTTGGAGACAGACAGTGTATTCCTCTGTATCAGGTTTGGACTGGACTCTAATGTGAGTTAGTATTTATAATGTGAAACTCCACAGCCAGCCTGATGTGAACTAAAGGCCTGTCCTTTAGTGTTTACACTGCAGCTTTTGATCTGTTGCCCTTCCTCGCATCGTGATTTTCCTCAGAAACATCAGGACACGCTGGCCGGGGAAGCTGGAGCCTCTTTTGTTTTCACTTAACAGAGTTCACATTATTTATTTAATCATCTGAATCCTTCAAGTGTTATCATTTTGATTCTAATCTAACATCAAATTTTATTTTTCACTTATAAAAAATGAAACATTTTTATGCACACAGATGTCAGTCCAAAACTTTGTTGTGATAAAACTTTAACGGACGGCATATACACTTTTTTTCACATACAAAAAAATGTTACACTTAAATAATTTTAAAAATTAAATACAAATTTAATCAACATGAAAAAATACTGTTTTTTCATGCTAATGCGTCATCATTGTCTATACTATTGCCAAAGTATTTAGGCAGGTGCTATTGTCATTTAGCATAAAGGTTGAGTTACATGTGTAAACATGGTTTTCAAGATGGCGAAATGGATAATTTCACTAAAGCAACAATAATCATTTCTACCTGGTAACTTAATAAACATGACAAAGAAGCTCTTAGACATTTATTTTGTTTGTCACAAACAGAATAATCATCTGCAAAGAATGTAAATCTCTGGTTTAAGGATCCTGAGGGTTCAACTTTTCTGATACAGACGGCTAAATTAAATGATGAACTCAAATCTCATTGCCATCCATAGGATTAGGACCACTGGGTCCCCAATTGATTTAAAGAGATCCAAGAGGACAGAAGGTAAATCCCTTCAAGGGTCAATGAGGGGGAAAGGCAAAATGATTGAAGGTAAGGGAAATCATTATAGGAAACTGATTGAAAAGAGTTGAGTGAACTCCTTGGCATGGTTTTGTATAAATTTGCTTCATTTAAAGGCTTGAAGCAAAAAGGGATTTCAATGTGGTAAAAACTAGGGGTACACACAGGTCAAACAATTGAGCAGGAATCAAATCAAAAACATTTTTGTCCAATCTGACAACCATACCTCCAGTAAGGACTGAAAAACAGTATCATTTAGAGGACAAACCTTCTATTGAAATCACCTCCTACTGTAATGGAAGTCCCTTGACGTGCAATGGATATCAGTTATCAGAGGTAAGAGATCATATTTATGTCTCTGTGTTTTTTAATTTCTCTTGAATTTTTGATGCTTTTGATCTTAGTTTAACCGTAACTTAAACTAGTTCTGTTCATACCCCTGTGATCTTCAGATAGATTTTCAGTTCAGTTTGAAAGCTTACATGGATGTTCATAACTTGTTTAGAGCTGCCGATTTCAGTTTTGCAGAAAAAAAGTATCAACAAAAAACACCAGCAGAGGACAGTTTGTCGTATTACTGATTAGTGTTTACAGACCAAGTGCAAGAACCTTCTTAGTCAAGTGTCAAACAGTATGTTAAATTACAATCTGCAATAATACACACCTTAGAAACCATTTTGTATGTGCGTAGCATTTCTGTCAATGTTTTAATAAGGTAGATGTGAACAGTGGTGGATGTGAATATACCATACTTGCAGCAGTCATTTGGGTAGACAGCTGCACATCTTATCATGAAATATCCCTGGGCCAGGAATAGTAATTTCAGATTTTATATAACCTCACCTTGAGCCAAAATGTGATGTCAGTAATAAATCTCACTGCCTCGGGGTCCCTGAATGTTTCTCTCTGTATTTTCAAAAGGCATTCATAAATTAGTTTCCTGTGACATAAAAAATGGAATAAGATTTACATTTACTTGCTCTTACATTTATCTTTTGATTTATGAATATGTTTTATTAGAGAATCACTCACAACAGACTGTTATGATAAACAACTTGCTTCATATCAAAAGTGGGACAGTGTCAGTGAAAGCACTAACTCAAAGTTATATCCAGCCAAATAAGTGCTTAGACCAAGCCAGTGGTATGTAGACTTCTGGGTAGGACCAAGTTGTTGTTTATAAAGATGTAAGCTACGCCAGTTGCTATACAGAATATGAACCCAAATGCTACTGTTTCTACAACTTTGAGATCTGTGTGACTTTCAGCTGCAGGTTGTGCTAAGGTATGGCAAAAAGATGAGAAAATTGTCTTTTTTTACCACTTTGGACCTTGCTATGTGTACTGGTCCCAGTCTTGGCGACTATGAAAGGACACACAATGAGGAAGCAAAGTGAGCGTACTTCAGTCTTTGCATTTGTGAGGCTTTTTTGTTACTGTCATGTATTTTTTTTTTTATCTGTCATATACAATACAAGAACTTTATTTATCCTGTTTGTAAATCCAGTCAGGTTGGAGTAGAGGGTGACATGGTTGAAGTCTCCTGATATTAGTACGAGTGCATCAGGATGTTGAGTCTGTATTCTAGCAACAGTATTATAGAGAATACATGAATATGAGTATTGTTATGATATGACTGAATTCCCTTGGAACATAAAGATAAGAAATGAGTTTTCATTTGTAATCAGACTTTGAATTCAAGACTTTAAATCTTAATTAGGTAAGTGAAACATTAGGGGACCCTGAGCGCTGCCTTGCGGAACACCACATTTTGATGTGCATTACCAAAACTGGATTCAGGTGTTTTCTGGATATAAGTTATTTTAAGTAATCACCCAGGGTTGCTGCCATTATTGTTTGTTTTAGTGGTCCCTCCTTGCATTTATCCAGTGGGCTCGATCATTACACCTTAAACTGCAAATGTAGCAAATTCTGACCCTTTTTGTCTATTTTCTGATCAATAAAGGTTTTTTTTAGTTTCTTGCAACAGAACAGGGACTTCATGTCATAGCCGTCATAACCACAAGTTTTCATATTCAGTAAAATAAGCAAGTAAATCTAAAATTTAGTTGATAGTTTTATTAAATAGATAGCACAACAGCATGAGCTTAGTAGGATTTCTTTTTACTGTGAAAGCAGGCAAACCTTTATGAGACTTCTTACGTGCCAATTGTTGTCGCGTCATTGTCAAGACAAATATGTGAACATGTGAGAAAACTGTTTTAATTTGGGCTTCACTCCCTCTGGTCTCTTTGTGTAGGTCAGATAATTACAATAATCAAGACACAACAAGATGACATGTTAGGACATGGGTAGCAGAAAGGTTACAGTTCAGAGTTTTTTGTTTTTTCCCATGTGAGCAATTTGCACAGTAGTCAGTATGATTGTTAGGATGGTTATGTCGAAACTGGCAAATGTTAAAAAGTTAATTCCAAATAAATTACAGTCATTACAGAAAAAGTCAATAAGACTAATTGGAGGCAATTTAGAGAGTGTTTTTGAATGTAATTCACTAAAGAAGATCCAAGACTGGCATGTCGAAATGCCACTTGAAGGCCAGAAAGCATATTTAAAAATAGCAGAGTGCGTGCTTAGATACGCACCAACTATCAGCATTATTAAATCTTGTGATGACAGTTACCTGTCAACCTGCCATAAGTTATTTCTATGTTAGGTGACGTGCCATGCTTCAATAACACAAAAAATACGCCCAGGTCTTAGTTTAAGATCATAAAAGCAGAGACCGTTGCTCAACGACATTGATTTTTGGACTCTAAAATAATGAAAACTCAGTGCTGTTTTCTTGTTCTCCTTAATGTTACATTAGATCAGACCTGATAGCAGCAGAGGACATTCAAGACAATGAGACTCTCAGTGAGGTGCCTGGAATCTGTTCTCACAATACACCCTCTTCAAGAACTCCATCTTTGGCAGAAAAAAGCCTTCAGCTAGATTATTGTGTGGAGGCCTTGCACTGTAACATAAGAGTTTATTCAATCTGTAATTAATCCTCTGTCTCTCTGTCATTCTGCCTCGCCCTCTCACTGAGGACAGGGTTTGCACAAGCTATAGCTACGAGGTAAAGGGTATTACTGTTTTCCTGGTTCATCGGGAGGATAGGATAGGAATCTACCTGTATTGACATACCTACTACTCCCTCTCCCTCTCTCACTTTCTCCTTTACTTACCAACCTCTCTTACTCTTTAAGACTCATGCTCATACTTTTTAAGTGTCTGGCAGGAGCTGAAGTTTAAACATCCCTGAAATGAAGAAAACCTACTGAACGGGCCTCATGGAGCATCTCCAAGTGTGTTCAAGAGCTGCACGTGATTAGTTTGACTGCTCATTCTGTGGACCACATCCGCCCCGTTTATGGGTATGTCCATTTCTTTGACCTTAACTCCTATTGGTTGAGAAGAAAAGTGAAATTTCCAGACTGACTGCTTTGTTTACTAGAGTAGCCAGTGCTTTTGCTTTTTGCGACTTTCTATGTGCTTTTGCGTGCTCTGAATGAACAAATGATCCTGCCTGTGTTTACTTGTGCACATGTTGTTAAGTGGAACTAGATCACATTTAAGACAGCCTCTGCCATAGGCGAGCTTAGAAAGCGGGGCATGGCGCCTGCTTCCTGCCACTGGCTGTGATTTGTACTGTATCTGGTGTCCCATTCACACAAGTAACCATTCAGCAAGGCAGAGAAAGACTGATAGAGGGAGAAAGAGTACACTGCCAGCTGCCAATAACTGAACCAGTAGATCTTTTAGGACCTGTTGCAGCAGGTTTTTCTTTCTGTATATCTTATTTCTGGACTACCCTGGACCAGTGCCAGACACATGCATGAACTCACACATGCACACACACAGGATGGGGATGATACTCCTAGCTGCCAAAATCTGAAACCAGCCCATCAACCATTTCATACATATTTGGACAGTCAATTTAATCCGAGCGCTGCACTGTCAGGACTGTTAGGGAGGTGTGGAGTGCACGGATCCACGAGGCGAGCAGATATAGATGTTTACAGATGTGGCTACAGGTGTGAGTGAGGAAATCTAACGCTGACGCTGCAAATCCACAGAGAGAAGAGGGGGCTGTTATTGATTGCAAAAGTCCAGGTGAGTTAATTTAGTCGCTTTACAAACAGTTAGGGTGTTGATGTTAAAATGAACTTTTTTTCTTCTCTTAAACTCACATGATTTCAACATGTTTGACTTCACTTTGTAAGTCTGATGATGAGAGAGAGAGAGAGCAGTGCTGCCCTGTTAGTGTTGGCACTGCTGCAGGCAATGAATGTAGGTTAACCTTTGCAAACTTGGAGCGGCTGCCTTCACGTGTCAACACTGCTGGCTCAACTCTGTCAGTGTATTATCCTGACAATTAGCCTTATCTCGTTTCTGTCTGCTAATAAGTGTAAACATGAGTAGATTAGCCCAACCTCATAAAAACATGTCCTAATAAGAAACACACTAATACTGGATGTATAGTGATGGTCTGTGTTATCCCACAGCTATAGAAAATTCTGGTCGGCAGGACAACTCCAAATTAACAAAAAAAGTAAATTACACCTCAGAAGAAGGCAAGTAAATGTGTTGGAGCTTTTAGAATAATAACCTATCATTCCCAATTCTTTTAAAAGCAACCTTTAAGAGATCAGTAACAGCAACCATAGTTTAAGACGATAGTGTCACTTACAAAAGCAACTAAAAGACAAAAATAAAAAATAAAAATAAGAGTAAAAGCCATTAAATTCTCCAAATGAGATAATTTCTGATTCAGTATTATAGTTGCTTTCTATTTTAGAGCATTTCCCCTGAAAAAGGAAAAATATCACTGGGACAACTAAGCATTACAGCTCCCTACTACATTTATTTAATACTGAAGAACAAACCAGGCATAATTCTGCAAGTTCTGACAGTATAAACCTGGCAGTAGCCTCACCCAGCATAAAAAAAATTCCCTTTGTCAATACTAAATTAAATATCTTTGCTTTGAAATCAGGACTACACACTGCAAAAGCTAATATCAAGCAAGTATTTTTATCTTTCATATATTGGACTTAAAATGAACCTGACAATACAGATGAAAATCTTATTTCAAAACATTACACACCCAGAATCAAAATAATTGCTTTTTAAAAAATTTTGTTTAATTAGTTTGTTTAGTTTTTGCAAAAATAAAACAAAACATCTGCTTAGCTTGAAGATTTTTGCAGTGTATCTTAGTACTCCAATCAAAATAATGTAATGCAATAAAAAATAGGATTGTTGTATTACAGCAAAAGCATAATCTCATATTAAAGTAGATTTATAGAAACTCAGCTGGAATAATTTGAAAGAAATACGATATGTTTGATAACTATTTTCAAATGACTGATAGCTGTTAGATAAAAAGGGTTGTTTAAAAGAGTACATGCAGGTAAACAACTGCAGGTACTCTTTTATTTTGTTTATAAAAGTCTTTAAACTTCAGCACTTATCCTGCAGATCAAATTTCTGGGTTAACTATGAAGATTTAGTGATGTAGACGGGGAATAAGAGATACACAGATAAAGAGGAGAGATGTAAAAACACATCACTACACCATCTTATCTACAGCTGCTTGGCTCTCACTTCTGAGGTTTACCTGTTGGCCTTTTTCCTGACCTTGCTGATAATGCTGTATTAACTGTGTGTTACTTGTAATCACACCCCCAGGTTTACAAAAGAGGACACTAATACTCGGGTAAGGGATTTGACAGCACACATAATGTGTGGAGGGAAACGTGAGGTCTTTGGGGCATCCAGATGGAGTTTAAATCAAACACTGCAGCTACTTTATTTCAAAGTGCGCAGGATACATAAATTGCTCTAAACCTAAAAAGGACAAAATGTGTTTATTTAACCTAGATAGGCTAAATCGATGCGTTTTTCTTTATTGTCTCTAATCCCTCTCAATCATAAATGACCCCAAATGCAGTCATGTTTGGCATCACAATCTTGACTAATGTACGGTCTTTGCTGATCGTAAAAACAATCATACAGCATCAGTTTTGTGACTGCTGCGTTTGCTCTCGACTTCTCTTAATTCGTAACTGAACTAAGAAAAGGTTGTTTAATGCTGCATTTTTATCTCAGTTATTCTAACCTCCTGTTCCTCTCCTTTTAATACAAATATTATAGTTTAGTGCTCTGAAGTTAGCCGTCCATTTAAGTTCAGATGTCTTGAGTGTCGCTGTCCCGTCATACGGCAACACTTCATTAGGAAGCACATCAAGGGTTAAAACTGTCAAAGGTTTGTATTTATTTGGCTTTTCTTCGTCAAATGATTGTAGAACTTTTAAAGTAGGTAACTAATACAATGTCACCATATAGAGCTCGGACTATGGGCTATGGGAGTCCATTGCTTGGTTGAGTTTGTGCGGTAGCAGCCTGATGCCTGCGTGACCTGACAGACATTGACGTCTAAGCCAAGCCAAGGAAGGGTTAATGAATCTATGATTGACTTATCTGGAAACTTGAGCTTCTTTGCAGAAATATCGGATCAAACCAAAATCATGTTCTTTTCGTTCAATTACTTAATCAATATATTTTAGCCAAAACAAGGAATGTGAGGTTTGCCCCCCATTAATGTCATCGCATTAGATCTTTTATTAACTGGTTTAAACTGCAGAAATTATTACAGCGAGCAAAACCCATTGGACTGTTTTATCACCCGTGCAAAGGATTCATTCTTTTTTTGCTGTCTATTCTGATCTGTGACACTTAATTAATTTAGTTAATTATGTTTTTGTTTTTTTAACTGAAAAGGTGTAGCTAACAACTGATATCAGTGAAACATGACCATACTTCTTTGTTTGAATAAATATACATGTGTAAAATATAGTAGAAAAAAAAAGTGTAGTCAAGATCCACAAGATCATTTCTAAGGTGTGTATAGTTAACTCAAGAAAAGCAACTAAATTTGACGACTCGACAACTCAACTTTACTTTCATAGACTTCTTTTTGCTCAAACATCAGCCCCAAGGACTTATTATGAGACTGTATTTAATTTTATTGTAATTTCTGAACTCATATAATAAAGTAAAGCAAAATCAAAAGCAGGCAATAAAAAAAAATCACAAATCACTGATGAAACACGTAAAACTGCCATATAAACTTGAGCGCTCATGATCCAGGTTATAAATACTTCCTAGTAAATGCCCTTTATTTACTCACTTACTGACTTGGACTATTATAAATCTCATACATCATAAAATCTTTTGGCTACTGATGCAGAGAGAACCGTGCTGAAGACTTAATTGTCAGTGACATCTTGTGGTAGCCAAAAAATGTGAAGTGGGCATGTCTTCATACTTGTCATCTCACGAACAAGGGCAACATTGTTTATACTGTAGCAACTGCACTATTTATTTTCCCTAAGAGTTTGTGGGGTAACCATGACTACCGATTGAAGACATATACAAAGCTTATTTGAACCTTTTCATGTTCTAATAATCCTCTCTAGTGACCTTCATTGTTATTTCTGCTCGGCTTCACTTGGTAACTCTCCTGTATCAACATTACGTCAAACCCACAGAGCTCTGAAATTGATTTTCTGGAAAGAAATACCCCGTGATCACAACACTTACAGCTGTTAGTGGAGAATTGTCAGATTATTTCAAACATCTGGGAGAAAATCATCCCTCATGCTGCACTGTATGCTTATTCTGCAGTTTTTTTAATCTTTTAGTCTTGTTTTTGTCAAAAGTTGCCTGAGATGGCATGTGTACCAACACTTTAAAAAGTATTTTTTTATATAAAACAACAAGATAAGACAAGTGTATTTTCTGGGGAAAATGTTTTGACTCACAATGACCTAGAATTTATTTTCCTGTGGGATACTCTAAGAACCGCAAGTGCTTAGGCAATATTGTGATGTTGCTCGAGGGAAAACTGTAAAAATGTGAGTAATAGCAAAGATAATTTCAGTGGAAGGGCTTTCTGGTTGATTATAAGCTAGGAAACATTTGACAGTGGGAATCTTTAAGAAGAATGACAAGGAAAACAAATATCAGTCTTTCTAAGAAGTGGCTTTAATTTTTTTAGAGTAACCAGGCCCAGGACTGGGACCTCTGACCGCTGAAAGACATACAAAAATATAATTTCCATATCTTCTTTTTTACTCAAAATGTGTCCTATCTGAGTCACAAATATCTTTTTATTTTTACAATTTTCCTTGAAACACTGGTAAAAAAAACAAACAAACAAAAAAAAAAAGTGTTCTTCCCCCCAACCTACGTGTCCCCTAACTTCAGTAGGTCTGACCCTACAGCTGTTCCTGTACATTGTCGTAATGGCAAGTATCAGGCACACAAAAAAAGGGGGACAAAGAAGAAAACAGAGAGGTCTATGGGTATTCATAAATATTTGTTGAAGTCGTTAAGTACTGAAAAAATAAGTGACATGTGGCACAGCTGCTCGGTTTTAAACCTCGCTTAAATTGTTGGCAGTAGCTCAGGAGGTAGAGCGGCCGTCCAATAACCAGAGGGTTACAGTTCAATTCCCCCCTACCCCTAGTCTGTCCATTGTGTCCTTGGGCAAGACACTTAACCCACCTTGCTCCTAGTGTTGGTCCTCAACTGGTGTATAATTGTGAGTGTTGTGTGGTGGTGGTCAGAGAGGCCATAGGCGCAAACTGACAGCCACGTTTCTGCAGTCTACCTCAGAACAACTGTGACTACTTAAGTAGTTTACCACCATCAAGGTATGACTGCGTGAGTGAATGAATTATGTATCCAATGTAAAGCGCTTTGAGGGTCTCTGATAAAGCGCTATATGAAATCTGGTGCATTATTATTATTATTACATGTTGATGTCTGTTAGCTTGTATATAACCACATGTCCTCTCTGACTATATATGACAGCAGAGCAGGTGGCACAAGAGAGCTCGAGAGTTGTTTTAGCTTCAAATTTGGCCCCAACTTCCACTATATTTTCACTATCCATTATCTTTTCTAGAAAGCAGTCGAATGTTTGTGATTTCTCAGATTCCCCTCAGTTTATGTCCTGATATACAGCTGCATGAAACTAAACTGTCAAAGGAAAATAGCTGCTGTGAGAAAAAAGTCGATATAGAGGCGTACAAACCCAGTCTCCATCTTTGCATGTAAAACTTGCACATCAATGTATTTCCACGTGTACATTCACAAAGTCAGGGAGATTTGCTCGCTGTATTAGTCCACATGCACATGCACACCGCTTATTAAGTTACAGCTACTCCTACTGTAAATGCATCTGTTCTGGCTTGTGGCGGAGTGTCTGTCAAGTAGAGGAGAGGATTTGTTGCCACAGTGGTGAAAAGGCAATCTCTCAGCTTTCACAGTATCACTTAAACCTCTTTTGATCCAAACAGAAAGAACAGTGATGGTCACCTCTCTGTTTTTTCTCACACACACATACATTTATACATCGCAGGAGAAGCCAGCCCCTCTCTTTCTCTGCTTCAGCATTATTTAGCTTTGCATGACCTAACAGCCATGGTTTGATGGCACTTTTAATGAGCTTGGTGTATGTCGAGGGCTGAGGTTACTCTTACTGGAACCCGGGCCACGTGTCTGTCATCTCTGCTCAGATCAGATAACACTTTTTTGCACTCAGCCGGATAAACTTCTGGGCTAGTTTTGCCCATAGGTGTCAAACTTTGGTGTTTTAAAAAAATCGTCTTGAAAGTGATCTTAACTGTTCACACGCTCGCACTTGTTCTGTCAGCAAGATTCATTGTGAATTTACAGTAAGGGATGACTCAGTAGATTTGACCTCAAAGGCTCAGTGGGTGAAAGTGCTCTGTCACAAAAAACCAAAAGACATCCTCCCTGTCAAGTGCCAACAGGAATACAAAATAAACAGATAAATTTCCTTTTTTCAGCCATTTAAGGGTTTAGTGATTATTTTACATTTTTGACACTCTAAGTTTGGTAAGAGAAATAACATGACACATACCTGTATTTTACACACAGAGCTAGACTAGAAGCTGTTAAACTTATAGCTTAGCATGAGGTTGGACATAACTAGACAATTCTGTTTATGCCTGCGTTTTCTCTCTCTTCACAGAGACAGATCTTGGTGCAGAAAGTCACACTCCTCATTGAACCCCAGCAGCAGCAGCAGCAGCAGCAGCAGCAGCAGGTCTCAAACATTAACCTCTAAGTCCAGGAGACACACCTGTGAGCCCCGTGGGACCTCCTGCCAAAGGATGGCAGAATCACAGGTATTGTCTAAAACAATTTCTGTGCAACTCTGGAAATAACATCCGATCTCAGTCTGATTTAAGGCTGCAATGTTGAAAGTTAATTTCTTTTTTAATTATTCAGCTTTAGCTATTTTCTGTAGATGTCATTCTACTCCTCAAGTCTATAAGAAGTTTAATATATTATCTTGTTTTTTTCCTCCCCCATATACAAAGGTTTTATAATTTTACGATGTTTATGAACATGACTCTGGCTGAGACAGTTTATTTACTATCAGACAGGAGGTTTTAATGGCCTCAGGGGATTCACAGTAAGCATCTTGGCAGCTTCTTGCTCCAGAAATGGGATTTGAAACAGGATTTACACATTAAGCCTAGCCCTGATTGGTTTGTCAACAGTTAGTGTAGATTGTCCTTAACTTTTGTGCCCACTCTGATGATCATCACATCACAGACTTAGGAGGATGTTTACCTTTCCCAGCAGGAGAGCAACACCTTCAGCTTGAGCACTACAGCTGCTGACCGGCGACACAGCACGGACGGGACCACCATGTCAGGGTCAGGATCGACGCTGGGACGAGGCCCTGTCGGCTCAGACCATTACCACCCATACCGTCGACAATTCAACGAAGGAACGGTGTCGACTTCAGATTGTCTGAGACAGTGCTCGTCTTCCTTCAGCTGTTTGCAGGATGAGTGCCGCCCTGACACTGGTCCACACAGCTCAAGTGACGAGACAGCAACATCTTGGGACCAGTACAACGGCAGTGTTCAGGTTTCTAGACTGATGGTACAATTATTTGCTCCTCAAATGTTTATAGAAAAGCAGATTTTACTTGTGGAACTTTATATAAATCAAAACAGAACAAGAAGAGGCTAAGTTAGACTCTAAAAAAACACTGTAGCGCTCTGTGACTGAAGGCCGAATCAAGAGCTTAGTGCTTCAAATTAGTTTATCCTTATGAAAGCAGAAGCCTTGGGAAAAGTACATGATTTTGAGAGAACATCAATCTGGTTACTGTTTGTTTTCTTAATGTTGCCCATCTTTATTTCTGCTAAGAAAAGATTGCATGTAGGAAAAAAAAAAGACATCTTTATAAGTCATACAGCTACACCGTACATTAACTGTTGTAGACTTTGATCTCTTACTCAATACGCCAATCTAAAGTCAGACTGTAAACAATGATGAGGAAAAGGAAATCTTGACCCTCTTTTTAATGCTTATCTGGATATGGCTAGCTTGAACAAAAGCTCTGGAAACTTGGCACCACCTGAAGATATGTCATAGTTGGACAACAACTGATGGGTCTGGTGAATGCTCTGCTTCCAAACTGCTCGATGTGCAAATAGCCAAATGTTTTGATGGCAACCTTCAGGATGATTACTAAAAATGTGTTTGAAATGTATTTCTGCTTCCTCCTGGTGGCCAAAATATTTGTGACAGTAACATTCTCTGGCTGAAATGGTTTTATTTTGAATTTTACAGTAATATTCAGTCAAGAAAGTGAAGATGAGTAACTATCTTTTTCCCTTGAATTCGCAGAGTTCATACACAGAACTACCAAGTGTTGGACCAGTAGACCCTCCCTGTTTCCTGTCTCAGAGTTATCCATCCTACAGCTCATCAGGCGCAGTGCAACAGGTGAGGAGTCTGTTGGTTGAACCAAAGTGAAGTTTTATGTCTGAAAGTTTTTAAACATGGGTAAGAGAGTGAATAATTACCTCGGAAGCACAAAATGATGGTGATTTCAATAATTTTATGAACCAGTAACTGAGACATGTCAAAAATAAGAAACTGCGTAATTTTTGACCTTGAGTAACACTTGTAGCTGACTGGTTTCAAGTTTATAGTTTATGTTGTTTGTGTTTTCTACAGGTTTCATCCAGGCTGCACTCTAATAATGATCAGTCCAACGGCTCGAAGTATTCTCTACAAAGTTTCTCCAGTCAGTCTCACCAAGAGAGCCCCACACAGTCCCTCTTCCCCAAGCCTGTTTATTCATACAGGTAAATCTGCACCACATTCTGCCATAAATTTGCCAAAATGTCATTATTCCAGTGATTATTTGTGGCACACCTTTGACTGAAGTACAAAACCTAACCTACCAATCCTAAAATATGAAGTGTAAAATGTTTCCCTCGTGATTCCAGCATTTTGATCTTCATGGCTCTGAGGAACAGTAAAACGGGAAGCCTGCCGGTCAGCGAGATCTACAGCTTCATGACTGAACACTTCCCCTATTTTAAGGTACCACAATTTATGGTCTTTGAATCACAAACACAATTTCTCTTGGACAACTTGCAAACGGGGCTGTTGTATGAAAGAGGCATTATAAAATGTCATTTAAAGAGTGTTCAGGAAAATGGTTAACATGTTTTAGAGCCCCCTTGTGACTGACTGCAAACTTGATCATGAATCCCCTCCCTCTGTACTAACAATTGGAACATAGGTCAGAAAATGAAAATGCATGTCCTACAATTTTTTTTTTAGCACACTTTTTGTCATATTAGTTTTTGACACATCAGTTTGATTTTAAAGCTCCTGTGCAGATTTTTTTGACATTACTGAAATAGACTGAAATCCTCATTGATGCTTTTTTTATGACATAAAAAGCAAAAATGACCTTAAGTAACAAGATTAAAAATTCTTATATAGTAAATTTTAATGCCTCAATCCAGTGTGAAGGGGGAGGTGTCACCTAGCAGCTATAGAAAAAGCCTTTTGTTACAGAAATGTTCACAATAAGATACATGTTTGACTGTTAAATGTTAGAAAACACTACACGAGTATGTTGTGGAGAAGATAAAGAAATAGCTTTGTCTGCAGGGGGTGCCAAAATTGAGACACACCAAAAAATTCTCACTAGAGCTTTAATTTAATCATTTTAATTAATATGAGGATGTGCTGCCACAATTGACAACTACGTTTACAAAAGGTAAACAAATCCTAAGATGAGTCATTAGACCTTTTACAAATATGCTTTCTCTCATCTGCTGTGGCCTGTACACACTTGAGGGATCCACAACATTTTTTGGTAAGCTTAATGTTTAAGTAAGCAGAGGCGGTGTGACGGGATTCCTGTGGCTCCTCCATTTGTGTATGTCTTATCTTCAAAGTATGTCACCACCTGAGTAAGTCAGCACCCGTCCTGTAGTATTTTAGCTTCCTTTGCTATAAGAGGGTCTGAAGAAGCCTGAAAAGAAGTTTAAAAAGGTGACAGGAAAAGGAAAACTCTCACTGTTGCAGCCCTGTAATAAGTCCAACCATTTCATTTAAACTGAAGGAAATGAATGCCCGTAAGCGTACTTCTACACATTTGCGGCTCTCTGAACAAATTTCAATTTATTTGTTTACTCGCATTGACATTGTTTGCTACCATTAGGCGGAAAAATGTGGTCTACCGTTGCTCTTAGCACGCCTTAAATGGAACAAAAGGTTTGTCACACCAGTTTCTCTATCTCATTCCTGAGTCTTAACCTTAGACTTTCTACACGAGCTTAAAAGTTCACATTCAGGTTTGTAGCACGAGATCATCCCAAACCACATCAGTGTTGTAGCTGGCACTAATCACTCACATGAAATCCCTCTGATGTCTGATGATGCACTGCACAAAGCAATGGGCTACACCCACTCACAAGTGACACGGGACTGGCTGGGTAAAACCTGTTGAGGCACGAGGCTGGCATGCATCAGGATATGCACGAGGTAAAAGTGAATGTGTCAGGTGTAGGTAGTTTGTTGGGATAAAGCAAGAATAGAGAGTTGTCGAGAGGGTACTTGCAGACCCTTGTGCTTTACTTTGGTCGAATTAGCCAGCTGACGGGTTTAACTTCTGTTTCGGTCAACAAAAAGGATTCCAGGTATCTACACATCACCTCTGGAAAGAGCTCAAAGACTTGCTGCCATTCATATTCAAGAAGGTGCTGTATAGATGGCTCCTTTCCAAACAGCTGCCTGTCACATCAAACTCAGGCTGCAGGGCCAAAAATACATGAGGCAGATGATTAGTGATAATGCAAAAGCTCTGATTTTTTAGATCTATCTGGAAACCTTCTCAATATCTTCAAGTATTATGTGGTTCACTTCAGTTCAGTTCAGAGGGCACTTGCTAAGGCATGTACATATCAAATATGTTTTGCAGATGGTGGAAAAATTAATACATTCGTTCCCTAGAGGAAGGGCAAGGATCCTGGTCTCTGTGTATGGATTTTAGTGAAGTTGTAACTCAACAGTTCACCAAGATTGTTGCTGAGTTACTTTGTGTAAACAGAGTCATAGACATGGTCAGTCACTGGGTGAGAGGGAAAATCATTCAATTAAAATGAAGATAAATAACATGATGATTTGGTTGAATTAATGTTTTCATATCCATTAACAGTGATGTGGATAGACCACAGTACGTCCTACATGTGCTGTGCCAAAGTCTTGGAACATACCATTAAAAGTTTCTCTACTGAAATCTAAAAAAGGGTCCTTTGAATTGTAGATGAGGGGGTCCTGCTGACCCGCCTCTCCATGGTGAGGAGCTCAAGCCATTTTTCCTTTTATTTGCTGTGAGCCTCAAAATATACTCACCTGATTATTTCTTGCGGCCAAAATGCGCCTGAATATTTTTACAGAATAGTGATGCTTGTTGTATGAGTCATTATGAGTGGCTTTTATAATGCTAAACAAGGTATAATAATATATGCAACAATATATATACAACACTAAAACACTAAAACTGGGCTCATTACAACTTAATAGTCATCAAATCCACTGGATATGCTTTCATTTTGAAATGAAGTACATGCTACTCCTTGTCGAAAATAACTGATAAAACTGAATTTAAATGCTGCAAGTACAGTTGGAAAACCATGAAAGCACTTTTTTAGCACCTTTGATAGAGACAAAGGCTCTGGCATTGTATTTAATTCACAATAAATGTTGGAGGAGCCACACTCCTGGAGGATGGGAGCAAACACAGGACATTTTCTTTGCTCGCTTGGGTTTTGTGCTCGAATCAAAACACAAACTCCAGTAAGTCTGTACTCCCCTGGCAACCACTTACCTAGGTGGAAGTTGTGGCTAACTCCCCTAGGAGCTAAGCTAATGAGTTGTAGCTGTAGCGTAGAAGAGTTGAGATGAGGTTCCAGCTGCCTTTTTCAGCACCGAAGGTTGCCTCATAAGAAAACTGAAAGATTAAGAGGTTTATACTGTATGTACAGAGTAAACAAAAGTGCTGTTTGTCAAGTTAGGTGGTGCTTTATCAAGACATCTCCAATATCTGACTGATCATACAGGAAACGTTTCGAGGTGTTTATTTATTATCATCTTTTTCTACATCTTAACAACCTGTCTTTGCTTCCAGACAGCCCCAGATGGTTGGAAGAACTCTGTGCGTCACAACCTCTCCCTGAACAAGTGCTTCGTGAAGGTGGAGAACAAAAACGGGAACTCGTCCCGCAAAGGTTGTCTGTGGGCTCTCAATCCAGCCAAAGTGGAAAAAATGCAGGAAGAGCTGCATAAGTGGCGCCGCAAAGACCCCATTACTGTTCGCAGGAGCATGGCAAAGCCAGGTGGGTTAACAATATCACTAGACTCACTATCAAAGAACTTGAAAACAATTAAACCATACACCTCACAAATTCATGTGAGCTGTATGATAATTTGAGAACTTTTTAAATAATTTTAACTGTTTTTAATACCAATAATATTTCCCACAGAGGACCTTGACTGTCTGCTGGGAGAGAGACCGGAAAAATTCAGGTCTCTGCCACCTTACACCAATACAACTTTGTTATCCAGAGGGCCCCCCACATACGGCATCGCCTCCATATCCAGCAGCCCAGCCCAGCTTCAACCACCCTGCCTACCTGTTCCATGTTCTCAATATGCAAACATCCAACCCCAGCAACCCTGCTACCTGTCCCCTAGCACTGCTCATCTCAGTAACTCATTCGCCCTGTACTCACTCTGCGGACAGCCAGCAGCCGCTGCAAGCCTGAACTCACATGTGGCTCCAAAGATGCCGCCTGTTTACAGTGCCGCCCCACAGGCTGATTACACCGCCGGGCACAGGAGCATGCAAGAATTTCTGTTGGAGGGAGACGCCACCTATGACGTTGACACACTCGACCCGAGTCTGACTGATCTTCAGCTGCAAGGTATGATAGATTAGTAGACAATATGATGATTAGAGAAAGAACAAGCTGCAGACATAATGTAACAAAAGCAAGGATGTCTTCTCTTGGAATAATAACAGTCATGTAAATTAAAACTTTAAAATTCCCTAATTTGTAAGTAATCCAGGACTTTCTTATGATATTTTCTGTCATGTGATTTTAGCACGCAGACGTTTTGGCATAAATCACAGACTTGATAGATCACTGATGGCTCTGACCCATATAAGTGTCTCATTGAGTCATGACTGCGTGTCAACACAGCTCCTCCCTTTCTTAAGAAAAACTATTTAGATCTCAATTCCAGTCATCCAAACAAACGTGAACTGTTGCACAATAATAGCTCTCCAAAATACTTCTGTCATTGACTCAGGTAACTTGTGGGAGGAGTTACAGGAAGAAAGCTTGGTCTCTGATGCCAAAGTAACCACCACAACCCCGTCCTTGACCTCTGCCCTGCGGGAGCAGCACTTCCAGAGAAGCTGCTTACAGATCACGCCTCCTCCAGTCAGCGAGACAGCTGTCTGCCAACGTAAAGTAGGGTATGAGGATGGGAACCCGGAAGGTGGACGACAGACGGATCAGCTCAGCTGTTTTAATGGACTCCATTCTGGGGTTTGTTCAGGGGTGGAGAGCCTGGCTGGGTATCTGACCTCTTCTTGTACAGCATCAATCTCCCTGATGTAAAGATTGTCACAGTATTAGCCTGAGGGTTATTGAACCCATCTCAACCTTTGTTTACCACAGTTTAGCAGACTCTGCTGGGGAAATGCATTTTCATCTTTGGCATCCACTCTAAAAAACAAACACAGCTGATTAAATAGGAGCACTTTTTAATGAATTTCCATCGGTTTTAAATGATATTTCAGTAACACTTTACAATAACCGTAACTTATAAATGTTAAATGGACCATTTTTAAATGGTAAGCAGATAGTTTATTAAACTTTAATCATCATCTATAAATAGCATATAGACCGTTAATCAATTGTAAATTTTACTTTTTAAAAATCTAACTCTAACTTTACAATAACCATCTAAGTAATGTTTATAGATAGTTAAAAAAAATATATATATTAACCATTTACAAAGTGCTACTGACACACATTTTAATCTAGATGTTTTACAACCAATATTTAAACCCCATATAAACCTTTAATAAATAGTCCATTAATAATTAATGAAATTATTAATCATAATTTCATTGCTTGTTAATGGTAAAGTAACTATTAACTTATAATAATAAACTAGATATTTGCCATCTATAATTGGTCTACAGTATTTGCTGTTTTTAAAACTATCTATTTACCATTTATATATTATGGTTATTGTAAAGTCTTACCTTTATTTCTCGTCATCTGTTTTTAATTTCCAAGAGCTCCTGATATATCTCAAGAAATGACATTTACCAGCTATGGGTTTGATAGTGTGGACAAGAAAACAGGAAAATATTCTCAATATTTTTAATGTCAAACTAGTAATTTATTATTTCTTTACAAGTTATTTACTAACTTGAAGTTGTTGTGGTGTTAATTCAAAAAATAGATGCTTTAATTTCGTTATATGTTTATTGTATTTTATATTGAGTTCAAATGTTTCTGTTCAAGGTTTCAGTCCTTCTTTTTAAGACCAAGAATCCCAAAAAATGTTTTAGTATGTCTTCTGTTTAAGCACCTTACCATGATCTGATTGTAGCAGTTTTAAAAAGACATTTTTGTTTAATTGTTTCAAAAAATGTAAAAATAGTTATTATTAGTGATCATTTTGAAGACATTAAATATCTAACTCTTCAGCTCCTTTGGGCTTCGCAGATTTTATAGAGTTCAAAATCAATATTTAACTGTTGATATGTAACTTTATCTTACAGGATACATTTAAAAAGCCTTCAGGGTAAAATTTAAATATTCATTTAAAAATCTCATATTTATTGGCCACACACTGTAATAAATTATTAAACACATGGCTTGCAAGACAGATGATGACAGGTGGTATTAAGATACAGCAGCTGCAGTAAGACTGTTGTCACAGAAGATGGCAGCAAGGACAGTTTGTAATGTTCAGCTTAGTCCATATGAGGCGCTAATCACCAAAGCATACTATTGACTTTCTTTGTAAGATTTTGAACTTATTTGTTTCAGAGTAAAAAGTCCTTGTACATCTGATTGATAGGACAGGTAGGAAGAAAAAAAAAATCAAACTCCTGTACACTGACTGACTGTATTTCAAAACAATTTTCCAGTCCTCGTGTGGCTATCGAGTATATTTTTCCAAGTTTGAGAGTGTTGTAAAAACATGGACGGGGGGCGCCTGACAAACACGAGTTAGAACACGGACCACCTCCAAACTGTGTAACAAAAGGTTTTGTTTTGGCACTTGGGGCTACTGAGATTCAGCTATGTGTGTTTATGTAAAAGTAATAGTATTAGAGCATTAGGTGGATTAAGAGTACTATTTTAAATAAATCTGATGAGTTTTTCATGTGAATCAAATGTGTGTTTACTGTTGTTTACTCGGCTGTTGAGAAGTGTCTGTGTGCTCAGCTGAATATGAGTTAGGACATGTTTTATGCATTACTCAGTTTTGTATGGATACGTTGTTTAAAACTGCTCAAATAAAGAAAGCAAAATACTAACATCTCTATAGATATTGGAAAAAATCTGCAAAATTTAAGAGGGCTTGTTCAACTAACAAAACTATGAACTATAACCGTTACCATTTTGTTCAAAGCTGCAGAGGACATGCAGAAAACAAGGCCAATGAAGTCAAGTCAATTACTAGATGAAAAAAACAATAATGTGATAGATCTGAAGCATGTGTATCAAAACTTTGTCTTTATTTTTCCTCTTTACTAAACTGTCCCTTTTCAGTGCAATGTGTTCAACTTTATGAAAAAAAGGATCAAGATTTCGAAAAAAGTCCCACATTTATTGCAGTGATGGAATTTCCGCTGTCAAAAACTTCACATCCTTTTCATTTTGTACTTAAAACATTTATCATAATTAAAGTACACACAGTGCTCAGTACTACAGAGAACATATATCAAAATTGGTATCGAACTTCTGGCTAAAGTAGGTGTCTGACACTTTAAAATGGCTATTAATAATTAAAAAAAAAGAATCCTGAAGTACTAGTCGTGGTACTATGAACATGAAAACACACAACAAATGACACATTTACATAGACGAAAACACATTTCTGTTTGTCATTCAAATGAACGATGGCAGACCAAAGTCATTCAGATGTGTGCTACGAGAAATTCAAAGGACTTCAGGAGTTACTTTCCTACTCGAGCTAGATGAATATTGATCTTAATGGGTTCATGATTAATAAAGTTATCTCTGTTTTTGTGTCTCTGTGTTTCTGACTGGTTTCGTAAAGACAAATAACGCTCACTGTCCCTTTAGTTTTTTTCATATTTAAACGCTATCAAAACCTACAAAATGTAAATGACTCAAAGTTTTCCTGATGAACAAGAGGAGCCCACGTACACAGACTGAAATTAACAGCATGTACAGACACCGCATGTGTTTGCTGCCCACACTCTCGCACATACACACACTCTCTCTCTCACGCAAACACACTGAGGCTAAAACTGTTAGAATTCAATGTTCCTGCAAAGAGGCAGAGGGAGAAAATCTATTGGTCTGGCAGCTGAATACCTGAATGTAAAATCATTGAGTTAACAGTAGAGACAAGAGTGTGAATTGTCCATCAGTTCATTTGTTTCTGGTCCTGAAGAGGTACATGAATAATGGAAAATGTCTAAAACAGGGGGAAGTCAAGGGTGAAGGGTGTTTTTGTTTTTTCTACGGCCCTCCACTGTAAGAATAGTCTGCCTTGTTGTGCATCACCAGCTTGTTGTCCACAAAGTAGAAGCTGTCCGACTGCGTCTCATAAGGGTGCAGGATCATCTCTCGCACTGGGAGGGGGAAAAAAAAGACACACAGCTCTCAGAATTTGCATCTCCAAATCCTGTTACATCAAACAAAATGCCTCTGCGTGGGCGCATTTGCCTCGTGCGATTACATATTGTGACACTCACTGATTTCTTCAGACAGTGCGGGGAACTCGTAGATGTGCTCGCATGTGTTCTTACTGCTGGGCATGCAGAAGCCGAACTCGAAATCAAAGCTCTTGAGCAGCTGATCACGAAAGTAGTGCCTCTCAATCATACGAAAGTTGTTGATGGGTGTGTCCCCAACTGTGAATTCCACTCTGTAGGAATGAGAAGACAACAAATGAACCATTAACATTTTTAAAGAATTTATTCTTTAAGGGTTTTTTTGCATGAAGAGACTGAAATCAATTCTGATGCCTCTTCATGAAATACAAAAGCAAAAAGACCATCATAAAGACTGGACAAGTGAGTTCTGCAGAAAAAAACAAGCTTTATTTCCATTCCTCATGATAAAGATTCACAGAAAGTGGTATAGTCGATGTAAAAAATGAAAAAAATTACAATATTTGTTGTGCTGTTTTGCCGCAAATCAAAAGGTATTGACAGGAAAATTTTAAAAATTGTCACAAACACTATAATACCGCTACTACACTCATAATGCCTCTATAAGTCAATGTGAATCAAGCAGCAACCCCCGGGGCTGAGAAACAGGCTGCTAGAAATGCTAAAAAAGCCCTTTTTTGCAACCTCTGGTGGTTACTATTATATATATTTATATGGTGGTAAAAAAATAAATTAGGAGAGAGTCTGAAATATTTTTTGTGTAAAAAAATCAGCCGTTTAATAGAAAAAGCGCTTTTAAGAGTGTATTTACGACATGCGCACAGCGCCATTTTGAGTTTACGACAGTTGTGACGTCAAGGGTTGAGCAGGAACAGAGTGAAATATAAATGAGTGTACGTGAAAATATAAAACGTCCTAAACTCTGTCCACCACACATCCGAGCGGAGACATAACTGATCAAACCTTCAGGAAATATTTATTACCTTCACTCTGGGGTCTAAAACTGTCAGCATTATCAGTCATCCAGCTCCAACAGTTTAATAATCCACTGATATTATTCACATCCGGTTTTTCGCGGTCAGCGCGTTTCATCCATTAACATTGTGTGAAAAAAAACTTTAGCTCGCTTTAGCGTCAGGTGTCCTGATAGAGACCGACAGCAGGAGCATCTCTGGACCTGTTTCCGAGTCCAGACCACAGGTCCAGACAGGCCGTGACTGACTCACCGCGTAGGAACCGAGACGCGGTCCGTGTCCTGGTGGAAGAAGACCGGGAAATAAACGACTGAGCCGGGCGACCAGAAACAGAGCTAAAAAATTGGATGAGACGCTGACCGCGAGGTTGTTAACGGGATTTAAAGAGGACGTAAACGGGAATAATATCGGTGGATTATTAACCTGCTGGAGCTGGATGACTGATACTGCTTACTGTTTTAGACACCAGAGTAAAGGTAAGACATTTTTGCCTTCGTTATTTTATGTCAGATCTCTGTTAAACAGTTACGCCGATGTTTACATATGATTGCTGCTGCGCATGTGTGAGCTGTGGAAAAGCTGTGGAGAATCACCGGCAACGTTTCAGCGGCAAATCATGAAAATGCAACGTTTTTTTATTTCTTATGTTGTAAAATTGGTTGGAGCAGCCTGGCGCCAAACAAAATACCCCTCCTCTGATGAGTTTACTCGTGTGTGGCTCTCATTCGCCATTTCAACCATCCTAATCTGCTCTCATTCAATCAATTTCAATTCAGTCAATATGCGGGGTACACAACCCATTACTTTACGCTAAGTGGCACTGCTTTACGGTTCCCAGCAGTGTCGCTCATAGACAATAATAATAATAATAATAATAATAATAATAATAATAATAATAATAATAATAATAGACATAATTTTATTATGTCTATGGTGTCGCTAAAGTGGAACTTCTAGAAATGTATTACATTCTGAGAGTCATGTATACAGTGATTTGTGAAGTCGAGAGGCATTCTTAAAAATAATGATAACTTGGGTCAGTGTTTCATGTCCTCTTGAAGACTGTTGTTCGGGGGCAAAGTTATGAAAACTCTGTATCAGTAACAACCTGCCAATATGTGTAATATTTTTGCACCATTTTCATATTGACATGTTTTAGTATGGTTGATGGCTTTATGCACAGGATCATTGACCAGGATCACAGGTCTTGACATGGTCAGATCTGCTAGCATGCTTAAGTTAGGTAAGCAGCATATGAATTGTTTGATGTTGTTTTAATGTGTAAACAGGGATTTGGAAATGTGTTAACTTTCTTGTTATGCATTCAGTTGACTTCGCCATTAAACATAGCACCAGAATTACTAGTTGGGTCAACATGTTGTAAATGTAAAGCTGGCCATAAGTTGAGTTGTGTCACTATGGGCCTGTCAATGAGGTTAGTGTAGGAGTATCACATCATAAAACAACATCAATGTTTCTGCATGATGGGGCTTTAAAAACTGCTTTTTTTCTGTCATGTGCCTAATTTTTGTACTTTTTGAGGTTATTTCTTTTACTCATGTGAATGTTGAACTGACCATAACTGGCAAGAAAGGTCAAGAGGTCATCCAATAAAACAGGCTGCAAACAAGCCAACAGTGATCCAGATTGTATCTTTACTTAAATTTGGAGAAAAACAAATAGACCTAACCATGAATCCTCCAATGACACACAATGAAAGTAAAACCAAGAGTGTAAAATTAAAGACTGTTGTCCTATAAAATGGCTTTTCTCACAAGGCCTGGCTTATTTCGACGCATCAGTTTTTTTAATGAATAAAAATTAGTCACGCACAAAGAGTCTGATGATGATGAACACTGACTAAAATTCGGCTCCTGACTTAGCAGGGACCTGTGAGCGTTCACACTCAGCCTTGTCAGCCCACGCTGATTCCCACACTCCTCCTACATCCAATGTCTGTCCTCTGTAAGTTCAACAGAGTCCACTGAGCATGGATCCATCGTCCAGCTTTTTTATTTTGATCAAAAATAAATCAAACTTACGTTGCTCCAACCTGCCGCAACTGTAGGAAGGCTGGGGTGAATTGGTATCTGACGAAACGCCCGGCGTTGGGGTCACATTGCTTCCTTCCTCCTGCTGAAGAGGAGACAGTTAAATTCAGTGTTTATTCCAAAATAAAAACTTTAACTATTCTATAGACAGAAAATGGTGAAGGTAAATGTTCTGACCTGGTGTTGGAGGTTTAGTGATCTCAAAGAGGACTGTCCCTGTCTCCATATCGCGGATCTTAAATCTAGTGAAGTCGATGCTGTGGACGTTTTCCTCGGGAGAACAAAGATAATCTGAAAAAAGAGAAGAACAGACCATTTAAAATCAAACAATACCATAAACAGTCATTCTTTTGTTATAGTGTATATCAGCCTGATCATAAGCAGCCATCTTTGTAGTTCTCATGCTACAAAGACATGCCATTAGTTCTCATGGGCAAGTTTGACTGTCTACTTTATGTGAACTCTGGTGACCTCACAATAAAAGTCATGAACACTTTAACTCATCTGACAATGTCCTTTGAGGAGGCTCGACTACAGTAATCAGCACACACATTGTAAGTACCACTTCTGCATTAGTAAGATCCTACAAATCAGACTTCAGGTTGAATTTGTAGAGCAAATTTATTCATAAACACATGCAGTATGTCAAATTAGGAATATACTTATATTTTTCAAGTTTGGATGATACATATTCTGAATATGTTTATGTAGCCCCAAATTACCATCAACATCCTTTAAGAGGATGGGACGATTTCCTACTAAAGGGTTCATCAGGAAAAGAAAGGGGATAGTCTGTCATGTCCAAGCTATCATCTGCCTTTATGATTGGTCTTAATCTGAATGAGATTAAGGATAAAGTCTCCTCTGCCTCCTATGAAGACACAAAAACAACAGGATCAGCCAGTTTGATTTTTAATGGAATTTATCAAGTGATTTTACCAGAAGATATGTTTATTGTCTGTATGGTACAAAGCTGGAACAGATTTTCCAACTCTCTTCTTTCTAGTATTAGCAAATACAAGAGGACGAATGCAAATTTAGTATATATTTACAAATCATTTTGTAAATCTGGTGGTATCTACGAACCTTCCTTTCCCATTTTAAACTAAAGTTATGAAGCTGTTTTGCTACTTGTCCCCAGATTTTTATTTCCAAGTTCTGAAAGAAAATGTGTTTTAATTTGACCGTAATCATAACCATTGTAAAATGTTTCACCTTCGTAAATTAAATTTTAATGCAGATTTGTATCAACACACAGACATTAAAAATGTCACAAAATTGCCCTTGTTATTAAACTACTGCTATAAAAATACTGGAAGACAGAGAGGCAAGAACCTGGGCAGGATGACAGATTTGACAGTACTGGTCAGTGTGTGAGTGCATGTGTCAGAGTTAGAGTGTGTGTGAGAGAAGGAGAGAGAGAAAGATAGAGAGAGAAGAGAGAGAGAGTATGAGCATGTGTCAGACACTCCCCTCCCATTGGGGCAGGATTAGGCCTAAGAGGCTTATTGTGTTTTACCATCACATGGACTGACTAGTTGGGAAACACACACACACACACACACACACACACACACACACACACACACACACACACACACACACACACACACACACTATCTCATTAGTATTATGAAGTGTGCAGTTATTATTGGCAGTGTATGTTGCATAAGGGTCAGAGGGTCGTGTGACTTCATGCAGCCTGACTAAAAAAGAAACAGTGAGGGGGAAACCGTCAGATCAACATCCCTGCGTGAGCATGTGCACGTTTCTGCACACACACCTCTAAACTCATGCTGCTGCTGCTAGACTGTTTTCTGAGGTTTTAGAGAGCAGATGGGCCACAGGCTTTAGCCACCTGCCAGAAGGTATTTATAGACCTTTCATAAAGAACACTATGCTTTATCTGACACCTGGTCTATAAGTAGCTCCTTCAGTTCAATGAAAGAGCTCACAATTTCATATAGTGAACCAGATATTTTTAAAACCGATGAAAGGCCGGAGCAAGTGTGCCATTTAAGTCAGCCATTTGAAATGACGTGCAGCAGCATTATTAACAAACAATGTGAGCACGTATTGGCTAAATAACACATTCTGGTATTTAGCTCTGCTGTGCAAGCATAAACAAGTATAAACATGCATATTTTCTGAGAATGCATACGGACCTTGTACTAGCACTTATTTATTTGTTAGCAGACATAAAATATCCTTCTGTGCATACATTAGAGAATATGCACAGCGCAGCAGATATAGTTTATGCTGTAAAACACAGAGACTATATTTCTTCCCAAATTACTTAAGATGATTAAAGAGCTTCTGTGTTTTTTGGGAGTGTGTTTCTTCCAAAGCAAAAACAATGAAACACTTTCACACAATAGAATCGTTGGTGCGAGATACGCTTCAAATGATCATAAACTTCAAACAGAACTGTTTGTTTACCACCTCTGCTTTAATATGTCTTATTCCCAGCATGTGTTTTATATGATGGCAGACATGGAAAGTCATTTATCCGAACATTTGGTCAAAGGCCGAGGACGCGGACATGTAAAACGCAGACGCGTAATTGCAGCCGCCCCATAATTTTCAGTGTGAAGGATTTATGTAATATGTTACATGTTTATCAGAGTGTTATATTACTGACATTGTAAGGTGGGCCTTGTTTTTATGCAACACTGCACACAAATAACACCCACTTTAAACTGTCAGGTGGGCTTTTAAGAGATAGGAAGTATTTCATTGTTAGTATGTTAATGTAATATCCTAAATAAATAGTGGTCACTTAGACATACATCTGCTTTAAATGTGTTTTCTGCTAAATGTTCGGGTTTTCATGGTGTGGTTGCTCATCAGCTTCTTCTATGGCTGACAGGACGCCATTCCCAAGTATTGATGTTATGACTGGAGGAGATTCTGCCGCTCAAGTGAACACCATGCATTGTTGGCTACGTCTTACTATAATCAATATTTTAATAATGAGACTTTTACTGTTTTTGACCATTTAGACGTATGCGCAAAGACTATAACACTGACTTCAATACTGATTTTAGTTATTTAGAAACCATTGTCACAGTGTAGGTAACATTGTGTAAAAACAGCCTTTGTTTACAATTTTCATGGCAAAGATTGTTAAAGAGTAAAAGAAAAAAAAAGATATTTTGGAAAAGAATCACTACCTATACATGTACGATGATAAATCAGGAAAAGGATGTACTGCTCTATCCACAGGGGGCATCATAATTGATACAAACTGGAAGTTACTTACTGGAGCTTTAAATCACAAGTATCCAATAGCTTTTTGTTGTTGAAATTGCAATAAATAGTGCTCACTGAGATATTTCTAGTGTTCACCCCTAAACTAAGGTTATGTCATAAAGAGAGATCACATCATTTCTCATGTTTATTTAGAATCAAATAAAATATTTCTATGTGACAAATTTGTCATCTAGTATAAAAAAAGAGTAAATAGAGAGTCAGTAAGCTTGAATCTTGTGCTGCTGTCACTGACCAAATCCCTTTGTGGACAGATGACTGATAGATATTTGTGAATCAGCGGTGGCAGCAAGCCAAACCTGCTGAACAACACAGATGGTGAGTTTTATGTGACACCCAGTCTAGTTTGAGTGTTCACACAGAGCCGCCTCCAATCCCGCCTACATTCACAAAGCCCAGAACCTGCTGACCACACCACATTGAACATACTTAGATTTACACGCTTCAACTGTGAGGGGTGAAAAGATAATAGTACACATTTGAGGGAAAGTGTGACTGTTATACGTGCTGACTGCTTTGTGTAATGGATGTGGATGATATTTGAGTTGTAGTTTGTTATGGGAACACAGTCTATTAACCTTTTTGCAGAGGGGTGGATGAGAAGTTCGATCTTATTTCCAGTCTTTCTACATAGCTAAAGCCTGCTGTTATTTTAGCTTAGCATGCTCATATCTAGACACTCTTTTTAGAGCTTATTTTAAAAAAGTCAGACTCTGACACCCTCAGTCAGTAGTCTTTCCCTGGACTCTGCTCACTGTTTACATGCATACAATGTCACTATTTGTGTTGTTTATAGTGTAAATACTTGTATATTATCTCTATATTTTCACTTATTTTACTTATTTTATCTTTTATTTTATCTATTATTTACTTCGTCCTTACTGTATTTGCACTGGAGTACTGTAATGAAAGCAATTGACCCCTGGGGATTATTAAAGTATTTCTGATTCTGATTCTGAAAATATTAGTAGAACTGACTTTTGCGATAATACACCCAAATTAGTCAGATCCAAAGATGCTTGTTGGTCTAAGAAAGGCTGGACGTTCACTGTTTCCAGATTGTTTATGAGCTTAGCTTTCTGGCTACATGCTTTAGCCATGTGTGGTATAGACGCTTGAGAGTTTTTAATACTCTGTATGAGAAATATAACAAGCTGTTTTCAAGAAGATGTAGGCAGTTCCTTTTAAGTATTTGAAGAAATCATGTGCTAAACATGTGTTCCTGACAGGGTTGAAAGAAAGAAATATATACTTTGGACAAACATTGCTTCTCAAACATGAAATGTAAAACAAACATACTGCTGTAACAGCTGTTGCTTTAAACCTTGATAGATTTTAAGCCGTGTATCTTTCCATACCCTAATCCTTAAAATTAAATCCTGGTTCTGAATTGTAGGAGTACCCTCAAGATTATAATTTACATGTTTACAGCTCAGTTCTTTGTTTCTGTTTTTCTCCTGTCTTCAAACTAGACACACACACACACATTCACTTGCTGCAAAAGTGCTCCACTTCACTTCCTTCAACACTGTCACCTAGCAACACTCCTTCTGATAGTGTGCCAGCTTGATTAGTCTGCCTTCTTCCTTCCCCGAAGCCCTGTCTTCTTCCTTCCCCTCATCCACCTGGCTGCTCCACAATAACAACAAGCTGAGCAGTGAATCAAAGGAGTGTATCTCAGGTTGGGCATCAGTGGGATGCAAATTAAATGATCCATCCATGTTAGATGAAGCTGTACCTGAGGCCTACATCCCCAGACAGAGAGGCTGTCCTTTGTTTTCTTCCAGAGCTTTGAAGCACTGAAGGAATCTTCAAATTTGATCCTGAATATTATTACAACAATGCTGTCTCGTGTTATCTTACAAAACCGTGCCATTAACACATAAGGGCAGGTTATCTGACTGCCGTAATTACTCACCAGTCTTTCTAATCCATACAAATTCAAACATTATTCCATGATAAGCAAATTCTTACTGAACAAAATCCTTTCCACTCAAGTATACGCAGTCCTGAATAGAACTATTACACAGAGAGTAAAATTAGCACAAGGTCTTCTTGAGTAATGCCATGTTCTTGTATTCGGGTACACACAGCTTGTCTGACACCAAAGTGGCATTCATAAAGAGCAAGCAAGCTGCCACTTATAGCTCCTTAATCCCAAAGATTAGCCTGGAGTTACTGACTTTCAACCGCAGGGATTGACTTCTCATGCCTTATTCTTTCCATTCGACTTCATGGTCGTCAATCAACGCAGAGAGAGAGAGAGAGAGAGAGAGAGAGAGAGAGAGAGAGAGAGAGAGAGAGAGAGAGAGAGAGAGAGAGAGAGAGAGAGAGAGAGAGAGAGAGAGAGAGAGAGAGAGAGAGAGAGAGAGAGAGAGAGAGAGAGAGAGAGAGAGAGAGAGAGAGAGAGAGAGAGAGAGAGAGAGAGAGAGAGAGAGAGAGAGAGTGTGTGTTGAATTAATTCCTGAACGTGAGGAGAACAATGCTGACATGTTTACTCATCCTCATGTTGAAATAAGCCATAGCCGGAGGCAGCTTGTGACATTAACATTACACCTTGATGTGCATACCTTGATATACAGTGCACCTGTGTGCGGAGGTGTGTTTCATGTCTCTCGGTTTACAGCACCTGTAGGCGAACTGGCAAATACTCAAGTTCATGCAGAGGTTGCATTCAGAGCAGCTGAATGCAGATGAGATTCAGCTCCCCTGTCTTTCATCGGCATACCTTTGAGTGGAAAAGATAACATTTCGATGGGGGGAGGGGTTTTAGGAGAAAAAGAATATTGTGATGGAAGCTCCTTAGTTCAGAGTGACACTGAACCACAAAACCAAATCAATGAAAAAATTAGCTTAGCTCAGCTTTAGGAGTTGAAATGGGGGAAGCAGCTAGCTTGGCACTGTCTGAAGGTAACCTTATCTGTCTCCTCGCACCTCTGATGCTCACTTATTATTAAAGAAGACATAATGTGGAGCTGAGTGAGCTTACTGAGTTAACCCTGTGTTCAGATGATCTTGCTCTAAATTCCGTATTCATTCCTTTCTTTGCTCTTAAACCACCGCCACAATGCAATTTATGCAAAAATGAGTTGTTCTCAGCTGCTTGAGCTGGATACCCACACAGTCTTATTTATGTGCACATTGGTCTGACTAATTTGGGGGCATAAAATTGCATGCTTTGCAGCCTATTGAAAGAGCCATTTCCAGACATCTATTTTCCTTGTATAGGGGGTTATTGTCTTGGAAGCAAATAGGTGCCAATTTTCTCTGATGGCTCCCCCCCATGTCATTACATTTTCCTTATAAATATGATTTTTTTTTTCAAATTGGAACATTTAAAATTTGTATAAGCACAACCAAACTTGTACACCTTAGAAATAAACAGACAGATTTACACCACAAAGAGGCATCCGCTGTCCAAGAGCATCTATAATCAGACATATTTATAATTATTATAATACTCACCGAGCAACACATCAGGCTTTGGTCATTATTCTTCTTCAATGAATGCTTTGCTCTATCAAATAGCCTATCTCTCTTCCTATTGTTTTGCCTATGAGTCATTCTGAGTTATTTAAGCACTAATCATTCACAGAGAATGTGTCCTCTGTAAAACAGGCTGTTGTGGTGCCATAAGGAAAGATAATGCCCTGTGAGGTGTGTGTTATCTGAGGCCAGTATTCTTATTATTTACATCCATTATGATTCTATGGCTCACTTTGCCGATCAACAGATATATTTAGTAGAAGGAGATATGATTAGGAAGTTGAACTGTTATTTGAATGCTTTAACTTAGCTGTTAGCCAGAAAGCTAACATCATCCAATCAGAATCCAGTTTTTATCTAAACCATGGTATGGATGTGAATTAACTGACCTATTTTGATAGTAACCAGCAAAAGTAACTGCAACCTCTTTTGTAGGTCTTCTGAATATAGTGCATTGTTTTCCTAGCACATGTGTAAAATTATAGAAGTTTATTGACAATAGGAGTCTTCCAGCTCCACAGCAAAAACACAAACACTGGTAGTAACACTGGGTTTGTTCTGCTTGAGACCATCTCCTGGAAACTTTGTCCTATCAAGAGAAGACGCAGCATTCAATGTCTCTGTTAAACATCCATAATCACACGCGAGTAGAATATTATATAAGAAAGAGTATAGGAGAGTCTGCCATCAACCCATTGATTTAAGATACAGCCAAGCGCAGGCATAAAGGAGTGTCGATTACTGATGTGTTACAGGCCGTCTGTCTCATTGTCAGATCACCCTGAAAGAGTAACCTTGTGACAGCTGTGCATGAGAGATTAAGAACAGGCAGCACTAATCAATTTTAATTAAAGCTGTATCCATTGTGTTGGCAGACATCACAGAGTGGAGATCCTGCCCTCCGTAGATAAAACACTGCTCTGTGTCCCAGACTTATTGAGGCCAAATAATTGATCACCCATTAGTGTAATAGGCACCAGACTTAGTAAGTCATCTGTATGAGGTAAAATGACATACCAGTGTAGATCTTTTTCATCCAAAAACACCCACAGTGCAACAGGGGATTTAGTTAAGTAGAGCTCTGAATATATCTCTTTTTTTTCTTTGTATGTGGGCATCTATACATTTTGTGTGCAGTTATAAAACTTTCATGATTTTATAAGTTTATCTTTAAACAAGGAGAGTTTCCCATCTGTTTCCCATCCGCCTTTGCAATGGCTAATTGTGCAGTTGTTAATATACAACAATGTAATGTAAAATCCATATCCGTAAAGCCGTGTGAATCATTTCCCTCTTGAAAGAATACAGGAAAAGACCTAAAAACTGCTCCAAGAAAATAAAGGAACACATAAACAGGGCGGTGTAACTTCAAATCAGTGAAACTTCCTGGTTATTGACCTGATAAGTTAGGAATCAGTAGTGATTGTGAATCATTTTCACCTGCTGTTGTGCAAATGGGACTGATAACAGGTGGGTAGGAGATGCAATTAGCAAGGCAACCTTATTAAGGAGTGGTTCCATTTCGCTCCCCTCATCTATTTTGGTTGGCTCTTGGCAAATTTTGCATTTATCAGGTGTCTGAGGTGGTTTCTGTAGCTCACAGAAGACACATCCATACACCCAGAGGGTTTGCTGTGTGTCCCAGCACAATGCCAAGAGTGTGGTGGGGTTGTCAGGAAACAGGTCAGTACACCAGGAGAGGTGGAGGGGGCCTTGGGAGGGCAACAATCTAACCCTAACCTCAACCTTAACCCTAGCTGCAGGGCCACTATCTGCTATTTTGTGCAAAGAGGACTCTGAGGTTTGTATGAGGGCCTACGTCCACAAGTAGGGCCTGAGGACTCCAGAAGTGGCCCATTGGCCATTAGCGCTCTGTTCTCTTCACAAATTAGAAGTTCACACTGAGAACATGTGAAAGAAACTGGAGATGCTGTTGAGAATGCTCAGCTGTCTCCACCATGAACGTTTAGTGGTGGGTCAGTGCTGGTCTTGGAGTCCTTAAAAGGTCACGCAGACCTCTATGTACTAGCCAGAGGTACCCTGACTGCTGTAAGTACCAGGATGAGATCCTTACACCTATTGTCATACTATATGCAGATGCAGCAGGTCCTGGGTTCCTTCTGGTGCATGACAATGCCTGATCTGGGCGGGAGTGTGTCAGCAGTTCCTGGATGATGAAGTTATTGATGCTATTGACTGGCCCGCCCATTCTCCAGACCTGAATCCAATCTGGGACATCATGCATCGTTGCATCCACTGCTGACACGTTGTACCACAGACTTTCCTGGAGCTGAGTGATGCCCTGATCAGAGTCTGGTAGGCGATCCTCCAGGTAACCATGTGTAGTCTCAGTGCATACAGGCATGTAGAGGCCATACACTCTACTGAGATGCATTATGAGGAAAGTCACAGAGGTTGGATCGTCCTGTGATTTAATTTTTCCACTTTGATATTTAGTAGGATTCTGAATCCAGTCCTCAGTTGGTTAAAGATTTTGGTATCTATTGATCGTTGTTGATATATTTAGTTCTCAACGAATTACGCTATGTCATCAACAAAGGTTTTCAACTAAAATATTTAACTCATCCAGATCTTGGATATGTGATTTAAGTGTTCCCAGCTTGACTTCTCTCTCTAGCTATGTCATGGTTTGTATTTAAAACCTCTTGAAGTCAGGGTGAAAGACATCAGATGTATTTTCTTCTGTGCTCTCACACAGAAACAAAATTGGACATGATAGATGAGAGAGGAGCAGAAACGACAAAGAAGTCTGTGACATTTGCGTTGACACCTCTATTGTCTGGGAAGAGATACTAAAATTGTTGCTATAAAAGGTTAAAAACTGTCAATAACAGAAGCAGTATTTCTCCTTGGGTCTGCCTGCATTCATATCCATAAAAATCCATCATGTTGACAGTAAACTGATAATGTCCTGTTTTTTTATATCACAGCAGCTTCTCTGGATCGTATTTCTTCCTCTCTCAGTCTGTGTGACAAAGAGGTGCTGTGCCTCGCTTATCAGCACTGAACCACCCTGACGCGCTGGAGCTGAGCTGCCCCCAAATGGTGGCATTTCCCTCCCAAAAGCCCAACTAACAAAGTCATTTACACTGTAGGGGGAGCCATTTTCTGCCGGCCTCTTTTTTTCCATATGCAATTTCCTTTCCTTTGAATGGTTCGGCACATCATGTTTATCTCTGGTGGAGGTGTTTTGAATGGTCTGTTGTTTGAAATGACTGGGGCTTGGGGAGACATTTCAGTGCTCTTGTGACTTTACAGGGAACAAGGGAGCAGACTCAGCATTGCTTAATTAGAAAAACACAAACATGATTTGGATGCAGTTCAAATAAATGGGATTTTAAATGCTGACAGGATGCGATTATTGAATCTTGCTGGTGTGTACAGCCATCCAAGTAGATGAATGGCTCGGGAACACAACTACAACATTTCCAGTCTGGTATGTACGGTATAAACAAACTCCTTCTCAAAGCATTAGTAATTAGCTGGTGTGTGTTGTATTGGTGCAGCAGGCTGTGTTATAGCCCTCTTGATATAATCCAGATTATTTAGATGTCAATGGAGAGTGGAGATTACAGCTCCGTCATGGGTGATTTAGGTATAATTGCACCAGTGGGCATCAAGTAGTGCTGTGTAGCTGAGCCGGGGTACCCAAGAACAACACATATGATGGTATGAGAAGAGATAAGAGTAGAAAGACGTCTCCAAAAATTAAAGGGGAGGTTAAGATTTGAATGATATTAGCCGAAAATTTTTGTTTTGGAATCAAGGTTGATCTTAAAATGTGTAAAATAAACGTTTTAACATAAGATTCATCTTGAGTGTTGTTCTAATCCTGTTATGCTAAGTGCCACTTTAATAACAACGCAGAAACTTGCTTATGTCACATAATTTCATCTACTAAATCTGTCTTATTGCAAGATTTGGTAACACTTTACAATAATCATAACTTCTAAATGGTAAATAGACCATTTATAAATGGTAAGCAGACAGTTTATTAATGTTTAATCATCATTTATAAATAGCATATTTATACCATTTTAAAAACCTTACCCTAACCCTAACTTTACAATAACCATCTAAGTAATGTTTATAGATGGTTTAAAAACCAAATATTAACCATTTACAAAGTGCTACTGACACACATTTTAATCTAGATGTTTTAAAACTAGTATTTAAACCATATATAAACCTTTAATAAACAGTCTATTAATAATTAATGAAAATGATTAGTCATAATTTCATTGCTTGTTGATGGTAAAGTAACTCTTAACTTACATTAATAAACTATCTATTAACCATTTATAATTGGTGTATATGCTGTTTTTAAATGATGATTAAACATGAATAAACTAAAGTGTTATTGTAAAGTGTTACCTAAGATTTTTTTTAGCTAAAGCCCAGAAAATTTTAATAATTAAATAAATAGATTACAACAACAACAAAAACAACAAAAACAACAACACGTAAATCACTTTGAAAGACCTTTCTCTGTTGCACAATCCCCCCAGTGTTTTTGCATGACATAACTCACATGCAACCAGTTTCCATAACATGTTAAAAAACCAGGCAGTCTTCCTGACTGTATTTGTCCTGACTGACTTAATGTCTGAGACGAGCTATAATCAGCTGATCACATCCCTGGCCACCTGTTACAGTCCCTTTAAAGCCACAGGTGTCCCGAGGTGAGGATGTAGTGAGAGCCAGATTTCCTTTAGTGGGATTTGAGGAGCAGGAAGTACAAACAGTGCTTGGAGTCTATACCTAGTGTGTGTGTGTGTGTGTGTGTGTGTGTGTGTGTCAGAATCACCTACACACAAACAAACAAACATCTACAAACATACACTCTGATTTTGATTGTAAACTCGACATGCTGCTTGAGTCAAACTGCATGCATAAGTGTAAGTGTCCTTGGGTTAACCTGTAGGGATCAATAGCAGTTAAACACACACTGGTCAAAGTATGAAGTCTTGTTCAAAGCTCGAGACTCTCCAGGCTGTGTCGCTGTCCATGGTACCTGTGCGTCTCTCTTCCATAAAAATTAGAAATTCTCAAGAAATACACGACAAGGACACAACAGCAGATGGTTTGCACTAATCTCCTCTAACTGTACGGCATTAACTACTCTTCCCATCCTGCCAATTACAACAGCAGGTTACTTACTCTTGGTGATTTTCTGCAGCCCGAGCACATCTTCAGGCGTTATTACGGTATTTCTGCGCAGTTCTTCTTCAGTAGTTACTGGGATCCCCATGTCTCCTGAGTTGCAGCCTTGCTGCACTTTCATGTCCAACAGAAGAGGTTCTGATCGGTGCGCGACCTGACAGGAGCTGAGCCTTTCTGATGCTCTCGGCTTCGTCGCCGCAGGAGCCGATTTAGTTGCGTCGCAGCTTTTAGTCGCGCTCTGGCTAATACAGTGTGCAGCAAACAGGCTCTGTGCTGCTACAAGAATAACTCATTCTCCCTGCCTCCTCCCCTCTCGATCCGGTAAAAGATAAAAATCAGCCCTCGGCTCCCACCCTCCCGCACTCGAGGCTCATCGGCTCTCTCACAAGCTATTTAATCCAAATCCGCTGGCTTTAAACGGAGCGCTGCTGCTGCTGCCGCCGCCGACGCCGCTGCTGCGTGTAGAGGCTGTCAGTGTGCGCGCCTCGTCATCTCCTCACACCAGCGTTTATATGCTGGGGCTGCTGCACTCAGGAGCTGCATGATACCTGTTTATTTATTTACTTAGTATTTTTTAAGGGATGATTATGAGGTGTAAAAAACATGTCTTTTAACAGTATTTTTTGGGGTGAACTATAACCAGTGAGTCAGAAATGTGAGTGGTATTAAGCAGAGCCGGCCCAAGGCATGAGCGAACTAAGTGCCTGCTTAGGGCCCCACGGCCAGTAGGGGGCCCCCAAGAGCAACCCCCCAAAAAAATTGAAATATTTTTTATTTTTTGCATGTATGAGTGATACTTTCTGTGTGATCAAATATATATATTATTGTAAAAATAAAATAAAGTAAAAACATGCTGATGTAGGCCTACAATTCTTACTGCCGATATGTCAAAGCTCCACTGATGTGCCTCTTGCTGTGCAATGTGCACTGAGCATCCTGAATGAGTTACATTTTGAGATTAAAAACCATATGTGGCACCCTGAACATCATTCATCGGTCATTCATTGGTATTATTCGTATGGCTGCATTGGTATTATTCATGTTGTTACCTAGGCCACCCCCTTAAATGTGTAAAGACATGTCAGGTGCATCAAATTTATACTGTAGTAGGTGTGTGAATGATCAATAATCAATATTATTGGCAGAAATAGAGGGCCCCACAATCTAATTTTGCTTAGGGCACCATTGAGGCTTGGGCCGGCTCTGGTGCTAAGTTAGGCATAGCTTGTAGGCTTTATGGCGTTGATTTGCTATCAAAGGATGAGCTATTCTGTAGGGCTGAAACAAAAAATGTAGGTTCATTTTTTGGGGGAATACAACTCAGTCTAAGATGTTGTTGAAGTAGCCTAATAGCTTTCTTTCTTTGCCACTAGGGGGCAGCAGAACAACCGGAAAACTTAGATAACAGGCTACTAAAAATGTTTATCTTCAAATGTTGTTTTGCATGAGCCGACAGGACTACACTAACATTAATTAATTATCTCTGTTCTTAGTCTTTTTCTTAATTCCCGTCATAGGTTTTTACTTCTCTTACCCCTTTTTTATATGGTAAAGAGCTCTTCACGCAAAAAGAGGCTGACATATTTTGTAAAGATGGGGAAAACTGAAAAGACAGATAGGGCCTAATAATTTACTTTGCATTCTTGAATTTGAGCGACCCAACAGATATCACATTTGACCATGTGATCTATGGAAGGTGACAATAATCATCTGTGGTGCTTTAAGCGGTGCTAAATTCCCAGGTATGACATTAAGTAGGTTATAAAACAAAGTCACTAAAAAGCAACAGAAGAGAGGAGACTACTTTCGCCTTTGTGGTATTTTTATTTTGCCTTTTTTTCAGTTGAAGTTACTTCAGATGCCAGCATCCCTGAGAAAGTGTAAAATGCGAATCTCCTCGATAACCTGCATCAGCCAATAGATTTTTTAAAATATGCACAGTCACATTCCTTCTGTTAAATGACAGACTGGTTTGTATACCTCTCAAGTTACTGAGGTGAGGCTTTATGCTCTAAGATTGGGAGACAGTGTCCCCTTCTGCCCGACAAACTTACTGCAGGGCATGTGCAGAGCTGTGAGCTGTCCATGGTATTACTATTATCCCTTCACTAAACTCAGTGGATCCCAGGAGATCAAGAGTGACAGAATGCTTTGAACAGGCTTATTGGCATCATTTAAGCTGAAACACAATGTAAATAAAAATAAGATAAATGGGTTGTAGTAGCATTTAAACAAACTAATAAACACAAACTTAAAGCTTTCATAAATACAATAAATCCTATTATCCTTTTTATGAGGTCTGTAGACAGAGAGCATTGCTACCATTTTTATGGTCGTTACAAGTTTGTGACAATCAGAATTTCTCATTTGAATCATTCACAAAGCCACATACTCCCAAATCCTACCAGTGAAAGCAATGACAATACTCAAAAGCTGTAAGCCACAAGTGTGGATAAGTGGCTGTTGGAGAAATCACAGAGGAAGGTTGGCAGCATGGTGAGCATGACTCTCTGCCATTCCCTCCTGTCAACCCACGGTTTGCTGGACTCGTCTCTATGCAGTCATCTCGAAGCAACCCCTGCGATGCGTCTGCATGTCCCTCACCCGGCGGATGGACTGTATCTGAGGGTGGTGGGCTCCCCACTCATTCCAATGCTTGTAAGGGCCCATTTCAAACACAAACTGGAAGCCACGGTAGCCTGGGTACTGGTAACCCACCCAGCTGTGTGGATAAGTGAAGAGAAACTCATGTAAACAACTGAACCTGCATGAATCCTCTTCTACGCTTACTATACCATTGTTGGCATTTGAATGGAGCTGAAATAAGTCATTTTGACCTTTGACCTTTAGGCCTCAAAGACTAATAGTTTGACGGGAAAAAAAAAAAAACTTGTAATGACTTACGTCCCACCGGTGACCTGAAGACTGGCAACACGATCCTGGAAGCCGTAAGACCACAAACTGGGAATATCCTCATCAAACACTTCCATCTTACGACCCTCAAAGTTTGGAAACTCAAACAAGCAGATCTTGTGGTCCTGGGGATCCTGTCATGTCCAAAAAGAAAAAAAATTCAACCATTGTGATTTTATTTTAGAGCTCTGAAGACATTAAAAGGTCATGTATAAGTTTTGCAACGATTCGCCCACTCCGTTCTGTTTATAGTACCAAAACAGTCAAGAGTGGCATGTCAGCTAATAGCAGCTTTAATCCAAAAATACTGCCTGTGGAATAAGTCTATAAATAAACTACTGCTACCATAAAAAGCACTCTCCTTTTTAAAAAAGATGAATGGACTCTAAAAAGAGAGACAAACAGCAGTGATCAGAAATCCAGTGCTTGCAACCAAAGCAGACATCCAAAACCCTTCTCACTCACCATGCGGACAGGCCTGACTGACATCATGCGGTCACACCTGTAGCTGTTGGACCAGGTGTCCCAGCGAGGATACTCTCCCTTCTCAAGGATGAACATCTCACCGTTCATATTCTGCTGCTCGTAACCCACCCATCTGGATAAACACACAGACCCAGTGGTGCTCAAACCCTGTTTGATAACACAAAGTGTGGCGGTATGTTTTGACGTCATCTTTAGTGACTTACGGTCCACTTTCTACCCTGATGGAGCCAATTTTTTCGAGACCCTTCTCAGACAGGTTACGACACTCGCCAAACAGGTCCACCCTGCGGCCTTGGAAGTTCTCAAATTCAAAAAGGTGTATCTGAAGGTAAGAAAACACCACAAGTTAAATATTTTTGAGCGACAATTAATTCTGTTGAGTGTTAGGAGAAATTACAAATCAAGATCTATTGACATACCTTTTGATTGCGTAGACCAATAGCAGAGTGGCTGCCAATGCTGCCCTGAGCACCCGAGTGAGACATGTTGAGATCTGGACAAAAAAACAAAACAAAGTCTGTTTGTCATTTCTTGTCTCAAGTACATATTTTTACGTATAGTTTAGTATGTAGTGTGTAGTATGTATGTATTCAAGTACATATTGTTATTTAACTCTAGACAAAGCAACTAGCACTGCTTGTATCAAGGCCTACAGCCAATATCATGTGTCAAAACTCAGTGAACTCAACAGAAGCAAAATAAGACATTTAACTGAGAGTACAATAACATAATCTTCTCTTTAAAGCTCCTGTAAGGACTTTTTCACTGGTTATGAAACAGACTGAAATAAACACCGATGCGTCTATATGATGTACAAATGCAAATGAGACCATTAGTGATGAGAGTGACAATTTTTACGCATTTTACGCAAAAAGTCAACAGGAGGAGATTTCATGTCAGTTGACACTATTTTAACAAAGATGAGATGAAATATAAGTGTCAGCACTTTGTCTACAGGGGGCGCCAAAATCAACACAGACAGAGTTCCCTACAGGAGCTTTAACTTTTTTGGAAACCAAATGAGCTCTATCTTTCTCATGTCTGAAATTTAAAGAGAAAATGTTTGAATAAAGGGTTTTTGGACTCGCTCACTCTTTGCTGTATTCGTTACAACTGTATGAGTTGAAATTTTTAAATACTTTTATTATTTAAAAACATTTAAGCTAAGAATTATTCATATTCTAGAAAAAAAACAATGGTGGCAGACTATATCTTCCATGTTAAAACTCAATTATAAGAAAAAATAGAAGACGTATACACACTCAAAATTTGAAAAACTGGGTTCTGGACAGAAACAAATTTATGAAGAAGAGGAGAAGTCCTTACACCAGAATTCAAAGATAATTTAATGAAGAATATCACTCCGAGACATTTTGGGTCATTTTCCCTCTGAAGAGCAACACCCTGAAACATCCCACTTTTAATTAAAATCATACAAAAAATAACTTTAAAGCCCATTTTCCATACCTTTTTTGGCCAAATGTGAATTTTAATGTCAGATTTTTATAGTGCTTTTTGTCAGTGACCTCAAAGCACTCTACATTGGATACATCATTCATTCACTCACACCTTGGTGGTGGTAAACTACCTTAGTAGTCACAGCTGCCCTGGGGCTGCCAGTTTCCGCCTACAGCCTCCACCACACGACACTCACAGTCATACACCAGTAGAGGACACACACACTGGGAGCAAGGTGGGTTAAGTGTCTTGTTCAAGGACACAACGGACAGACTAGGGACTACCGCCCCGAGAAAGTGAACAATTTCTAGAATGATGAACTTGTCTCAAAGCAAGTGAATTTATCTGGGCAGTTTCTTTCATCACAGTTTCACATAATCTTCCCTCAAAGTAGTGTTTTCTCAGGTAGATTTAAAAACACATCCCCTGAGTGACACCTTCCCATCCACTTTGGCTCAGCAGAACATGATGAGGCCAAATGATGCCCCAGCGTTTTGGCCAAGATTCCATCAACTCAGTCAAACATTGGGGTTAAAAGTAAACGAGAGATGATTTCCTGGCTCTGTTTTTAGAGTGTGATAGACAAAAAAAACATGAACTCCCCCTTTAACTCCTGTGAATTGAAGCAGTTATTTCAGAGATGATTCTCAAAAGTCAAAACTTACAGTTACAGTTGCAGGCTGGAACCTTTGGAGACAGTGATGGACACAGGCGTTGTCAGGGGGGGATATATATATACATTCACATCTAGCTTGAGTCTATATAGGCCGGATACTGACTCCTCATTGGCTCGGAGCTGTTTGGAGCATGGTGTAGGGTCAAAGGTCAGGCTGCTTATCTGTGGACTTGTGGTGCTGACTCGGCTGCCTGTTTTGTCGTCCGGCACTATTGTGGAGGGGGGGACGGGACACAGTCACTGCCATCAGCAGAAAGTTTTCTGACCATTTCACGCACACACACATCAAACACACACAAAGTGACTTCAGCAGGCAAAACTTTTAAATCTTGTCATTTATTTTCTCTTGGTTTTTCCCTCGTCCTCTTTCGTGATCTACCTTAACTTTCACTTTCATATATTCTCTCTCTCTCTCACTCTCTCTCTCTCTCTCTCTCCTTGTTCAGGCTCAGTGCAGCCGGTTCAAGCCTTTGAGCTCTGTGCTTGTAATGTGCTGACTGCAGGAGTGGTGTCCATCTCTCTTTTGTTTCCACAGGCCAATGTTAGACACTTTTTCTGCTTATTGTGGTGCTGGACAGTACAAAAAAAATTGAATAAAGGAAAAAAACCTACACATATCCACCTGTTATAACCGCGTACAATGCATTTGTACATGCACATGCACACTAATAGTAATCATGTGACCAAAACGCCGTACATAAAGTCAAATACCTTCAAAGTTTTGTTAATACAGGGGAAATTTGAGTCAGTACTGATTCTGTTATCCAGGTGTAAGTTTGGAATCTTTTAAATACAAAATCAAAATCTCATGCGCACATCAACACTCGTTCTTACTGCTGCCGATTGTATTTCTGTAATGCAGATAAAAGCCTGCAGGCAAATACTCGCAGTATGAACTTTTAAACGAGTTATCAGAGCATAGAAAAAGACCATGCAGGAAATGTCAGTTTTTATTTTAAATACAAAGACAAAAACAAGAGATTTGTCAGCAAATCTATTTTAACTGTATAAAGAACACAGGCAAGAAAAAAGCTAGGTCGCTGTCACTGTTACTGTTTTCATCTGAGCAAAAAATATACAAACTTAAAAAAATATATATAAATATATCTTGAACCCCTCCAGCAGTGTTATTGTTTTCTTTCCTGTTTAACCAATACTTAATAACCACCGGTGCTAGCACACAATGCCAATGTATAGGTCTGGCACTTGTGTTGAAAAAAACCACTGCAGGGTTTTTTTTCTCTCTTCCCCCACTTTTTCTCCTGTAGACTAGGATTTAGAATAAATCCCATGATTGAAATAGTGCCTAAGAATGCATTACAGAGGTTATTTCCACCTTCTAAATGTGCTTTCTCAGCAAATAGGTAACCCAGCAGAGATGGGTAACCTCTCATCATCTGTGTGGACGTGACTGAGATGTAAGTTTGCTAATACTTTGAAGAAAAGGGAAAAAAAAAAAGTTAAATTATGGATGCAGTTAAACTTCTTGGACTTCAGCAAATAAAGAAATCACTTCGATATTTGACAGCGCTTTCAAATTTGACCAATAGCTAAATTCAGATGTCAAAACAAGCTTCATTCAGCTACTTATGAGAGGGTATCAGCCTCTCCTGCATGCATCTGCATGTCTACGGAGTTATAACAAGATTACATAGCAGCAGCATTAGCTTGACTTACTGGCTCCCTGTCAGCTTTAGGATCCAGTTCAAGGCTTAATAAATTATTTTTAAAGCTTAACATGTGCTGGCACCGCCATGCCCCAGTCAAAGCTCTATGGTCAATGTTCAAGATGTTTTTGGATGTTCTAGGATGCAGACTGAAATAACAAAGGTTTGCAGTGGCTGCTGTCACTTTGTTGAACAGTTTGATATCAGAACTGTTCAGACCTTTGAAATTCTTACATCACTGTTTGGACTCACGTCTTTGTGTGGGATGATCTTTTCTTCAGCCAAGCTTAGCATTTGGATATTTTCATGTGCAACGGATTTAGCTCATTTTTGTGTTATTTATTGTTATTCGGCTTATTTTTGCCCTTTTATTGATTTTGTATTTTTAGCTTAAGTACTGCAGAGCAGTTACAGTTATGTGTGTGATAGCATGTAATTTCAGTTCCCCGACCTTTATTACTCTTAAATCCTGTTTGATTCTTTCTCAAAGTCAAATTTGAAAGTAACTTTGAATGAATTGATCACATCTAATTCAGTGTTAAGTTTTGAAGTTTAAAAGTGTAAAAGAGTGTTGCAGTTCAACATCCACCAATGGATTTTGTGAGGACATGTGGGAGTGTTTGCATTGTCTGCCTTCAGTGTATGAGTGACTTCATACCCGGGGTGTTACGTGTCTGTCTCTGTCCATGACTGTGTGTGTGCATGACTGAGCACGTCATACACACATGCTCATTCAGGAGGGGGAGGAAAGGTGAAAGAACAGGAGCTGTGGGGTCAGTCTGAGGTGGACATGACGCTCAGGTTGGACACAGAGCACAGCACAGAGTCAGAGCTCAGTAAGTACACTATCAAAATACTGAATACGTTCTTTATTAGACATTAATTTCATTTCATTTCATTTCATTTATTATTTTGTCATGCACAGAAAGTGCCCAGCCCAAGTGGGCTTACAAGACACCAAAGAAAGGACATATTATAGCAACAAGATGACGGACAGATAACAGGCATAACAAATTAAGCATATAAGCACTCCTGACATGTTTGTGATTTTTAGTGTTATTCAGTTGTCATTGAGTCCAGAGATCAACAAAGGAAAACAAAATCACATAAGCCTCCTGTGATTTCTAAATGATGTTCTGTCTCTCTTCCTTAATCTGATGAGATGTTTTCTGGACCAGCAACCATTCCGGTATTGGGGGTCCAGCCCTCTGGTCATGGCTCATTTGAAACTTGTGCTTATCTGCACTGGGCACGGTGCCCTCCATCCAGTCTCCCCTGTAGCAAACTAAAGCCCAGCAGCTCAGAGCAGAACAATGACTGGAACAGCAATGCGCTGACTCCTGCCCAGACCTACAGGCCCAGCTGCTTTTCAGCACCAGCATGTATAAATAGGTCCGTTTACTCTGGGGTCAGGGCGTCGTTTTTGTGGAGCCCCCCTCTGAGCACTGCACTGCTATTCTTTGGGGCCAGTCAGGTAAGCCCTCCGTCCAAATCTCATTCATTCTATAGAAAGGTTCAGACCATTGTTGCTGTACATTACTGTGCCTTTTGTCTCTTTTGTTTCTGCTGAGCCACATGGATGTATGGACTGAGGTCAGACATGCAAATCCTATATACAAACTGACTGTGTAGGGGCTGATGAAACAGCCTCTGGCCTTCACTGCTAGCATGTGTGAGCAGAAAGCTAAAACATTTGTCATATATTTACTTTTTCATATGAAGGCCTAGATCGTTTCTAAGGCGCCATGATACAACAGTTAGTTCCAAAAAGCTCATCTGACGAACATGAAGTATCCCTTGACTGCTGATTTTGCGTTCAACAAGAGGCCTTTAATTATGACTCTAGTTCAGGTGGTTTTAACACATTTGAATAACATTACAGCAGACAGACGTGCAAAGACGTATTTGAACTGTTTTCCCTGATTAGCTTTTGAATATATGAACATAAATGTGACTCTCCCGACTCTCTACACTGCAGGCAAATCAGTTTTGAAACACACAGTAGCATGGCTCTGAATAATCCTAACCCAACGGGACCATGGAAGGTGAGTGGGATGTCTCACCCCGTGCGATTCACAAAAAAAAGATGACTTTTTGTTTTAATTTCATGCCTGGCCTGATGGTGTCAATGGTGTGTGTGTCTGTACACACATCAGTGTGTGCGCATGGCATGTGCATGCTACATGTATGCATTTGTGTCCTCCTCTCCAGATCACAGTGTATGACCAGGAGAACTTCCAGGGCAAGCGGCTGGAGTTTACCTCGGCCTGCCAGAACGTCATGGAGTGTGGGATTGACAATATCCGCTCCTTGAAAGTAGAGTGTGGAGCGTAAGTCAGACAAAAACTGCTAGAAGAATATTTCAATAAAATATATTCAGTTTAAATTAGAAATATACCATCAAAATAAACCTAATCAAATATTATTGATATGTCATTTTTAACTGTCAGTCTTTTTTTAGAAATGATGTATTGACATTTTAAATGGACTTTGGAGTCTACTATAGGCAACTAATTTGATTTGTTGGTGGGCAGCTATCTGCCTCAGAAGGGGAGAGACAGAAAGGGTGAAAAATAGGGACAGAAAGACAGCAACAACATCAACATCAGATAAAGGAGACAAGGAGTCAAACAGGTTCACTGCAGCAAGCTGTTTGCAAAAACAATACGCTGTAATGATAAGTAACCTGGCAGTCACGCCCACTGCAGTATAATTAGGGACTGATCCAAAGCAATCTCAGGGCCAGTCACTTGAAGCTTTCGCACACAGGAAAGTTTTAAGTCTTTTCATAGAAGTAAGAGAGGGTGTCTGTTTCTAAGATTCAAACCTGAGAGGGGCCTAATATCTGAGGGCTCTGCCTCATACAACTTTTGAAGACTTTGGGTACCATTAGCAGGCCTGCATTCTTTAAATATAATGTTCTGGTGAAACTAGAGCTCTTTAAAGTATGATTTCGCTTTCATATTTTAAGCTTTGCAGATGAGATGATGGTTCTAAATAGTATTATTGATTAAAAGAAGCCAGTGCAGTAAATTCAAAGGGGAAAACTCTTATTTTTTTCATAGTTTCTGTCAGCACAAATGCAGCAGTGTTCATTTTTTTAACTGACACTAACCTGATCGTTTTTGGTGTGATGGTTTAACACATGTCCCCTGATTTCTGTGACACAGCTGGGTAGGATATGAGCACTCCAGCCTCTGTGGACAGCAATTTGTGTTGGAGCAGGGAGAGTATCCACAATGGGAAGCTTGGAGTGGCAGCAACGCCTACCACATTGAGAGGATGATGTCTTTCCGCCCCGTCTGCTCAGCTGTGAGTCCTTCTCCAAAAAGCTCTGTCTCCTGCTGTTTGACTCATTACATGTCTCCAGAAAGATTCAGAGTTTAAAAACATTAAATAAAGAGTCAACAGGATACTTAAAGCCAGCTGGATGCAGATAAAATAAGAATATCGAGCTATGTGATCTTATTTACTGGGATGCAATCTTTAACTTCCTAAATTTGAAAATTTGCAGATTTTGGACTATTTGCACTATGACTGGGCTTTTCTTATTGTGTTTCTTGTCACTGCAGAACCACAAAGACTCCAAAATGACAGTGTTTGAATTGGAGAACTTCATGGGGCGCCAATGGGAGCTCAACGATGACTACCCCTCTCTTCAGGCGATGGGCTGGGCCAACCATGAGATTGGATCCATGCAGGTTCAGAGCGGCGCGTAAGTTTAGACTTCTACTCAGACAGACTACTTTCCATGAGTTCCTAACATTTGACTGCTTTCATTTACCATTTTTCTTTTTTTTTTTACCACTGCTTTCCTCTCCCCTTCAGCTGGGTGTGCTACCAGTTTCCAGGCTACCGTGGTTACCAGTATATCTTGGAGTGCGATCGTCATGGCGGCGAATACAAACATTACAGAGAGTGGGGCTCCCATGCTCAGTCCTTCCAGGTGCAGTCCCTGCGTAGGATCCAGCAATGAGACCTGCAGCCTCCTCTCGAAATCCTCCTACTCTTTACCTCCTCCACCTCTAACTCCTCCTTCTCCTCTTCTTTCCTCTACCCGATCATTCCAAGCTTTAGCCAGCTTCATCAGGCCGTATATGGCTCATACTTTTTAGTGCTTTACGAATAAGATGTTTGCTGCACTTTTGTTCTTTTCTGTTGCCTGATGAAAATAAAGAGAGGGAAGAGCAGTCACAGAGAGAAGCCCCTAACTGGTGATGTGTCCTGTTGTCAATGCTCCTCTTATTTGTGGATTAACATGGTAGTGAACAGTGATTGATATGGAAGTAATGGGCAACTTGAAATAAACAGGCATGCAAGATTCTGCTGCTAAACTCTATGGTACCTGGTGTGATTATTTTTGGTCTTGCACTCTTGATGATCATAATTGAACAATTGCAGTAAACTGTTATAGTGGTTGAAAAAAGCACACCACTCCAAGTCTTGTGAATGTCTACACTGTGGCAAAGAGTTGAGGTCCAAATAAAGTAGCTCAAACAGGGGTTTTGAGTCAAAAAACAAACATTAACAAATCTGACTCACAAGTTCACAATTTCAACCAATCAAATTTGTTCCCTGCAAACAAAAAGTCCCTAATGCTTTCTTTAAACGGTGTAAACATATTATTAATTTTACATATTGTGCAAAGGCTTTGGCCTTGTGTTAGGCCCAGAGTTTTTTGAGCAGTAAATAAGATGGGCTGCATTTATAAAGACTACCCTGAATTGTGATGAAACACAGTTCTAACAAATGAACTGGCAAACATATCCTATATCAGCGTACAATAGTCTGAGTGCTTCAAGTAAAGCTTGGCCATACTTACAACCTTTTGTATGTGCCAGAAAAGCCAGAAAACTCATTTTTTACCAAAAAAAGTTCAAATCATTCAAATATCCAAATAGCCTACAAAGTATAAAATGTTTGGGTTTTGAAACAGTCTTCAAAGGATGCTCCGGCGTAAAATTAAGTTAGGGTCAAACACACCTTAACACTGAGTTAGACACCCCGTCAAGAGATGAATGTTGCCGACCGCTAGCAAAGAGAGTAAACACAACTCACCCACTGTCTTCCAGCAGTTGCTTGTTCGTACGGCAAGTCCATCGACCGCAGGGGGTGACACAGCTCAAGGAAGAACATTTATGATCATTTCCTTATGGAAATGCAATCAGACCGAGACACGAAGGCAGAAGAACTACTGCATCTGCAGTGCAAAATGATCAATATGGTGATTATTACTTCAAGGAAATGATAAAGTAATGATCATAAATGTTCTTCCTTGAGCTGTGTCACCCCGCTGCAGTCCGTAATGGACTGGCCTGAGGTCTCGCTACAAACAAGCGGCTGCTCGAGGAGAGTAGGTGAGTTGTGTTCAGTCTCTTTGCTAAAGAAATCAGGCAAAGCTAAAAAGATGTTCAGTGGCTAGTACTCTGGCTGGGACTCTATGTACTGTTAATGAAGTTAGGTGCTGTTCTGAGCATTATTTGTAGCTATAGAGTGGTGTTTTGGTTGAGGTTTGTTTATGGCTTCTCAGACCGCTGTGTATTGCTTTCTGCGGTCGTTACTTAAGTTGGTATAACTAGACAAGCAAGCGGTCGGCAACATTCATCTCTCAAGGGGTGTCTAACTCGGTGTTACGGGATGCTTGACTATAACTTAAATTTACACCGGAATATCCCTTTAACACTATTTGAACCTTGTTATAAAATTAGAGATATTTGTAACCTCTGTAAGTGAGGGAGTAAACAGTTAAATTGACCTCAGAAGTTCGTTCATATTTCATTGTTTAATTGCAAATGAATATAGTAACAGTAAATGTAAGGCAAAAACGACATTGTATCCGGTAACGTCGTCTGCTCACTTTAAAGTGACGTAGACTTGTAGCCACGCCCCTTCTGAGATGAACGGAAGTAGATGGAAACAGGCAGGCCAGACTCTCTCCGACAGGGAAAATACGTTTGTCACCGGAGAGGCAAACACTCATGAATTATTCGGCATTAGTGTTTGTTGTTTAATTTAAAACCCCGAATGGTGTAAGAGCAGAAGAAAACATCACCATGGTACACCTCTGGGAACACTTCCTCACGACGCCGAAATTACGGGGGTCACTTTTCATCCTTCTTTTTTGTCTCGGTGTCTCTCTTGGTGACGACAGGACACGGAGCGATGGCCCCACGGCGGGGGAAATGGTCGAAACTTACAACACATATTACAATTACATTGCACTTACTGGACGTTTACGCTCTTTAGCCGCGAGCTGCCCTCACATAGCTGCCCTGTCTAGTATAGGTCAGTCCGTGGAGGGCAGGGAGCTGTGGGTGATGCGGATCACCTCGGACCCCAACACAGACGCACCGTGGAAACCCAAATTTAAATACGTGGGGAACATGCACGGAGACGAAACCGTGTCCAGGCAGGTGTTGATGTACCTTGTGGAGTACCTGCTGACTAAGTACGGGGAGGATCCGCGTATAACTGAGCTGGTGAACACCACGGATATTTACATCATGCCCAGTATGAACCCTGACGGCTTTGAGAAGTCCAAAGAGGGGGACTGCTTAGGACAAAACGGGGGACGGAACAATGCCCAAGACGTGGACCTCAACAGAAGTTTCCCAGACCAGTATGATGGCCCGTCTAACAACCCAGATAACGTGCCCGAAGTAGATGCTGTGATCAGATGGATCCAGGAGAAAAAGTGAGTGTTTTCCCCCCTGCATGGTCTCCTCAGAGCCCCATGATCCACAGCTGTTCGGGATCCCAGACAAACTGTTCCCCTTGGCCCAGATTGAAATTAATCAGTAGGCTTAACTTCATCTCAAACATATTAATATGTATCCCACTGTGGAGAGTGATAAGCACTTATATCGATGACCAACTAAAGTCTTTGTCTACTACTCTTTTTTTCTATGTAGACCAAAGGGGAGGCAGGAGGTGCTCATAACATACTGAAGGACCACTGTAGCTGGACAACACAATGAGCAGGGCTGACATAACTGGCTTATTTATAGAGCTGTTCAAGAGACCAACATAGAAAAAAAATGATTATCGAGTTACATATGTCCTCTTTGAGGGTGTAGGGGAGTGTGGGGTAAGTTGAGCCACTTCCTGTTGCTTGGAAATGGTAAGAGAAATTGATCATGTGACCAAATATTTAGGAGATGGGCATCAATTCATGGAGTCTGTGAAGGTTAAAAGCACATTGGTGAAGGGGTTAGACATTTATTTAAAAAAAATAAAAACTTTTTTCAGTCTTGAAAGTGAATTTAGTCTGTCATAAGTTTTATTAGAATGTGTTCAAACCAAAAAAGAGCATTTTAAATTTGTTTTATACATCAATTGTGGTATCTATGAGCTAAAACATGAGCATAAAAGTCCACCATTTTAGCTCAGAGGACTAATAAAGTCATAATCGTAGTTCTGGGGTAAGTTGATCCAGTGGCTTAACTGAGAAAGTAAAGGAGTCTGATGAGAGGATCAGAGTTTCAGTTCAGATTGTTGAAAAGTGTTACTTTTTCTCTTCAAGAATACAGCTGTGAATGTTCTGAATCACTTAAAGGCATTCTCATGTTAAAATGACTTTTTACAAAACAGCTTTTTAGCAGTTATATGCAATAATAATAAAAAGAATTATTGCACATGTTGAATAGTGTATGATAGATTAAAAAATACACATGATTTTGAAGAACTGACTGTTATTTAAGGAGAGAGAAGGTGACTTACCCTTATACCCCATACACGGGTAAGTTGACCATAAGAGACCACTTTTTTGGCATGCTTCATTATCAAGACAGTTATGTTTACACTCATTCTGTTGGTTTGCAGGGATGAACAACATCTTGAAATATATACAGATACATAATTCAAAAACAAAACTATGATTGTCTTGATGTAGTGATCCCAAATATGAAAAATGGCTCATCTTACCCCATTCTCCCCTATACCACTCAAAGAGGGAACTACTACTGACTGCCATGGTGATATCAAGCATCTCCAAAGAAATACTGAAGAAAAGCCATTAGCTTCAGCCCTATTCTGGATAGTGACAAACATTTACACCAATGGTTACATCAGTTCCCCTCAGTCTTCGTCTTTGTCGGTGCAGGTGTGGCTCATAATGAAGTTACAAGAACTGCTGTCCTGGAATGTGCTAATGGCATGTTCTGTCATACCAAGATTCAGACTGTCAACCTTGCATGCAAACATCGTAGTGTGTTTCACGACTGCTATGAGAAAACACTGTAACATTTCCTTCCAACATTTGTCCCTGCTAAATCCATCTGCAGTGTTCTCTCTTTCTGCAGACCCAGCGTAGCACTGAGAACACCCACATGCACTTCTGTACATTGAATGAATGTACTCATGCAGCCTGAATTGGACATAACCCTGAGTTAAAATCTATTTTAAGCCAGATCCCCTCCTTCCTCAAGCTCTGAAAACTCATGCTCATTGTGTTTGTTCAGTTTAGAGACTCTTTCTCTTTTCCTCTTTGTCTCCAGATTTGTGCTGTCAGGGAACCTGCATGGCGGCACTGTAGTTGCCAGTTACCCGTTTGATGACTCAGCCTCCCACCAGCGTCAGGGCCACTACAGCCAGTCTGCGGATGACAGCCTGTTTCGCCACTTGGCCTTGGTGTATTCACAGCACCATCCTGTGATGAAAACTGGTCACCCAAACTGTCCTGAAGAGACTGACGAAACTTTTCAGGATGGCATCACCAATGGGGCGCAGTGGTATGATGTACCTGGTAAGATGGCCGAGTTCCTGAAATGCTTACTTTAGTGTTTGAGATTTTTCTTCATCTGGAAAGTCCGATGTCGTAACCACTGATATGTGCCCATCTGGAAGCCAAGAAAGTTACTTTACTGTTTCACTGTGTGCAGTGAATGTGGGTTTGTACAAGTTACGACCTGTTTGAGGAGACTCATACTGAAATGTGAATACAAACTCCTTCTCTCTTGATGTAGCAACACATAAGCTATTATCAGAAAAAAAGGTTTAATTACGCAATGCAATTGGAGCTAATCTTTACAAGTTCCAAAAGCTGAAGTTTGACAAATAAATGCAGCTTGAAGAGAGCATTTTTACTTATCAAAGCTCCTTAAAGGCAGATTGATGCAATGTAATAAACCCTGTAAAAAGGCAGTATAGAGTTCAGTGTTGAACTTGTCACAAACAGTGTCGAGTTACTGTGAGCAGGACAAGGCTGACAGTCGTCATTCACAACACTGGTAATGTCATATATTCCGCCATCATTTCAGTCACACACTTAGACTTTTTGAAGCACCAAACACTCTGTAACAGCTTTAAGTTGGCTAGGCATCAGAATGCTGATGAGTGTGAGCTCAGAGTTTTAGTCTATCACATCCTGTAATAACTCTGAAGTGTCAGAGCAGTAGAATTTGTTCCACAACAGCTTACTCTGAGCGTTTGACGATTTGCTTCTTGGCTTGTTTCATGGTCTTTGATAAAATGTCTCTTTTTTTTTTTCCAGCTTTTATTTTCCCTCATGATTCCCACCTCTCTCAGGTTCAGTCAGAAACAGCTCTTCTCCTCAGGAGTTTGGCAGAAACTTGATCAGCACACTGTCTGCTTTTGTTATGCTGGTCTGACCGCGGGGTTGAGAGGTGGTGATTTTTGCAGCTTCAGGTTACCACTGCTGTTTCTATTCGAACATTGTTTGTTGTAATATATTACAGGCGAAGCTACAGTGATTTTCCTCAGTTGATTTTACAGTAAAAAGCGAGGAGTTGGCCCGTTTATAATTATTGAACTGGACTGAAGTTCAACTTCCCTGATTTTTATCTTATTACTTAATGTAAATTTCTTCCTGTTGCGTAAGATGCTAGTGTGCACATTTCCTGATTTCATTAGATTGCTTTAAACAGTGTTAGTACCAGATGTTTTTGACTTCATGCTGAAAACAATGCCCACACTTTTCACACTGTTTACCGCCTCAAGCATGTAGAGCTGTATGTCATTACCACAATGCTGAGCTCACAGAAACGATCTCTTCAAGACCGAAACAGACAGCAGGAAGGTAAACCAGGTGCATGAATGATGCTTGTGTCTATCTGACTTGTGTCATTGGTCTGAGCGGACACAATGTCAGCGCTGCTAAAACTGGGCTAATGGCGGATGACGTTGGCGGTCAGGACTTTGTGTGTCATAATGAGGGCCAGGCAGAGAGCCAGCACAAGGAGTCAGGAACAGGAGCGTTTTTGTTTGGCAGTCAAGGCTTGAAATAATAATCTAGCATGAAATGTTGTGTTGACTCTTAATCTCGTGACACATTCTAGCTGCTGAGTTAAGTGAACTTTACTCATGTACTGCAGTTTTGTTCTACACTCTCATGATATAGGAATATACAATATGTTGATTGTTTTTCTCAGCTGTCTCTCTCTTCTTTCGCTCTCATGATGTCAGCTCTGTTGTGCTATTTTCTCGCAGGTCAGGGTGTAAAAGGTTTATGGGTCACTAAAGCTAGAGGCTTAGTTATTGAAATCAAGTACGTGTTGAAAGAAACACCCGACTACAAGGGAACAAGGTCCAGGATGTGGTTTAACTGTGCGAAAATACAGTACTCTTCTTTTGTTAATCTCAGGTCTCACTGGATCCTGAGTAAACGGACTGAACGTTGATGCTGCGCCTCTGTCACATGACAGTTTTTTCTTTCGTCATAGTTTACTTCTCAAATATCACTTAAATGTTTCATTTGAATATCACTAAAATAAGCATAAGACATCTGGCGTCTTGCCCTAACTTTGGCCCCATTGTTTTACTGTAGACTTCCTGCTATGTTCAGGGTGTGTCACTGGATCCGGGACATAGGCAGGATATGTCAGGTTGGGTTTCTGTCTTAGTGTTTGTCATGTTCCATCACCATATGGGATGTGTTTGCTTTACTGCAATGGTGCTTGATTGAGTTTAAACTGCTTAAAAGTCACTGAGCAAAGGGTGAGGCCTTTAAGTCTTGTGACCCATAGAGAGCAGCTCAGAGCTGATTGTCTTGAGTAGGGTTTAGATTTCCACACACAGTCTCGTGTTATTTGCTCGCCACTATGAGGTGATATTGTTTGGCAGCCACGTTTGGTTTGGTTGACATAGCACCCTGCTGACTCTGCTGGGGGGTAAAGCCTCTAATGAGTTACCCAGACACATCTCTACATACCAGCCCTCATTCAAAATAAGCTCAGAGGGCATGGTCCTGTGTGTGTTTGCACCCACCTGCTTAGCACTGAAGGATCACTCTGGTAAAGGGGATATCTAGGGAAGGGGACGTGTGAAAAACACAGCCGAAGAACTTGCCTGAAGTGACTTTTTCACATGTTTTCCTCTGAGGTTGCCAATTCTATTTTCCACTGAAAGAACCTGGCAGCCACACACGCTTGCTAAGACAGAAGAACAGCTGTAGTTTGACCATGGGTGTCTCTGCTGTATTTTGGGTGCTCTGCTGTCGGAGCCAAGGCGTCTACCACATCACAGCCTTCTGTTTTTCCCCTTAGTTTCCAGCGTAGCAGTGTCATTTCCTTTACTGCAAAAGCTCCTTTTTTGTCAGTCAATTAAGTCACTTTCAATAAAAAATCTTATCATGCGGCAAGCAGGAGAGATTTTTTTAAAAGGGCACAAGTACAGGGTCTGTTACTTAAACCAAATGGTAATCAGATGGGTTAAATCGTCAAACCTTTATTTTTTCAGTTAAACAGAAAAGAATTGTAGAAATACTTAACAAAAGAGAAGTGTTTTATGGTGATTTTGGGAGGGAGAGAGGGCAGCAAGGAGGTTTGGTTGTGAATTGAAAAGCTGCATTCATTATGATTAATCTCCTTAAAGTAAAGTAACTTTGTATTGTGAAGTTCTGTCTTTCTAAATATCAGATGTTTGAGTAACTGACTACATTTATGTTGGCCTGAGAGAAACAGTCACCTACGCCAAAGAATGTGCTTGTTTATTTGTGTCTCAGGCTTTTGTGCGCAGATGTTTGTCTATCCGTGGTGGTGTGTTTGATGTCCTCTCCATTCTGACTGGCTGAAGTCAGGTTGCCCTGCTGCAGTTATTTGTCAATGTTTGGTGGTTGAGTCCTTTCACTTTTACTGCCACAGAGTGGCAAATGGTGGCTGTTTTACTGGGTTTTTGTTGCCGCCCAGCAGGCTGTCATGGCAACCCTCCAGCCCGGGAGCCTGGGCGCCCGCTTTCGCCCCACTGGATAGTAGTGCAGAGAAGCCTGCAGTCATGCTTGTCTCTCTGTTTGCCACACTAAAGGGCTAGGTTGGCCTGCAAAGTGCAGGTGTCATGGCTTGATTCCACATTAAACACAATCTTTCAACTGAGCGGCTCAAGCCTTCCCAGACTGAGCCGTTTGAGTGGCCTAACACCCGCCAAGTCACGTTTAGGAAAAAGGGTGTATTTTAGAAAATCTCACATATTAGACAGAGAAATCACCGGTATTATATCTCTTTGTTTATACAACATTGTATTATATGGTGAAGCTCTACCTGACTTGTTTATTAAGTTGTTGGTCTGTTGTCTAGGTGGGATGCAGGACTATAACTACCTCTATGGAAACTGTCTGGAAATCACCATGGAGCTGAGCTGCTGCAAATATCCCCTAGCTACTGAGCTCCACAGAGAGTGGGACCTGAACAGGGAATCACTGCTAGCCTATATTGAACAGGTGGGTGTTCATTTGACTTGATGACAAATAAGCATTTGTTTTAATGAGCACTCAGATTATTGTATATTTTAAAGTATTACACCACAATCAAAATCTACCTGATGTCCTCTGCCTTTATGTGAGATGGTTTCATGATTAAAACTGCTTTCTTCTAGATCCACATTGGTGTTCGTGGTTATGTGAAAGAGGCCGTCAATGGCACTGCTCTTGCAAATGTCAGCATTGTGGTGGAAGGCATCCGTCACAACCTGACAACAGGAGAGTATGGGGAGTTTTACCGACTCCTAATACCAGGAACATACAACATCACAGCCGCAGTCTCAGGGTGAGACATACCACTGAACTTCATTTGCATAGCAGGTTTTCAAAATCAGGGCTTGAGCTTTGAAGGAATGCTAAATAATAGATCTTTGAGCCTTGACAGGTCAATAACTACACAGATGTAGTATGAAATTTACTTCCTCTTATGTTTACAGTGTAACTCTTTGACTGAAATAAAGAGCGATTAAGAAGGAAGCTGCACCAACCAGTTTTTATCTTGCAGCATCTGCAGTGTTAAGTTTGCCGTTTCCTGGTCCAGAAGAAAACCTCAAACACGTGTCTTTCTTCTGTTCACAGATACACACCAATGACAGCCCAGGGCGTCCAGGTCATGGAGGGTAAAGCCATAGAGCTCAATTTTACTTTGGCACCAGTGGTCAGAGATGCTGCCGGCAGCACCCCTATCACCACATCGTCCATGCCATCCACTAAAGATCCAAAAACCTCCACCCCCACCATCATTAACACCTCCACCTTCGCCCAGACCAACACAAATGCACCTAAAGGGAACGACAATAGTACTCCTGTGCTTCCAAAAGAAAATCAGCCCATCCAGCCGCAGGAGTTTCGTCACCACAACTTCGCTGACATGGAGCTGTTCTTACGCAAGTACAGCAGCGAGTTCCCTTCTATTACCCATCTGTACTCTGTAGGAAACTCGGTGGAAGGCATGGCGCTGTATGTGATGGTCATCTCAGACAACCCTGATGTCCATGAGCATGGTATGTACCTCAAGGTTACTGCAGCCTAGACAAGATATGAAGAACTTAATCGATCCCTGAAGGGAAATTCAATAACTGTCAATGTCAATAAAACTTTAACTATTACAAGTTTTCTCTTTAATTTCACTTCCTTGTGTTTCTATGTCAGGTGAGCCAGAGTTCAAGTATGTGGCCAACATGCACGGTAACGAAGTGGTGGGGCGAGAGTTAATGCTTAACCTCATTGAGTACTTGTGCCGCAACTATGGGACGGACCCGGAGGTCACAAAGCTGGTCAACAATACCCGCATTCACATCATGCCCTCTATGAACCCTGATGGTTATGAGGCAGCCACTGAAGGTAAGAGGACATTAATTTGTAATCTCAAGACTCCATCCTGAGACCAGTGTGAGGAGGAGTATTTGGTGCACACGTTCCCCCAACTTGGCAAAACTGGAGCCCTGTTATTATTATTCTTATGTTGTGGGGTTTTTTGTCCTCCCCTGGACCAGGTGAAGCTGATGGCCTATTAGTGGCTTCACCTGGGGAAGACAAAAACGTAACAAGAGACACAAACAAACAGCCGTAACAGAGGCAGATACTTAATCATGTGTCCACACAGGTGTTATCTGTTTCGCTCTTGGCAAAAGAGCACACGCATCATTATAGAGATACTGTAATTTGATCTCCTGTCTTACATTCCTCGAGTCTATGCTGCTGATGTTATCAAGTGTACAGCTGTCCTGAATGAAACAGGGCTCACAAAGTAACCAGACCACAAGTTAGTGCCTGTGTTTTTGAGAACTATGTAGGGTAGGGGTTAAAAGATAAGAATTTTAAGCATTTTAAGACAATACAGATTCCTAGAAGAGGAAAAAAAAGAGGATGGAACAAAACAATGACATCACATCAGAATAAATACAGATAAAATGATGAGAGGCAGTCAGTAACCAATAAATAAACCAATAAATGAGATGATAAGCAAGCAAATAAATGAAATAACTGTTAAACTTATTCATGTGCACCATTTTGCTTCAAGAACTCCTCTTCCTAAATATGCAAATACACGTTAGCTTCTGCTATTGTCTAACAGGAAGTAAACATGAAATGGAGCTGGGCTAGTTTCCCTCAGCACGCTGTGGTATCAAACAGAGATGTCTGCCAACGACAACTTACCGCTTCTGTCTGTTTCTTCACAGGCGATGTAAAGGGCTACAGAGGACGCAACAACAGCAACAATTTTGATCTGAACCGTAACTTCCCCGACCAGTTTGTCACCATCACTGAGCCCAGACAGCCAGAGACCATAGCTGTGATGAACTGGCTGAAGAGCATCCCCTTTGTCCTGTCAGCCAACCTCCATGGAGGTAAAGTGTCCGATTGTTAATTAATGGTTGGATGCTATCAGTGTCAAAGCTGGTTTTTGACGGCAAGCCTGAGAGTGTTACTGCAGGCGACCCTTAGTTAACACAGGCATGTTTTGTCTTATCTTATTTGTGTTGTAACATGAAGGTTCCTTGGTGGTCAACTACCCCTATGATGATGACAAAAAAGGGACGTCTGAATACAGCCCGTCCCCTGATGACAAAGTCTTTCAGCAGGTGTCCAAAGCTTACGCACAGGTAACTGGACGCTGTGTCCTTCAGCTGGGATGAAGTCTGGGTTTGGATAACGAAAAGACCGTTGAAACCTGAACAAAAAAGAGTTTTTCCAGAGTTTTCACTTGTGTGTTGTTGCTCATGCAGGAGAATCCCATGATGCACTTAGGGCACCCATGTGAGGACCTGTACCCTGAGGAGTATTTTCAGGATGGCATCACCAATGGTGCCAATTGGTACAATGTTCCTGGTATGTTTCCATCTCCTTCTCTATCTATCGACATAAAATTTCATCTATTTCTCCCACAAACCAAAGACTTCTTTTTGAATTTGAGTTTTCCAATAAATATATTTTATCTGGTTGTGATAACTAGCAGACATATTATTGACAGATTTGATTCAGTTTCTTAAAAAAAATTTGGTCTGCATATTTGTAATTATTCAAATAAAAATCTTGATCAAGCTACTGCAGTTGTAGGCTTTCATTAGATCTTAAACAATGTTCATAATATTAAAATTTTGCTGAAGAAATTTTTATTAATTCCCTGAGATATTGGCTTTGATTTCTGACCAGAGGTATAATTAGTGGCAGGGAAGCAGGCTGCACCATCTTACCCTGGAGCCATTATTTATTTGTGCTCGAGGGTTGCAGCAGTCAAATAAATCTTCTACTCGTGGTTTAAAATATAAGCTTTTGGGCTCTTTTGTCTACAGGTGGTATGCAGGACTGGAACTACTTAAACACCAACTGTTTTGAGGTGACCATCGAACTGGGCTGTGTGAAGTACCCCATGGCCAAAGACCTGCCGCAGTACTGGGAACAAAACCGTCGAGCCCTGCTTCAGTTCATCCAGCAGGTAAAAACATCGTCTTTTTTTCTGCTTCTGTTTACTCTCATCATTTTTGCATCCGCCCATATCTGTGTAAATATGTCTGTGTGTAGGTCCACAATGGTGTAAAAGGCACAGTGTCAGACATCAGGGATGACACAGGGATTCCTAATGCCACCATAAGTGTTGAGGAGATAGACCACAACATCATGACGGCTCATACTGGAGACTACTGGAGACTTTTGGCACCTGGAACTTACTCCATCACCGCCTCTGCCCATGGGTGAGATTAGGATTTCAGAGGGAGGAAAATAAGATAATTTCTCTCTTTGTTTCTCTTATTACCTCTGATAATATTCCCTCTTGTTTCTTGTAATGTTGACTCAATCAAATTCTCTCTTCTGCAGTTATAAACCCGTGAGGACCTACGCCACTGTGCCCAGGGATGGCGTAGAGATTGTGGACTTCAAATTGACACGCATACACTCAGACCAAAACGGCCACTCCTCTGCTGGTCCCCTGCCCACGGAGAATCCGTCTGAGAAGGCATTCCAGAGCTTAATTAAGGACCTCTCTTTAGGCCAGGGTTTGGAGCAGCTGGTCAAAAGTACAGACACTAAGAGCAGCTTCCGCTACAGACGTTACAAGGAGATGTCAGACTTTGTGAGAGGCCTTACCCTTAACTTTCCCAAGATAACATCTTTACGCAGGTGGGCAGGTTTTACTTCTCCCCTCTCTTGAGTTTATCCAAACATAAACATTTCATGTAATGCTTTTATACCTCCCTAAACTCGTTACTGTCAGATCTTCTCTGTGCTGCTTTATTTTCTTATAATTGTGTATTTATGTTTTTTTATTCTCTTCTTTGTCTCCAGGTTGGGACAGAGTGTTGAGTTCAGGACCATTTGGGCTTTGGAAATCTCTAATAAGCCGGGACAAGCTGAACCATCAAAACCCAAGCTGCGTTTCTCAGCAGGAATCCATGGTAATGCCCCCGTGGGCACAGAGCTCCTGCTGGAGTTTGCTGCCTTCCTGTGTATCAACTATGGCAAGAACCCAGCCATTACCAGGGTGAGTACTCCCCTGAGAAAATAGGCTGACGAAAGAAACTTCATATGTGTCAACTTTATCACCATAAGGTTACTCTTACACTGAAAAGCAGCAGATTTTTCTGTAAAAAATATGGATAATTCTCTGAGAGCAAGAGCAGTAATCACAGTATGTAAGGAAATCATTTAGGTCATTAAGGATTCTGTCTTTAATCTCTCCTTCCAGCTGGTCAATGAGACCCGTATTGTTATCGTGCCATCCATCAACCCAGATGGGCGAGAATTGGCTATTGAGAAGCAGTGCGACTCCACTCAGGGCCTGGAAAACGCTCATGGGAAGGACCTGGACACAGATTTCTTTGGTTAGTTAGACACCATAGAATTTAACCAAGTCTGTTATTTAATAAATGAATGTCTTTACTTGTGCGCTCACAATCCCACTTGTTTCCCTCTTTTTTTAAGGCAACGCGTCACAACGATTCCTGGAGGCCCAACCAGAGACCAGAGCCTTGATGGACATGATTGTAGATAAAAGTTTCACACTCTCTGTAGCCCTTGATGGAGGCTCCCTGGTGGCGACTTATCCTTATGACAAGCCTGTGCAGCCTGGTAAAAACACTATACAGAACTCTTCTTTTTAATGATATGAGTTTTCATCAACTCCAAGTTAGACACATTTTTAAACTCCTGTAAAGCCGTTTTTATCCTCTCTCTTTTTTTTTCTAGTTGAAAACGAGGGAACATTGAAATACCTGGCGAGTGTTTATGCCAACAACCATCCCAAGATGCACCTGGGGGACACTGGATGTTCAAATAATGGCCAGAGTATGTCGTTTAAACACACTCCATAATTTTACATGACACGCCCGTGTCTAATAAAAGTTGTTCTCAAGATTCCAGAGGTTTTTATCTCAATAAACTTTTCTCTTACTCAGTCGGCAACATCCCAGACGGAGTCATGAGGGCAGCAGAGAGACAAAGTCACATGGGGAGCATGAAGGTAAATTTTCCACTAAAGGGTTGTTTCAACAGTTTTATTTATTTAGATGTAAATGATAATAATAATAATAATAATAATAATAATAATAATAATAGTTTTTAGTTTTAACGTGCTTTTAGAGGTGCTCAAAGACGCCTTACAAAGGAAAAGAAGAAAATAAAATAAGATAAAACATTATTTAAATTACAGAAAATTTAGAGAAATAAAAAAAACAAAATGTTTCTGGGATACATAATGTTACTGTATTTTTCGCACTATAAGGCACACCTGATTATCAGGCACACCATCAATGAACGCATCTATTTGCGTCTATTTTCATACATAAGGTGCATTAAGCCAAACAAAACAGTCAGAAAAGTCAAACTTTATTTAACTCATTCAGTAACTCAGCGAGGCTTCGGTAGCTGCAGTGCTCAGACAAGCCATCAGGCTTTGCAGCTTTGTAGCTTACTGAAGTCGTAATAAAACATTTTGACAGATTTTTTAACGCGGTGTACCACATTAAATCGATTCGAGGTCAGTAAGCGCAACCAGAATTCGTACATAAGGCGCACCTGATTATAAGGCGCACTGAGGATTTTTGAGTGCACCTTATAGTGCAAAAAATATGGTGATTATGAAACTTTAGTTGAGTCAACAATAACGTAAAGTTGACTCTGAAATAAGATCCTGTCTTAGTTTTGTCATAATGTGTCTGTGTATCTTATCAGGACTTCAGTATGGACTTTGGCCACTGTCCAGAAATCACTGTGTATACAGGCTGCTGTTTGTACCCTTCTGCCGAGCAGCTGGCCACACTCTGGGCTGAGAACAAGAGGGCTCTCCTCAGCATGCTGGTGGAGGTATGGAGTAAGATTTCATCCCACAGCATGGAGAAGTTTAATCCTGTTATGAAAACATTTAGATATACGTGCAGCTTTCTTTATTTTCAGCAAACTATTACAGATCATAGTTTTTGCAGTCATCTGATAACCTAGATTTACCCTCCTCTCTTACCTCATCCAGGTCCATAAAGGGGTGCGTGGTGTGGTGAGGGACAGAAGTGGGAAGCCTATCGTTGGGGCAATCATTATCTTGAATAGGGGAGTCAAAATCTTTACTACAGAGGGCGGATATTTTCACGCTCTGCTGGCCCCTGGCAACCACAACATTGAAGCTGTTGCCGATGGCTACCAACAACAACGACAAGAGGTACGTGGTCATAATGTTGACATACTTTGATTTATGTGTTTCAGGAAGATAACCATGACGGTAAATATACACAATCACCTTGTTGATGACACAAAGGCAGGAGTTGATTGACACGTAGGACTTTAGATACAGACTCTTTTTCTAAATGCAGCATGTACAGAAAATGTCCTTCATAATTCTTGCATGACTGACTTGATGAGAATTTTCATTGCAACATGATGAACATTTGGAAAGATTTCTCCAAAAAACATTTGAAATGTTAATTCATCAACTTTAAAGGAAAACAAAACTATGTTAACAGAGTGTGAGAGGACAGAAATAAAAAAAACACTCGTGTCATGGATTGAAAGTCTGTGGGGTAATGTCACTGTGGCTCCCCTTTACAGTCTATGTCTATGACAGGAGCAGGTCGAAGCACACAGAACCTCTCCAGCACCTCCACTTGTCCATTCGTCTGCTCTGAAATCTGAAGCATGGGGTACGCTAGCTCTTTAAACAGCTGCTCCTTAATGTCACACCCCAGCTCCAGGCTGTAGGCTAAGAGCTTCCCGCTTGGACTAAAGAGCAGAGGATCCACCACTGAATGATATATCCTCTTGTACTCGGGCACTGTAAAGCCATGGATCAGCAGAGGTTCCTGTTGACTATTTGAGGTCTTGTCTTTGGTCTGAAGGGTTCCGTCTTTGCAGGACAGTTTGAGATCTGGAAGAACTGCAGCATTCTTAATATATCTGTCATCCGGGGGTTTCTGGTGGGGCACTTCACTCTGCTCATACACAAAATCCGAATTGCATCCAGGAGCCAGCATGTATTTCCTCTCTTTGACCGTCTCTCCATATTTTTTAGGACAGCGAATACTCTGCCTCAGGCCATAGGGACGCATTTCATTCCTCTGGAAGCTAAAAATGACGTCAGGATCAGTAGATTAGAACTCTGTATAAATGATTCTGTGTCTGTCTGTGGGAGAACAACCACAAAAAAAAAGAAGTCAGGATGCACTGACTCTTTGGAACAAACTCTGGGTGCATATTCAGACACTCACATCTTGAGCCTTGGGTCTTAAGGATGAAAAAATAACACATTTCTGTCAAGAGAAATCAAGCAGGTTACATAAAAATACATTCTGAGAGTCCTGTGATTTACCTTTTGGATGAAAGCTGGGAATTTTGGGATTTTTATGATCCACCACCCCAATGCTATTTTGGACATTTAAGACAACCTGCAGCACATTATGCTGAGCAGTCACACCTGCAAATGAGGCTTGCTAATCAGGTGATTAGCAGCCACATTTCTGCAGGGAGCTTAAACACACCACTAAAGGGATTTCAGAGTCATTCAGAGAAGCAGCCAGAATGGATAACAAGTTGAGGTAGAGCTGGATGATGTTACTTCTTTGTTGTTGCATTTATGGTGTAGTGAAATTCTTGTTTGAAAAAGGACAACAAGCCAAAATACCTCTATCATCTCAATGTAATGTTAAATTTAAGATTAAGCCTTTTGAGAGCCGTGGTTTGAAATTGAGAACATTTTAGCTGCATACATCTTACCTCGTCTGCTGTGATTTGTTTATGTTCAGAGGTCCCCAAAACTAATAAGGAGAGCAGAGAAATGTTTGACTCTGATGTGTGATCTAAAATCCACTTGTAGTAATGATGATGAAAGCAGTTATGAAACTGACGGTGTTTCATGGAGGCTGAAAGGCTTATTGACTTTTTTTTGTTCTTTGTTTTAGGTGACGGTGTCTTCTTATGAAGCTGCCAGCTCCATCGTCATTGAGTTTGACATGGACAATAACATCTTTGGTCTGCCAAGAGAGTTTGTGGTGGCCAGTGCAGGTAATTAATCACAGTGAATAAAATTTCTTTCAATAGCTAGCATGCGTTGTAGTCTTAGTTTATGGCAGACATGCTGAACTTTCTTTCTTTTCTGCTTCTGTGCAGCTGCCTCCATGACCGCCCTGGTTGTGACGGCGTGCATCATCTGGTGTGTGTGCGCAGCCAAGTCGAACCGTCAGAAAGATGGCTTCCACAGATTGCGTCAGCACAGAGATGATTATGAAGACGAGATCCGGCTCACCTCTATGGGCTCCAAGAAGTCGCTGCTGGCTCACGAGTTTCAGGACGATAGCGAGAGCGACGAGGAGACACTTTATGCCAACAAAATCTGAGAAAGTGGCTTATTTTTGGATGATGGCATTTTTTTCTTTTAAATGTTGATTTCCCCTTTAATTTAACTCCTGTTCGATTCTGGAACAGGTTGATCTGTCTCTTTTTATGGCTGAGACAAAAGAGTGATACTGACACTTTATCCTATCACGCCAACAAACTGTGGGCTCAATCACCGTCACTCAGTCACCAGTGTTACTAAATTAACTAAAGAGAATCTTCTGTGTGAGTGAACTGAAGACCTGGCTGTCTTAACTGGATCAGAGAAGAAGACAAGTACAAGATGAAGAACCAAGGAACAGAGAAGAAGTTAATGGTTGGTTCACTGTGGCTCTCATCCGTCCAGGTTTTGAGTCCTGCAGCTTTTCCATTTCCGAGCCACACACACGTCAGTGCTCTTAGACCACTATCCTCACTGCAGGGCTGAGGGATCCCCACTGATAAAAGTCCAGATACACTTTTCTTCAGATGTGTAATGAACTGAACAAAAGTACTAAATCACACTCTTATCTCCCCTCTTCTTTTCTCTCTCCTTTAAGCGAGGACCTCAGAAGTTGTGTCTTGTTTCTTGTATCTAAGAAAGAACTGCCACATAATAGTCCAAGTCTTTTGGGAGACTGAATCCAATATTGTGCCTTGGCTTCTGTAAAGTACAGTCTGCTCAGGCTGTAGTGTGTGACCGAGCAGTGACTTCGTGAATAAATAGTACTTGGTCATTCTGGTTTGGTAATACAATCCATCCTTTACTCAGGTGGTTTTGAGAAAAGAGAGGACTTGGTCTGGTTGGATCCAACTTTGCACTGTCTCTATAATCCTGAGCTGAGAGGCCCAGCAGCTTTTGAACATTTGAGAGTTAGTGTTGAGGTAAATCATGCTTTAAAGCATCAGAAAGAGTCTGTTACCGATGAAGGGCTTGAATGAAACCCTTTCAGAGAGGTGCAGGGTATTCATGTGCAAAGAGGTCACTATCAGTGAAGCAGAATTCAAGGATTGTCTTATATCATTGGCAGGGAAAGTAACATCAATGTCTTCACAGAGGAATGTATTTTTTTCCTGTTTTTGTTTTATCTTCAGAATCCTTTTGGAGCCGTTTCGAACTCTCTATTCTTGGAAAGTAATTTAAGTGCGTGGCACACTGAATCGGTACCCTTTTATGGATTGAAGATGTCCATGCCCACCATGTTCTGAGGATTTCTTACAATAAGAAAGATGAATATTTTAATTTGTATAATTGTTCATTTCCTCCCTCTGCAAAAGTTTAGTATACAAAAATCAAGGTCAAAGGTCAGTCCGTCCATCAGTACTCATCCTGAGTCAATGTGGGAGCTATATTTACATTATTTAAAAGTTCACTGCAACTGCAATAATATCCTCATTTCTTGTAAATATCAGATTATTAATTTGACAAAAGATTTTGATATGCATATCTTTGCAGCAGGATTATTAGTTAACATGCAAGTGAAGCGAGGAGTTAAAAGAAGAAAATATGAGTAGCAGGGCCTGAACTGAAATGTCAATTATTTAATATTCATGGTGTGCAATTTATCTTTAAAACCAGATGATCTGCAGAAAACCAAGTTTAATTCTCATGTCAGGCTGAATTAAAATGTTAAACTGGGGCGCTAAATTGAAATTGCTCCAACTGTTAAACAGTTTGACTCAATCCACCCGCTCACTAAAGCATTACTTGATTTCCTCTGATGTTAAAAACAGATTCTGTCCCACTAAAAAGAAGTGCAGCTCTTATTCATATCAAACCCAATAACTGTATAAAGAGACAGTTTTTGTTAGCAGTTTTCTTTCTCATTCAGCGTCCGTGAATGCCTGTCTTTGATTTCTGAAAGTTGAGTGTGTTGGATCACACAGTGTTGGTGTGGAGATTTTATACAAACTGGAATCAGCTGTAAATGTTTGCCTAATGTGAATGGAAATAACATGAATGCACACAACAAAACATTTCTTTAAAAAAACCCTCTGTGATATAAACAAATACCGAAGATACACCATGAAATAAAAACACCTCACAGCCGGTCTTCTGTTCTTGTGTGTGGCTTATCTTTTACTTTTGGGACACATCTTTGACAAGACTTGAAAGACTTAGCATAGTGGACTTGACAGAGAACAGCAAAAGCAAAACCACTTTTAAACTCAAAATACACTTTTCTTCAACTGTTGATTTACCTGTGAAAGAAACTGATGAGAAAAGGAGAGGCAAAGGAAAGAAGAGAAATGTGAAGAAGGAAATGTGTGAACCCTTGTAAAAATGGCATGAAATCAACATCATCTCAAGTAGAAAACAAAGTGCTTTTTTAAAAACATCTTCAATTTCTGATGTGATATTGTACAAACAAAATGAGTAATACTGCAGTGAGTGAGTGTGTGCTCTGAAACCTAAATGCATTAGCAGTCCTTCACCAGCAGAGGGCAGGGCAGTAGAAACCAACCTGGGTAAGTGTTGTGCATGTTCTGACCTAAATGGATCGATTGAACTTTATTTACTTTATATATATTTACTTTATTCACTTAACTTTAACACACAAAGTGCTTGACCATATGGAATGGGGGCTCCCATCCCCTATCTCCATTCATAACCAGCACTCCCAGACACTAGACAAATAATCAGATGCAGGACACACACACACAAATTATGAAGTTGTGAATAAGTATGGTTTCCTAGATTAATACAATCTTTAACTTTATCTCAGGGATCTACCAGCTGACAGAGTCAAAACACTCACAGCTTCTTTAAATGTCATTTGTTCATCTAATGTCAGGCCAAAATATTTAAATTAATTAATATTAAGGACTACAGAACTTCTCACTGATGTTTTTTTTTTTTTCTAAAATGTACTGCTTATGTTTTGTCTTGATTCACCACAAGTCTCTATTTCTGGCAACACTCTGCAGTAATGTTTGGCATATTCTGTAGTTCTCCTTCATGTTCAACAAGTAAAATTACACCATCCGCATATATTAATAGTCTAACATTTAAATAATTTATTTTAACTCCAAGGTTAAAGCTTTAAATTAAAAAGTATATTTTGTACACACTGCTAAAGACTTATACATCTATGACTAAGAGGTGTCCAATGATCATTTTTGGTAGATATGAGAATAGGTTTTATAATAGTCTTGTGCCACTGTGTGGCAAAAAAATCCATCATCGAAACAAAACTGAAATAACATATAGTATCCTGAACAGCCTTGGTGACTTCGAAACCTCATTTTGTCACTACCTGTTGCTTCTTTCAGTTTTCATTTATGTATTAACTATTAACTATTAACTTCAACTTCAACTGATTTAGGAATAATACACAAAAAGATCAAAACAAACGCAATGACAACAAAATAGTGAAAGCTGAGAAAAAAAAAACTTTAAACTGTTCGTTTAAATCTGTTGGTGTGCTTGCCTGAAAGTCTCAGCTCGGGGCGAAACAAACTCCTGATCAAATTCTGGCTCCTGAGCCAAGAGTACCCAGATGCAGCGCCAAGATGGCGGACCCAAAGATAGAAAACCACAGCTGCGTCCGAATTGCCAAGTAGTAGTCGAAGTAGTAGTCGAAGTAGTATCTAGCATGTCCGAATTGGCCACCGGAGCGAGTAGCATGCTACTTCAGATACTACTTCAGATACTAGACACGCCCACATTGTAGGTTGGTCTCGGTGCATCCTACGGGCATGCTACTGACCCAAAATGCACCACGGGCTTCTTCTTCGTCCTCTTAAAAGTTGTAGAAGCGCATGTGATGCTAGCGCCACCAGCTGCTCTGCCTATTTAAATGTATCGCGAACGCCGGCTGGCCACAACAGCGCGCACCATGTCGCGGGACCGCAGCAGTACAGATGTAAGTTTCATGTAACTTCACACACTGTCCTAAAAAATGTGCGGTTGTATCTCTTTGTCATGTCATGGTGTCATATTTGCCCAAGTAATCATTTTATGAGCAAATATGTGGCGACATCATGGAGGTAAAGCTCACTTATTCCATCATTAAACTGCACAGCTGCAGTACTACAGCCAGGCCCGCAGATGAGGGGCTTCAGTTACCACTGTCTGCACGGGCGCAGTACCTACTCTCTGCCTGCGGGGGTCGTCTTTCCCCACCGCTCGTCTAGTGTGTCCGAATTGGGCCAACGTTTTTAGTATGTAGGAGTAGGATCTAGCAGTAGCACGTAGCAGTAGCATGTAGTATCCGAGCGGGCAGTTCGGACGCAGCACACATTTACAAAACGCAATAAGTTTCCGCATTACCTCCGATTGGCGGACCCAAAACATGAACTTTGAACTTCTGCTTTGCGATGCCAGAACAGTAGGTGGCGGTATGTACCTACACTTTCTGACGGCAAAATTTACAGAAGAAGAAGAACTCTCAGGAAGTTTGAAAAGAAGCAAGCCGTCCGCATTCATTCAATCTCACATCCGACCACTCAAACTAACCCTAACCCTGCATTCCATTGTTTCCATCATGGGAAATCTAAGTGACGCTCTCAAATTAACAGGAACATTGCGCAGAAGATATGTCCTGGGCAATGGACTGAGAAAACGGGCAGAGATTTGGAGGTATTTGTGCATGCTCTATATTACAGTTGAAAAGTGTATAACAGCTTTCCAATGCTGTTACTTGTGGCGAACACCTTTTTGCTTGAGTTGATGCGTGCCCGCAGGTGGAATAATGTCACATGTCACACACATTTTCTGTTGTTTTGATTTATTTACTCATTCATCATTTTATGTGCGCACCTCTCCTAATCAACACACCCATTAAATAGACAGGCACAATAGCACCATCTGCTGGCACAAAAAATACATAACAATAAACTGCAAAACCCCGATCTGGCTCCTACAAAGTGTATGTGACAAGATGATTAACGTTTGCTTTTGTTAAATCAGGGCTTCCCCAGCCAGGACTTCGGCTCAGACTGTGGCATATTCATGTTGATGGTAGGTCATAACGAGCTGTAATGCACAAGTATTGTATCTAGAATAACTTTCCAACATGGACTTTTTTAAAGTTATCTCACATGTTGTCTCATAATTTTTTTTTTAAAGTCTGCCATGTACATCGTTATGGAGTCACAGTTTGACTACTCAGTTGTAAGTACTTTTCAACACGCAGTGTCATCCTCAAGATTGTATTTTGTATTGTGCACTAAAATGAAATACAAACAACAATTTCAGCATGACATGCCTGTTTGGCGGCGATGGTGGTGCCTGTTGCTCCTGGAGAACAATTCTTTGAACAGGTAGACAGTTTAAGTAAACTAGATGTCCTAATTAACTGGAAGACAATCAATATATTGTACTTAAAGACATATTGTCATTACAGTTGTGGGAAAATCTTCGCCCACTGGACCAAAGAATGTCAAGAGCTCATTGCTGGAAAGCATACTCCGGTCTTCAGTCTAAAGAGGAAGGCAGAGCAGCAGGACATAGAGGTTAGAAAATTGCCTTGTAAAAACAGTATTATCTCAGTGGGAGTCCTTCAAAATGCACACAGTTGTATGGATCAACATTGTCTCGATGTATTTGGTAATTGATGTTACTTTTCAAATTGCCTTGTCAAGGAAACCATGACGCAGACGGTATCGGATGTCCAAAGAATGTGCATGGCAGATTCAATGCAATTCTGTGTCTACCAGACATCGAACAACACAGGAGAGAGGTGTGTTGCAGACTCAATTTAATAAATGCAATTATCGGGGCCTATTCAGTGATTTTCCATGAAGTGACCACTTTTACATATAGTTTAAATGCACGAATCATGCAGGAAAATTATTTATACATTCAAATGTGCTGCAGAGGTATAATCAATTGGACAGCGTGTTTGTTTGATATTATGTTTGTCTCTCATTTGATCAGATTGCTTTACCCTGAGGTAAACGTCATAAAATGGGTCCAGTGCAAGACGTGCAGGGGCTGGCTGCATCAGGATTGTGCTGGGATTGAAATGGAGCCGTTTGACTGCGGGTGCGAGGACTCCATTGAGCATCCTCGGTATAACATAATTTATCAAGGAAACATAGTATCAGTCAAAAATACGAGGCTCAAAGGATGAAAAAATGAGGGCTTGCTCTTTTCTTATTTCTCTGCAGGATCAAGGATGCTGTTGACAGTTGAGGAATTCATGCTGTCTTTTCTAAGACACAGATCAAGGTTGCTTTTGAATGCACTATCAGTTGTTAAAGCCACCGTTTCTTTTTCAGATGATTACATTTTTGTCTCTTGCTCTTTGGTTTCAGACATTACACGATGATCTACTGTCTGGAAAGATCCGCTCCAACAGGATGTTCCTTTGGAGGAATCCCGCCACCTCACTCCGACTAAAGCAGCATCTTAAGATAAGGACACTAAGTTGGAGTGAGCAGCGCGTAAGTAAAAATGCCATCCATCATGAGTATTTTTACTCTCAGGGGTGTTACATTTGAAAGGTGTTTACTTTCTGTGTTTTTCTTCAATAGATGTTCGAGCTCCTGCGGTTCATTGAGGTGGCAACAAACATTTCTAAAAAAATAAAGAGAGGCGAGATTCATCTGCTTGATTTCGTTTTTGACGTCATGCTCCCAGAGGTGAGTAGATCAAACTATATAGCTTGCTTTGAAAAATGATGATATTGTTAAGAGGTTGTTCTTATTCATTTGGAAAGCTCAAGAACAACAATTAACCCATACTGCATAACTTCAATTGTTCACATTATTTGACTGTTTTTCAGCTTTTGATCAAAGCACTGAAGGAGCATGGCATCAACCGGTTCAGAGCAGAGCTGATGATGGCCTGTGGCAACGTGTTTTAAGCCCCCCACCACACCGACGGCAGTGCTGAATTTTGTATATATATAGTTTTTTTTACTGTTCACAATTTTGTTTGGAAAAAATTAAAGAAATCTTCAAAGCAGTTGTATGACAATTTCCCATTTCTTTACACAGTCTGTAATAATATCGCTATTCAATTGTTTTTGCTATATGGCTCTTCTGAACCTTAAAGAGATCATGTGACTTGTGTCTCTACAACTATTGTATACTTGGATTTTGCACAGTCAAGCAATCCTGAAGAGGTTCACCAGGAAGCACACCATTTCATAAATTATGTCCCTGGTTACACAATGTTACTAAAGGATGGGGGGAGTAAATTTGTGCAGCAACATAAGCACTCTCATAAAACATAATTATGAACAACAGAAAATATGTGAGGGTCAGGGCAACATTGTTGACATTAAACGAGGTCCTAATAGGAGTGGAGAAACAAGGTCACAGAGAAGTTAAGAAACATTGATGTGCTGTGTAATAGAGCTATTGGAGAGAAAAGTTAGAAAACACTGTTATATGATGTGTAACGAGAGGTTAAAACAGTCCATACTTGTAGCAAACTCTTACAAAAGAATTTGAGTAAGATGATAACTTCTACATACATTTACCTATTCTGACAAATTATCAGAATATGAGGACATCAGGCTATATATACATATTACTGTAAACTTCAGAATTAAATCAGAACAAAACAGTAGTCATAATTAATACATAAACGTTTTATTTTGATTTTTAGCTCAATAATAAATTTAATTCGATTCTTATGGAATGAACGGAGCAAAAAAAAAAGGATCCGGCGACTAAATCCGACTACCTGAAGTATTTCGGCGCCGGAAGTCCGCCAACGAGAAAGCCTTTCCACCGGAAGTAATTGTTTTGGGTCCGCCAATCGGAGGAACTTATTGCGTTTTGTAAATGTGGTTTTCTATCTTTGGGTCCGCCATCTTGCGCTGCATCTGGTCACCTCTCTCCTGAGCGGCAACGACGTCTTCCTCTTCCACGTGACGCACCCCGGAACTTGGTGACGTCCCTAACAACAAAGATGGCAGGAATAGGAGGCAGCAACTATTGGGAAGGTAAGAGAGACACTTTTGACACGACGTTTGGTCACCATTAACTACAGTGACATATTTGTTCGTGTTTATAAATGGACGTTTAATGTGCCAGTTTCAGCTGACATCGTATTTGACCAAAGCTTTGAAGGTTTAAATTCATTGCGTGTCTCTAACGACTAGCCCCTCACAAGCTAGCTAACACACCGCCTCACAAGTCAACGTTGTTCCCTAAGCTGTTAAATCTGTGTCACACCCAGCCACTCACAAGAGGAGTCCTTTACACAGACTGTCAAACTAACCAGATGGTTATAAACTAAAAGAAACACCTATTCTCTTGAGTAATAAAGAAGTTAGCTTGTTCAGCTAACTTCAACGGTGCAGGAACATCAAGGCTGCCTTTCCTTTCGCTTTCAAAGTGAATGAAAATCAGACAAAATCTAACATATGATGTTTATGTTTACGTGACAGATCTGCGGAAGCAGGCCAGACAGCTGGAAAATGAGCTCGATCTGAAGTTGGTCTCCTTCAGCAAACTGTGCACCAGCTACAGCAGCTCCAGGGATGGACGCCGAGGAGACACGTAAGATAATGATAGTCTGTGTCTGTCACACACCTCCAGAGTGAACAATCACCCAGGGCACAAGAGTGTACAGATCACAATTCATGCATGTCAGAGTGTGTTTAGATGTGGCAAAGCAAAGCAAAGGTAGGTTGTAAAAAACTGCAGATATCACAAAGCAAGTCAAACCACTTGTTTCTGTAACAGGGTTCACTCAGGTGGGAGCTGAATTTGGATTATTGGGCCACACTTCTTTGGTGATTAGTGATTTTAGAGATACTTGGTGGGCTTTTGAAAACAAGGTGTAGCCATGAATCCATGGTGGCTGAGAACCGCCACTGCTGCAAATAAAAAAGGAATGCAAATAAAACAAAAAGAAACAATGTAAGTTACGGATGCAGAAAAAAGAAACCAAAGCCCCCAGCAAATATAAAAAGAAAAAAAAAGTCACAACAGAAGTTAATGACGCAAAAATAAAGTGCCAATGCAAAAAAAAAAAAAAAGTTACTGTGAAAATAAAAGGATGCAAATAAAAAAGCCACAATAGAAGTGAGCTGCCGGGGACCAATGATGATAATGCACTGGTGTTTTGACCTGAGTGGATATGAAGTTGAACTGGAGGATGCTGGTGTAGTGTTAGCTTCTGTTCAACTTAAAACCGACTCAGGCGCTACATGGCCTTACCAAATGACATATTAAAAAACACACAAAAACATTGGTGCATTATCATCATTGGTTCCCGGCAGCTCACTTCTGCTATGGCTTTTTTTATTTGCATCCTTTCGTTTTCACAGTAAGTATTTTTTTTTTTTTTTTTTGCGTCGCCACTTTATTTTTGCGTTGTTAACCTTCGTTGTGTTTTTTAAAACTTTTTTTTATCCGCACCGTTTCTTTTTTTATTTGCAGCGGACTTCAGTTTCTCTTTTTTTTTTGCATTTGTCGCTTCTGTTGTGGCCTCTTTTTTGCATTCTTTTTTATTTGCAGCAGTGGCGGTTCTCGGCCCCGTATGAATCATCATAATAAATGTTAGTGGAAATTAAAAGTACTGCTAGATGTAACTCAAATGTAATTAAATCTCTCTCATGTGTTTAAACAAAGGGATGCATGCTCAATACCTAACCTTGATGAAAGGATTATACTCTGGTACCTTTTCTTAAGTTTATTTACATGATTACTTTTCTTTATTTGATTCATCTATACGGGTTTATCACATGTCAGTCATCTGATGTAAGTGTAATTTGTTTTAAGCAAGGTGCAGGGACTATAAATTGGCTTCATCCTGCACCTTTCCAGTCATTGCATTGGAAAAAAATAAAGTGAAAATGAAAAGAGAATATGCTACCGAGAAAATTTATTTAGGTAACGTCTTTGAAGAGTAATGTTAAAGAGAATGTTGAAGATAATTGTTAGTAATTTTCTGGATTTTATTCAGACCTGACCAAATTCAGATTTTGTCAGGTCTAAGTTAAATTGTTTACATTGTTAAAATCAATGTGTTCACAATTTCTTTCAGAAAGTAGCTCTTTGCGATCAACTTTTGTAGCTCAAAACATTCAGTTAAGTGAGTTTAACAAAATAAATCAGGACCAGTCCATCTTTGTGGAGTAAAGAATAGATCTTCCACACAATACATTTGTCTTTGATGTTGAACTTAAAATAAACAAACAAACAAAAAATGGAAGTTCAAGCAAACAACTCCAGGGCATCTTACCAAGTGTTCTCCTTTCCTTGTTTTTCATCTTGTAGGTCAGACACCACCCCGCTGCTAAACAACTCCACCCAGGACAGGATGTTTGACACCATGTCAGTGGAAATTGAACAGCTTCTGGCCAAAGTGAGAACATTTTATGGGCTGGTGGTTCCTGAAAGGCCTCTAGAAAGACTGACAAAGAAAAGCACATGATTAAATCAAGACTCTTGTCTGTTACTGAGAAAGGAGTAGACTTCAGGTCTCCTCTTGATTTATTTTGGAGCACGTAACTCTGAAATGTTTAAGGCATGAATGAAGAAGTGTAAGAGTTTTAAGAGTTTGTTTTCTATCTGTCCTCTACTCCACTCATTTTCCATGTCTCTGCCAGCTGACTGCAGTTAATGACAAGATGGCGGAGTACACCAATGCCCCGGGAACAACGTCTATCAACGCTGCACTTATGCACACACTGCAGAGACATAGAGACATCCTACAGGTCTGCCGCCTTAATTTGATTGATTATTTACCCTTTATTCTTCACATATTTTATTTGATAAAACCTTCACTTCATGTTCCAGATCCCTTAGAGCACTGTTTAATTGCTTCATTTCTCTCTGTCTACCTCAAAGGTCCCATATAATGGTATTATTAGCTGTCTGCAACAAATCCCAGTTGTCTTTTAAGCTACGTTTTGTATCCAGTTGCAAATAACATCACAGATTCAGCTTTTATGGAGGCCTTGCAGCCTCTCAGTTTCAAACCTTATTATCCAACCAAGTTTACTTGGTTGTGGAGCTCTGTAAGCTTGTGAAAGAAGGACGAGACCAGGAAGATGTTCAGAGTCTGCACTTAACTTCATATTATTCTAATATAATTTGTAAAATACCAAGATCTGCTGATAGCAGACTCACTGATGTTTGCGGTTGCTCTTCTGTGTTTCATGTTCATGTTCTGTTTCATGTTGAACAGCATGTCCCTGATTGGTAAACCTAAATGTGTTATTCCTACGTTTTCATGTGAACTTAATGTAATTGGCCCTCACTGTTGAGCATCCTGATGGAAGTGGTTGGTACTAACATTAAATAAAAATAAGCGCTGATTATAGCCAGCATAGTGTTATTAAAAGTCAAAAAAGAAGAACCTCTTTCTTTTGGTCCTCTTGTGCTGGGACAGAATTTGTAAAATTTGTGTTTAGATTTTTGCAATCAATGGCTGAGGAGTTAATATTTGAAGCTTAACCTTTGACACCCTGATTCTGCAACACAGAAGCAAAACCACAACAGCATCAACTCAACTCAACTCGACTTTATTTGTAAAGCACTTTAAAGCAAACCACAGCTGAACAAAGTGCTGTACATAAATAGACAAAACAACACAGACATAAAATATAATTTTAATGTTTTTAAAAACTAATTTAAAAGCAATAGAAACAAATGACTAAAAACAAACCATGAAACACTAAAACAGGAGCCGAGTCTCATGCAGGGTTGAAAGCCAATGGATAAAAATGGGTTTTGAGACGAGTTTTAAAAATGGACAGTGTGGGGGCTTGTCTGATTTGGAGGGGTAGCTCGTTCCATAATTTCGAGGCTGCAACAGAAAAAGAACTATCCCCTCTGAGCTTCAGTTTGGACCTCGGTACCTCCAGGATCAGCTGATCAGCTGACCTGAGGCACCGAGCAGGGGTGTAGGGGTGGAGAAGCTCAGAGAGGTAAGATGGAGCCGGACCATCATCAGAGGAATCCTTGTTGAGTGGGAGTGGTTATGGATGCCTTTTATGTAAATTCCTCCTGTTGATACATCACAACAGGAGAAGATTCAAATAGCATTTTTTCTGGTGGGTGGGTTACAGAAAGAATGCAGAGGCTCGTCCACATTCTTTAGGTTGTTAAGGTGGGGTTGATGACTTAAGCATTTAACTCAAATTTTCATCATACGGGACCCTGAAACATTTCTTCTTCAAATGTTTCCTCTGCAGGATTACACACACGAATTCCACAAAACCAAAGGCAACTTTGTGGCCATCCGGGAACGAGAAGACCTGCTGGGGTCTGTCAGGAAAGACATCGAGTGAGTATCCAGTCACAACACATAATGATTGATTTAGACATACAGCCGATAAACCAGCACACTTTGTGTTTACAGCCACGCAAAAATGATCTGTGTGGGTCATTATTCACTCTTAAATGTGCACCGCCAATGCGCAGAGCTATTGATAGCTTATTGATTGCATCGACCTGTTAAGGGGAGATAAATGAGCGGGCAGATCAAGCCCGCACTCTGGTAGTCTCGCTTGCATGAAAGTGTACATGACACTGCATACAAAATAGACAGCAAAGTCATGTGATGCCTTTCTATTGTTTGATGTTGGTGGCTGTAGAGGAACAAAAGCCGCCACACACTGTTCCCGCTGCCTCTGTGTGATAGATCTCTTCCCTGAGCAGGATAGTTGAACTTTGACTTCACCTGGCATACTCTTGAAAAATGTTTGCCTGTAAACCTGGAAGGATGTATAGCCTATTCGGCCTTGTATTGAAAAAGAGTGTCCTCTTCGCGCTTTGGCTTGGGGGCGAGTGAGTGTATTGAAATGAGAAGGAGGCTCCCCCAGACCATGACTCTTGTCGTTTTTTTATGTAATGGCTTATTGATTTGTAAGACGCAGCAGTGAGCATACAGTGAGCACTGCAGGATTCCTATTGATCCGACTCCATCAAACTCGTATGCAGATGGTCTGCAGATGCTGCATGGAGGCCTTGCGGTCACTTTCTATCTAATCTTTGTCTTATTAAGCTCACAAAAAGGCCATTTTTTTTTCCTGCTTTGGTTGCTTAACCATAAAATAAACGTATTTCTCACACACAAAAAGAAAAGATGTACGTTACATATAATTTAGTACATTTTGTATTTGTCCAGTCAATAACAAATTTTATGGGATACATCTTTTTGACTCGTACATTTTTCTAACATTTACCCAGCAAAAGGCATTTTTTTTAAAATGCTGTGTTGTTTACCCTTATGTCACTAATTCTCTTTTGAGTTTACCTATAAAATGTTATCAGTCTAGTTAATTATAGTCCAACATGCTGAATTTTAGGAAAATGTAATGGAGAAAAGCTGAGCAGGTGCAGCCTACAGTTATGTGATTTAATGACAATTATCCTGAACTGTAGCTTTAAAAGAGTCAATTAGTAACAGACACATCCTGAAAAAACTGCTTCTCCTTCTTTCTAATATTGGTGCACCAAACTCCTCCCACCAAATGATGCACACACTTTACATGAGCTGGGAAGCAAATGTTGTCACCTGTATTCACATCAAACTCTCTTGATTTCAACACAGAAGAACAAAGAATATGATCTGGATCATTTTTTAACCTGATAAATGAAGAAAACGGATGTTTCCTGGTAGAATTTCTTCTTTCATGTTACTGTATTCTTCTTTTAAACTGCTTTAACCACAATACCCTCAAAGCCATCACAATATAAAAGTTATTTTAAGTCATGCTGCACGTCAGCAGTCAGATTTGATCTACATGCACTAAGAAACACCCTGTGAGGTCAGCACTACAAGCCGCAGCTCACCTAGTCATCTCATTAACTCCCCCTGCTAAGTAGTGCCACTGACCCTTCTCACAGGCCCACTGCTGATGAATGTAATGCATTTCAATGAGCTGAGGTGTTGACCCGGTGTTCAACCAAATGATGACTAATGTGCTTGGCGGCATCTAATAAGGGAACCGTCTGAGCTAACAGGTAGACTGGAATTTGTGTAAGTGCTGCTGCAGATAGTTCACAGACACAAAGTACTGCTTTACATATAAATGTTTCCACTGAAGAGCATTGTGCCCCTACCCTTCTTGTTCAACAAAAGGTAGGACCTGAAAATAGTTTATTAAACGGTAGAATTGCGTACAACAAGCCTACTTTTTTAGCACTTTGCTGACTATGATGCTGCAAAGAAGGAACAACAAAGAATTGTGAGATAGATTTTGTAGTTGTAGATATTTCTTCAGCAGCTAAACTCTCTCCCTTTCTTCAGCTAGAGGGCAGTAGAGATCTTCAGCATGATGGGGCCGTGGACTGTACACTTTTATGTTCATCACTTTTGTTTATGCTGCGCACACGCACAAAATCCATACTGATTAAAAGAACCAGAGCATGCTGTCTCGTTTGTGCAAGCACCTCGACGAGGAAAATGACATTCTATCAAACACTGTATCAATATCTTTCACTTGGTCAGCAAAACATGCCCTTGTGCACGCGTACACACACGCGCACTCACACATGTATGCGCACTCACTCAGCTGCATTCTCAACAGCAGAACGGAGCAGCGCTGAGCACCTCCCTCTGCCCCTGTTTGATTTTAAATGTCAGCAACAAAAATGACAGCCAGCTGGTGATTTACATCAGTGCCCTTTTAAAAAGCCCTGCTGGAGTGATGAAGCTGGCTGTCAGGAAATGTGGTTGTAGCCCCTCGGTATCGCCAGCGCCACCGGTGGGGCCGCCACCTCGTGCTCAAGGCACCAAATGAAGTATTTCCAAGCAGTGAGTTTAGGGGGTTGAAGGAAGCGCATTCATTCTGAGACTTGGCACGGTTAGCTTAGCAGGGTTGGGTGCGCATTTAACATTCCCAGCTCCTCCCTTTTTTCATGCTCTTTATCTTGTTGATGCCCAATCAGAGAGTGGGGGAGTGGGTTAAATGACGAGAAACCCAGGAGAGCCTTTGGAGTCAGCTGTTAGGGGCTGAAGTTGCATCAATCGAAAGAAAATGGGTTTTATATGTTGACAGTCTGAGTGGAATAACAACCGTCCCATTATCTCAGACTGCTTTGCTAAGTGTTCACTTCACCATAGCTGTTGCATTTCCAAACACCAGATGCTATGTTGCTTTTGGTCCATGGATGAAGCAGCGGGCCAGGACGTACATATTAGTCATTTAAGGCTGGTTTGCTAAAAAGTCTGCCATGTGTTTTTCCCCATACCTCGAGTAAGCGTGGCGTTTTCAACTACTCTGACAGAATAATCATCTCCACCCTTCCACCTGTGTTGTTGTTGTAGTAAACTGCTCTCTAATCTTCCCCACTACCATCATACTGCTGCTTATTTCCTGTGTTAAGCTACTGATAATGCAAACAGATGATTTCCTGCTGCTCATTTCACATTAAAAGCTTTCCATCGGTGAACCACAAGAAGGCTTTTACTATACAGCCCATAAAGGGGAGCTGTGGTAGCGGTGCCAAGAGCTACGTGATAAAGCTAGTTTCTCAGCAGTTTTGTCAGCTCTATTATCCATGGATCAGATAATATATCCTAAGGAAAAGAGGAAGTGGCCACAATGAGGTAGTGAGATAAAGAGAAAACCACCAGTCTTTATAGCCGGTGTAACTTGGCATACCTTTAAAGTCAGCTCACGCTCTTTGGATACGAAAGAGCAGACGGACAGGTGGTGTCTAAGGGACTGCCAAAACACAAATCCAGGTAAAGAAGGGGAAAAAGGCGGTGGTGGCAATTCATTTTTGACCTGCTGATTCTTACCTGCCCTGGTTTGTACTAAGAAGAATCACAGAGGCAGATTTGATGCAAAGATCTACAATCCATGTCAGCGTAAACTGTCAGTTGACTGTCAGTGAAGTGTCAGCTTGTTGTAGGGGAATCTCCAGGCGTCATTTGAAGGTATCCTGGGCACTGCTAGAAGGAGTGGATATCTATTTATTTAGAGAACTGGATTACCTGAACTCTTATAATTGCTCTTTGTAAACACTGGTTATACAAACAACGTATAATGTAAATGTATTCATAGCCATAGTGTTTTTAACTTGTTCATTTTTTCCTCTTTTTCAGGTCGTATAAGAGCGGCTCTGGGGTCAACAACAGAAGAACAGAGCTGTTTTTAAAGGAGCATGAGCACTTGAGAAAGTGAGTTCAGCTCTCTTTTTTTTTTTTGCCACATTTGAAGAATTTGAAACCGTAACACAACATTAGCATAATATTATTTTTACACATTGAGGCTGGGATGTTGTGAAGTATGGAGACAATCGCAGATCACATTTATTGTGTTCCCACTTGGATAATTTTTAAAGACATTTTCCACTCTGTTAAGTAAGTTGTCAACTTAAAGCTGTAAAAGTTAAGCAGACTTTTCGTGTGACACGGTAGGTCAAACCACATTCTGCCAGCGAACCTCATTAGCATCCTACCATCATTTGGCTGACTCTCAAGAACTGCAGAACAGCATGTGGTGGGAGAGTGTGTGAAATCTGCGCGTGTGCACCTGGGTGTGTGCGAGGGAGAGAGAGAGAGAGAGAGAGAGAGAGAGAGAGAGAGAGAGAGAGAGAGAGAGAGAGAGAGAGAGAGAGAGAGAGAGAGAGAGAGAGAGAGAGAGAGAGAGAGAGAGAGAGAGAGAGAGAGAGAGAGAGAGAGAGAGAGAGAGAGAGAGAGAGAGAGAGAGAGAGAAGGGATGAGGTACCCTGTGTGGAAAGAAAAATTAAAAGTCAGCAGGGCTCACATGCTGTACAACACAAACACACACACAAACACACAAGCCCAAATAACCCACAAAAGAGCTTTTAACATTGAGGATCATTTTAGCGAATACAAAGCAGTCTGACTGAATCCCTCTTTGCCTAAATGTTTGCTTCCTGTTTGAGCCACTCAAAGGAATAATGCCTCAATTATTCCCCATCAAAGACCTCTTTATCCCATTCAGACCAAGCTTTTCTGTATGTGCTTTAATGTAATGTGGCCCATGATTGTCTCTTCATTTCTGAAATGAAAACTTACTAATTGGACACAGGAGACAAACTCAACAACGACGATTTTTGTTATAAAACAAAAAGCGTCTGGTACAATAAACCGCATTAGTGCTTACTTGTTTTGTCTCGCCTTGAGTAGTAAAAGTTATCAAAGATTATTTACATGTTTGTTCCAGATGTAATGGTGCATGATGTTTACAGAAACTTAGCAGGGATGGCGTGGAGTTGAGTTTCAGAGGAAAGAGGTCAACATAGAGAGATACATAACACTACTTCGCTTCTCTTGTCAATGAATTAATAATTACAGCAGCTTCCTTTTAGTGTAGCTCCAAGAAAGATTACAACATACTTTTAAGCTGTTTTGTGATAGTCAGTAGTCAGAAGCCCTGGTAGTTAATTAGACATATGGTAAGTTGTGTCAGCTTTCCCCCTTTTTAATGCCTTGGCGTGACAAAGGAGAGGGAAAACTATTCCCAAGGGATCAAAAGAGAAGAGCGTCTCTGTACTCATGTGCAAAAACCATCCGAATTCAGTAGCGTTGATGAAATGATTGCAGAAATGTGAGCTGAGAACAGGTTTGTTACATAGTTCAGAACTCAACCCACTTTCCCAGCAGCCAAACGCAGGTGTATACCAATGAAACTGATCAGAATCGAGATAATAGAATTATCTTGTAAAACCACAGTCCATATCAGAGGGCTTCCCCAGACCATTGACAAAGATGGGAAGGGAGGAGAAAAGAAGATTGAATGGAGGGATCGCGTTACGCTTGATTGATCCTATTAGAGCCATAAAACAGGAAAGAGGGCCTGAAGAGAGAGGGCTGAAATGTAACTAGAGCAATCATATAAAGTCTTGCTGAAGAGAGGGAGGGGACACTCGACTGTGAGGAGAGATTTGGGTTAAAACGCTGTGTTTTTCATCGTACATGCTCTGTTTGGAACTAGAAAGATTTCTGAAGTGACTTCTTTGTCCACGTCTGGTGTGTCTGTGATATGCCGACAGCAACACTGGCTTCTGTGAGACTTCCTGATGTACTAAGACAGAGTGTACAGACAGTATGTGCTTTGATTGGGTGCTAAATGACAGCATTTGCTGACAGTGTTGCCTCGTTCAGGTGGGGTGCAGCTTCTTTTTACTTGTGCATTTATAGTCTGTGATGTTCGTTCGCATTTCACTGTATTTAGTTTGCCTACCTTACCAACCCCAGAAACTGAAGTTTTGATCATTCACTAGTTATCTAGGTTAACTGTGTTCACATGCTGAGTCCAACTTTGCTTAGATAGGTGATGTGGTGGAGGATAGCAGCAGCTAGTCAGCATCACTAGCCAGCAGCGTATTCCTGTCTGCAAGTATGTGACTTAAGTGACGGTTAAATTTAATTGTAAGTTGATCCTGTTAAGCTCTTAAACCTACAAGGTCAGCTTATCTCTGGCTTCCCTCTTTGTCTATCCTTCAATATTTCTATATCAGTTTTTTCCAGTTCTGTGCAATAGTGGTTGGTGTTCATGAATAAACTAGAGAGAGGGATGGAAAGGTCCATTAAGAGTTCATGTTGGAAAAGCTGTAATGGGAGTGGTCACTCCAACTAGACCTTCCTGTCGAACTGAGGAGTTTCCACTCAGCAGTAGTGTTGGTTTAAAGGGAGGTTAATCCAAACCTCTCATTTATACACACATGTGCATTCAAATGTTTTAAGGAGGTTTAGTTTCTATCATGAATCTCTGGAATAAAGGCGTCTTCTCCCAGAGCCGTCCTCAAAGTTCATTTCATTCATTTTATTTGTTTAGTTTTTTTCGAACATGTGCGTGCAACACAAGAAAGTAAACTGAAACAAACAAAGCCAGTGAGAATATTCAAAACAACAATAACAATAGTCAAAGCAAAAAAGTAAAAATAAAAATAAGAAATACTACTAATAATAATGCGAACCCAACATGTCCGAAAAGGAGTAGGATGAAGCATTATGCTTTTTTTTTTAAACCTACCCCCTCTCCTCTACTCAATAAACAGTCAGTCTCCAGCATATTTACATTATATTAAAAAAAGAACATAAATAGAGTAAATAATTATGTTAATCATTTATGAAAACACCCGATCATTAGAGCCCTTCTTCCTCCCTGTACCTGATGAGATCCATGTTTTTGTCCCGCTTTTTAAACTAAGTTCTCGGTTCAGCTTGGTAAGTGTAATATTTAAGTGTGAGTTTTTGGACCACCTTATATCAGTGTTTTGTCTTTGGATAGTTATCAAGATAAACTCCTTTAAAAAGATGAATCCCAGCATCTACCTGACACTGCTTTAATTGTGTACATCAACAGTGTTCTTGGTTTAAGAACAGATTCTAGTGTAGATTAAACTCATTGCTTCTGCCTCTTCTATCTCATACCCATCTTTGTGTAAATCCCACAGTCATTGTGTTAACTGTCACAAATATAATCATCTCATTGAGCGTTGTGTTACATGAGGTGTGTTGAGTTTGTAGCAGTGTATTCTCATCCAGCTCTTAACCCTGATTTGTGTTTGCTTTTCGCTGCTGATGCAGTTTGCCCTCTGTACCTACTGCCAAGATAAGCACGACTGTTTCCTCGGCAGTGTAATTAACATCTACCTGCTTGATTCTGTTGCATTACATCGCTCTAAAAGCCAGTCTGGCAGAACACCCCCCCCTCAGACGTTTGTTGTAAAGAATCATCTTTTTCGGACTTATTCCTAATGTTTATGAATGTACGGGGAACGCAAGGAAGCATGTACATGTGGGCAGGGTTGTTCATCACATTGGGAAAGGCAATTAGCTTCAAGCTAATGACGAACGATTTAATGACTGCAGCAAAAGACCGCCGGCCGGGAGGGGGAAACGGAAGGCACCCACTCAGAGTCGAAACCACAGATGCACATATGTACAAGCGTGAAGTCACGATCGGCTCCACTAATACAGCCGTGTGGTTTGATGATGGACGCGGAGAAACATAAATCATTTTGGCCCATTTCATCGCTGCATATAAAAATCCCATGAATCAAAGCTCTCTTCAGCTCGCAGCCACTCTTCCTTTTTGTGCTCCTCAACACATGATTTATCAGGGTGGAGACCTTTGGCAAATGAACAGTGAGAGGTTTATTTTCTTTGTCAGACGTTTGTCCACAGAGATGTTTTGGATCAGTTTAGGCTGGTATCATGTGGCCGTCTGGCCGCAGTAACACTCCATTCTTATCTCATTTTCCCCTTTTATTCTACATTAGGTGCCCCCCTCCTCTGAGTGAGGGCACCGCTAGATCAAATGTGCCCTCTGATCAAATAAGAATAAAGAGCTAAAGGAATTTTGAAATGACTGAATTAGGAAAGGAATATGGTGCTTCTGCATCACGACTTTATCCTTCAGCTCCAAAAATTAATTCGCCTGCCAGTCTTCATACTGGTTTTTGTGCCAGCAACATTCTCATTCCACTCACCCAGATTTATGTCATATCAGTGATTCCTTTTCTGCGTGACAAAGGAAGATATGATAACACAACGTACTGCCAAATAACAGATTGGGGCTTTTGTGCGGAGCTCTGATCCAAGAACAAAAGGCTGTCCGGTCCACACCGTGACTGTGCGACGTCCACGGATTGTCTGCTCAACTGGGCAAAACATTTGTGGCACAGAGAGTCCTACGATCCATTGACATTTGTTGACATTTGTTGCCCATTACATTAATGAATATGTACAGTTTGAAGTGAAACCTCATATATAAGCAATGAAATGAAAACCTTAGGATATCAGTCGAAATCTGATGACAGAACCAGGTAATAAGATGGGGCTTTTGAGAGGGTGAAGTTTAGGATGATGAGGAGGATGCTTTAGCCTTGAGATGAATTTCTTTGGTTGGACACCTCGGATTCCTGAGAGCTGAACAGAAACCACGTATTGAGCGTGACTGCGAGGGTGTGGATGCTGTCGAATTCATGTCGAAATCTGAAACACAATCCCTGCTGTTTTGTTTGTTTGCTTTCCTTCAGTTGTTGGGAACATTATCCAAATTGATTCCAATTATGAAATAACCCGCCGAGAGCATTGTTGTTTATGAGCAACCTGAGACACCAGACTGGTGTTACAGCATAAAAGGTTTGTGCGTTTGTGTACACATGTCTTCTAGTAGTCTCTGTAGTGCAAAAACAAGCATTTGACTCTCCCACTTTGATGAAACCGTGCCGGGAATACAGCTCCAGTCCAGGATCCGAAAGGTTTGCTCCTCTCGGGGTCCCAAAAATCAGGAATTTGATCCCAGTCCAGCTTTATTTGGTGTAACCTTCCTTTCTATTAAATGTTTTATCTATGACTAACTTCTGTCTTCTTCTTCTGTCCCTTCCCTCGTCTGCAGCTCGGACAGACTGATGGACGACACAATAAGGTTAGACTCATTTTCTATCCTGCATCTACATGAACACACGTGACATAGAAGCAAACTTGAAACCTCCACAACACCTCTCCACCTTTCTCCTCTTCATTGTCTTATCCGCCTGCTCTCCTGACTCGAAGCTATCAGTAGGTGTTCAGAAATGAACTCTCACACGGCCCGAATATCTCCCGGCTTACAGACTGGGGAATTAACAACACCGGAGCTGTAAGAAACTCAGTGATTTATTGGTGCTGTCAAGACGAAACACCTGACCATAGTTTCAGAGTTTTAATCTGTGAGCTTTCAATTATTTTTCTTTTCCCCCCTCTGATGATTACTCTGGGAGAATTTCGATGCATATCAAAGCCTCGAAGTGTTTGTGTGTGTGATATCTACCGGTCATAGAACAACCTCCATCCATAAATTTAAAAGCTATGACTTGCTCATACCCAGTTACTCAGATAGCTCCTCCTTTGCATTGACTTATGGGTAGCATCTATTTCTCACCACTCATTGCACTGTCTTAGACCTGAGAAAATGTGTTTTTTTAGGATTTACCCTTTCATCTTTTCCCTTTTTCTCTACAGCACTTTCTGTTTTAACTTCTCCTCCCCCTGTCTATATAAGTTAAGGTAAAAGTTTGTCACTCCGGGTGGAAATTTTAGTCAAATATCCTAACATCGAAAAAAAAAAGTTTTAATATGGACGTAATACAATCTTCTAAAGATGAATATTGTGCACATGATATAAAAAGTGTTATTATACATGATTACATTCATTCATGTGACACACAACAATATCAAAATATATATTGCACACATACACAAATTTTGCTTAACTTTCCACTGCCTTTATCTTTTCATCTTCCAACAAATACAAAATTGTTCAGATCTCTTTGTGATCTAAGTCGGTTGTAGGTTTACTATGATAAGATGATGTAATCTGGATCTTTTTTGACTGAAATGAGGGTCAAAATGCTGCGTTCCAGTTACCTCGGAAGTCAGAGCTGGGAATGATGTTACACCCGAGTTAACCGTTGTTAGCTGTTGTTTACAATTGTCAGTTGTTGTTAGTCGTTGTCAGTTATACCTGTTGTAAACAATGCACAACACAGTATTTTACTCTTACAAACACCATAGCACACACATTTAGACATTGGGCAGTCCAACATATGACACGCATTTAATTTCACAAAAACAAAAGAGAAGTGCTAATAAATAATAAATTACGAGAGCTTTCACTGTTACTCTTTACTGTTGATGCACTGTGCTGCCACCTTGAATTATGGCGTTGTCGTCAAGCTGGGGTTGGCAAAGATCGTCCGACTTTCCGAGTCGGAAATCCAACTTCAGGGGTCTGTTCCAGATGAATTTCTGACTTGGAGCTCGGAAATCCTGACTCGCGAGTACAACTGGAACGCAGCATAAGTCACACTAGAGCCGGACTATGAAAAAGAGAGAATTCTAACAATCTGTCTGTATCCTGAATGTTTGAAGATTTCAATCGGGTTGAGTATTGTTTATGCTATTCTAAGCAGCGTTGGAACGAAAAGCAGAAGAAGAAGAAAAAAAGAGACTTCACTAGGCATGCTCTTTGACACTTTTACACACAGCAGTGTGTGCGGAGAATCTCCATCCTTAAGCTCGTATTCTCATGAGCTGGTGAACATCCAGATTAAAACTAGTAAGAGCAGCTGGAGTCAGCAAAGTGTTTCTTCCTGACTGAGGAGAACATGATCTCTCAGACATCGCTCCCGGCCAAGACTGCAGAGTATCAGGAGATGCCATGCCCTCCCACATACAACCCTGCACCACCCTCACACCCTCTAGCTGGAACACAACAATCTTTCTTTACTCACTTAAGTCAAAAAAACCTTTGTGATTCCTTTACTGTTTTGCCTCACCTTCTCTGATTGTGTCTTTGTCATTTTTCTGTCTTTATTCCCTGTGATTCTCTTGTCCCACTAAACAATTTTCACATCACACATGATTCTTGAAGTGTATCAGCACCGCTTCACTTACTTTTCTTTCTGTTTTATTTTAAGTATTGCCATGGCGACCAAGGAGAATATGACCTCCCAGAGGGGCATGCTGAAATCGATACAGAGCAGGGTCAACACATTGGCCAGTATCCTTTATACCGCGTATGTGCATGACGCAGGAGGCTGATGACATTAAGTTGAAATATTAAATCATAACCACCCTTGAGAAGTGTGCACTCATGTCCTGCTGTTCTGTGGCAAAAAAATGTTTCAGTTCAAGTATTGAAAGATTTTTTTAGATAAAGGGCTTCAGCTGTCAAATAAAGGGGCAGGTTTAGGCTTGATGGGAGTAACTGTAAAAAGTTTTTGTATTGTTCAAACTGGTTACCGTGGTGGATTTGTATCTAATTGGTTTAGAAATGCAGAATCTAAAAATGGTGCAACTTCCCTAACTCAACCTCCCTAGACCGTTTCCCGACCATCAACAACCTCATCCAGCGAATCAACCTGCGGAAGAGACGGGACTCCCTCATCCTCGGAGCAGTCATCGGCGTCTGCACCATCCTCCTCCTCCTCTATGCTTTTCACTGAATGCCCCCGGACCTGTCATAATCTTTAAAGCAGCGGGATTGATCTGCTCTTTTGTAGCGTGGGACCCCCCCAGGAGACAAAGCTCAGTGTTTGGAGGACCCCAGAGAGACCTCCCTGAGCAGAAGGACTTTGAGATGGTCCAGTTCTTAAACAGGAACAAACTGGACCAACGTGAACTACTGAACTTATATTTAGAGATGGGAGGACTGAAAGACGGGTGATTGGGTGCTCTTCTGCCAACACAGGAGTGATGACCGGGAGTGCAAATATGACATGATTTTAAACAAATTATATTGTTAACTCACTTTGAATGGAAGGAAGTTTTGGAAAGACTTTGAGAATGTGTGATGAATTCTATTTTTCACAGGTGGAAGGGTTTTTAGTTGAACGGTCCTTTTTAAATGATGGAGTGGGATGGAGAGTCCATTATGAGCTGTAAAATGTGAATTAATAAATTATTCATATCGGTATGTGCAAAAAAGTGTGTGATACTGCTAGATACTGAGTGTTTAATCCTTTTTAACAGCAGGAAAAAAAGTATATTCTCTATTTTAAGACAGGAGAGATGAGACGGAGACGCCAGGATTCCTCACTTCAGACTAAACATGAACACTGTGAATTTTGGTTACAGCCTTCAGGTCCTTTCACACCCGGACCGTTTTTTTTGTGCGATTATTTCGGACGTCAATATTTTTCTTTCGAACCTGTATCCTGTCAATACAAGCGTTCACATCAGCGACGTTTTCCAGTCCTGCAATATTGCGGCATTTATTTTTTCGGATTGTGGACGATTTTTCCAAAGTTTCACATATTGTGTGTCCACTTCTGACCGTCACATGACGTCACATTCACCGGTATATCCAACATGGCCGACCGGCTAGTTGTTTACGATGGTTGACTCAAACATTACAAAGATAACGACCTGAAGGAAAACTTGTGGAGAGTCGTAGTGTCGGATTTCTGATATGACGACATTTTGTTTGCTTTAACAGTTTGCTGAACGTCTTTGTTTTAACTTTCATCTGTGCTAACATAATTTAATGGTTGTTACCATAGTTTCATGTGCTTATCTGGTACTGGCCCCGACTCAGTACATGCTATCATGACAGAAAGCCATCTCAACACTAGTGTCTAGTCCTCTGCCTCTTCAAACTTGGAGCTAATTGTTTCAGCAGAATTTCAAATTGTCCAACGAACATCGAAAATAGGTTCTGAAGCAACTGTGGTACAGTTTCAGCCCCTGAACCAAGCAGTGAGACTCACCAAGTTCTCTCCTTTTTTTGTAATATTGGATGCACCCATGTTCTACGTTTCTTTTTCTTTTAAGAAAGCAAAAGAAGTATCAATTCGCCCTCTCTTGAAGTTGAAGTAGACTCCATTTTTGTCTTCTCGCTTCCAGAGAGTGCTGACCATTTGGCTTGAGCATGTGATGACGTTTCCAGCTTTTCTAGCCAATCAGAAGGGGGAGGCAAGACTTTCCCTGGGAAAAGTCTTCCCCAGGATGCGTCTTCTTCCCCCCGGAAAGTCGCAAAATCGCATCGGGCTTGATGTGTATAGTCAGGCGCGTCAAAATTCACCTCTGAATATTTCGTAATTTTGCGTTCTATATTTGCGTCGGCCGCGGTGTGTAAGGACCTTTTAACCTCCTAAACTATAACAGAATTAACTTTTTTTAATATAAGTTTTGTTTTTGGCGTTTTTGCCTATTTCAGGGGGTAGAGAGAAGGAGCATGTGAGAAGAAGAGTGTGGAGTCAAGGTCAAGGCTGAGACCTGAATCTCCAACAAGGATCACATGAGAGCGACTGTCCGTGTAGCAACTTCACCACCTGAGCGAAAGTGGCGCCTGATAACCTTAATAACCTTTTCCAACCATGGCTGTTTGCTGAGTGAAAAATAACAGTAATTTCTTTGCTGTTGAGTTTGGTCACTTACCAAAGCGGCTCCATCATTTCTAATCAGTGACAGACTCTTTATTGGATGAAATCACTAAAAAGTGGGCACAGCACAGAGCAGTTGTGTCAGCTAACCTTTTGAAGGTGTTAACTTTCCTGGATTTTCCTAGTCTGGTGTACCTGGCAGAGCCCAGGCGCCTCTCTTTGATTCGAGAACACAAAATGACGCCACGATTGAAGGCTGGAGACGGGAAGGATTTCAGGCTGGGTTCAGCTCTTAATATAAAAGTCCTGCTTTGTTGGTGGCGGCGCAGTAATGTGAGAAACATCAGTGTGTTTTTGTCTCCCCTTTCAGGCTTATACTGGACTTGAATCAAAGTACTTGAAAGTTTTACTTGAAAGGACAGAGGGGGATACATTTGTGTTTTCATCCTTATTTCCTGTATTTGACAAAGAAAAATCTGCATCTCAGAGGAACCAGGAAGGCTGCAGAGTTTGCATGTTGAATGTCTATTTTTCTGTTTTACAGCAACGACACGAGCATTTCCATCATCACCTGAATACCTCACCTCCTTTTGAAGGGAAATCCTGAACTGGAGTCTAAGTTTGGACTAGGTGTGTACCCGCTCATTGGCAGCAGACAGCAAAGGAGCTGAAATGTTGGATTTTTTAAGGTGAGGTTTAACAAAGGCAGAAGTGTAGAATTGAATAAAATTAACTATTTGGCAAACTAAAGAACAAAAAAGTACAAATCTTTGGTTGTAGAATGAGGGATGTGAGTGATTTAGTGTTGTGGTTTTGTATGGATTGTGTTAGGCCACTAGTCTGCAGTGTGTGGCGGTGTGGGAAGCAAAATTTTTCAAGGATCCTTTTTTTTTTTTTATGAGAACCATCTATAACCTGCACTCTTGGCAGCTTTTATAAATGGTGTTTATGTCCTCTGAGGCACAGTCGTGGATCAGGATCGGCTGTATATACAGGACTCTGATTATACTGTATGTCACATGTGACAGCACTGCGGCTTTTACAGCATCAAAGAATCCAGAATACTTAACTCACTATTGTCCATTACATGGTGCAATTTTAGAGCTTATTGTGCCCACTTCTTTAGAGATGCGAGGTACTAAGTTAGATTTTTGCATCAGTCATTACTTCAACCATGTTTTGTTGAACATTTCCAAAAGCCATCTCATTACTCCGATCTCCGTTTGAACAGTTTTTTTTTCTCTCCTCTGCCTGCAAACAACTCATCACTAGGTACATCATCAAAAGGCAAAACTTGGACCATGCACAGTAACATTTATTCCAGACATGCAAAATGTACACCACAGAGATAAAAACGGTCACATACAGCATACTGAAAAAGAAACACATCTATTAACAGGAATGAGATGCTGTTGTACAGAGAGATACAGACGACTTCTCAACAACATTGTCAGGGTTCATGGAAAATTTGCAGAGAGTATTACCAGTGCTGTGTCTTTACAGGGCTGACATACTTGGTAAAAACTGCAGTCAGTGTCATTTTTTTTCTGTTATAGTTTGGTAGAAAAAACAGGAATCTTTGGATTTGCTGCTTGCAGATGTTAAAATAAAGAATGTAGTTTTTTTATGTACAACCATAACATGGAATGAATCGGATAATAACCACTGTGACACTAGTTTATTAAACTTGACATGACTGCAGACGGTCTGCCTAACAGTAGTTATATAGTATTGGTGCATAGTCTAATACATGTCATCAGTTATGATTATGATTCTTTCCACCTGTATGAGCCCTTATACAAAAAACATGAACAAATGGCATCACTTTTTTTCATCATTAGAGAGAGATGTTGTTGCTCAGATGTTATTAAATAAGAAAAAAAAATGTACCCAAAGTGAGGCTTTTAAATGCCACATGGTCTTACAGTGTTCTTGTAGCGTACGTTAATGATAAAACAGTCTTATGTAGCCACAGGCTCTTCAAAACTGTGACCCCTCTTTGATTAGGTGATGAATACAGACGATTTGTCGTGCTTTGATTCTGAAGAAAAATATTTAAATGCTGTTCGTTATTACACAACGGTACTCGAAGGCCTGTTCATTTACAAGAAAATCAGTGTGTGTATCGGGCTTGTTTGACCCATAGCATGCGTACATATTGCATATATATATATTTTCCCATATAAATACATTTCATACCAGTATTGAGGAAGAAAACATTGAGTGAAACAAATGAATTTAACAGTCAGTATAAGCATGTCAAAGTGGAAACCGAGAATGCGGAGCTATGGTGTTGAAATGCTACAGAGAAGAGCTTATAAATTCAGTTTAGAGGTATCAAATGAAGAGGAAACTAAAGGACAGCAGACGTTAAAAAATCAAGTTTGGTGAGGAAGAGGTGTAAATGAAAGAAGGTGCTGGAAGACGGTGAAAGTTTCGACATGCTTGGCGAGCAAGGCAAGTTTAGGGAGAGGCGTAGAATGAGTGTTAGACCACCGTCCTCACACATTCAACAGTGGCTTTCCCATCATCATGTACCTGGAGTGCTCAGCCTCAATCACAAATTATAACAGTCCTAAAGAAGGAAGGCAGAAGTTTGGTTATCTACATTCAGGCATGCAGGTGGTCTCTTTTTTTTTTTTTTTTAGATTAAAAAAATCATAATATATAACAAAATTAAAAATGTGTTTCTGTTCCCTTTTCACATATCTTCAGTTTCCTCTGACACTAACAGGGCAGCTGTTGTGACACTCTGGACAAACCCGGCAACACTTTGCATACAAACATTTTATAAAATGTACATCTATGTATATATTTATATATCCATGTTTCAAATATATTTGTAGCTGTATATGCTTTGAATGCAAGAGGTTCAGTCGGGAATATATGAGGATTATACGCAGCTCTCCCAAAGGTTCAAGTCCAAACCGTGAATCTGTTTCTCAAAGCAGCTCCGTCCCAAAGAAAATGTCTTTTTGCGCACTTTCCTCTCATTCTCCTCTTCTTTTAAGAAGTCCAAAGAGAGACACTTTTGAGCCCTCCTGACCACATTCAAATCTGCATTTTCTTTTCCTCTGTTTTTACCTGAACAATTCTACATCAGGTTTTCATCAAGCAATTGTAACTGGATTCTAATGCATGCATCTCTGACTGATTTTTCTTTGTTAACTTACTGCGGTACCTGCTTTCATGGTTTTTCTTTTTTTTCTTGCATTCTAAGGGTGGCCATGAAGTAAGGACTTGTACTTGTGATTTTTATTATTTTTTTGAATGGGCCTTTTTCCTCCGTTGCATCCGTGGTTTGGCTTGCACGATTATTTTCTCCCCTCAGGTCCTCAGTTATGCGCAGTTACTGCAAAACAAAAAAGAAGAGGAGATTACACATCAGTCTGACGCATAGACAGCTTAAACTCACCGTCAGGTTCACTATTGTGACTGCAAATGTCAAAGACATTGAGCTGTAGGGTAGCTTCCCTTGTGCACAGTCAGCCCACGACAGCCACTGCAGTACTAAATCAATCTACTCACACACACACGCACACAAAACACACACCACGCCAGGGATTGTGCTGAGTTTGAATATAGAAAACAACAACTCATGTCTGTGAGGTAGGATCATATATCATCCTGTAACTGTAATGCAGGAGCCCCATGTGTGTTTGAGTATGGACACATGCAAACACACCGCGCATCGTTTTCAAGCCGTAAAACTGCAGAGGCTTTCTATAAATATGCGTAACATTAACATAAAAGCTCATTTTCAATAAATAGTATAAACAAAAACAAGCTTTAGTATCTTGAAAAAGTGGTGAGTAAACAACAGATGTACTTATTTCTTTTAGTTTAATACATCATATATCACTATATTTTGACATTTGTTCTCTGTCGTCCTTGTTTTCTTACCTGACACTGAGACGTAGACTATGATGATGACAATGCCCAGCACGATGGAGACGATACTGAGCAGGCGAGCCAGTCGCCCAAGCCTCCGAGCCCCGTCGATGTCCCCCACCTGGAGACTGTTTCTGGACTGGAAACACACAAAAGTGCGAGGTATTAACAAAAAGGAACATACAACTCATGATTTTACCTGAAATATATTACAGATCGCATACTGCATAAACATTCACATCTTTGGCTACTGTACATGGAGAATTGAAAGAGAGCATGGTGATGCAGAGGTTCTCTGTGTGACACATGTATGTTGTGTAAATCTGTATAATCTCCTGGTATATTATAATAACAGTGGGACATTGGAAAATACTACTGTTGATTAACTGAAGCCGGTCACACAATACAAACACGAATGAGTAAATAAACAGACCACAGGCACTTATTTTTCTAACAAAAGTACTGGATACAACACTTTATGATACCTCACGGTACATTAAGATATATTACAACATAATACCATAACAATAACCATTACTGTACCTTACTATGAGACAGATATATGTCCTGCAACACCTTTCGTTTTCTTTTGTCTTTTTAGGGAAATCCATCACACACTTGAGTGTTTCACACATTTAGCGGCCCTTAAAGTACTTGATATATTCACACAACCACCCATGTATTTATAGCTTCAGTCCCATACTACTAACTGCAACCTTCATTTTAAATGTGGCTAAATTCAACCATCTCAATAATAGATATAGAAAAACACAATATGAGATAAATCAGCTGTTTTACCGTCCTGTCTGAAGTTTACCATCTCTACTGTTTCAAACTTCCTATTCCTACATACAGTAAAAATCCTCTGCCAGAATTTAATTTTTAAATATAAGCAACAAAAATATACATTTTCAGGGCAGAAAAAAAGTTAAAAAATGCAAAGAAAAGTGTACCGAAAACATGATCTTATTTGGATCGACAGCAATCATAATGACACAACTAGTAACATAAAAATAAACACATAAAAGTAAGGGGATTAATAGTTTCAACTGGTCTTGAAAAAAAAAAAAAACATGGCAAAGTTGCCTCAAATGTGCAGCAGCTCAACTCCATGCAGCAGCTCTCTGAGAGTTACACTAAAATATTTATTAGGTGGTTTTACTGCTAATCGACAGCCGAGTTATTTTAAAGCAGCCATGACACACATACAGTACAGTAATGTTGACTATCTACTGGCTGCTCTGGGGGGCCTCTGTAACTCAAGATAATATTTATCTATGTAATATTAACGCAGGTGAATGGAGGAAAGGTTTATTGCAGATTGATGGAAGGATGTGACGCACATAACAGAATGGATGGAGGAGGCAGCTGGGTTGTAGATCAATTTAATGTTGTATGTATATGACTTTGTGTATGCTGCAGATATGAAGACGGGATGATTTATGCATAGGTGTGCAGAGCACGACAGATGAGAACATGCAATCTATGTACTTTGCTTACACACGTGAGTCCTAAATCAAAGAATCTCTCAACGCTGATGCCGGAAAAAACTCATTAACCTTGGTGTGTGTTTAATTTGATTACTGTCAACTTGTTACACCATTAAACACACACCAAAGTACACTCATTAAACTGCTACTGACAAACACAGTTCAAACACAGTTTACTTGAGCTGAAAGAACGAGGCAACGCAAAGGAACAAATGAGTGAAGTTTTCAGCCCTAAAAGCCCATGTTAAAATAGTCATTTTATAGCCTGGCTGGGCCATCCTGTTGCGTGAATCACTTGCCGTCCCTCCCTACAACAGTCTGGACTTCGGCCAATTGGGAGCGTGTATTAGAAATCAGAAAATAACCGGGCCAATCAGTGACTGTGTTTCCACTGTTCCCCGGACAACAGTAAAAGGCAACCCCTGACTGGTCCATGTGTAGATGGTGACGTCTAACACGTGCTGCGGGACTTTTCAAAGCGCCGTTCATTCAGAACGCCGTTAATTCTGCAGTTGACTTTGCAAAGTCAGCAGAAATCGTTTATATCCGCAGAAGAAGACGTAAAACACATTCTTTGCTCGCACACGTTGAAATATTACCAAACCTTTACTTGATGTTCGAGAGCCCAGCAGGGAATACAGTTGCACACTGTGATGACATCAGATGTTTGGTTACGGACGGTTACGCCGAGAGTCACTGTGATGACGCTCGGCTCAAACAGCGTATCCCCTGGGTGAGCTACGCAATCCCTGAACGCCCATAGGCTGTATCAGGTGTCAATCATAGAAAACATGAACCCCCTAATAACTTTTAAAAACGGAGCTGCACAGGAAAAAGAGGACTTGAGCACAAACCAGTCTTACAGTGACTACATGTCAACATCACAAGCAGGGGGGAGAAAAATTTATGTTCTGTGTAATAAATTTCTAAAGTTTGTCCACACCCCTAAGGCGGGATTTATGACCTATACTGCAGCCCGTCAACAGAGGGTGCTGTTCTCAGAGTGGCTTCACCCAGTGAGGAGGCAGACTCTGTCCATTCTATATACAGTCTATGGCTGACACTTACCCCCTCCCACTGGTTTCTGGTATTAAATATCAGGGTATAAAGTTTGTCAGTCTTGTTGCTTTAAACATCATAAAAAGGCGTTAACATTAATTTCAATCAATCTCAAAATTAATAATAATTTTAAAAAAACTAATCATAGGAGCTTTAGATATGTTAAAAACGAACACTTTGGAAGCTCTTAAGCCTTTCTAACATTGAGGTTGTCTAAAATAAATAACTAGGAGGCTTGTCATATTTTGAAAAAAGGCCAGGAGGAGCATGCGGAGCACCACAGCTGGACATTTAGTGCTATATTGGTGTAACAACAAAGCAATAATTTAACAGTATGAATGCATACTAACCTGTCACACCCTAACACTAGTGTAGCCTGACAGCTAAAGACCAAGCACAGATGTATTTTACTGCAGCATAAAAACAGGAATAACAGGTTTCATTGTGCTAAGGAACACTGAGAAGTGGGGAGCTGGAAAAACACTGCCCATCTGCCCACATGAATCCCGCTTCCTGCTGTCTCATGCTGGTTATGTGACTCAAAACATTCATCACACCGAGTGAAAAACATTGCAGACTGGACAGTGTGATGGTGTTGTTTACTTGAGTTTGGTAAAATATTTTGACTTCTAAAGGACATCGAACCTCGCCCCTTTACCAGCAGCGCCAGGATTTATCAGGGACTTTTTAAGATAAAGTGCAGCACGCCTGAAGGTCAGAACTGCCCAAGAATGCTTTCATGGACAAAACAGAGGAATACGGTGATTCAGTGGCCTCTCCTCTCACTAGATTTTAATCTAGAGCTCCTTGGGCTGGGGGCACAACACACTGAAGAGCACCGCATCCTGCCTGGGTCCATGCCTGTGCAGTGTTTTAAGTTAATGCTAGGTCTATGCTTTGATACGCTAAAATCTTCAGGGGTGAAAATCTATACGAAAAATTTCTCTTTAGAGTTCCAGAGCAAAATTATATAATAATAATAACGTGTTTTGATCCTTTGATTGTGCTTTGTGGTACCCAAGGAGCTGTCCATGGTGCTGAATGTCTCATTACACGTCATGGAAATAGGCTCATCCTTTTTATACTACGCAGCTACACTTTGCAGGGCACGGTTTCTAATGTAATTATTATATATCCTGAAATTCAATGCCTTTTATAACATTTCAGCTACACTAAGAAAAGACTGTTTTATAATTTACATGTTATAACTCTAACTCTAATTAATATCTCTATGTGGGGAGACAATGAGCAAAAACATCTCAGGGACAGGATGTTCTTAGATAGGATGTCACATGGGCAAAATAAAAATTAGATATGCCAGCTGGACAAATAGCTTTGCATTTACTAGTTCATCATGATTAAAAAAACAAACATTTTTCACATCCAATCGAGGGCCCTCCCTTATAATAAATTACAATTGATTACAGTAAGAAAAAAAAATCAAGCAACGCATATTAATTGACAATAAATTGTGTGCGTCTTCTTGACTGGCTCACTCAATCAATAGGGTGCAGAGTCAGGGTTGTTTCAGAATGAGATAGGATTACACTGCAGAGAGAAAGAGAGAGAAGGAAAGAAAGAGAGAAAGAGAGAAAGTGAGAGAGAGCTCTCCCCCTCTCCCCCCCCTGCTGCTCTCCCACAGTGACTTCATCCCCTTACTCTCCCATGAGCCTCTCTGTCTCCAGGCTGTCTCTTCTGTAGGTCCCACAGTGCACTTGGAGTAGGCAGGTGGGAACAGTATAAACCTTTGGTTTTTCCTCCAAACAAGTTGCTTTAGGCGAAAGACTTTTGCTTTAATACCTTTAAATCTGCAATAATGCTTCATTTTTGTTTTTTATTTTTTAAAAACTTTCATCTCAAAGTGATAAGGTCTTTTACAATCATGACAAAAATATATAAATACGCCTGTTTTGGAAAATTTGGAATATTTATACTTTGGGTACTGGGTCACAACTTCTGTGGTTTGGTTTGTGCTGATCTCAGCGCCCCCTGTGGACAATACAGTGTATCTTCTCTCAGCTTATTTTGCCCAGAACATGCACAGAGCATGTTTTTTTACACAAAAACAAGTGTCACAAAACCCTTACAATATATTCTTAAACTGTAGAGATAATAATTTATATATTATTATGACAAGACAACTTTATCTGACAGCTAAAACAATAGACCACTGGGTTTAAATCTCTTTAAGACTCACTGCTTTACAGACAATTTTGATGGTTTCACATCATATTGTATTGGATCGTGTTTATGAATTGTCTGGTCTCAGTGTCAGCTACAAAACTCCCCCCCTCCCAATCAAAATACTAATTTTGCATCTTGAATCTTTGTCATGAGAAATATAAACAAGCCTGTTTTTCTGCAGCTTGCTGTATTTCACATGTTCTGCACTTACCTCTCTGCACTGGTTTCTGGTTTAAAAATACATTTGCAGTAATAATCATCTTTCCAAAACAAAGTCTTGTTTGCTTCTTTAATTCAGTAACTAGATTTACTAAAACCAGCTCACACCAAACAGCAGCTTTAAAGCTACTGTGAGTGACTTTCAATTTGTGTCGAATTTTTCGCCTCCGAAGTGTTTTATGCTTATCTGCTCATCTACAAATTTATCAAGTTTCTTCTGATCCAGCTGACTTTTAACTGTCCAAAATATATTAATTATGGCGACTATTTTATGCAAACAATTTAAAACAGGGCTGTATCTTCAGCTACTCAGCTGACACCTACCCCTAAGACTGGTTTTAAGTATTAAAAATAACAAAATAAAAATGTCAATTGTATCACTGATGGTCTTCTTTGCTTTAGAAGTGAAAAAAAACAAAAAACAAAAACATCAATATGAAGTACAATCTCTTTCATTAACATAAAAAATCCCTGACAGGCGCTTAAATCAAAAACAAAACAATTGAGTTGTGAGGAAATTCAAAAAACTGAAACCATCATTAAGGTTTTAATGTTGACGTTAATAAAATCTCATTGGATACAAGGCTCAAAAGCTAAATCAGTGCATGAGTCAATCTGTGCTCCAGACAGTCAAATAAGGGAATTTGTGTCTCTCTAACGTGGACTTCAGCTTCTCACTTCCAGGACTGCAATGTGAAGCTGTGGTACTAACACTGTCCCAGTGGAGCCTGCTATTGATCTGGACACACATCACAGAGAAAAAGCACCATCAGCATCTTAGATCAATGGGCAGTCCTTTCAGAAAACACTGCCTTTTAGCCCGCTAATTCAGAGAAATTAACAATGCCGAACAGGCTTAAAAATGTCGTGTCCTATCAGTCTTTCAAAAGGGAAGAAGGAGAGGAAGGCAGACCTCTTTGTTGACATCGCTATTTGATAAACTCACTGCTTTTACTCCCCCAAGAGCTGCAAGAAGTTTAATATGTGTGTGTGTGTGTGTGTGTGTGTGTGTGTGTGTGTGTGTGTGTGTGTGTGTGTGTGTGTGTGTGTGTGTTTGTGATTAAAGGGAGTCACCCTTTGGCCTTGCTGATGAATGTCTGTATTGATTCACAGCGAGAGTTCGTCTCGTCATATTTGTTTTCTGAATGGGAAATTCTAACCCTCAAACTGTCTTGTCCAGTGTTCATTGTGTTGCCAGTGTGCACATCAAACGCACAAGCACACACACACACACACACACACTGCTCTCCATCTCTGCAGTTCATGCGTTCAGCAGGGAGGTGGAGGCTAGTAAGTCAGTGAGTGCTCCCCCTCTCCCTTGTCATTAATAATGGAGGCCAGCGGCAGCAGCAGCAGCAGCAGCAGCATGGTAGAGAGGGACAGTGTGCAACCAGGAGCTGCTGTGTTATGTCCATGAAACCATACAGTTAAAACAAATTTATATTTCTATTAGCTTGTAACTTCATTATTTCTTATCAAATGTTAATTAAATTTAATTTTTCCTCAGTGTTTTCATTCCATATCACTTCTTATAAGAGTCCCCTCCATTGGGAATCGACTTTAAGCCCTAAACAACAGTAAGGACCACTGGGTTTAAAGTCCTAATTAGGAAGAGAATAAAGACTTTGGCCGGCCTCTTTGCTATTTGGTTTAAACCACTTTTGGTCTCAGGTGTAATGAGTGTCACAGCCTCTAGGGGCCCCTAACAGGGCTTTTAGACTCAGCCTTGTTACACTCTGTTACATTAGAATTTCCATTAAAATTGCAGAGCACTCAATGCGGTCAGATGATCAAATCTGTCAGACCCATGATTGCAAAGCTCTCATTCTTGGAGATATAAAATGCATTCTCGCTCCTGCTGCTGCAGCTTATAAATTTTAATTGTATTTATGTCTTGGTTAGCCGTGGAACTGCAAACAGCTATCTGAGTGTAAGCTCCAGAAAAACACACAGAGCCGTAATGGTGGATACTTCTTCCATTTAGCACATCAGTAATGGGTGAATCATTGTCAGACTGGCTGACGGAAGGAAGGCAAATTTCACTATCTGGTTTACAGAACAACACACACTTTTCGAGATTCATAAAATAAGCTTCTTTTAGCAGTAGGTGTGTTCAGACTGAATAAGATCAAAACTCTATTTCACATCCACCGGTTAAATAAATAAAATAAATACAGAGTACTGGCAGGATAAGAAGCTCCAGTTACCAGTCGGACACCAAATGCAGAGAAAAATGTTTAAAATGGTTAAATTTACCTGTAAAAGTGAAATAAGACTGAGAGTCTGCAGCTATGCTAACAGCTGACACACATTATCACAGCTGGAGCACTGGCGTTGTAAAGTATAACTATGTATTTTCATTGACACACTGGACATCTATATTTATCGCCTTAAATGAAGCTGATGGGAATGTTGCATACTCTGAAGGTATTTATAATGTTGTGCATAACATTATGAGTTATAACAATAGATGCCATTTTGGGATTAAATAGTTACCATTTAACTTTATTTGAGTCTGTATGAACCATCTTTTCTGACTACTGACTACTACCAAGTTACTGTTATGAAAATGACAGGCAAACAAAGTGAACGTTGAGTAAATGTTATAGAAAGAACACTCGATGTAAAAGTCACAGCCTGTTTTCATAGAGAGGTTTCTTACTCTGGAAGCTCGACATGCCTGTGAAGAAAAAAAACCCTCCTAGTATAACTGATGGCACCCCTCCCCCATGCCTCCTAAAGCTGGGTGTTGCTCTGCTCTACCTGCAGTATGATTGTCTTCATGTTCTATAGAATCAAATTAGAATATAATCCGTTGATTTAACTTTGCAAATCAACATGATTATAAATAAATCTTTTTTCTATTATAATTAAAAACCGACTCTTCTTTCTCTCTGATAGGTTTTTCATATTAACGGAAGCAAAGGTACAGACCACTCTTCATCAAAGCCTGCAGTATAAGATTGCTAATAAGAAGTAATTCTTGTACACTAACACGCACACAAGCGCAGACATACACAAACACCTACACACACAGACACACACCCACTCAAACACATGCATGCACGCACACAGCTGTCCTTTCACTACTGCATTGCAAGTCCATATTTCACAGGCAAATCTGCAGAGCGTGCAATAACGCTCCTGCTGTTTGGGCCTTCCCATTACTGGGATAGGCTGGTGCGGGCAGTAAAAAGCCCTGCCTCTCCAATCCACATAATTGACTGCACATCTTCCGTGTTTGCCAGCCACAAGCCTTCCCCACCACAGCATCTCTCACAGATCTGTGGCGGCAGCCAGCTGGAAGTCGGCTTTTAGGCCGCCCCGCTGCTTGAAGTGGTGGTGGGTGATGATGGATGTAACTTTTGGCTGCTCTGTTGTTAACAATGCACCATCTGTCAGAAGAGAAAGATGCTGACACTTCCACAAGGCTAAATGAGTCAGATTGAACCTAGTAGTACTTCATTTTGGTCTTTACTGAAATCTTTCCTTTTGTTTCATTTAGCCTGAGCCAGTTATCTGTGTTATTGATCATTTCTTTGTGATGCAGCAAATTCAAAACAAATGCCAGAAGTCAAAATCAACAATACATTTTCATTATTTTATAATGAGATACAAATGAAATACATACATTAGAAAGCTTAATACGAGCTATGGTCTAAAGTTCAATATACTTGTTAAATTAACGTCTAATAGACAACTGTATCAGTGTCTTCAGAGCTGGTATTGATTTATATTCTGTGGCAATAAGTTTATGTGCACAATTGACCAGGCATGTGATGTGTATAAATAATAAACTCAAAATAGTGACATCTTCGTCTTTTACGCCACATAAACTTGCCTGAAACTATCACCACCACCATGATTTATTTGCATATTCCAAAATATGTCACTTTCATAGACACCAATATTATGTTACAGGGTAATGTATAGTGGATGAGTGTTCCTGACAGGGTGAGTGAGGACTTTACCCTGATTCAACATTGTTTCTATCATTACAACCACAAACTATTCTGCAGTGATTAGCAACTTAAAGATACTCTCCCAGCTCTGCTGCCATTGCCTGGATTGCAGGACATGCTCTTGCTCTACTTTTCCCCATTGCAGCTTTGGCCAAACAGAAAGAAGTCAATTGATTATGGTACCAGGTGCATTACTATTTAGACGAAAAGCAAGATATCATCTGAACAGAAGTGTAAATACATTTTCTCTGTAAATGATAAAACAAACAGGAGGTTAAATAAACAACACCGTTAATGGGACTCCTTAGTGTGAAAACAGTAAAAAATAACTCCTTTTTTAATAATTACTATTTCGTACATTCTGAGCTTTTTCCCCTTGACTCTCTCTCATTAACACCAATATCTCTTCAGCAGTGTCTTTCCTCTATAGAGCTTTCCAGAAGTATCCATTTCACATGGGCGGGGAGAATATTAGCACTTAGCTGTGATCGCCACTCAGGCACTACATCTTGTGGTATTAACCACATTACTTCTGCTTCATCTGTTTCACAGCGTGAGTCTTGTAAACCTCTATTTTCCTGCTCAGGCCCACTTGCACTTATCTAACATCACTGTGGTAACTGATTTAATCCCTTTCTAATTCAGTGATAGGAACTACTTTATAGCCATTTTCCTTCTCTCTCACACCCATCTGCCCTTGTAGGGGATGGTGTTTTGATCTTCTTTGCGAGGGCCCATATCCTCTTTCCACATACACCAAGGAACGAGAGAGAGAGGATGTTGATAGCTGCCGAGGGGTTGGCTAACTGCTGCAATCTGCCCTCTGCAGAGAAACCAAATTGACTTCTCTCGCCTTCTATTGAGTTAGTGGCCGGCTCCAGTTTCTCCCTCCTTCACTTTTCTTTCTTCTGCCCTCTGTCAAAGCCCGACTCTCACTCCCCCTACACACAGACACACGCGCACATACGCACACTCTTCCTCTCTCTCTCTGTGCCATTACCAAGTGGCTGACTTGTGAATGTCAGTGGGTTCATGATGATGGCTGAGGGAAGTACAGGCTGTCTCGTAGATACTGCCTGATATTCCCTTTGGTGTGTAGCGCCCACAGGAGTGTTATTACAGAAGTAATGGGCTCACCGGATTGCCTGTGTGTTGTTTCGCTGTAGATTTCAGAGTTGGCTCTCGTGCAGTTTGAGAGTATAGTGGGCTGAAAAAAATACAAAGTGCTGTGCCAAAAGCAACCAAGCTACCATCAGAGTTAAAATCCTGATAAAATACAGTTACTACTGATGCCGCTGAAAGGCTCCAGCAGGATACTGCCAGCTGCTTAATGCTCAGCTCAGTCCAAAAATCTATTTATGAGTGCTGCTCAGTTACTGTAGTTTGCTGTCTCTGCTGGCTCTCACACACACACACGCAGGTTTGCAGGTCACATCATGAGGTATATAGTGTTTTGTTTTGGTAGCTACAGATCCTGATAAATTACTTTTTCTGACCATATGCAGAAAATAATTTTAGTATCACTATGAATAACACAGTTTTTTGTTAGCATGCATTTTTTTCTGTTTAGGTGGGTGAGACAGTTTCTGGGACTGTGGGTAAATCATACAGTTTAAATGCTGCTTTATAAATAATCCACTTTTGACTTCTGATGGTCTCCACTTAAAGGAAATATGGTGTTATTATCACATGATGACACGGTTGAAAACTTACATATCAGACCGAACACAAACTGAACATTTTCTCTTATACAGATGGATGGATTTTTAATAGTTTTATAAGTTTCATGTTATATAAATGCCTATAGAGATTTTTATATCCTGCCAAAAAAAAAGGGGTTGTTTGAAGATTCTGCACTTGGAGGGGCTATAGCAGTTACAAACTCGTGACCTGCAATACCATTTTTTTTTTACTTCACTGTTCATACTGAAAATTTCCCACTGTCAGAGCAACTGGCTGCTTCAGTGCCAATAAATACTGGCATCGAGTGCCTACCAAGCTCCGTATTTGGAAGGACATCTAAGCCCCTTTTTTCACATGTGCACTTCTGAACATTTGTAGAAATTTTCTTAACTGTTTTCCCACTGTCATTTTTTATATGTCCCTTACAGTCCACAGTCAACCCCACCGTGCCTCAGGATGCATCTTCTCATCCTGGCTCAAAGGGATGCTGTGGTGGTCACAATCTGTACCTTCAGTGTTGAAAAATGAGGTAAATGCTGGAGTCCACAAAGCTGCAGGTCCTGGAGTTTCTTTAAACAACAAATCTATTTTGATGATATTGAGGCAAAGATCTCTGCAGAAATTTGCATTATTAATGCCACAGTTGAATTTACAGACAGATGGGCACATTGTAGTTGTTTGATGGACAGCTGGGTAATCGTCTCAGTTTCACCTCCATACCTGTTTCTAGATTGGTCAAGAAGCTAGGCTGAGTCTCCATTTCTGATGTAGTGGCTGCAACTGTTGGGCTCAATTTATATCCTATGTCCGTGTTTTACTCAGTGTAGTAACAGGTGTCCATCTCCTCAAGTGATTTTTTTCTGATTTTACCTGCTGCAAACTGAAGTATTGTGCAAAAACTACCTGCTTTACTTCAATCAGCGACTCGACAAAAGACAAGTAAAGTGAATTCTGCAATGTTGTTCCACAAAGCTTTTAAATTCATATCTTCAACTTCTACTGTTAGAATCTTGTAATAAAATAATAAAATGAAGTATACTCTCCTTAAAAAAATCAGTGTAGATGAAATGAATTTAACCCAACAGACTTCCTCTGACCTGGGATGAAGCAGAAATTAGCCCACACACAGATACATTTCAGGGTCTCAAAAGACTTGAGCCTTTTGTATTACTCAGCTGGGGATTTTACCCTGATGTACAGTTTCATTATTTCAGTCGACTAATGCAATGACTTTTGTCAGTAGTGATGTTAAGACTGCTGAGGATCTTTACACTGAAGAGTGGGGCAATTACTAATTAAAGTGTGCAGGATTACTGTCCTGCAAGAGCTGAGAGAAGTCCTGCTGTATTACATTAACTGGAAGAATAGGGTGTCTGGAGGGGGCCTGTGAAGAATGCCTCATTAATGCGGCACAACATCTGGAGTTTTCCCTCAATGAAAAATTACAACTCAGTTTCCCAGTGTCATGCATGTGAATTTAAGTTTTATCATCAGGGCTCCATAACAGGCAACATGATGAGACATTCAGCATCTAAATATTTGGCCAATCTGATAGTTTTCCTTATACCACACACACCAGGTTGTATATTTTTACACAGGTTTGCTGTGTGGCGTACGCTCAAAGCTTTCAGAGCCTCAAAACTCCTCCACCATTTTTAATCAAACCCCAGCACACCCTCAAGATACATTTTTCACTGATAAAATGCAATATGGACCATGTGGGGAGTCAACAACATTGTTCATAGAGTAAAAATCATGTCCTGAGAAAAATCTATTAAAAGGTTTCTGAACAGAAGCAGCATATCCAGCATCCATCATATCCAGATGTGACTTCAGGGTTGATTTGTGCATCAGCATGTACAAACTCAAACTTTCAGTGAGGCCATGAATCAAATGTCAGCACCTCTAAAGCAGAGGGGAAAAAAAGAATAAGGGAGGCAGCAGCAGACCTGAGATCAGTGAAATCCTCAGAACAGGGTGAGAGCTGATGTTGCACTGAACCCCAGGTGTGTGTGTGTGTGTGAACCCTGATATGTGTGACTATTGTACAGACTGCTTCACTTTCAAAACAATCTTCTGTTCAAGAAAATTACAATATTTGGATGGATTTTTAATTCCCATATTTGGATAAATTTCATGAACACAACACTCCTCTGAAAATCTGATTGACTGCATTTGTGGTTTTGTGGGAGTTGCCTGGACAAAAGAGTTATCTCTCTATGTTGTTTGTGTTATTGTAGCCTTTAGATAATGTAATATATGATGGCTAAAAGTCTGGCAGCAGTGGACAGAGATGTTTATCAAACTTAATACCATTTTCAAGAAACAGGCGATGAAATATTACACTCCTAGAACATTTGTGACTAGTTAATCACTAGTTTTGATCAAAATATGATTGATATGTTAAATAATGTTTAGATTTGTAGTATGTGGTTTTGATATACTGATATATACCAAGTATGAATACCTTTCTTTCTGAATATTGCCTTCACATTGCTTATTGATTAAATTGAACATGCTGTGAATTTTGTAGGGTGCAAGGGAGTAAAGCAGCTGAACGACAGAGAGGCGGAGAGGATCACAACTGGGTTTTCCAACTGTTATGGAGGCATGTTGCCTTATTGTCCATGCTATTTTTACAAAGGTAATTCATTTCTTGAGTTATTAAAGTTTTAAATACTAATAGATTTAAAGCTAGAACCTCTTTTCTTCAGATTTGAATTAACTTAACATCTAGTGGTGCGGTAACACCATTGACAAAATGTTGAACCTTGGCCAGTCTCTTTACTCTTACTCTCTTACTACTTTGTCGGTAGGCTCCAGTGAAACTCACCATGATGGAGTAGACTAGTGCCACGATGCTGACGGGCCACACTGGGAAAAAGCAGGACATGATGACCAGGATGAGGTAATCCTTGGGTTTAGGGGTCTCCTGCACCCCGGCGTTCCCGGTGGAGGAGCGGCTCAGGCTGACCTTAGATGGAGACAGCGGGGCAGAGGCGGACAGCTGCCCGGCAGAACCCGACCTCAACGCCGCGCTGTGGCCGTTCTGGTCGGCCTCCTGACTCCGGTCGGGGTCCATGCTGACGGTGAAGGAGGTGGACATCTTCATCCCGTTCCCTCCTGGCTCGGTAGTCAACGCGAGGAGTTTCTCTGTCTCGAAGGAGTCTGCAGGCTGAGTGCCTCCTCCTCCTCCTCCACCCTCACCCAGGTCAGACTTTAGGAAGTCGGTGTCAGTGTTGATAGCCATGTTCAAGTCAAAGTTTTACGACAGAAGCCAGCAAATGAATATTTCTTGAAGTGATTTAAAACTGATTAAAAAACAAGAGACACTGACATCTCATAATACAGCCGAGTGAAAGTTTCAACAACTAGCCCTGCCAAGTTGTAGATCAAGAGAGTAAATAACCAGAAAAAAATCAGATCTTTTTTACAAAGTGTATCGATGACTCCTAAAAGGAAATCTTAAAATCAGTAAGCAGCGTGGTCCCTGTGAATATCATTCTTCCTCTTGAATCAGTTTCCTCCTCCTCCTCCTCCCTTCATATCTGCTAATTTCCGACAGAGGAGCTGCTGTGATGAGAAACCTCCCTCCTCTCTGATAAATCCAAGTGGACACGACTCACTGCAAAGAGCTCCTGTCGCCCGCCTTCATCCACAACTTACACCACTTCCACTTTAACTTTGTCTGACAATTAAAAATCGACTGAACGCCTCTCTTTCCTTTTCATAATTAAAGAAAGAAAGATGATGAAGATGATGGGTTTCTCTCAGTGCGTTTCCCCCTCCTCTTCTTCTCCTCCTCTGTCTTCACGCCGCAGCAGCTCTGAGACTGTGGGCTACTCAACTTGGGACCAGTATCAAGGTAAACAGATCTAAACAGTGCACTTCCGGTGACGACGCTTAAAATAAAAGCAGCAAACAGGAGGGCTCTTTGTAAAACAGTGGGGATAATCCATCAAAATAAAGATGGCCTTTCTGTTGACCACTACTAAGACCTATTCTTGATATATCATAAGCCAATATCAGAACATTTCCTTTTAAAAGGATTTATTACTAAAAAATCTTTTTTTTTTCACATGGGCTAGGCTATATTTAATGGAAACCTGGTGCTTTGCAAACAAACAAACAAACAAAAAACACGAAACAAATACAAGTGGTACAGCAAGGTTAGTAGGATATTAGTTGTCCTGGATGGAAATGTCATCCTCTCTGTCAACCCTTAAACCCTGATTCGCCCGATTATCTAATTAAATAGATTTAATATAATAGATCAACAGACGAACAACCAACCGACCGACCAACCAACAAACAAACAAGATTCGCCCATTTAGCGAATTCATTAGACTTTATATAATGGCTCAACAGACGAACAACCAACCGACCAACAAACAAACAAGATCCACTGAATTGGCTAATTAAATAGACAATATAATGGATCCACAGGCGAACAACCGACTGACCGATCAACCAACTGATCAACCAACCAACCAACAAACAAGATTCGCCCGATTAGCTAATTAAATAGACTTAATAAAATGGATCAACAGATGAACAACAGACCATTGAACTAACGAATGAACGAACAAACAAACAAACAAACAAACAAACAAACAAACGAAGAAACACACAAGATTTACCGAATTAGCTAATGAAGTAGACTTAATATAGTTGATCAACAGATGAACAACCGACCGATCAACCAACCAACCAATGATCAAACAAACAAACAAACAAACAAACAAGATAGATGGATAGATAGAAATGATGCCTTGTTCGAGAGTGACACATATACAGATCAGTTCATGAAATTCATGCAAATAAATAATAGATTAAAAAAACATTTTAAATCGATCACATTTCAAACGAACTTGTTATAATCATTTTAATTGTCGACTCTTGGATTTTCCGGTAGATTACATGCTTCCTCTGGCCAACTTGACGCATCACATGAAAAGCACAGGACAGTCTGTCGCGGAGCCCCCTCCTCCTCCTCCTCCTCTCCTCTCCCTTTCTTCCCCTCTCTCCACCATCAGCACCAGAGGTTTATGGATGAGAGCCAGCGGAGGGCTGTGCTGCTATGCAGAATTTACTGTACATCCTCTGTGTGTTAGTATTCAGTGGCACGGTCCCGACCCATGAATCAACTCTTTGCAAACAGATTTCAGACTCTGTGGATATTCTAACGTAAACTAAAATTTCTGACTGGATGAAATAAGATATTAATTACGGGTCTATATAATTTCAAATGAATTTTCTTTATTAAGCCTCATTTTTTGTCCTTTTGTTTACTTGCCTCAGATTGAAAGAAGAGCGTAAAGGTGCTTGTAAAGGGTTGGATGCCACTATCTGAATGTTTAATCACGAGCTTTTTTCCCTCTGATCTGCACTTATTGATCTCCCTCATCATTAGACTGGTGCATTAGCGTCAGCCTCATTTCCCAGAGAGACTGCTACACTGCACTGTGACCTGTGCTACTGAGGGGGGAGTGTACAAACTGAAATGTGGGGATTCCCTGAATGAAAATAAGGAGCAAGTATGATGTCACTGTTATGATTTCATATTTATTATGTAAAGAGAGGTGGAGGATTCAAATGCCTTTCTGTGCTTTCCCCCGGATGCAGCAGCTCTGCCTCCCCCCTTGCATTGAGGAGGACTGTGCCCCTGCCTTCTTTACAACAAAACACTGCAGTCACATCAACTAGGAGGGAAGTACAGCAGGAGCAGAACCAACCAAGCTCATTTATTTTTACGAGCCCCACGGCTCCCCATGAAAATGACTGTGCCACTCTGGGCGCAGGGTGATAGCATGGTGCAGGTGCACGGGAAAATAGCTATGGTCAGAGCTCCGCCTAGTGGAAGGTCCGTGTACTTACAAGACTTTGGAAGGAAACTTTTTTATGATTTATAGTTTAATTTTGCATACAGGAATACAGCGATGTGGGCCTTCTCATTTTAAGAATACACTACCTTTAACCCTAAATGTAATACAGACAGATACTGGAATTTGTATACATATTGAAACACAATCAGGCAACTCCTACCCTTGACCACATCAATTAAATGTGACCAATTTCAATTTGATCAACTGGGTAAAATTTCAGTGAATGAATACTGATTGCCTTTAACATAGTATGACGGATACCCAATTAAAAAAAAAAGCTTGGGTATAATTTCCTTCTGATTTCTTTCCTCTTAGTCTAAGCCCAGACACATGACAACTGAGACTACAGATGATTTAATTTCTCTTCGACAGAAAAGTCGTCTACTATTTACAGAAGAGTAAAGTCTGATGGCTGAGGATACAAACAATAGTAGCAGTAGAGAAAGTAGAAATAGTAGCAAAAGTGGTTGAAGTGGAAGTGAAAGTACTAGTTAAAGTGATATTAGAAGTAGTTGCAGTAGTAGAAGTGGGATTTTGTTTGAAGGATTAAATAATGACTGAATATTGAAAATGATTTAAAACAGGGAAAATTTTAATGAATAATAATCCTGAATACATCCCATAATGTTGACTTTTTTAATGTACAATTCAAATCCTCAGTTTAACTGTTGTCAAGCCTATAACGTCTCCCATTCTCTAACTTCTGCAGCGGTCTCTCTTTGTCAAAACATGCCCTTGTACTTGTCCCTGTCCTCCTGCCTCTTCTCCTCCATGCGCATGCTCAGCACAGCCAGATCCTTCTTCACGGCCTTCTTCATGCCCGGGTCGAGGTCCAGCACCCTGCTGAAGTCCTGCTGAGCCTCTGATTCATTCCACACCTCCACATGGGCCTTTGCACGCAGGTAGAAGGCCTTCACTATACCTTGAGAGTAAATATAAACCTGTTGTTGAAAACTGCTCAGTCATTGTAAGGGTCTTTACCAAGTTTGTAAAATCTATGGATACATACAGTTCCAGAGTGTGTGTCATGATGAACAGCAACAAGTTTTTAGGGTCTGTTTTTTAAGACACCCCCTCAAGAGATGAATGTTGCCGACCACTTGCTTCTCTAGCTATACTAACTTTAGTAACATCCGCAGCATAGCAATACACAGTGGTCTGAGGAGCCATAAACAAACCTTAACCGAAACGCCACTCTATAGCCATAAATAATGCTCAGAACAGCACCTAACTTCATCAATATCCCTTTAAAGGCTGAGCAAACTATGAGGTAGTAATGTAAACACAGCATGGCAGTTTCCACGCTTATATTCTGGGATACGATAACTGTATTTAACCAATCAAATAAGACTATTTCAATACTATTCTGTAGAGTCAAACACCTGCTGTCATTTTACAGGAGCAAACCTGGGTGCTGGTTGATGATGTCGCTGGTGTGTTCAATGACCTCGTAGTATTCCTCCATGCGCAGTAGACACTGACAGTAGTTCAGAGTCAAGGTGTTGGCCATCTTCTCCAGCTTCAACCACGGGACATCCCATGCTTTCTCCTGTCAAGGTACGTAACTCGTTCAATCATTCAATTACTGGCTTGTTTTATTTTTTAATATCAAATCACCACAAAAGTTGTCACATGATGAGTTATCCGACTAAAAAAACTGATCCAAGCTTGATTCCTGGCTGACAGCGGGGTAAACGGGTCCTCAGAGAGAGACACACATTTTTTTTCCAGATGAACTATTCAGAATCAGCAAATCTGGCTTCAGTCATGACAGATATACCTTAGAGAGAAACACTGAAAATGGAAACTGTCCATTCCCTCCAGGGTGAATGAGCCCGATTCCAGTCAGTTCAACACACAACAACATCCATGTTCATGACGTTTCATACACAGAGTATGCACTTGACAGCACAGGCAAACCAGACTCACTGGTGGGCAGTTGTCTGCTGCAGCATGTACATTCAGATGCAAAATCACACACTTCCTCAAGGGCCAAAGAAAACAGCTTTTCGGAGGACTAATTTGATATACTGACCTTGGTCTGAACGTTCTTTATGCAGATGAGGGCCTCTTTGTATTTCTGTGTGGCCTCTTGGTAGCGTTGTTGTTTGTACAGTTTGTTCCCCTGACCATGCAGCACAGGCACTACCTTCAGCCTCTCTTCATCACTCAGAGCCCACGACTCCCTGTTGTACTCACTAGGCTGCTGCACCTGTCATTCAAGCACATATGGGAGTTACACACAAACACATTACAGTTACACAGCAGAAACCACCAGGATGTATCTCTGTATTTTTGTCCCATAAGTGCAGATTCACGCACACTCAGATGGGCTTTCTGTTCTGTCTCACCCTGAGCAGCTCCAGTACAAAGTAGAGAGGCTTCGGCTCCTTCATCAGCTCATCCAGGTCATCATAACCGAGGCTGTGGTAGGCAAACATGTTTGCCATACCGCATGTGTGGATGTGCCAGTCCACTGGGTCTTTGCCCTCCGCGATACGTCTCATACTCTTAGACACAAGAGGGTAAACGCCAGTATGCTGGAAAGATGAGATGATCAGGGTGATGCAAATTTTGAAAACGGCAATAGAGTCAAAACCAAAACTGCAAAAACTAATGAACAACTTGCTTAGATATCTTAGTGTTGTGTTACTGCTGGCTTAGAAAATGTCCGAAAATCAACAACTATTTGTGGAGCAGCTCTTTGTGGAGTTTTAAAACATTCAATGGTAGCCCTTTATTGCCTTTTGTACTGTATTTGATACACACTTTTATGATACTTCTATCAAATCAATATGATCAACAAATTACTAAAAATACATCTTAATACAGTGCGATAAATGATAAAAATGTCCTCTTGGGGTGTTTTAGTTTCCAAAAACATTGAATGTATCAAACAAGATAAATAAATATATTTGTTACATTTTAAGGACATTTTGATTTTTTTGGTTTTCAGCAGTAAGTGAAACAAACATTTCAGCTCCAAAAATTTTTTACATTTTCTTGCCATAATTTGTGGTTTCAGGCATTAAAGGTTTAACAGCTAAAATGACTAAAAAAAAGAGTCAAATTTTGAAGGGAAAAGCACTCCTCTTGGCAGAATTTGGGGACTTTTGTCAAAGTTTTTCCTCAAAATTTTGTATTTTGAATTTCATTTTTTACTCTAAGCGGAATAAGACTCAATCACGTTTTCAACACATTAAAATCAGAAATATTTGTTTCATTGTTTAGCAACAGTGATTTTTGATTTTGAATTTGATTTTATTGAATTTTTAACGACCCTAAGTACATTTATGGAAGCAAGTCTGCCCTCTGCTGGATGTGAGCGATACTGCGCTGAATATTCATCAGGGTGTTAGTGTGGCCGTGTTGTTCAGAGGGGTGAATAAAAGCCATAAGCCCCATCAAATCTAATCAGAGAGGAGGAGAGTAACATGTGCTGATTCAGCAGGAATCAGAGCCGATTAGGGAAAAGTGAGGCTGCTGCAGATTAACAGCAGCATGCCTCAACCCATCTGTCTCTGACACACACAAAAAAACACACACATACACATCGCCACAAAAACACCGGGCAGACCTGACACATTAAGGATGACATAAGATACACATGCATCAACATATACTCAGAGGGAGTATGTGTATGGCTGGTATGGCCTTGTGTAAGCAGATATGGGTGTGGGACAGCGGCTTTTATAACAAGAGGAGGTCACACACAGACAACATTCATAACAAAACCATTACACATGAGGAAAACATTCAGGGAATTTAAAAGTGAAACCAAACTGGAAGTGACTCAGATTTTCCTGGAGCAGTGTTTTAATACATGACCGTGTTTTCAGTCACTCGTATTTAATTATTGTTATGTAAAATTTCCTCTTTGGGTCACCCTACTGATCCGGTTTTGAAACAGTTACGAGCACCAAACTTTGTTTTATGTGATAGACGCTTTGGCACACTGGCTTTCTATATTTACAACTGGAACACATAAAACTTGTCTTATTGTGTTGTTTGGTTGCTTGAAATGAAAAGCATTGCCCATAACATTCACACCTGCAGTGTGATGTCACTCTGTATAAAGGAGAGAGTTGTACCAGCAGACTATAATGCAATGTGATTAGAAACAAACAAACAGGAAACCAAGGTAACACACACACACACACACACACACACACACACACACACACAGACACACACACACACACACACAAAGCAGCTGCACCCACTAAAACTGAAATTCACCCACAATGGTGTCACACCAGAATTCAGCCACTTCCCCGATCCTCATTGAGGCCAGCAGAGTCTCCCAGATATCCAGTTTAAACATGTTCCCAATCACAATCTCCATCGGTGTCCCAGCTACTTTGCTGTCATCGATCACCGTACGCTCGTCATCACACAACTGGGTGCGGAAGTGAAAAGTCACCTAGAGGAAAAAATACCACAAAACAAAAATATAATATTACAGATGCTTTGTGATACTAAAGCAGACTGGACTATGGCTTTTGTGAAAGGTAGTGCTTTCAATGTAAGTGAACAATGAATCCACTGAGTTTGATAACAAGTGAGAGAGTGATCTCCGGTCAAAACTGACATGCTAACTGAGTGGAGCTCACACATGTGCACAACAGTCTCAATAAAAACGTTATGTCATGAGCTTCACACTGTGCAGTTATTCAACAGCGCAGACAGACAGACGGACAGACAGGCAGGATGAAGGACAGACATGCCAAGGTTGTGTGTTGTGTAACGTCCAAGGAAGATGAAAACATTCAGCGGTGATGTACGAACACAGTGAATCCGTATTTCAAATTAACAGCATCTGCAATCACTCTGCAGGGATGAGTCAGGACAGATTTTACTGACCTAAATGTTAGATGCAAAATGCTTTTGTCAACTTTTAATTCCTCTGTTTGCAGCAGCCATTTTCAAAGTGAAGAATGAGAGGCCTCACTTTGCCTTCCCCCCTAAAAAAAGACTTAAAAACTTTGAAACTCGACAGTGCGATTACAATTTCCCTACAATACTTTGAATTCATGAAGAGAAATTCAGTGTGTAAGTGGACTTTTAATAGAAATATTGAATCTATCTTTACTCTTGTAACAGTTCACAACACATGTAGGCATGTCATATATTACAGAGCTTCAGATATTGAAACCTTGAACTTATTTTTGTTCTGACTTTTGTGGCCCACCAGAGGGCCACAGCCCACAGTTTGGAAATCACTGGTTTACACTGATAGGGAACTTTTAGAACAGATTTTCACTAAAAAGCAAACATAAGGCAAATTTATGAAGTACAATTTTCCTGTCTTGAAAAATAATCCACACTAATAAGAGTGTCCTTTGACTAATTCTGTCAAACCTGATTCCAGTATTACAAAGGGTATTTTTTATAGCTCTGGATGTGTTTTAACCCTTAAAGCTACAATGGGGACTTTTTGGACGTTCATAAAACAGACAGAATTTCATGTGGAAGTCTTTTTGTGACATTAAAAAACAAACAAGACGATAAGCAGAAAAATTGATGATTTTAATGACCTGATTATTAAAAGCTTAAACTGGTGTGAGGGGGTAGGTGTCAGCTTAGCAACTGAAGAAACTAAGATATCTAGATGACCGTCAAAAGACAGAATGATGAGACAGAAAACAATCAGTCATGCTTTCAGATTTCATGTATCACTGCTTCAAGAGTACCACTCAGGATGATTCAAATAAAGCTTGATTGATCCAACATTCGATCATTTAAAAAAGTCAACAAAGCTACAGTGTTAAAATCATTTCAGTGTTTGGGTATTTGAGTAGAGCCTTTGTTTGGATTAGTGATGGGCACAGCAGTTCTTTTAGATGTACTGAATCACTAGAATCAGTTCACTAAAAAGATTCATTCAAAAGATTTGTTCATCGAATCACTGAATCATTCAGTGCTTGGCAGGAGAAGCCTGCGACCCCGACCTCCTGAACTGATACACAGCTGAACGTTTTAGGGTTCAGTTCAATTCATAGCTTCTGGGAGCGGGAGACGAGAGTGTTTGGCTGAGTTGCTTTAGCAAACAGGTTTGTAAAAATGAACTAAGTGTACTGTCCTATGGTATGCTATTAATCAGGTCTGCTCGGTTGGGCTCAATGAGTGATTTGTTCACTGAACGTTTTAAAGAATTCACACTGAACATGCATCATTCTCTCACAAACCGCTGAAATGATAGGATGCTGCAGGTTTTATGCACTACTTGTTACATGCTGTGTCCTATTGTATGCAAGTTGTTGTGGTGGTAATTTAGCAGTATTTTTTTTTTTTAAAGTTAGTTTTGTCCGACAAAAATGATTCCAGAAAGTGTAGTTCAATGTGTGATTCCTTTACCAAGTGATTCAGGCGTCGGTGCATGTGATCCCACGTTCGCCGGCTGCTCGCCTGGCAATGCTGCGTGGTATAGCATCTGCCCTGCTGACAGCTCAACTGAAGTGAGAAATGAACAAATCACTTGAGGAAGTGATCCGTTCAGTACGTTCACATAAAAGATTCGGTTCTTTTGAACAAATCGTTCGCGTACAGTGATTCTTAAATATATCAAACTAGCTTGAATCATCCACTGAATTAGCACTGTACAAAAACCACACACAGCTGCCATCGATCCAAACATGCTTCATCTGAATATAATCTGCGTGTTGTTAATAGGAAGTAAAGTCACACATACAAATACACACAAAGTGACAGCAAAGCTCTGATTCAAAACTCTCAGAGATGTTTCACCGAAGGCCAACAGTACCTTTGCCCCAGTGATGAGTTTTGGGATGTCTCCGGTGCCTCCGTGCAGGATGGTTTTCTTTACTCCTTCTGAGCTGAGCAGCAGTGTATCCCGCATGTCCGTCATCTTTTATTTTTATGTACTTTCTCTTGATTACCTTGGCATGTAAATATGTCTGTGTGTATTCTGTGAGAGGTACATGTGTGAAGAGTATGGATTACTTGGAGGTGTTTCTCAAATGGATTAGTTTAGGCAGGGATAATGAGATTAGAAACGTCTTCTATCCTTATATTTCATCAGCTCTCTCTTCGTGTTTGTCATATGTGTGTGTGAGTTAAAGAGAGAGAGGGAAAGAGAGAGGGAGAGAGAGAAACACAAATAGATCTGTGCGAGTAGGACATGTTTTCCATTCCAGAGGAAATTTCCTGGATTTATGTGGATGTGGGGATCTGAACAACTCAGAGAATACTAAGAAACAGTGCAGCAGACAATAACTGCATGGACTCCTTGACCTTGTCTATAAAACATCTGTCTCCCATCTGGGCAGTGTATGTGTATGTGAGTGTGTGTCTGAACAATTCAGGTCTCCTGTAGTGTTTGCTAACAAAGTCTGTAAGCAGTTTGAGGGGGCAATTATTCTCAAACATTACCGAGTGTTAATGCCTTATTCTGTACTAATTGGACAAATAGAAAACCCCATAACTTCACCTTGGCATTGCACATTATTGTGTAACTTTACAACTGTGTGTTTGGTCTGTGAACGTGGAGGAAGAGGTATTTCACCATGAATTTATCAGGCAAGGCTGCTGCCTTATCGCTGTTCAAATAAGGCCTCTTTATCCTTGAAAAGTGCTGTAACATACTATCAAGTTTGCCTTTTTTTCCGCTGAAGGGACAAACAGGATTGGGCAACAGTTTGGTATGTACTTGGCGGCAATCCAAGCACAGGCAGGTAACAGATTTAATGCCCTCTTGTGGACAAGGCTGGTAATACAGCCGGGTTGAAGCCTTTGATTTGATGGAGCCTCATAAGAAGTCTTACTCACATGGAAATTTATCCCCCTTTCAGACCTTTAAACTGATGCATTTGCTTTGAAAATAACTCCTCACAATTGACTTTAAAGAAAGATCTTACCTAAAACATGACAAGAACAATTATATAATGTGATCTTGCAGAAGCAGAAGTTGCAGATTCATGTGCAATTTCCTTCTAATGCCCTTTAACCGTTTCAAAAGAGACAAACTGTTCTCACTTTGCTTGTTTTTTCATATTATATCCTTCTCTACTAAACACTGGGCATATGGTGGGATGCTTCTCTTGGATGACAGGTTTGTGTTGCTATAGTTACAGCATTTCACACCATTATCATATCTGAGAAAAAGTTTTAAAAAGGTGTCATGTAACTTAGACTGTTGACTCTATTTTAAACCCGAGCAGAGGTTTTTTACTGAGTATTTCCTTGTCTTGGTGATTGATGTAAGAGTGTCAGATTAGTTTTCTGTTGGAGATATTATTCTAAGTAAGTGCTATTGAAACTCTTTCTTTGTGCAACAGTGACTCATAACGCTTGCGTCACACTGCCTACACCTCCTTCTATGTGATCCCGGTGCATTTGTGCGTGTGCATATGTGCATCAGACGTTGCTGCATGCACGGTGTAGCGTGGGAAATCCAATGTGCCTGCTTACTGAACTGCATGCAAACACACACTTTAAGAGCAGGTTCAGCTACGAGCAAAAAGGTACACCCCAGCCTCCATCATACTTAGCCCTGCTGGAAACCCATCGCTGATGCATTAGTTCCACTTTAAGCAAGTCATACTCTATTTCTGGAAAGTACAGTCATGGATTTCCTGGGGAGGAGCTGTACCCTGTGTGAAACCATTCATTCATATACATAACACATGGGGGAGGGCTGCTTCCATGACGCAGGACATACACGCACATAACATAATGTTTATGAATGTGCAAAACCTTTTGTGCCTTTGCTATGGGAATGAGACACAGTGTGAGAGCGGGCGAAAGATCCGTCTCTCTCTATACACGCACAGCTGACCTTGCAGATCTAAAGGAAGAGGATCCTGGGATAAGAGCAGCGTGGGGGTCCCTGTGCAAGGCAGGGAGTATGATTCCCCTGCATGTAGTTTTTTGATACAAAGCAGGATAGAGTTAGAAAACCTTTAATATGCATAAATATGATAAAACACCCTGGATTTACCATATCTAATGGTTTACCATATCTAATGTTACCACCTCCTTTGTTGAGCAAGGATGTCAATCAGGACCTTCTGTCTCCAAAAGAGTGCTTTACTAAAGCTCAGTTTACTCCTCCTTAAATGATACTTGAAAACTGTGGCTGCCATTTAGTGTACAATTTCTTTCCAATGATCCTATATGAAATAATAGGATCTGGTATCAATATGAGAAGGCTTTATAGTCTTTAATGATTGACCTCTCATCTACTGACAAGCTTTGCTGTATGTGTTAAATCTCAAGTTCTCACCTCAACATCGCCATACCTGACTCCCCTGTCACTCAAGGCCAAGCCACACCCCCAACATTATGAAAGCCCGCCCTCAGGCCTCCTCTTCCTCTTGCACCCTGACCATGGATCAGCAGAGAACAAAGGGAGTCTGAATGTGAGTGGAAAATAGACTAAAACCAAACTAAATTTTGTTGATTCTCCCGATCTGTAATATTTCTAATATGGTTTATTGTCTAATATTATTTCATGAGATTGCTATCCAATTAACCCCAAATTTATTGATGATTTAAAGCCCTGAAGTGGATGCATTGATGATGTAAGCTAAGTTACTAATATACACATCTTGTTTCTAGTTCTTTGATTGTTTGAACAGAAAAAATCATCCCCAGAAGACGAAAGAAAATAAAACTTCTAAAGTGAATCCTGGATCCTGTGTTTGAATGTTCACTCGGTATCAGATGTTCAATGAGCCAGCATCAGTTTCATCCTAATCTTTTACAGTATGCCAGAATAAAAACGCTGTATGTTTACAATTAATTCACTCATTACTCACATTGTACGTTTAATCTTTCTTCTTCATTCTGGGTGAAACACAAATGCACAGATATTTTGCACATTCCCAGCCCCGCCCTGTTTCTCCAAACACAGACTCACGCACACGCACGCCAGGAATACAATGACTGAGAAAGAGTCTCAGAGCTGTGCACACTGTGCTGCCTGCAGGCTGTACCCACAGCTGGAAATACAGATGACACATACTGCCTTATACACGCACACATCAGGGATGTGCATAACAGAACTGAACGGAGGAATTTTTAGTGGTTAATGATCATTTGGTGAAGGCATGTCACAATTTTCACTTTGTTTTTGTAGTCTGGGAAGTCCAAAGATGAAACACAGATGTTATCTAGAATTACTAATAGAGTTTTCAGCGGTAGGATATTGATATGAAACTTTCCGAAGAAGCACTCATTAAACTAGAATTGATGGTTGAATGTTTTTATGTACTGTATATGAAGAGGAGTAGCTCGTCACCACTTTAAACTGCTGCAAAAGTAGGGTCAAAATTCCTCTTGTGACAGATGACGGTTTTAGACCCCGAGTCTATGCAGTAGACAGTAAAATATACATAAAACTTACCAATAAAACATTGAAGCTCCCTCAGGTCTGAGCAGTCGACAACGAAACAGATTTTTGAGGTAGTTTAAAGCAGAAACGTCTGGTCAACAGAGCTGTCAAACATGGTTTTGAACCTTATTTTTAGCCCCAAATAACCCCAAGCTATTACCCCAAATACTCTGACTTGAATCAGCACATTGGAGGAAAAACTTTTTCAACATTAAGTTTCATTTCAAGTTTGACCCATGTCCCATCTGTTTACATGGAAGTCGTTATGACAGGTAGACCTGATAGTTGCAAGATGCTCCTAAGATAGTTCTAACAATTGAGAAAGAACAGGTTGCTGTACCAAATATGTACGCTAAGGTGCTTGGATAATCAACATAAATCTTGAAAAATGTTCTTAATGTGACATAGGCTATGTTCACACTGCAGGTCAATTCCGATTTTTTAACCACATGTGACACATATCTGATTTTTTTCATGTAAGTGTGAACAGTGCAATTCTGATTTTTTCAAATCCGACCCAGGCCTCTTTTGTATGTGGATATAAATTGGATATGTATCCGATGTGACTGCAGTGTGGACGCTCAGGTCGCGTTCATCCGACCTATACGTCATCAATATGCGTCAAACGTCACCATTGTTCGACAACACAAACAGGCGCGGAAAGCAATGTGTGCTTTGTGCACTTCACTGCAATTCCCTTCACATTAGATGCTGCATTCGTTGTTGTAATGTGAACGACCGCACAGAAAGATCGGATTTAACAAAAAATCCGAATTGTGCATCAAAACCTGCAGTGTGAACGTAGCCATAGACATGCTCTTTGACGTTAGTAGTTTTAATCAGACTACAGACAATTGAATTTTCTCTCGGTGATCAGTGTAGTACTTTTTCTTCAAGTGTTGATCAAATAAGCAGGATTTCACCTGTACTGCCCTCATAATTATCTCTATAATCAGTTATTGGCGCTTCCCAGTTCTCCTCAGGTGATGTCTGCTCTGTGAGGCGTATCGATGCTCAGGTGACAAAAAAGAAAAAAACACTCACCTCAATTAAACTTTCATTCGTGCAGGCTCACATTCTCGTAAATATTTTCACGACTGGAAGTCATGCAGCAGTATTTTGGTGGTGATATGTGTCATCGCTGTAACCCTGAATGCCTTTTATTGTTTCGCCCTCAGTCATACGTTAATGGCAGGTTGTCTGAGCAGGTGAGCATAAATTCAGCCTGCATGAAACAAATGAGTCACGACACATTTTCCCACAATATCTGTAGTAAACGTTTGAAAAAAAAAATAACAACACAGACTGATGTTTCATTAATACTAGCAATGCTTTAGTAAAGGCAATTAAAATGTGGGTTTAGCTGAATGATCCAAACATTGCCTTCCTCACTGTCAGCTGGTTGGAAGCTTTAATAATATCCTAGTTATTGCAGGCCTGAAGTTAATGGCTGCTTCCAAGATGTCAACAAGCGATTTTTTGCCATTTCTTCTTCGCTGTAACTTTTTGACGTT